AAAGAAACAGCTCCTTAAGAACCAGTGCACTTTTCGAAACAAACAAAGCAGAGCAAAGCAATTCGTATAAACGGTCATGTCAGAGTATTCAGACCCCGCGGACAGAGCCAAAGTCATAAAAACAAGTAAAACAACTTTACCACTCCAGCGGCTCGTTCTTGAGATCACCGCGGTTGGTCTTGGGCGTGGGCGCGGCCTCGACCATAGTGGCGCCACGGGAACCACGCTTGAGGTATGCACTGCCGTCCAACCAGGGGGTCTCCAGGGTGCGCTTGGTCTCGAATGTGCGGATCTTGTCCTCGAGCTGGAGAGTGAGACCGATGTCATCGAGGCCATTGATCAGGCAGTGCTTGCGGAAACCGTCGACTTCAAAGTCGGCGAGCTTGTTGCCCTGCGCATCCTTGACTTGCTGGTTGGGGAGATCAATTTCGAGTTCGCGGCCTGCACGGGCTTCGTCGGCGATCTTGGTGAGGAGGGCCTCGTCGGAGACGACGACGGGGAGCATGCCGTTCTTGAAGGTGTTGTTGAAGAAGATATCGGCGAAGGAGGGGGCGATGATGCACTTGATGCCGAAATCGAGAAGGGCCCAAGGGGCGTGCTCACGGGAACTACCGCAGCCGAAGTTGGGGCCCGTAACGACCAGAATGTTGGATTTGCGATAGATGCCCTGGTTCAGGATGAATTCTGGCTTTTCGGTATTGTCAGGGTGGTAGCGCAGTTCGTAGAAGGCGGCGCTGCCGAGACCGGTGCGCTTGATGGTCTTGAGGAATTGCTTGGGGATGATGGCATCGGTGTCGACGTTGGCACGGTCAAGGGGCGCGGCGATGCCCTTCAGGGTGTGGAACTTGGGGAGACCAGTGCTGGTAGAGGCACCACCGACGGAGGTATTGGTGTGGGGTTCGTTGTCGGCGGGAAGGTCCATGATGCGGTCAAACTCCTCCTCCGACTCGGGCTCCTCATGGGTCTGCTCAACATCCACCTTGGGCTGGGCCTTACCCAGGACTGGGCTGGCGACAACGTGCTCGCGGACGTCAGCCAGCTTACCGACAATCGCTGCGGTAGCAGCCATGGCGGGGGACATCAAGTGGGTACGGCCACCAGCACCTTGACGGCCTTCGAAGTTACGATTGGAGGTACTGGCACAGCGCTCCTGAGGCGACAGAATGTCAGGGTTCATTCCCAAGCACATGGAGCAACCAGCCTCTCTCCACTCGAAACCAGCATCAGTGAAGATTTTGTCAAGACCCTCGACTTCAGCCTGCTGCTTGACCAGGCCGGAACCAGGGACAATCATGGCGCGCTTAATGTTGGAGGCAATTTTCTTTCCGTTCACCACCTTGGCAGCGGCGCGCAGATCCTCAATTCGGGCGTTGGTGCAAGAACCAATGAAAACCTTGTCCACCTGAACATCCTTGAGGGGCATACCGGCCTCGAGACCCATGTACTCGAGAGCACGCTTGCAAGAGGTCTTGCGGTTCTCATCCTCAAAGTCGTCAGGGCCCGGGACGACGCCATTTATGGGAGCAACATCCTGGGGAGATGTACCCCACGAGATGGTAGGAATGATGTCCTTGCCATCGAGCAGGACGGTCTTGTCATACACGGCATCATCGTCTGACTTCAAGCTGGACCAGTAGTTGACAGCCTTCTTCCACTGAGCACTGTTGTACTTGGGAGCCAGGGGACGGCCCTTGAGGTATTCAAAGGTAATTTCATCGGGTGCGATCATGCCAGCACGCGCACCAGCCTCGATGGACATGTTGCACATGGACATACGGGCTTCCATGCTCAGACCACGGATAACAGAACCGCAGAACTCAATGACGGCACCAGTACCACCGGCAGTACCAATAACACCGATAATGTGAAGAACGACATCCTTACTGGTGACACCGGGAGGCAGCTCACCATCGACCTGAATGCGCATGTTCTTGCTTCTGCGAGAAATGAGGGTCTGGGTAGCGAGGACGTGCTCAACCTCAGAGGTACCGATACCGAAGGCAAGGGAACCAAAGGCACCATGTGTGGAAGTATGACTGTCACCGCAGACGACGGTGGTTCCGGGGAGGGTGAATCCTTGCTCAGGGCCGATGATGTGGACGATACCCTGACGCTTGTCACCCATTCCAAAGTATGTGAGGTTGAAATCCTTCACGTTGTCTTCAAGGGTTGAACATTGAATCCGCGAGTCATTTTCTTCGATGAAGGCGTCAACGTTCTTAAAGTTCTTGCGGGAGGAAGTAGGAATGTTGTGGTCAACGGTAACCAGAGTGCAGTCCGGCCGGCGGACCTTTCTGCTGGCATTCTTAAGACCTTCAAAGGCCTGGGGAGAGGTGACTTCGTGGACAAGGTGTCTGTCGATATACAGCAGAATCGTGCCATCTTCCTGCTCGTTGACAATGTGGGCGTCAACCACCTTATCGTAGAGGGTCTTGGGCTTCTTATCGGCGGCGGGCATGATGAATATACAACAAGAAAAACAGGTTAACAAGAAGAATCAAGACTAATAGCGAGATATGAAGATAGTAAGGATTGGAGAAAAGAGGGAGAAGGTTATGAATGTCCTTTACTACTGCCTGTCGCCGCGATGTCGCTCGAGGGGCTGCTCCGATCTCGGCTGGTCAGCATTCTTTTGCCACTCCTTTATTGGTAGATCTGATGGGTCCACCACCCCGACACCGGTGCCACTTCCCCCTTTGAGCTTAGCCGAGGCGCTTATCCGCGGTAATTCTTCTTCAGATCCTGCCGCCGACTACGGAGACTAATTGACGCTTGCTGATTGGTGGTGCTACATTATTACCCTAAAACAGAACCTGGGGAATGCAATGGGGCTTCTGCTGTCAACACTCAATTCTTGACAGCTTTCATTCATTATTCCTGGTGACAAAAGGGTATAGAGAACAACAATTCCCATTATAGTGTAACGATGAGAATTCAGTGATCATTTTGAGCACATTATGAAGAAGTTTGTGTTGAAAATAAGACGTATATTGGGAACTGAAGCGTTGATTGCCGGTCTTCCTTCTCAATGAATAGTTGCTCGATGCATGATCATAAATTTTAATGCGCTCCTAAACGGCCAAATTCCCAGAAGACCCGCAAAGTATAATCCCGAGGTAAACCTGACGCGTATTTTGAGTTGCAAGATGTCTCTTGCATAGCGGCTCAAGCCATGCCATGTCGCCTGTTCAGTTTTCTTCCAGGTTGCACAATGCCAACATCCACTCGCGAATACATATGCCTTTAGAATCTGTCAAGGCTGCGGTTGGATGTCAGTGTAAACCCCCATTGATAGCCATGCTGCGGAACGCATCGACCTTATGGGAAAGCCAAGCTGAGACTCCTTGTTCTTTTGCATTCTGTGACCAGTCCCTCCATCTGTCTTCAAGGACAGAGTGTTATCCCTTGGTCTTTCACGTAGTACCTGCTTCTTGCAGACTTTCAATTCCCTTTAAATATGTCTCGTAAACATCATGTACGCCAGCGTAGATTTGTCTAAGCTCCAGTTGGCTTTTCAAGAGAGAAGATGTACTTTATGAGATGCAAGAAGGGATAAGTTTCAGCAAAACTTACCGAAAGACTGGCCGTTGGGAACCCTGTCTTGCATGGGAGACATTCTCAAGGAATAGCCCAACAAGTTGGGTCTCACTCAAAGCGGCACCAGAGTGCCCTCATTTCTCAGATGGACTAGTGAAACGGCTCATGGTGTGCAAATCTGGGTTTCAGTCAAGATTCAATTATACGAGCGCAGCTTGAATCTTGATCCATTAAGGTTGAGACAAGACAAAGGGTTAAACTTTGGTGGTCTTCATTATCTCATTGATTCAAACCTATCCAGTTTGCGCTTCAAACGCTCTGTCATCCTGGGATTGCGAGGAACAGTCTGAATTTCTTGCCTTTGTATGCTACACAGCCCAGTTGCGGGCATCTTCCTCTGAAAGTCAAAGATGGTGCGGTTGGCACTGTGTACCCAGGCGTATAAGGCGTCGCTGATCGTTTACATTTCCTCATATGTTTAACTAGGATGAAGGTATACGGAGTTCTAACACACCACAAACTAAAACCGTGCTTCGTGTAGCACGATTGAGTCTTCAAATTAAGGGTATGAGCTTGCCGCTTGTGGTTTGATTCGGATCCTGCCATTCTGAAGCAACCTAAATTCAGTAGACTGACAAGTTTTATGGCGCCATTCCGACAAACATAAACCCAAGGGTAGATCCCAACGCAGAATTAATCGCATGTTATTTTGTTTGATCTTCGGGGTAAAAAGCGTCATGCATATAAAGTAGCCCCAAAAGAAAGTACCACTAGACTCCGTCAGAAAAGCTTCTCACCCAAGCTGTAGAAGTCGTTGTCGCAGTAATTGTCTGCGGGGAGTGTCCTGTCTATGGTCTCTTCGTCAGGTCAATGAACCGGGACTGTATATTGGGTGGCATGAAGGTCGCTGAGCTGGAAAATGCTTCGTCTGAATGTCTCAGTATCTCGGAACATCTGCGGGGAAAGTCTTTTGACCAGGGAGAATTAGATTAGAATCAGGATAGTAGTGAGGAGAAGAAGGAAGAGTCTGGGCTTTACTAGGGCAATGTGGAAAATAGTTATCAGATGCCACCCACCAATTGAGAATATTCACTCACCCCATTCGTATAGTTGATAAGAAACAGTGAATAAATATTCGGGTGTTCAATTGAGCGGAGATTTTCCATATCTAGGACAATGATAATAGTACCGAGGCACTAACCCCGACTGTACAAAAACATCAATCTATATGCGATTGACACCATCGCGATCCGCAATGATGTGCGTCTCCGACGCTGTCGCAACAATATCCCAGCATTGAACCTTTCAAATCTAGCAAATCACCGGCATAATGCATTGCATGGTGTATGATCCCCTCGCGATGGCGTGCAGTGCATCCGGGTATCTATAATTATGCTGATGTTGCTGTGTGACTTTTGGCCGTGCCGTGTCTTTGCAATATTCATCATCGCAACAAAAGCAATATGGCAGCAGTTGACGGTTTCACCATCCCCATCCAGCCTTTTTCCAATGGACATGGGCAGGATTACAGTCCGCCGATTAACCTCGGCCCCAAGGAGAAAGTGACCGTCGAGGTCAAAAGTACACCCACCTCCGAGCCCATACCCACTCCCGAATCAAAATCGGCCCCGGCTTCTAAGCCAGTATTCCAGCTGGAAGAACATCCTGTTGACGAAGTAAAGCCCATTAAAGTGGGTGTCATTGGTGCGGGATTGACAGGTGTCACTGCTGGTGCGCTGTTACCAGCCAAGGTACCGGGTTTGGATTTGCGCATTTACGATAAGAATGCGGACGTGGTAAGTCTACATTCCGGCTATTTTGAGGTAACGGGGGCTAATTGGGTAGGGAGGAACTTGGTTCGAAAATACGTATCCCGGGGTTCGATGTGATGTCCCCGCGCATGTGTATCAGTCTGGATTTGCGCCGAATACGCAATGGACTGAGGAGTTTGCGCAAGGCCATGAGATCAGAGACTACTGGAGGAGCGTTGCACAGAAGTATAACGTCTACCAATATCTGCGACTGCAACAACAGGTAGAAAGTGCTGAATGGATTCCTGAAAAGGCGAAGTGGAAAGTCACTTTGCAGGATTTAGCTAATTCCAAGGTTGGTTTTTTCTAATACTCTCCCGGCCGGTGTGATTCTTACAGTGGCAGACCTACGTTGAAGAACTTGATATTGTAATCAACGCCATTGGCCACTTCAACGCCTGGAAATTCCCCGACTACCCCGGAATCAACGAGTACAAAGGAGCCCTCTTTCATTCGTCCAACTGGGACCACAATGTTGATCTGAAAGACAAACGAGTTGCCCTAATTGGTAACGGCGCATCGGGCCTCCAAGTCCTTCCATCTGTCCAACCAATTGCCGCGCATGTCGACCACTACGCCCGAAACCGCACCTGGATCGCAGACTCCTTTGGCGCAGTCGGTGTCCGCCGATTAGAGCCAAATATCTTCCCAGAAGAACAACGCGAGTCCTTCAAAGACCCGAAAGCCTACCTAGAATACCGCCGCGGAGTCGAAAAGGGCTACTTCCAGCGCTTCGGGGCTATCTTCAAAGACTCCCCAGAGAACCAAGAACAACGCGATCAATGGAGTGAGCTCATGCTAAAACGAGTCTCCGACAAACCAGACCTATCCGACAAAATCATCCCAGACTTTCCGCCAAGCTGCCGTCGTCCTACCCCGGGTCCGGGATACCTCGAAGCCCTAACCAAAGAGAACGTCTCATACATCCAGACCCCCATCTCACACTTTACGGAAACGGGTATCGTAACCAAGGACGGCGAACCCCGCGACGTAGACGTGGTCATCTGCTCCACCGGCGCAAACAGAGACCACGCACCCCCCTTCCCCATCACTGCCAACGGCTACAACCTCCAAACAGACTGGCAGCACTCTGGCCGCTGGGGCTTTCCCTATACATATCTGGGCGTAGCAACACCGCACTTCCCGAACCTCCTCTGGCTCGGAGGCCCTTATTCCAGCGGACACAGTGGGACTGTCCCCAACGCTGTCGAGAACCAAGTCACCTACATCGCAAAGGTGCTCCGCAAAGTGCGCGGGCAGGGCATCCGCACCATCGTGCCCTCCAAAGCCGCAGCGGATGACTTTGTGCAGTACTGCGATGCATTCTACCCGCGCACCGTGTGGTCTGCAAACTGTTCATCTTGGTATAACGGTGGACGACCCGGGGGGCGAGTTCACGGGTTATTCCCGGGCAGTGCAACGCTTTCAAATATCGTGCGACGGGACCCAAGATGGGAGGACTTTGAGTATACGTATGAAAATGGGAGCGGAAATCGATTTGCGTGGTTTGGAAATGGATGGTCGAAGCGGGAGTTGGCGGCGAAGCAAGGCGAGGAAGTGGAGTTGACGCCGCATTTGCGGCTGCCAGAGGAGATTGATTTGAGGGTGCATTTGGAGGGGTGGTGGGATGTCTGATTAGCTTATTTAAATCTCCAATGGACTCAATGGCTTCGTTTCTCGTGGAAAGAGCAGATATTGAAGAAATAACGATGTATGGAAAGACAATTAGCGCCGGTTATCACGTGAAGAAGTGATGATTTTAAGTGAACGGAAGCTAGGCCCCTACAATGGATCATATCTTTGGTAAATTTTTATTCAATCATAATAAAGATCAATCTGTCGTGATCTCACGCCATCACATCCCTGTTGCACGTGTAGATAGGGTAAAGTACCGTGCGGAGTATATAACCCGCAAGCACATCTCCAACCACAAAACCAATGACCAAAAATAACCAGGAAAAAACATCCAGGAACAGGAACAACAATAAACAAACCACCAAAATGAAATCCCTAATCCTCAACGCTTTCGCAATGCAAAGTCCCTCTCATCTAAACCCCGGCCTAACCCGCTATCCCAAAGACCGCGGCCGCTCCTACAAAGATCTCTCGCACTGGATCGAGCTCGCCAAAAAGCTCGAAGCCGCCAAATTCCACGCCATCTTCTTCGCCGACGTCCTCGGCCCTTATGATGTCTACAAAGGTCCGCAGAACACAGACCCCATTGTCCCCGCGGGTGCGCAGTTCCCGATTAATGATCCGCTGTATGCGGTGCCGGCGATGGCAGCTGCAACGAGCAGTATTAGTTTTGGGATCACGGCGTCGACGACCTATGAGAATCCGTATATGTTGGCGAGGAAGTTTAGTACGGTTGATCATTTGAGTGGGGGGCGGGTGGGATGGAAAATTGTTACGAGTTATCTGGACTCCGCGGCGAGGAATTTCGGACTGAATACGCAGATTGAGCATGACGAGCGGTATCGCATTGCGGATGAGTATTTGCATGTTGCGTATAAGCTCTGGGAGGGGTCGTGGAGGGATGAGCCCTACCTTCCTGACCCCGCGGAGGGATATGCAGACCCTAAAGCCGTGAGACGCATCGATCACAAGGGAAAGTACTTCAACATCCCCGGCCCGCATCTATGTGAGCCAAGTCCCCAGCGAACACCATTCATATTGCAAGCCGGTACTTCGACGGCTGGGAAAGCCTTCGCAGCCACCCACGCAGAAGCTATCTTTTTACACGCACAGACACCAGAGCTCGTCCGGCCTTCAGTCGACAGTATCCGCTCGCAAGCTGCAGCAGCCGGCCGCAAACCTGAAGATGTCAAGATCATCGCAGGCATACTTGTCATCGTCGCCGAAACCGACGAAGCTGCGCGCGCCAAGTTCGAGAACCTAGCCTCCTATGGCGACCGCGAAGGCGCCCTGGGCCTTTTCGGCGGGTGGTCCGGCTATGATCTATCGACGTACACGGACGACCAGGATTTCCGCTTTGTCGAGGCTCCCGCCGTCCGATCCATGGTGAACCACTGGGCTAGCACAGTGCCAGGTTCCGACGGGAAAAAATGGGATAAGCGGGCCATCGCGGAGTACTTGGTGTTGGGCGGGAACGGGGCGAAGATTATCGGGAGTACGAAGACTGTTGCTGACGAGTTGGCGCGGTGGGTTGAGGTGGGTGATGTGGATGGTTTTAATTTTAGTTATGCAAGTGTGCCGGAGACATTTGAGGATATTATTGAGTTTTTAGTGCCAGAGTTGAGGAGGCGAGGGATGTTTTGGGATGATTATAAGGTGCCTGGGGGCACGTTTCGGGAGAATGTTTATGGGGAGGAGGGGAGGAGGCGTTTGCCCGGGGAGCATCCAGGGTCGAAGTATGTGTGGAGGAAGGATGAGGAGGTGCCCGCATATGCACTGAATTAACCTCCGTATATGCATGCGTATTAATATGACATGATAATCAGTAAAGAAAATCTATACGCTTGTTATCATTATCTACATGCAACTTTAAAATTAAGAACACAAACAAATCAATCCAAGTTAACAACCACCCGCTTACCCCCTACACTCCCACTACGCAACAACTCCAACGCAGCATTAACCCCCCCGAGACCACCCTGCGCCTGCACAATATCGGGCAAGTTCACCAACTTGCTCTGCATCAACCCCTCCAGCCAGCAAACCATCTGCTCCCCGACGGCCGGCGACGAGTGGAACAACTTCACAGGAATGTTATGGTACTTGATGTTCTCCAACGGCTCCTTGGGCAGACCCGCATAACCGAGCAGGTGTGCTCGCTCCGAGTTCGCAAGCGTGCGCTGCAAGAGTGTAGCGGTCTCCCGGCCGACAATGTCGATGGCGTAGCGGAGCTTGTTGTTAGTAACGCCTTGGATAATTTGCACGGCGCGCTCGGGATCCTGTCGGTCCACGAGGAGGTCTGCGCCGAGTTCGAGAAGTTTAGCGCCATGGCGGGCGACATCGGCGACGCAGATGACGTGGAGACCGGCTAGTTTGGCAAGTTGGAGAGTGATGAAGCCCGTTGTGGTGGAGGCTGCGATAATTAGTATACATATGTATTCCTACGCGATTGGGGAGTGGGAAAGTAAGCATACCACCCCAGATAGCCAACCAGTCGCCCTTCTTAATGCGATCCGCATCCTCAGATGCAGAGAAGCACTCTCCCCGCACATCCACCGGAATCTCATTCTCATCCACTCCCTTCAATGTGTTGATAAGGTCGGGCCCGGGCAGGGCATCGATTGCGGACAGGTCCAATCCCAACGACACACCCAGCGACAGCACAGCGGCCACAAACGCCACGCCCAGCGAAGCGGCAGCCTTGGGGCAGGTGGTGGAGGGGATACGGGCGGCGTTCGAGGCAGTGGTGATGGCGTATTCCTGGAACGCCGCTTTACGAATATCGCGGTAGTCCGTGGAGGGGACGAGGACGAGATCACCGGTACGGACGCGCCCCGAGGGGTCAGAACCGCGGACAACAAGGCCGGTCAAGTCACGACCATTGATCCAGGGGAGCGATGGGAGGCCGAAGTTGAATGCACTATGCGTCGTTAGTGCTACATTGTCACTGTCGCAGGGGAGTGGGAACGTACGGGCCCTTCCAGTCGACCGGGTTGAGGCCAATTGCAACGACCTTGACGAGGATTTCGCCATCTTTCAGGATTGCCGGCACGAGGTGGTCGGTGACAAGGGTATAGGGTTGCTGGGCAGCATGAATCAAAAGGGCTCTTTGACGGTCCAGAATGGGCGAGGATTGGAGGGATTCTTGTTTCTCTTGGATTACAACCGGGGGGGTTTCGAGTTGGACGTAGGCATCGGGTGAGGGGGGGTTCATAGTCTTGGTGGTGGTGGTGGTGGTGGTCGTCGTCGTCGTCGTCGCGGTGGCCATGGCTGTAATGGTATCTCTCGGCGAATGATGCTTGGGCAAATGCGATTATCTACAGTAACAATGGAGTATAGGGCCAAAAAAAAAAAAAAAAGAAAAGAAAAGAAAAGGGAAAGGGGGGTATATACAGAGGGGAAAGAATGCGATGAGTAGAGGTAAAGGAATTGGAAAAGTTTTATAGAAAGTGAGGCAGATAATCGGAGGAGAAAAAAAAAAAAAAAAGGGCCCCTCTTTAAAGCGTGGAAGATTCGATCCATTCAGAAGTTCCATTAATCCTTTTTCGATGGCTTCACCGCGGGGGGCCATTGCGTGACAGATTTACTGTGTCATAGATACTTTCTACCAATGCTTATTTGCCAATCCAGAAATATGATGGCATTGCTCTATACTTTTTTATGCTTCTTTTTTATTTCTCTGTACAGTACTTTGTACAAGTATGCAGTTGTATGCAGGGGTGATGCCCTACTTCGATACGAACAAAGCCATTCAGACTTTGCTTACGTAAATTCTGACGCAGCGCCAAGCTTTTATAAAATTTTTTCTGGCCAATAAAGCCCCGCGCTATGAAACTAGTGTGCCGTGGTTTCCCCTCCAGTGGCGGGGATCACATGAAGCCCTTTATACTGCACCTAGTCACGTGCTCGGATATTCTCGGTACAAGTATACATGCTCCGTACAAGCGGAGTAGATCGGGTATTTGGTACTTCCTATCTCGTGCATTCAATGGACTAGTTTTAGTACTCTGCACATACATACAAATGTAGAATTACTCCAACCCAATAGGCTTAGGAGCCCGCACAAACGCCAGCTGCGAGTTAGCCGCCAGCAAAAAGCTTGCCTGTCCCGTCACCTTCGGGTCCGGTCCAATAAACGTGTTGGGGAATCCCGGGTCCAGGGGCCGCACACTCTCCAGGTACTCGACCTGCTGCGGAGTAAGTTTGATCTTCAATGCCTGGATATTGTCATGCAAATGCTCGATCTTCCGTCCACCGACCAAGGGGAACACATTGGGTGTCTTGGCCATCACATACGCCAGCGCAATGGCCGTCACCGATTCAATGCCATGCTCCTCAGCCACCTTAGCCAGTGCTTCCGACATCCGCACTTCCTCCTCGGTCTGTTCGCCGGAGCCGAGCATGGACCGCAGACCTTCGCCCTTCTTCTTCCGCTCTTCGACCGCCTTCTTGCTTTGGAACTTGCCGCTGCCTAGCACGTCCCATGGTGCCAGGGCCATGCCGAAGTGTCGCGCCATGGGGATGATCTCGCGCTCGAAATCGCGGAGCAGCACGTTCCAGCGTCCCTGGTAGATGCTGAAAGGTGTTTTGCCGTGCGCGCGCGCGTACGTGTTGGCAGCAGACACCACCCACGCGGGCGAGTCCGAAATACCCAGATACAACACCTTACCCTGCTCAATCAGGATATGCAAACTGTCCATAACCTCCTCGATCGAAGTCGTGTGGTCCCACCAGTGCAGGTAAAGCACATCAATCCAGTCCGTACCCAGCTTCTTCAGCGAATCCCGCACGCTCATATGCAGGCTGCGTCGGTGGTTACCGCAGTGGTTCGGCGCGCGACCCTTTCCCAAGTCGTGCGACTTGTAGTCCGTGGTGAACTTGGTCGCGAGCACAAGCTGGTCGCGGTTCTTGCGGGATTTCATCCACTCGCCGATCCAGGACTCAGATTCCTCGTTCTGGTAGTTGTTAGCGGTGTCGATGAAGTTGCCGCCGGCTTCGTAGAAGGCGTCGAGGAGCTTGAAGGAGGCTTCCTTGTCCATGGAGCCCATGAAGTCGTTCCACGCGCTGCCGATGGACATGGCGCCCAGCTGGAGGGGGGAGACACGGATACCGGCAGTCGAGGAAAGGATGCGGTACCGGCCCAGCTCGGTTGGGGGTTCGGGGGCGGGCGCAAAGAGGCTCATTTTTGCAGATGGAATCGTCAATTGGGTCGGTTGAAAGTAGAAGGGTAGAGATGTTCTGTACAAGAGGGTGTACTACATAGACGGACGAGAACCCTTATATAACCCCCATTGCTGACCGGTGGGGCCTATCTCCGGCTAGGATCAACTTTATTTCCATGTTGCTGTCTACTCATATCAATAATTAAAACAATATGGAAGCCATGGAAGACCTTGTTGGGGCATGATAACCGTCATAGTCCACCGCCGATGACGCTACAGCGGACTTAGCGGAGTTAATGTCATCAATGATGCAACAATTTTGTTGAAAACAATTCTAGTTATGCACTACTATGCACTAAACATGCGATTGTCCTGCCGAAACACGAGCAGTGCTAACCGGTGTCTCACAAATAATCCAAATAGCCCGCAAATAGTCTGCACGCCTACCATATGCCACGCCAAACGGTCCTCGCGCATTGGGCCCATCCAGACCAACCAAAGATTGAGAAGTGTCAGGTTTGTTGACCCCACTATCTTTCCGTCTTTGTTCTTTGTCAGGTGAATTAGCTGCAGCAACTGCAAGAGTTCAAGGCACATCGCGATTAGGCGCGATGGTGGCTTTTCCTTCCATTCTGTCACCGATGCATTCAGCAGTCCAGTCTCAGGATTGAACCGAGGTAACCTATGTCTCGGGCACGGAATCAACTTAAACAGCTGCGGGGTCGAGTAGAGAAAGTTGAAAACCTGCGGAACGAAGAGAAGCAATAGCGTCTTGCTGAAATGCCCTAAGATACCAACCACAGCAAACACCATCCCCGCAAAGTAGCAATAAGTATCCCCCACGAACACCTTCGAAGGATACCAATTATGGCACAACAGCGCCACTGAAACCCCAACAAACGGTAGCAAAAAGTAAATCGAAAACAAATGCGAGTCCATAGCCGGGTGCGGGAAGGGCGTGATTGGCGCCAGATACAACATATCGTTGACAATTAGTAACAGTGCGATGACCAGAGACTGTGCAACTTCCACCCCGTTGATGCCTGCTAGCATGTTGATGGAATTGGGGCAGAAGATTGCAACAGCTGCCATATAGACGTAATACAGGTATCCGAGGTCGAGCATGTCGCCTAGGTAGTGCTGTAACGGTGCTGGTACAACCACTTGGGTGACTCCAAAGTCGACGAAGTAGACGATAAGCATGGGGATTGCGCCAAATGCAGGGATAAGTACTTTGTGTCGCCATCTGATATCTAGGAGGTCGTCTCCAAGGCCTAAAATGACGATGCATTGCAGGGAAAGAAGTCCTGACAGATAAGACGCGAGCTATCACCAGTCAGCGAATGCAATAAAAAGCATACAAGGAACGACTAACCCGTCCATGTGGAAATCGATGCAGATATCGTCCAGTTTCCACATGATGAACTTCTAAAACAACATCACGATTACCGCCTCCAGACGTAGCTGCGACAATGTCTTTGTAGAATGCGAATGGGATAAAGAAGATAAGCGCAAGAAGATATACAATCGCACACACAGCTCCCATTGTCTCTGGACTAGCGAAATAATTAGCGCTAAGGCTCTGTTTAATTGGACAAAGTACATACATCTCCGGTTTTTTCGGCTTCGCCATATCCTTTCCCTTCAACCCAGCCTTCATAAACACTGGTCCAAGCCATCGGATCAGGCTATACGTAATCACAAAGGCAACGCCACTGAAAGCGACAGATGCAAATAATGGCGCGCCATCACCGTCACCGTGGAAGCTGTTTACCATCGTACCCATACAAACTCCCGCAAGGGCCAGGAGACTCCAAGTCTCCCGGTGGGAGAGAGCCGCAGAGGTCATTGTACACGGAGTTTCTCCCTAATACAGGCCTGATGCCACAATCAGAACCATATCAGGCTCAGATCCAATAGTTTATATTATTCCCAGAGGCGTAATTGCAATCTGGCTAAAGGCGACGCAATAATAATTCTGCCGGATACTCACTCACCGCTCAAGCTTCTTATGCCAGTTATGCTGCACTAGTCCTGAAACGGAGGATGGGGCTAGACTCTGCTGAGTCAGCCATCTTCTGCAACAACTAAGATTATCCGCTTCCTGTCGCTTCACTCATCCATCTTATGCATGGGCATTTACGACCAGTGAGCCCTTGTTACATTATAGTGCTCTGCGTAATCGGTTGAATTTTGCAGCTGGTCGGAATTTGACACGTCGACTGGAGCGTGGGGTCGTGCCGAACCGGCCGAAGAGGAACATGTCTGGGTTCATCGACTTCGATGCTGGACATCGAGACCTGGTGACAGTTACCAAGTTCAATTTTTATGGGAATCGGATCGTTACTGCATCTTCTGATCATCGTATGAAGGTGTGGGATCAGAAAGATGGCGAATGGCAGTTGGTAGATACATGGCGCGCCCATGATGCGGAAATTCGCGATGTAAGTAAACAAACCGCCAATCCTGTTTTCAATGTTTGGTTTGGCCTTATGTTAAGACATTGACAGGCTATTTGGAACGGTCCGTTTACTGGTCAACATATTGGCAGCGTGGGTGAAGATATGAAATGCAAGATCTGGCAAGAAGATGTCACCCAGCCGCCAAATTCGGGCCGGCGATTCAGATCCATTTTCCGGATGACGGCACCAGACCGACATCCATTTGTCTCTATGGATTTTCGCAACATTGATCTTGAAACTTGGTTGGCTGTCATCACCCGGGATGGTTACTTGATGGTTATGGAACCTGTGAGTCCGGACACGCTTGCCGATTGGCAACCTGTCGACCAGTTCAGGGTCTGCACATCGCCGCAAAGAGGGGAGGAGACGAGTTTTAAAGTGCAGTTCCACCACGACCCAATGGATGTCACGCATTCCGTTCTGCCGAGCTCGGATCGTAAGTGTCTGTCGCTCGTGGTGGCCGCCATGGACACGGTCAAGATATATCGCACGGACGCCAATCGTCGTTTCTATCATGCCATTGAGTTGACCGGGCACGGCGGACTTGTAAGGGATATTTCATGGGCCAATGGTTCTGTTAGAGGTTATGACCTTATCGCCAGTGGTTGCAAGGACGGCTTTGTTCGAGTATTCGAGGTCTACACGGCTGTTGCAAAAAACAATAACAAAGATAACAATGTGCTGGATAACACCAGCAATCACCACGCAGACAAAGCAGCACAATCGCCGTCAATTCGCGCGACCTCGCAGTCTGGGATCGGGTCAGCTCTGGCCAGCCGTCCGTCAGAACATACGACGAGTCGCCCAGCGACAGGGGTCTCGCCATTTAAACACTCCTACAGGGAAGTCGCCTGCGTTGACAGCAAGCATTTGGATGTGTGGCAGGTTGAGTTTTCATATGCTGGTGAGTATCCTCTTTCCCTATTCTCGTTCAGAATCTTCTAACATAGGAAGGTGATTGTCTTATTTCCTCTGGTGATGATGGAATTGTACGGTTCTGGAAGAAAGCGTTGACAGGAGAATGGCTTGAATATGCTGAAACCGACATAGCATATCAGTAGCCATGTCTACGTTTGCCTACTTTTTTTATATACTGCCTTCGTGACCATGCTAGCGTTTCGTGGGTATCTATTGTGTCGATATATGAGTACTGTGGGAGGTTTATATCGTCGTTTTGTTCTGGTTTTGTTGCATATGATCGTGATACCCATACACATTAATTGACCCGCGAGATGGATAGAGGAACTAATTATGTTTAATGTCGGAATTGAATTTATCTTCTTTGATACACTTCGCCGTTTCCCCTTTTGAAAAGAGCCTATCATTGCGGTTAACGAGGCAGGGACGACTGGCAAGATGGTCTTGCCTTACAATCTGCGGCAATTAGGGTGTCTTTCTCCAAACCTCACCATATATTGTCTCAATTTTTCCTTGATGCACCTTAATTGAAGCATTCGTCAACATTTTTACCTTGTCTGTGATGGCCGTCTATCCTACACTCGGGACCGGCCTATTCGTCGGGACCGGCCAGGCTCTGGCGGCAGGTGGTCCGCTATCCTTACTTATATCTTATGGATTCCTATCGTTACTGGTTTACTGCCTAGGAACCGCGGTCGCAGAAGTCGCAGCCCATATGCCCACCAGAAGTGGCACGATGGTGAACCATGGCTACCGATACTCGTCAAGCCACCTCGCGTTCTCGATGAGCTACCTCCGCTGGTACTCCCTAGCGATGCTTGTTCCCTTCGAAATCACAAACGGAATCGTCAATCTCGGCCTATTCGTCCCGAACTCCAACGTCGCTATCCGAGTCACTATCATGACGGTTTTCATCCTGGGCTTCAACATGCTCCCCGAGAGGATTTTCAAGAGATCTGAAGCGTTGTTTACCGGTCTGAAGCTCATCACGATTGTTGGGTTTTTGGTCATGTCGATTGTCTTAGGCGTCCGAGGAGTTCCTGGTACCGATATACAAGGGTTCAGTTACTGGAGGGATCCGGGGTTCATGAACCAATACCAAGTCAGCGGGAATACGGGGCGGTTTTTGGGGTTGGTGCAATGTTTGCTGTACAGTACTGTTTCGTTCACGCTAGTGCCGGAATTGCTTGTCCAACGAGCGGAAGAAAACGATGCGACTGTGCGTCCAAGCATACTTCGAGTGACTCAGATTGACAGCATCCAGCTTTCGGTGTTGTATCTCCTTAGTGTGATAGCTGCTGGGTTGGTATGTCCGTCTAATCATCCCATGTTGACGAACAAGGGCATGGGTGCTGGATCGTCACCCTTCTTTGTGGCTGTCTTGGTTTCTAGGATTCAGATTCTGCCCATCGTGGTGACCATGTTGATTCTTCTCTCAGCTGTGGCCTCCGGACGCTCGTTTCTCTTCCTGGCGTCACGACTTCTCTACTCGCTGGCGGAGGAGGGTCATGCGCCCCCGGTGTTTAAGCGTCGCAATCGATTTGGAGTACCATACGTCGCCGTGATCGGATCCGCATGGTTTGTGGCATTTGCGTATCTGTCTGTGGCTACGTCGAGCTCTGCGGTATTTAACTGGCTGATGCATTTCCTCACGACGTCGGGGTATATCTCGTGGCTAGGATCGTGCATGATCTACCTCCATTTTCAGCGCACGGTGGAAGAGCAGGGGTTTACACGGGCGCACCAGACTCGAATCCAACCATATGGGGTGTATTTTGGGATTCTGACCTGCAGCGTATTGCCATTTGTGAACGGCTTGATTACAGCACCGTCTGACACTGTTCCCAGCAACATGTTTTCGGCGTACCTGGGTATTATCAGCTTTGTTCTCTTGTATCTTGGGCATCGGATCAATTCGATCATGCATAGCCAGGACCGTCAGACTAGCCCTTTGCGAAGGATGTTATTCTGGAGGCAACCGGAGCGGACGGAGGAGATTGAGCTGGGAGAGCGACGGAGGGAGAATTAATTGTTGGGAATTGTTTCGTCTTTTGTTTCTGGAACCTGTTGAGGGATATTATTATTATAGATCGATGAACGCCTGAATTCCACGTGATGTGTCCACTTAATTGTATAGAGATCTCGTCGGTACGTACCCGTAGTCATAGCTGGCAATCGGGCAACCAAGAGGCTGGGCCGGTGATGAACAAACAAATCAGCAAGTGTCAGTATTAATTTGTTATGTTTACTTCGCTTTATTATTATTACCAGCCTGTTTTTTTTTTTTTTTTGGTCGGTTGTGACTGATTCTTACCTGATGACTTCTACTACTATGTCACTCACCTGATATGCCTCTTTTGCCTCTTTCTTCCACTGACCACACGCTCTCAGACACTCCCTTGCTGTTTTATTTTCTCCTCCATACTCTGTACACCTCCCTATGCCCTCTCCTCAAACTATTTTCAACCCAAAGAATCAAATCACTATTATTCTTTTTTGATTCTTCGTCCCATAATGAGGATATTCAGGTCCATTTTTGTGCTCACTGAGATTGACCAGGTTTTCACTGACTCTTAGCCATCGGTCACTGACCTTTAGATTTGTCCTTGCTCTACAGGTACATACCATCTCTAGCTAACCACAGTGTCCTCTACCACAAGTACTCTATTGATTTCATCATCTCCTTTTCTCCTTCTTTTCTTTTCCTTCTCTCGTCTTTCCCTCTTCGTCATTTCTCATGTGACCTGATCAGTCCCGTGTTATTCCGCATCCGGACTAGCGTGGTACCTCCACCTGCCTGAAGCGGATAGTTCTCTGCCTCAGATTACCGGCAGGAAGACATGTGACTTGACCTTTCTGATTGGCCCGTTCCCCCTCCCCCTCTCGATGCGGCCAAAGAGAAAGGAATGCCTCGATGCCTTCGACAGGGGAATGCGAGTCGCCAGATGAGAGGACAACTCTGCTCTACAACTGAAAAGAGTGAAGAAAGAAGAAAGAAACGAGAAAGTGAGTAAGAAAGAGAGTGACTACTAATACTGCAACCACCACCACCACCACCACCACCACCACTACTCCTACCACTACTGCGCTGCTGCTTGGCCGGCATGGCCCATCCGTGGCTTTAGCCTCTCGCTCTCTCTTCGCTTCTTCCCTCTTCCCTCTACCCTCTCCCTCCCTCTCTCTCTCTCTCTCTCTGCCTTCACTTTCTTCTCTTCTCCCTTTCCCTTTCTCTTTTTTCTTTGCTTATTCTCTTGATTCTGTCTTCTTAGTTCTCTTCTTCATCGCCATCTTATTCAACATCTTCTTTTCTCTATCTCTTCATTCTCGTGTCTCTCGACTACCCGTTCCTCTCTTCCTCGCCATCGAATCGGCTCTTTCTTCGAATCCTTGACTCTTTCTCACTTGTTTTTTATCACCTCTTCTCTTCTCTCTATCTTCCTCTTCTCATCTCTTTTCGATGCGACTCGTGGTTTCCTCGACCTCCCACTCTTGTGCGCTCTTCCGTCCTCGACTCGTCTCTGCCGTCCCACGGTCGCTCGCGCGTTAAACAACGATCACTTTGAACGATACAACGACTCGAACGCTCCCCCTATATTCGCGTCGTTCTCTTTTCTCTCTCCCTCTCTTCTCGACTCTTCACGTCTCGTTTTTGTGGAAGATACTCTTGGGAGCAAGGGGAGGAAACACTAGCTCGAACCTTGTTTTGACTCTCTCGTGCGATCTTCTTTCTTCCCTACCATCCCCTGGAGGATTATTTTCTGTGGAGGTGCTTTGAAAACTACACGTGTTGGTGTATCAGGAGATTCGGAGGTTTACAACAAAAGGCCTTAAGACATTTGGACCTACTCGCGAAATTTTACCTGGTGTGTGCGCTGGTTGGTGAATTCACATCCATCGAGACCAACTTGTCCATCATTGCAGTGCTGATATGCGTGTTGAGCTTTGACGGGTTATTCGCCATCCAAAAGCCCACATTTGCCTCGCGAGCTCACGCGCACTTTTTTCTCTTCTTAACCTTTTTCAGTCCGTTATTCGGAGGGGGTATTCTGTCGGATTATGACAGATACCTCCTCAGTCGCCAACACGCATTCAACCACGGAGCCAACTTCGGTCACCGTCCCTCTGCCCTCGCCCGCCCTCAACGGCGCCGGTGCCGACCCCGTCGTCCCGGAAGAGGAGGAGCCGTACACCATTCGTTGCATCTGCAACTACGATGATGACGATGGCAACACGGTCTTCTGCGAAAAGTGCGAGACCTGGCAGCATATCGAATGCTACTACCACCGCGTGGATGTCCCCGACATCCATTTCTGCGAAGACTGCGATCCACGTGGCATCGATCGACTCGCCGCCATAGAACGGCAGCGGGCTGTTAGGGAACAACAGAGTGACGGTGGCAATGACCGAAAATCCAAACGTTCGGGTTCGAAGGGTCAGAGGAAGAGGGCCAGTAAGGATCCTGCCGACAAGGTGAATGGCAGCTCCCACCACCGCTCCGACTCGGGTGGTCGCGACCATCCGGCCAAGAAAACCAAATCTAATCATCGCTCGTCCAACTCAATCAGCTCTTTGGCCGCTATTCCCGCGTTCCAACCGGACGGGCGCAGACGAGCCACCGCTTCGATGAGTCCGACCAAATCTGGTCCCTCCATTCCACTGTATTCCAAGGAGTTTCTTCATCTCTATGACCACGACTATGGACAGGCCGATAACATGTATAGTAATCTCTTTGTGAACCTGCCTCTTGCCGCAGACCTGGCGTCATGGGTGACAGAACCCGCGGCCTTGGCTCGCGTGGCCAATGGACGCTCTGCGCAGGACATTTTTACGTGGGCGGATGCGGGTCTCGACAAATCTCAATGGCCGGCATTATCTGTCGAGTCGGTCACCGACCCCAGTGTCGAAGTCGACGGGATTCGTCCCATGTGGAAAACTCTCAGGACCCAGGACATGGTGGCCAAGGATGAAATCGTTGGGGAGATTACAGGCAAGATTGGGCATCTACGAGATTACTGTCTCGACCCCAACAACCGATGGCAGGAGCTACGGCATCCGGAACCCTTTGTATTCTTTCACCCTCAACTTCCCCTCTACATTGATAGCCGGCACGAAGGGAGTACGTTGCGCTATGTGCGGCGCTCGTGTCGCCCTAATGTGACAATGAAGACTTACATTACCAACGAAGTGGAATATCATTTCTGTTTTGTCGCCAAGGAGGACATATCCGCCAACACTGAGATTACTGCCATGTGGTATCTGGATCCGCAGTTGTTTGAAGCAACCAACGGCCTGGTCAAGCAGGAGTCCAGCGACAGCGCACAGGACATCGCAGCAAGCTGTATCAGTAATGTCCTTGCCAATTTTGGCGGTTGCGCTTGTGATCCACCATCGAATTGCTTGCTTGCCAATGTGGATCGTCGGCGACATGCCAAGTTTCCCGACGGTGGCGCCAAGTCGACCGCAAACGGCAAGCGCAAGAAGTCCAAGCGCAAACTCACCATGTCTCCGCCACCGCCTAACAGCCGCGCGGACAGCGAAGCAATGAAGCATACCGATGACGACGATGCCGCTGATAGTCGATCCGTGTCTGGCTCGGCTCGAGGGCACGCCGGCAGCCGCGATCTTACACCTACCCACGACGGTCCACTCTTTGGAGACTCAGAATTGTCGGCTCGAGATAAACGCAAGATCGCTGCTGCTGAAAAGAAGTTCCAGCAACTAGAACAGGATCAACAAGCAGCGACCCATGGTCGGAAGAAAAAGCGGACAAGCGGTCCCTCCACACAGCCCGGACCACTTGGTGGCGCAAGCTCCATGACTGGCGGCAAATCAGTACAGGTGGACACGGCCGTTGGGCGGCACTCCCGCTCGCCGCCATCAGCGATCTCCCCTGGGACTATGGTTGTTGGTGTACGCAAGCTGTCAAGTCCTGGCACTTCTTCAGTGCCGTCGCCACTCCGACGCGCGCCGTATGTCGATTCCGCGATGCAGACCGACCCAGACGAGGCAGACGTGGAAGATGTACCCACTACTTTTCCGCTGCCATCGCCTCGACGGCCCAGCTTTGTGCCTCTCACGCAGCGGCTGCTCAAGCGGTGTCATGCGGATTGGGCACGATTCGAGCAATCTAATGGGGAAAAGCAGACTCCATCGGAGCATGGCCTCCAGTCCCCCGCTTCGTCCTCTGCTGCCACACCAGGTGATGGTCAGTTGTCATTCCAGTCTGCTTCACCAAGCGTCTTCACAAATCAGGAAAAGGAGGATGTAGAGATGAAGGACCTAGGTTCGCCGACTCCTTACAGGCCACAGTCATCCGACGTGATGGATGTGGAACCTTCAGGTCCACCGTCACCAGCACCGGCAATTTCGTGGTCAGTCAAGCCGCCAATGCCCCCACCATGGCCATCCACCGCTGCGCATGGCACTCGAATACCCCCGGATCCTCTGGTCAATGGGCATCGCGCCAATTTGCACATGTCCCTTCCACCTCCCAACCTCACATCATCCACGGCGAGTCCGGGGTCTGGTACACCGTCGACCATGTCACCCGCATCGACCATGGATGCGGCCTCGCAGCCTACTCCAGGGTCTAGTGTCGCAGCGCCCAGTCCGGTCAAGAAGAAGCTGAGTTTAGGGGATTATCTCATTCAACGACGTGGCACGATGAACACGCCGACGACTGAAAAGACCCAAATTCAAGCCAGCGCCATGCTTCCTCCACCTCCTCAAAAGTCGCCGTCACAGATCAATGACAACCAACCTGATGGTGTCTCTGCGCAGTCCAAGCCTGATAGCGCACCAGAAGCGGCTAATTCGGATGGACCTGTCTCTTCTGATATCACGATGAAGGACATTTCTCCTCCGGACTCGACCACATCTCATCTCCCCTCTGTTATGTTCTAATTGCTGTTTTATTTATTTATTTATTTTTTTTTTTTTATTGGGAACCATACCTGGAGTTTTACTAATATCACGTTGTGATGATGGGAGGGCAAAATTCTTTTTTTTTTCTCTTTCCTTATTTCTGTCATTTGAAGATGATTCCCTTTCTTTATCCTTAATGTTACCTTTCTTACACTTTTGTAAACGATGGGAACCGGCGTTCTACGAGTTGTTCGTTTCGTGGTGGGATTTGAACGGCGTCACCGGCGTGAGCGGTTGGAAAAGGTCACAGTGGGATTGATTTATGGGAATTGATTGAGATTCAAAGCTCAGGAAATCGGGCTTGGTGGCTGCAGTCTTTTCAACTTGATGTTGCTTGTGATTGTAGTGTTCTTTTCTTTTCTCGCTTGTTTTATTTGACTTGATGACTGTCCCGGGTTTATGGATTCGGACGGCTTTTTTATGGCTTGGCCAGATGGCAATGAATGAACTATACGCTTCTATGACTATGATTATGCTTGTTCTGTTGTTTGCTGTATTGTAAACATACTATGCTACTATTTACTGCCATAACCAGGGTAGATGATTAAGTCAACGCCAAACACCGCCTCAACGAACAAGAAATACCGAAATCAATCAAATCCCAAGGAACGAGGGTAGCTACTTCCCGCCCCACCCCCTCAATTTCATTCCCTCCTCAATAGCCGTCCAAATCCCCTCCACAATCTCACGATCCCTCCACCTCCCAGCCCCATTCACACCACCCTTCTCATCCCACCGCTCAACCGCAAACCGCTCAACGCCGCGTCCCCATCCTTTCACCTCACGGGGCGGCTCCTCCCCCCTCCAACCAACATAAACACCTGTCGCGTGTTTGAACAGCTCAGGTGGCGACGACCACTTGTACGACTTGAATTGCCAGGTCTGGCCCGTAGTGAAGACAGCGACGAGACGGTTCCAGTATTCTGGGCGGAAGTTGGCCGTGCTGTCGACTAGTTTGAATTTGATCTTGGAGGAACTGGAGGACGAAGAAGTGGAAGAGGTACGGGATGGGTCAGAGGAGTTTGTTGTGCGCAGCGGGCGCTGGATTTCGAGGATGTTGGGGGATGTGGACATGGAAAGGGTTGGGTGGTCCGGGGGGATGAACACGCCGTCCTGGAGGAAGGATTTGACGTTTGTCATGCGAATTAAGGAAGAAGCGGAGGGGGAGAGGAGGATAATGGGGTCTGTGTGGGTGCTGTGTTTCTTGGGCAGGGAGAGGCCCGAGGAGGGGTTCGGGAGGAGGGGTGTTTTGTTGCCGGGGGGAGGCTTGGTGCTGGTTCCTGGGGCTGGTCTGCGGTTGCGGCCAAGGAAGGTTTCGGCGGTTTTGCGGACGTGTGAGAAGTCCTGTTTCGTTAGTTGCATTCTGAAAAGATATACTATAGGCAACGCACCGTAGGCTTAATCCCCCGCAACACACTATTCCGGTCACCCATCTTCCGCTCCCCATTGTAAATCTCCTGCAACCGAGGATCAATCTGCTTCGACGCTCTCCCTCCCTGCGCACCAGCAGCCGCAGGCACCTGAGCAGATGCCCCAGCACCACCACTAGGAACCGACGAGACACCTCCAGCCGCTCCCGAGGCAATATCAGCAGATGCTGACGCCTGTGCCTTGGCATGCGCTGAGGTTGCTGCCGCGGCCGCAGCAGCAGCAGCAGCCCCTTCTAGTGGCTTGATATATTCACTATCATCTGACGCGCCCTCAAGCCAGGTAATCAGATCGAGCCGCTCAACGAAAACCAGATTCTGCACCTGCGCCTCACCCCCCTCACCAGCACCTTGCTTCTGCTTCAATGCTTCATTGAGTTCCTGCGCAGACGCAATGTACTCCGGGATCGCGACGTCCTTTTTCTGCCATGCGAAGAAAATACTGCGTAAGTCGACAACGGAGTCCGAGGAGGCAGAGACGAAGCGCGTCGCGGATGTCAACGGTAGGGCCTGCGCGGTTGGCTGGCGAAAGTAGAGGTGTGTTGCTGTTGCTAGGTCTTCGGTGGTGTGCTTGGACTGTTCTTCTTCAGATGGGTCGGGGGAGGTTGTTGGCGATGGGAGACTGCTGACGGCGATGGCGCGGCGGAGGGCCAGAAGGGGGTCCTGGATGGTTGGGTCTGCCATTATGTACTATTACTCTGGGCAATTGATTTGAGATAAAGTAAGAACTGCGCAGCGCGGCTGTGCAGTTGAGAATGGGCGTTTGGGAGGTGTAGCTACATTTAACGTCGGAGCTGGTGAAAAGAGGACGGCCACGTGACTGACCGCCCAGCTCTATTCACTCTAACTATTCTGTATACAACGCCGGGCCGGCATAGGCCCCGGAACCAGGCATATCAAACTGAGTCGACTCCGCCTTATCTTGCCTTGGTCAGGTGCTCAAAGAAGCCCTCCGGGGTACTCTTCCAGCATACCGCACCACCCCGTGCGGGGGGGCTACCCGTATTTAGATGATAAATGGTGGTTTAGCTAGGTGAAAGGCAGTTCTGATCTGCCCGTCGTATGTCCCGCTCCAGGACCAGGGATTTTCCGTGGAAAGAGCCATGAAAGGACCTGACCCCCGGCGTAAAATAGATATACTACTATGTATACAAGTTTACCTGCTAATACCCAATCTCTTCGGAACATCTTCCCCATTCAACCACTCCTCCATCGCGCGATACATCTCCCAAAACCTCTCACCATCCTCCAACGTCGGCATATCCGCAGAAACCTCCTTCCCAGCCCTCGCCTGCGCGGCCGCCAAATACCGATACCCGTACGGAAACTTCTCCAACTCCTCCCTTGAAAACTCAGGCACATTCTTCCCATCAACCGGCACAACCTTATCCTTCTCATAAAACAGCTTGACATACTGCACCTTCCAACCTCCCGAGATCGCACGCGGGCCCAATCCCGTCCCCGGGACGGGATTCCCGGCTTTCCGCGGGAGCGATTTCTTAACGCACCACATGATAAAGCGGGCGTCGCAGTCGATATCATATTCTACTTTTGTGGCGGGGTCTGTGAAGCGTTGGCTGATGGTTGCTTTCATTTTGCCGACTGCACGGTTTGTGCTGGGGTTTAGGTCGACGAGGATGCCGTTTTCACGGTGCATGACGAAGTCGCCATTGGCGCGGGATTGCTGGGAGCTTTGGATGAAATCGTCGATGGGGAGGCCGCCGCTCCATGCTATTTTATCTCTGAGTTAGTGGTCTTTTGTAGCTTGGTAACTGAATGGGTAGGTGGCGTACTGCTAAACACGTAGGCATCATCTGCAAAGCATGCGCGGTAGTTCTTCCATTCTGAGGCATCGCGGTACACTGGCCAGCCTCTAAGTAGTTCGCTGACGCAGTATCGGTCGAGGATCTGGTCCGGAGTGCCGTTTAGGTGTAGCCAGTGAGCCGGCTGTGCTTCATTAGCAGTGAGGTTGTAGGTCATGTTGTCTTGTGGATGAATTGCTCTAAAGCCAGTGATATGATGTTGGTGGTTTTTGTTATGAAGACGAAGAAGAAAATATCAAGATATTATTTATAGAATCGAAACTTCCGGGGCAAAGGACTAGTGACGTAACGAAAATGTCTTCCGGATTCGGCAACCCTAGGTGGGTGGACAAGAATTACTCCGAGGTAAGCGGTACAGTTATCTACTACAGCTACAGGTCTATACAAGTCTACAATAAAGTATAGCGAGTTTTGTATCAACATTTTATTCTGATGCCTCAGTCTAGACAAGACAGACAGAGAGACAAGACACTGTCTGGCTAAAGAGCAAAAACAACACACGCTGTATCCAGAACGAAAAATGCAAATGCAAACCACAAAAAACGCATGTACTCTGGGAATCTCAGAATCTCAAAGCACAACTGAAACATAAATGGAAGGATGCAAAGGAAACAAAGGAAATAATGCAAAACAATAAACAAAAACGCCCTTCTAATGCTTCAGGACATTCAACACAGGATTCAACCTCGTCCGTTCCCGTCAAAGAAATGGATAAGACATAAAAAGAAATTTTGACAAAGAAAAAAAAATTATGTCCCAGTTCCATCTCTATCACATGATCCATAGATCGTAACCGCTTTCGTGTCATGATGACTGATTAAAAAAAGAAGGGAGAAATATCATGTCGATCACATGATCAAATTTTGGTGAGGAAATGAAATTGTGTCTTCAAACACCATCCATGCTCAGGTCGTGTCGAGATGTCAGTGCTGGTGTTTTCTTTTTTTTGGGGGGGGAGCAGTGGGGCCACTTGATATGGGCGATGCCATGTGTCAAACTGTGTGCATTAAGGATGCACCGGCCAAAGTATCCGCAAGCTTGAACGACCATAGGAACAATCTTTGTCCAGTGCCACAGCCTAGTCATGAAACTCATGACCGCGCAGAACGGCTGGTGGAACGTTCCGGAATCGAAGACTGAGTGGGCGAGTAGGATCGGGTGATACCCAAATCCACATCGTGCTCCTGGAGCACAGTGGTGTATTTGGGGTCACGCAAGAACTTGGGAACAGAGTCCTATAGGATATTAATAACCGATCAGGGCAACCGATGTACAGAAACACTTACACTAGACATCAACTTAAACACGGAAGTCTGAGCCATTTCAAAAAGTTGCTCAACTTCCTGAAGACTCTTGAGCATCGATTCGTCATCGCCAACCGCCTTTGTCATACGGCTAGCAAGGCTGTTGCGCAAAGCGTGGTCGATGTTCAACTCGCAAGGGGAGCCCGGGGCCAAGAAAGCGTTGTACAAACCTATTGCGGTTAGTCTGGTTGTCAACGGAGAGAAAAAAAAAAAGGAAACTCACCATATGCGGCGGCCAGAGTCTCACGGACGGCATCCGGTCTCTTAAAGGTGCCCGCGTTCTCAGCCTTGCGGTAGGTGGCAGTAAATTCCGACACGTCGAGATAGAATGAAAGATTCTCTTCACACAAAGAGTAACGCAGAAATTCACGGAAGAGCAGACGCAGAGCGGCATCACCGAGGATGTGTTGGAGACGGGCATTATTCGAGTCCTTTGCGGCCAAGTTGCGAACATCGTAGATTGGAGGAGTGTCACGGGCCCGATCGCGAGCGAGCCATCCACAAACCCGCTGACCGCGCTCTGTGAGACCGTAGATGGCGTACTTGGAAGGCTGGAACACGGCCAGTGAGTCCTCAGCCTGAGGGAACTCCTCGTCATCCTGAATCATGGTGATTAGGCCGTACTTGACAAACAGTTCAGCAATCAAAACGGTTTCGCGGCGCTCAATGGTAGTCGAGCAGTCCATGAGCCAGTCAACGGCAGCCTTGCCTGTGAAGGTATTCAGGTGAGTCTTTTCATTAAGCTTGCGCTCCTTGGCCATTTTAACACCAACTATCCCGTTGGAGTAGTCGCTGAGGGAGTCGGAATCAGAGCTTGAAGTACTGCTCTTGACGTTGGGGCCGTCCTGGCCAGCGAAGCGACGGAAGATGACTTCAATGGTAGCCCGATCGTATGACAGCTTGTCGCTTTCCGTGTCACGCTCCAAATTGACCAGCTGCATGGTATTCCGCGGCGACTCCAAAACTGCAATGACATGCTGTGCGGTGATACCGTTGCGCTGGCAGAAACGTTGAAGAATGTTGATACCCTTGGGGGTGAGATGGAACAGAGCACCCTTCAAGGGGAAGATAGCCAGAACCTTGCCATCGGTGGCCTCGATGAAACGGGCGTCAACAAAGCGCTGGCATACCGACCGGGCCATTTCTTTGGCCATGGAAAAGGTGGTGGTCGTCGTTGTGGTCACGATGCGGGAGGGATCTTTGGGATCCGGCATACGGTTCGACTGGGAAAACTTGAGCGAGCCCAAGTTGTTGATGGCTTCTTCGGCAGTGAAGGAGTGGTCATAACGGGTGAATCGCACGCGGTGGGTATCCAATTTTAAGCTGACCATAAGGGTCGAGAAAAGATCCATGAAATCCTAGTCCTATTAGCGCCACTTACTTAAGAGTCTAGAGTAGAAAAGTAAACATACCTTGGTGAAAGGCCGATCATCTTCGGTCATCCGAAGCAATCTAGAAGAAGTTTGGTGCATTTTCTGCGAGGGACCACCGTCAAGCTGGGCAGTGGGCGCGGAGGAACTGGCGGGGAAATCGGCGGGTGCGGGGCTCAATTGATCGGGGCTAGTCGAATTCCAGTCGGAGAAAGGAGAGATGCTCTCACTGGTACTACTGAGCTGAGACGGTTTGTGGGAATGCTTGGACAAACTTCCCGATGAAGTGGACGAATGGAGCGTAGAGTTATTAGTAGTACCAATGGCGGAAAGACTGGCGAGAGCGGAGGAAGTCTTTTCACGAGCAAAAGCAGCCAGTGAACGACGATTACGACGGGAAACAGAACCAACGACGGAACCAGAGAAACCGAGGGGAGTGCTGGTGCTCTCTCTATTATAGGGGTAGGTGAAGTAGTCGTTGCTTGTGCTACCGGAGTCGGCGGAGGTGTTGGGTGTGCTGTTTGTGGCAGCAGTAGTGACGCTGGCGGTGTCGGCAGTGGAGGAAGTGGGGGAAGCCGACTGCGGAGGGACTGTGACGGAGGCTGTTGGAGTAGACAGCGATGAGGCAGTCGAGGATTGAGAGGAAGGACGGCTGTCTGTAGAAGCAGGCTCTGTAGGCTCTGTGGCGGGTTCAGTAGTAGACTCAGTAGTAGTTGTGGTAGTTGTTGTTGTAGTTTCCGGGGCTTGAATAGCCGCAGCGGAGGTAAAGGTAGAGGCAGAGGAGGTAGAAGACGACGACGACGGTTGATGAGTATGAGAGGTAGGAGGAGAAGTGATGTCGGGGGAAGAAGTTGAAGATATGGTTGGCATTGAAGAATCAGCCAGAAGAAAAGAAAAGGAAAAAGGAAAAAAAAAAAAAAAAAAAAAAAGAAGAAAGCAAGAACAAGCGAGATGGTGGGTGATGAGGGGAAGAAAAAGGGAAGGGGAAAAAAATTACAAAAAAGACAGCGGCAGAAGGGAGAGAGAGACAGATAGACACAAAAAAGGTGAATGATTGAGTGAGGGAAAGAGAAGATAATAAAATGGGGAAGCGTATCGTACGGTAATACATAGTGGGCTCTAGCCAACAAAAGTATAGCACGAGTCATGTCGTGGTATTGGATACGGTAAAATAATCAAACAGTGCAGAATCGGCTGTCATCATCGGGTCCACTGGGCACGCGGATGGTTTCATGCGCCAACAACGTGGTGATCTACACCTACAGCACTGTATCATGTGTATGTGTTCTATACTCTATATGTATTTTTTTATTATATTCTTGAATTGAGGGTATATAATACTTTGAGTACCCTTACTATAAACCACGTTTGTTATCCCTGTTAGATACTGCTTGTATGTGTACCACGTCGGATGATCGGCGGCATCGGCGCCGGGAGAGTTTCGAGATCGGCGGTATTACTGTAATGTAACGACCCTGTCACATAATATCACTTTACCCTGCACAAGGACCCTCGGTACAGAGTACAGATAACGACACCGTTCTGAAAGAAATCCCCTAGAACCCCCTGGAAAACTGCTGGAATGATGAAAGAACAATCGAACCACGGTTCCAGCTGGAGACAGTTCCAGCCGGTCAACCCCGATTCCGGCGTTGGATAGTGAAAAAAAAAAAAAAAAAAAGAGGGCCAACAGACCATGGAAACTACCTGCCTCTTTAAGCACGTCTAGGACCAAATGGTTGAGTCACGGGCTGCGGTGATCCTTTATCCAGCCAATCAGTAACTGAGATACCCGAGTCGGCCAGAGACTCTTACCATAAAGGGATGTTACCGTACTAGCGCATACATAGTACGTATTTGCTCCGGTACAAGTATTTTTTTTTTCTTTTTCAAAGAATTGGCTTTCCAGGTAAATATCCCACGTGGTGAATCTTCTGCCTACAGAAAGAATGATACTTGATCTGCATATAAACAACCTATATACAACTTTCCCAGTACCTTGGTGAAATTGTTAGGAAAATAAATGGCAGCCAGGCATCAGCCAAGAAACCCACGTGCACCCACGTGGAGCACCATACTCTTCTGTATCTGACAGGTTTTCTGCAACAACCGCGTGGCCCGCGAGATACATCACCTGGTATCACGTTTCCAAATACAAGCTGTGTACATGTTCCGTAGGTATCCATCATTCTAAAGTCAACGGGCGGGCTAGTCCGATGAGGCTCAATCTCCATATCATCTGCCAAGTTACTCCCTACTTCTATTTTATCATAATTGTTAAGGTTCTCGCTTTCTTGCATGCTTTGAGCGATGGATGGCGGTGATTAGCGCGAGTGGGGTTTTGCAGGAGCGGTGAGGCCATGTGGCGGTCAGTCGATCCTCATATGCACTCTTTCAAGTACTATCTACAGGGTATTCTGTACGTACTCCGGAGTACAATGTACAATATTCATAGAAGGCTGGATGACACTGTTGGATAATATCGAATATAATGCCGATGAGGATCTCCGACTCCATACCGAATACCACAATCCCTGCTGCCACGTGAGGTTGACAGGGATTATCCCCCATATTCATATGTCCGTACTAGTACGATTCTGTCCTACAAGACTAGCATATCTGACCTGTCCAAATCACACGCAAACAATTTCATCCTTTGATATCGTCAGCGCTCAATACAGAGTACACACTATACTCCGTACTCCGTGCTCATACAATATAAATTTACTTCCTATTCGGGCAGCGTACAGATGCCCCATCCACCGTATGATAACGTATGGTAAATTGCAAAGTACGATATGAAACTAAAAGACGGTCAGGAGTGGGGCGAGAGGGGGAATCTCCTAGACCGCCAGTTGCCACGTGGTGTGCTTATCTACGGACTGAGCTTACTGTATGGAGGCTATCAATTAAATGTCCGAGCTGTGATAGTTACATAGTAAAGCTGCTATAGAGTGGCATGATCACGATGCTGTTGATGCAAAGTATAGGACGTGTACGCTAATATGCAGGATACCGGCACATCTACCGATCTCGTCGGTAGTTGCTTCCGTAGAGTATGAGTACCTTTTGAGGATACTGAAACAGACCGGCAATATAGCCCATACTCCATACTTGTCCACGCAGAACCAGATATCGCGCTCTGCTTCAATAATTGAAATGAGATTGAATCTTCCAGAACACTTTCCATTCTCCCACTCCACTTGCTCTTTTCTCCTACGCACTACTCCTTACTCCGTATAGCATTTACCCTGTACGGAGTATGGCCAAGTACTCCGGGCTATAAAAAAAAATAATAATCTCGCCGTTATGATCGTAGTTCGATCTTCGATACGCTCCACATGGAAATGGATAGTGGCATTCATATTTTGGTACGTACCTGGCGTACCTAGCAGCAACACGCAATACGGCAGATTGATCGACTCTGCCATTGACTCGGCAGTTGTAGTCTTCTAGAATGATTTTTTCTTTCTGTTTTGCGCAGAATGATGTCAACGTAATTGCAGTCTCCATAACTCCATAAGAGGACCTGTACAGAATGCAGTAGTTGGTATGTGCTGCGATACTATTTGTTCTACCATCTTGTGTCAATATATCCATACTCTATAGACATGACACGTACAATTACTATACATATATACTCAAACAAACAAATGTACCGCAGCAAGTCCCTCCGAAACTAACAGAGCCAAGTTGTACACAGACAAACGAGTGTTCCCTGTTCAACGGCCCAACTGCGCTAGAAACATTCCAGAAGGATTCTGGAGCCCATGGAAACAGGAGAAGACCCAGCCAATAGAAAGGCTTGTGGGCCGTACCCCTGGCTAGTGGCGAATTCGGCCAGTTTCGGATCCGACTATCTTAATCAGAGGTATTATTCATAATACGTAGTATTATTATGAGAAATGGAGTGGCTGGCCGAAATAATTATAGAACATGTAATTTAAGTCTAAGTCCTAGGAGGAAATAGAGAAATCCATCTGCACAACATATTTTACTCCGGAGTTAACTCAATCAACCACATGGGCGATGATCTGGAGACGCTTCGTCGCAAGACCTAGACTCCGATCATGGTCGTGGATAACTCTGTAAAGAGTACAGTTTTAACGGGCTACTCCGACTTTGTCCACTAACAAATCAAATCCTGCACTATCGCCCGAGATCCTTGGATATTATGCCCGTGGTTGAGTAAAGCTAATATATCTCCGAGCCATGTGCTTTTTTCCTGGGGAAGGGGGTCGAGCACGTGGAGGATCGTCTTTTCTTACATTCTTACATTCTAAGTACATTTGTGTATTGCCTAGATATTATTGTCAGCCATAATACCACCGTATCAAATGTATTCTTCTTGTAAAGTGACATGCACTCCTGATGCAAGGGATGCAGACAGACAAAGAAACAAAGAAACAAAGAAATTCTGAAACTGACCTGCAGGGATATTACTTTACTTACAAGTACAGGTACATACATACATACAGTATTCTATTCCCACCATTATTGGCTACAACTTTCTCGTACAAGTTCAGCTGAACTTTGGACTAACTGATAGTCGAGGCTTGTTTGCTAGACTCAGCTGGCCTATTGCAGAGACATTTGCCATAGCAAATAGTGGCAGGGTTAATCTGCTATTCCAAATCGCTGCCTAAGCGATCGATCAGCGGACTAGTCTACGAAGTACTGTTCAGGAGTCAAAAGGATTTGACATCATGTTGAATCATTCCGTTAAACATCTTCTAAGAAACTCAACCTGGACCCTAATATTCCGCTCAAACCATCCCCCCTGGTAAATATCAAAATGCCCCGCCCCCTTCAAAAACAGCATCTGCTTTAGTTCCCTTGCCTTCCCAAACGCTTCCGCCTGCGAGGACGTCTTTACCATGACATCATTCCCCGGAATCACCATGAAGAACGATTTAGGCGCAATCCGATACATATACGCCTGTGGCTCGAACCACAGCATATGTAGCTGCGTCTGCTCCGTCACATAGTTCCCCCATTTCCCGCCGCAGTCAGGGATTTGGCTGTATGATTCGTATGCGTGCAGGTCGGAGAAGAGTACGGGTGCTGTGCCTGTTTGCGCTTCTTCAGCTGTAGATGTGATGCAGAGTACCCGGTCTCGCTGGCCGCTTGTTGCGATGCGCGCGCGGTTGTTAAACAATTCATGGATCTGGTCCTTGAATTCAAGGGAGCGTGTTTCGCCAGAGACAGAGAGTGCCTGCGCGATGGCTGCTTTGATGTGTTTGTCCGTGGCTGCAGCATGGATGACGTTACCGCCCGAGAAGCTGGTACCGCAGTAGACCATCCTATCCGGGTCGACGCCAGGAAGGGTGACGGCGTTATTGAAGGCGTCGTGATAGTCCAGTTGCTGGAGGGCTGAGTTGGTTCCTGTCGAGGTGTGCCGTCGCTGTCGCCCCAGTTTCGGTTGTCGTTAAGGACGGAGAAGCCGAACTCTTGGAATCGAGAAGCGAAGGTTGAGAGGAACCAATAACGGATTCCAGCAAGCCATGTAGTCTGTTAACTTTTGCTTCTTTATTGTCATATTTGGGGGGAGGAGTTGTACTCCATGGGACATTATGATGCATGGATTCTTGTGTTGATAGTGCCATCCTCGAAGGATTGTATCATCACAGACAGTGAATTCGACATCTCGTCGTGGCAGGGTTATCTTGCTGATGTTCTATTGAAGACAGTTTCTGGGGTTTCTATATTTATTTTCAGTAAGACGTCATCCAAACCTTCGGTCATATCGGACTTGAGCATTTTGAAGCCCAGTAATCGAGCTATTCGGCAAACTTGTCGGCAGCCATCATGACTTCTCTCCGTTATATGTCAAAGTATTGCCCAATTGGTGTCAATGGACTGACATGCGCTGGGTCGCTCGGTGAGAGCCTGACAGTCCCGACAGGGTGATTACAAGATCGGTCTAAGCACCGAGAGTCGGGTATTTTGCCGAGCTGTCTCTATGTATTTAGTAGCTATGAGATGAAAGGCAATATCCAAGACGTTAGCTTGCCTGTAAATTAGTCAGTCAAGAGCATTACAGGGACAAGCGCGAGTTTAGGTGATGGTGCTTAGGGCATGCTCAAATGGTAAATAGCTGCCTTGTTTCTGACATATTCCATTATTATCGGTTTACATACGGTAACATATATGTCGTATCATACTGAGACGAGAGACTGACTCAGTTTCTAGCCTATGCATGTCTGGCATCGTGTTATTGATCGCCAGTTTAGTATATAGTACGAGGACTTTGTATCTAGGCCTAAAAAAGGATATCGTGGTTGAGACTTAAAAATAAGAATGTCTAGACATGTCTAGCAGAAACATCACATGACGACTTCTCAGCCTAGTAACACGTAGTACAAAAAAACAAAGGAAACCGAGCGTTTCACATATAGTACCTACCCCAATACCTATACGGATACACCATCTTACCACCACCAATAAAGTACACTAAGCATCCCTCCACCATCTCCCCAACGGACCCCCAGACCCAGCCATCTCAACCACCTCCTCAAAACTAACCTCCACCCGAAACATCCGTCCATCAGCCGTCCCACTCCCCCCACCAACCGGATTCACCAGTCCCCAACTCACGAGCTTCTCCCACGCCTCACGGGCCACGTCCCGGCCCCAGACCCGTCCGGCCGTAGCAGTAGCTCCAGACACTGACGCAGAGACCTTGGCTGATGTCAGGAGCCGGACGTATTCCGCATACGCAGCTGGGAAGGATAGGGCGAGTGGGGCGAGGCTCTGCAGTTGGGCCGCGGCGTCGTTGCCTGGGTCGTATAGGGCTGTTAGGCGGGTTGCGGCCAGGAGGAGGGAGAGGGGGAGGGAGGATGGACTGGAGGAGACGGATGTGGAAGGCTGGAAGGGGAGGGGTGCAGGATCGGGACAGGTGAGGGGTTCGTTGGCGAAGGTTTTGGGCGTTGGAATTGTGAGGTCTTCTGGTGGGCTGGTGTAGGCACTGTGGTGGAGTTCGGTTATGGCGAGTAATGCGCTGGTGAAGAATTCTTTGACGGATTTGGTTTGGTTGTATATTCTCATCAAATGGGGACAGAAGTTTGCGTCGTTCCATAGGGCCTGAAATTGTCAACACTTTTTCACTATGGCTTTCCTTGGGAGATAAACCTCTAGATATGCTTCCCAGCCCTCGAGGAGCTTCCCCCAACGCTCAGCTTTGGCACCAGTTCTATAATATCCCGCCAATTCACCATCCTCGAGATTCAACCCAGCAAAGCAGATCTCCGAAAACGTCTCATAGCTCCTAGGCAGCGGGACAAAAACGTATCGATGACTGAATCGACTCTTGACACGCTTCTCCAACATCTCCGTCACGTCGACCTTGGTGGTAAGTCCTATCACCGCGACTGGAGCCTTTCGTGCCTGCGCAATGTCAAACAGATTGTAGAGCAATGTCTGCCGCGGGTGCGATACGAATAGGTCAAACTCGTCCAGCAAAATCACAATTGACTTGGCAGCAGTCACACCGTCTGTTTGACCCGGGCCAAACAACTCCTCTGGGTGAGACAGCAAGGCCAGTAATGTAGCCATCGTGTCAGCGTAGTTGCCAATCTTGCCGGCTTCCTCCTCTGTATTCATTTCACGGCCGAGTTGGCGCCACATTTCACGGAGCGCCAGTCGGTCATCAGTGTGAAGGAAGCCATTGAGACGGACCACATGGAAATCATTCGCGTGTTCCCTTGCTAAGGTTGAGAGTACAGTCTCAACTATAGCCGTCTTTCCACAGCCTCGAGATCCAAGAAGCAACATCGAGTTACCTTCGCCAGAAGTAACCGTCTGCTCAACGAGGTGGTAGACCTTCTGATACTCGCTCTCCAGCCCCTTCAAAGGAACTGGTCTTTTCCCATTGAGCTTTTCAATTACAACCTGTGTCAGCACCTTGAGCTCGTTTTGAAAGTTGTCACTCTGGGCCAGAGCTTGAAAATCCGCAGCGTAGTCAGGCAGCGGTTCTGTTGGTGGCAGCGCATCGTCTTTACCGCCCTGTTCGGGATGGAGGTCTTGCTGTAGCTGCATCGCAACCAAATCGTCAATCCCATCTTGGTCGCCCTCATCTGACGAGCCAGATCGTCCCGTGTTTTCTCGTCCCTCATCTTGATCCTCATCGTAGTTCACAGTGGCTCGCTTCGACCTTGTCCTCGCCAGCGAAGTCGGATGCGGCTCCGGCGATTGCTCTTCCCCTTCCTTTTCCTCTTCATCCTCTTCCTCCACTTCAGATGCCTGTCTGGTCTTTCGCGTGCTTCTCGGGGTGCGCGCAGTACTCCTAGGCGTCCTGGCCGTCTTACTCGCCGAGGGTGCAGTCTTCAATTCTTGCTCGAACCTCTGCGGCGGCTTCCGTTGCCTTCCACTCGTCCGTAGCCCAGCCTTGGCAGGTGCCTCGGTATTTACTTCGCCTTCATTATCCTGTTCTACCTTCTGGCTTGGTCGCGATGCTCGCCGGTGCGTGGATCTTGTCGGGGTAGTCGGGGTAAATGCGTCGTCGTCAGATCCTTCATCTTTCACTGACGGTGACAAAGGGAAGTCATTGGAGTCGCGCATCTCTGTATCCCCCTCTTCATCCACATCGGAGACCCTTCTTCTCTTCGAGGCGCGCTGGTTCGTCATTGTGGTCAGATGTTCCGTGGTCAAGTTGAAGCTAATATTCTAGGAGATAGGAATGTGGTGCTGTATAAAATATAATCGAGAAAGCCAAGATCGTGAAGTCGGTCTCTGTAGCCGATGGGCAAAATACTAGCTACGGTATGCGATCACGGCGACGGACTGCGGAAGGACGAATCTTTTCGGCGTAGGGGTTGGAACAGAAACTGTTCGCGCAAAGCCATAAATCAGTGAGCAATTCCAATTGAGCGTAAAAGGGAATCATACGTACAGCAATTGTGCTTGTCGAGCACTGGGCAGTCGACTTTGTCCGATCAAACGCTTAAAGAAAACTGGCCGACGGAGCTGGACAACGCGACGCGAGGTCAGGTGACGTTGTTAATGGTTACTCGAAAGTATTGAATAACCACAGGAAATTTGTCAGGGATATAAGATCCAAGGTTACCTGACTATGGAGGTGAAATATTCAGAATAGGTAATAGTGTTGATGTTCTACTTGGTTAGACACTGATGTTGACTGTATTTATATTTGTATGTGTTTGCTACCGTGCGTATATTCTGCTAACATCTGGATTAAACAACGCAATAATATTTGCGGAGTATACTCCGATGGTGACCATCTTCAGATGTAACAAACTGACCATATCGAATACCTCAGAGATATCTAATGGTCAGAGATGAAACTCCTCAAACAGACCATGAACCTCGGCTATCCAGATGAATGCGATCAAATCCAGGCCATAATATGCGATTCTCCAACAGGACTCCTTGAAGAAACTATAACTTACCTACCTTCATAACTCACATCTTACAATCTCTTACAATTGACAACAGTCATGTCTGTTCTCGCTCCATCCAGACCCCTTGATGAATTCGAGCAGCTCGTCTACGAATACACGCTGCGCATGGGCTTTGGGGAAGACAGCGATGAAAACAACAAGGTTCTCCCTCTCCAACTTCCCCGAACAACCCAGAGCCCTTATACTAGAGCAATACTGACAACTAACTCACCAGTACTGGGACATCGACGGCAAATCCTGCAACCTCCGTTTCGAATCCGCAACCAAAGGCCCTCCCCCACAAGTCTCCTACCTCCTGACCATCCCCCAGAACCTCTGCAACTACATGGGGAATCTCCACGGAGGCTGCACAGCCACTCTCATCGACATCCTTTCCACTACAATCCTCTTGGGAATGTCGCGCCAGGGTGTATTCGCCTTGGGAGGGGTAAGTCGTCATTTGAAAACGACGTATCTGCGGCCGGTTCCGCAGGGGACGGAGGTTCGGTTGACTTGCACGTTGGTGCAGATGGGTAAACGGTTAGCCTTTTTAAGGGCGGAGATCTCGAGGGTCGATAACGGGGATATTTGTGTGTTGGGGGAGCATGAGAAGGCTAATACGGATCCCGCGGAGAAGTTGTAAGGGTGTGGATGCCTCTTAGCTGTACATAAGCAATTCGGGCCTATTCTGGGCTTGTGTATACCCATCGACTACACGAAAAGAAAGGGAGAATTCTGTCTGACAGCGGCGATACTATCAACACGATATCAAAGACTCAAAAAAAAAAAAAAAAAAAAACGTGTTAATCCAACATGCTATCTGATCATATAAGAATAAGAGCAAAGGCGCAAGTCCAGGGAATCATGACTCCCCCCAAAAGACGATATATTACCCAGTCTTAACCGGAAACGCATTTAATCACATTTACTCTTCAGCAAGCTTCTGGTCCTCCCGAAGTCCCTCAACAACCAACTCCTCACCAGCGGCACGACGGTAAATATCCCGCACATCATCTGTGGAATGTTAGCGACTGATTTTCGAGCTATGGAACGATATTTGACTTACCAGTAGTGGTCTCAAAGTGTGACGTAGCATCGTAGCTTCTCGAGATATAGATGTTGTCCTTCTCGCCACTTTCAAGGGGCTCGTAGAGCGGGATCGGGGGGCCAAAGAACTTCTCTTCAATTTCACCCAGACGCTCGAATCCAGGCTCAAGCTCAATGTGGTGGTTCGCATCGGACTCGGCAATAGTGGAGACAATGGCAACATAGTAGCCCTTGGGGCAGACGTTGTGCGCCGACGAAACCATAGCAATGTAGATATCTGTTACAGTTAGAATATACACCTATATCTCTTGTGAAGAGGATCGGAACTTACCGTGCTTCCGTCCAACTTGAGACTGGGGAATGATCAGCTGCAGCGAGTCACTGCCATCGGTCTTGTCGATGGGGTGCTTGAGAATACAGATGGCCTTGAGCAGGTAGCCGGTCACGGAGGCCTTGCTGGGGAAGTAGGACGGGTCTGCGAGGATCTTCTTTGTCTTGGTAGTGAAGTTCATGGTCTCCGCAGCGTTGTCCCGGTCCTTCATCGTCGCCTTGATACCCGAGACCTTCCCGCTGTCATCATAGAGCACCTCATCGATGTTGGTGTTGAGCATGTAGGTACCACCGTAGATGGCGGACAGACGGGCGAAACCCTGAGGGAGCTCACCCAGGCCGTAGAGAGGGTAGATGTAAGGCGACTTGCCGTACCGGGCCATCGAGTTCACGTACAGACGGATGCGGTTGATAGTCTCGACGGCCTTGCCAACCTCGTTGATGTAGTCATCGGACTGGTACAGAGCCATCGAGTGACCGACAAACTCACGGGTGTTGTCTTCGAGACTGAACTTGTCGTAAACGTCCTTCATCGTGCATGAAGAGATGTCCAAGCCTACAAATGGTTAGCAATGGTGATGGATCGTCAAACTGAGTTAGACTCATGAGACGCACCATAGTGACTAGCCGGGTCATCCTCCTTGAATTCACCAACCCATTCCAAGAACTTTTTCGCCCTCCTCTTCTCAAACATTCCCATCAGAGACGAGCGCAGGGCCTCGTTGGCATCCGAGGGGACCTTGGCCACGTTGGCTTTGGCGCGGTTGCCCTGCTGGACGTAGCTGCCAGCAATCTGCTTGAACTCAAGGTATCTCGTAACATCGGTGGAAACCAGGATATTCGTCAACTCGCCGTTGGCCATCAGCAGCTTGGGGACCAAGTCGATGTTCCAGTCGTTGACCCGTCCATACTTTTTCCAGGGCTCCTCGCCGGGGCGAACGTTACCGTACTTCTTGAACAACTATCGAAAAAGCCAGACTCGTTAGCAATGCAAAACAACACGACAAACCAAAGAGTTTTATAGAGTACTTACAGTCTCAATGTTCACAGAAGCGGCCTCACTATTATATATCGTTAGATGGGGGCACTTGTAAAATTGGCGATGCGTGGACGCTACCCCGTCACTTACCCTCCGTAGTGATCATTGCGATCGATGTGAAGCACCTTGTTTCCCTTGACACTGAGAACACTGTATACCAGATCAATGATAAGTAACTAGAGCTCCCTGCAGTGCATAAAGCAAGGGGAGAGCAGCATACCCAGACAGAACACACTCCGTCAATCCTGCGTAGGGGGCGGTTAGCCATATCACCTATCATCGCGGGGTAGCTACCAACATACCAGTGCCAAGCACAACAACATCATACTCAGGAGCAATGTCCTCCATGGTGATTAGAATATGGCAAGAGGAAGAGATTCAGCGTAAAATCAAACAGTATAGAGATGAATAGAAAGTGGAAAGAGAGAGGGAAAGGAAGAACGCGGAGGTGGTTTGATTGCGGTGAGGTGTCTAGTAGAAGTAGTCGCTGGAGCCCCCTCCGCGGATCATCGACCGGATTATTTGACGCCAGCGCTAATAACAGTAATAATAACACCAACAAAAGAGCTGGCAATAAGGATACGACTCCTGAATTTCCAAAACCCCTTTTCTTTCTCTCCTGTTTCTAGACGGCCAGTTTCATATTGATATGCATCATTATTGACAGCTAGTTCCGGCGCTTTACTAGACATGGGGGATGTCTATGCGTAGTAGTGTCGTCCTTTTTCTATTGCTCTACCGGACAGGGTATTGATCCAAGATCAACATAAAATAGTATAAAACGTAGCAGTACATAAAAATGGGCAATTCATGATAATATTACATTCCGGTCCAGTTGATAGACTTTCCGAGATAGGGAAGGTACTGTTGTGGAGAGCTGTACGGGGCCGAGGAGCCTTCATGTCACTCTTTGCTTATTCCTGGGTATCCTCCTCTTGGGGTCGGTAACCTTGCTTGTAAAGCTTCTGTGCGTCCTCCCAGGCGTACCATCGCTCCCGCAGAACGTGCTTAATGGATTTCTGAGTGACACGGACCTAGATAACAACAGCGCTTGCATTAGCACGCTCTGATGGTCAAATAATGGGTGCAAAGACATCATGAGACTCATTTTTTTCAATATATCCAAATGAGGATAACCAGCTAGGGACAACACTCACCACTCGCTCCCGTTCTTCCGATTCATATTCTCCATATCCAGCCTTCACTCGCTGACGCTCCAAGTTGGAGGTGGCTATGCGGTTGCGTTCCTTAACACAAACCCACCAGAGTCTGTGGAGATCATCCCAGGACTTTTCGCGGAGTTCCTGGATGGACCAAGGCCGACCTGGATCACCAACAATTAGCACCAATTCACATATCGTATTTTTTACAGTCCATCTCAGCATATATAACACTAACCATGAGCGTTATCATATTCCGGCGAGCTCAGTGCCTCTTTGCCCTTGGGGAAGAAACCCCACAGTCCATGGTCGGGTGTAGGGTGACGGTGTTCCAACGATTCGGGAGAGACAGCCTTCGGCAATGGGTACTTCGACACGCCCAATTTAAACTTGGGACCGCTTCGGTGGATGGCAGAGACACCGCGGGACTTGCTGAGATCCCGACCATGACCAGCGACAACCGCAGTGGACGAGAAGTTGGAGGATTGGACGGGTGATCGGATGAGCGAGAAATGGAGAGACGGCGCAAGATACGGAGGGGGCAATTCGGCCAGCGGAAGCCCCCTAACCTGGCGGGCGAGCCGTGTCACGGAATGACGGGGCATCGTGATGGTGCGTCTGTCGTCGAATGGACCGGCTTTCTTGTTGGAGGTTCTTTTTCGGGAATTCAAAAAGCTGCGGTGGGACCCGTGACCAGGGGTCACGTGGAATAGCCGCCTGTCGCGCTTGGATTGAGGCTCCTATTTAGTATACAAAAGAGAAATATACACTAGACATATGGTAGTAATGCTGGGATTAAAAGAAATCGCTATATTGATGTATCCAAGTCTAGGACGGTAGCAATATCGAAACCTTAAGGTTCACCCATATAGATATTTCTGCTCCGTACAAGTACTCCGCATCTTGCAAAGCACAATGCAGTGATGGAGTCCGCCATTTTATATACCACAGGAAACCATGAGAATCACAAAAACAAACCAAAACCGACATTCTCACTAGATAACAGTAAAATGCGTACAGACTCGTGTTTGCGGCTAATTCTTGTCATTTCCACTTATAAACGCGCGGCTGGCGCCACTCTCCGCCTTCGCCGGCGGAGAGCAGTCGTCGCATTGAATGAACGCTCTTACAAGCACCCAACATTGTTGATTTCCTGCAGTGCAGTCAGGCTGTGAGGATATCCTTTGATCGTGCAGAAATCCTTATCTTTTTGTTGACTAGCTTACTGAGCTGAGTTTTGCCATGAACAGACCAGGTGTGTCTTCCATTCCAAATTCCCTGTCCTTTTAGTACATTGCTGTTCGTGCCCTGTTTCGGAACTGCCCACAATGGAGATCTCTCGGATAAGAGAGCTTCTGGTTTTTGCAATCCTGACCTGGGTTTTCTTGAAGCTTTTGGTCAGATCGTTGCCTCATCATTCTGCTCCAATTGCAACCTCCCCATGGACGTGGTTTACCCACCTGCGACCGAAGTATCTCGAACCACGCCAGGAGACTCCTACAGCCCCGGATGAAGTTGAGGGGCTTGATCAGACTACCGATTGATTACTGCTCTTACAATACTTGCCATTATCTGACTATGATGCTGACGTCTCTGGCGGTTCCTCAGGACCAGGTCCGCAGCCCATGAGAGGCATGTCTGGATTCCCCGCACAACAGCAAGCACAAGCTCGAAATGCGACTATCGCCTCCGCGCGCCTGCCAAACGGAAAACTCGGTGCGATACCCCCAGGTCGATATTCACTCGAATGGTCTACGGAAATACATATGCTAATCACGGGGGACGAATAGGAGCCGGAGCCAATTGGAACTTCAACTTGCCTGTGAGCGGTACACCTGGGTTACAAGGAAATCAACAGCGCAACTTTGGTGCTATGGGAACATTTGCACAGAGCCTAAGTGGATCGCAGCCAGCCACGCCGTTGGATTTGTCGTAAGTGTGATGTGTATTTGTGGGCTTAGGGCTGCCTTGCTGTGATTGTTGGCTCGGTTGGCGCAGTTCCCTTTGGGTTTCCAGAGCTAAGGAACATTCACTGCTAGGGAATTTCCTTCACTGTCAGGCGCACCGCCGTCTCAGACCCAGAACCCAAGTCAAATGGTGTGGGCAAACGCCAGCCAACGCGCCGCGCAGACCCCAGTACAAAGACAACAGCCCCCTCCTACTACTCAACCACCGTCACGCACATCTCAAACCCCATCCCATATTCCTCAACAACAGAATCAACCTTCTCACGACGACCTATTTCCTTCCGGCATGCAGTTCGCCAACCGTTTGGATGACTTTCGCAGTGGTGGACAGGGCATTAGCGGCCAACTAGCGGGTGCACAGCCCCAAACTGGCAGCATTGACGAGTTCCCACCCCTTGGACGCAACGCCACAACGGAACTAGGCCAAGATCGTAGAGGCTCAATGATGCAGAATGCTGGGCTTGGGGGTTACAACTCTGGTATGGGGTTCCAAGGCCAGTCTGCAGTACAAACCCGTAACATGATGGCAGCATCAGTGAACGGTCAAGAAACGGGTAGGATAATGTCTCCTGCAAACATGGGATCTGGAAGTATGTTATGGCCGCGTTAATCCAATGGGTTAGTTAGAAAGCTGACCATGCGTTTTAGGTATTGGAACGTCACGATCACCGGTTAACCAGGGATCTAATGGTGTGATAGCTCAAGAGAAGGATGTAGGCAATTATTCTTTTGCTTGAATTCCTTTGTTTTTACGCTGACGATTCCTAAATAGGATATGGTCAACGCTATGGCACCGGGGCAACGCAGTTATGCGGAACAACAGCAGTTACAGCGCCAACAGCAAGCTATTTCTGGTGATGTGCAGGAACCTTCTGCTCAAAGTGCTGAACAACCACCGCTGGGCCAGATGAGTGAGCTCGATAGGTTTGGACTTGCGGGCCTGTTAAGGATGATCCATAGCGAAAGTCCAGACGTCGCGAGTCTTGCTGTGGGCCAGGATCTCATGACCTTGGGCTTAGACCTGAATCAACCTGAGTATGTGCCTGTGCTTTCTGGTTGTCTGTGATCTTTCCTAGCTAATAATTCTGTCCAGACCTCTCCATACATCCTTCGCTTCGCCGTTTGTTGCCTCAATGTCCTCGCTGCCTCTGGAACAGGATTTCTCTCTGCCTTCCTGCTACAGCGTTGCCAATATTCAACCACTTCAATCTCGTATCCCTAGTTTCAGCGACGAATCGCTCTTTTACATCTTCTACAGCATGCCTCGAGACATCATACAAGAACTCGCGGCGGAGGAGTTGATGGGTCGCAAGTGGAGATATCACAAGATTGAACGGTGTTGGCTGACTCGTGATGAGACGTATCCTGGCCCGGTTGATGTTGAGCGTGGAGTGAGCGAGCGTGGAGTCTACCTCATATGGGATCCTACCAGCTGGAAGAAGATTAGGGTATGTCCAACAGCTTGTCCGGAGTTTATGTACTACTCATAGCCGGGATTGTACTAACGAAGGTAACTTCATGTAGCGTGAGTTTATTTTGCGATATGAGGATCTAGACAACAGACTCGACCCCGGCCGTGGCATTGCGCGCACAGTCGGATTCCCACCCGGTTCGTGAATTGTCGTTAAGGTAACTAGCTAATCGATCAGCAAAGGCGTTGGGTCGGCTACCAGTATTTTGTGATATTCTGTTCTGGCATTGGCTGCTGGTATGGCAGTTTTGCTTTAGAGCAAGGGCGCATTTCTTAAACTAGGTGGTCTGCATGGGATTAGGATATTATTCTATTTGAAACCAAATGACTTGATGATCTTTTCTTTTCTACTGTCTATCCTCCTGGGCTCGTGCATAGTAGGACTTCAATTCTACATCGTAGATCGATAATGATCATGTGCTTTCCGAACCGACCCCTCTATGCTTATTCATCCAACCTGGCGCCATTCCAAAAGCGGTAAACCATAAACACCTGATTACCGCCGGCAAAACAGCCGCGCCCGCCAAAAACAGTCTCGTTCCACCATCTCGGCGGCCAGCGATCGTACGCACATCTACTTTCTTATCGCCATATCTCCATCTCATGTACTGTAACAACTGAGTGCATGGGACTGGATTGGTGTCGCAACCATGCGGATTACAGAAATTATTATTGACGTAAGTTTTTGTTGTTGAATTACCCTTCGCATGTCCCGCTAATCTTACGTTGACAGGGCTTCAAATCGTACGCTGTGCGTACGGTCGTCTCAGGATGGTATGCAACTCCTATGTGTCTCTGGCTCCTTCAGGTCGATATCTGCGGAATGCAATCGACTCTATTATTTGAATGGAAGACATGGTACTGACTACTGCCCAATAGGGACGAATCCTTCAACTCGATCACTGGCCTGAACGGCAGTGGTAAATCCAACATTCTCGATGCGATTTGTTTCGTCCTCGGAATCACGAATATGAGCACGGTTCGGGCGCAGAACCTCCAAGATCTCATCTACAAACGTGGCCAGGCCGGTGTGACGAAGGCCAGTGTGACCATCGTCTTCGATAACCGTGATACCGCGAAATCCCCGATCGGTTTCGAGGAATATGCGAATATTTCCGTTACGCGACAGATCGTCCTCGGCGGTACGAGCAAATATCTGATCAACGGCCATCGCGCACAACAGCAGACGGTGCAGAACCTCTTCCAGAGTGTTCAGCTGAACATTAACAACCCCAACTTCCTTATTATGCAGGGACGAATTACGAAGGTTTTGAATATGAAGGCTGTTGAGATTCTGTCCATGATCGAGGAAGCAGCAGGCACGCGAATGTTCGAGGATAGACGGGAGAAGGCGGGCAAGACAATGGGCAAGAAGGACTTGAAACTGCGTGAAATGGAGGGACTACTGAAGGAAGAAATCGAACCGAAACTCGAAAAACTTCGTGCCGAGAAGCGTGCTTTTCTCGATTTCCAACAGACCCAGAACGACCTGGAGCGGTTAACGAGGCTGGTTGTCGCTCACGACTACATCCGAGGCAACGAACGGTTACGGGTTGCTGGAGATGAGTGTGAAGACAAGAGGCAAAAAGTCCAAACATTTGAGGATAACGCATCTAAACTGAAGAACGAAATTGGTCATCTGGAGGAAGACGTTAAGCGGGTGCGGGCAGCTCGCGATAAAGAGTTGCGCAAAGGAGGAAAGTTTCAAGGCCTTGAAGATGATGTTAAGGCTCATTCGCATGAGCTGGTCCGATTGACGACTGTTTTCGATCTCAAGAATGCCAGTATTGTAGAGGAGAAGGAAAGGCAGAAGGACAACCAAAAGACCGTGAATGACCTTGAGAAGCTTCTCAAAGAAAAGAAGGACATCTATGATAAACTACAAGCCCAATACGATACTGCGAAGGCGGAACTTGACGCTCAGACCGCCGGAGTAGAACAGAAGGAAGAATTGCTCCAGTCATTACAAACTGGTGTCGCATCCAAGGAAGGTCTGGAAAGTGGGTACCAAGGACAATTGCAAGACGCCCGAAACCGTGCTAGCGGTGCTGCCACAGAACAAGAGCAAGCCAAACTCAAGATTGCTCATTTGGAAAAGAGGGTTAAAGAAGAGGAGCCGCGCGCCAAAAAGGCAAAGCAGCAGAACTCTGGTCTTTTACAAGATTTGGAGGGTCTGAAGTCGCAGGCCAAGAAGCTGGAATCTGAGCTTACGAGACTTGGGTATGAACCTGATAAAGAAGAGCAGATATACCAGGAACAAAGTGGCCTGCAGAAGGATATCCGTGAACTCCGAGGAAGAGCCGATGAACTCAAGAGAAGGGTGGCCAACATTGACTTCAATTATACAGACCCACATCCCGGATTTGACCGATCTAAAGTCAAGGGCTTGGTTGCCCAGCTCTTTACTTTGGACAAGGAAAAGATTCCCACTGCGACGGCGCTGGAAATCTGCGCTGGCGGTCGCCTGTATAACGTTGTCGTCGATAGCTCTGAAACCGGTACTCATCTACTCCAGAAGGGCAAGCTACGCAAGCGAGTAACCATCATCCCCTTAAACAAGATCTCATCTTTCAGGGCATCCGTGGAGAAGATCGGCGCAGCTCAGAACATTGCACCTGGTAAAGTTGATCTTGCCTTGGAGCTGATCGGGTACGAGGAAGAAGTTACGGCTGCTATGAATTATGTGTTTGGGAACACGCTGGTTTGCCAGGATGCGGATACGGCCAAGCGAGTGACATTCGATCCATCTGTCCGTATGAAGAGCGTTACTCTCGATGGTGATGTTTATGACCCGTCAGGCACTTTGTCTGGAGGTAGCGCACCGAATTCGAGTGGAGTACTTGTCACGTTGCAAAAATTGAACGAAATCACTCGAGAAATCCGGATTAAGGAGCGTCACTTGGCGAGCTTGGAAGAGAACATGAGAAAGGAGAAGAAGAAGCTCGACGCTACGCGCGCACTCAAGCAAGAACTAGACCTCAAGACCCACGAGATCAAGCTCACGGAAGAGCAGATTGGTAACAACTCGTCGTCATCTATCATTCAAGCTGTTGAGGAAATGCGAGCGAACATCGAACAGTTGAAGCAGGACATTACCGACGCCAAGGCGCGACAGAGCGAAGCAACCAAGAATATTAAGCGAATCGAGAAGGACATGGGCGAGTTCAACGACAATAAAGACAGCAAGCTCGCAGAATTGCAGACTTCGGTTGATTCGCTTAAGAAGAACCTTTCTAAGAACACCAATGCCGTCAAGACCTTGCAAAAGGAACTCCAGAATTCGAGATTGGAATCCGAGCAGGTTGGAAGCGACCTCTCAGCGGCTGAGGAGCAGGCTGCAGAGGTTGAGAATACTCTCAAGGCTCAAATCGAAGAAATCGAGTCGATGAAGAGAGAACAAGCCCGTATTAAGGTATGCCAAATCCCATTACCGTCTATTGATATGAATCTAACGCACATCAAAATAGGATGCCCATGACGTTACTCAAGCCCAGCTCGATGACGAGAGAGCCAAATTGACTGGCTTTGACGAAGAACTGCGGGAGCTCGAGACAGCGATGCAGACCAAGAACTCCCGGATTACCGAAGAGGGTCTTGAGATGCAGAAGCTTGGGCACCAGCTTGAGAAGCTGCAGAAAGATCAGCATGCTGCCGCTCAGGCCGTTGCTCATATGGAATCAGAGCATGAGTGGATTGCTGACGAAAAGGACAATTTCGGACGCTCCAATACTGTTTATGACTTCAAGAACCAGAACATTGCGGAATGCAAGTCGACGCTGCGCAACGTTACCGAACGTTTCCAGGGGATGAAGAAGAAGATCAACCCGAAGGTCATGAACATGATTGACAGCGTTGAGAAGAAGGAAGCTGCTTTGAAGAACATGATGAAGACCGTGATCCGCGACAAGCGCAAGATCGAAGAGACAATCATTAACTTGAATGAATACAAGAAGGAGGCTCTTCACAAGACCTGGGTTAAGGTCAATGCCGACTTTGGTCAGATCTTCTCGGAGCTTCTGCCCGGCAGTTTTGCGAAGCTGGATCCTCCGGAGGGCAAGGATATCACCGATGGTCTGGAAGTTAAAGTCAGTCTGGGTAAGGTGTGGAAGCAAAGTCTGACTGAGCTGAGTGGTGGTCAACGGTATGTTTCCTCCATCCCTCCTCTCGCTACTGTGCACAGCTAACGAATCACTAGGTCCCTGATCGCCCTCTCGCTGATCATGGCTCTGCTGCAATTCAAACCCGCACCGATGTACATTCTGGATGAAGTCGATGCTGCGCTTGATCTGTCTCACACACAGAACATCGGTCGTTTGATCAAGACCCGTTTCAAGGGATCGCAGTTCATCATCGTTTCCCTGAAGGATGGCATGTTCCAGAACGCGAACCGGATCTTCCGGACGAGGTTCAGTGAAGGAACGAGTATTGTCCAGGCATTGACTCCTGCGGATATGAAGTAGCGGTCTTGGGGAATGACTTCCACTGACCATTTGCCTACTTTTTCTGTTCATCTTGGTTATTGGGTTCGTTTTGTCTATAGTCATCTTTTGCACGTAATGGGTCGGAAAGGATGGTGTTTTCAGGTTGATGTATAATGGTGTCTGGAAGCCACGGGTTTTATGTTATGATATACGGCTCAATGATATATATATTATATTTTTGTGTTCTCTCTAATCTATAAACCCTGTCGGCAATCATATTTAGTTACCTTTGTATCGGCTTCTGAGTTGCAAAGGCAGCGGTCGGAAGAGGAAAGGGCACCGCTCTGTTCCACTTCACCATTTCACTACTTCACCACATCAGCTCGTCGTCTTCTTATCTTCCCCTCGCTTTCTTCTTCGCTCCAGCGTCGACAATACCACGTTTCTCCACGAATTCATCGCCTTTTAGATCGAACCGCCGACTGTTCATCGGCTGTCGCCCACCGCCTTAACCATCGCCGTTCCTCTCCGCGGATCATCATAACCGTCATTTATCACCTGCATCCACTGCCCAACTGCCCACTATTGTTGTGAAGCTGCTGGATTGCAAATACCATAAATCCGATCTCCTTCTTTAGATACGCATTGTTACGGAGTACGCTTGCGTTTTACTAGCTATTCTATCTCCACTCTCGTCTCCGAACCTATCGAGCTGGCCTCATCGAGATCGACCGGAGAAAGCACGCGCTGCAGCATATGTCTTACGAACCGCTCGAGACGATGTCTGAAGAGGAGCCCTCTCTCAACATACCCTCGCTCCTGACCTTGGCTGTCGTGTCCTTTTTCGTGATCCGATGGTTCTTCAAGCGCGACGATGAGCCGGGCACCGGAGGTAGCCGTACTCGCGCGCGCGGTCATGCCGTGGACCCAGCTCAGGTCGAGCAAATATCGCAAATGTTTCCGCAGCTGAATACCCGGGAAATTATGTGGGATTTGCAGCGGAATGGGGGTAGTGTTGCGGCGACTACGGAGAGGATATTGAGTGGGCGAGGGTTGGAAGTGGTGAGTTTGCTTGCTTGTCATCTTCGCGGAACATGCTGCTGTATGATATGATATAGAGTGCTAATGGTGTTCCTCTTTCGTTTTTGTAGCCGCCACCGTCGTTCCAACCGCCGATTCCTACTACTACCGCCGGGACTCCTCCCAGGACACAGCCCGCATCCTCATCCGGAAGCGCCCCGAAATCGGACGGACAGGACCTGATTTCCCGCTACAATCTCAGCTCAAGAGCTACGGGCGAAAGTGCTTCAGAAGTTCCCGAGCCGTCGTCGAGAGGATGGTCGCAAAGTAAGGAAGAGCGCCAGCGTATGTTGCAGAAGCGGAGAGACGATATGATTTTGGCGGCACGCAAGAAGATGATACATAAGGACCAACACAATGCTTCATGAGTATTTGCACTACTCTCCCTTCGTGTTTTATATTTATCCCAAACCTACTTTTCGAGATCTCTGCTCTCTTATTCTTTTTTACCAGGATAGAATCTCTAGGCGTTACCGTGTTGCTTCTTCAGCGGTAATTTGGACATTTTCAGGAGTCAATGCAAGCAACTTCATTTTCTTTTAATCCTGTCTTTTGGTTTCTTCGGAGTAACATGGTGAACATAGTCTTGGCATTTCTCATTGCTTATCATAAAAGAGAAAGAGCTTGCTTATTTCCTTTACAATTGGTATTCTCGGACAAATATCTCAAGCTTTCGAATCCGCGCAATCATCGACCTTTGTCCCTTGGATACCTCAGGATCAGCCGATGCGAAACAGTCCTTGTACCGGTCGACGACACAATAAACAGAACATGAACAAACGTCTGCGCTCAGTGACATTCAGAATGACTGTATCCGCTACAAACTCACTCCAACACTCTTCGTTACACCAACCCTGCCCTTGTCAATTCCTGCTTCAAACGACCCCTAAGAAATCATTTTCGCCATAATAGCGCCAAGCAATGTCATGCCTGGTTCTCAGACATCTCAGGGAACAGCTGAAAAATGCGCAGGGTTTGCACATGGATCTTGCTTGTTATTAGTGTCGCAGTTCCACTGAGGCCCTAGAATTCTGAGTCGGAATCGTAGATCATCACATCGTGTTCGCCATCGTAATCCTCGTCGTAATTGCCAGGCACCTCCGACTTCCCGACAGAGCAGCCACTCGGCTAAGGTAACACTGAAGACGTATCAACTCCCCACTTGGAAGAGGGTGCCCTTGGGGTCATGAGTTGTGAGTGTAATTCTGTCACCATAGCGAATTTGGTTTTCGGTCAGACAATCCCAGAACCTGAAATTCCCACGCCTACATGGATGACCTGCAGAAAGCTCTGGCATTTCAAGCAGGAGGCCTTTCCGGAGCCGCGAGATCTAATCTTCAACCAGTGGAATTCCAAGTCCATGGTCCTTTTGTCCGAGGAGGTGGATATTAGTTTAAAGCCAAATTCGCAGCTATCTTATGCGGAGTGGATGGTTTCAGTCATGACAATGAGATTCTGTAGTCTCGGTCTTTGCGGGTCCGAACAGCGCACCTTTCTAGGTTTTTGTCTTTTTCTCGGACCAAAAAATAGTCAGGTTACGCCACAGCGATGGCCTCAGATTTAGGTGGTTTGCTATCAAAACCCTCTAGATGTGGGCTACTTCGAGGTACTTCGTGGCTTTACTAGCCATGCATCTTTCTTCTCTTTTTACAGCCCTTTCCTGTTCTGAGTTGATATGTTGGCACTTGGGATGCGGGGCCCAAGGGGGGGGGGGGGGGTGTTTTTTGCAATCGAAGTCGTTCTCTCGCGGTTCAGCCTTGCTGTTTCTATTCAGGACTTAAATATGACATGAGAGAGAAATAGGCATGAACATGAGCGAACCGATTCCGACAACTCCCCTGGCTTCATGAGAAGCCGTATGAGGTGATGGTATCCTGGATCATTCGGAACATCGCTCACTACCTCGTCGAGTTCTTTCAAATCACTAATCCAAAGACACGGCCAGAATCCCGTTGCGAGCAGAGTTCTTTCATTAGAGTCGTGCAGTTTTATAATTAGGGCAAGATGTTCAGGTTCAATCCGTTCAGGGAGCGGGGGAAGAGTAGGGCTATCCATTTGTCTCAACGCGAGGAAACTTCTGGCAGGAGGAACCGATCCAAAAGAGTAGGAGTGTAATGTGATGTAATATGCTCGAAGGAGGACAGGTTTCTTCTTCTAGTATATGCATCGGGTGGTTGAGAATGAGAATGAAACAAGACATGACACTATACTGAGTACCGCTGGACAACTATCTTAGATGGAAATCATAGATATGCTATCCATATTAAGGACCAACGCATAGTCCACTCAACCCACTTGTCTTTTCTAGGGATAAAGTTTTAGACAAGCTTTCCATACCAAGAGGCATGAATTTTCAATAAACCATGAGCGGATAATCCTCCTGTCAATGGAATCGGAGGAAGTAGAGGTGGCATGCTGTCGCGTGGGATAGATAGCATGCGTATGCTACGTTTTCCTTTAGTTTTGGCTTAATATTGCAGAGTCTCAGTTTTGGATGGAGTAAGCAACATCTGCTGCCAGGTCTGAATGTTCTCACCGGAGCACGGCTTTCCCCAAAGCATCCATACTAACGATCTAAGAAAGATAAGATGTTCTGCCATTGCGGAAGGGAATACATCAGCTGCTCTGATAAATCGCTTAGCACTTATAGTAAAGCATCTTTTGTCATGATTCAATATATGTTCATGTATGACTCCTTGTAAATCAGAAATAGCTGCTGTTGTGTTTTGCGCTCCCGGTTGAGCCCAATCATGGAGGTTAGTTTAAATGTTAAAAGTCGTGGATAAGAAATAGGTGAAACAAGGAAACATTAATCCAGTAGAGATAATTTTGGGAATGGACAACATCTGCATGACTATTCCTAGCCCAGCATCATCATTTGAAATGCCGTCCACAAGCTTAGTTTTTCCCATGTGCTACTAGACACACGCCCAGGCTTTGGTTGCAGCCGGTTCCCCTTTATGCAGCTCCCTGATATATTCGATACGCCCAGGTTTAGCAGATTCTGTCCATAGTTGATGTTATTTGTTGCCACGGGAAGGATAGTAAGGGGATTATAGAGAGGAATACATGTGGTCATGTAACCTTTTGACAATATGGTTAGCTCATTTTATAGAATCTGCATATAGTGTCTATTACAAAGATAGTTTGGAATTGCCCATATTTAATGACTAAACGACTACACCTCTATATATATAGTCATGAGATCTATTAAGCTTTCTCTACGATCTCAACTTAGGATATATTTCTTGCAAGATACTGGTTCCTCCCATTGCGATGAAGCCTGCCTTCTATGAATCAATGGGGCGAACCTCCTCACTATGTGAGGTTTGATGATGATTTCAACATCACTAAGATCCTCGAGTTCCCAGGAAATGTTGTCTCTTTGCCCTCATTATGCACATACCCATGGCTGTTAAAGTGAAAACTTTTCCGGATCTGTCGCTGAGCGCGAATTATATTTCAACATCTTTGTCAGCCTGGAGTGTCGCTATCCATGATCCCTTCAATCGTCTGAACTATTTCAGAAACTAATGGCATCCTGCCAAAGGCACAAAGAGTCTGAGGTAGACCTCCTGGGACCATACACATCGCTTGTCATGCCCATTCTCTTCGAGGATATCTGCGGGTATAACCGTGATTCTGAGTATAATTAGCTTGCTAAGACGTATTCATGGTTCAAGGAACTCACTGATTTAGGGGGAAAGGAGTCTGCATTAGCCGGATTAGCCGGATTAGACGATATACGAAGGGGTTCTCAACATTTGAACTCAACAGGTAGAGCCCGCATGGTTTGCGGATATTGCTGAAATTTCGAGAGAAATGGTATATTGGCGGTTCGTTGAATGGTCTCTCGGAGGAACAAAGTCTCATCGAAGGAAGGAGGATTCTGTGATGTTGAGTTTCCTAGGTTACCATCATCTTAGGCTTGCAATAAGCCCTGGGAAGAGAAGAAAGTGAATCTGTGGAGCTTTACGAGTGTTTGAGACAATGAAAGTATCAATTCCGAAGATTAGTTTAAAAACGGACAATGGTAGCCAGGAAATTCCATTGCTTATTGGATATACGCCATCATCGAGGTCAATATCTTATATTCGTCCTTGGCGGTAGTCAGTGGGCACATGAAGAGTAGAAGAGTATCTGTACGTAGCTGTGACAGAAACCGGGTCGAACAGGCTTTTGATGTGATAGTTATGTTGCCTTCGTGATATAATATTATATAGATTCATTCGTATCGTTTCGTTCATAAATAATTGAGGATGTTCAAAATTCCATTTCGTCGTCGTCTTCTTGGGTAGCACCATATCCGCCGTTGGCCATGTCCTCGGCCATTTGCTCTCTCCGTGCTTGCTCCTTTGACGCTCCGATTTTCCTATTTCAAAAATTCTGTTAGTGGAAAGAGAAGACGATAACCATCAAGGATATGATATACCTAAGCCCATCCACTACCCCCGTGACAAACCCTCTTCCCTCCCCAATTTCCATCGCGCCAACCCCTGTTAATGCAACCCCCCCTCCTCCTATTGCAGCAGCATCAAGGACATCTGTACCAGCCCGGAATTTAGCCATGCGCACTTCCCGCAACTCCTTTAATAACCGCCGTGTCTGATCCGGATCCACCAAATCATCGCTCGCCGCATCCAACAACACATTCCCAACCTCCAACCAATGGTACGGTAATGAGGGCGGTTCCCCAGGAGGTATATAGTCCCGTGCAACGTTCTGCGGAAGAAACGGTGGGGAGGCGTAATACCGCTCACCGTCTTGTGTAGATCGTGGCATGGCTACTGGCGTTTGCTGTGTTTCTCGATCTCGGACACTTGGTTGTCCTGGCAGTGGAGGTGGTGGGGAGAAGGCATTCTGGTAATCGCTATGTTGTGTTTCAATTTCGAGGATTAGGGATAGGGCTTCTGGGTGGAGCCAGGAAGGTGGGACGATGTTCGCGCGACGTTGGCGTTTTAGGAGGAGGGCGAGCCATAGTGGGAGGGTAGCGCGGCGGGGAGGCAGGAGAGGTTCGACGGGACCCTAGTTGTAGGAACGGTCAATTGAGTGAACTGGTATATAGAGAGTTGTAGCAGTATGCTGCCATTCATTTGGCGTTTATCACAACCGCGTTGTCCGCACTGTCGATACTCGCGATGACAACACCAGGGCTACCCGTGAACCCAATTGACTCACCCCAAGAAGCTCCAGGCCTTCTAATCTCTGGCGAGGCACTATGTTAACTTGTTCCATCTCAGCGAGAAAGGCGATCTCCGGGGGCGTGATGCCCCGCGGGAGAGGGAAGGCCATTAACGGTCACGACGTGTAGATTTTGGAAATCCCAGTGTTTGAAGCAAAAGCTGGCTTTTGCCGTCACAAATAACCAGAATTCTGACGAATATTTCTTTTCCTTTTGCTTTAGGCTTCGAGACGAAAAAAGAGCAAGCGCTGTTTTGTTCGGAGATCTTGCGGCCATCCACAGCCCGATACGGTATGTTTGGCTTGTTTGCATCGAGCTTCTCTGCCAGCTATTCCACCCCGTTTGCTAATTTGACCTCTACAGCTCTCCAACAGATCGCAATTGGAAAAAACATACCCAGACCTGGCCATCATGAGTGCCACTCTGCCCGATTCGGGTCTATCTCGAGCCGCCCGGTATGCGGTTCCTTTCGCTTTGTTGCTGATTCCCTTGTGGAAGACCCGAGTCAGCGCAGTCGTTCCGGAGCCATATCTCGACGAAGCTTTCCATGTTCCCCAGGCGCAAGCCTACTGGGCACATAAATGGACATACTGGAACCCGAAGATTACGACTCCCCCGGGACTGTATCTCTGGTCGTACCTGATTTGCGCCGCTATGCTTGCTCTCCGCGGCTCGCCGACGGAACTCGGTACGGATGCCCTGCGTACCACGAATGTCGCAGCAACAGCTGTTCTCTTGCCTTGGAGGCTTCAATCTGTGTTAGAGCTCTTGCGGAATGACCGCAAGTCTCGCCCGGCAGGTGCACGGTTGAGCCACACGGTGTTGAACATTTGTTTATTCCCGCCACTGTTCTTCTTCTCGGGACTCTACTATACCGATATCCTTGCCCTTGTGGTAGTCGTTGAGGCGTACAATTGGCAGCTTAAGCGTGCTACTAAGAAAGAATTTGCTCCTCTTCAGTCTTTTATATTCCTTTTCTTCGGGCTGGTTGCCCTTGTCTTTAGACAGACCAACATCTTTTGGGTCTCCGTGTTTTTCGGTGGATTGCAGGTGCTCCGAACACTGCGTCTGTCTACTAACAGATGTAACGTTTCTGGGCTGAATGAAATCGCAAAGAAAGGCTTCCAGAATGAGCTGTATGATCCTCTGGTGTCCGATGCTTCTTTTGCGGGTGAGACATCCTTGACAATCTAATGATGGCATTCTCCGCTAACTTCGTCACTGTAGACTACTTCAAGACTACCGTATCTCTCGCCACGACTGCACTGAACAATCTTCCCCGAGTGCTTGTTTCTGTAGTGCCTCACTTTCTCATTCTGGCAGCTTTTGGTGGTTTCATACTATGGAACAATGGTGTCGTCTTGGGTAAGTCTTTGCAACGAGGGTATTGCACGCTATGGAGACTAATATATTTTATAGGACACAAGGAATTCCATACTGCAGGTCTTCATTTGCCCCAGATGCTTTACATCTGGCCTTACTTCCTGTTCTTTTCGTGGCCTATTCTCGCCATCCCCGTTGCCAATCTAGTCCTCCCAAGGAGCTTTCTTCCAAAGCTCTTGGATTACAGCTTCCCCAAGAGACAGAGGGGACTCCCATCCTCATTGACTATTTTGGCGGTCGTTCCGGTTATGCTGGCTGCGGTTCATTACAACACCATTGTCCATCCTTTCACTCTGGCCGATAACCGTCACTATGTCTTCTATGCCTTCCGAATCCTCCGGTATCACCCAGCTATCAAGTACGGAGCCGTGCTAATTTATTTCCTTGGTGCTTGGGCAGTTATTTCTGCATTCGGCTTCACCACGATTGCGCCAGCGCCTCGATTGATGTCCATGCCGCCGCAGTCTCAACAACCGCCGGCTCCGGCTTCAGATCTGGCTCCCACAAAACCAGTTACGAGGAAAGAAAAGAGAGAACAGCAAAAGGAAGCCGACAGGAAAGCCAAAACCAACCGCAAACAAGTAGCCCCGAAACAGGCTGCTCCTCCTGAACAGAAAGATCCTGTCACGCCAGAAGTCATGGCAAGGATCCAGGCGCACATTGCTACGCGCCAGAAGCAACAGTTGGAACCGACCCGGGTGAGCTTCGTGATTATTTGGCTTGCTGCGACGGCTCTTTCGCTGGTCACAGCGCCCCTTGTCGAGCCCCGTTACTTTATCATCCCGTGGGTTATGTGGAGATTGCATTTACCTCCGCAGCCGATTCCGGCTGTTTATCGTCTAAACCGACCGGAGGAGGAAAAAGAGATTGTTCGTGCGCACGTGGTGGCTTATTCTCCTCTGTTCTTGGAAACCCTGTGGTTCTTGGCTGTTAATGCTGTGACGGGATATGTTTTCTTGTACAAGGGTTTCGAGTGGCTACAGGAACCGGGGATGATCCAAAGATTCTTGTGGTGAATGCAATAAATTCTCACTTCGTGTGCTTGTTCCTTGTGCGTTACTATCATTGTACAATATGAGATAGACCATCCTAGATAATCCTCCCTGATGAACTTCGCAGGAGGATTTGATGATAGACCACATTAGACCGCCATCGGATAGTGATAGAATTAAGTCCTTCATACCTCGTCCATCTTGTTTTGTGGCTCTGATAACCCTAGATTTGCATTGTTAATACCGCGTCTTCGGTTGTGGTAAATATGAGGGCGTGGCAGATTCAATGAAAATGACCGTTTAGTTTTATCATTGCCAAGAATTATTTAGAAAATAGTTGGTGTTAGTACACTGTGAGAAGAAGAACATGTTTCCTCATCAATCCAATATTCAGGTTATACTTCGGTTTATGGCTCTGTATTATCTTCCTTATGCCGGACGAAACCCGTCGCTTCAATGGCTGCGTCACTTGCGGTCTTCCACTTCTCGCGGCCCCTTCTTTTACCATCATCACCACCACCAAATATCCATGATAGAGATGAATCACCCTGCAAAAAGGACAAAACTTTCATCTTCTGAGCACCATGAGTCAACAAATCCCGATGAATCACCGGCACGAAACAATGGCTTGGCATCACTCCACCGATCTATTACGCCACCTCCACAACGACGCCAGAGATCTACTGGCACTACAGCAGTATCTGATGAGATAAAAACCACTGGAACTTCAAAGCAGGAAGAGATACCTACTACCATTCATCCATCCCCAATCCAACTCACCCACGTCCGGGATCTACCTGCGTCGTCGGGGAACAATGTCGACACTGTTCGGCTGCGAGATATTCTCGGGGATCCGATGATCCGCGAATGCTGGCAGTTTAATTTCTTAATTGATGTGGATTTTCTAATGATCCAGTTTGATGAGGATGTCAGGGACTTGGTCAAGGTGAAGGTTGTACATGGATCGTGGAAGAGGGATGCGCCTAATCGGATACGAATTGATGTACGGAGTAGCTCTTCCCTCTATTTTCAGATCAAAGTATGCTTGCTAATGGTGTTAAAGGAACAATGTTCGAGATATCCTAATGTGGAACCGATCGTTGCATATATGCCTGAGCCGTTTGGGACACATCATTCCAAGATGATGATTCTGCTTCGACATGATGATCTTGCTCAGTATGCTTTCCATCCATGACGCTCAGGCTTCAATTTGTTAACGGTACTAGGGTAATAATCCATACTGCCAACATGATCCCCGGAGACTGGGCAAACATGACTCAAGCTGCCTGGCGCTCTCCTCTTCTACCACTGTTACCAAACACATCCACCCCTGAAGGGACCGGGGGCTATGGCAGCGGAGCCAGGTTCAAGAAAGACCTACTCAGTTATCTAAATGCATACGGACGAAAAAAGACAGGACAGTTGGTCAAGCAGTTGGAACGTTTCAATTTCCAGGCTGTGCGGGCAGCGCTGATAGCCAGCGTGCCTTCGAAACAGAAAGTTGAGACTATGAACGCCAAAAAGCAAACGCTGTGGGGATGGCCGGCTTTGAAAGATATTATACGACATGTCCCGCTGGCGCCGCATTCTGGGACGGCACATATTGTACTCCAGGTAACTGACCCATCCTAGAAAGCATAGCAAAACCCGCTGACGAAGAGCAGATATCCTCGATTGCATCACTAGGCCAAACAGACAAATGGTTAAACGATATCTTCTTTGATTCTCTCGCGCAATACTCATCCCCAACACCGCATCCGCGGTTCTCTATTATCTTCCCTACGCCGGACGAGATTCGTCGTTCACTCAACGGCTACGGCTCCGGTGGATCCATTCACATGAAGACGCAGAGTGCGCCTCAGAAGAAACAGCTACAGTACATACGTCCTTATCTGCGACAATGGGCAGGGGATAGTGAATTTGGTCTCGAGACATCATCTGCTGAAGCAGAATCTATTCCTCGACAGGAAGCGGGTCGTCGTCGTGCGGCGCCTCATATTAAGACCTACATACGGTTCTCAGATGCAGGAATGGAATCTGTAGACTGGGCGATAGTGACCTCTGCGAACCTGTCTACCCAAGCGTGGGGTGCAGCTGTTAATGCGCAGGGAGAAGTTAGAGTCTGCAGCTGGGAGATTGGTGTGGTTGTATGGCCCGGATTGTACGTTGATGGTTCTCCGGAGACTAAGACAGCCAAGATGGTTCCGTGCTTCAAGCAAGATCGTCCCGCTAAAACCAAGTCTAGTCTAGAGGATGTCCTAGTCGGATTCCGAATGCCCTACGATGTCCCGTTAACACCGTATGGACCTCGGGATGAGCCATGGTGCGCAACGGCAAGTCACCCGGAACCAGACTGGTTAGGGCAGACATGGGATGGTTAGACAGCTCCCAGTGATAACTATGGTGATAAACTCGCATTCAATTGTAATGATATACTATCTGTGACTAGCAATATCCTCCCCCTCCCCCCCCCCCCCCCCCCCCAAAAAAAAAAAAAAAAAAAAAAAAAAAAAAAACAACTACCAAAAGCCATATGTATGCCAAACACGCGCGTAGATGCGTTTACGAGCGGGTGCCGTACTTGTTGATAAGAGTGTCAACCTGCTTGATGTAGAGGACCAGAGCCTTCTGCTCGCTGATGTGGCTAATCTCCTTCCAGGCGTTGTACTTGTACTTAGCCTGTATGCTGTCAGTTTCCGTCCCATCCTTTCAAGGCAACAGATAAGAAATGCAAACCTCGAAATTGAACATCGACGGCTGAGCGGGGGTCTCATTGTTCGCACGCTTGTAATACTTGTACAGCTATTGATTTCCAGTCAGTAACTCATTCATTCTTACATCCAAGAAAAGCTTCTCCCCAACTCCCCAGAACAGAAAACGTACATCCAACTTCTCCTCCGGCGCAGGCTCCTTCTCCAACATCTTGACAACCTGGGTCGCATACTCGAAGCCCTTCTTGAGCAGCTCGGCCTGCTCGCCGCTCAGTGTGGCGGCGGTCTCGTCCATGGCCAGAGCGGCATCGATGGCGGCCTGGAGGGTCTCCTTGGAGGGGGCTAGGGCAGCCGCGGCATTTTGGACCTCGGGGGTGAAAGAGGAGGTGTTGGTGATGGTGTTGAGGTAGGCGGACATTTCGGCGTTTTGTTTTGTGAATAAAAATAGGATCAATAAGAGTGGTCTTGTGGTCTGTAGTGACGGAGGATGAGATGCGTTGAGGTGGTTGAGTCTTGTTGATGGTGGGGGGAGAAGTGGGGTAGCCTAGCTATTTATGCCGGGCTGTGAGTCTGATGACTGATTTATGCGAATAATGAAGGGAATCTATTTGTACAACTCTACATTGCGATGATACTCTATCTGACATTGTAAATTAAGTAGCCAACAAACGCCATAAATGCTAGCAAAGACGGGTATTTGATGCGATAGCTAAAACAAAAGAAAAAAGCAATCTCCAGAGCGAAAGGAAAAAAGATCACCAATCAACCGCCCACCCATTCTTATCCAGAAACTCCTCACAAGCCGCCTTAAGCGCATAATTAGGCCGTAGATCTTTAACCGACATGCTCACTCTCGTCAAGGGATCAGTCCCAGACTGCTCAACATACTTGACGATTCCCACGCGATCGAAACTGGTCCCCGACGGCGTAATGACCGGATCGTGCATGATCTCAAATGAGATCCCATCGACCAGATAGTCCGGCACTACCCGCTCAGCAATCTCCCCCTTCGATGCAGCCTGGAAAGCCTCGCGAGTATTTTGGATATTCTTATCCATGTCCCCACGCAACGCCTTCTCATCTTCCACGTATCCGATCTCCCCAATCTCCCCGGCATCTAGCTGACGGCGCAGTTCGTCTAGTGAGCGCTGCAGCTCAGTCTCGATAAGCCCCTCCACTGTCGCAAGGGTATCGTTCATTTCGCGGAGACGTCGGGTCTCTTTAAGTGCCCAGATTTGCTGCTTAGCCCGCAGAACAAACTTGGAGAGGCTCTCAGTCTGCGGGGACTTAGCGGAGAGACTGTCGCGGTAGGCTTCAATGGCGATATCGTAAGCGGCTTGTGGTTGGTGTTGGCCTAGGAGTGCCTGTACAAGATAGCTGGAGCTTTTGAGACGGTTGGGACTTTCGTGTCCGTAGAGCGCGATGGCAGCGCGGGCATCTTGTTCGACACCGGACCATTTCTCCAAGCGCAGACGGGTTAGCGCGCGGTTGGTGAAGAAGGTTGGTTCGCGGGAGTTCTTCTGGATCCTATTGTTGGGCTTCTTTTTTAGTGGACCGAAATATACAAGACTAGAGAGAAACGCACGCTTGGGAGAAGAGCTCTTCGGCGCCATTGTAATCGCCCTCTTTGTAGAGCCGATTGCCCTTTTCCTTTAATTCAAAAGACATGCTTCGTTTTGGGCAACTAAGACAAATGATCTGAAAATAGTACAGAAACAAGACCACATCTTTAATGGCAATAATTTTGTTGATTGTCGAAGCTGATCGATCCCCGCAGAATCCAGCTGACTCAGAGTCTACAACAGCGCTCGTACTAGGCCCAAAGAGGAAATCTGTTGATATGCCCTCTTTCCTGGTTGAGTTGCAGCAGTATATTGTATTGATGTTACTTAGCTTCAAAGAGATAATGAGTAACCTTGCTTGGGCTGTGTTCACCAAATTCATCATCGTCTTCATGATCGTCGTCAATCCAGCCACTCATCCTTTTCATCTTTCTCAGTCTTATCAGTCTCGTCAGCATCATCACCATCAAGGCCAAACTCTTCAGATACTGAAGCCACGCACTGCACCTCACCTCGCACTTTCCCAGCCTAAAACTGTTGTATCCTTCATCCATCAGACTGCACCAACTTCCGGTCCAGGTTGGCTACGACTTCGCTGTAGGACTTCTCACCAAGCCATCCAATATCCATGAAAAACTGATGAGGCTGACAAAACCATGCAAATGGAGCCAGAATACGGAAGTATACTTTCTAGATTACCCGGCCCTCCTCAATAGCTAGTATTTCGTGTATTTCACCGGATTCAGCTGGTAGATCTTCCGGGAAGCATATCCACAGAGAGAGTTTTGAAGATTCAGCTTATTGTTGGTGTATCCAATTTTCAAAATAAGTGATAGTAAACAGATATATCAGAGGCGAGGAAACTTGTACTTAAGTGCAGGAAGACCAGCCTTAGGAAATGAGCATAAGACGGATGGCTGGAAGGCACGATGTCCTTCAAGAAAACTGCCACTCCGAGACGGTCTGGTGGTGATTGGGACCCAAACGATTTTTCTTCCAATGTATGGATAATGAATCATTAATCTGTTTCTTGAAAAGAATACGGTCTGGGCAACCTCCCGTATGGCCCGGCTGACCAGGAATAACGACTTCCGTGGTTCCCAGCAACACTTGAAATTTGAAACAAGAGGATATTAGTATGCTTACAAAACACCAAACGACAACCCTCACTGAGTAGACGACCGTATATTACAGGGTCTTGGAGAGGAAAGCTACAATAATTCTAGAAAATAATTCGGAACACATTAGCACATGTACTTTGTATATTGAAATATCTTTAACTATATACGGAAGAAAGTAAGGTTCAGCCAGCCAAATTCATCATAGTCGTGGTATCATAACGCTAATAATCAAAATGTTGAAGAGGGCTGAAAATGGCACCATCTGAATGTCGTATCTATACAATCACCTCGCAGACCGAGTCTTATCAACGAAACGAGGCCTAAGTCTTCGAACGTAATCGTATGTCTGTTAACACATGTACACATAGTTCGCATTACTGAGCAGAGAGCTCTGCCTCATAGTCACAGATAGCCTGGACCTTAGCAGCAGAAGAACTCTTAGGATCGAAGCGGTAGGTAATCCATTCCGAAGCCAGCTTCTTCGCCAACTCGATACCAATAACCCGCTGGCCGAAGCAGAGCACCTGAGCGTCGTTGCTTAAGATGGACCGCTCAACGGAGAATGAGTCGTGGGCAGTGACGGCACGGATTCCGGGAACTTTGTTTGCGGAGATGGCAACACCCAGACCGGTTCCGCAAATGAAGAGACCACGGTCCGCTTTGCCTTCGCGGATGAGTTTAGCGCCGGCGACGGCAGGGTGTGGGTAGGCGGTTTTGTCGGAGGTGGAGTCGACACCGACGTCGATTATGGAGGCGACAAGGGGGTTCTTTTCGAATGCGGCTTTGAGGGTTTCCTTGTAGGGTTGGCCGGCTTCATCGCAGGCGAAGACGATACGGAGGGGCTGGAGGTCGGTCATTTTGTATAGATAGAGAGTGAGATTAATAAGACAGGGTGGATAATCAGTACAAAAAAAGTGGACTGTAAAAGGAAAGTGGATAGATCGGAAGTAAATCCAGAGGTCCGGGAGAGAAGAGGATTTGGATGATGATTATGGTGATGATGAGGATATTGAGGGGACATTGACGGCCCTTAAATAGCTGGGCCTGACCATACTCACCCCTCCTGAATCTCATTGTTCTTGTCTCAACTTCGTCCCTTTCTTCTCGGAACCACAAACAATTCTGATGCCAAACAACAAAGATGCCTGAGTTGCATATACAAGTATGGAATGTCCGATGCTCAACGACTACTGGTTTCGGCCACAGCCCCGCCGTGGCGTCATGCACATCGGGGAGCTAGCCAATGAGAATATAACTAAGTTGGATGGTTCGGTAATATACACCAGGATGGGACTCGCTAATACAGGGTCGTAATGAGAGACTGCACTAGCCGTTTCGGGACATCTGCAGTTTCTACGGAATCTCGGGATACTCAATGCAGTACTCCTAGGTGTACTACTATGTACTACTATGGGGTAGCATGTACTCGTGGTAGGTCGATATGGTCATGTGCAAACGGCTTTCCTCTTTAGTAGTAGGAGACACTAAAATTGGACTGTTTATGTAGGTGTACAAAGTGGCATTCAACGTTATGCTCGGTAGACAGACAACGATCCTACCATGTACAGTGGACTGATGCTAATTATTCCCGCATCGCAAACAAAACCGGATTTTATATCATCACGGCATCCAGCCCAGCCTACAATTACGACCCCAATATAGATAGAGTTGCCCGTTCAATTGCGCTTACATACTCTTTAGGGTATGGTGCAGTCGTCAATTGTATTACTTCATCCCATCCACCGTCTCATTGGTGGCCAGTCTCCTCCAGAACGGCCGATATTGGAAAAAAGCTTCAAATTCAAGGAATGGAATCGAATCGTTTTAATGGACAAGAAGAGGAGAGGGGATTCAGAGCTACTCTGAGGTGTGTTGAGGGGCACGGAATGTTGCCTTCCTCAGGGGAAGGGGGGTGTATACACGGTAATTATTGGAGGAATCGCTTCCGATGACTTCGTAGACAAGTGTATAGCATCGTAGTTGCCTGTTTGAGTTCGGTTCCTGTGTATTCCGATGATGACATCAGTCACTATCCAGTACAGAGTATAGGCACAAGTATACTCAGATGAGACCAGTCCTTGGCTAAGAGCAGGACCAGATTTGACTGTTTCCATCTGAATGCTGCACAATGGCTCTGCGTATCTCTGTACACATGCCCCATACATATCTTTAGAAGTCACGGGACCCCCACGCTCACGTGCTGCACTACAGGCCAAGTATACACACATACGATGTGGCAGATCTATATAGCGAACAGAATCTATACTCATCTCTACTAACCTTCTACTCTATACCATCCACAATCTGTACAGATATATACAGTCTATGTTGATACCAATATGCCTCCAACACTCCCCCAAACCCTCCTTATCGTCTCCCTCAAGATGTACTTCGCCCCTTCCCGCACCCTCTCCTACCTCCGCGGCCTCCTCGAACTCAGCGCCAACTCCAACAATTCCAACAAAAAAGACCTCCTCCTAGCCCTCATCCCTGACTTCCTAACCATCCACCCCTGCGCCGAGATTCTCCGCGAAGCCAACGCCACGGACACCTTCCTCCTCGGTGCCCAAGACTGTTTCTGGGAAGCCCTTGGCCCTTACACCGGCGAAGTCTCCCCCCTCGCCCTACGCGATCTCGGCGTATCAATCGTCGAGCTCGGGCACGCAGAACGCCGCGCCATCTTCCACGAGACGGATGACGAGGTCGCAAAGAAGGCGAAAGCTGCTTGTGAACATGGGCTAATCCCGCTAGTTTGCGTGGGGGAGATTACGGTCCCCGCGGGGGATCGGGCGATAACACGGGCTATCGAGGAAGTTGCTGTACAGGTAAGGCCAGTTCTCGGTGCTATACCCGCTGATGCGCCGGTGATTTTTGCCTACGAGCCGGTTTGGGCGATTGGGAAGCCCGTGCCTGCGGGCGTGGACCATGTGTCCGCTGTTGTAGAAGGCATCCGTAATGTGGTTCGGGAGTCTGGGGGTAGTGGTAGGCAAGGAGAGGTGCGGGTGCTGTATGGGGGAAGCGCGGGTCCCGGATTGTGGGGAGCGGGCGGTCTGGGGAAGGCAGTTGATGGGATGTTTCTGGGGAGATTTGCACATGAGATTGACGGCGTCCGAAGGGTGGTTCAAGAGGTGGAGAAGACTCTGTAGTTTCTTTCGCGGATTACTGTTTATAGATGATGGTCCCATGTTGTCATGTCGGTGTAAATGGTATCGAATGCGTTACAATGAATTTACAATGGATTTACTGGTACATACAACATTCCCTAGATATGTTATTCATAATGGTCCAGATTGATCCACATGCTCGGGTTCACCTATTTGGGGCTAGTTGAAGCTTTATTTGCATGTCAGATGAGCTTGAAGATTTTTTTTTTTTCAAATTTTTTATTCTCTTTTTGTTTATTGCTTTACTCGGACGAGAGAGCACTACAGCTACAGCTCTCGACGTAGCAGCGGTGAGCAAGAACAAACAGCTGACAACACTGATTGAGCAATCACTTCTGCTGTCTCAACTCCTGCTTCACACGGGTCACAGTGCCTATTCCCCCATACGTGACCCCTGTGTACATCATCGCCACGGAAGCCCCTGCATCCAGAGCAGCCCGCGCCTGTGCTCCATTCGTGATACCCCCAGACGCGAAGATGGTCTTGCGACCATACTTGTCCACGGGCTCTGCGGCTCCCACCGCCGGTACGTTCTCGCGGTCTGGTTCTGTTTCTTTAGCCGTCGCCGTTTGTTCTTGCATGCGCTTCTCCAGTTCCGGCATGTTTGGCATATCCAATAGTGCGCGGTATCGTGCAACTAACGCAACCGTGCGGTCGGCCAGTTGGGGGCCGGAGTAACCACCTGTTTCCTTGACTATGGGTTGTTCGTCCTCTGGTAAAATGCTTCCCTTGGGTAGCGGCGCCGGGCGCCGGTTGGTTGTGTTACCCACGATGACTCCGTCAACGCCGGAGCCCCACACAGCGTCGCAGATGCCAGATACTTGTTCGTCTGCGTCCTCGTCCGGGCTGACCTTGACCATCACGAACGGCTTGGTCTTACGTTCCACGCCTTTTGCTGCACCAACCACGGCACTCAGGATGGCCGTCAGAGGCTCCGTCGCCTGAAGGTCACGGAGACCAGGGGTGTTGGGACTCGACACATTTACCACCAGGATATCGGCGTACTTAGCCAGACGGTCGACGCAGTACACATAGTCCCGCTTGATAGCTTCGATGTCCGAGTCAGACGTGGCCTTGTTCTTAGCCACCTGTACCGCGAGCAGTTTGCCAGGCACCAGACTTCCTGGCGGGACGTTCGCCTCGCCGTTCAAAACACGTTCCTGAGACAATTCGTGTTCCCCGAAGCCATGCGCATACGCAAAGTCACGCAGACGCGCCTGCAAAACCTCTGCCATGTGGTCCGCGCCCTTCGAGTTCAGACCGTACCGGTTGATGATTGCATGTTGCGATGGGAGACGGAAAACACGCGGCCGTGGGTTTCCTTCTTGCGGCAACGGAGTCGTTCCGCCAACTTCAACGATCGCAGGTCCGATATCGAAAAGCGCGTCTGGGATATCCGCGTGCTTGTCAAGGCCACCGGAGATACCAATAGGGTTGGAGAGCGTATATCCAAAAACCTAAACGAGACAATTCCTGAGCATTCACGGCCTAACTTTCGTGTGTTTGGAAACAAACCTCTGTCGCCAATGCGCCATCACCATCCGGGTTTCCACGCTCCCGGGGATTGAGACCAAATCGGTGGAGTTGCTTCAATGTCTCCACAGTAAAATGATGCGCTTCTTCCGCATCAGGGTACAACAGCCGGATCAACGGAGGCACCGCAAACCGGTGAATGCTAGCCCTGGTGTCTGACCCGTAGACAAAACCAACCAATAGAGCCAAAGCCAACGATGTACGGAAGAATTTCTTAGACCGGCGACCTCCCTTCTTAGGAGACGGTGCAGGCGCCGGTACCAGGGCCTCTTTGGGAGCTTCCTTAGCCTCCTTTGTAGCCTCCTCAGCGGTCTCTTTAACGGCTTCCTTGGCCTTCTCGGCCGTCTTGGGTTTTGCATTCGATGAGTAGCACCTCAACGAGCTTCGTATTTGTACAGCAGCGCGACTATAACAAATCGGAGATCGTTGAGCGAGCGGAAGAGCGCGAGCCCTTAAGCCCGCAAACCGGAAAGCAAGGGTGGCAGAGCTTGCGACCATTATGAACAACACGAGCGCTAATATTAAGCAGAAACCATTGGCTAACTATCAATGCGTAGTGAGTATCTGGGGTTTTGTTAGTCTGTTATACAGAAAATTAGGCTCTATTGACGCATGACATAGCCATCCCATGCTTGTACGTACCCTAGCCGGTGAAGCCGATCAAGGAAGCATAGTAAACAGAAAAAGGCTCGGGGAACTTACAATCGCAATATATCCCACAAATTCAGACGGTCTAAGCAAAGCAAGGAAGAGCAGCAAGCACCCTCCATGTAAATGTGTGCACTTCGTATGAAGTCGCAATGAGGAGAGGAATCAATCTCGATGCGATTTTATATTTTATTCCGCTTCCGGTTGTTTTTCTCTTGCGTCAGGCCGGCGGGCGGTCGGAAGTTTGGGCCAGCAGAACTTTTCCTGGCGGTGTGCGGTATACATATACTATCAGATAGACCTTTCTCCTCCTTCGAATTGTGTTATACAAATGGGCAAAGGGATTGATAATTATGAGGCAACAAAGTATATATATTGAAATGCCATGTCCGTGGCACCAAACGCCTATCGTTTTCTGCCCTTAACACCGACACCAATGGACTGACTCCACGACTATTTGCAGCAGCATGAAGTCTCGCTTGACAAGTTTTAAACTGATTATATGATGATCTGTTAAAATTGAAGAGATACATGGGTATGTGCTCCGAAAATGTAATTAGCTTTGACATAAATGCAACCCATACCAACGCCAAAACGTAGAGAAAAGAAAAAAGAGCGAAGCCGGGGCATTTACTCTTCGTCTGCTTCCTCAGGATGATCAGGACTTGGCTCCCTTTCGCCCGATTCTTCCTGTCCTCTCTCATCCCCGTCAATGTTCTCCTCCTCGAGAACCTCTTGTTCGTCATCCGCACCAGCCGGAGGAGGAGGCATGGAATCAGCAAACTTGGGATCAATGGCTGCTCGGTGCAAAGCACGCTTATAAACCTCTGCTTCATCCGGGTCGCGGACGACCACTTGAAGTTGATCAACCTGGTCTTCCTTTGTCTTCGGCTTTGTAGGTGCCAATCCTGCTTGCGCAATAGTACGCGCACGTTCAGGCTTAAGACGGGTCTTGCCTAGGATCGGGTAATAGTAGGCAGCTTTTTGTTTGGAAGGCGCACTATCCTGCTGATCCTCCACTACCTGTGCTGGATCGAATAGGGTCAAAGCGACATCTCTTTGCTTGTGGTCGTTACTTAGCGTCTGTGCGCTGGTGGCATATGTGCGAGAGCGGTCGAAACGGTGGAACTTAGTGTCATCAGGCCCATTGTGAGTATATAATTCAGGGCTGTCACGGTTAGGATTCAAGATGTCAAGACTGGATATGACATTCTGTGTTGCTTCGTTCTTATCAGGCAAGAAAAGATCGTAGTCCCACGGAATTGGACCCGGGTCGGGGTAAAGGTTAGGGTTTGTCTTGTGCAGGGCCACCTTAGTAGCATGCTCCTGGCAAACGCGCTCTTCGGGGGCAGACGGAAGGAGAACAGCAACGTCCATAGTCTTGTTGCGCTTCCCTGAGATGCCTTGTACAGGCGCCTTGTCGAATTTGAATTGAACAAAGCCACCGGGGTCCGGAAACCCTTGTAAATCGGGCATGATGGGGTAGAAACCAACAGGCTTGAGCTTCGGGTTATCCGGATGAACAGGGGTTGCCCATGCATCGTGTTCTGCCTTTGTAGCTGTGTGGCCCTTGATTTTGCTTGCGGTCTCTTCGCCAGTATGCTTGCTTTCCGGGTAGGCGGTATCGAAACCCTTCTGGATATAACGTTTAATATAGGTCGGATCATCTTGGTTCTTGTGTTTGTCTTCACGCGGCTTCACTCTTGTCGGAGTAGGCCTAGAGCCACCATCAGGGGCACGTAAACCAGCTGAGATGTACTGAGTTCGTCGCAGGAAGCTGACATTGGTGTTCTTCGGTGCCGGATTCTTCAGCTGTTCCAGATTCATGAGAAGCGGGAGGTCGGCTGGGTCAAGAGGTTGCGGGTTTTCGGGAGCCATGATAGCTATGCACCATATTTTAGCTCAGTGAAGCAAATGAGTGAACACGTAGGGATTCAGTTACTCACCACTCTCATCACCCAGATGAAGTCCTGGGATACCGACAAGATCAATTGGCATTCCACCTTCCGCATCGACATCGATATTCGGCTCTTCGCGTCGAGCCAGGTTCGACGTAAAGCCTGGCGTCAGAAACCGTTCGAGCCCCTCATGTGGGATCTCTAGAAACTTTGGGGGCATGTCTGGAGGAGGGAGATCATTCCGATAGCGTGTAGAAGCAATGTACTCCTGGTGGTAGCCCCCAGAGGAGCCACTTTTGGACTTGGACATCTTGATGTTATCGTCCGGTGTAGAGTTCAGATGGTGGGAGACGCTTCAATGAGCGGTGCTCTGCAGAAATCCAGAGATTTTAGTTGAGCCAGTCAGCCAGGACTGGGGTAATATATGATCCTTGCACTCCTGTCCCTGGCACAGGCGTTTTCAGAAAATAAGAGCGATTGGATACAAAGAGGTCTCTGTTGCGCGAATGCCGCGGAGAGAAGACTGGACTTGTTATTCTGCCAAACACTACCGCCTAAAATTAGTGAATCGAGAGGCCGGAAAATAGAATTTTCCATAGGTTCTCCTATATCAATTGTTCAAATTATGATATAACATGCCAAATCTCTAACCATGATACCTGCATATCAGAAGCTTCAGTTGCACTGCATTGTTTTGTTACAGAGAAAAGCTAACTAACGTCAATGCCATATACCAATAACCGAAACCCGTTCTCCATAGTTAAACAGACCCGAACTTAATAAGAAACGAAACATAAATCACCAAGCCCACATGCATTTATAGGCCATTAGTCTGTGACCCAAGCGATCATACTCCAATTGGCCAATCCAACTATCATTCGTTTGGTTCAGCTTTCCAAACACACTGGCACCCTTCCAGACAACGACTTGCGGATCAAGCTCTCTCGGAGGGGTACCAATCATAATCTCCTTGGCAAACCCAGGCCGTAGGTTTTTCAACCGTTCTTCGAGGAATGGGTGAAAACCATTGATCAAACTACCGCCTCCCACAATCATGATACCTCCCATGAATTCTCGCATTTTACGTTCTTCTCCACGAGTAGCGTGTGCGATGGAGGTAAGGATTGCATTGTCCAACGAAAGGATTGGAATAATATCGTCTCGTTCCTCAACAGTTGGAGTGCGAGATGTTAATGCACCTGCGCCTTGTCCACCAACAGCCGGGGTGCTGGTTCCGCCTCCATGTGGTGTAATAGTTGCCTCCGGGGCAGGAGAGCCAGCAACAGATGATCGAGGCGTAGCTTCAAGATCTTGAACGCGGCCTAGGGCATTGGTATGATGTGAGCGGCTTGGTGTTGATTGGACGTCTAATATTCTTGATGTGGTCTCTCCATTCACATGTCCATTGGTAGCTGGCGGAGCAAGAGAATTCAAGATCTCGGATTGAGCTGCAGACACCGGATCATTCGGCTGACCATCGTAGATGTCAACCGAGCGTTCAATCAATGTCCTCCGACCCTTGAGTTTATGTGAATTGTCGAAGGTAGAGGTTTGGAAGAGGCCCATTGGGGCCAGATGCCCTTCATCGTACGCCTTGAACGTGTACTTCCGTGTGTCCTGCCCAGAAACACGAAGATGAAAATCGTGAAGTTGTACCGAGACATTGGCTTCGTTCATGGTACAGATATTCTTCTTCAACTCTTCAGCTAGCAGGAAATCGTACCTACGCCACAAATTGATCTCAGCATAGGGGAAATGGTCGTACAGCATCATTTTGATAAAAGCTTCGGTAACGTCGGCGCCACCGTATTTCAGGTTGACGCGTGAGTTCTCAATACACATGCCTTCTTCCACGCAGCATATCGATGTCTTCTGCGCACCAATGTCTACCACACAGGCGGATGTGAATCCAGCGCCAAAGGTAGCTGCCAGGCTTTCTTGGATGAAGCAGACGCGAGAAAATGCAAATTCTCTCATCAGCAGCTCAAGTACCTGAGTCACGTAGGACTTTTCGTAGAGATCCGGTATTACAAAGACGCATGAATACTGCGGCCATTCTTTCTTGCTTGTAAGGCCAAGCTGGTTTTTGATCGCCTCTTCAAGAATGAGGGCAATGTCCAAAAACAGAACTCTTTTGCTGTCGTAGTCCTTTTCATTGCACCACCCATGTCGCATTGGCCAGTAGAGTTTATAGCGAGGGTTCGATAGATCCGGTATCCTTAATGCATCTTGACCAGTGATATATTCGGGTGCAGGGTTATTGAGCTCCGTCCACTCGATACGCATCGGGTCGTTGTGTTCCGAAATCGTCTCAGGTACTGTTCGACGGTTGTAGTTGACAACCATTTCCTTCGAATTGGGGAGGGTCCGGCGTTTATTCTGCCGCATGTGGACTTTCAGGTCGGCTGCCATGGTCGAGTATTGCGAAGAAAACTATGACAGAAATCACAGTCAGTAAGTGTAACCCTAGGATTTATTCTCAAAAACGCAAAACAAACCTCCTGGCCAAACATCTTCTCTGGTTCCAGTTCAGAGCCGTCTTCCATCTTCAACCTCTTCGGATTCGGTTCTTCTTGGTCCTCAGATTCGCTGGTAGCAGATTTCCTCGCGATGACCATGGGGATAGTCTTTGGTAGCGCATCGCTGGCCAACCCGATTCGTAAGTTCTGACTGCCAAGATGCATGACAATGACCTTGGAGCCAGCTGTTTCCTGGGTCTCTTCAGTTCCATCTTCCATGTTCGTGTCGCCATCCAGATCCGCGTCCGCTTCTGCATCGTTCCCCTTCATCGCAAGTGCACGGTCCCGGTCCTTGGCCGTTTTGGCCATGCGATTTCGATTCTCTTCATTTTGTAGTCGGAATGCGAGATACTGATCGTCTCTCTTGAGGTAGTCGCTAGAGCATAGAACCAGGAGTCAGCGAGAAAGCCATGAAAGCGACACCGGTTGTAGGTTCAAGCACGTACGTGTAGTAATTCTTCTGATTAATTGGAGGTACCACAGGCCAGGTCGATAATTCCATGTTATTATCGGTTCGCTCAAGACCTATGACAAGTTTCAAGACATCAGCCCCTGTATCTCAACTCCGCATAACTTTCGGGGCCGGACTAGATCCTTACCTTCATCCCGAAGGAGAGCCTTTCCAGACTTTTTACCGACCATTGTGTTCTTTCTTCTGGAGGGAACGTCGGATGACTCCGAAGCAATATGGCGGAAATGAGGCGGGTCGCAAGGCGTAACGGAGCGAGAGTGACGATACTGGTGCGATTCTTCAGATAACGAACGCCATGAGTGTAAGCGATAATAGTTGAGCGGAAGGAATTATTTTCCTAAAGGATGGGATGAGAAGCGCACGTGGTGATGGTGGACAATTGAGAGGTGGACAGGAGAAGGTGAAGAGAGAAAGAAGCGCGCCTTTCCGCAGGGTCATTCCATTATTATGTGTTCCATTCTCTTTCCTCACTCTCCCATCGGTTTTCCCTTTCCATCCCAAACGGCAAGCTTGGACCAGGGCCCCGATCGCCGCCGCCCGCAAAAATAACAGCGCCACTAGGCAGTGTTTAGTCAGCCCCATGATCTCGTGTGCCTACAGTTTGGTTATGTTGATTCCTCTCTATCCAGCACCATCACTTTCATTCTACTTCTGACCTATATAACTACTCGAGATCCCTTCTTATTAAGGGCAGTTGCGAACGCGTTCTCTCCCTCCACAACTCAATCCGCCACCGCTTTCCTTGGGATCTCCGCAGCCATCTCCTGTCAAGACACCGATCGCGAGTCCGACTTCTGCTATTCACTATTCACACCCTTCTCCTCTCTATTACAAACCGGATACAGAAATATGGGCGCCTCTCTGTCAAGAATATGGAACTTGCTTTGGTCGAAGAAGGAAATCCGGATTCTCATTCTTGGACTCGTAAGTTGAATGGAAGGTCGACACGAAGTAGACCTTTACCGTGCTGATCAATTTCTCTGGACAGGATAATGCCGGAAAGACGACTCTTCTTTATCGCTTAAAGGTATGGTGGTTGACGGCTCTTGTTATTGAGGAATGATGAACTGATGTCTCACTTTGGACAGATCGGCGAAGTTGTAACGACCATACCTACTATTGGTTTCAACGTTGAATCGGTGACATATCGAAATCTAAATTTCAATGTCTGGGTACGTCGCTTTACCTGCATTATATCAATGCTTTGATTATGGACAATGAAAATGCAAGCGACGGCTGCTAACACGGTGTCTTTCAATTGTAGGATCTGGGAGGCCAAACATCGATTCGTCCATACTGGCGATGCTACTATGCCAATACTGCTGCGGTCATCTTCGTTATCGACTCGACGGATATTGAACGGTTGGGGACCGCAGCCGATGAACTTGCTACTATGTTGAACGAGGAGGAACTCCGCGATGCCAACCTTTTGGTATTTGCCAACAAGCAAGACCAACCGGGTGCCAAGGGCGCTGGCGAGATCTCAGAAGCCCTGAAGCTTGGAGAGCTGCGGGACCGAAACTGGAGCATCGTCGCATGCTCTGCTATTGATGGTAAAGGTCTTGACGAAGGCATGGATTGGCTGGTGGTAAGTTCCCTTTTCGATCTGTAGGAGGCACATCGCCAGGTTGCTGACCTCGCCTGTGCACGCAGCAAACCATTCAGTCGGACAACGCATAAACGCCGGCGTCTTTTGCGTCATGATATAAATTCACTTCTTCGATATACTCATCTCAGAACCCGCTCGGGGACTCGGGGGTGCCTCCTCTGGTACGTGAGGTGCCATTGTCCTCATTTCTTCCTGACTCTGTTACTGAGTCTGTGTTTTTACATCGACAGCTTTTTCCCTATGCTTTTAATATCCCTAATCGTTGGTTTGGTTGTTATGACATGCATTGTTGCATATGATTCGTGGAGCCAGAAGTCGACCTGTTCAAGCAAAGCTTTATGGATTGTGCTGGTTCAATGATTTCTGTTTTATTTTCTTTATCTTTCCCGTTTTATATGTTCTTTTACTGGGCCTATAGCTCATGGGCTACGATGGACACTGATTGGGACAGTGATGATTCCCAATAAGCTTGCTTATGAAGATAGAGTCACAATGCATCGGTTGCGACGTGTAGCTACAATATTTTTGCTACTAAGCTAGTATCTAGTTAAACAATTCGACTGCAGATAAGTTGACTGTAAGCTAAAATTATTTCTTTTTACAGGTTCCATACATATCATGTACTACGAGTAAAAACCCTGAATGGACAGCTACTTGTCTTATCTATAGTTACTTCTCTCATATCAGTGTCATGAAGTACCATCCAATATGCAGATATTGACCCAATCATCCCTGCAAGCACCGGTGGATGCAAGAGCAACCCCTCTTCTGATGCTCATGCATGTACACAACGCCCAGGATACAAGAGGCATCGCCCCAAGCACGGCCCAGTACAGCTCCTACTCAACTCTGTTCCTCGTTTCTGTTCAATCGCTGCTTATCAGAAAATACTATAAACCTTGACGACTATAACGATGCAAATCCCCGAGACCCAGATCGCTGCTGTCCTCCCACCAACTGGTGCATCCCCGACAGCCCAGCTCCAGATAAGCACTACTCGTCTTGTTCCAACGCCAGGAGAAGGGGAGATTCTGGTGAAGCTTGAATATTCTGGAGTGTGTCATTCAGATGTGCACAATGTCCGCGGGGAGACGCCTATGTTGACAGGCGTGGCAGGCCACGAGGGAGTGGGGAAGGTTGTCCGAGGTCGGTGATTATACCCGGATGTATTCAAAACTACCATGTTAATTAATTTCTGTTCGACAGTTGGCCCAGGACTTGATGAGACAAAGTGGATGGGGGAAAGAGTTGGGATAAGGCGAGAAAGAAGTTTAGTTTGCGTACTATTACAGGCGACTAACCTGAGACAGATGGCTATATAGCGCTTGCTTAAGCTGTGAGATTTGCGCAGTAAATCAGACTGCATGTCCTTATCAGAGAAATGCTGGTGCAGTAGGTTTTTCTTTCCTTGTCTGGAGTATATACGGAGTACATGTGGACGATATCTGACATGTTGCAGAATGTCCCCGGCACGTTTCAACGCAAGTGCAACCTCTGGCATACTACTATTGTTAAATGCAAGGCACTAATCAAGTGCAGAGTATATTGTCAGCCCTGCAATCCATGTGACGAAGATCCCTCCTGAGCTTCCTTCGGATACAGCCGCGCCGCTTCTATGTGGTATGGATGTTCTGCCTGGCTCTAAGATTCTATCAGGACCCATAAGTGGCTAAATAAGTGCAGCTGGCATTGCTATGTACTCTTCTATTATGAAGACCAAGACCAAACTGGGTGATTGGCTCGTTCTGCCTGGAGCCGGGGGAGGTTTAGGGCATATGTACTTGTTCCGGAATCCCTGTTGCTACCTTAGGAACTAACACTGATTGACCAGGGGAATACAAATCGCAGTAAAGAAAGGGTTGAAAGTGATCGCCATTGACAGGTGCACATTCCAAATGAATCGCATAGTTGAGCAGTTTCGGTTGGTTAACCGATTTGTCAATGCACAGCGGCGAAAATAAAAAGCAACTTTGTCTCTCACTAGGTGCTAGTTGCTTCTTAGACTACAGAACGGACGATGTTGAAAGTGGGGTTAAGTCTCTGACATCCGGCTTAGGTGCACATGCCGCGGTATGCACCGCTCACGGGGAGATGGCGTACATGCAAAGTATGCGTCTGCTCCGCCGTCTGGGTGTGTTGGTTTGTGTCGGTATTCCGAGTACGCCATTTAGGCTACCTGCTACTCCGCTCGACATGATCGCCAAGGGTGAGTAGGAGCAATTGGAAAATGGATTTGGTGCATTGTTAACATTGCTAGGGTTGACAATTGTGGGTAATTCCGCCGGGACTCCAGAAGAGATGAACGAATTGATAGAGATGACCATGATAAAAGGAGTCCAGGCGCATATTGAATGCTTCGAATTGAGCCAGATTAACGAGGTTTTGCAGCGATTAGAACGAGGTGAAATTGATGGGCGGGCCGTGGTGAGGATTCCATAGTTATGTTACTGGTACTACTGCAGATACCACTTCGGTTTGAGGAATTGAGAACAAACTATGGCAAACAAACGCTCCGTTCTCACCCGTTATTTTCCATTGCGCCTTCTCACTGACTGTAACTATGAGTCCATACAAACTCTCGGTTGACCGTCCGCAGACCTCATAGTGGAAGTGTGCCCGCACACTGCCCTCTGATTGGTCCCGCACCGTCCGCATTCTCTATAGGCCCATGGCCGACACATGACCGCGTAAGAGGCTGTGACTTGCCCGTCTCTTTCCTCTACTTCCCCAATGCTTCACTGTTTCCAATTTCGGCCGCATCCACAAGAATAGCTTCTATGATCCTCCCCCACCCCAGGATGGATCGTCGTCTCCTAAACCGTCCTGCACCGTATCTTATCGCCACCCATGTGTTGCCCTGATAGGATATGACGGTGCGGTCCACTGGGGGAATTCCAAAGCTTTGGGAGAATGAGAGTTGCTAGACCCGGAGAAATAGCATCGAGGGGTCATGGTTGTGGGACTGGATGAGAGTGAGGTGCTCGTGCTCTCTAGAGGGTACGGTACCGTCTCATAGCATTTGGATTGGATTCAAAAGAAAGCGTCTCGTCCCCTCCTCTACTCTTCTCTTCTTCCTTCTCATCTTTCCCCTCTAACCACGATATTTCTCCTCCTCCTCTTTCTTTTGAGTGTTTCTTTTCCATTACACAATGGACCTTGTCAGCAGTAGTAGTCCTATTGGCTCGCTGCTGAACGGCGTCGACCGGCAGTATGCCTACATTGCAGGCACGGCATTCTTGGTGTTTGCCCTTGTGGCCGCGATTCTTCTCTTCTCCTTCCGGAAGCAGAAAATCGATTACGATAGCGGAATTTTCACTTATTTGAAGTTCATTTACGCTTCATTTCTCAAACCCCATGAAAATGGTGACGGTCAGCAAGACGCATTGGAGAGCTTCTACAAAACCCAGGTACGAATTCGAAGCAGTACCCATGTCTTACTTGCTATGTTCTCTTTTCGCTGACAGAGTCGTGTTTCTAGGCGGGTGTTTACGATGCCACCAGGAAGCGTCTTCTCTGTGGTAGGGAGGACATGTTAGGTCTTGTTGCTGCTCAGTTGAAACACAAGGTGGAAAGCAAGGCGCTCCGGCATGGAGAGGCTGTGTGGGTTGACGTAAGATCTCTCCCGTTTGATCTCTTGAAAAACGATACTAATTGTTCAGATGGGCGGTGGCACAGGGTGAGCATTGAAAACGGTTGAGCATTCGAATTCCCCTATTTTGACAAAGATAATAGATATAACATCGAAGCTATGGCTGCCTTTCTTCCCGTCGACTCATTCTTCTCGCATGTCTACCTAGTTGACCTTTCCCCTTCGCTCTGCGATATCGCCCGCCAGCGTTTCCACCGACTCGGATGGAAAAACGTCTCTGTTGTCTGTCAAGATGTGCGGACTTTCCGTCTCCCAGAAATTGAAAACGTCGACCCTCGGACCAAGGTTAGCAGAGCTATTTCGGGTGCCGATGTGGCTACTATGAGTTACAGCTTGTCCATGATCCCAGGTAAGCACAGTGGAAGGCTCCTCGATATCTTATGAGGGCAAATTCTCACTCAATTGGCAGACTACTATAGTGTCGTCGATTCCTTAACATATTTGATGAAGACTAGTGGAATTCTTGGTGTCTGCGATTTCTACGGTAAGTCAAGTCATGCACAAAGACCAGTACAGGAACTGACTTGCGGGAATAGTCCAAAGCATTGTTGATGTCTCATCCCGCAACTACATCGGTGGCGCTTTCAACCGTCATGTCAACTGGCTTGGGCGCTTATTCTGGCGTGCCTGGTTCGATTTGGATCGTGTGTCGCTCGAGGCTGCTCGTCGTGACTACTTGGAATACCGCTTTGGGACTGTCATCTCAGCTAGTGAGCGTAACTACCTCCTTGGAGGCATTCCCTACTACATCTTCATCGGGTGTCAGAAGGATGTTGTGTCAAGCCCCGCCGGTAATGACGCTATCGAAAAGTTGGACGCTTCTTTCACTGAGTCGCCTTACTTATCCCCCGCCAACCACCGACAGGAGGTGGAGAAGGCAAATGAGCAGAGTGCTCGCGAGATTCGATCCAAGGCCTACGAATCAGCCATCATCAACCTAGACTCGAACCTTCCGCTTCCATCTGCATTCTACCAGAACCACCACTACCGGATCTTCTACAACGACCTGCTCCCCAAGCACACACAGTTTGGAAACGAGTACATTTATGCTTTCAACTGGGAGGACCCTCGTGTGGACCATCGACTTTTGAATATCACCCGTGATGATGTGATCTTGGCCATCACCAGCGCTGGTGACAATATTTTAGACTACTTGCAGAACAGCCCCCGCAGAGTTCACGCTGTAGACTTGAACCCTAACCAGAACCACCTTTTGGAACTTAAGGTTGCCAGCTTCACTGCCTTGGGACACCGTGATGTATGGAAGATCTTCGGCGAAGGAAAACACCCTGAGTTCCGTCAACTACTCGTTTCTAAGCTCAGTCCTCATCTTTCCAGCCAGGCCTTCCAGTACTGGTTGGAGCACACTCATGTTTTCACATCTTCTCACGGAAAAGGACTCTACGAGTCCGGTGGGTCGCGTCATGCAATCAAGATGGTCCGCTACATCTTTAAGGTCTTTGGTCTCGAGAGCGAAGTGCGGAAGTTATGTGAAGCTCAGACCCTGCCTGAGCAGCGCGCTATCTGGCCTCGTATCCGTCGAGTTCTCATGAGTCGCCCACTTCACTGGGCTGTGGTGGGAACCGAATGGTTTGCGTGGAAGGCTGCTGGTGTTCCACGAAACCAGCGAAATATGATCATTGACGACTACTACAAGCGAAATGGTCTCAACCAAAACATGAAGCAGAGCAAGGATGTCAGTGGACAGTCAATCTGGGAGTATGTTATTGACACTCTGGATCCGGTGGTCCAGGACACCATGATCAGCAACGACAACTACTTCTACTTCCTGTGTCTTCAAGGCCAGTTCTCCAGAAAGTGAGTCAAATGGTGCCTATTAATTCTGGCCCACAGGAAACTAACAGGAAAAAGATGCCATCCCGCCTACCTTTCTCCTAGAGCCCACGTGAAGCTTTCGTCGCCAGGTGCTTTCGATGGTCTCCGTATCCACACTGATGAGATCAACGAAGTAATCAAGCGGATTACTCCTCGCAGCTTGACCATTGCAGTGGTCATGGACTCCATGGATTGGTTCGACACCGACGGCGTGGAAGCCTCTTCCCAAGCCCAGACCCTAAACTACGCCCTGAAGATGGGCGGTCGTATCCTCCTTCGTTCTGCCAGCATTGAGCCATGGTACATCAAACAATTCGAGGAGAATGGTTTCTCTGCTCGTCGTGTCGGGGCAAGGTTCCAGGGCACATGTATCGATCGGTAAGTCCACACCCGGAGAAACTTTTTTTTATGCTAACGAAGAACAAGTGTAAATATGTACGCCTCGACTTGGATCTGCACGAAGACCAAGGAGGTTCGGAAACCCTCTACAGACCGAGGGATTTCTTCGTTCTCGCTTGATGAGAAACGACCGAGCGTTGACCACCTCGAGCTTTAGTCTTACATTGCTTCTATGATTATCTATTATGAAACTCGAGTTAATGGTCTGATCTGCGTTACACTATTTTTTTTCGTTACAAGGCCGTGAGATATTTAAGGGCATGGTGTAAATAAACTGGCGTTTGGGCCTTTCTTGTTCATATACCTGGGTTTGACGATGAAGATGACTAGATTTCTATAAGAGAATAGGTGTGCACTTTTTTATAGAGCAGCCCCTGCTGATGTCAATGTATGACATGCATATGCAGCTAATTCTCCTTTCACTAATCCGACTTGGACTCAAAACAATGTTACACATGAACATAGTTTGAAACACATATACGGTATTAACAGTCAAAGAAAAATGTAATAAAATGGAATCGTATACATGTAATTAAAGCAAGTAGGCTCATGAGATTCAGATCCCAAGCGGTCATCATCAATCAATAGAGATACATAGCGAAACTCACTCCCTTTTCACACGCTTCGATTATGTCCATAAAGATCTAGGAGAGTCGCAACGAATACGGAGAGTCGAATTACTGGCAAATATGAAGAAAGAGCTTCCAATGTGAAGACACGGACCGTTTCAAGTATCCATATCCGCATTATCAGTCAAACCGGTAGAAGCCCCTACGATCGGCCATACTTGGTCTTTCCGAACGAAAAGGGAACGTAGCGGTATTTTATCATGTGCTGGATTTGGCGGCGCACTTTAGAACGTTAGCAAATGCGGACGAGTTATAAGCATCACAAAAAAGGACACCTACTCGTCAGAACGAAAAGAATAATCCAGTAAACCACGAGAACAGGCCAAAACACCGGAATATCAAAGATAGAGAACCACGAGCACACGAAACCGATCGCAATAGCCCGGGTAGCCCAGTGCCAAAACTTGAATTCGGGAAGACGGCGGATGAAGGGGCGGAACTCGTCGTCCTGCTTGGTAGGAAGACCGGCGCCTTCGCCGTCTTCCAGGCCTTCGTCTTGAGTGAGGGAGGGATCGAATTTGGGTTGCAGGAAGAGGAGGAATAGGTTAAGGAGGTAGATCCCGAGAGTGTAGGCAACTAGAGAGGTTCTTTGTTAGTTAACGGTTGCGACGGGTGGAAGCACTTGCGGTTTGGGTTTGGATAAATTGCCATACCAATATACCATCCTTGGGCAACAACGATTCTCAGAAAGAAGAGGAGGAGGAGGACAGCGGTTCCAGTCCAGCGATAGGCAGTGAAGGGAGTCGAAGCGTCGAGATAGGTTTGATATTGCTAAAGGACCACATCGTTGATTAGCACCGGACTTGGAAATCATGCGCCGCGTTTCCACACTCGCAGTTCCCGCGACAAAAAAAAAGTTAAGAGCGAATGCCAATAATCAACAGTACACTGCAACTCACCCTATTCAGCTTCGAGGTCTGTGCCGTCACTGCCATAAACGGAGTCTGTTCGGGTTCGGGGACATCCATGGCTGCGAAATTGAGATGGAAAACAAGCGGTTGCTCTCAAGATTGCTGCTGTACGGGAGGAAAAGGACAAGGACCAGAGAATCAATTGCGACGGAGAACAAGGTCAAATACAGGCCGAAACACTGACCAACGACGGAATACGGCGAGACGAATGTAAGCAGGAAGCAGCGAAGGAAAAAAGTGTCCACTGTCGCGGTTTGTCGTTGGCTGTCACTTACACCAGCCACATCCAGGTACGGCTGCTGCGCCCCATCGCGCTTGTCCGCTTTCAGTTGTCACATGACTTTAAATCACATGATTTTAGGGCGCTCATGATGTAATGCAAAATCACGGAATTGCGGCGGCTGCCGTCGGTCATTTGCGGGCCGCCTGGACCGCCGCGGTTGTTGTATACCTCTGCTCCGTTCCAGAGTAACCCATATCACCCCCTCTCCTCACCCTCGATTGACTGACTCTGACCTGGTGAAATTGACACAGCGCACTTTCCTTTTACTTACTACTATATCATTATGTTTGCCCAACGCTGCTCGAGATTCTTCATCGTCAAACCTGTCGTGCCCTCGGCATCATACCTTAACCGAGCGAGTAGGACATTCTCGACGACTGGTGCAAAGAGCTACGAGACTATTCTCACCGAGACCCCGAAGCCCAATGTTGGACTGGGTGTGTTATCACCTTCATCAGCCATTTTGTAAGGGTGCTAACAAGGGATCCAGTCACTCTGAACCGCCCCAAGGCCCTCAATGCCCTCTCCTCCACTCTCATTGCCGAACTCAACGATGCCCTGAACAGATACGAAGAAGACAAAGACATCGGAGCCATCGTTATCACCGGTAGCGAGAAGGCCTTTGCCGGTATGTCCCTCTCTTCGTCTAGTCTGCCCAACCGAACAATTACTGATATAACACTTCACAGCCGGCGCCGACATCAAAGAAATGGAACCATTGACCTTCTCCTCCGCCTACGCCCAAAATTTCATCGCCCCCTGGTCCCACCTCGCCAACGCAGTCCGCAAACCCGTCATCGCCGCCGTCTCCGGCTACGCCCTCGGTGGAGGCTGCGAGCTCGCCCTCATGTGTGACATGCTACACTGCACTTCCTCCGCTACCTTCGGACAGCCCGAGATCAAACTGGGTGTTATTCCCGGTGCCGGTGCATCGCAGCGTCTTACCCGGGCCATTGGAAAGAGCAGGGCGATGGAGATTGTCTTGACGGGGAACAACTTCAGTGGAAAGAATGCCGGGGAGTGGGGTCTTGCGTCGCAGGTTGTTGACGGGGGTAAGGATGAGTTGTTGGAGAAGTCAATTGCGACGGCGGCGAAGATCTCGAGTTATAGTCGAATTGCCGTGTTGGCGGGCAAGGAGGTTGTGAATAAGAGTCAGGAGTTGCCGCTCAAGGAGGGCGTTGAGTATGAGCGGAGACTGTTCCACAGTCTTTTCGGGACGAAGGATCAGAAGATTGGAATGAAGGCCTTCTCTGAGAAGAAGAAGCCCGAGTGGAGTCACGAGTAAACGTGTATATAGCGACATTTGGTCTGGTCCAGCAGGAACATCAAGCTAAGCAATTATTATCATTAGTGTCATTCATCTATTGCATGTTTGGATATTAAAATTATATACAGGCAAATGAATTATTCACAAGAAAGGTATTAAAAGTATGTAAAAAGAAAATGCCAATGCCAATGCTTTTGTTCATGGTCATACACCATCACATCGCATACCAAACGCATCATATCATTTCGTCGGATTCGTCGAGTTCGGAGACTCGGCATCCTTCTCCAACTGAGCCACATCCGTCCTTGCAGCCTTCTGAGTCTGATACTCATTGACAACCTGGCCCTGGATAGTCTCACCAAAAACATCAACTCGTGTGTTTGCGAACTTGCGCGCATCAATTTTTTGCTCGAAGAGCATGTCGAGTTCCGCAAACGAGCGGCCCCTGGGTTCTGGGACACGAAAGAACGTATAGACGATGCAGAGGAAGCAAATGCCACCCCAAAAAAAGCCGGCGTAGTTGCCCCAGTCCCAGGCGCCCGGATTGAGCATGTAGGGGGTTAGTACACCGCAGACGATGGCGACGATGTTAAAGAGGGCGCGGCCTAGGACGACGGTTTTGATCTGCAGGCGGCGGGTGGAGAGTTCCGCCACGAGGGAATAGGTGACTGTTCCTACTGTTAGTTGGTAGAAGAGGGCCCACGCAAGCATCATGGAGCCTGTGGCGAGGGATGCCTCGTTTCGGTGGGCTTCTGGGACAAGGCCTAGGAATCCCATGATGAAGAGCATGCCGCAAAGGCCGCAAAGGCCATAGAGATATAGGGAGCGTCGGCCTATTCCCATAGTCATAAGGAGCCAGGAACCGAATACGCCCACCATGTTGATTCCGTATTGTCCCATGGCAAATGCATACGCGTTGGACGTGGCCAATCCCGCCTGTTCCAAGAAGTAAGTCGAATAATTTGAGAATGAATTCCCACTCAGGTTCTGGATGGCCCAGACCATACAGACGATTTCCGTTCGGCGCAGGTCTGTTCCCCTGAAGCAATCCAGGTAGCTAGCTCCCTTTGTGATTTTCTCCTCCAAGGCGGTCGTGTGGACCATCATTGCCACGGTTTCCTCGGCGTTAAAGTCGGAATCCTTCTTGACGCTGGTCAAACGTCGCAGCGAGCTCTTAGCATCCTCCGTTCGGTGTTTCCTGACAAGCCACCACGGCGACTCGGGAGCAAAGAAGATCACGATTATCAGTGGAACCGGCCACATCCATTGCAACCCGTACGGTATCCGGTATGCCCATTCGTCATTCCGAGGCAACATCGACGTGATCACGCCGATACCAATCAATTGCCCGAGACCCCAGCAGAAATTTACGTAAGTTGTCAGATATCCTCGCAAGGCGACGGGACACACTTCAGATGCATAGGTAACAGTGAGGGTCTGGAAGACACCCCATGGGATTCCGCAAAGAATTTCACCGGCGAGCAGGGCTTGGACGTTGGGGGCTGTAAAGAAGATAGCTGTCCATGCGCAGACCAAAAGCAGGCAAGCAATAAGGGTATATCGATATCCGAAGCGTTCCGAAGCCCATCCGTTGATAAAAAGACCGATGATTTCTCCGGCGTAGGCACCATTGCTAAGACCCGATTGCCACTAGAAGGTAGAAAAAATCTTTTCGTCAGTTATTTCCTACAAACGCATTAAAGGATAGGGGGAGAAAAAAGAGGAAAGACATACCTGAGCCGGTACCTGATATGAACCATCTGTCATCTGCTCACCATATTTGCGATTGAAGGCCGGAAACGCGTAGAAATTGTTCACAAGACTGATATCGTAGCCCTCCATTGCTATACACGTAGAGATAAGCACACTCCAGGCCACTGCCTTGGGATAGGTCTTGATGCCTTGTAACAAGGTCATCTTCTGTTCCTTATCAGTGGCCGCCTTGGCATCCTGAACCATCCTGCTCATAGACGACGTGGAATTGCGGTGGTCCGGAGTCGGAGGCGACGACACCGGCTCCTCTGAGGACGCAATTGCGTCCTGTGCCTTTGGGGAAGCCATGCTGTAGAAAGCAAAGCAATTGCCAGGCACAGAACGGGGAACGGCGGCGGAGGAAAATCAGGGGAAGGTTGACCGGGAGAGGGAAGCAGGACCGGACGGGGGAGCCAATGTGGACGGAAGAACTGGAACTGGTCTCGCTTGGAATTTATGATAGCCCGCCCAAGTCAGTGGAGATCCCCACTAGTAGTATGGATACTACAGCGGTCAGTAGTAGCACCGTTGCATTGCTTCTTTTCTCTATTTTATGGTTAGAGTAGGAAAATAGGAAAAGAAGACGAGAGATGGAAGGACATATAAAAGAATAGAAATATTCAGTGGTCGAGCATAACACACAGTTTTTGTTGGCCGTGAAAAACAGCAGCCAAGCCGTTAGTGTGGGCATGACAGCGGTCGGAATGGATCAAAGTATCTTTTGATTGGTATTCTAAGATCTTGGAGATTAAAAGATCGCTTTCTGGATTGAGATACAGAGCACCATGTCACTTGTAGGGCACGTGAGTTTCTGCAAGGGCGCTGTCAACTATGTTGTCAGCTGACCACATACATACGGTCTGACTGATGCATGTCGACACCAAGATTACAAGATTGTTCATATTATGCTTTTGGAAACCACATATCGTACAGTAACTCCCTCTAAAGGGGCTCTGATACAATCTAAATCATGCCATATATATCTTATACTATGGAATATAAAAGCTTCGCGCTGCTACGGGTTCCAAGTAAGTGTTACAGACCTCACTGCATCAATCTCACGTGATTATGCGGGGAGACAAGGCAGAATCATTGGGTGGCAGCAAAAGACAAAGCGCAGGAAAAGCAGGGATCAAAGTTGATAACCAACAGATATGTCACGTGATCACCTACTCCTGATATACCCTAGGAGGAGTAGCTGAAAGAGTATACACCCAGGCACAACCTGATTGGATCGACTCAGGATATACTCCCTAAAGGAGTAGATGGGGGAGTATACTGGACAAGATATATAAGGACACTCATTCATGCACCTAGTTTAGTTCTTCGCAATCAATCTAGTTAATCAAGCATTGGTTACCTTCTAGTTTCTGACTCGTCCGCACTTAACCAACAACCCAGCATACGTGCTCGGTTGGCCTTGTTTCTCTATTCGTTACCTTTACCGATTTTACCTGTTGACTACCTTACGGAGCCTGGAGGGGGCGAGATACCTTCGACGTGATATACAGAGGACCTGGATGGTCATTAAGCATATGAATGCTTGGGAGGCACTTAGGGTAAGTGTCCTGTCTCGAAATACAACTAACTAGAACCCTAGGTACGATACAAGGGAAGCCAGGTTGTGACAGTAAGTTGACGGACTTCTGTAGAAGAGACCAACCCATGTGGCAATCTTATCATAGAAAATCAAATACATAAATTCTTAGGATATTTATACTTCATTTGTACCAAAGGAACTCTCTCGCAATGGTTGCACCCTATCCATGGTATTTATTTCCAGCCATATGGCGCGAAAGTCCCTGGCGAACCATGCTATGGTTCTGGACAATTCTGTGCATATGAGAGCTCAATGCACCAGGGAATAACAATGACACACAGACTCGGTTCAACGATAAAAAGGTTGCATGCAGCAAGGGGATATAGTATCAGGTTTCAAATTCAAATTCGACCGATTTGAACCCCCTTGTCAAGCCAGGTGTCACAACCTGGCTTCCCTCGTATCGTACCTAGGGTTCTAGTTAGTTGTATTTCGAGACAGGACACTTACCCTAAGTGTCTTCCAAGCACTCATATGCTCAATGACCATCCAGGTCCTCTGTATATCACGTCGAAGGTATCTCGCCCCCTCCAGGCTCCGTAAGGTAGTCAACAGGTAGAATCGGTAAAGGTAACGAATAGAGAAACAAGGTCAACCGAGCACGTATGCTGGGTTGTTGGTTAAGCGCGGACGAGTCAGAAACTAGAAGGTAACCAATGCTTGATTAACTAGATTGATTGCGAAGAACTAACTAGGTGCATGAATGAGTGTCCTTATATATCCTCCGCTTGTATACCATATGGACTACCATTCTGATGGTGGTGATTATGGTAGTTGTATACCATCTACCAATGCCAAGCCATGGTATATGGTAGTTGATCACGTGATGCGCCTGTTAACTACCACCTATGATCCCTGTCCTTCCTGCATTATTACCAGAGCTTATAGTCCAATGATTCTGCCTTGACTCCCCGCATAATCACGTGAGATTAGTGCCTTAGGGGTCTGTAACAGGTGGGTGTTGAATGATTGAGAGTGGGCAGAGACCTACAGAGTACCTTTGGTCCAGGAATGTCAACGCATATCTATAGAAAACTAAATTTGCATTGTTTATCAGCATTTTGTTTGACTCCCATACCAGATACACCCAGTCACTGCTTCGATCACTCGTTCACTCTACAAAAATATGCCAATCTTCTGCGGTTACACATACTACCTATACTTGTTGTCAAGATATGTCAACGAGAGCAATCCTTCTTGATTTCTGTTCTGTTGCTAGTTGATAAGTAAACATACTTCGTGGACGAGTTTTGATATGCCTCTAAACTTCACAATTGGCCAGTGATGATATCATAAGTGGAGTGACGACGAGCCACCGAAAAACTCCTGAACGCAACCCAGACTTCAGTGCAAGAGCTAGACATATTCAAATCAATATCCACAGTTCTACTGCCGTGCTGAAGATCAACTTTTTCTCCCATATAATACCCGTAAATAAAGACACTATGCCATGTGAGTAACACTTCTAGACCCTCATCACTCTTTACACAGCTAACCCGATCCCGACCAACAGCTGGATTCTTCGGAGGCCTTGGAGATGCGCTCGACAAAACCGTGAGCGGAGTGGGTAGCACCGTGGGCAGTACCGTGTCCGGCGTGGGAAAGACGGTTGGCGGAGCGACCCAGGGCCTGGGACAGACTGTGAGCGGTGCGTCCGAGGGACTGGGTAATACGGCCAAGGGAGTGAGCAAGTCAACAGGAAGTGCTTTCGGAAGTATTGGGAAGAGCGAGAACAGGGATTCTTCCTCGAAGAGTTAACTTTCTTTGCGCTATGATTTTCTGCGTTGATCGACTTGAGAGATAGCTGTTAGTTTGAAGTTGGGATATTTATGATGCGTCGGAATCGGAATGAATCAGGATGACATCTGGAATTCCAATTTAATGGAGATTTCCGCTGGTTCCATTGTCTATGAGATAGAAATCGTGTGCAAGTCGTGCTTATAGAGAATTCCTACAGCGTATTCAGAGTACCGTGATCATCATCACTTTGATTGACCTCCTGCGGAAGACACTGGAATGAGTAGTGGACCTGTCATGGCTGTTTCCATGGTTATTCTGTTAGGGCAAGTGATAGAGTGGAATCGCTTTCCTATTCCGTTGCAGTCCGAAGATAGGTCCACCTTGATTCCACAACCCTCAGGAATTATCCCATATCTTTCGTACATTCAGTGCTTCTGCTTGAGATGATGGTCCTTCCCGGTATAGAAATTCGATCCGGCTAGAATGGGCATACCCAAAGCAGTTAAGCGCATCTTGCTGAATGAAGGAATGGAAATACCGGAACGAGTTAAAGATACGCCACGTTTCGGTAAATTTTCGCCGTAATTTTGAAAGAACAGAGTGGGGCACCAGGAACCAGTGTCCGGGCCGGTTTTGGTGACTAAACCGATCGTGTCACACCAGTGAAGTGGAGCCTGACATTTGATGAATGATAATTGGCTGATACTGCTCGGTCAATCCCATTTTAAGCAGTGCGGGGAAAAGTTTTTTCTTCTTTTTCTGCAAGTACACATACCGTACACCAAGTGTATCAAGAGTATTGGGGCACATCATAGGTACTTGTTGAGTATCCTTGCATAGTCTAGACAGCCAACAGTATCCTTACATTAATAATAATGGGCAGAATGCGGGGAAGAAACCAGGCAGAAGAGGAGAAAAAGTATTAGCAAGCTCGATGCGTCTGGATCTGGTTGGCAGCTTCCATAGTACGTACTAAGAACAAGCTATACTGGATCCGATGGATCTTGCCGTGTTGCAGCATCCAAGGCTAACAAGAGCCCTGTCCAACTCGTATATATAGACGCCCCGCCCGGTTTCTTTCTTTCTCTCTCTTTTTTCCCTGCGACTTCATTTGTGTTATTGTTCTCATTCACTACTATTCCTGCACAACTGTCACTATGGGCAAAGACGACGAACCCAGTATGTCTATTCATCTATTCCGCTCTACATAATAGAGCATGCTAACTCATGCCCTCGTCCTCTCTAGGAACCTACCGATACAATGAGACCCCAGTCTACACCACGTCCACTGGCTGTCCGGTCATGGACCCCCAGGCTGCCCAGCGCGTTGGCCGTAACGGACCTCTCCTTCTTCAGGACTTCCACTTGATTGACTTGCTCGCCCATTTTGACCGTGAGAGAATCCCCGAACGTGTCGTGCACGCCAAGGGCGCTGGCGCCTATGGTGAATTCGAGGTTACCGACGACATTAGCGATATCGTATGATTCCTCCCTACAATATGTGTGATAGATGGGCTCGGCACTGACGTGCGGGATAGACTATCGTCGACATGCTCAAGGGAGTAGGCAAGAAGACCAAGATGTTCACACGATTCTCGACTGTTGGTGGCGAAAAGGGTTCTCCAGACAGTGCCCGGGATCCCCGTGGGTTTGCTATGAAGTTCTACACAGAGGAGGGCAACTTGGACTGGGTCTTCAACAACACCCCCGTCTTCTTCCTGCGCGATCCCGCCAAATTCCCCATTTTCATCCACACTCAGAAGCGCAACCCGCAAACCAACCTCAAAGATGCCACCATGTTCTGGGACTACCTCTCGACGCACCAAGAGGCCGTCCACCAGGTGATGCATCTATTCAGTGACCGTGGCACTCCCTACTCCTACCGCCACATGAATGGCTACTCAGGCCACACCTACAAATGGATCAAGCCCGATGGCACCTTCAACTACGTCCAGATCCACTGCAAGACAGACCAGGGCAACAAGACCTTCACTGACGAAGAAGCCGGCAACCTCGCCGCCGGAAACCCCGATTGGCATACACAGGACCTTTTCGACGCCATCCAGCGCGGCGAGAACCCTTCCTGGACCTGCTACGTTCAAGTCCTCTCCCCCGAACAGGCTGAGAAGTTCCGCTGGAACATCTTCGACCTCACCAAGGTCTGGCCGCAGTCTGAAGTGCCCCTCCGCCGCTTCGGAAAGTTCACCCTCAACCGTAACCCCGAGAACTATTTCGCGGAGGTCGAGCAGGCCGCTTTCTCGCCTTCCCACATGGTCCCCGGCATTGAGCCATCCGCAGACCCCGTCCTCCAGTCCCGTCTCTTCTCATACCCTGATACCCACCGCCACCGTCTGGGCGGAAACAACGAGCAGATCCCTGTTAACTGCCCGCTCAAGTCCTTTAGTCCCTGGCACCGCGACGGCTACATGAACGTCCAAGGTAACTACGGCGCCAACCCGAACTATCCCTCCACCTTCCGCCCTCTACAGTACAAGCCCGTCAAGGCATCCCAGGAACACGAGAAGTGGGTTGGTGCTGTTGTTGCGGAACAGTTCCCCGTCACTGAGGAAGATTACGTCCAAGCCAATGGTCTCTGGCAGGTCCTTGGCCGTCAGCCCGGTCAGCAGGATAACTTTGTCAAGAACATCTCTGGTCATCTGTGTAACGCTCATCCGCGCGTGCGTAAGCAGACGTATGAGATGTTCAGCCGTGTTAATCCGGATCTTGGTGCTCGAATTGAGAAGGCTACCGAAGCTAAGACTGCTGATACCAAGTCTGCTCGTCTGTAGGGTATCAAAAACTACATCTTGTTTGTGTCTAATCTTCTGTACTTGATTCCCTCTACTTTTGTATCATGTTTTGGTCCGTTTTTGTATATGGACTAAATCATAATCTTACGACTAAATGAAAGAACCTTTATCCAAGATGTATTATATTCATTTCAACTTGAAGTTACCGGAATCCTTGTATAGTTGATCAACGCTTGACTCCAAAAAAAAGCAAAAGGAATATCATAGTATCAGAGTATCAGAGTATGGATGACATTGTTGACCGAAATGGACATTCACACTATTAAACCAAGGCAAGTGTTACACCAGAAGCAAGCAAAAAGAGAGAAAACAAACACCTGTCACGTTAGATTTGCGCCAGCTTGATTATGTTACAAGACAAAAAAGTACTGGCCAGACGTGGAAGTTCGTCTCAATGATAATGCAAAATGCTATGCAATTAGACAGCAAAAAAAAAAAAAAAAAAGAAAGAAAGAAAGAAAGAAACAACTTTCATCGTTCATTCTAGAAAAAGGGCTTGGGAGCAGGCGTAATAGGGTGGTCGTTCGTGGTAGTCGTTAAACCGTCATAGCAACCGTAGATATATCCCGGGGTTTCGCATGAGGTAGTTGTAGGAGCGGCAGTAGCGGGGAGGGTCGTTGTTGTAAAAGCGGGTTTTGCAGTAGTTGTAGGATCGCGGCACCCGAACCATCCAGGAGTTTTGCAGGTGGTGGTAGATGTTGTAGTTTCGGTTGTGGTAGTAGGGTCATTGCAGCCAAACCAACCCGGCGTCTTGCATGTCGTGGTCGTGGCCGTGATGGAAGACGTAGTAGAGGTGTCGGTTGTGCTCTCATCGAGGCATCCCCACCATCCAGGGGTTTTGCAAGTTGATGTCCTTGTCGCACTTGTCGAGCTAGTTGAAGTGGCTGTCGAAGTCGTTGTGATTTCGGAGCCATTGCTTCGGAAGAATTTCCACAGTTCACAATCGTAGCATTCTTCCTCAGCCACACAGGGAGGAACGTCGTCATAGACATCAAGAACATCCGTGATTACAGACTCAATGCGGTGTGTCCCAATTGCTACACGCCAGCCCTTGTCCTTAACCGTGTCATAGGTACACATTTGGCCGGAGTGACAGGCTGTCTCCAGGGCATAACCACCCCATGTGCATGTTGCGCCAACGCCATTGCACGTTCCTGTATAAATAGGATCTGCAGTGTGACCGAAATGATAAGACGCTGTATACTGCCGTTTTTGCGGAAATCTTGGATCATGGCCAGGTGGAAAGGGTAGACCCAATCTGGACGCTGGCAGAGCGTCGGGAATAGCTTCAAAACTGACGACAGGAAGTCCGAATGTTAACCCTAAAAGGCTGGACATTGCACCACCTAGTGAATGGCCTGTTAACCAAACATTGGCGTTCGGGTATAGTTCTGTCACGTTCGAGTAGAGATCCATAGAAGCTCGATAATATCGGTTTTCGTCGTTCATAGCTTCGACAATACATGTTAAATTGCCCGTGTATGTCGACTTCATACAGTCACAACTTTGCCTCCAAAGATAGGAGCCCCCTTGTCCGCAGCAACAGCTAAAGAAGAGATTATCGTTAACTTTGTCATTGGTCGTCGTACCGGCTCCATCAAAGAGGGCCGGGGATGTCCCCTTCAAGGAAATAACCACTGTGCTGTTTTCCTTGTCTGTGTATATATGACCCCTTAATCCATCACTGTTCCATCCGAAACTCTCGGAATAATTAAAACGGCCGTTGATGTCATGCCATTTACCCGTACCCGGCTCCTCGATATAGTCGTTGGCCGTCATCTGGGCGAATGTCAAGACGCTTCTCTTTTCATTCACATTAGGACCGTCCACTGTATCCATGACCCATTCCGATGGTGACAGAGCAACCACCTCTCCGGTAGATCTTGCAGCCTGTAGATACCCTTCGATGACCGGGACTCGTCGGTCCGAGAGTCGTTGGATGGTAACTGGGCTGGACGAGGCAACCAAGGGGGCATCAAGCGCTGCAGGCTTTATCTCCTGACCATCTTCGGAAATGCTCAAAAGGCGCGTGTGCGGTTCGATATCGAGTCTTTGATGGAGATCGGGATGCTCATGCGTTCCTCGATGGAATATGTGACGAAGCGACTAGATAGAGACTCATTGTCAGTAGCAGGCTAGCAGGCAACCATAAGCAATGAACCTACAAACTTATGAGCCTTTGGGGGCGAGGGAGAACCGGCTAGAGGTATCTGCGGAGGCAATATGGGGGAGTCTCCCGACGGAGAACCGAAGTATACAGGCACATTGGCAGAAACAACGCTTGGTAGCAGCTGAATCGACAATAAGAACCCTAGAGCACCCTTTCCAAATAAAGAGCGTTTCTTTGAGCGTCTGCGACCGTCTTCCATAGTGATGTACCGATGATAAAAGCAAATTTGGGGATGACTGGCTTCATCCTGTCCAATGCTGATATGGCGGTTATCACAAGGCGGTGACGCAGTGCGGAGAGATCCCACACGTGATATGGGCTCTGGGCACGTGATATTCGAGCAGATCACATGAAACTGTCATATGAACACACCCAAGATTCTTCCAACTTGGCCAAGATTAGTGTAAACAATATCACCCTTTAATAGCCAGTATACCCAGAGAATAATCCTGAGGTTCTTGCAACGGCAGCCTGCTGAACATAGTTGAGGACTTATCTATACGAAACCGAGTGGCACGTGTACACTATTCCTAAAATGGAAATCTACCCCATGAGCAGCAACTCCCCGCTCTGTGAGCAGAGTACCATCGTCACCCACGAGGACCAGCCGGTCTTGTCCATTCTGCCTTGGTTCTCCAGGCGTGCCACTGAATATGGCTACTTTTGACGAATAACAGGGCCCATCATCCAAACGAAAAATAAAATTAAAAAAGAAAACGCCGAACTATCTGGTCGCTTACTCCGAACGTACTCCCGATCCGCATGAGCCCATCAGCTGGACGTTAAGATTGTGACATCGCGGCCTAACACAAAATCATCACCCAAAAAAAAAAAAAACAAAAAAAAGATCATGCCTTCCAGTCCTTCCCAGCAGGATCCCGAGAAGCCTCGTTTACACACAGCTCAATCGTTTCCCAGAATGGACAGCTCAAACGCGAATTCTTTTGCTCGCACGAGAGCCCGGACGGTGCAGTCGATGGTCATTTCGGAGACCGTGAACCCTGAATCGCTTCCATTGTCACTGGCTGGAGATAATGAGGACCAAGATCCTGGTCCTGATATCTTTGAAAGGAGAAATTCTTCAGACTCGGGCACCGGAGATAACGGGCAACAAGGTGATGAGGAGTCTGTGCTCTCGAGCAATATACAGGATCAGCCAGAGGAGCTTCCAATTGAGCTGGCTAGTTTAACCGATCGGTATCATGGAGCTTCTCCCTTCACTATCATGTCGTGTGACATTTGTTGACTGTTCTTTCGCTGAATACTAGTTTCGTCGAATCCCTCTCGGCCAAGGTTCACTCGTCTCCCCCCACAATCGAAAGAGTAGCGGACTTGTTCCAGGAGTTCTATAGCCGTGCGGAATTACATATAGCTACTCATATCTCTGCCCTGGCATCACGTATCAATCGCGAACCCTCACCTCTCCCTCAGAATCCTCGGGGGAGCGCCCAGCACAAATCGAAGGATGCTGAGTCTACCTCCAGTCGTCAGATGTTAACAGCATCAGAGGTTGCGGAGAAAAGAAAGGCCCGGAAGTTCCTCTCTTACAAGCGTGTTGCTTTGGAGGAGGCGGTGGAACGGAGAGCGTGTGAGGCTGTTTATGACAAGATATGGAGACATAGAACTACTTTGGATGAAGTCCGAGATGAAAAACTGCGTTCCAAAACTGCAGCTCTGCTTTTGGTTGGAATTAATTTGAAGGACCTCGGGATCGACCTTGACATTAGCGCCATTGACGAAGACAAGCAAAAAGAAGCCAATGACTACATATATGTCGCTTGCGAACGTCTGGCAAAGATGAATGAAGAGAAATTTCCTCTTGGGAAGCTTCAACATCTCTCGTATGCACACAAGGCGATTGTGGATGCTTTGACAAAATTACTCCCCTCGTCATCCTCTGCTGATGAAATTTTGCCGACATTAATTTATACATTGATCACTTGTCCTCCCGAGGGAATCAGCGTCATAAGCAACCTCCTTTTTATACAACGCTTCCGATCTTTGAGTAAGATGGATGGCGAGACTGCATACTGCCTGACTAACCTTGAGGCTTCTATCACCTTTTTGGAAAATGTCGACCTTTCAGAACTGCGTGCAGACGAAATACAGAATGGACAGAGAAGGGCCGATTCAGTGCCTGCTGAATATTCCAGTCAAGATAATCCAACAAAAGAAGCCGCAACGTCTTCAATTTCTCCTGTTCCTGCTTCCCCAGAGCTTTCAAAGCCCAACGATAAGTGTGCTTCAGAGATATTACCCAAGTCTCAGCCACCAGCTTCAGTCCAACAAAGAGCCTTGAATAATTTGTTTCAGCCTCCATCAAGGATGCTCGGCGCCGCTAATGACGCCGTTCGCAACACTGCCGATCAGGGCTTAAAGAATATTGGTGCGTCATTGGATACCAGTTTCAATTTTCTTTTTGGACGACTCAAGGAAATGCAACCCGGGAGGGACGGAAACAGTCCAACATTGCCAAAAACGTTAGCAGAAGCTCGTCGCCTGGTTGCTTATCCAATCTCTGGGGACACTAAGACTCTGACTGAAGAAGATAATGCGAGCAAAGATTCTATTTCGACGGCTCGTCCGCCCCTGAGACACATACACTCAAAAGCAGAAGAGACGATTATAGGATTAGTTGGTGGACGCAGAATTCCACGCGATCAAAGCGCAGACAGCGCGAGAACCCAAGGAAGCTCCAAAAAGTCACTAGCCGCTGTAGGGTCAACAAGAGATGAGCCCTCACCAGGCACCTCCCAGTCTTCGATTATGTCACCTTCAACGCCCTTGGGCTCCGTGAGAAGCTTCAGCAACACTCTTAACCCACTCAACCACATCCCAGGCATGATTAGGAATTTTGGCCGCAGTGGTTCCGACCATCCTAGCGACGGGCAGACGCCACCAGCTTTGCCAGAGAATATTAAGATGCCACTAGCAGCGCAAGCATCGCACCCTTCTAGTAGCGGCGGTTCTCCTAAATTCGACCCACCGACCCAACGTTTTCTCGATATCCAGAATGCCAGCGAACTCACGATTGGTGATGTCTCGACGCTGCTCGAGGATTACAAGCGGTTGGCAAACATACTACTTAAGCAGAACACGAACGCCAATCATTAAGATCAGCAATTTTTCATTCTCTCTCTTTTCCACGGTTTTCTCGTAGACTTGATTAATTTCAAATTCTCATGAGTTCATAAATGATACATGCAACAGGGTATTCCTACAAACATCTAAGAAACAATATAAGAAAAACGGACAATTAGTAGAATAGAAAATCCGCCAGAAAATTCCAAGTCATTTCACATAATCATAACAACACATCGCCAGGTATCCCAGACGACGTAAAAGAAAAGTACAGACGCCACCTTCGTATAGATATGCTAAGACACGGCCGGGTTTTGGTTCGATCCAAACATATCCTATGACACAGACTGTATAGTGACAGGTGTTGTGAATTAGATAAGTCGTAGTTGTCATTACAAAAACATTTTTGTCAAAGGGTACGACCACGCAGAACCTCTGCCCCCCCAGTTCTCATAACTTCCATCTTGTCAGATAACTCGCGACCCTGTTCTTCGACCACTTCGTTTCTTCTTCTCAATTCAACCTCAAAGATAGCGGCTGTCTTGCGTCGTGCCTGGCGTAAGTCTTTCATTTTCGTGAGCATATCGGTGAATTGGTCGATCAATTCATCTCCGCATGATTCCCATTCGTCAATTGAGAGAGTCGAGAAGTAATTTCGACGGTCAAGGCCTGACATGTTTGCAAGCATAGGGAACTTGTCTTCCGGGGCCGTATCTGCTTCTGGAGCGGGTGTGGGTCGTGCAGGGGTGGTGCTAGGAGATCGATCAAACGGTTCGGACTGAAGCTCAGTAAAGGACTTCTGATATAAGACATCCGGTGGATAATCTGGTTCGAGGCTCCTTTTTTTGAAAGGAGTAGTGGGGTCGGAGCCAGAACGGCTGTGTCTCAAGAAGGGGTCTTGTAGCGTGTCGTCCTCGTCAAGAGCCACCACATTCGTTAAATCAAAAGCGGTCATTGACTGGCCATCAATACTGTCTCGGTTGTCACCGGTAAACAGATCTGCATCGTCACCGTTGTTCCGCTGGCGGAGGTCAATCACGCTTCCCCGCCTAGGCCGCGTTCGCGAGGAACCAACTCGACGTGTAGGGGATTTATCCAGCTGTTCGAGAAGCGAAGGCTTTGCTGGACTGAACCTGGTCCTGGGTGTCGTGGTCATACTGCGAGGAAGGGTAATCTTTCTGCTTCCGCCCACGGGCAGATCCTGTTTCTTGGACTCAGGAGCTGGTGGGGCTAGCACTGGGTGTTTTGTCTCTGGATAGAATTGGGTTGTTGGTTTGGGAGTTGTTCGTTTGCTAGCATTCCAGAAGTTCTCTAGGCGTTTGCTTAAAGGTTCCTCAGGTGCAGCACGATGCTTGTGAGAATAGTACCAATCATTAGGCTCGTCCCTTTCGTCATCCCCGGCAATAGAAGTCAACTGGCTTGCGTCGTCGTCAGCATCATCAGACTCAAATCCTGCTGATTTCATAGCCTTATCTCCCAAATTTTCGTACCAGTTAGATTGGTACGGACGACGTCCATGGCGAAATTGGTATAAAGGTCTTGTGTCCGTGTCTTGAGGCTGAGGGATATTTGTGATCTGAGTTGGCTGGGGCGGCTGGAGTTGAGGTAATTGGATAGGTTGAATTCGAAATTCCTCAGCATCGGCAATACTAGTTCCAGCAATAGTAGATTCATCAATCCCTTCCACATCTGTGTCAAATGTATCCCTTTGTTGAGCATCTTCTAGTTCTTGCGGTAGCCCAGACGTACCCACCCCCAAGGGAACAGGTGCCATCAGGTTTGTCGGAGGAACATTGACTTTGGCCTGCTCAGCTAAGAATTGTCTCGATTGGTCTGACGTCTCATTTGCGGCAGCGCGGTGTTGACCGGCTTCTTTGGAATGGATATAATCTCCGACCCCCATTATTTCTTGCGATATTTCGGAAGTCTTAAATTAGCGTAGACGAAAAGGAATTTTAGTGTGAACGTTGATCCCTCTTCATAAGCTTTAGAAGTCTCTGTCCATTATTGTAAGAACGTTCTTTTACGCCGTTCTGGTTGGGCGCTGATATCTGGTTGCTGCCAGATCGACGTTGAGTCGCGAGACGAATCGGTTTCCGACGCGAGCGAGCCACGAAATCACGTGCGAATTGAAATATATATAGAGGCAAATTGATGCATTTTAGGAAATAAGCGCATTCTTGTTTGTCTCTTTGAAATGTCTGATATAGTGACCGGAAAACAAACCAAGATATTTATTTAGCCAGACTGAATGAGCACCTTAATAGCGCCATGTGTTGGATCAGCGGCCGTCACAAACGCTTCTACAGCGTCTTCTAAGCAAAATTCATGGGTCACCAGCTTCTTCAGGTCGATCATGCCGCTTTCCAAAACCCGAATAGCCCTCGGCCACGTATTGACATATCTTTGCTGAAATTGCAGGTCGATCTTGCGAGCACTCATCCTCATAAAGAGAATTTCCAATTTATCTTTGCCCACCCCAATTACAAACACCTTCCCGCCAAACTTGACGCTATGTACTGCTGTGGCCAAGCTAGTCTCAATTCCGGTGCATTCCATGGCGATGGCAGTTTCAATCTCCTCACCCATCAATTCATCCACGTGCTCAGCACAGTCCTCCGGGCTCTGGTCCTGTCGTACCAAACAGGCCCTAACCCCAAGAACATACTCTTCGGCGAAGTTCAGCCTCGCCTCATTGATATCTGTTATAACAATTGGCCATGCCCCCGTAGTCCGACAAACCTGCAGCGTAATCAACCCGATAGGTCCAGCGCCACAAATAACCACCGGACCGCCAATGGTTACCCCTGCTCTCGTCACGCTAGTCAGCGCCACACTTAACGGCTCCAGTAACGCACCCTCATCAAAAGACAACCGGGGGCCGATGCCGCCATGCTTCCAGAAGTGGATGTCCGAACTAGTTTACTCAATATGTCAGGTGTGAAGGTCAACAGACGGAAAGTTTGAGAGATGGATTGTTATGGGATGTTTCTCACCCGCATATCCCACTGCTTTTGATGGCGATGGTCACCTCGCCCGGTTGGAGTGTCGAACCTGATGGAAAAGTACCGGATGTGGGCTCTGCATCAGCGACGTAGAGGCTGTGGGCGGAATCAATGTAGACACCACGGTTGATAGACATGTTATGGGAAGATAATGTGGTAAATATGCAAGAAATGAATGTCGTGAAGTTGGGCCATGCTAAATGCTCTACGGAGCACAATGGATATTTATATACTTGGAGCGAGTTGATTATGTAGCAGTACATAGTAGGTATCTGCGCTCGCATGAATCACTGAACTCGGTAACACATGTAGCTGTCGACTGCACGGCAAAGTTACCAAACTTGAAAGATTTCCATTCTCTGATAACTCAAGTGTAAGAGATTCCATCGTCGATATGAAGGTTTTCAAGGGTATGAGAAACCCCCCTACCGCGATGTTTTTCTTTCTCGAAGTACCCTACCGATTTCAGAATCTCCGCCTGTCTCTTTTCCATAGCAAGCCTCTGTTCTCGTCTCTCTTGGATGGACCCTGTAAAGTCATCAGAGGATATAGTGTCGACATCACTAAAGTTATAATGGTCATCTTCTGGTTGCGGTACACTCAAGACAAAAAGATCCGCAATCCACAGCGAAACCATACCCCTAAGTTCCAGTAGTTCGGGGGAATCCGAGTATGGAGGTGACACAATGATCTCATCCATACGAGCTGCAATCTGCTGTGCTTGTTCCAGTTCCTTTGCTCGTATCTCTGCAGCCATTTTCTGCTTCCTTTTGACGGAGCTGTGATGAGTCTTGAACCAGTCTTCATCATCTGACAATTCATCAGACGAGTTCTCAGCAAAACTCTGTTGCACCACATCTCGAGCGGCATTGCTCTCCTCTTGGACAACGTATATCCAAAGTCCAAAAATGGCGGGGTAGAAATGTAAGGCGCTTGTTGCGTCCGGTGCGACTTTTCGAAACGGGTATTGAATAATGAGCCTCTCGTAATACTGCTTCGCATCCTCAAACCCTTTCCTCGTAAAACAAAGCCCGGAAGCGTTCTTCGGTTTCAAAGACTCATCATCCACTGTTTCAGATGAAGACGTAAGATCTGATAACTGTCGTCCCCGCCGAAGTAGGATCTCAGCGCCGATACCCCACCTCCCTTCATTGCGTATATCAACGGGATTACCTCCGTATTCTTCACGGAGAATCAGAGCCCAAGCCCTTCCCGCACGTAGATAATCTCGTTGGAGAAGGCAACGGTGGAGAATGGCCGAGAGCACGGCAAAATGCTGCAACCGAAGATTCCCCTGATGAGCAGCGGACTGTGGCGGATAGATGGGAGGCGACAATTTCGACAAGCCCTTCAGTATATCACCTTTGGTTTCCCGACGATTTGATGAGTCTTTTGGTGCTGCATGTGGAAAATGCCCACCTGGAAGCTCTTGGTCAAAAGGGAGACCTGCGATGCGATATTGATGGGCCTCATTGGGCGATAGAATCAAGGACGATGTCACTGGGGTAAAATCTGAGGCGGCATCAGTTGTTTCGCCACCAGCATCTTCGGTCTCATTTCCCCAATCATCGAAATGCCTCTTGCGCTTCTTACGCTCATATTGAGCTACGCGCACGGTAGGAGGTTGTTGCCAGGGCGGAAGCGGCAAGGAAAAAGCCGATGCTGAAGGCACAGAAAAAGCCATGAATGCCTTGGTGGTCAAGAAGCCAGTCTCTCAACCTTCAGCGATATAGATCCTGTATCCATGAAGAACAGGGCTTCTTTTCCTTTAGTTTCTCGTAATAATAATCATAAAATGTCTTTCGGATCTGTTGTTTGCGTAATTAAAGGTAGACAACCGATGCCACATTTGAGAATTTTAGCAAAGGAAGCTCCAGATTAGACAGAAAAGCTATCCCAGCCAGGGAACACATCCAACTTTTTTCTATCAAAAAATCCCGTGACTGTCCAGTATCGGCATAATCACGTGCAAGTAAATCGTGCAGCCGCCGGAAACGCAGAAGCGCAATTGCCGCCAACCGGAAAATCATCCACAGCGAAGCACCGAGCGGCCGGCCGAAGGCGAGAGGCTCCGTTATCATTCACGTCGCTCTCGTCAACTGGTTGATCCATTATCTGTCATTCAACGCCTCGGGCTCATCGCCTTTCCTCGATTCTCTCTTTTCACGTCTCTTTTGTTGGACTATTGGACCACCCACAGTCGTTTCCTGCAGTGTGTTTCTTTAAATAGAGACATTTACCGCGGGTTTGGTTGTTGTCGTGGGGTTTCATCAATCATAATCCGCCGGCCTGCAAGCAACGACTCGTTTGCTGTCGACTACAGCATCCTTGGCCCCAATTAATCCGTTTGACCTTTTCGATAATTGCATTTAGCACCTATCGCAATCTGGTGTTTATTTCTTTTCTTTTTAATATTTGTCAACATCGTGTATTAGACAACTCGAACTTTCCCTCGCTCACACCTTTTGACTCAATATCCAAACCGGTCGGTCCTAAGAACATCCGGGTTACTTTCGCTGGAATACTGGGGTCTTTGTATCACTTAGTTGACTTTTCTAATGGTGCGTCTTTGTTTATAATCTTGCCTTCCTTTTCAAGCGCCTGCTTTCAATACTCACCTCCTAAGTGCGGGTATGGGTGCCGACCACTGCTTCCTTCACTTTTATTTGCTTTCCACCATCTCCTTCCCATTTAACTTGCTTTCGCATCAAACTGACCTTTATTCTATTCCTATCACAGCTACCTACTTTTCCATGGACGTAGGCGCTTTTTGAAGCCCCATCCACGTCCCCGGCTCCCACGTTGTTACTATGGGACAGTCTTCGTCTACGCAAAGAGACCATCGCCGCATCAGCCTTTCAGATCACTTACTTTTTCGAACAGCACGTGGACGGGAGAATAGACATGAAGCCATGAGCGACGGGCGACATTCCGAGCAAACTGGGGAAGCCGGTCCCCCTTCAAGGACGGATATACCTTATGAAAATATCCAAACTGCTCCTTCAGCTCAACTAGGGGAAGTCGCGGAGCTACCGGGACAGTCTACTTTTTCAGACAGTTGGCGAACCAGTCATTTGGGAAACACACATGAAGAAAATGGATCGGCTTTTGACCTTGGTCATCAACAGGACTACCAAGATTATCGCTCTGCACCCTTCGCCCGTATGACCGTGAGGAGGCAGTCCACCATGTCAAGACTAGGCTCCAGAATCTTGCCAAATTCAGTTATTCGCGGATTGCTAAGCAGTGAGGAAGAGACACCTGCAGAGGGGCACGCTCATCGACATGGCGTTTCAAGATCTTCACCGAGGAGCGAAGTGGCTCATAATAGCAGTCGCTTTAGCCCCTTCAGTTCCTTGAGCTCTAGAGGCATCAATAGGCGGCGTTCACTTCGAGCGCCTTATTTCATCCCACGGAGTGATCCAACTCTGGCTCCAGATGCGTCTGCGCCTCCAGCTTACCCCGACCCTGCATCCGAACGTGCTCGAGAGTCGAACAGAGGACCCTGGCGTCGAAGTGCTCGACTTCATCGTGTTCGACGCTCGTTATCCAACCCACTATCTCATATGTTCGGCCATCCATCAACGGGCATATTGTCCCCTAACACAGAGGGTGCAGTGCGCTCTCCTTCCCTTATTGATGACCCTTATCCTCTCTTCCCTCCTTCGACAGAGTTGGATAACCGCATGGATTTTGATGAGCCCCATGAGCCCCATGAATTGGATTCGGTTGAACCGGCAGTACGGAGCACTCGTCCAGACTCTCCTGCATCTAGTCAATCTGCACAAGGAGTGACAAGTGCACGGCAAATTCCTAGTTTCTTGCGGGCGCAGCCTTCCCGGGTCTTGCGACGAGAAGAACAAATGCCCATGTCGCGAGTCTTGCAACTAGCTGCCGCTGCGATTGCAGCCCAACTCTCTGGATCAACTAGCCCGGTGCTCCCGAATATCCAGGCTCTCGGTAATGATGGATTAAATGGCTCATTGGAGAACTTCATTCAAAGTCTCCACAATGCCACGTCTACACAAGCAAACCCTGGTGGTGGTGCGCCAGATACTGCCGGAGAAAGTGGACCTTCGCCTCCACTTAATTTCTTGCGGGTGTTCCGATTTGCTAACTCCGATCCTGCAAGGGCCTCTGACGCTACGAACCGGACCTCAACAAGTTCGGATAATGCCAATCACCAAGCGGACGGAATGGATGTTGACAACCAAACGGAGGGAACTGAAGCTGAAGGACGTACAGTTACCCTGGTTGTTGTAGGTGTCAGGTTGGTTCCGGCGAGCAACGGTCCCGGCAGTGATCAACCCAACCCAGGACATGATCTCGATGCGTTGCTCCGAATGCCGTTTTTGTCGCCAGGAATACGAAACCCAGACGGTGGCTCGAACCGCCCTGATGGAGCGTCGAGATTGTTCCCCAACCGTCTATCAAGGGGACCGGGACCGAGCGGACTATCTACGAATGATGATACAATACATCAACCAGGATCTTCGAACGTTCCTCACAGACTCTCCGATGCAGGCACTAGTAGCCCTCTTTCTTCGCTCCCTAATTCTTCGCCAGCGAGCCCACCTGGCCCTCATCCTCCACCTTCGACACCTGCTGAGCCAGGTTTGTCGACGTCGGCGTCTGGTGCTTCAACACCGAGTCGCAGACCATCTTCCACATCGGCTATGTCGCCGAGTGCTTTGCCGCAAGTTCACGAAAACCAGTCAATACAACCTTCGGTTGAGTCGACTGAGGGGCACGCTCCGTTGAACACTGCTCGTCAACGGCGCAGGAGTGATTCTGAATATGCCCGCCACCGTGGCCTCGGTGCTGGTTCTAATAGACGAAACGGTGTCGTGGAGCCCGATAACGCAACTCCGCCAGTAGGTAGAAGCTGGCTAATCTATGTTGTGGGGGCAAACGTTTCAGAGAATAACCTGGCGTTTGCGACCCCGAGTCTTTTTACCGACGTAAGACCTTGTCCTATAAAGCATAAACATCTCCTTGCTAGGGATACGGCTAACCTGGCACTCAGAATCCGACTTATGAGGACATGATCTTGCTGTCATCGCTGTTAGGGCCGGCAAAGCCACCGGTTGCCACACAGGAAGATGTTAGCACAGCTGGCGGGCTGTTCCGTCTTGTAGAATACGCTGGTTCCTTGGTCGCCGAGGCTGTGGATGGCGCGGGCAACATTCAGATTCCTGAAGGTGACCGTTGTCTGATATGCCTCAGCGATTACGAAGCAGCGGAAGAACTCAGGCAGTTAACTAAGTGCCAACATGTCTTCCACAGGGATTGCATTGATCAGGTGCGTATAGAACGACAGAATCAATGTTGGTTTCCATAGCAAAGCTGACTTCTTTTGATAAGTGGCTCACAACTGGACGCAATTCCTGCCCGCTATGTAGGGGCGAAGGTGTGACCGAAACGCAGAATACGAATCCGGCCCAGGGCCCAGCGACGTCGGGTGAAGTATAACATAATCAGGCTGAACATCTTATTTGGGAAACTTTATCGACACTTTATCTTCGTCCCAGTATTAGCATGAAGCGCTTATTTAATAGCATAGGTAACGAATCTTCTCTCTAGTTTTCTTTATTGCTTACATATTTACATTGGATGCATTGGGGCCATGTGTTTCTTTTTCTCTTTATGTTTTTCGTGTTGTTTCAGCGCCATGAGTTCAAGCGAGGTCATACATTAGGGGCAATGGCGAAATGGATCTGATGTTACTCGGACATTTTCTACGGCGACTGGCATGCGAGCAGCAAAACTTGGGCTTCTGCACTGATCTCTGTCTCTCGCCGTTGGAAGATTTTGTAGCCGTTCCCCGTCTGGATTGGTGTTATTCTTTTTGGTCAATCATTGGCTTGATGCGATGGAATACGATTGCAGCAAGGCTGGCTCTTGCTTGGAATGCTGGCGTTATTGTTTTCGACTTTTTGCTATCTTGTCTCTTTGGTGTCTTGCGCTCCAGTTTCGTTCGCTAGCTTATGTGGTTATGTAGTTCGGAAAGCATATCACGCTGTTCATATTTGAAAGTGATTATACCTATCTACTTCATACCTGTACAGTGGAAACTGAGCGGAGAGGAAGACCGCCCGCAGGCACATCTCCGCCCCTCCATCCACTGTGATGACTCAGCAGGAACCGTTTTCGACCCCGCGCTGTTTCTCTTCGTCGCGCAACGACTAGAAGGACCAGGTTGTCAACATTCAATTGACGTTTTCTTGACTTGCCTATAACCTCGCGCGCCAATTGCATATTTCTTTCTAGGAATTTCGCGATCCAGAAATTCACCAAATACACGCAAACCAGCTGAAGGCGGGGCCGAAAATTTCACGTTTTTCATCTTCCGATAAAATCGAATACATCCACGATATGATTTCGCCGATTCGTCTCACGGTTCTCATATCCGGTAGTGGATCGAATTTACAAGCAGTAATCGATAAGACCAACGCGGGGCAGCTGCCCACCAAGATCGTCCGAGTCATTTCGAATCGCAAAGACGCATTTGGACTTGAACGGGCGAAACGAGCCGACATTCCAATTGCCTACCACAATCTCGTCAAGTACAAGAAGCAACACCCAGCCACTCCGGAAGGCGTCCAGGTAGCGCGGGAGGAATACGATGCGGAACTGGCGAGGCTGGTCCTCCAGGATGCTCCGGATCTAGTCGTTTGTCTGGGATTCATGCATGTGTTGTCGCCCAACTTTCTGGGGCCGCTTGAGGAAGTGAAATTGAAAATTATTAACTTGCATCCGGCTTTACCGGGGGCGTTTAATGGAACTGTAAGTTGCTGCGTTCTTTTCTCACGTGTTTTCTGCATATCCCATTTATAGAGTTGCTGACAATGCTTTTTGGATATTATAGCATGCGATTGAACGTGCCCATGCCGCATGGCTCGAGGGCAAGATCGATAAGACTGGAGTGATGATCCACAATGTCATTTCGGAGGTTGACATGGGCAAGCCAATTCTGGTCCGAGAGATCCCATTCGTCAAGGGTGCTGATGAAGACCTCGACATGTTCGAGACGAAGGTGCATGAGATTGAATGGGGAACAGTTGTTGAGGGAATCCAGCTTGCCATTGAGGAGCTGAAGGGTGGGAAACAATGAATGTGCCACGGTTCCAGAGATGGGGAAATTACTTGCAAATACCGTGTTGATGATTTATGATTAAATACATACGTTTCATGCTGTGCATATATGGAACTATAGAGATACCATGATCATTGTTGCATCTTAGGTTTGGTTACAGCGCATCAATTGAATTAATCCTGTTGGAGAACATCAAGGAAATGTACACTGAGGAGACAAGCATAACCGACAGCTAGGAATGATGAGGACCATAGGCCGCATTGAGTGAGACTCAATTACTGGAAGTTTTCGCTATATTTCGATTAACACAGTTTCTATTGGAGAAGTTTCTATTATGAATCACCCTGGTCGTTTATAAGCAATGTTAAGCTTTCCATCCGTATGGATTGGATGCACCGTTTCAACTCAAAAATGCTTCCTATCAGAGATGTCGTCCCGTATTCCCTTCGAAAAAGCATTTCCCCTATTCTAATCTAAATTGCTCACTATTCTCTATTGGTATTATCTGACCAATAGCTGGGGGTGCTGCTAGCCAATGATTCCTGTCCATTATTACCTCATTATGGTAAACAGTAAGAATACGAGGCTTTCGGGATTCCATTGTTTTGGTCCCCTGTTCTTCAGGCCCAGAAGCTAATAGAGGACGATAGTACAAAAATACGTACCGTGCTTGCGGGTCCCCGTTCCAGCTAGGAGAGTTCAGATCTATCTTTTTTGATCGTTTCCCGATAGTGAACGGGGCATACGATCAGGAGTCGAGTGTGCTCTATATTATTCGGTGATGCAGGCTCATAATGGCAATCAACGGCTATCGCAATAATACTAGTGCGCACTCCACGAGCACGAGAACGATATCCAAACCCCGCCTAACAATAATAGCACTAAATGTGCTAAATGAACTAAATGAATTGAGTCGTGAAGGTCCTTACTGAGTACGTGATCAGGACTCATGCTTCACCATGTTCGGGATCCACTATGGATGAACGTTTCGGCAATTTTAACTATTCTGGACTACTCCCTGCAGCGTGCCAATTTTAGCTCTTACCATAACAGGGGCACGGCCCAAAACATGACATGGTTCAACGGCCAGAAAAGCTTCCAACTCTGGTACAGACGGACAGTTGAAACCTGATCAACGGATGCATACCCCGTACATAGTACGTACGTGTATCCGTATACGGGCCTTGGCTTATCCCTTTCCCGGGATTAACACTGGGTACCGGTTCCCTTTCCCGGGGACAGTGGTCAACACAAATTAATGATATTTTTGCATATTATTGCATAACGGAGGAACTCGGTGGCACGGACCTCTGGGAAGCATTTGCACATGACAATGAAGTCGACTCCTCGGTACTATCTCCAGTCGCCCGGCCCACTGTTATTCCAGACCGGTGCCCTCCGTACCCCCGTACTCTGGGTATAATATTCCACTAGTATGTACAGAGTTCTTCTACACTACTACTATGTACAGACATAGTACTAGTAGTTATACTACTCTGTACGTACAATCTGGGTACGGAATATAACCGCGGCTATTGGACGGAGAATGGCGAACGGAATCGGGGAGACGGATTATTCCATGTGCTATCCGGAATTGAAGGATGAGCTGCCTCTTAACCTAACGGGCTAGCCTGGCAGATCGGCCAACCATGGTGGGCTAGTCGCCGGTTGACTGTTTCAGCCTCGTTAGCACCCAGGAGATGATCAGAGCCTACCCAAGTCCGGGGTTACGCATAGAGAGGTACGTATCCCTGTATGGAGTACTTTGTACAGCACGCGTCATACTGACCATGTAGACTTGGTACGATGGCTTTTCCCTCCCCTTATCATAATTGTCAATTGCCTTCCTCATCATGAGTTCTGTCAGTCACATGGTCGATAAAGATCTTTATTATGGAGCGAGTATCCACTTTCTCCGGGATTCATTACCGTGTGCGGCTAATGTGTGGAGAGAGAATTAGCCTAGGATCGGACATGTCGAACTGTTTAGCATTAAGATCATCGCCATAGGGGCGATTTCATCTTGGCTTTGCGACTGTCCTTGTTGGTCTAAAATCTTGCACTGGAACTCCTGATGAGCAAATCAATCTATTTTGAGTGTCAGCTGCCATGTCTGGAACCTATGAAGTAATGGTCGATATGCCGCGGTGGCTCTGGCTTTGACGCTATGTTCTCTTTGTATTCTGCAAGTATCGTGGAAAAACGAGTCCTCCGGAGTAGTACGGATACATTTCGGAGCTTCGGAACAGACGCAGGTCCCTAGTTTTGTACATGGTTATACCCTACTACTACAGGGGTACTATATATATGTATTTTTCTATTTTGAGATCTGATAAAAGGAGACAGGCTTTCAGCCGTTGTGTCGCATATATGATGTTGGAAAAGAAAAAAGCGAAGTAACAAAAAAAAAAAAAAAAAAAAAAAAAACAAGGAACTGGCTACTCCAGGGGGGGGGGGCAGCAGCGTCATTACTGCGGTATGGAGTATAGAATTATAGAATAGTAACAACCCTTAAGCCAATTGATAATAAGCTATGCGTACACTGTACACGTACATTGTTAATAGTTTGAAAAAAGCAAGCATTTATTGTGTCCTCTGAGGAGAAAGTACTCTGATAGTGGGTGGTCCCCGATCTGGTAAAAAGGAAGTAACCGTAGTAGCAGCAGCAGCAGCAGCAGTAGTAGCAGTAGGTACTATTGCTTATTACTACTATCTTCGCTCCATCTCCCCCACATATTCTGTCACTTCCTCTGACTTCCGGAGTACACTTGCCTTCTCTTCTCTGTCTGTCAATATACACGATATACACTCGTTTCTTTTTCTGTCAACTTTCTCCTTTTATCCTTCTCTTTCCACGTTCTTTTTTTTTAGGGTCTCGAGTAGTTCTTCCCTTTGAATGATGTTCACCTGGTGGTCCCTCTCCTGCTGACATTCTGTCAAGCGTGGAGCCGCGTGAGCTGTCTGTTCCGGATTCCTCCCAGCTTATTTGACTTTTAGCTCTCAACCTCCCTTTGCGTTTTAGATGCAATTCGACTGGTTTCGAAGAAAATGGCAAATCCTTATACCCCGCCTCAAGCCTCCGTGATGAGCTATCCACAAAGTCAAAGTCAAATGCAACTACAACAGGGCCCAACTCAATTCCCCGCGTACTCGATCCTCGGCCCAAGTCAATACCCCGAGAGTGTAGCCTTCTGGCACACTCCCTCGCCCGTCCCTCCATTCATCTCCTCGACGCAGAACCAGCAGAAATCCCTACAGCCGGGCACAGAACACAAGAAGCATAGACGAACAAGAAGTGGCTGTTTTACCTGTCGATCTAGGCGTATCAAATGTGACGAAGCACGTCCGGTTTGTGACAGATGCAGGAAAGGGAATCGAGACTGTGTCTATCCATCGGCCTCCGGCTCGACCTCGAGATCTAATGTCCGCTCCCGATCCAAGTCCAAAGGACCTAGTTCCCGCTCGCAGGGAACTGACTCTCCCGGCCAGGTGGAACATGATGATGGACGCACCCTAAATCCAATAGCAGACAACGAGGAGGATGAGGAGCAGAGTCCTGAGTCTGGAGTCCAACTGTCCCCCGCGATGGGCACAGCTAGATCCTTACCAGTTCTTCCTAAAAGGCACGACAGTTCCCAGTCTCCAACGAAGAGCTATCTACAGTCAATTGAGCACGCAAGCAGCTCCCCCTCTATTGAAGCATCATCGAGATTCGAGACAATGAGCACACGATCGGGTAGTACGGGTCTACCTCCACAGGAGCTTGTTGGATCTCCAGGGACTGCTCATCTAGCAGAAGATTTGCGGTTTTACCTTATCTTCCACCAGGAAGTGTTGACGTTCCGGCACTACCTTCTGCGACATCCGTGTGACCGCTTCGTACACCAAACAATAACTGAACTCGCCCTGAAATACGAACCTCTCCTCTATGCGGTCGTCGGTTTTGCTGCGTATCATCATTGCGTCCAGAGTGGTAACGGAAAGCTTTGCACATTTCTCAAATATTACAATAAAGCATTGACTCTATTGCGCGAGTCCTTGAGCTCCGGGGAGAAGCACACTGAGGCAACGCTGGTTACTGTCCTGGTCCTTACTACGTTTGAGGTATGAATCAAAAGCCTTTTTTTTTTCTGTTTCTCTACATACTCATAGGTTTTGCAGGAATTGTCAGGCGACTGGGTGAACCTTATTAGCCACCACCAAGCTGCGCATGCTTTGATGAGCGAACTATTGACTCCCCAATCTATAAACCATACTGAAATGCACTCTTATATCTTCTTATGGTACTCCCGTTTTGACTTGGTGGCTGGCATTCTGGCTGGAAACGAAGCCGTTCTCGGGCGCGACTGGTACATTTCTAAAGAACAATATGACGGAGAACAAGCCGCACTGTATCCACACGACGCACAGAAGCAGATCGATTTTGCCATTTCTATCAACCGCCGGTTTGGGTTGGATATGGCGTCCTTGTACGCCAAGCTGTCTCGAGGCATCGTATCGATCGACGAATTCATTGTCCAAAACCAAACCCTTTCTCAAACATTGGAGCGCATGAAAGACATTCTTATTGCACTCGAAGCCCCCGAGCATACTGTCCAGTCCTTCCCCAACAAACAGCCTCTAACCGATGATGACCCCTTCGATCCCTATATTCCAGGTAGCTTGTTTACAGGTCCGCTATGGCGCGTTAATTTTGCATGGATCGACTACCTTTCCACCAGAACCATGTTCGAGTATCAGTCATTTCTCACTTTACAACAACCACCCATGCCCAAACTGGAACGCTTGGCTCTGGAACAATGTCGATTGTTAGAGACGATTGATCGGTGGCCCGAGAAAGAAAACGGGTATTTCTTTGCTTTCAACAACTGTCTAGGGATCGCGAGCATGCTTCTGCCCAAGGACGAAAAACATATAATGTGGTGTAGGAAGAAGCTTGTCAAAATGGAGCAGAACGGGTGAGTCTCTTCCTAATAAGAAAGCTGAGTTTCATATACTAACTCTTCATTTCCAACTTTAGATGCGTCTCCGCTCCTCGATATCGAATAGGCATGGCAGAGCTTTGGCAGAAACCCGAACTCAACCACTGGTGGCTCCCAAATGACGAAGGATACCCCGATATCGTACGCGAAGTACGTGCACTGACGGAAGAACGGACGAACAACCCGCAAGACGACTTTCGAGAAAGCGTTCGCGATATGAAGACACTATTTTGGAAGATTACATTGGACGACAGTGAGAGTGATAGGAGTTCGCCATCTACGCTGGCTAGTGGGACATGAGCTCTCTTGAGTTTCGCATACTGGATTTGATCCGACATAGTCACGCTTGGCATAGATACTTGTCTTCCACCTTTGTCCAGCTGGGAAGGCCCAATCCATGGTTATCAAGGTCGCATCTCTACCTGGACCCCAACCGAATCTTTGGTGTTTGAAAGTTTTGAGATGACTCCGCTTTGAAACTGGAGATTCCAGTATAAAACCAGGGGGTTATCACTAGATGTCGGCTCTATTAACCCACAAAAAGCCATTGTCAATGGCTTCTTTTTTGGAGAAGGCTTACAGGATTATTACTCGCCTTTTTCTCTCGACCACTCCCATCTGTATAAGTCGGTCATTAACCATAGAGGTCCTGGACTTTGCATCTACTGTACGATATGCATAACCACGATAGACGACTGGAGGCGTCAATGGTAGGACGTTGCATTGTGGAGGTTACTTGGAAAAGTTACACAGATACGGAAGCTCTCTTTGAACCAATTTGCATCTGCATTTGGTGATATCGATGTACATAGAACCGGTCATTTAGTCAATACCCTGTACAGAAATCGCAACCACGACATAGTGTCATATCGGGCTGAGGCGAACACGACCTCAAACCAACGAAATGTCACAAAGGAGGCGAGTATCCCCTCTTCCATGGAATCTTCTGTGCCTCAACGACTGTTTCCAACCCACCTGCCAATTCCCCGCCAACACCACTACTACCACCATCAACCCCCTCATCTTCGAAATATTTCTCCCCCCAAGGCAAGGCATCAACATCAACTTCCAAACCCAACAAGCACCTCAGTACCACACTGGCACCCGCTTTGCTCATAACAACGTTCATCTCCTTGCAGCGCTCGTCGCAGACGCACTCAATACAGCCTTGGGGCGTGATACAATGACATGATTCAATTCGGGATATGGCACGGCGTATGAGAACGTCGATGAACTCGAGGGCTTTACCAGCTATCCCAGAACCGCAGAATCCACCTTTCGCATCGTAAAAGGTAAGACGAGCAGGGCGTTTTCGGGATGGCGGTTGGAGGTCTCTGGTTTTTTGAGTTCGTGGTCGATGAGCGTTGATGTTGGCATTGCCAGTAGGGGTCTCATTGGCGAGCTTAAGGTTCTTCCCTAGCTCTTTCTTGGCTACCTTGCATTCTGTGCGGACGTCGCCTGGAGACGAGATGACGAAGGTAGGGAGTAAAGAGAGCACGGCGTGTTCGGCGGCGTGAATCGCAGCGGCGATATTCAGACGTCTGGAGTCGAGAATGTCGAGGGCCCGTTTGGGAACGTCGAGCCAAATACCTTTGGTGACGATGTCGATGGGTGGGTTGTCGACTGCTACTGCATCGAGAATCCGGCCGCGTTTGTCAATTTTGAAATAGCCGTATACGACGGCGTGGATTTGAACAGAGCCGTAGTAGACATGGGAAGGTGGTGATGAAGATGAAGAAGAGGGGCCCTTGTCACTAGTTAAGCGCATTGCTTCCGTCTCGATTGGATCGATATCGGTGTAATCCCGCTGCATCGTGGTCCAGTCCACATGGACACGGACGACGCGAGCGAATCGTCTGTCCGTGTTGAGTTCTTGGACCAGGTACGTTTGGCCTTGGTGTAGGAAGATGCCACCTTCGTATATTGTAAAAAATGCCCGCGACGCTTCAACTTCTTCCAGAACCACGTTCCTCGCGTGAGTCGTGTCTATAACAGCAAAGTGCTGGTCCTCTGTATCCCGGATAGAGACGTACCGGGAGGGCTGCGGCCTGAATCGCTCATGACAATGGTAGAATCCAAACTCATCTTTGACCAGTCTAGTAGCTGCCAATGATGGAAGTTTCTCTCCAAAGTAGACGCTGTCCTGATTTGGTTGGATGGGCATCTCGAACGCTGCGCATTGGACGTGTCCTTCCAGGATAAGCTCATTTGCAAGATCGATTTGCAACTCGCAATTCGGTTTCGTGAATAGCTCACTGGGGTTCTTCATGTAGTACTGGTCTGTTGGGTATTTGTCGCCAACCAGCACTGAAAGTGAATCCTTATTCCTGCGTCCGGCTCGACCACTTTGCTGGCGCAGGTTAGAGATCGAATATGGGAAACCAAGGGTGATAACGGCATCGAGAGAGCCAATATCAACGCCCAGTTCGAGAGCGTTCGTCGCAACGATGCCCATCAGCTGGCCTTCGAACATTTCTTTTTCGATTCTTCTCCGGTCTTGTGGGCTGTAGCCGCCTCGATATCCCATTACTAGTTTACTGATTTCGGGGCGCTCAAGGTTATGGAATTCGTTCCTCACAGCCTGGAGAAGGATCTCACACAATCTCCTGACCCGACAAAACGCAATGACCCTGACGCCTCGTGCGATTAGTTGGCAGAAAAGCTTCGCAGTCTCCGCAACGCAATCTCCACGCCCTGATGTCGGATCTCCTGGATCCTTGAAGGGTGTGTTCCAACATAAGAACTCCTTGCGGCCGGAGGGTGAACCGTCGAAATCTATCAATTTCACATCGTCAATGCCAAAAACGGCCTTCATGTGTTCTTCAGGGTTTGCGACGGTTGCCGAGCAAGAGATGAATTTGACATTCTGGTTACCCACAGCAGCACAAAGCCTGCGTAACCGTCGAATGATAAGTGCAACGTGCGAGCCAAATAGGCCATTATAGACATGCAATTCGTCTACTACGACGAATTTGAGATTTTGCAGAAACGTGCGCCACGCACTTTCCCGAGATAGAATCGTAATATGCAACATATCAGGATTGGTGAAGATGATACGTGCTTCCTCGCGGATCAGGTTGCGATCTTCCATGGGTGTATCTCCATCGAATGTTTCCACAACGGTTTCCTGTAAACCATCCATGTACTGTAGCAGGTCTTTCAAACTACGTCTTTGGTCCTGCGCTAGAGCCTTGGTCGGGAATATATACATTCCTCTGCTATTATGATCTTTCTCAAGCTCGTGCAGCATGGGAACTTGGTATATCAATGACTTCCCAGAGTTCGTGGACGTAGCAACGATGACATTGTGACCTTCATGCAGATGGTTGATTGCTTCGGCCTGGTGTGAATAAAACTGCGTAATACCCTTGGTGTTATATAGGGCATCGACCATATTCTGGGTAAGCTGGAACAATAAATTACCATAGACAGATGGCTGAGCATCGAAGGCCCTGTGACCATCTGGGACAATCTGGGCAGAGTACCAATCTAGTTCTCGAATCTCTTCGATGATCTCAGCTATGGATTTTCGTTCCCTCGGAATCTCGCGTGGCAGTTGTGGCTTTGACGATGCCAAAATAGCAGCGGGAGTATCAACACCACTATCAGGAGGCGATGGAACCATCATATCCTTCTTGTGCTCCAATTGCTCGACTGGCTCCAAACCCTCATCCTCGCATTCAACCAGGAACGCATCAACAGCATCTGAAAATTTCGTATTCCGTTTCTCAATCAACTTTAGCATCTGCTTCTGGCTGTAGAGCGGCATTCTCAGATCTTCTTCCTTCGTCTTTCTCCGCACCGGCTGAGTCTCCCGCTTCAAATCGCCATCGAGGAATTCAAAAAACAGGACTTCCATTATCCCTTCAGCATCTGTCCCTTCCCCTCCATCTGTCCCCATCCAGTTGTTTTGGCTCATACTCCCATCCTCGAACCCCCTCAGCTTGTAATCAAGCATCTCATTCTCCCCAACAGCCATAACCTTCAACCTCGCCTCATCCACATACTCCAACCTCATAGCCCTAGGTAAAAGGGCTTTCATCCTCGCGATATCTTCCACTGTCAGTTCGCTTTTTCCACCCAACTGCGCCTGGACCGCATTCTTAATGTTATTAAACGTAGTGGCGAAATGCTTCCGCGTGCAGCAGAACGTGTACACAAGATTCAAGGCGCGATGCGTCCGTGCAAGGTCTTTGAATTCATCAGGCCATGGAGCTGATGGCGTTCTTTTGGAAGAGGCTTTTGGTTTTCTGGGCTGGCGAGGCGCACGGCTTGTTTTGGTGCTGTTGCTGTCGGTGCCTTTGTTGTTGGTTTGTGTGAATGGAGATAGTTCTGTAGATCTTGCTCTTCTAGTATTAAATTTATTATTCAATGCTTCACTTGGCTCATATTGAGGCTCTGCATTGCTGTCGGTTGCAGTTTGCTCTGCCGTGGATGGCGAAGCGCTGTTCTGAAGATCACTGATATCGACTGTTCTTTTGCGCTTGAGCACAGCCTGTGAGGCAAAATTCGACATGGAGCCAGCCATATCGTTGCCTCATCACGATAATTGTTATAACCGATAGGTTCGAAAGGGAGGTTCAGCTTTCTTGAAAGAAACGCCCCGAGACGCGAAATCACGTGCACCAAAATTCAATGATTGCCCAAAGTGGTATAGCGCGGTATAACTTGAAATAATTACGATGAAGCGAACATCCAAATGAAAATAATAAACAAATGAATAACTATCTAGATGAATGTAAATGGATCCAGTCAAAAGTAGAAGACGGAGAGCCTGCCTCCGATACTACTATTTATCACCAGCATTTTGCAAGATACTGGCCCATAACTCGAACACAACGACCACTTTCTATGCAAAAACCTCGCCCATTTTGGATATCAAATACACGCATTAGAATTCTAATACTGACTTAGTATGGCTCAGGTATGATATCGTAGGAATGGGGCCATGAAGCAACAGTCATGAACTCCTGGCAGATGAAAACTATTGTTCCCTCAGTAGGTCGCAAACGACTCTGTAGAGATCCCTTGCGTTGTCCTCGCTCCCGGTCTGTAAGCCAGTCAGTATTGGACGTCTTACAAGATTTTGTTGTATCGGGAGTGTCGAAAACATACCCGAAGCAGAATCGGAGCAGAACGGCCACTCTCCAGACTAGCCAGGAGAATCTGCTTTGTTGCCTTAGGTTCCTTGCCTGTAGCATCACCGACGTTCATGCCCTTGAAAATCGGCGTGTTGAGCATAACACGCCCAACGCCATCGGCCCGCATAATCAGCCGTACGGCTTTCTTATCCTCCTTGCCGCTTGTTACTTTAACATTCACCTTGAAGGTGCCAATACCGCGCTCTCTCCATTCCATGTTGGAGAATTGGAAGAGCTTCGCTTTGCAGGAGAAGTATGTCTTTTCTTCCTCCTCACCGGTTTCGACTGTTGCATGTTAGTGATCTCCGCTCAAAGTAAACCAACGCAAAAAGAAGATGAATAGGAGACATACTCTCCCGCTCGAAGAATCTCTCATCAGTCTTGTCTTGTTCAAACTCTCCAGGACCCTTCTCAGCTTCGTCTTCCTCTCCATACTCTTCCTTCTCATCGTCGTCTGCAGCCCCGAAAGGTTTGGCAGAGGTACTGTTTAAGAGACTAGAGCCACCTGGAGCAGCAAAGCTGGTAAGGCCTCCCCCTGTCTTAGCGGCCGCTCCAAATCCGCCACTGAAACTAGCAAATCCAGAGGCCATGCCTCCGAATCCGGAAGGTGCAGCAGCAGTAAATAATGAAGGTCCTTCTACAGCAGCGAATCCGGTCTTAGGCTTCTCGGATTCTGTAGTAGCCGGTTTTTTGAATACGGATGCGGTGGAGTCTCCAATGGAGCCGAAAGGCGACTGTTCAGAGCTAGCGAAAGCAGCCAAGCTCGATGAGGCAAAGGCGGACTTGGAAGTGCTTTGGGGCTTGTTTGCAGCGTCTTCTTCCTTGGTAGCTGGCTTCGAAGTTCCAATGGAACCGAAGGGAGACACGGACGAAGTGTTCGCAAAAGCGCTTGGAAGGGAAGCCTTCTAGAAACAATTATGTTAGCTACGGCTTTCCTCTAATGAAAGGCACAGTAACTTACCGACTCCCTCTCCTGAGAATTATCCCGATGCCGCTTCTTCTCGGGTTCCCCTTCTGCTACTGACTTTACCTCTTTCTCGGCGGTCTCTTCAGCGACCTTCTCGCCAGCCGTGCCCTCCATCTTGGGCTCCTCCTTATCCAGTTGATCCCGACTTCTCTTCTTCTGCGGGCTCATAATCTTCGATGACAGATTATTCTGGACTTTTCCGGTCTCTTCTTCGACGTTCGAGCTGCGCGACCTTTTCCGTCTATGGCCGGCATCCTCCTCAATATTCTCCTCCTCATCTTCGTTAAATGACCGCTTCCTGCCCCTGCTGCTCGCCCTTTTGTTTCCATCGTGCTGTGATCCTTCAGCGTTTGCGGGGTTTAGGCTTCGCGGTGCCGAAGTAAGAGAGGTTTCCTTCAGCTTCCTTCGCACTGGGCGTTCGCCGCCGTCGTTATCGGATGTCTGCGTTTCATCTGCAGTAGCTATAGAATCTATAAGCATTAGACGAGTAATTTGCAGGAATGATAACGGCGTGCAAAAATGCAAAAGGTGGGTACCAATTCATACCCTTCTGCTCAACAGGTTCCATTGGTACATCCCCTTATAAACCGGTCAATGTTAGTCCCAGGTTCAAAACAATTCTGCAGTAAAACCCCGAAACCGAATTGAAGTATTCCATACCTTCAATCTCCGCATTTCGCCGCGAATCCGATGCCATCTTGAACCAAGCACCGAATTATAATCCCAATTTCACACAAACAATAATCGGACGAACACCAAACCCTTGTCGGTTCTGAGTACGAGCAGGAGGTGAAATAGCGGAGCGTAAAAAAAAAAAAGGCACAGCGCAATAACCTAATGTAACAAGCTAAAGTATGAGCCCACTATCACAGAAAAAGATAAAGACCCGGATCCCCTCTCTTTCGCCCGACCAATTCTGACATCCTCTCCTTTAATTCCCCCTTTCTCTCACAATGCATTATGCAAGTCGAGCAGAGGATAGAATGCTAAGCAAAGGGGATCCGGGGGTGCCCCACTCACTATGCGAAATGCGAGGTCCTGCAAGTGCTGTACAGAGTTGCGGTAGTATGCGGTATGGAAATTCGATCGACAGAGAAGGCGAGTAGATCAAGGTGCCTCGGGATAAATGTGATATGTGTGCTGGACGAGCCGGAGCAGGTTGAAAATCGCGAAGCGCCGGAGAGCAAACGAAGTCGGAGCTGAAAATCCCGGTTGGGTCGGAGATTATAGCGTGGTAGTTAAGGCGACTGCAAGAGAAAAAAAAAAAAAGAAAAAATAGCTAAAGGAGAAGACTGAGTGATATCTCTGGGCATGAAAATCTCCGTATAAGCAAGCAAGAGAAGAGTTGGTGATGCGAATGACCGACCGCCTGCTTTGTTGTTCCGTCACGCTGTCCGTCGCCCGGTCACCGCTCTCCACCCCGCCGACCAATGGAGCAATAAGCACTAAAGCATATCATTTTAGGAAGGAAAAAGAAACGTGCATTGGATATCTTGACTCTGCTAGAACTAAACGATTTATCCGACATGATATAGGCAAAGTAATCAGTTTTGCTAAGAGTGAAGGAGACAAGGACTCAAATCCATTCGACCCGCGAGGAAACGTAGCATAGCATCCCACTGTCCGGTCCCTTCTAACTAATGAAGCAAAGGCACCCAATCGAGATATAGAACACAAACAGCGGGTAAACCGCAATACTGACCCGGTTCCTTACGACGCCCGAGCCTCCGAGAATACTGACACCCGCTGCCAGAGACCATGCAATTAAGACGAGATATACGGGTATTCGCGCAATGGTGGGGAGGCCCATGGCACTGAGAAGAGCGGCAATAACGAGAGGAAAGAGTGTGTAGCCGATTATGCAGACCGATTGAAAGAACGAACTGTAGAGATATCGTGTTAGCCGCTGGGCCAAAGCATATATCAGAGCAAATGGAGCGTACATATTGCCGCCTAGTAATTTGATCTGCAGCGTAACCACAGATTCACCAATCCACACAATGCAGAAGACTCCGGAAAATACCAGCGACGATTGCTCGCCCTTTGCGCGCATCGACAGAAACATACTCAGTAGCAAGCAGAAAATGAGCGGACCCCTAAATGTAATCAGTTAGCCCATCATACCAAACAAACACAAATAGCGGGGGGATAACAGAAGCCCATACCAAAGATCCCAATCTCGCAATCCCTCACTCATCCCACCTTGCAAGACGACATCAGCATCCGGCCACCGTCCCACAATGTGTCTCAATCCTCCACCGAACCCGGTCGCCTCTCCTCGTTCAGCAGCTCCGATACCACCACCACCACGCTGCAACAATCCTCCCATCAAGTATTTCGGCCACAGAACCTGGCGCATCTTCTCCCACACGGCCGTCAGGTCGCGTGAAACCGTCTGCCAGACGGTCTCATCGATGGTGTTCTGCGTCGCGCGGCGGTCTTCTCCGGGAATCGAAGAGGTTAGGTAGCTGCTGGAGAAACCTCCACTTCTGGATTCCCCGCCTCGAGAAGATGAGGTCTCGGGCTGGATGTTGCCTCGCAACGGAGCAGTATCTGACGTGTCTTGGTGTAGAGGGTCATCGGCTTCGATGTCTATCGCATGAGAGTCAGCAAACCATAGGACAAAAGTGCAAGAACGCAGAAGTATCACCTACCACGATCAGCCTCAATCACATCATCATCAAGAATCGATTCATCATCGCGTAGGTCGTCATGAGGATAGTCGGATGCGTGTGCGCTAGCCATGGTGGACGGGCTATGTCTGTACAGGATGGATGTTGTTCCTTGTTCACCTCCACAAGTACATGACCCTTTGGCTGAACTTAAAAGGGGGTTAAGGGAAATGAAATAGAAATGCAATTATCCTAACTGTGAGCAACAGAGCAACTCCGTACTGTTGAACTACCCTGAGAGGCTAGAGTGGCATTACGTACACGCACTGGCCAAAAACGGCAGGCGGAACGTGGCCAGCCGTTTCATATTTGCATGCCTCGATTGTGAGGCATTAACATTTATACTTATGACATCTTCTGAAATGAGGTATATTACTCGCACTGCATACTGCATACTATCGATGAGAGCAAGAAGACAAATGATATGCGTCAGAAACACGGCAAAACTTCATGAATTCGTAGATAAGTAGAGAACCACTCCATGTCATCAAACATCAATCACAATATCTATAGTTATACATGCTGTATGTGAGAAAAATCAAATCAGAATGCAAAATAACCAACGCCTGTCATGAATGCACTGCCGTCGGCCTGACGGCCGGGGAGAGAGGAGTCGATAACCCGCAGCACAAGTAGTGTACAATCCGGATAGATGGAAAATCTTGAATGCAGGAAAAAAGGAAGAGATAAAAGTCGTAGTTTATTGTTCGCCATCATGTCGCCATCCTCTCTTCGCAATTTCCCCTATTACAGCCCTTCCTCCTCCATTCTCGAATGCGTTAAGCTGCTTTCGCGTCGGGAACACGGTGATGTTACGGAACCTCTTCGATGCGCCGGGAGTCGAGTACACTCGCAATCTATGCGAGCTTTCCTGGAGCAACTTGCGATCTTCCTCGGAAATGAGTGATGCATTACTCCTCGTCAAGAGGTTGTCTATCATGAGTCGTGCTGTAAGCATGATCTTCACAGCCGAGGAACCATAGACTGCAACGTCCTTTTTGCTTTTAGAAAAACGGCCCTGAGCGCGTGGACCATCAACGTCCGCCTGCTGCATCGCATCGTGGAACTTCGCAAGATGAGGGCGCAGCGTTTGCACGGCGAGTAACTGCAACTTCACCTGCAACTCGCGACCCCACGTTTCCAAGCTCGCAGTAGGCTCTTCCCTCTCCGGCTCGAGGCCCTTCAAGAACGTAAGACGTTGGGGATTCCTCCTGAGACTTTCGACCAGTTCAAAGTAGCCCTCCAACGCTCGCGGGTCGGGAAGGACGATGTTCTGGTGCATGAGGTCGAGAATCTCGTTGGCGTTCTTGAATATGCCGATGTTCCTACGGTCACGCCGGCAGCTGCTGAGAGCGATGTGGAAAACCCTCCCATCTACCAGTTTGGCTGGAATCATCTGATCCTGAAGAAGTCGGATCGTGAGGCGACTGGAGTGCGACTGTCGTAGGATCCGCAGATACCAGAGGTAGGATTCTTTGTCTGGTTGAATTTTGTGTGGATGATCACTCTGCGTGAAGTACTCCCAATTGACTCTTGCGGCTGATGTCCCTTGCGTTATGAGCATACAAGCTTCCAGCACATAACAAAGCTCTGGGTTGCCGAAGGGAACCAATGTTCGGAAAGACGCTTTTTTAGTCTCCCTGCCGCGGGTGGCAACTTCTGTCCTTTCCACAGCTTGGGGGGACTCAGCTATGGATTCTGAAGTTGACGAAGTATCCTCCAAGGAAGAGCCCTCAGCATCCTGTGCAGCAGGCTGACAATTTACAGTGGCAGCTTCGGCAACCGGAGCACCCTCTGAGAAAACTGGATCGAACAATTGATCAAAGTTAAGCGGGACTTCCTCCTCCGGTTCGTGTTCTTCCAGCTCCTCCAGTTCCTCTTTTTCCTGTTTTGACTTGTATAACGGCTCTTCATCTTCGCCCACAAACGGGACATACTCCATGTCAGGATCTGAGTCTGGAGCAAGGAGGTGTTCCTCTTTCTTCTGTGTTCTCTTCGGTTTAGGTGGGGGGGAAGGACGGGGAGGTGGTGATGGTAGTGGAGTAGAGTTTCTAGGCTTGCGCGGTTCCTCTACAAGAATCGGGGTGCCACAGATTTGCCTATACAACTTAAAGACATCATGGCAGTCGTGATCAGAAGTTCCCTGTAACAGAATCTTGGCCATAGAGTTGGCAAGATACGTGTCCATGGGAATACGTCCTGCTTTCCAGAGATAAACCACTTCAGACCAGACTTTCTTGGCTTCTATCACGGCTTCGTGTCGCCGCTTGATGATCTTGTCCACATCCTCTGATGGGATGTCCTTGACATCTCGCTCAAGGGAATACGTGACAGCTTTCAGAATTATAGTGTAGGTTTTCTCATCCGGCGCAAGTGGTCCGACTTCCGGGAGGTCCGCGGCAACTTTCCACAGGGTATCCAAGTCACCCTGTCGAAGACAGGCCGTTAATAGAGCATTGGCGTGGACGATGCTCCTTTCGATACCATTGTTGGCGTCGGCAATGTTCTCGTAAATCGACAATGCCGTCTTGATGTTATTAAATCCAAGTTGGCTAGTGGTTCTACCCAAGCCAGACAACATAAGCGTATAGGTTCGCGTATTTGGCTGTCGTCCTCGTTTTTTCATCTGCGATTCGGTCAGTCACCTGAGCCATACCATCTGAAATCCAAACCAACCCACCTCGTTATAAAACCTCCACGCAGCCTGCGGCTCATTCTGCTTCATACAATATTCTAAAAGATAATTCCACGCCGCCGTACTCCCAAGGCCCAGCCTCTGCGCTTTCCTCACAAGCGTCGCCGCAAACAACGCATCCCTCTTCTGCAGCACCTTCTCCACCCTATCCGCCAACGTCGCCCGATCCGTCAACCAAATAACCTCCTTGTTAGCCGCAGCCTCGGCCCTTCTAATTTCTTCGAGACTGAAATTACTCCACCCCCTCTGCTCCTGCTTCCTTTCCTCTCGAAATTTTGGCGAGGTTCCCTCTTTTGCGAGCTCGAGGAGTAGTGAGTCTCGTTTCCTCGGTGTCCCGCATGACTTTCCGATTTTCTCGTCTATAGGCGTGCGCGTAATGCGAAAATCGCCGTTTTCTTCCCCGGGGATATCTTCGACCGCATCTGTAGCCACATCTGTGACATATGTCCTCAATCTCCCAACAGCGCGCGCGCAAAACGGCGACGGCCCTAGATTGCCCCGCCCCGATATCCTCTGCGCAACTGCACTATTCGAATTCGGAGAATGCAACCCAATTGCCCTAGATCTGGAATAACCAGCATAGCTCGACGATATCAACCTCAGCGCCGTAACCCTCCCGGCTGCCGTATGCAAGGCGCCGACATTGCTGCAGCGAAGCATCTAATACTGCGTTCGTGTGGGTCGGGTCTGGTCGTTACTTCAGGATAGGTATCAAGTATGTACGGGGGATGAATTCGACAAATAGTAGTATTCGTGATAATTTCAAATGGCGAGCGAAGGGAGAAAAGTAGTGAGAGGCAAATTTCGAAATCGGTGTTTAGCCGGTCTTGCGGCGAGAACTTTCTGAAAAATTGAGTTATGCGGGTTATGTTTGATTAGTAACGTTGTCGCTTTAATTAGTTATGCAGTACTTATGTTTTGGTTTTTTGGTGGTCTTTTTTGGGGGGTTTTTTGAAATCGAGCCACGATAAATCAAGATACAATGACATGAAACTATCCAAATGGCAATCTGAGTTTTTTGCACAGCCAAACTCCGTATAAGCATCTTATTCAGGAACAAATACACCATTGCATCGCAAAGTTATTCTATAGTCAAACAAGGGACAATAACATCATCCATCCGTAAAATAAGACAGTCAATTCGCCGTATATAAACCACTACACTAAGAAAGATTTGACGCCTCAAGCTCTGCACTTCCCAAACTGACCCTAACAATCGAATAGACTCCGCTCAGCCCTACGCCGCCGCCACAGAATCCACGCTAACAACGAACTAAATCAAGCAAGGGACCATTAAACCCGCATGCCCCATGATACATCCGTTGCCCCAGATCCATGGATCATAAAGGACTAGTGCGTGCGTAGTACAAGAATACAGAGGATGGACTAACGCGGCATCTATGCGCTAGATCAAGGGTCTGTGTGTACCGCTAGCACTGGGAATCGGGGCTTATTTAAGCTTATTTTGTGTTCTAATACTGTACTTGTATTTCGTTGTTGTGATATGTACGGAATGTTGATCAAGTTAGAAATAGTATATTCAAGAGGATGTGTTTGTAATCAATCATTCGGTAACATCGACCTCGTTCCTAATCAACTAACTGTACCTGACAAAAGACTCAATCCACCAGAGCATAATGCACAATTCAACGCAGAGGCCAAGCAAGCCCAGGGTAATAACAAGAGGCGAAAAGACACAAACCAACCAAGCATAACAGCAACGAAGACAAAGGCTGAAACGACGAAAATCCGCACGTAATGAACATCAAGAGAAAAGATATATTGCTCAACTAATGCAAAAGAAATCCTCCTTTTTAAAGAGGACCTGAAAAAGAAAGAAGGATAAGAAAAAAAAAAATAGTCGTGGTCCTGTAAGCCGATATCCTCGCGGATAAGAAGAACCTCGGGGTCCCAATCGATTAAGATAGTGTGTTTTGCTTTTTGCTTTGCTTTTGTCCCTCCCACACGATCTAATTCGAATAAAACATAACTGGAAAATGATAGAAGCGTAAGTCAAAAAAGACTCGTTAAACAAAGCGAATTAAACAAGGACCAGAAAGTGGTATCATGTGCAAAATGACTCAAGAATTAGACCGGGGTTGGCAGTACAGAATTAAAGAAGACTGTTATTAAAAGTATGCAGTCCGAAAAAGAGAACAGGGATATGAGAAAAGAAAGGGCAGGAAACATTTATTGTGGGTAGCTGCCTGGTTGGTTTTCTGGAAGCCATCAACATCGATCAGCTGATAATCCCACTTGGACAAACAAAACGCATGAGACAGAATGAAAGATGAATTGGAAAGAAAACCCCAAGGCCTGATTCTTGACAGCCCTTTTTGTTTCATGGATATGCTTTCTTTCACATGATTTCCCAATTCTGGTAAAACGAACACAAAAAGAACAGGGGGGTATGACTACTTACGTGGTTGATACATTTGACCACCCTGTGTGTAAGGAGAGTGAGGGTAGTTGGGAGGGTACGCCATTTGGCCATTCTGATAGACCATACCACCGGCGGCACCGTACCCGCCGTGCACCTGGCCATCAGCGGGTTGGTACCCGATCGGAGGTAGTTGAGGACGGACACCACCAGGGTAGGCCGGAGGTTGAGTGGCCGCAGCTTGTGCCGGGTCTGGCGCTCCAGGAGCTTCGACATGGTTGGCTTGAGCGGCCTGAGCAGCAGCAGCACGCTCACGTTCCTCAGCAGCCTTGCGTTGAGACTCTTCCTCCTTCTTGCGGGCCTTCCATTCCTTCCGGATCTCCTTGAATTCTGTAGAAACGATGTCAGTCACGTTTTCCATGTAACAAGCATTTGAGTTAGAACGCGCTTAGTAGCCGACATTGTCGCCACCCGTCACAAGGTGACATTAACAAGCGCATTAGCCTCCACACCGGCCACGGGCACTACTGCGCGGTCCGGGCGCACCAAAGCAGTGTAACTCGACTAGCGCCCGCCAACCCGCGCTAGCCGAATCGAGGCATTGCGATAACTCAATTCATATCGAAGCATTTCGATGCCTTCAAAAAGCGACCAAAAATCAACGAAATCAATAGAAAAAGAAGCATACCTTCAGGAGTCCGCTTGGCACCATGCGACTGCATTGTGACATGTGCGTTCAAGTGGTTCAATGTGCCATAGGCCTTTTCACAGCCATTCCATCCACATTTGTACATCCGCTCAATCTCTTCGTAACGACGGCGGGGGCGTTTATGTTGTTGGGCACCGGGAATGGGAACGAACGAATAGACCTATACGAATTCAATGAGCTTTTCCAATCATTGAGAACAATTTATAGTGACACACACCGTAGTAGCAGGAGCACTATAGGAAGGGATGTGATGCCCGTGTTGAGCGTAACCGTGCGGCCATTCGGGGCGCGCATACATTTGTGGCGGCGGAGGCGGAGGGTGGCCTTGATACTGAGACATGTCGTGACCCTGTGGCTGATAGGGCGAGTAGGGAGGCGGATAGGTGGGACTGGAGGCTGCGATGGAGGGATCTATAGGAACGTCGGTGTCAGATTTCATGTTGTTGGTTTGATCATTGTTGATGTTGTTGGATGGAGCGTGATGGTCAATATGCGATTGGCCATCACTACTACCGAGGGTGGTGATAGACGGACTTGTTGCTTGAGCCATACCTGCCGCACCGCCGGCCTGAGTGCTGGGCGCGTGATGGTATTGAGGTCGAGGCATGTAATCGTAGGCGGGGGAGCGCGCCGCGGCGGCGGCTGCAGGAGGCTGGTTCAGACCGTAGTCTGACTGAGGGGTGTTGGAAGACGAAATATTGGCGGTAGTCCCAGTGGGACGGACGTCGGGCTGGGGCGTATACTGAGGAGCCGGGCGAACCTCCGTTTGAGGGGTGTAAGGAGTAGGGGCTGCAGCAGCTGAAGCCTGGTCTACAGCTGGAAGTTCAGAAGAAGGCGCGACAGACGGTGGATACGGAAATTGCGAACCTGGCTGCGCGTACTCCGGAGCAGGTCTGTTATCCATATAGGTGGTGTTTTTGTTTTGTTTCTTTTCGGGGAAAAAAGGATGCTCCAAGTAACCTGCGGGGCCTGTTTTGTGCGGACGACGCGTCGAGAATGAGCTTCCAGTCGTATAGAATGAGATTGAGTGGGAAAGGAGAAAAAGGGAAAAGAGGAGAAAAGAATAAATTGAATTCTCGAGGCGACGGGGCAGCTAAGAGAATCGCTTTCTTTTCTTTTTCTTTCCTCCTCCTCGGCCTCTTGCTGTGTGGTTCCCTATTGCTGTTTGGCGAATATTTTTTTTTCTGTGATATCACGTACTGTAGAATCAAGGTCCGACACACACACACACAAAACCAATGCGCGCTTATTCCTTTTCAGTCAATTTGTTTCTATCTCCCGGTAAGAGCTTGTCGAGCGAAGGAGAGAAAGTCGCGGTAGTGAGTAGTAGAAGAGAGTATCGCCGAAAAAGATTGAGAAGAGAGAAAAAAGAAAGGATCGGCGGGGGGTGTTAGGTCTGTAAGAAAGTTGTCGATGACCTTTTTTTTTTTTTATCCTTTCTTATCCCTGTTCGCCAGAGGACTTTTCCGGGTGTTATTTTGTCGTTGCGCCAGTTTCCGGGGATCGCGATGCTTAATTGACTTAGTTCAGCCTCTAGGGAAAACGACGGAGGGGAACCAGATGAAGGTGTTGGTGCAGGTGGTCGCGGCGGAGGAAAGCGCACGAGGGCCGGCGGTAATAAAAAACAAATAAGATAACAAGATTAATTTCAATAAATGACCACTTTAGGGGAGCAGAACCAAATGAAAAAAAAAAAAAAAAAAACAAGGTTTGTCCACGGCCGAACTAGAAGAACACCCGCAGACGGCGTACTGAACGGGGATTGGGCTCGGGTCAATCTGGCGGTCACCCTAAAAACGAGAGCAGCAAGCGGCCCCTAAAAGGCTTTGGGTCGGACAGTGCGCGAGAGAGAAAGACAACGAAAGAAGAAGGGAGAGCACTTCTCGTGGGATCCGGTGGTGGACAGTGATGGTAGTGGTGGGCTGCTCGGTGGAGATGTGGTGCTCGTGGGTCGAGATATGGCGAATCAGAGGCACGTTAGTAGAAAAGAAACTGGAATAGGGGAACCAGTAATACCGTATCGCCAAAAAGAATAAAAAGGAGAACGACACCGGAAGACCAACAACAAAAAAAAAAAAAAAGAGAGTATTGTTGGAATACCAGCGGCGAGATAGGGATCCGGTCGCTGTACGGTGACGGTTCTTCTTTTGGCCAGTGCCCGAAAGAGAGATCAAAAGAAAACACACTTTTCGTTCTCTAGTTATTCTTTTTGCTCCGGAGCACAGTGTGCAGTATCCGTACCCTTTCTCAGGATGATGTTTTTGCTCAAAGCGGAACTCTCCGCGACAAGTGGCGAAAAGGGTTAGATTTTTTTTTTTTTAATTATTCCGGCCCCTTTTATCAGGTGACTGATTGCTTGCCCAGAGGTATTTGATTTTGACGTGATAGAAAACCCCGTTCCTCTGTTTAATTATTCGGGATATGCTTCGGAGGTAGTAGTAGGTCAACCCGGAACTGATCGTACTGGATTAAGTAGGTAAGGTAGATTTAGAGCTTAGTCTACCCGCGATTCGGGAACAGCAAAGTGGTAGACCAGTGATGCGCGCGTAACCCAGGCAAAGGTAAAAAGTAGCCTTCCTAGTAAGTAGTACTAGAAGGCCGTCCGTGGGTTTACCCGTACCAAGATCAGGGCTTCTCAGTACAGGAACGGAGAGCTCTGATAGTGGTCTAGTAACGTTGATGGAGGACGCTAACCGGCGCTAGGATAAACTGGGTAAGGTGCGCCCGCGGACCAGCCGAGGAGAGCGTGAGTAGCGTGCGCACTAGTGCTGTACGAGTATGTACAAGTATGTGTAGGGAGTACTCCGTGTGGATGAGACGAGAATATAAACTGCTCTGGCTGGTTGGAGACTGACTCAATAGAGATTCGTTGGCTAACGTTGAGAGAAGAGATAAAAAGACACAGTGGACAGTGGAAGAGAAAAAAAGTGGGAATGAAAAAAAAAAGAGTGACAGCTGCTGCGCGTTGGCCGGTACTTCTCCGTACGTTCGTATGGTAATGACTAATTATACCTACTCTGTACTTTCTTTCCACATAAAGTACTCCTTACTCTGTAGTAGTGCTCACTAAAGTACAGGGTAGATAGTACCCCGTGCTCTGTATAGATCTGGTTAGTCAAAAGCAAATATCTTGAAAACGAATATCTCTACGAGTATCTCTACTGCTTTGTCTCGTACTCTGTACGTAGTACTCGATGCACGGAGTATAGTAGAACTGTCACGTCAATACGATACAGGAACGCGTCGGTGGGGCACGAGGAAGCTGACCAATCAATCATGACATTGAATCATGGCCTCAGATGACGGTTGAATTGGTCACTCTGCAAACATAACAGCGTGCTTGGATACAGATTGTACTTTGTACTTTGCTCCAATATTGGACGTATCTCTTCTTCAGTCTGCGTATCTGCATACTTACAGTACGGATAACCGGCAGTTGATATTATCTCGATTTTAATCTGGCAGCTAAAAGGAAAAGGGGCGCTGCACGCTGCACGGCGCTTTCCACGGAAACCTCCCCACCACACTAGACGGGGTTTGTACGGCCCCCTAATTGGTGCTATTGCGATCCCCGCACAAGGCGGAACTGGGAAGGACTGCTTGTTGACCGGTGAGTTTTTTCTTTTTTTTTTTTTTTATCAGAAGACAGAAGAGGTAGGAGACTCAACGCGAGGTTAATTTGCAACATACAAGGACATAAAACAAATCACTATGCATCGCGATTTTTGGATGCTCGTTTTGGAAGATCAATCATCTCACAGGCTGTGCCCAGTTCTCTGGACTATTCTCCATCTACAGGGTACGAAGTAGTACTCCCTACAAGACGGAGTTGACGAGGATGATTCCGGGGTTGCGACTATGATCGTTATTTCGGATGCTCCCCGATACCTATAATAACTTTTGGTAGAGTACTGTACGAAATACTCAAGAGTATGTTCCTGAACCATACTCTGAATCCTACGGAGTGCCAACACTCATGAGACATTCGTAGAGATATTCCGATATCGTCGATCTCACTCTTTTCCCTGGTACCCGGTGGTTCCCCCTCCTCCCAAATTAATCCCGTCTCCGTAACTCTGTAGGACCAATTCCTGTTATTGTTATGTGCATATGCATTCTGTACATACTCCGTACTCCGTATGCATCGACTGGCCAGGGGTAAAAAACCCAATCAATTGGTCAGAATACGAGTAGGGGGAGTTGGGAATACGGAGCCAATGTATCAGGGGAAGGGGTATCGTATCGAGTCATGTATTGCTGAGTCAGTTATTCACATGGACATTACAGAGTACAAGGGAGCATATGGACAGATGACATTCATGAACTTGGGCGCTGAAGCACCAGCTGATATTCCCTGCACAAAGTACGTCCTCTGTAGTTACTCGAGTATGAATACTCCATACTAAATTGTACTATCATAGCGCGATCTGCGATACACGGTCCATCCATAGTACAGTTTAAATCCTGTGGAGTGTAAGGCCTTGAGCCGTAATTGTGATTGTTCTCTTGGTGAATGAGCATCCTCACTCGTACTTACGCAGTGCAAGTATTCTCCTACAGAGTACTTTGTACATTGTACTACTCCGTGGCTAGGGTGTATACACCAAAAAAGACCACCCATGAATCAATCCTCAATGTTCTTCAACAACGTGCGCTACTACCCTGTACCCTACCTGTACAGACTACATGCTTATACTTGTGCAGTAGTGTAAGCATTCGATGCATATTCTTCGGCCGCTCTAAAGCCAACCCCGAACCAATTCTGTCACATCCGGAATTCCCGAGCCCTAGTCCTGTGGACTATCCCTTTTGTAGTTAGTTTGAATATACCTTGCTTGGGTGGATGTGTAGAGCAGTTGTACGGAGTGTTTTGACGCTGCATGGTTGGCTGTGTTTTGAGTGCTTTTATTTACGTAGTGTGGGTTATAATTTTCGGGTGAGGTAGGAACGTCGTAGTTACCCGTGTGAATTTATCTAACGCTGGCTACTAGATGGAGAAGTGGACTCCGTACAGAATTGAATATAGCAAGGACAGTTACGATAAACCATTGCTCTGTCAATCCCACTTGGAAACCCCCTGAACAGATAGCGCCCAATGCTCCAAGAACACCCACCTGACTCGAAAGCTGATTATTATTGACACTAGTAGTTACAGATACATAAATTTTCATCATATTTCAATCTGTCACTGTGTACTCTGCGCATTAGGTTGTCAGGGCGGGGCTGGACTTCGACCCAAGACAGACCTGAGATTGAGGGTAGCATCTAAGATGCTAGAACAATATCGGATGAGAGTAATTTCAAGTACAGAGTAGTCTAACGTCAATTAAGGTAGAAATCGCCAACCACAAGAATAGCATTCAACAATAGATACATTTCTAAAATGACATGCAAAACTAAGCTAAAGCTCGTCGAAAACCCATCCATACCGCTGACGAGCCAAAAATTAGAACTTTTGACTGACCCTAATTAACAGATACGCGCACGGGAAGATAGAGTAAGGTGATGCCGACATGACCCGATCCTGCCAGCATACACTTTTTCCCCAGACGCCCAAAGAAAAACAAAAAGAAACAAGTCTATCGTGACATCGACGAACGCCGCCCGCGCCGAGTTACGGAATGGAAATCGGGAAACAATAGAGGGGGTAAAAGGCTACCAAGATGACAATGGGATACGAGCTCAGTGGCTGAACTGGGCATCATGATCGCTTTACCAACGACGGTTACCACCAATCGGCGCAGCGTTGGAGGCAGTGAAACTATTACCACGACCACCACCACCACGGCCGCGACCACCACCACGACCACCCCAACGACCGTAGCCACCGCCATAGCCACCACCGCCGCCACTGTAACGAACCATCTCAGCGAGACGGGGATCAATCTGTTGCTTAGCCTCAGTAAGGATTTTGACCAAGTCACGGGCCTGCTTAGAGTCTAGAACGAGTTGTCAGTAAGAGACGTAACCGCAAATTTCTTAAAGAATGAAGAACTTACTGTCAGTGGTGAAGAAGGTAATGGCAGTTCCATTGGCGCCAGCACGACCAGTTCTACCGATACGGTGAATGTAGTCTTCGGAGTTGTTGGGATAATCATAGTTCAGCACATGAGTGATGTCGCGAACATCTTTAGATAAGTTTTTTGGTTAGCAAACAGAGCATTAGTCAAGAGCAACGTGGCCAGAGGGGCCCTTTCTCAGTCATGTGAGACTTGATGCATCAATCTCTTTCTCGCATGGAGTCTTTTTTCATGTAATAAAAGATCCGTTGGAGCGTGTGGTCCATTGGCTGGCAAGAATCGCGGCCCTAGAGCAACCTTGGAATGCAGCTTCAACACGAAAGTCAAGAAAAGCAGGAACTTCCATCTCTCTATCAGGTTAGGGATAGAGATCGAATGTCACGACAACAGAAGACAATGATAAGAAACATGCTTCTGCTATACTGCACTGTGAGTCCAAGGTCCTCCTGGTGTAAAAACCATTCAGAAAGACCCGACAAGCCTGGACGAATCAAGTACACCAACATGGCGTCTTAAAAAGAGTTGAGCACCTTGCCGTTGTCACACAACCTCAACTATAAGTGAGGGTGACAAAAAGAAAGGACTGTGGGGAGGGGGGAGGGGAGGGGTTTTGGATCGCAAATTTATCATACCAATACCACGGGAAGCCACGTCAGTAGCCACCATGATCGGGCTCTTGCCCGCCTTGAACTCATTCAGAACCCAATCTCTTTCTTGCTGCTGCTTGTCACCGTGAATGGCTGTGTTCAATTGTCAACACGATGAATTAGGATTGAAACCTGGGTGGGAGTAACTTACAAAGTGCGGGCCATCCATCCTGACGGAGGAAGCGAGTGATCTCGTCTGCAACACGCTTGGTTGCCGTGAAAACGAGGACCTTATTGGTGCGAGTTTCCATGATCTTTTCAAGGTGCTTAAGCATTCTGTCACGCTTCTCAAAGTCCGAAACGACCTCAACGATTTGAGTAATTCTGTGGTTAGCAGAAAGATCCATCGAACCGACGTTAACCTGAATGTAGTCGTTCAGGAAGTCCGAGGCAAGTTGGCGGACCTCTTTGGGCCAAGTAGCGGACCACATGCAAGTCTGCCTGTCGGGGCGGATCTGGGAGATGATCTTGCGGATCTGAGGCTCGAAACCCATGTCCAGCATGCGATCAGCCTCATCGAGAACGAGGTACGTGACACGGCGGAGGTTGGTCCGGCCGGCCTCCAACATGTCGATCAGACGACCGGGGGTTGCGATGCAAACTTCAACACCACGGCTTAGGTCACGGATCTGAGGACCCTTGGGGACACCACCGTAGATACAGGTGTTGCGGATACGCGATGACTTTCCGAACTTGGTGATTTCGGCTTGAATCTGAACCGCAAGTTCACGAGTGGGAGCAAGGACAAGAACAATAGGACCATCACCAGGAGCAAGAAGAGGTTGAGCGTTGATGTGAACGATAGCCGGAAGACAGTAACTCAGGGTCTTTCCAGAACCGGTTTCAGCGATACCAACGACGTCGCGACCGGAGAGAGCCATGGGCCAGCCCTGGGACTGAATGGAAGTGGGGCGTTCAAATCCCTGAGCCTTAACTTCGGTCAAAACATACTGAGGGAAGCCGGCCTCATCGAAGGTCTCAACAGGGCGAGGAATGTCCTTTCCCTGAACGGCCATTTCGTGCTTCTTGCGGAAGTCATCAACTTCTTGCTGGGAGCGGTTGGTGACATCGGGGTGCTCCTTGTAGAAGGCCTTTTCAAACTTGGGAAGGGAGTCCATATCTGCAAAATCCAGTTAGCATCACTGCCCAGCGTGTCAAACGCCCAAGGGGAATAGGTTATCTTAACTTACCAAAGTCCTGCTTCTTAAGGCCAGAGCCAAGGTTGGACATGCGGTCACCACCAGCACCAGCACCACCGCCGCCTCTTCCCCCGTATCCACCACCGTAGCCACCACCACCTCCTCCGTAGCCTCCACCATAGCCACCACCTCCGTAACCGCCACCGCCGCCGTTAGAGTAACCGTTCGAACCGCCCCTATAGCTTCTGTTAGCTGATTGTTCCTTTACTCTCCAAACGGAGGATCAGAGAAAGTCTCAAGTCACGAGTCTTTCCCAGTCAGAGCTATTGCGCTGGAGGAAGGTGGCTCAAAAGCAAAAACAAAAAGGCCACCGAGAACTGACACGCTAGACACGGCGGTGATTGTTGAAAATTTTGCCCAAGCGCGAGTTCCTTCCCAACGCAACGCCAAGCATGACATGGCCCAAGGCCCAAGTGATTTCGAAACTCTCCTCTGATAAAAAGTAAGAACTTACCGGTAGGAGTCACCACGGTAGCCGCCACTGTACGACATGATGAAATCTCAAGTGTTTTCTGAGTAAAAAAAAAAAAAAAAAAACAGGGAAAAAAGGTCCGTAAAGATTAGGAGGAAAAAGGGGTGGATAAAGATTAGATAGTATGACACTCTATCGCGTTCAGGAGGGGGAAAAAAAAAAAGAGAGAAGGGAAGGGGGAATGAAAGGGAATAAGATGATGAGGATGAAGAAAGTGAATGAAGAGGAAGAAAACTGTTCAAGAAAAAAGATGGAAGGCGCTGGGCGGCGAATGCGACAATTGCCTTTTCTGGATTAGCGGGAGAAAATTTCCATCACCGCCTTTTTTTTTTGCCTCTTATCAGTGCCAAGTCTCGACCTAGTTCAAAATTTGTATATACCAAACTATTGACATTTTGATGTGTAGAATAAATTCTATACTTGATGGCCTAGTCCCATGTCCCAAAAGCTGCATTCCAATTCTGTTGCTCGGATGAAGATCTTGATGAGTTCTTCCACTCGGCTCGGTGAAGTCTTTCGCATGTGTGCCTCCAGCAGTTCTGAAAGTGTCATTTGCATATCTGAAAAAGAGGAAAAGAATATACTTACCAGATCCTAACCGGACGGCCTCCGTATAGTCTTCTGCAACGTAGTTCTCAATCCATTTCCAGTATCGGTTTCCTGTGCGGAGAGTCTGCTCCTCTGAATAGAGTCTTTCGGCAATGGCGCCGTATCCAATCAAGCAAGGGGCCAGCGCCATCTGTAATGCGAGCCAATCTTCTGATTGACCTACGTCGAGGATATATCTACTGTATCCCGTGCATGCTGTCGGACACAAGTCATCAGCGACAATCCGAAATCAGATCAGGACAACGGGATAGGGAATGTATGTGTACCAATCGTCTCAGGGAAGCTCTCCATATCTTGCTTAGACAATCCAAAAGAGGCACAGTAGTCTAGGTGCAATGCCATCTCACGTTCAATGTGCAATACAATCCGGGCAGACTATAACACGTTAGATTTCAACGCCATACTCGAATCATTCACAAGAAGTGGGCTTACCGCTGCAATAGATTCCATACTCTTCCCCTTATATGACGCCAGTGCATTGCTCCGGGCAAAGTGAACCTGTGAGTCCATCAGAAACTGCATTGATACACCAATAAATGAGGCAGTGAATAACCGTACCAAGTAGAGATAATCTTGCACAAGGTAATGCTTGAATCGTCCTTCGGGAAGTGAGCCGTTTGCTATACCCTGCACAAATGTATGCTCTGTAAAATGTTTCCATACGGGACGAACATCATCGCGGTCCAATACATATTCCAGAAATCGACCCCTTTATCCTGTTAGCAGATTGTCATAACGGATAACCGAGAAACTAGAATCAACGTACGGCGCAAAAGGCAGACTATAAAACGAATGGAAATGGTTAATCGGCCCACTTCCTTTCCCCAAATCAGTGCTGGTCTTAATCCCTGCCTCGACGAACCGCACGGCACCCCGGATGGCTCGCTTCAAAGTCTTGCCCAGGGCCAGATTGGCCGCAATGGCAGACGCAAGGGAACAGCCAGTGCCGTGCGTGTTCTTTGAAACCAAATAGTCCGTCTCGAAAAGTGTAACATCCTCCCCATCGTAAAGAACATCGACCACTAACGAAGCTTCACGTTGGTCACGAGCAATCTTATGACCCCTTGTCAGGGCCAAATGGCCACCCTTGAGCAGAACCGCCTTCGGTCCTAAGGTGCTGATTTGTTTTGCAAGTTGTATTAACGAAGGGAGATCTTCTGGTTCTAGGGGGTCCGTTCCAGCGTCTTTCAGTAAAAGTCTCGCTTCGGGAATGTTGGGGGTAACGACGGTCGTAATGGGGAGCAGTCTGGTGCGCAGTTCCTTGACGGCAGCTTCCGGTAATAATTGTGATCCGCTTGTGGATATCATGACCTATATTTCGCTCTGCGTTAACAATTGGACCATAGCTTTGGATGACCAGTGCGCAAAGATATATACCGGATCCAACACCACCGCAGGCACCTTATGCGATTCCAATGCCTCCGCAATGACATGGATGGTCTCCGTAGACGAAAGCATCCCTAGACACCATTCGATTAGAAAGAACCCTTCTTCGTCTCCCAATCCGATCATCCGATCATCCCTTACCCAATTTCACCACATCAGCCCCGACATCTTCCAAACTGGCATTGATCTGTTTCCTCACGAACTCCGCCGGAACGACGAAAATGTCCTGCACGCCCAGTGTGTTTTGCGCCGTGAGACCCGTCGTCGCTGTGAGTGCGTAACATCCGTGTGCAGTCAAAACCCGTTGGTCAGCTTCGAGACCCCTAAATTTAAATTGCTAATTAGTAACCTGCATATGCAAAAGTGAGCGTAGAGAGACATACGCGCCTCCCGAGCTGTCGGATCCGGCGATGACCAGGACCTTTTTTACCATAACGGTGAAACAGGAAAGATATATGGATTATAATCAAATAAAAAAAAATAAATAAATAAAATATGAACAGGTTCGAATACTGTTATGACTCCCAATTGTATCCCGAACAGCAACGCCTTGTTGAAATCACAGAGAAGTTGGCGGGACATCAGCGGGGAGCTGCCGTGGGGTTGGAAAACATCATAGCCGGATTTAACTAATTAATCTGAACTGTCATCGGTCTACTCCACGCAGGAGCTAGAAAATATAGGGACAAACTTGGAATCAATATGAAAAATTCAACGTAACAAACTAATGTCATTCATGCCATGATAATATTATGAACACCTCATAAATCATCGAGCCAGTTATGCTATCCACAGAAGAAACAATAAAAAAATCCCAATCGCATCCATATACCATACCAACCCAAGCATACTATATACAGATCCCCGTCATTACCATGCCACCAGGGCATGGCCTTACTTTTCACTAAAGCATGAAGCGGAACAAACTGTCCATCTCCACCCATTGCCGTCCGCACTTCTTCAGATAAGCATCCACCACGCTCTTAATAGTACCGAAACGAATCCGGTTGAATTCAATCAGAGCCGCTACACTGTCCTTCTTTTCTCCAGTCTCCTTTGCGGCCGCGGCCTTGATCTTGTCCGCATCAAAGAGACCAGCAAAGTAAAGCAGCTGGTTATAGAGTTGCTTTTCCGTGTATTCGTAAGACATTCGTCCCAGACAGCCTTCAGCATGGCCCCGCGGCCCAAGGCATCGGTGTCCATAGACGCTAATCTGGCGTGTACGGTTGCCACATGCAGAATCATCGCAAACGAGCCAGCCTTCGTAGTACTTGGAAGCCTGTGCTCGGATTTGGCTCTCCAGCTGGGCGACGATGGTTAGAACAGAGAACGGCTTCTGACAAACTTGGTTCGAACAGATGAGACCGTTGGGTGTGCACATGTTAAATGAAGCCGCCACTCCTTCGAACACTGACCTCTCCTTGCAGGATCGACATGTCAAGTTGAAGCGAACGGCATTCTCGAAACGGACAGAGTCTGGGATTTGTGACTCCAATGGGAATATGTCCGTGTTCTGCTGATTGCCTCCACTGGAGGTGTTGTTGATTTGATACTTGCGAACATCGAGTCCCAAGCATTCAGCCAGCCGCACGGCGTCTGTGCCTGGGATAGGGGCACAGAGACGTTCAATGGGAGGGAAGATCTGCTTGAGAAGGTAGAATTCAATGTCCGGCTTCAACCCCGAATCGGGTTTGATCACGTCTTGAAGGGTATACGACCGCTTCGCCGGGGGAAGGGAAGCGGTTTCTGCGTCTCCATTCGTCACAACGTACGAAATGACATCGTTGGGACGGACCGTTTTACCACGTGCAAGTTCACGTAGTGCGACCTGAGCCGGAGGCATGCTTTCCTTGTTCGGATATTCCTCTGGCCGTTTCGAAAGTTTCTATAAGCACAGTTAGCATGTTGCCAGAAAGCAAATAGTCTAACAGCTCGACCTACTGTGTAGATGACGTATTTCTGGACGTGAATTGAGTAGTCGTGCATTTTGGCGGCGAGGTCGCGTAGGTAGTCATGGACACGGTTGAGAACCAGTTCTTGGTCGTCACCCGAAAGGACCTCATTCAGAAGTCTTTGCGAAACTTCCTTGGACAAAGCACAATATTCACGTCTCCTCATGTCCAGACCCTTGACTTCGAGCTTGTCCACATACTTGCCATCCACTTCAGTCATGTTGATGGCCGCATACTTCTTCTTGGCATGCAGCAAGAGTCGACGGAAGATGTTGTCAATATCGATCTCTAAGAGCCGGTATCGTTCGTTGACGGTTTTCTTGAACTCCTCGCCGACTTTGAGGGCGTCGCTGACAGTGTCCATGTTAGTGTTAATCATAACGGAGTCAGTATCACCATAGATGACTCTAAGTTGGCTGCTTTCGGCCAACTCTTTGGTGCTCCTGAGAATCTCACGGCCCTTGAATGTGGTAAGCATGGCCAGGGGACGAGCGTAGAATCGACTCTGGGTGTAACCCAAGCATCCGTACATGGAGTTGGCAGTCAGTTTAAACGCTAGCTGCTTTGTATCCCACAGAGCAAGCTGTTCAGGTGTAGCACGTTTGTCTTTCATGAGCTTCTTCACTTCACGACGACGGCCAACGAGGGCGGCAATCAACCGAGGCAGAACACCCTGTTCCTGTTCTGAGGGAGGAACTTCGGGTACTTTTTCGTCGTTCTCATTTTCAGCCTGGAGAACATAGGATCAGTATAATTGAGACGAGAATGAGTGAATGAGATCACATACAGTTGCCGTTCGCTCGACTGTCGTGAAGCAAATGTTATACTCCTGAATAATACTGGGATACAAACTGTTGAAGTCCATAACAAGGATGAAACGATCGTAAAGGCCCTTTTCTGGTTCGAAGACGAGACCTCCCTTGAATTTGTCTTTCTTCTTCTTGTCGACCGATTCGTCTTCGTCGCCCTCCTGCATCTTTTCTTCTGCCTTTTGCAACTTGGATGCATACTTGTCAGGGCAAATGTACTTGTTTCGGTGAAATTCATGAAGCAGAATGTACTCGTTACGCTCCGCACGTGTACCGCTGAGCGTTCGTGCCCAAGAGTTACCGGCGATGTTTGTGAGAACTTTGGTCAAGGAAAGCATCTGAAGACGCAGCATAAGCGCAGCGATAAAGTAGGTATCTGTATCGCAATGGTTCACGAAGTTCATCAAGCCTTCTTTAGAAGTAGCCCATGTCTTCAGTGCTGCCTCGTGGTCCAATTCCTGGCGCAAATTGCCCTGACCAAGGTAAAGTTCACACATCTCGGTCAAACTCCACGATTGACACTTCATCATCAAGGACTACCAGCCATTAGCTTAGTCGTTGTCGTTACCATTATCCCGTGGACAGCAAGACTTACCTTGCCCATGTCGTTAGCAACATCACACATCAACCGTCCAGCAATCAGGTGCCTTTCAGCGAAGAACCCGCCACCCCGGTTGAAGTTCTTGGGCCATTCTCCACGCTTTAATCGTCCCAGACGATGCCAACCAGGCGTTTTCTTCTCTTTTAACCTGCTCAGTAGAATACTGAGGTCAACTTCCTGCAGCTGGTGCCCCATAATAACGTCGGGATCCGTTCTTTCGAACAAGGCCAGGAATTTACTGAGCAAAAACTGCTCGCTCTTTTCCAACATGAAAGTACCACGCTGCCTCTTCGCCTCGGCTTCGAAGCCCAGAGGATATGTCGAGCCAGGTGGGCGCATAACAGTAAATGTTTTGCAGGGCATTTTCTCGGGAGGTGTAGTATCTGTGATCGCGATGTTCTCGTAGACTCGGGCACTTGCAACAATAATTTCTTGCTTGTTCTCCCTCACGTTGAGTTGTGTTCTGAACGAAAGACTCATGAGCGTGAGTGGCGGCGCTTCGAGGTTCTCAGTCTCAGGGACAGGGTTGATGGAGGCCGGGTTCGAGACCTGACATTCAAATTTACACCAGGACGCATTGTTGACGGCAGAGAAGTCGGCCTCATTAATCTGCAACCAACAAGGACCCATGATGTTCTTCCACAAAACGAATTGCTCAAAGAGAGACGTGTTCGTTCCGAATACACGGGAAAATGTCTCTCCCTTGACATCCATTGGCAGGGTGGGCTTGTCGTAGGGGTAGAGGAGCTTCAGGTACTCTGTTTCCTTTGGAACATCTGACAGCTCAAATGCATATTTTCTCGTGCACGGCTTGATTTTATGCATCCCAACCTTAAGTCTCGACATCATTTCATCAACTTCCTCATAAACGTCCTTCATGTCAACTTCTTCGTCCGTTACCTTCCCATGCTTGTGTCGGTGTTCTCGTGGAAGGAAGTAAAGTTTCCGTAAGACGTTGTTGACCTTGATAAATGCACTCACGAAGGTCCCTGTTTGCTTGTTCTTCACTTTGCCAAACAAGCACAAATTGCCGTTTACTTCTGTGAAATCGATCCAGAACATGCGTAAGCTTCCATCTTCTTCGACGGCATCCTGAGCTTGAAGTTTGCCGAAAGTTCTCATCTCTGGTCCTGGTCCTCCTGGGCTGCTCAGGACATTCAATTTGCTCCTCACGTCATTCCACGAAGGACTCACAGTGTTGGGAGCTGGCTTGAGAGGCGAAGAGCTTGCGGGGGTCGGAAGGTTTTCCTGCTTGATCTTAGGAGGCAGCCGGCTACCGATCATATTAACGCTATTGTTTTTGTTCTCGTTGTCACCTGTGGCTTCTGCCACTTCCATCAGGTCGTTATCATCGTCATCGTCAAATTCCTCTTTCTTGATTGGGGTGGTCGTCCTTCGCTCAACGGCTTTGCTTATGGGAGACGAGGGCATGGGATCGCTCATCGGGACGTCGTCGTCATCATCGGCCTGGGGAAGCGGCCCGTCGTCGTCGATATCAGCGGGGAGCTCATGGCTGACAGGCGATATGGGACCAGCATTCTCGTCCCTCTTTTCGCGCTTCCCAACGGGTAGTTTCTGGGATATCGGTGGTGAGAGGATGCGAACTTTTCGTCGGGCTTCCGATTTGATCACATTAGGTGCGGGTACATGATTTGACACAACGTTCGTATCGACCTCGTTAAGGAGTCCGGCCATGAAAGAGTCGTCTTCAGCGGTAGCAATGGGCTAATGAAGATTTATTGTCAGCCTTCAATTTGACGCAATTGAACCGGCAAACCCACTTTTGGCTTCGGAGCAGATGCGGCACCGCTCTTGAAGTATTTCGAAATCCCATTATTGATCTTCTCTTTTCTCTGCTCCTCCTCTTCATGTTTCCTCTTAGCCGCCTTTCCCCTCACTGGTAATTCCACATCCTCGTCACTATCGCTATCGTATTGTGGTGCACCTTCATTCCAGACTTCTCGACCGTCGTCCGCATACCCTGCGCCGTTGTCGTCGACGACGAAATCGTCCTGGTCAAGTCGATTCCGGATAACATCCTTGTACCCCTCATCGTCGACCTCGTCGTAGATATCTCCCTGATCCTCTACTTCGTATGTATCGATACGCTTCTTTCCGGAGGCACGGAGAGCCCGCAGCTCCGCAATTCTTTCGCGAGCAGTAGGCATGGGGGACTGCTTTGATGATTAGATTGAATAGTTGGCGTCCATTAATGGGCTGTTTGGTATCTAAAATCTGCCAAGTAGAGATCTTTTTTTTTTAAGCAAATTGATAATCCAGGCAAAGATCGGGGAAGTGTGTTTCCTGGGGGAAGGGATGGCAGCAACAAGCGGTTCGCGTAGGATATGCGGGTCGCGTCTCTGAACGCGACCGCAACGCGCTTCTGTTAAATGGTTTCTGGACAGCGAAACCAATCATGTTCGAGTCATTGTTGATAGTAGAAGAGAAAGAAAAAATCACTGATAAACTCCGCAGAGCAGAATCTCTTTGGTTCGTTTATAATGACTTCAAGTAAATTACAGTCTAGATACTGGCGATAGTTATCCAGAATCTCAACCATTACACTACCATAAAGGGAATATTGAAAGATCAATCTGAGAAGTCCTCTGAACTCATATCACTAAATTCCTCTGACCTTTTGATTAGCAAACTACCACCTTCGCTAGATTTGACTTCCACATGAGTACTCACCTTGCGCCAGGCCGAATTCAAACGATCCACCGACCAGGATATCTCGTATTGAATTTTGCGCATCCTCCGAAAGTTCGGCCTCTGTTATCGAGTTCATAATTGATAGATTGAACCCATGGCTACCTGACTTGAGCTTAGTGACGAAATTAATAATCGCCTGTTCCGAGAACTCGCTGAGCGCTTGGATGACCAGACTTCGCAGTTTGGGCAAACAGCGGAATGCAAGCCAAATGCTATCATCGAAGTAGTCACCATCGATCCAGAGTCTCTCCACGCGCGGGATCAATGCAACCAAAGCCATGACGTGGTCCGGAGTGAAGCCGTTGGATACTCCCTTGAGTTCGAGTACACGTATTTCATTGAGTTCAGCAAAGGCCTGGACGAGATGCACGTTATCCTCAACCGGCTCCATGCCTTCTCCGTTGAGATAGAGGTTCTGTAGTGTCTTTTGTGACCCCAAGGTTTCATGAAACCCCCGGGCCTCAGCCGCGGCATAGTCAGACAACGAAAGGGTAGTCAGGCGAGGCCCACCGTTAGCAAGGGCCTGGGATAACAATGTGTTAGGGTCAAAGACAAATCTCCTGATGTGCAATTCTTTTAGTGACTTGCAACTATGGATCCATTGACCAAGATGCGTAACAATCGACTCGACTAGGGCATTGTCCACTAAAACCTTCGAATCTGTCAAGGCCAGCGCCCTTAGGGCTGGTAGAGCTGTTAATGAGGGCAGCGATGTGATGGCATTAAGACTGAGGGAAGTCAGTTTCAGTTCTGTTAATGAACCCAAATGGGAACTGAGGCCACTGATCGAGTCGCTGCTTAAAAAGTTAAAACTGATAACCTCGAAATGCTCAAGTGTATGAGGCCTCAGCTCGTTGAGGAACCGTTCAGATTCAGCCTCTGTGTGCCAGGGCCCGTTACTTGCCCTAATCACAACAGGGTCAGTATCCGAGCAAAAGCATTTGTGTCCAGTGACATACCATCTGTACGCTGTGATTCGCTTGAACTCAGGACAGTGATTGCGGATCTTGTTTCCAACGGACTGCGTGAGATTTCCTCCATCCCAAATTGATAGAGTCTGCAACGACGGTAGATGCTCAATCCAGTCGGAAAGTGTATCAGTTGAGACTTGATATCCACACATTAGTGTCACCATTAACGCTATTTTACGACAAAAAACTTACTGTTACAAGACAGACCTCGTATTGAATTTGTATTTTTGATGATCGCTTTGAGGAATTAGCTTGATGATGAACAATGAACCTCTCCTGGTCTTAACTACGGATGGAGTGATTACCTGAGCCAATCCCAGTCACTAATAGAGGAATGTCTTGGGCAATTCTCGATCGAAGCCTTCTATCCCAATTATGTTGGCCTGCGGCTTCACGAAGTTCTGGTGTAAAGAAATAACTATACACCTGTCAGACGAGGAAAGGGACCAAATGTTTCTGTAGCTTCCAGAACACTCACTCATGTGTCTTGCCTCTGAACCCCGGGTGACTGAGTAAGTCGGATAAATCCTCAAGGTTCAAGTGCCGTATATAGTTGCGATATGGAAGATAGGTCTGATCAAGCGCGGACAGGATAACAGAGCGCCACATAGCCGCCCATTTCCAAATTGTCCTTTCTTGCTGTCGTTTAGCATTTTCAATTGAGCCCCCTGTACGTCGAGCCTTGATCTGCTCGTCTTCTGTTGCGCCGCCACCGGTCACTGGCGCGGTATCATACAACCTGGGATGTCATGAGTCAGCAAATATGCGCACCATGATTTCATGTCGGTACATACTGATAGAGAATCGTCAATGCGGGCTCTGTGAAGTACTTCGAACTCAGTGCAAATTGATAAATGGTGTTGTAGTCCCTTTCGTCTCGGAGCTGATCTAGGATCATATACAGGACCTCGGCCGGTAGGCTGGGTGCCATTTTCACACGTATCACACTGCAAAATCAACAAAACATAATATTGGATACTTCTTTTCTTAGTTCTTTGACTCTTCTTGCCGCAATGGACAATTCATTGGATTCTTCGTTGTAAATGTATCAAGTCAAGTTTGGGAGACACCTTAGTTACTTGGGCTTCGGGAGGATTATGTAATCTTGCGTCGTGCCGCGAAGAAGCATCCAGGATCCTCCTACGAGCAACGATATATAGTGAAGAAGAGGATAATCTCGCTCGTTTAATAGGAGTAATGACTCGCCTGTCTTTCTCTATAACACCAGCTTCACTGATCAAACTGCATGAAGCTCTAACATGCTTGGTCAAATTCAACGAGAGCGTTGCCCTCGAGGCCGAATATGACTTAGTACGCTTTATCTCCTGCATAAAAAACCAAAACATTGAATTGCTGACAATCAAAACGTATGATTAAAGCTTCGTTTAAGTGTCCTCAACTCTACCAAAACAGCATATTCAGCATTCGTGCTCGAAGCGGATGATTTCTTCGAGAAATACTCGTTCAGTCCAAACAAAGACATTTCGTCTGCGTCCAGCAGTAATAGACGACCAGATAGATTTTGTTGTCAAATTTATCTCAAGGTCAGAATCAATTCCCAAGAAAGATAGTTCCCATACAGACATTAACAAGAAATAGGCACTTCTCTCAGTCTTCAAAGGAAGGACTAGCGAAAAGGACAAAGACACGGCCATTGAGCGCTGTGAGGTCGAGATACGCGAAGACGCGCAGCAGACGGAATGCAGGCTCGTTATTCGAATGATTTGTGGACTTGGTATGATATCCAATCTATCATGTACTATGTTGGCGAAATAACCGGCGTATAGGCGTTATCAAATCGTACAGGCTTACTTATGAACCTATCCATGTCCAACATGCGATCTTTGACAGATCAAGAACAGCAAATAAATGGACTATCGAGCCTAAGTTTTTGAGAGAGATAGCGGATCATTTCAGTCCATCTGCAGAGCAATTAGACATCCACCCCGAAGGAGATAAGGCCATATTCACAAGTTTCACCACGAAAATTGCAGAGGGCAAAGGTAGCGGTTCACATGCACTCTTTATGTTCTATACTGACAGCTTGCAGAAATCCTCAAACAACCCGTCCACACCTCCGTCGCCATCGACAAAAAGGACTTCGAAGATTTTCTCGTAGAAGAAAGCCTCCATATCGCCATCAGCATCAAAGACTTCAAAGCAGCCATTACCCACGCCGAAACCGCAAATGCACTCCTCACAGCCCGCTACACACGTCCATGCCGTCCCCTGCAACTATCCTACGAGTTCGAAGGCGTCAAGGCAGAGTTCACGCTGATGACAAAGGGCGAGGCAGGTGGTGATGATGTCCCGAATTCTTCGCGGGGTACTGCTCATCAGTCGCTGGCAAGACAGTCACAACCAACGGCGCAGGTTAGTGCGAATAGATCTGGCAGTCGGGCTCCGGAAAACAGGCGGACAGACATGCCCCCGCCTCTTCCTCCTGCGGCTGCGCGGAGCCGCAGCCGGCCTATCCGTCCACTGACGGGGACACCTTCCACTTCGAGGAAAACAAATAACAAGAATACGGAAAATGAGCGGCCTGCAGTAGCTTCGATGGAATTCGATAGCCTGTTCGTTCCCGCAGACGATGATAGACAGTGGGATGTACCTAATGATGATGATGAAGAAGAAGCGGAAGATATGCTTGGATGGGATGCAACAGCGGATCAGGTTAGTGCAAGCGGGCATTGTCGAGTATGGCTAATAGTTGAATCCTGTAGGAGACGTTTAGCGCGAGCCTTGGGCGGTTGCAAGATAACGAGTCTCATACACTGCGCAGAGATGAGCCAGTTGAGCTGGAGCAGGATGATATGGGAATTCCACCCACACAGCGCATGTCCCAACTCCATGGTCTCGGTCTCTTCGATTGAGAATTTCCTATGCCCCAACCCAACATCAAATGACAACAAAGGCGCAAGGGAAATATACTGGGCTGGGGTCACGACGTGATGACCCAACTAGTAGCGCAGCCCGCCCCAATACCAACAATAACGCGCTCATGGCCAATTTCAGATATATCGATCCTATTATACCTCTCCTTAACATTTCCCTGGGCATCAATCTCAGTACCACAATTCCCATGCTCACCCCATCCAAACACCGCGACCGTCCCATCATCAAGAAGGGCAAGCGCATGCTCACTGCCCACAGCCAACATTTTCGCACTGGGTAAATCCGCCGGGGGAAGTTGGCCACGGTCATTCCGGCCCCAGGCCGTTATAGATGCATGACCCTCCTCTTGACGTTGATGGTGTACATAGATCGCATGCCAACCGGCAGAGATACCAGTATATACCGGAAGCACACGAGCGCCATCATTAAAAAAAGAACCAGGCTGTCCAGAAAGGACCCCCCATTTATCACCACTCGATCCCAGAACCACGTACTCCCCTTTTTCTTTATCACCCGAAACAACCGTAAACTCTCGTCCACAGGTAACAGCCGTCGCGTAGAATGGCACATCCGCAATCTTGACAGGTGACCATTCTATTTTTCCTGCTTTTGCACCTTCCCCGAGTTGTCCTTTCCTCGCACCGCCCCAGCCGTACACTTCGCCGTTTGATAGGACAGTGGCTGTATGGCCCATGCCACTGGCGATCGAGACCACACTTGTCCTGGGAGGGGGGAAGTTGGATATCGGGATTGGCGTAGGAGATTGTGTTCTAGCAGTACCAAGACCAAGTTCGCCTTTTGCCCCTGTTCCAAGCACGAGAGTCACATTGTCATCTCCAGACCACGCGACTAGGAAGCTCCCCTCCCATGTTGCAGACATATCCTTGAACGTATCAAACACCTTCCCATCCTCTGTGGTGAGAACAACCCGTCTGAACCGCAATATCGACTCATCATCTTTTCCCTGTTGTTGTTGTCGCCCACACCTCCCATCCACATTACACCCCGCTGCATAAACGGCTCCATTCCCGAAAAGCACGAGAGTGTGATTCCCACCCGCTGCGATTCGGATGATATCATTCTGCGTAGTAGGGTCTGGGTCTTCGTAGAATAGACATCTTGTAGGTATCGATACGTCCTCTACATGGCCCAGAGCTAGTTGGCCGCAGCTGTTGGAGCCGAACGCGAAGAGGGGCATGTTCTTTGCTCTGTATATATGGTATGGTATGGAAAAGGAAATTCAAGCCCCAAAGTCTCGTGTCGATAACAATAATCAATAGTACCACAAAGCGAATTCCCTTGTTCGGATAGAGCATCTCGTAAATATCAAACCCCACCGCGTTCACCGCCTTAATCGGCACATAAATCTCCGCTCCGCTCCGCACACAGCAGAGTCGGCCTAACCTTTTTCTCCTCCGGAAAGGTGGGCGGAAAGTGTCGATTGTGCAGAATCTGGTATAGATGTCGTGCAGCTCCGGAGATAGTAGTAGCTATTAAGCTCGGCCGAGTAGTAACCAAAACTCCGGGTTGCAACGACGTCACCTCGTAGATATGCAGTAGCATGTATGTAATAGATCGGACGTCCATGCCGGTTGTACGGAAGATAAGGAATCACGAATAAGTTGAGTTACCAGAATCGGATATCCAGTAACATTTGAATCATTTAGTTACATTGACCTCTAGTGATGGTTCTCCACACAACCGCCCAAACGCCCGATGATTTCAAAACCATCCGCTCCATGACAAAAACAGACATGTTTTTCAAATGCAGCACAATGCAAGGCATGAATTGAAAACCAGTTTTCAAGGTTGCACATTTTCACATTCGGGTATGTTCATCATAAAAAAAAAACATAAAAGAAAAGAGGGAAAGAAAAGCATAAACATGAAGAGAAAAAGACGAAGCACCTGCTCCACATCATTATCCAAGTATGTAAAGAGAACAATAACACTCTATGCACAGCTTCGGGGTATAGTAAAAAAAAAAAAAACAACGAAAGATAAAAAGCAACGACGAAATCTATCACTTTTCTTCATACGAGTCTACCGAGTCACCTTCCTGGGCGGCGGGAGGAAGGGCAAAGTTATCGGCCTTGTTCGGACCGGTCTTCTCCATCGGGCGGAACATGGGGCTTGTCCGGTGGAAATAGGAGTGAACATGACCTTCAAAGAGAGTGTCATCGGTGTCCACTGGGAACTCTTCGCCAGGGGTCTTTTCGGAAACTTTGAGGGCCATCGCGGCTTCCCACTCAGCACGGTATTCCTCGACCTTCTGCTTGTAATCCTCTTCGGCATCGTAGTACTTTCCAACGCCGCGCAGACGTTCCCAGAGAGACAGATGCTTGGAATGAACGGCCGGGCCATGATACTCATGCTCACGGCCGGCGCGGAGGTAGTTCCAGCGACGCTCCTGCTCCTTCAAATCGAGACCAGTGGTGTCAGGCAGGAAAAGGAAAGTCAAGAGCATGCCACCCAGACCGAACCATGGAACCACGTAGAACTTGGTCTGCGTATCGATGTAACTGTATAGAACGGAAGCCAGGAGAGCACCAAGCTTTCCTGCAGCAGCGGACATACCATGAGCAGTGGCACGGATCGGGGTGGGGAACACTTCGGCAGCAACGAGGAAAGTGACGGAGTTTGGACCGAATTGGTTAAAGAAGGAACTCAGGAAGTACATGGTCTGGAATTCCTTGATATGCTCTGGGGAGGTGTAGTATTCGTAGTGGAAAGCCGGAACGATGAAAAGGATGAAACACATCAGGAAACCGACCATCTGCATCCATTTGCGACCATAGAGCTTGTTGTCAATGAGGAAAGAGGCCAAGTAGTAGCCAGCCAGCGAGACACCGACGTTACACAAGTTCCACAACCAGGTGGGCATAATCGAGTGGGATCCGGGGCTGATAACGCTGATGAATTCAGATTGGAACAACTTATTGCCGTAGAAGAAGACATCGTTGGCAAACCACGCGCCTGCGGTGGCGACAATGCGGAAGCCGAAATACTTGAATGTCAGGCCAAGAGATTGACGGTCATAGCCCGTAACAGAAGAGTTCTTCTTGGCCGCTGCTAACTGCTTGCTGGCCGCCTTCATGTGGTAGGCACGATGGTAAACCAGCCAGAGCGTGCCAACAGCCGGAATGGCGAACGACACACGGTAAGTCCACTGAGCGGCGACAGCCGAATACGGAGGGTTACCGGAACCGTGGTGGAAGCAGAGGAGCAAAATGATGAGGATAACCTGGTTGAAGAATTGACCCCAGCCCTGCATTAAGAATGCGCTGGTGACTTTACGCCCACGGTGCAGACGGTCTTCCTTGGTCGAGATCTTTCCAGAGCCAACGGCATTTTCCATACCGCTCGTGGCAGTCATAGGATATTCACCGCCAACACCAATACCATAGAAGAACAAAGACCAGGCATAGCAGATTACCCAGCCGTTGAGAGTAACACCCCAGGCGGCCGTAAGCATCAGCAAACCGATAAACATGATGGCTGCATCTTGAATGAGACCCCAGCGACGGCCCAGCCTGATTCAGGTTAGAAAGAATTCCGAGACAAAGGCCAATAAAAATAAAAATCAATAAAGAGAACGTACCAGTCACCCACAAAGCCCACCAGAATCTGACCAACAATGATACCAATGATTTCCAGGTACTCCACGGCGTTGATCCACTGCTCATTGCAAACCTCGTGGGTATCCCAGCAGTTACTGAACGCATGTTGGAAGAGAGGTTTAATGTTTCCGATCGAGAACAGCACATAACTAAAAGCAAGGTATATTAATATTTGAGTTCATGTCACTCGAGGAATGCGCCCTTTCTGTCACCCCAGATTCTGGAAAATAAGGAAAGCTTACCCTTCTAGACCAAGACCAGCACCGGGGAGAACCATATTCCGGAAATAATACGACATTGGCGACAATGGGTCGTTCTTGAACATTTGCCAGATGTCACCCAATTCACGCTTGGACTCTTTCGCATCGTAGGAGCCCACAAAGCGGATCTTCTTCAGCAACGGCAGGTCGGCCCAGTAGGTACCTTCGGGAGTGTAACAATCATCGGGGCGGATCAAAGCGTCAAAGGCACCCTTCTCGTTGATATCCATGTCCTCGAGCGGCTGATGGGTCCCCGACATGTCGGGGCCATGAGGCGCACGAAGACCGAAGTCCGTCATCCTGAGACTGATTCTGTTGTAGAACCGTTGTTTCGTAGCTGTAGTACCGCCGTATGCGTAGGTGTATGCGGTTGGATTTCTTCTCTCACAAGGTGATCAGCGAACCAGCCAAGATGCGCTGGTGGTCTTGAGTAACCTGTAAAAAAGAGAGCAGGAGACACGAGGGAGAACGACGGGATGGGAGGACAAGCGGACGAAGGTAGAGGGAGGAAAGCTAATGGCCTAAGGATGCAAGCCAAGTCGGACGAGGAGGGATTCCAAGAGTTGACAAGAAAAGATATCCGGCTAGTATTATATATTGGCGAGGGAAGACGAAGGAAGAAAATAAAACCTAGCACCTACCGGGACGAGACTCCAGACACATGACCGAATGACACGTTCTGATAAGCCAGAGGGAAAAAAGCGCGGGTCCACGGGACGGCGGACTCAAGGCCGGAGGAGGCGACGCTGTCAGTGGTGGGTATGTCTATTACTATGGAGCGCAGGTGGCGGGTCAAGCCCCCATCGGACTAGTTCACCAGAGTTTAACCGCCAAGATGCAGAAGGAAAAAAAGTAAAATTTATATTTACTTTTAAAATTTGCTACATACATTCTTTTATACATATATACTCCGTACGGCATACTTTTCTGCATTCAAGATGCCCTACGTGAACGGTTAAAGTGGTGGCTCTTTCCCAGTCAAAGACCCAGTATGTTCTCCGTAAGAGACCCATCATTACAGTCTAGTACGGACTAGTTGAAGACCGAGTGCGGAAAGTGAGCGGAGTCCAGGGAAGGGTCGACAGATCATGCATCGTCCTGACCAATCAATGGGGGCACGTGGTGGCAGAATCTGCTGCAAGATCACCGCTTTCTGGAAATCGTTTAGATGGAGGGAGCCAATCAGCGGGGTCGTTTTACTTACGGTATTGTACGGCTTATACACACTTAGTCAGTGCACTGCTCATTCTGTCCAACATAGAACAGAACAATATATAATTCTCCATATATACTCTGTACAGTATCCTGTTTGATGCAGAACATTCAGGCTATCGTGGCATTGCTAGGCAAAGACATATCTCGCATACAACTTGATTCAGTCAATGTATAGAAGAGCCGATCATACATGCGCTCTTTGTTGTCAACATATCAATGATGCTGGTCATAGGACAATAATAGTACAGAGATCAATGCTGACATGGTTAATGCTGATGCTCACTCGTGGCTGACTTGCAATAACAATACCCAAACAGGAACAACCCTAACTCAGGGTTCCCTGCACGTTCTTATCTTGGCATCAGATCTCTCGACCAGTCAGTGGCCGTGCTGCCAGCACGTTGCTGCTCTGCCTTCTCTCTACCGTTTCGGTCACCACTGTTTATCCATCAATCTTTCTCTGCCGTATTCCATGCTGTCGTCGTTTTGACGGAAAACCCCGAACATATTATGATATACATGCTCTCGTTTGGTTATTCCCGTTTGTCAGGATTGTCACCCCCGTCACTTTAAGTTCATCATGAAACATCTCCCATGGTTTTGCTAGTGGCTACTATCTGTCATAGCGGTAGTAGAGCCGAGTCTACAGAGTATTTCATCCTCCTCCTATTCCTACTGGTAAGCAATTAGAGTGCAACGCCTCGTGTTGCGTATGTAGTCCTCCGAGTCTAATGCACTCGTAGCTTTTCCTCCGTGCTTGCATCCCGGTCAGGCAGGCATAATGATAATAATAATACCGCAATCTATTTCCGTCCTTTGCTCTCTGTCTGCCATTTGAAGTACGCTATACGGAGAAACAATGCCAGATAATTCTGGAAGACGGAGTTATAATCTCCCTGGCTCAAAACGCATGCGCTGTCCAAGTCACGTTGCATACCGCCATCCTGTGATTGGTCTTCCTGCAGGGCAGATTTATCGTTCTGTCAGTCCACCTGTCTCTCGTCGAGATTACCTCGTTCTTGGAATTGCTTGATGAGCTTGTCTAGCCCATAGCTTGTCTAGCCCATAGCTTGGATGGCATGATGGTGGATGACAATGTCCGTTTCTAAACTCCGTGAAGCTGTCGAGCAATTGGACTCGTGGTTGAATTTTCCGTCACCGTGCCACGGCGCTCAGATCTCAGATGACAACTTCCGTCCCTATCCTCCTGCGTTTACATTCGTGCTGTAATTCTCCTTGCTCATTGGGCTCTGATAATTGGTATCATGATGCCTTGGTCGATCCAGTAACGCCCCATGCGCTAAACAGCTGTGGGAATTATTATTTTATTTTTATTTTGAATTTTCATAAGTCATATCCGATGAACTCGGCAATAAGATCAAAGACCGTATTCGGCCAGGGTGTCGGCAACAAAACTGGGATCAAGCCAACACCGCAATCCCACCTATTGTTTGGGATACCCTGACTTGTAACTTGGCAGACATCAAATGTGACCAAGAAAACATTGCGAAACGCAAAAAGATGATCAATCGCAGTGGGATGTACATCCATCACTGCCAACCGCCAAGCCCATAGTGCCAAGCCCTACTTACGAGTCCTTCACGACGAAGAAGCAGTCAACAACCAGCATCATGAATCAGGCTACAATTTTTTTTTTTTTTTTTTTTTTTTTTTTTTTTTTTCCAGAAGAGCCAGGAACAAAGCCTATTCGACCTCTATGCCAAACACAACAGTCCAACTTGCAAATCGGGCAGCAGAAGCGGAGGATCGACATGGATCGACAGTGGCAGTGAAACTCCCTTACAAGTGGTACAGCGCATGTACATACTGCAAGTTGTTTTTGGTTTTTTCTCAGATTCGCCATACGCGGAAGGAGAGCACGCGCTTTCCTTCTTGATCGGTTGGTAGATAAAGCAGAGAGATCGGTAGGCATTCATTTTTTGGTCTTGGGTTTCATCATCCCGCGTGGCGGGGTCTGGATACTGTTTATGGATATTTTGGGGATATCAACGACCTTGGCAGGTAGATACCGAGGATAGAGCGCTGTGAGTTTGCTGATGTGACCTTGCACTTTGCATATGGTACTCTGCAGTCTTTGGGTTGTACGAATGATATCACCCAGCTGATATCCCAAGATAGAACCGAATAGGGGATTTAGATTTGAACTCATCTGTCTGGAATTATGCATTTCTTTATTCCTGTTTCTCGGTTTGATCTTGCTTTACAACATCTTAATAAACAAAACATTCGGTTGTAGCATCACGGGAGTTAACATTACGGTGCGAATATATATTTTGCAGAGCGCGGACAACCGCAAGGTGATAACTCGCTCTTCATTTTTACATATCGAATAGGCTCACCATCAATATCCTATGAATAGCATATTCTGATTGAGGTCCCAAGATGTATAGAACAAATGTGCACAAGCGGTAGGCACGAATAGGTAATGGACCCATCCGCTAGATTTCATGCACGGACTGATTGCTAACATCTATCAGCAGGCATGGAGCAAGTAAGTTACACATTCTGTCTCAATAAAATCATAATACTTGGCCGATACCTCTTGCTCTTCTGCAATTCAATCACTATACATCGGCGCTCGGTGAAGCGGAATCGTCACTTCAGGCGATACCCAGAAGAACGGTACTCTGCGCTTCCCACCCTTGGTTTCGTGCGCTTAGGCGTTTTTGTCTTCTCTTTTACAAGGTTTCTTTGTTGAAATCGAACAGTCGACTGAACCAATTCATTGCTGGAAGTGAGGTTATTTCAATTCACCACTTTCTTGGTTTAATGACGTTAGGATCGGAGATGATCTTATATAGTCGAAAGAGGTTGGGAGACTTACCACACGCGGTTATAAAGCGAAGAATGCGAGATATCATTTCTGTTGGCGGCTGGTGCCATTGTTTATGATGCGGGACGCCGAGAGAGACAAATGCCCTGGATTTATCTCGGTAGCCCGCCGAAGATCTAAGCATCACCAACACCAACCCGAATGCCCCCCGTCTGGTTGAATCTATGAAGTGCCGTTGATAAGATCGCTAAGGTGGTCTGATAAGAAACATACCAGAAGTGGGCGGTCGACATTCTTTCCACTGGCGGGGGACAACACCATCGGAATGGAAAGTTTTCAGTATCCCTTCTACCAGGTGGTGACCAGTAGGGAATTGAAAATGCAACGGATGTCAATTCCATACTATATGGAGGATTGGATTCGAATGCCTGCATGAACATCACGCACGGTTGGGTTGTACATAGTACTCTACAGAGTATAGACCTGCGTTTCAAAGGCCGACCTCACGAAAGAATGAAACACAAGATTTCTACCCACGTACTACTAGAATGTGACTATCATTCTGGCCGTTAGAGTAGATCCAGGATTAGAACCAGACAGATCTTTTATGTACGGGAGATGTCTCTGTGAAGCATCCATCTATCCATTTACCCATCTATATATCTACCCATCTATTCATCTGTCTATTACGAGATTATGCTCAGCACAGCAGTATACAACGAATATAACGTTCCATCCAAAATGCCTAATTGGGTCAGACTACTTCCAACGATATGGGCGTTTATCGCCTTTGTCCTTAGTTTATTATGTCTTTTTTCGGGAACCAGGATGGATTTCCTGACGGGAAATGATATCTTTACGGTGAGTCTCATCTGGTCTATACTGAGCGTATATGTACCTGCTAACAGCTCAGCTTTATACGCCTATCGGCAATGGCACCAGTCTCCAAGACTTCTATTCGATTTTTCCTATGTCCTACTGTGGGGGATTTCTAGGGAACGGGATGAATATGAGCGGTTGCTCGGGCTACGATGTCCTCTTCACGTTCAACGCGACGCAGATATTACTAGAAAATTCGGGGAACAGCACGTCCTTGGAAAGACTCGGATGGCCGACTGCCATCAGCGATGATTTCGAAGCGTTTTCGGCAACGACACAGAGTATGGGGGTGTTTTATTGTATCGCGGCAGGCATTGCGGCAATTGCGGTATTAATCCGATTCGGGCTGCTGATTGCTCAACGGACCAAACAGATGATATTCGAACTCCTGGTGTTATTCGTGAGTATCCTTGATAATAGCGGGATATAATATTGCGCTGATAAAACGTCTAGCTTGGCTTCGCCAGTCTCAGTGTTGCCTCGGTTATCGCAACCGTGATTGCGCTCCAATTCGTCAACCTGGTCAACTTGCATGGCCGCAAATCCCGAGTCACCGCAGAATATGGTCAGCAGTTTCTGAGTATGACTTGGGCAGCTACCGGACTGTTGCTTGCTGGAAGCATCGCGAATCTTGTCTTTGTACTGATGGATCGGCGGTCGGAGACTGGATATGTTCCGCCTATTGAACACGACGAACACGACGAACACGACGAGCCGGACGAGACGCATGGGCCGAAGGGAATGGAAGATTAGGAAGGTTAACGAGTCGGGATATATTATTGAAACGAAAGAGGTATAGACACTTGCAATACTTCAGAGTGACTGTTAGGAGAACATTCGATGAGACGAAAATCATCTACCAGATTCTATGGAGTGGGGCCGTCGAGTGATGTCACCGTGGAGTCTCGCTTGTTGAAAGTGCAGGAAGTACAGCTTCACATCTACTATGAGAGTAAAAACGAGATTTAATGTGTACGGCCATATAGAGATAATGATATAGATACCAAATTCAACTGATTGCATGTATGAACCGCCATGATTGGACTGCGTTGAACTTGGATGCTACAGAATAATAAGCCGGATGCAACCTCATTTGGGGGACTGTGCCCTTTAACGTGAAGTGAATATAGTGACAAGTTCCTGGCATTCACTGTCAGCAAGTAAGCCGTGAATGTCATTTCCGACATAGTGAAATCATCTATCCCACCTGCCCCTCCTGTCCCTCTTTCCCTGGAATCCCGTGACTGCATCACCTCCTCTTCTCTTCTCTTCTCTTCCTTCCTTCATCCGGTTTTTTTCTCTTCTCTTCTCTTCTCCTCTTTTCCCTCCTTCTCTTTTCATCCATCCTCTCTCCGTTCATCTCGCATACAAATACTCCCATCATCTCCATCCTAGGTACCACGGTTTGTTTTGTTTCTCATCGGTTTTCTTATCGCTAATCGTCTTCTCATAGCTTCCCTGACTACCTCTGCTACTTCTCTCGCCTCTACTGTCCTTTCATAATACAAGAAACCATGGGAAAGAAGGCCATTCAGTTTGGCGGTGGTAACATCGGCCGTGGCTTCGTAGCCGCCTTCCTCCATGATGCTGGTTACGAGGTTGTCATCATCGATGTCATGGATAATGTCATCAACTCTCTTCAAAATTCTTCCTCCTACCAAGTTACGGAGGTTAGCGAGCAGGGTGAGGACACCAAGACCGTCTCCAACTACCGTGCTATCAACTCCAAGACCCACGAGAGTGATGTCGTCAAGGAGGTCGCGACTGCAGACGTCGTCACCTGTGCCGTTGGCCCTAACGTGCTCAAATTCATCGCCCCCGTCATCGCCAAGGGTATTGACGCTCGTACTGAGTCCAAGCCCGTGGCCGTGATTGCTTGTGAGAACGCTATTGGTGCCACTGATACTCTGCACGGCTACATCAAGGAGCACACCGACGACTCTCGCGTCAAGTCTCTCGGCGAGCGTGCTCAGTTTGCCAACTCAGCCATTGATCGCATCGTCCCCAACCAGCCGGCCGACAGTGGTCTCAACGTCCGTATCGAGAAGTTCTACGAATGGGTCGTCGAAAAGGGGCCCTTTGGCTCCGTTGGCCATCCCGATATCTCCGCCATTCACTGGGTCGACAACCTTGAGCCCTACATTGAACGCAAGCTCTACACCGTCAACACGGGTCACGCAACCACTGCCTACTACGGCTACCAGAGCGGTAAGAAGATGATTGCTGATTCCCTGGCCGACGAGAAGATCCGTGGCATCGTTCACAACGTCCTCGCGGAAACGGCTGCTCTCATCGTCGACAAGCACGGCATTCCCGAACAGGAGCAGAAGAAGTATGTCGACACCATCGTTGGTCGTATTTCCAACCCGTACCTTGAGGACCAAGTCGAGCGTGTGGGTCGTGCTCCTGTTCGCAAACTGTCTCGCAAGGAGCGTTTCATCGGACCTGCTGCCCAGCTGGCGGAACGTGGCAAGAAGTTCGATGCCTTGTTGGGCTCCATCGAAATGGCCCTTCGTTTCCAGAACGTTGAGGGTGATGTTGAGAGTGTCCAGTTGGCAAAGACTCTTAAAGATAACTCTGCTGTGGATGCCACTAGCAAGCTTACTGGACTTGACAAGGATCATCCTCTGTATGCGCCTGTCCTCAAGCTGGTGGAGAAGGTGCAGCAAGATTCCAAGTAGGGCTTACCACCAACATCATACCCCTTACGATAATTTTTGTTTTTCTTTTTCTCATCAACCCTTCCTTACATGAGAAGGGCTTCGACTCGACCACTAACTTGACCGCAACGACCACGTTTTACGCATCTACCGATCCGCAGGACGGGACGGAGGTCAATCGCATGGTATGGCGCGATGGATTTTTTACGATTGTATTATTGGTGCAGCGCACCAGTTTACCGATAATTTACGTCTTAATGAATTATATCTTCCAGTGATTCTGTAGGCCAAAGTTCATATCTGTCCCACGTAAACTAATACTTACTGCCCGGGCGCTGCAATGGGTAGTTACTTAGAATGAACAAAACAACATTTGATCGAGTCAAAATGCAATTCATTCCACTATTCATAGAGATTATAATAACTCGGATCCAACGCCTAACACCTTTCCAATCAATTGGATATCAAATGAAGAAAGATAGCAAACTATGCCTTGTTGATCCATCCACTGTGCACCATAAAATCATATATCCGACTTGTTTTAGTCGTATCAATCTAACCTGTCAGCATGTACAAACATAAAAAGGAAAGAAGGAACCTATTCAAACACTCACCTTACAAGCAGCCTTCGCATCCTTTCTCTTCAACCCCCCGCCCTGTTTCATCGCCTCCTTCAACAACGCCTCCTTAACAACAAGGTACGGCTTCGGTTGAATATGTAGTACGTTGCACACTTCTACCTCTTCCTTGCTTAGGAGGTGGAGGTCTGGCGCGCCTTCGGTTTCGAGTTTCCATGGTACTACGCCTGTTAAGGGTTGGACAACGAATTTAGCTTTCGGGGGCTGTTGAGTTTGTTGTTGAGGTTGTCCTTGTTGGGACTGGGATTGAGATTGGGACTGAGGAGTGCCTGTGTCGGCGGCGAAGGCACGGTCGAAGTCATTAAGGGGCTCGTTCGCTGATTGTTGCGGTGGTGGTTGTTGTTGTTGTTGTGATTGTTGTTTGTTTGGGGTTTGGGGAGGAGCAGCGGCTTTCTGGAGTCGGAGGGGTAGTTCTGGTGTTGTGAGTGCGCTAGCTGCGGTGGGATGTTCGGGTTGCTGGGTCTGTTTTGTTGGACGGGTGGCGAAGCGATCGAAGGAGCCCTGAGGCATGAGGCGCTGCAACCGGTGCTGTTTCTCTGCTTCGTATTTCTCGCCGTTTTTAAGATCCGTGATGCCCATTTGGCGCCATTCTTGGAGTTGGGAGATAGCGAGGCGGAGGTTGTGTTCGTATTCGAGACCCTTGTTTAGTTCTTCGAAGTCGTCGTGGTTCATCATTCGCGCGAAAGGTTTGGCTTTGTTGAGGAGGTCGCGTTCTTCTTTTGTGCGTTTCTTTTCTAGGGCGGTGTTTTTGCGATATTCGAGGACGTTGTGCTCGAAGAGAATCTTCTTGCGCTCTGTTCGCGCTGTGAGGCGCGAGTTGTAGATGTCGACCACGGTCATTTTGAGCTCCATTTCTGCGTCGTTCTCGCCGTTTGGCAAGATGCCTGCCCCAGGTTCAAAGGACATGTGCTGCACCGCTTCTTCCGCCTCGTTGAGGAACTCCGTCTCGAACTCCAACCGCCCAGGCATGTATCCCTGTACTTCATGGCAGGCCGGTACACTTGCGGTAGGTTTCTGCTTAGGTGTCGTAGGCGGTGCCGACTTGCTATTTTCCTTGCGCTCCTCGATTCGTCGCTTCTTGCGCGCCTGGAACTCTTCTTTCGAGATAGAGTCGGGCAGCGCCGTGTCATCTGGGTCCGCATTCGCCGGTAACGGGAAATGCGGGCTGTCCACATAACTGTTAATGTAGTGATCTCGCACTTCATCCTTGGTGCGAAAGCCACCAATGTGGTCCGCGATGTCTGCCCAGGAGCCTAGACCGTAGATCTCCGCGCCTTCTAGCAGCAGCAATTCCTCGTCCGCGCCCCATTCCTTGTCGAAAATTGGAACGGAGTTCTGTTCGATGACTTGGTAGGGATGCGTGCTCGGGTCATGATTCTTGGACTTTTCACCTGCCGCGAAGCAGGGAACGCAGAGGTCGTATTCGGGACAGGCGGGGTGTGCGCATGAGATGCGAACCTGTTTTCCACTTTAATCAGTCAAGCTCTTCAACATTACTAAAACGAGAGCCCTACTGTAGAAGTCACATCTACCGTACAAATATCACAATGATACTTGGTGCCAGCCTCGGTACCGCGCGAGGCGGTCTTCTTCCGTATTACACCCATCGATCGTTGATCCCTTTCATCCTCCACAGATCCTGAAACCGTTTCGAACCAAGCCCTCCAGCAATGAGCGAGGGCTGCCAGCGACTATTCGAGCGAACGTAGGTAGTAGTAGTAGTAATCGCGCGATTGTGTCAACGAGGACGAGGTTGTTGTGCAAGGGGACTCGGCGGTTCGGGTGGAGATAGACGCGCGGGGAGTGAACGGACCCCAACGAGGACTAATCAGGACGTCACGTAAAGACAAGTCGATCGCGAAGTTCTAGTGGCAAGGAGAGAATCGGAATGGAGGTCGTTGGTGCAGTATCGGTGTCCGCGACGACGGAGATTGTTCTTTTCTCCTTCTGGACGCATCCATTATTTCCATTATTGGCCTGGGGCGGTGGCGGTGCTGGGCTGTGTATATATATGCCCCAGGCCCAAAGGCAGAAACTGTACCTGAACCAATCAGCAGTGGTGATGGTCCCCTCCTATTCCTCAATCTCTCATTCTGGTGGTTCCCCTCTTCGCTTTCTCCAGAGTCTTGTTTTGGTTGTTGGAGTCTCCATTCTTCATCTTCTTTTCTGGTCTTCTTCTCATCTCTTTTCCATCGTTGTTCTGATTTCATTTCTCTCCTTTCTTCGTTGTCACTCGTTGGGCTCTCATATTCCCGTATCTCAGCCCAGCATCCCCTGATCTACAACCAACGAAAACATCCACTATTACTGGGGCTCGATCTCTTCTGCCTGCGACTCCTGGAATTCACTGTCACTACTATTAGTGCTGGACCCTGTCGTTTGGTCCCTCTCCCTCTCAGCCCTCCTCCGTCTACGAATTTGCATCGTTTATTTGTTTTCTTCTGGTTGCTCGACGACTCAATAAAACCCTTTGATTCCTCTCTCCCTCTCTTTTTCTTCCATCTCCCTCCCTTCAATCCTCCTTGTGCACTTGTTGTGGCTGTGGTGAAACTTGCAGTCCTGTCATTGTGCCTGTCACTTTATTATTGCTTCTCTGCATCGCACCAGCTGCCTTTGTTTTATTCTCCTATTATATCCTAAGACAGATCGATTTGCACTTTCTTACACATCTCCATCGCTTAAACTGCCAAAATGTCGTGGAAACTCACCAAAAGTATGTTCAGTTGGTCTTCCCTCCCTCTCTTCCCTTCTCGAATACTAATTGATTTCTTACTTATCGACAGAGTTGAAGGAAACCCACCTTGCTCCTTTGACCAACACCTTTACCCGGTCTTCGTCCACATCTACCATCAAGGGCAATGAACCAAATGAAGACACTGCGCAGACTCCGACCGTCACGTCTCCTAATCCCGACGGAATTAGTACGATATACCCCTCTTTTCGTGATACAGTTTCGGTGTCACGATCAGTTGCTAACGTTTTCGATCAATTAAGGCGCCTCCGAGTCGCTCGTCTCCCCGCCGGTGGCCCCCGTGAAGCCGGGTATTCTCATCGTTACCCTCCACGAAGGACAGGGTTTCTCTCTATCACCCCATTACCAACAGATTTTCAATCAACATTTCCAAAATAGCAATGGCTACGGCCGACCCAATTCCTCGTCATCTCATTCCGCGCAGGGACAGGCGGGTTCGTTTATCCGCCACTCTCGTCCGCAGTCGACCAGCGCAGGGATAAACGCCGCTCCAAGCATTCACGGTCGCTATTCCACCAAATACCTTCCTTACGCTCTTCTTGATTTCGAAAAGAACCAAGTTTTTGTCGACGCTGTTTCGGGATCGCCTGAAAACCCCCTCTGGGCCGGTGACAATACTGCTTTTAAATTTGATGTCTCCCGTAAAACCGAATTGACCGTTCAGTTTTATCTGCGGAACCCTGCGGCTCGCCAGGGTGCCGGTCGAAGCGAAGACATCTTCCTTGGTGCCGTCAAGGTGCATCCTCGTTTCGAGGAGGCCCAGCCCTACGTAGAGGACCCCAAACTGAGCAAAAAGGACAATCAGAAGGCGGCGGCCAACCATGCCAGTCAGGAGCGTGGTAGGGGTCAGCTTGGTGCTGAATGGCTGGATCTCCAGTTCGGTACAGGCTCGATCAAGGTTGGTGTCTCGTTTGTTGAGAACAAACAGCAGAGTTTGAAACTGGAGGATTTCGATTTGATGAAGGTCGTGGGTAAGGGCAGTTTTGGCAAGGTCATGCAGGTCATGTATGTTGCCACCATATTCCCTCTTTGACGAACGGATACTAACCAGCTATCGTCATATAGGAAGAAGGACACTGGTCGAATCTACGCCCTCAAGACCATTCGCAAAGCCCATATCATCTCCCGATCGGAAGTCACCCACACTCTTGCTGAAAGGTCTGTGCTTGCGCAGATAAACAACCCATTCATTGTGCCCTTGAAATTCTCCTTCCAATCACCGGAGAAGTTGTACTTTGTTCTGGCGTTCGTCAACGGTGGTGAGCTGTTCCATCATCTTCAACGAGAACAGCGTTTCGATATCAACCGCGCACGTTTCTACACCGCAGAGCTGCTCTGTGCTCTAGAATGTTTGCACGGATTCAAGGTTATTTATCGTGATCTCAAGCCCGAGAATATCCTTCTCGATTACAGCGGACACATTGCTCTTTGCGATTTTGGTCTTTGCAAGTTGGACATGAAGGATGAGGATAGAACGAACAGTATGATCTCCCCTCCCTCTGGCTTAATATCTTGCCCCTTACTAACTCTTCCAAAATAGCCTTCTGTGGAACCCCCGAGTATCTTGCTCCGGAACTCCTCGTTGGTAACGGCTACACCAAGACTGTCGACTGGTGGACGCTGGGTGTCCTCCTCTATGAAATGTTGACTGGTCTGCCGCCCTTTTACGACGAAAACACAAATACGATGTACAGAAAGATCCTACAGGAGCCTCTCTCATTCCCTGGTCCTGAAGTGGTTCCTCCTGCTGCTCGGGATCTGCTCACTCGGCTTCTCGACCGCAATCCCCAGAACCGTCTAGGTGCAAATGGTGCTGCGGAAATCAAGTCTCACCACTTTTTCGCCAACATCGACTGGCGCAAGCTGCTGCAGAGGAAGTACGAGCCAAGCTTCCGCCCCAATGTGGTATGTAGAACATGCATTTTCTCCCTGTCTGTCCACTCTGATAACTAACTTGTATAGGTTGATGCCCGTGATACCGCCAACTTTGACCGCGAGTTCACCCAAGAAGCCCCGCAAGACTCCTATGTCGATGGCCCCGTTCTTTCTCAGACTATGCAGCAACAATTCGAAGGCTGGTCTTACAACCGCCCGGTTGCCGGTCTCGGTGACGCCGGTGGCAGCGTCAAGGACCCGTCATTCGGAAGCATCCCAGAGTGAACAAGTTGACAATACAGGGCAACAGGTTTATTCTAGACCTTGCCCTTTTCTATTTTGGAGGAATTGTTTGAAACAGTTCTTCTGTGTACATTCTGCGTGATTGTTTTTCATATGGTGCATAGATATGACCATCTTTTCCACTTCGAGTATAATGGGTCTGGTAGCTGGCCCTTGACTCTCTTCCCTTTTTTCCTTTTTTCTTCCTTTCAGAACATTTTCCGCTTTCTACCTTTTCCCATATCGATCTCAATTACATTCGAGCGTCTTGTTTACTATGCATTTCAGAGTGCGCGGTTACCCATCTCATCTGGTCGTGATTTTTGTCATCCTAGCATTCCGGTTACAAGGTTTCTCGGGTCTTGTGTGTTTTGTTCGAGTGTGCGATGGAGTGAAATAAAGAAATATTTATGGTACAAATCAAATAAACTCTCTTGGTTGAACTGGCCTGAATTATCCTGTCTTTTCTCGATTGGCTAACAGAACGAACTGTGAGCCTTCGTAGAACTTCATGACTAAGTAGTACATCAGAACCAGACAAATATCACTTGTACATCAAGACAAGTTGATACAGGAGCAAAAATTGAGTGGACTCAAACGGATTCAGCGGTCTAAAACACATTGCATTGGAATCGAGAAAAAAAAAAAAAAAACGACAATGATATTGCTGACAAAAAACAGAAATAGGGTAAAAGGTGAAATAAAGCTCTAAAAAATATGTAGGTAAAAAAGTAAGGAATCAAGTTATCCATCCAAACTATATGAGTCCATCCTGGTCCTCCCCAAGTCTCAAATAAAAAACAATTGGACTCTCATATAGCACATATCACATTATCTCCATCTATACCTCCTCAGCTTCAGCCTCAGCTTTAGTTTCAGCAGCTCCATTCATCGCACTCTCCGCATTACCCCCTTCATCCGTCTCAACGTCGATAAGCGATTCTGACGACGGCGGCTCAGTAGCAGGGGCAGGGGCACCTCCTTCCTTCTCGATGCGGATATATTCATCCCACTCAGGGAAGAGGTCGTCATCTGTAGCGACTCCCTCGGGTGCACCAGGTGGAATACCGACCAGGCGCGAAATCTTAGACTTCCCGCTCTGCTCGAGGGATTCCTTCCACTGAGTCACGAGCTTGGGTGCACGCGAAGGCTTGTAGGTCTGAGCGAAGAGGACTGATTCCGCGAGGCGGCCTGTCTGTACGAGGAGGTCAATGCTGCCGTCGACGTCACCGAGGGTCCAGAGCGTAGAGAAGGCGACGTTGTGCAGGCCAGCTTTGGAGGCTTGCTGGGCGAGTGCCTTGAGGCCTTCGCGGTTACCGCTGGCGGTGTGCAGGAGGAGGAGGGAGCCGAGGTCTTTGGCGTTGGTGAAGCACTCCTGGGCAAGGGAGAGGTTCCAGCTTGCCAACGCAGTGTCGCCGACTGTCTTCCATTTGTGCTCGACGTTAGATTCGCGAGCGATCTCGAGGGCGGTTTCGAGGTCGCTAAGCGAGAGAGCGAGGTCGAAGCGGTGCTCCGAGTCCGTGGCGACTTCGAGTGCCATCTCCTTGTAGCCTTGGCCTTCGAGGAAGCGGGCTACCTTATTCATCTGGTCCTGGGGGATGTCCGTGAGCAGCTCCGCTGCCTGGTCCATATCTCCGCGCAGCACCAAGGTCTGGTATTCAACCATGCCAAGCGACAAGCCGAAGGACACGGCGTTAACGTCCTTGTCGGCAAGGTAGATTCTACCATCACGAGGTAGATAGCCCAGAAGGTACATGGCTTGGTCGAAGTGGGAAATCGTGTATGTCTGGTCACCGACCAGGTAGTTCAGGCGATTTGTTGTGTTTGTGTATATGAAGCAATCTCCAACCCATTGACCTGTTTGAACAGAGTCATTGATGTCGGTGACAACCTCGAATGCAGATTCAACACCATCCTCATCCACTTCGCCTTCGTTTAATGCGTTGACGTAGTTTTCTCTTGAGAATCTGAGAACGTAAAAGCTATCCTCGCAGGCAAGAGCCACCAATTCTCCGGATTCAGACCAGTAGACCTAATTGACATGTCAGTGCGCGAGGTCATACGACATGAGATAAAATGCATGAACTTACGCCCTTTGGTTCGACTTCAATGCGACGGACCAGGTTTCCAGTCTCCCAGTCGAACAGACCAATGCCTCCCTGGCCCTTCACGCCAAGGAGAACACCGTCTGAGAGACCCTCCGCCTGGAAACCAACATCAAGGCCACCACTCACTTCCTTGAAGTTTCTAAATATCTTTACACTGGTTGGAGATTCGCGGATGGCATAGTCATTGCTGTTGTCCTTTGACCCCCACGCGAAATCGAGGGCTTGCCCGAAGGCCTTGTTTCTCCAGGCAAGCGCTGTGTAGATGATATACTCTCCGTCACCACAGACAGACACAAACCGCCCGTTCGGGGAGTGCGACAATGTCTGCGGGTAGACCTCACAAGATCCCAGATCTTTCGTGGACAGAGAGAGGGGTGAGCCGTCCTTGACAGTGGGATCACCACCCTTGATAACAGTCGATACCACTTCATTGTGCTTGGCCCAGATGACCTTTCCAGAACTGTCCATTGAAACGGCTGGCTCTTCTCTGCCCATCTTAACAACCACAGCACCATCATCAAAACCCATGGCGACACCCTGCCTACCACGCTGGTATGAGACACACCAAGCTCGTTCTAGCCCATAACTCAGCGACTGCTCCAGTCGGTATGTGTTGGCATGCCAGATCTTGATTGTTCCATCTTCGGAACCGGAGATGATCACAGGAAGTTCGGGGTGGTAGCAGGCGAAAGAGACGTTACTCGTGTGACCTTCGAGAGTCGCAATTAGCGCCTTCGTTGTGTAGTCCCAGACCTTGACAGTCTTATCGTCCGATGTAGTGAGAAGGTAGGGCTTGTCAGCCTGCGGGTAGTAGTCGACATGGTTCACACCCTTAGTCTCGTGGGCCTCGAGGGTGAAGTTGGCATGAGGCGAGCCAAGGCTCCAGATCTTCACCGTCCGATCCAGACATGCAGAGGCGAATGTATTGGTGTCCTTTGGGTTGATGGACAAGCCCATCACATAATGGCTGTGGCCCTCAAAGACCTGAACGCACTTCCAGCCTCTCTCCCAATCCCAAAGCTTGATTGTCATGTCATCGGATGCGGTCAAAACGAAAGGTTGAGTGGGGTGGACGACGATAGATCGAATGTAGTCGGGATGGGCCTCGAAAGACGTGATCTTCTCGGACGTATTGTAGTTGTAAACACGAAGCTGGAAGTCGTCCGAACCGCAAACAATCCAGTTCTTGCGGGCAATGAAGCGTCCAGCTCGTACGGGGACATCGGTGAGTTCGAAGGTTTTAACAATGGACTATGAAAAGAGTCAATTGTCAGCTGTGTCCTCTGCTAGTAATGTCACTAAGTTAGAAACTTACTTGAGTCTCGTAGGACCAGATGTATACGTGACCTGTTATTCAATTAGCGCATTGAACCTAAAGCAATTGCTGGCGACTTGAACGCACCGCTGTATAATGTCGTCAGGATCTATATCATAGTTAGCATCATACAAGACAAATCAAGGTTATATGTACTCACCCATGGCTCCGTAGGGTGGAAATCAATGCCCTTTACCCGCTCCGAGCGGGCAAAGAGTTGTCTCTGTACGTTACAACGTCAGCAACGGTATTAAATGCGATTCCAGCCACATTTCACATGCTCCTGTCCAGCATAGAGTATAGCTTCTGTCGAGGATTTCTCACCTTGACGTCCAAGCGCATATTGAACTGTTGTTTGTAGATAAATGTGTGCGGCGTCGGGGAAGGCCTGCTGCGAAAACGGAGGGGAAATCAGGCCACGAGCCGCTCAAAACAGCCCAGCCCGAGGATACAATTAGAGGGTTCGTCTGGCGAGGATATTCGGTTGGGACTATTGAAAGGAGATCACCGAGCAGGCAATGGCAAAAAGCAGTAAAGTAGAATTATTCTAAATAGTGACCAGCGACGCTCAGGGACGATGTGTCCACAAGGAGACGGAATCCCGCCTAGCGATGGTGGGCTCACCGCCTGCGGCTCTGGGCATCTATGTAACTACATACAAATATTAGGAGATGAAGATGAATTGAGTGACGTGATAATTTGACAGAAGTATGAAATTGATTGAGTGTAATTTAATGAAGCATAGCATTCTGGGGACAGTATTCAAACAAGGCTTTAGCTTACCCGGAGACAACAGCCCCTACACTACGACAGATCTGTAGCCAGGAGCGACAGGAAGGCAATTGATGAATAAATTCTCTTTTTTTGTGTCAAAGTATAAGTTTCATGGAGGTGTTCCTCCTCGAACTCGTGGGCTAATAAATACAAATGTCATAGTTGAACAAAACCGAATTATGGCGTTTACTCCCGCTCAAAATAGCTCCACTGGCCAGGGCTGGGCTTCTCCTCAAGTTCCCCCCACCTAAAATAAAGGTTAGCAAATACCTGAAGACATTGAATGGCAACCCAAGTTGACCGTCGAAGGACTTACGCTTCCGACTTATACATGTAATCGACGAGCTTCAGCTCACCCTCGGCAACCTGGATAACTTCCTCAATGAGACCGGCCCCGATCTGGTTTTCAATCTCGGAAACCCTGATGTGAGGAATTAGCACGCGTTTCACTCCCATCAAACGGCTTAATTTGACGCAATTGACTGGCCAACATACTGGTCTGCTTCAAGAGCGGGTTCAGCCTCCCACTTCATAGTTTCGTTATAGAAATCAGACTCGTGAGCCTCCTTGGTGGACTCTTCCATCAATTTTTCCCATTGCGTTTCCTGGGTCGCGGTACGAGCGGGGCCTTCGGTCGCCGTCTCGACGGAGTCACCATTCCACTCCTCTCCACGAGGGTTTTCGCTTCCGTCGCTTTGCTGAGAGGCAGCGTACTGTCCGTTTTTCAAGAGGAGACTGGCGAATCGCTCAGGCTCGGCGCCCACAGTCTTCTTCACACGCTCCAACCATTGCTCAAAACCAGGCGGTTTCGTCGACTCGACAATTTGCAGGCGTCGGCGGGTTAGCGCCTCTGTAGACTGGCGGTAGACAGACGACTCGGGGAAATGCTGCAGCTTTTCAAGAACGCTCTGGTAAAGGAAGATCAAAGTCGGGCGAGGGCTGGGGTGAGTGAGGAGGCCGGTCAACCCGGTGGGAGCAAACGGCTCCAAGTACCGGGGCTTGACGTTGGCCAACAACCGGAGTGTCGATCTCATCCTGAGAATTGTATTTTGTGTATTAAGACCCGACAAGGGTGGGTGACCGGGTCAATTAAAGATGACGATGTACTCTCGATCTGATTAATGCGATTATCCGCGCCCTGAGAGGACGAAAGGTTGAGGTTCCGCCCCGGAAGCGGAGAAACAAAGTCTCCAGCAAGTCGCCTTTGTTAGGGGGCAACTACATACAGCACTTATCTTCAGCAACAATCCCATTCGGGTTCGACCACTTTTCCACAGTATCTCAAGTTATTCGCCGGATCGTGGGTCGTGCACATCTTTGTGCAGCAAATCCACGGTCACTGCTGTTCCACATACGCTGACAGCAGTTGCGCCGCATTTCAGGACTGCCACATATGACACTACGCCTCTAAATCGATTTGTCTCGCCCTTCGTTCATCTTATACGCATATTCCCGATTATAAATCCTTTCTTTACGTTAATCTCCCAAGGTTGTGAATCTTGAAACCGCAGCCAGCATGAAACCCTCGACACTGGTGTGGTCACTTCTCTCGCTCGTTTCGATTCCCTCGACTTTCGCTGCCACTCCGGAGGGATCTGAGCATCGTCTGGTAAAAAGAGCCGGCTCGGAGAAAGATGCGAAATCTAGTTCGACTACCTTCAATGGCGTTGAAGTCCCTCCCATGAGGGAGTTGACACCGGACACCTTCCAGGATTTGACAAAGGAGGGTTACTGGTTTGTCAAGCATTTCTCTCCATCTTGTCCTCATTGTACCAAGATCGCGCCAACGTGGCAAACACTCTACGAATTTTATTATGTGAGTTGAGAGATCATCAAGGTTCTACAGTGATTGTCTAATCGTTCCGTTAGGCATCAAATCCGTTATCGTCGTCTTCGTCCAAGAGCCCCGACACGCAGTCCTTGAATTCATTCCAGAAATTCTACGATTTCCATTTCGCATCTATGAACTGCCTTGCCTATGCGGATCTGTGCTCGGAATTGGATGTTGGATACTTCCCCTTGTTTGCGCTGTATCACAATGGAAAGTTGATGGAAAAGTATGAGGGCCCGAAGGACATGAAGGGCATGAGTGAATTTGTGGAGGAGAAACTGGAACTGATCCGGCCGGGGTCTCGACCTGTGGAAGGCGTCAAACTTCCCGAACCCGGGGAGAAGAAGGTCAACCCTAAGGCTGAGCCTGAGGTTCCTGCCGCCAAAGACAAAAACCCTGAGGGCGGTGCTAAGGCTGGCGAGAAGCACAATGAAAAGGCTGCACAGTTGGCCTCTTCGGGCAAGAAGAAACCGAAGCCGAAGTCGGCTCCTGCGAACCCTCAAGGCATCTCGGTCCCGCTTACCGCCGAAAGCTTCCAAAAGCTGGTTACAACTAGCCAGGACCCCTGGTTTATCAAGTTCTACGCACCATGGTGTGGTCACTGTCAGGCACTCGCACCCGCGTGGGGTCAGATGGGTAGAGAAATGCAGCATGTTCTCAATATCGGTGAAGTGAACTGCGATGCGGAGCCTAGACTTTGCAAGGATGCTCATGTGAACGCTTTCCCGACCATGTACTTTTTCCGCGGAGGTGAGAGGGTCGAGTACAATGGACTGCGTGGCCTTGGTGATTTAGTGAACTACGCCAAGAGGGCTGTCGACATTGGATCCGGTGTCCAGGATGTTGATGCGGTCGCTTTCCAGGAGCTAGAAGAAAAGGAGGAAGTCATCTTCCTTTACTTCTATGACCACGCAACAACATCGGAAGACTTTGAAGCTCTGGAACGCCTGACTCTCAGCTTGATTGGACATGCACGGATCGTGAAAACTAATAGTGCTGCTTTGGCCGAGAGATTCAAGATTTCGACCTGGCCTCGTCTTCTCGTGGTGCGAGATGGCCGCCCGAATTATTACAATGCCTTGGCTCCGAAAGACATGAGAGACTTCCGACAGGTTCTTAACTGGATGAGTAGCGTATGGCTGCCCATTGTCCCGGAACTGACTGCGTCGAACGCCCGTGAAGTCATGGCCGGCAAGTACGTGGTGCTTGGTATCCTGAGCCGGAGACGTTCTGATGACTTCATCCTTGGCAAGAGGGAGCTGAAAAACGCAGCCCACGAGTGGATGGATAAGCAGACTCAGTTGTTCCAATTGGAACGAAAAGAACTTCGGGATACGAAACAGCTCCGTATCGAGGAAGCTGACGACCGTGAGGACCAACGTGCGTTGCGAGCCGCGAAGAACATGCGTATCACCATCCGTGAGGATGACAAGAAGCAAGTTGGGTTTGCCTGGGTCGATGGTGACTTCTGGGAGCGTTGGTTGCGGACTACGTATGGAATTGACGTGGAGAATGGCGAACGAGTTATCATCAACGACGAAGATGTGAGTATCTTTCACAAAACCGAAGGAGATGACTGATACTAATTCATGCTTTCTAGAACCGACGTTACTGGGACACCTCGTCTAGCGGAGCTACCATTATGGCCTCGCGTACTTCGATTCTTGAGACCATCCCTCTTGTCATTGCCAACCCACCGAAGCTTACCCCGAAGTCCACAGTTGGCACCGTGGAGTCTGCATTCTTCTCTACGCGCTCCTTTATCTCCAACCACCCTATTATCTTCATCATTCTGTTGACCATCTCCGTCGCCGCGGTAATGTTCGCGGCTCGAGGAAGGGGGTCACGGCGCGGTTCTCGGGGTGGGATCATTGGTGCCGGTGGTAGCAGCGGTGGTGGATTCTTCCAACTTGAAGGAAAGGAAGGTCTGCTCAATGGGGGCACTACCGGAAAAGTCGATTAAACATGGGCATCAGGGATTTGTATAGATATATTTTGTTTTCATTTCTTTTTTTTCTTTTGTTTCTCTTCTTGGGCTTCTATTGATTTTATTATAAGTTCAAAGGATATCTCTGATATTGACCTTTTCTAGGTCTGGGAATGGTGTTGGGTATGTAGTGTCGTAGATTAATGTCACTCAGCAAAGATATAGCACTCAAACACAGTGTGTATACAGCTTCAATCTTCTTAACATTTTGTGTACTTGGAGATCGCAAATGCAATGCATCTGATTTGACCGTTTGGGTAACATCACGTGACTCTGGTTTCGGGACGCTGATTGGTTGTCGATCGGAGCCTCCCGGTTTTCGTTTCGTCCGCAGCCATCATTCATTCTGTCGCTGTTGTCCCAGACTCAATTCTCGCTCTGCGTGTCTCGAGCTGCTAGATAAGATGGTATGTACTTTCCTTCTGATTCTTATCAGCCCCATGCGTTTCTTTATACCGGTGGTCGATCCCAGGAGGAACAAGGAGGGGGCTCTGGCCTCGACGTTGGAATCGCGTCATGCCCCGACTGACCAACGGGCTACGGATTGGAGATGCTTGACTAGAGTGAAATATATTGAGTAGATTGCTAATTACTGCTCCGGTTCATAGTTCTCGCAAACCATTAGCCGTGCTGCGGCCTTCTCCGGTCGTATTGGTCCCAAGTGAGATATTCCCGATCCGGCAATTGGTTTTAGTTTGGCTTGAGTTGGTAGGATATATGGGTTTGGTACATTTAACATAGCAGACACCACTCTATTCGAGTTATGCATTCTATTGTACTATGGACTAGCGAACGGAGGACTTTGAAATCGCAATATGGGCAAACAGGAGACTAACGACAAGCGATGCAGGTACTACACTCCCACCCACTTCCACGGCCTTGACGCTGGCCACGCCACCAGATAGTGAGTTTTCGAAGCAGTTAATCGAGTGGTGTTCGTATTAAATAGGCTGCTAATATGGGATAGCGGCGGTATTGTCGGTACGTTCGGTGTTGCTGCTGGTGTCGGTGCTCTCTTCTTCTTCGGCGAGGTTCCCCGTGTGCGCCGGGATATTCTCCAGCAGTTCCCCTTCTTCGACCAGTACTTTGACCGGAGACTGGCTCCCGAGGACAACGTGAGTTTCTGTCTTCATGTCTATTATATAGTGAGAATGTTTGCTGACATAATCTAGCCGTTCTAAATGTGTTTAACCGATTTGTTTTACTATACGGCTTGTCCGCAGTCAAGTGTTTGGCCGTGGACGGTAAGGGATGGCTTGTACTACTGTAGATTAGTGATGGAATTCGAGAGCTCATAGACAACACCCAATCAGTTCTCTTCATATCTTCTTTGCCTAGGCTGTTCTAGCTTCAATGGGCAGGTTTTTTCTGTGCATACGTATTGTCTGGGTTTGATGTATCCGTGTTCTAATGATTGATTGGTTGAGGTTTATCAAGATAAGATGCATAGGCTCCCGTATATGGAAAGCCCCGTGCTCATACTCCAAAAGTAGCCTGAATTCTCTTCGATGATCATCTGAGGGCTTCAGTCTCGGAAACCAAGTTATAACTTCCGTTTTCAGTAAGCAACTTGGCTCGTAGTAGTAACATGGATCCATGGCAAAATAAAGTTCCTACATCTTATCTAGTGGAACACTACTCGGTACTTTGTAAATGATTATGGGTACACAGTTGAGTCTGAGTATATGGGTTGGAGTAACTATCACACCTCGACAAATCTAAACATACCTCGGAATCAATCGTTCCAACCGATGATCATCAATCACCTCGACGAGTACGGAGCAGACAATGGTTCCGATGCGAGATAACCAACCCTGCACCTGGGAAAATTATTCCGCGCTGCAGATGCTCGTTATCGCTTCCGTGCAGAAAATTAATGTAGGCAGATAGGATGTCTACATAAGGCAGAGTGATATCGTGTAACCCCATGATCGCTTAGTTTGTGCTGTAAGATTTCATATGTTATATTAAGCTGAGCTGCAGCTGCTTCTCCTCTGGTACATTTTTTACCCTTGAATCTATAAATGAGAGAAAAAGGAAAAGAGGAGAGAAGATAAATATGCCCAACGAAACCAAGCAGGCCTCTGTATCCACCAGTGTCGACGACAATACAACCCCTACAGCAGTCACTACAATCTTAGCAGATGACGATGTCCCGAGGACGTCCACAGGGAACGCTGACGAGCAGGTCATAGTGGCACTGGGGTATAAGCAGGAATTCAAGCGGGAGTTTTCACTATGGACGACGTTTTGTGTGAGTTTTGCGGTGTTGGGATTGCTGCCGTCGTTCGGGAGTACCTTAGCTTATGGTACGTTCTTTCTCTACGGGGTTTGGGTGTGGTTGAACATGACTGATAGTTGTAGGGATGGGATATGCTGGCACGGCAGGAATGGTCTGGGGATGGATTATTGCCATGGTTTTCATCCAGTGTATTGCCATGGCTATGGCGGAGCTTTGCTCGGCAATGCCTACTAGGTATGATCACAAACCCTATCAAAGATTATGAGAGCTGACGGATATAGTGGCGGACTGTACTATGCAGCAGCTGTCTTAGCACCACCTGAATACGGACCATTTGCAGCGTGGATTGTCGGCTGGTCGAACTGGATCGGACAGGTCACAGCCGCGCCGTCAGTGAACTATTCCCTAGCTGCGATGATTCTGGCCGCGGTATCAATCGAGAATCCAAGCTATGAACCGACGAAATGGCATACGTTCCTGCTGACAGCATTGCTGTTGGGCGTACACGCGGGCATAAGCAGCATGCCAACGCGCTGGATTGCAAATTTCAACTCATACGGTTCGACGTTCAACCTACTAGCTCTGATTTCCGTCTTGATTACAATTCCCGTGCAGATAGCCACAGACGACAGTGACAGGAGGCCATGGGGGTTTAATCCCTCATCCGACGTCTGGGGCAACATAAACAACCGCACTGACTGGCCCGACGGCATTGCAGTGCTAATGACCTTCGTCGGTGTCATCTGGACAATGGCGGGTTACGACTCCCCTTTCCATTTAAGTGAAGAATGCTCGAATGCCAGTATCGCCGCACCACGCGCCATCGTAATGACCTCTGCCATTGGTGGGGTGTTAGGATGGCTCCTCCAACTCGTCGTCGCATACACAGTCCATGACATCGAGGCCGTAATGAACTCCTCGCTAGGCCAACCTTGGGCCTCGTATCTGCTCCAAGTCCTTCCCCGCAAAACGGCAATAACCCTCCTCTCTTTAACCATTATCTGCGGCTTCTCAATGGGCCAGGGCTGCATGGTCGCTGCATCACGCGTGACGTACGCCTACGCACGAGACGACTGCTTCCCCCTTTCGCGCATCTGGAAGCGCGTAAACACAAAAACCCAAACCCCCGTAAACGCAGTCCTCCTCAACGCCTCTCTCGGAGTCCTTATGAGTCTCCTCATGCTAGCAGGCTCAGTGGCTATCGGCGCATTGTTCAGTATCGGCGCAATCGCCCAATTCGTTGCTTTCGGAATCCCCATTGCTATCCGCGTGTTCTTTGTGGGTGACAGGTTTCGACGGGGTCCGTGGGATCTGGGACCTACTTGGCTGGGGAGGATGGTTGGTGGGGTTGGGGTGAGTTTTGTGGTGCTGATGGTGCCGGTTTTGTGTCTACCTCAGGTTCAGGGGGAGCGGTTGACGCCGCAGTTGATGAATTGGACGTGTTTGGTGTATGGGGGGCCGATGTTGGGGGTCGTGATTTGGTGGGTGGTTGATGCAAGGAGGTGGTTTAGGGGGCCGAAGGTGAATGTTGAGCATGTTTATGGGGAGAGTGGTGAGTTAGCAAGTGGTAGCTATACAGAGTAATTGGGTTCTGAATGAAATAGGATCTTATTTGGAGCATGAGCGTAGATCAATGGAAATATTGACCATTAATACATTGCCCATGATATACAATGCATATATTTGCATATATTTGCAGCGATTATATTGCAGCTGAACAAGGAATACATGTAGCTGTCCTGGTATGTGGTTCACCCCATACTCCGCTCATCTCTTACTCGATAGTATCCATAAATGGGGCAATTTTCTAGAAGAAGTGGACCAACTCCATCGGCTTGGACGGTACATCTGATAACCTAGTGCTGTCAAGCATTGCACTTGAACATCTACAGGTTCATATACCTACACTACACCCCGTACTCTACTTGCACAAGAAGCTTTGTGCTCCTCGTCGGCATATCAAGTTCACATCTGCCGATGTATAACATGACTGGTAAGGTTTAGCTTCCGGTGGTCCGTAGAATAACTGAGTATCGACACGCCGGCGATGAACAGAAAGAGGTACTTGCATCTTTACGAGAGCCCTACTATGTACAAATACGCGTTCTATTTCAGATAGTGATATTAGAGCTTGCTTGAGTAGGTACCTGGAGTACGAACGAATGCTTGTGCTTTGATATCCAGGAGATTGGTAAGTTTGGGTTGATCCAGGACCGTGGTTGCACTCTGAGTGTCCTTATTTAGTACAAAAGCAGTGGTTTCCTACATCCCAGGTACTCTGAATAGCGCTCAATTTTCAATGGTTGCTACAGACAAGCACTTTGTACCCTAAATTTGCTCTGCGTATAAGAATGCTATAATGCTATATATTTTCACAAAATCATAAGTGAACACAAGTGTCCGGTGTACGTGTATACAACTACAGTTCGTAACCGCGTAATTTGCAAAACATCGTAACCGCTGATAAACTAAAGTACCAGCGGGTGGCGTGCTAGCCCCACTTCCTCTCTTTTGTGGTATTCCCATTGGTCGGATGAGAACCTGAAACCGGCGCCTCGGCGGGAATCCGGGCTCGAAGCAGGAATGGAAACATCGAGTGGGCGTGCCGGAGAAGTCGCCTGCCCGGGTAAAACTACCGAGGAATTGCCGTGAGTCGGTGTGTACTCTGTTCAGTATACCAGAGTACAGACAGAGTAAGCTGTAATTGTGATTATTGTAGGGAAATGAAGAGAATAGTTAGAATTGGTTTTATTTTATCATCGAAATTCTCTTAGATTTGTGCATACTATGTTAATATAAAACGCATCGGACAATTCTGCAGCCGGTACCTACCGAATGCGGCCGCCGGGATCGGATAGACAGCTGTACATACGGAGTACATCGGAGTACGAGTATCCCGGACTATCGCTGTACGGCAGATACGTACACTCGATGTACATCCGTACTTGTACTCCGAGTGCATGTTTGTCTTAGACGATGAACATTCCAGGGGTCCTGCAATGCTTCTTCACCTTAAATATGCTTAGTATGTATAGTCGATCGAACAAGTGCAACGGTCCACAATGGAAGCGGGAGAAGCTCTGGAAAATGGTGGGGATGAGCTAATCTGGTATGTAGGTACGAAGTATTTGTACTAGCACGCACTTGTACCGAGTAGATGAGTACTTATTATCGGAGCTGGCCGTGGCTAGACAGATAGCGATGGAATGATATATCTGAATGATCTATCATTTCATCATAAATGCATCTTTTGTATAGGTATATCACGAGTGAGATATATATATAGGCAGCATATTTCTATCGCGACCGGCAAAAGTACCCCTTTGCCTAGACCGTGCAGGGGTCTGCTTATCCTTGTATAAAGGATTATACCTACTGTATCAAGTACGTACTCTGTACGGAGTACCCGTACTTCTTGATTGTACGGGGATAATCGTCTGTATAGGTACACTGGATTACTGACTATGGAGACCTCCACATCGATAACCTTGATAAGATGACATGTGGGATGTGGATTATTTTGTTTCCAAGAACCTCTGGCGGGCCTTGCGGAGAAGATCTTGACCAAAGACTCCATATTCACATTGTATTTGATATATACTCTGTGGTAGAATGAAGAACTCTATAAAATAGCCTTTAGATAAAGTATCTGGATGCGGACATGGACATGTACAACTCAAGCTGAGTTCGGACACGTAACTGTACGTGTACATGTAGCTGCATTTCCCTTTGAGACTAATTGGGATACATTCCTTTTTGCTACAGAATTTGCAGATACATTTACATATTGACAAATCTGTGATAATTAACGCCGTGTATAGAGAGTCTCAAACTCACATAGAGATCATAATTACAGACCTGGAGTTCTCTACGAGCAGCTCAACTCTACCGGCTCGACCGGCACTGTCCCGTGACTTGTCCCCGAGGTCTCAGCCGATCTTTACCCGATTAATCCAATCGCTTCCCACCGACACCGCTGCCGTATGTATGTAATGTAATGGACTATGTAATTTTAAACAGAGGCCTCGATATTTTACCCCATCCGTCGCTCTTTCCCTCACCATTTCCCGTTTCTGATCTGTTGCTCTCGTGTATTTTTCTCTTTGCCTCCCCCGAATTTTTTTTTTTTCTATTCTTTTCTTTTTTGCCGCTCCTCCCCGCCCCTCTCCCCTTCGAATTTTCTCTTCTCTCTTTTCTCTTTTCCCTCAATCTTTTCTTTTCCTTTTGAAACTTCAATCTGAATCTGTCTGGCAGGTTATTTTATTGTGTTGTTATACGTGATCGTCTCTCAGCCATTGCCCAATTCCACTCCCCTGCCCGTACCAGCAACAGCAGTTTGACCTGACTGGACTCGACGTGGTGCGTTGACCCACCGCTCCGCCGCCTTTTCCCAGTCAGTTTTTGGTGTGTGTGGATACTCTCAAGGAAAAAACACAACGTGCGGATAAAACTCAACGTTCCCACTTCGTCCCTCACAGCTTGTTGTTATTCACACACAAACTGCCTTTTGCCCTTATTCCCTGTCGTCTTTTTTTTTTTTTTCCTTTTCAGTTGAAAAATAGATCCACCACGGGATCTCGTGTTGCTTGACTGCCCGCGTCAAAACACACTCAAGATCAATTGATCAATTGATCAATTGCTGAAAAAAACCAAGAAAAGTTATCGGATCTGAACGCGGCTTCATCGGAAAACGCTCTTTTATTTATTTTTTTTTTTTTTTTTCTGTTGTTCTTCGCTTCACGATCAATGATCCCGATACCGTGAACAACTTCCCCTCCTCTCAGCCCTATCTATTCACCACAACCCTCACCACTTTCTTTCTTTTTCTTTTCGTTGATTCGGGTTTTTTTTTTTTTTTTGTGAAAAAAAGAAGAAATCATGGACCCTCGTTCGCATCCGTCGAGACCTCCCTCCACCAGCTTGCCCCAGGGCTCCACGCCGCTGTCCTCCACCCCAATCTCCAGTATGCCCATGCCGCAGTACACCATGCAGCATCATTATCCTGTCTCTCAACCCCAGACTTTGCCGCCGCTACAGCCGCATCACAGTCAATCCCCGGCTCCTCACTCTTACATGGGCCAGCCGCCGTACCGTCCCGACCTGTCTAGGTTCCCGGCATCCTCCCACGACGTCTACGCGTCTTCCGCCGCGCCTATCATGCCGCATACCACCGCCGTTGGCAGCCTGCCTCCCTCGTCTTTCCTCTCCCACCCCAATCCTCAGGCTCAGCAGGCTCAACAACCGTCGCAACACTACCCTCCTCCACATAGCGTGCTTCCTCCGGCCTCTTCTGCCCAGAGCTATCCCCAGCCAATTGCTCCGGCACCCCCGCGCGATCGCCGTACAGACTATTCCGGCCTCCCCTCGGGCGCCTTTAGCTACCCGGATGGCAAGACTGCTACCGCTCCCTGGGTGAACCAGGATCCCGTGGCTAGTGCCAATGGTGGCTCGCCTTACGCTCCTAAGGACTCCCCGCGTACCCAGGTGGTTGGTTCCCAGGGTCGTCGCGGTATCCTCCCCAGCGTTCCCGGACGGGCCACTCCTGTCGCCGCCAATACCGTCAATGGGTCTGCCAAAAACACCACAATTCCCGCCAAGGATGCCGATGGGAAATTTCCCTGCCCTCACTGCAACAAGACCTACTTGCACGCAAAGCATCTCAAGCGTCATCTGTTGAGACGTGAGTACTTTTCTGCATTGCCATTGATTTCATCAAACTAACGAGGTAAAGACACGGGTGATCGTCCGTACATGTGTGTGCTTTGCCGGGACACATTCTCGCGCAGTGATATCTTGAAGCGTCACTTTCAGAAGTGTTCTTTGCGACGCGGTAACCCCACGGGTGCCACTCACTTGTCGCACCCCCAGGCCCATTTGAAGCGGTCGCAGGCCGCCAATGCAAACAAACCTATTCAGGATGAAGTCAGTACTACCGCCCCGACCCCCACCACGGGCGTTGCAGGTACGACATTCGGCGAGGGTGCTCCTGCTGCCGCTGGCGTCGCCGCAGCCTCCGTGAATGGCCACGGGCTGGCTAACACGGGCCACCCTGCAACGGGATTTCCGGAACAGCATTCGCCTCAACAACCACAACCGCACCAGCAGCAGCAGCAACAGCAGCCACCTCTGGGCTTTACGATGTCGTCTGTCAACGGGATGAACCATGGTCCTACGGAAGACGCGTTCCCCGCTGGCCAACCGCATCCGCGAGCTTGGATGGCTGCTCCCAAGCAGAATCCGTACCTCATACAGCCTGGTCCCAATCACTCCATCAGCCAGCAGCTGAATGTTGACCGTCACTCCTTTGAGCAGGTAAATTCCCCGATCGTCCAAGATCCTAATAAGCGCCCGGTAATGCCGGGTGCCACTCATACTGGCGAAATTGACTGGACCTCGATGTTTCAGCCCGGTACCTCCGATGGTTACATGAACCCCGTGTTCCCCCAGTCCATGGCATCCGGCCAGGACTCGATTCACGCCCATGTTGATGCCGACCGCAAGTACTATCCCGCCACTACCGGTCCCCAGGAGGGCGCTGGTATGAATGGTCTTTACCTTGCCTCGACCACTTTGAGCGGTGATGGTACGCCTTTCTCCATGATCAAACTATCTGGCCGTTACTAACTTGATTGCAGGAACCGTTCAGCCCGCTAGGCAATGAACTGGGTATTATGACACACTTCAGCTTAACTGACCTGTCGATGGGGAAACTGGGAGAACTCAACATACTTTTTTTTTTTTGAACGCTGATCAAAACGACATTATATTTTCTGTCTATCTATATGCATATTGTTCTAACGGATTTTGTCTTCAGGGCTCTCCAAGTTTTTTGACTGGGCTAACCATTGGGAATGCTTGAGAGTTATCTGGCGTTTGTTGTCCCTTTCCCATTTTCTGTGATCTCGATTTCATCGGGACTAAAATCAATCTGGGGTTGATACGACAAGATCTACGTGATACTGATTCCAACGCGGCGTTCTCGATCTGGGGATTTGTCTTTGTTTTCCGACTTAGTGATGGCTGTTGTTTCTCCCTTCTCTCTATCGTGGTCCTGGTGTGTCCGTCGCGGGTTGTCACGAATTTCCATCATATTCTTCTGATAAGCATTTTCTACGCGAGTTGAACGACGCGGTCGACTTTGAATTGGGTTGATCCTATTTCCTTTTTTTCTTGTTTCTTTTCTCCCAACCATTATGAGTGGGTAGATGGGCTGGTATGTGTCTTGTCTGTGGTTTATCCGGCGTCCAAACAAACATAGACCTGGGCATGTGTTTTCTTTTCTTTTCTTTTCTTTTCTTTTTTTTTTTTTTGTTTTTGGACAGGAAACCTCGAGGGAAGGATTGTTGGGTTGTCATTTTTTGTTGATTGTTGATTTTTTTTCTCTTTTCCTTCGCATGCCTTCTCTCGAGGAAAATGAGTTGTTTCTGTTTTATTTTTGCATTGACTTGACGGCCGTTTGATATTGTTTTTATTGCCATTTATCAAAACTTGTAAGTAGATTCGACAGAGTGCATTTCTCTGCACGGGACATATAACAGCAGCCGAGAGGCTTTATCTTGACTTCCAGTGTACATACTGCATTAATTACTATAACTATATAACTCATTGTATTCTCCGTCCACGTGTTGGAGTAAGCATTTGTTTCTCCACTTTTGATTGGCCCCCGGCGGCGATCGGGAAACCCCGGAGCGGCCTTCTTAATCCTCGTCTGAAGTCATCCCCAGAATCTGAACCCACTCTCTCTTCTTCCCCGGATTCTACCACTCTACTCTATTTCGTTGAATTTCTCATACCTGCAGGACATATATCTTAATTTAAAACACTCTCAGTGACATTATGTCCACAAACAGACCCTTCCTAGCCAACTTCCTGGCCGCCTTTCGAGCCCAATCTTCATCCAACTTCAAGGCCTCTTCCTCATCTACCACTGTCTCCTCCAGCACACAAAACGCGAGAACTATAGCTACCAAGGCTAGTTCACCTTCACCTAGTCCTTCATCTCCTTCAACCTCGGGCTCAGCAGCCGCCGCCGCCGCCGCCGCAGCATCCGCATCCGCTACAGAACCAGGGTCCTCACCGAACACCACCACAAATCGCTCCTCCTCACCAACAACCGAAACCTACCCATCCTCCTCCTCGCCGATTCCCATCACAAACACTAACACACACACCACTGCCAACACACCCACAGTCTCAGAGTACCACCAGCGCCGTCGCGGAAGCGACAGCTCCAGTGGCTCCGGAGGGGGTAGCGGCGGCGGAGGATTCCGCGATGCTCTGGGCCCTGAGAAGTGGTATATTGGTGGACGGTCACCAGGTGGGGAGGAAAGGTTTTATCGGTTGGGGATGGTTACCAAAGGGGGCGGGAGGTTAGGGGCTATGGCCAGGGTGGGGAGTTTTGATCAGTTGAGTTTGTGAGTGTTGAGCATCTCGCGCTTGGATGCGAGTGAGTTCGGGGTTGTCTGTCATTTTCGGATTACATATAATATTTGGGTTGTGGTTTCGGGGTATTTCTAAAAAGGCATGGCGTGGTGGTGTTTTTTTGCACTTGCACTTCTTTTTCTAAAAAGATATTCAACATTTTGTTTTTTGGGCTGTCGCGCGATATGGAGCAATGGCGTGTACATACTGACATACCGAACCAACATTGGTGATATGAATGATACGAATAATGAATGCTATTACCATCAGCACCACTCAGATAACCTGTTGAGTGACACAATGCACCACACCCCCCATGAGAGGCAAAGCAGAGACATAAACCTGCCGAATCTTGCGCTCCGGCGAAACCAACGCACGCAGCGTCTCAACAGCCTTTCGATCCCGCTTCCCATCCCCAAACGCAGGCACAATCAGTCCCCCATTCACAAAGTAAAAGTTGACATACGTTCCTGCCGCCTCTTCTTGCTCTTTCTCCACCTCCTCTTCATCTTCCTCGTCATAATACTTACCCCAGCCCACCAGATCCGGATCCGCCGCCTCAAGCTCCACAACCCTAATCTTCCGCCCCTGCGCATCCGTCTCCCGGCCCAGGATCGCCTTGATCTCTTTATAGATCTCCATCTCCACCTTTCCGGTCTTCGGATGCGGCTTGTTCTGCACCACAACACCCGGCTCAATGAACTTCACCTCCCCATCAACATGACAATCCGTGATATCCAACCCCGTCCGCCCAGGGAACCAGATGATCTTACTAACCCCCAGAAGAGCGCGCAAATGCGACTCAACAGCATCCCTAGTGCTGAGAGAACTCGAAGGATTGCGGTGCGGACAGATAATAGAACTCTCAGTCGCCAGGAACGTCCCCTCGCCATCAACCTCGAGAGCTCCACCTTCAAGGCGCAGTGGCGACACAACTCTTTCCACCTTCGTTCCGTTATTCATCTCCTGCTCATCAATATCAAACTCCTGTTCTAGCACCCTCTTTGCAAACCGCGCATTTTCCCAGTGTCGAATATCAGGTGCCGCGTAGCCTTTTCTGGAGACTGGTGAGCGCTCATCGGCTTGTCCGTCGGATTCTTGGCCGAGTGGTTCGTTGCGGACGTCTATCTCGCGGGAATTCTTGCCGCCCCATTCGCAGAAGCCGAAGTCGATAGCGATGCGGCGGGATGAGTTGGTTTTGTCGAGAACGTAGACTGGGCCTGTGTCGCGGACCCAAGGATGGTTTGTGGGGGTTTTGTGGAAGGTTATGCGGGAGAGTTGGTATTGTGGTATATCCTCTTGTCTTTTGCCATTATCTTTGGTTCCCCAGTTCAGGAGACCGAAGCGCTTATGGGCTTTCTTGGTTTTGTTGTTGATATTGATATCCTCGAGCTTTTGAAATCGTTCATTCAAAATCTGTCTAGCGAGATTTTCATCCTCAGGCCGTACATGTACGCGCACAGGTTCGAACTCAGAGATGACAACTGCCAGATCCATGATCTCGTTGCGTGTCTGGTTGAGCAACTCCCTTGGCACAGCGTGGCTAGACGGGAAGCCGAGAATAGTGGCTTTGTGAGGGGCTGTTTCGGCTGGGTAGAAGAGGGTCATGTTTGTTGATATAGCTGGTAAAGTTAAAGGTGATGATGTTGTGTTGGTAGCAGTGGTGAGTGGTTGGTATGATTGGAGGGATAGAGGATGGCTTGGGGGTAGGGTTAAAGGTTTGAATAGTTGGCTAGATGCTGAGATTTGGAGAATGAAACTCAGGCTCAAGAACGAAAGAGAGATTTTGAATGTGAGGCGGGTGTTGTGGAGGGAATACATCTTAAGTAATATAGGATAAATAAAGGTGGAGGGTGAAGGGGAGAAGCGGGTATATATGCTTTATATAAAATATAAAATATACCGGTTGTATACTCCATCACGACTGCCTGGAAGAAGGGACGTGGAATTGCATCATTCAATTCAGTCTGATTTGGCGTCCAATTGTTGTTATTGTATATTATATTTATTAAAATTGGATGTATGGTACCGGGGTTTGCCGTCAAGCAAGTATGGTACATTAGGGTCAGACACAGACGGATATGTACATGCTATTCAACTATCCAGCAACCGCTCCTGCTCTTCTTCACTCTCACTCTGATGATCCCCAGTCTCCCTATCAGGCCTTTTACTAAGCCATAACATCGGCACAGCCGTAACTCCCGCAAGAACCCCCAACGACCACGCCGTACTCTTCCACCCAAATCGATACGTCACAAATCCACCCCACAACGGCCCAAGAAACAGACCCAAAAACTGCGCCATAGTCTGGATCCCAAATGCCTGTGCAACAGCGCCCTTCCGGCCGAAGATCCCGGGCTCCGCGCGCTCCATGCCTTCGAGCACTTGTTGTGTTTCGACGAAAAGGGCCGGGACAGCACTATTGAGGAGGGCGCCGATTATGGTGAGAAGATTTATGAGGAGGATTTTGTGGGCTGTGTCGTTGTGCTCGACGAGGTGGAGGCAGACTAATGGCGGAGAGAGGAGGAGAAAGCTGGTGAAGGCTACGATGCGGTTGCCGTATTTGTCGGAGATGTAGCCTGTTTCATTAGCTTCTTGTCCAGGTAGCGCACAAGGGGGAATTCGTACCAAAATAAGGCTCGAAAAGGGCCGTAATGGCAGATGGGAGAAATGTCATTCCGGCTTCAAATGGGGTCCAGCCGTATGTTGACTCGACGAAAATTGGGATCGTCTATGGTTGTTAGTACACCATACATATATAGAACAGAGAACATACCGCATCAAAAGCAGAAAATAGTAATCCTTGAACAAGCAAAGCCCATAGCGAAATGAGCACCCGCGGCTGCCGGGCAATCTCCAACAGAGCAAGCTTGTGCTTGTCCTCTTCAACCTCCGCAGGCTCCCCAGGAAATGTGTGATAACCACCATCAGACGAATGCATATGGCCATTTCCAATACCATTTTCATCAAGTCCAATGCTGATCCACTTTCGCGCCACCTTCTTCTCAACAACCGCCACCCGCATCACCAGATCCACCCCGATGATCGCAAACGCCATGGCAAACACCGCATTATACCCAGCTGCATTATACACCAAACCACCCAGCAACGGTCCAAGCAGGAATCCCAGTGTAATTGCAGACCCTAAATACCCAATCGTCTGCCCCAGATTACCAAATTCCACCGTATCGGTCATCAGCGCCAGGCCGGCCACGGCAACCATGGCCGTTGCACCTCCTTGGAGTAACCGGGCAATAACGAAGAGCCATACTGTATGTGCGATGGAGAGCATCCCCATCGATGCACCGAGGAGGATCAGACCGAGGAAGAACGGGTATTGACGGGTTCGTGAGACGTCAACTAGGTAACCGAAAATAGGGCAGCAGACGAGGGCTACGGCGGCTTCGCACATGAGAAGGACGCTGACCCAGTATTCTCCTGCATCCTGTTAACCGCCGTTATTATTCCTGGTATGTTTCTGGGAAGGTATCGTACGGTCTTCATATGGGACTCCGGCTCGGTCACTCAGCGCGGTTGGCATTACGGGAACGATCTGGGTTTCTTAGTGGCCCGATGCATCGACCATTGAATTTGAGTTTCTGCTCACCATCGCATAGAGAAAGTAATCCTATCCACAGACACCGGTTAGTCTTGTGGTAAGCGGCCGCGTCAATCCCCAAACGTACCGTAAAACACGACATCCACACCGTCGCGATTATAAACCCCGTCGACGATCGAAACCGCAGCATCCACGGAAGATGCGCATCTTTATTCGTGGCCATATTAAATGCTGTGCTGAATATTCTTCAATTCGAGAAGAGGTAAAAACGGCGGCGGTGGAAAAGTTGATGAAAGATGAAGGCGAGAAGCCAATTGAACCGCTTTTCTTTTTCTTGACACTTGTTGTGGCAATCAATTCAGGCCATACTCTTCGCGATTGACAGCTGTGGCTCCTAGCAGGGGAGGATCGGATTTGCTTCTCGTTGATCGCGATGGAACTGTTGTCCGTCATAGCGGCTGAAGAATTAAATTGACGCTGGGGATCCGATTACTCAGGAATCCAGTCCATTAACACCATCGCCATCGCGCATCGCAGCATTGTCAACAACCTGCATTCGAGAATAGAATGAAGTATTGCATTCACAAGCCAGAGATGAAGTTATCGAAGCTAGTGAGGCCATGATCCGATTATCACGCTTCGATAGCATCCGCCTCGGTGCGTTTAAAGACTTGCACAGACACCGAGCTTACAGGGACCTCCAACCTTTAATCTATGCGCCCGTATCGGTAGCTTCCTTCGACGAGACTGCGATACTATGAGTCTCAACGATACAGAATATATCGATATCAATGCCATCCAGCACACAGACCTAACGTCGCTAAATATTCCCAAGTCAGTCCGTTCGCAAGATCTGTATCATACAACACTCCTATGATGCTGTATGGAGCACAGAATCCTGATGATGCAACCGAACTCGTGGCGTCTGCCTTCAGCGACTGGAAAGAGTAGCACCTTATGCAAATGTCGCCATCCTGGCTCATGAGGCTAAGGATCAATAGTCAGGAGCTGATGCTTCGGATCGCTCCTTAGGGATGTGATGTCTCATGCATTATACTATGCTGCTTGGTTACTCCTGCCCGCCTGCAAAGCTGTATCTGGCTCATTCCACGGTAGTAATATACGTAGTTCATCTCCCGTGCTGGATATGATGTTATTATGCACATCTGTTAACTCAGTCGTGTCTAGCCCACAAACAAGTCTCTCAGTTTCAGCACCGCATTCCGTATGCATCTTCAAGGGACTGGGGCGTGAGGCTTTTTCTTGTAGCTGTACGGAGTGGCCTCCCTAATAATGCCTCAAATATTCGACTGCATGTCTCTCACTGGTTCTATTTCCCAGTCATCATTCACTGGGTTGTATGCTGTGCTGCCTAGTCGTCCAACATGACTGTCTTTCGCGTCTTTAACTCTAGCCTTCCACCTCACCTCATGAGGCATTTGAAATTTATCCAACGATGTGCTGGCATGCTCAACCCAAATGGCACGTAAATTCCAATCTGTCCTGAGGCTTCAAGACATGTGGAACCGTTTTGGTGCATTCTGTCGTACTCCACTCATCATTTGATCACATCTCACTCCATCGAATATCATCGAGAACATCGCTCAGTTTTCTGGGTTCAGGCACCTCATGTAGCGACGAACAACAGTTTCCATCGGATCCACAGCGGCAATCGCCATCCAGTTCCGGCGGCTGTACATCAGAGGCCCACCGACTCTTCGTACATTTTCTCGAATCGACCCGTCACCAAACAATAAGAAATATGATATGATTGGCAACGGAGCACAAATCCTCGTGTATTTCGTAATTTTTGTCCTTGCATGAATGGGGGTCCAGGCTTCCACCAAAAAGAAAGTAAACAAAAGCGCCAATTTGTTGCACGTCCCCCGGCAACCGGCACGCACACTATAGCCTGAATAGGGAAGTTCGACAAATCTCACGACATCAAACCATCACGAGTTGTGTAAATCCACAAGGCAAATATATTCCAGCCCTTCGAAAAAGCCCATACTTGTACACAACATCGCGAGCCAGCCAGTAAAGGACAGCAGAGAGGGGGGTTCCGTAAACAAGCTCTCAGCTCTCGCGACGATCCTCTGCACCCATGATGCAGCCATTGCTGGTGCGCAGCCTCAGCTCACCACGTCTTCACTTTCTCATTTAAAAATCCACTGTTCTCGCACACGAATTTCAATATGTTTCTGTGTTCTGTCTATGTGCGTTTATGCGCCTGGTCTCTTTTCCCAATTCACATAGTGTCATTGCTCTGTTTGCATCCGCCCTGAGTTGATTTAATAACCCACATACGTATATTTGACTCCGATGGTCCTCATTGGTGATAAAATGAAGCTCCCTAGCGCATTCAACCCAGATGAACTGGCGATGTTCGTCATACAAGCTCGCCTGGCCCTGTTGGACAATGAATCGGGCAATGTAGAAGACGACGAACCATTCTTTGTCGCAGATCTGGGGCAGGTATACCAGCAGCATCAACGGTGGACTCGCAATTTGCCTGCCGTTCAACCGTTTTATGGTCCGTATGGTCCCTTCTTATGCTACTTTGTTCTTTGAACATCGCTAATGGATAAGAAAGCGGTCAAATGTAACCCGGATCCGACACTGTTGAGGTTCCTCGCGGAACTAGGCACTGGATTTGACTGTGCCTCGATTGACGAGTTGAAGAGAGTCCGGAATCTGGGGGTGGATCCATCCCGGATTGTCTTTGCTAATCCATGCAAAGCAGCATCTGCATTGTGTACGGCACGGGATATGGGTGTGACCAAGACGACTTTCGATAACTTGGACGAGCTGGACTCGATCAAACAGTTCATGCCTAATGCCCAGCTGTTTTTGAGGATATATGCCAGTGATGACGATGCGTTGATTCAATTTGGTGACAAGTTTGGTGCTTCCCCCGAAGCAACGACGGTATTGCTTGAACGAGCTTGGGATCTGGGCCTTGAAATTGTTGGGGTTAGTTTTCATGTTGGTAAGTTCTGTATTCCTAAGAACCCAATGATATCATGATGCTAACAGAATGCCCAGGCACTGGAGCAACCAATCATCAGTCATTCGTCGACGCCATGGAAAGAGCAGAGACCGTCTTCAACCAAGCCACTCGAATCGGGCATCATCTGCAATACCTCGACATAGGCGGTGGGTTTCAAGACGCAGGTTTCGAGCGCATGGCATCTGGTATCAAAGAAGCCGTGAAGCTATACATGCCTCCAGAGGTCCGCATAATCGCAGAACCCGGACGATTCTATACCCGTAATGCATACACGCTGGTCTGCAAAGTTATCTCCCGACGATGTCAGATTGGCAATGATAAGTCCAACCCGGACATGTTATATCAGAACGATGGCGTGTACGGCAATTTTATGAATGTCCTGGTGGAGAAAGAGATCATGCGTCCATCGCTTGTAACACCGGCACTCAGCTTAACAGACTCTCGAGCAGAGTCGTCACGAGTAGACGGAGAACACTGGTACAGCATCTGGGGCCCGACTTGCGACAGTGTAGATTGCGTGACTCGCAAGATGCGGATGGATTTGGAAGTCAAGGTCGGGGATTGGCTGATGTACAAGAACATGGGAGGTGAGTCTCGCATCATCCGAAACGATGAAATCAGGTGATTGACATGAAATAGCGTATACCATGGCAACCAGCACACGATTCAATGGGTTTGAAGCCCAACATCCGGTAATTTATATCAACAGCGAGTCGCAGACGGAAAACGAGAGGATGATGCCTCTTGGGATGACGGAATCGGTGGTTCAATATGATACACGGTCTGATCAGCCTGAGATTATGTCCTGTTCAACTTGATTCAAAAGTCCTGTGCTTCTTTGCGTTGTTATAGGAATGTATGTGATGAATAGCATTGATAAGGTTCGTGGCGGCTAATATGTTCGAGTTCAAGTCCCGTAAGAGAAGGAGTGCAGGAAAATCAGCCCACTCTCACATAAGGAAAAGCAAATTAGAAACTAAGTAGCGAGCAAAGTGACAGACGATATTCAAATACTAGTCTCTTAGCTGATAAGAACCATTCCTGATAACGAGATAAGAGCTCCGTTGGACACGGCCGTCGTGCGGGCATCGGAGGCTGCCGATGGCCGTGGGATACAGACCGCGTTTCTGCAGGCACCACCCATGCTATAAAAAGCCACGAGTCACTTTTGAAATGGTCTTGAGGAGGGAAAACAAGAAGAAGCATCGGATTGGATTATTCGTGATTCAAATTGCAGTCAGATAGCTATCCTTATCAATTGATAGCTTCCCCGCAAATCGCTTGTTAGCGCCTATCTACGGCTTAGATCCAGTTCTTTACACTTATTCTACCATTATATACCATCAGCTTTCCTCGAGTCAACATGTCCTCTCGACTATCCGCAGCTCGCTACGGCAAGGACAATGTGCGCGTGTACAAAGTCCATCGGAATCCCGAAACAGGCGAGCAGACCGTGGTCGAGATGACCGTCTGCGTGCTATTGGAGGGAGAGATTGATGAGTCGTAAGTATTTCTTGTACTAATTGCCATGAGACAAATACAAGCTAATATTGCGAAGATACACAAAAGCAGATAACAGCGTCATCGTCGCAACCGACTCCATCAAAAACTCTATCTACATCCTCGCCAAACAGCACCCTGTCACACCCCCCGAACTCTTCGGCTCCATCTTAGCTTCCCACTTCATCCAGAAATACCCCCACATTCACGCTACCCACGCTACCGTAGTAACCCACCGCTGGGCGCGCATGGACATCGACGGCAAGCCTCACCCGCACTCGTTCGTCAAGAACGGCGAAGAAACGAGAACCGTGCAGGTGGATGCGACAGAAGGCGTGGGTATTGATATCAAGACGGGTATCCGCGGCTTGACGGTGCTCAAGAGCACCAACTCACAGTTCTGGGGGTTTTTGCGGGACGAGTATACCACGTTGCCGGAGACTTGGGATAGGGTGTTGAGTACGGATGTCGCAGCTGATTGGCAGTGGAAGCGGTTGAGGGATTTGGAGGATGTTCGTGCAAATGTGCCCAAGTTTGATTCTACTTGGACGGCGGCAAGGGATATCACCCTGAAGACCTTTGCGGAGGATAACAGTGCTAGTGTTCAGAACACGATGTACAAGATGGCGGATGAGATTTTGGCGTATCAGCCGTTGGTAGAGACGGTGGAGTATTCATTGCCGAACAAGCACTATTTCGAGATCGGTATGTTCCCTTTTTATTCTGCCGATTCATGGAACTTGGATTCTAACTTCTCCCCAGACCTCAGCTGGCATAAAGACCTCAAGAACACGGGTGAAAATGCCGAAGTATACGCTCCGCAGACAAACCCCAACGGTCTGATCAAATGCACAGTGGACCGGTCGTCCCCCGGCCAAGTCAAGGGGAAGTTGTAGATATATATCCATCTAAGGGTTGATATTTAATATCAGTCATTGGCGTTGTTTAACCGTCTAGATAGGGTATTCATTTTGGCGTTCCTATAATACAATAACATCACTTCAATCAGACAATCGTCATCTTGAGTAGAAAAGACATAACTGACTCGTGGTGTAGTATAATCACAAAACGCCCACCGATGCGCTTGATCATGAAAACAGTAAAGGAAATACAAGGATTACAGATAGAAAGAAGAAAAACAACCCAGCAATTCTCACGACGCCTCCTTGGTGGCCTCAGCCTTGAAAGCATGCTGAACTTCAGGCAAGCCTCCAATAATCGACTCGTTGCCATATTTGATAATGTTCTCCTTGTACGGGTGATGAACACCTTCAAAGGCTGTGACAGGTTAGCCAAAACCCTCAATGAAATAGCCTAGAACAAGCACTCACTCTTCAACCGCGCCAACCTCTTCGACTGTAACCGATTCTTTGGCAACATCCCCTTAACCGCCCTCCGCAAAACCTCCCCACCACCCCATTTCTCAATCATCTTGTCCATAGTCATGCTCTTCAGACTACCGGGCCGGGTATTATGCGTGTAGTACAGCTTCTGGAACCGTTTCTTCCCCGTTGTGCGCAGGTCGTGGCAGCCCACTGCAACGACATAGTCGCCGCAGTCTGTCGACGGGTCAAAGATGGGCTTGTGTTTGCCCATTAGAAAGAGAGCGATGGAGGAAGCGACGCGGCCGAGGGAGCGGGGGTCGGAGCCGACATCGACATGGTGCCAGGCGCGAGAATAGGCGAGACGAGTCTGTATTCGTTAGGATGGTTGTAAAGATAGGCAAGCCATGAGGCATAGCTTACTCTTCCGACGGTTTGCGACATGTTTGTATTTTCGGCCCCAGCGACGAGGGCAGTTTATTTCGAACGAAGGATGTAAGATGAGTCAATGCGTTACTGCAAGCTAAGACAAACAAACAATGAGCTAATTTAGTAACGCTGGCCCTCTAACTTGATAACCTAGCCTATCCTTTCCTCTACCTCTACTGCTCCTCCGGCCCGACCAACGCGGAACTTTCTATGTCACGTGATTTCCCACCGCCCGCGGCCGAGCCCTAGACCCAGGTGCACTAGCGCCGCACACTAAGCGAAAACCTGCCCGCACGGAACAATCTCGATTCGAGCGACCAAGCAATAATCTCGACAACTTTACAGCACACTCCCTCTCTCGACAACCGACAAGGGCCATTCTATCACCATGGCTTCCGTCCCGAGTGTGCAATGCTTCGGCAAGAAGAAGACGGGTATGTTTTGCATTTTTTCACGTCGCAGTGGAATTTTTTGATGGTTGTGGGATCGGGGTTGCTAACGGGATTTTGATTATAGCTACCGCTGTCGCCCACTGCAAGGTATGAGAATACTTTTTCCTGATGAGTCCTGTCCTTGTCCTTTCTACGAGCGATTGGCGATACGAATGGCGTCGAATGGAATGGTCGGAATATGGGAACAGAAAAAAAAAAAAAAAAAAAAAAAAGATGATGAAAGGGAGGAACCGGTGGAAGGAAACCAATCGCTCTCGCTCTTGAATTCACACATCGCCTGAGATTTGAAACGAATACTGAGACTGTGATACAGCAAGGCAAGGGTCTTGTCAAGGTTAACGGCCAGCCCCTCTCTCTGGTCCAGCCTGAGATCCTCCGCTTCAAGGTACGCCGCAACCACCGCCCCGTCGAAAGAGGAAAGATTTCGGAAAGGAGGGACAACAATCTAACGAAAAGTGATGAATAGGTCTACGAGCCCCTCTTGATCGTTGGCGCCGACAAGTTCGCTGGTGTCGACATCCGTGTCCGCGTCTCCGGTGGTGGCCACACCTCGCAGGTCTACGCCATCCGCCAGGCCATCGCCAAGTCCATCGTCGCCTACTACCAGAAGTACGTCGACGAGCACTCCAAGAACCAGCTCAAACAGGCTCTTGGCCAGTACGACCGCACACTGCTCGTTGCCGACAACCGCCGCGCCGAGCCCAAGAAGTTCGGTGGTCGCGGTGCCCGCGCAAGGTACCAGAAGTCCTACCGTTAAACGGACAGATCGACACACCAGTACATTTTTTTTACGAAAAAAAAAGTATATCTACAAAATACGAGGAAGAAGGATTACAAACATGTCCTATTTTTCAATGGTGTTGGCTCTGCTTCGTTTGGCGGTGGTTTCGGTTGGGAGAGAGGGATCATTGGGCGACCGAGAAACGTCCTGTTCATGGTGTTGTGGCAGTTGATTGGGTTTACTGGCTATTTCTCGGATGGATTTAGTATAGGCCAGGAATCTGAAATATCACCCGTTTTCTGTTTTCTTCTGTTTAAAACAGGGAGCCCTGCATTAGTGTTTTATCTGGGTCTGGAGTTGGCAATAAAAGAAAAACCTGCAACGCGTCCCTACGGCCCTTCGTATCCTCATCATTCGAGTTGTGTTCACTGCCATCTCATTCTAAAGGGCCACGGTAGTTGCATCTAAAGAGTAAGATCGTATAATTGCATTCTATTGCATAACTGACCTAAAATAGACATTACAAAGCCAAATGGGTAGATCTTACTCGACCTTGGCGGAGAACTAAAAAGCATGAAATAAAAAAAAAAAAAAAAGGGTATATCATTAGATGAAGGTCACTCCCATACCATTCAAGTGTTGTTAGACTCTGTCTGCCCAGCAGATACCGCCGTTCACCGAAGAATGACTGTCCAAATCATCGTGGATATTCTCGTAATCATCCTCTTCTTCGTTCTCGGTTCCATCAAGCGAGAGAAGCTGGAAGCGATTTGGGCGCGAAACTGGCTTAGTTGGTGCTGGATGCATGTCCTTCTTCGGCGTGATCTTGGCCAGTGGCTCGGCACATTCATCTGGGTAAAATGCAATCCTCATGCCCTTGTACGTGCGACGGGACATCATACAAGTACGTGCAAACAGAGTATTGTGGACGGAATTCGTTGAGATGTATGCATTGCCATGATGAAACTTGATGGAGATGACAATGAGGTTATGAATATGGTCAAGGTCCCTCCGAATCAACTCTTCCGTGATAAATGGGCTGACGTTGTTGATGACCAGGACCCGGGAAGCTCCTCCGTTGATTTTGGCTCTGACATAAGAAGGAAGGTAGAATTGACGGTCACTCCACGCTGTATCTACCTGGAAGTGACTGTTAGCATATGGAGCACGACGCAGTAGAAGGGATGGGCCAACGTACGCGCTTACCAGCCACATGAAGGCTGTTTAACTTCGTATGATGCAAAAAGGCGTATGCCGCACCCTCATCAACGAAAGATACATTTGCAAAATGGTCGCGAGCTCGAAGGTAGATGTACAGAAGAGCACCACCCCTAACGACGTCGGTGATATCTTCATGAGTGACCCGTTCTGGTAGGTTGCGGATCAAAACAGTTCGCTGACCAGTGGAAGATTGTTCGCCTTTCGAGATATCCTCGGAATAAGCTTTCCCTTCGCTATTCGGCGAGACAATGACGCCATCCTCCTCATCCTCATCTTCGTCATCTTCGCAATCGTCAAAGCCACCAGGTACTCTATAGTCATTGATCGTGTTTTTATCGTCCTGGTACTTGCGAGTGTGAGCCGCAGTCTCCGTAGGAGTCGAACCGTTGGTATTTTCGTTGAATTCAATGGGTTGTGGAACAGCGTTCTCGTTATTGTGGTCGTTATTATGAGACAGAGGCTTCGGTTGTGCTTGCGCACCGTAGATCAATATCTATAAAGCAACATGTCAGTAGCGTCAACTGCGATTGCAACAGCGGAACTTACATCAAGAGTTTCCTGCGACAATCCCCCGTTCAGAAGCGAGCCTTTTAACTTTGCTGGATGCTGTCAGTCAAACTCAATATAGGTGTCGAGGCATGTGGATGGTATACCAAATTGATACGACGCTTGAAGCTGGCAGAGGATTAGCTCTTCAAGTCATGCCCATCCATGCAAGGTAGAGCTCACCAAATTCTCATATTCCAGCTTGGAGATAGTAACTGCATTGAGACTTTGCGGCATGACATCTTGAGGTGGAAAATACTGTTTCAGGAAGATAAGCGACTGACGGTATAGCTGGATGGATTGCACTCACCATTTTGGACCTGTCAAGAAGTTGATAATTAGTCCTTACTCTAGAATGAGAGATATACAAAATGGCTGAACTTACCTCTGCAACAGAGACTGGTAGTAAGTCTGATCCAGAGGAAAAAGGGAAGAAACTTTGGCCATGATTATCTCGCAGTGACCGGTCTGATACGGCAGAAAAGTTACAATTGGAAGTCATCCAAAAAAGGAAAGCGGCAGAGGAGAAGCCAAAACAGAAAGACTTGGAAGAAAAGATGTACCAATCTTTTTATGTTTCTGTATGTATGGCATAGCTAACTGTTCTTGGGCAGACAAAAGGAAAGTCCCATAACGTCACTCTACGTTGGCTCTGCAGCGTGTCTTTTGGTGTTTTGCATGCTGTTCATGCATGGCCAATCAGTCCAACTTGTTTACTGTCAATATATATTCAGTCATCTAGACTATCTACAACTCCAATAAAATACTGCCAGCTGAAAGTACTGGTGACAGCAATGGTGATGATGATGTGATAAGATGAGCAGCAGATCAAGTCATAGGGCAGTGTCTGAGCATAGTGTACGGTACTATACTGTACTATACGGTAATTATGCACAAGGGCGTATCAGTGGGTAGAATAGTGCATATATATGTCCAAAAATAGTCTAGTTCCGGCAGTGAGTGGATCAATCCGGCCCGCCATGCGTACAAGTCACACGATGGTTGGCCCGTGACCTGCCGTTTGTCTGGGTCCGTGTACTATGTATATAATAGTTGGTAATTTTCCCCGCAGTCTTTCTCTGCGTGTAACAGAATATTATATTTTGCTTAGAAGAAAGAAGAGAGAGAACAGAAGGAAGACAGAAATGTTGAGAAAGGAATAAGCAGATGTTGCGGGTTGGCATATAAAATGTATTTCCCCTCCTCTTCCTGTTCCTCGTCGTCGTCGTCGTCGTCTGTGTATTCCTCGTCCCAAGGATCTTCCACCACCAGTTCCTGTAAGTTTGCCCTCTCATCCAACTGTCATTCTTCTGTATGGACAACATTCTTTTCTTTCCCCTCTCCTTCCCATTCTGCAGTTGAACACGTGTGGCATACCTTCTTAGTTTCATGATTGCTGATCGCGTGCTTTCTTTCCAGCCTCACATCGTGGATACCGTCAGCCGAGTTTAATCTCCAGGCCATCGCTAGTAACTCACCCCACACCCGTTTCGTTGTCTTCCTTGCGCGATCTGACAGCGACTTCCTCGACTTATAATCCTCCTTCCCCCTCCTCCTCCTATTCTTCTCCTTCTATCTGTTCTCCTCCTACACGCTCAACTTCGCCGACCACGGCTACTGCGGATAGTTTGGACTCTCTTAATCTCTCAAGCTTCTCTTCCCGACCCATCCCCATCCCAAAACCGGTTTCTACTGCGGACCTCCCCGTCACCCCACTGACCGGCCGTTTCGAAAAAGGTTATTATTTCGCACCGCAGCAAATTGATCAATCTCCTCCATTTGAGGAAAAATTCTCTTCGCATAGAAATTTCAAAAACTTCGACTCTCACGGTCGCCATCATCGTTCTCACCGTCGTCGTCATCATCATCATCATCATCATCATCATCATCATAATCATAATCATCACTCACACTCCCACAATCTTCACCAACACCATCACCAGTCTGCTCCAAGCATGCGCTCCGACAACTCGAACTTTTACTCCCCTGTCATGTCCTCGGCCATGCCACCCTCTGGGCGCCCTGCCTCTCCGCAATCGTCTCGATCTCGCGCTCAAAATACCACAAAGTCCGTCCCTTCCTTTCACCTCAGTAATCTTCCACGCTTCCATCCTACCGTCTACCCCTCTACCGGCTCGCAGACTGCGATCGGACAGCAGCAACAACAATCTCAACTTCCAATGCAATCACGCCACCATACATATCGCCAGTCATCAGGCTCCTCCTCTCGGGATGGCATGCGGCAGCTGATGGAGAGTGTGACCTCCTCACGAGTACCTTCGGGACAGTATTCTCCCAGCCCATCTGCTCCTCGATTGGATCCCCTTCTGAGCCCGGGTCCTGTCACTCCCTTGGTTTTGGAGGAAGGTAACAGCTATCTCAGTTCCGGCGCATCCGGTGCGACAGATCCATTCGCGAGAGACTCTCTGAACGCGGGATCCGCGTCGGATAAGATCGCCCGCGAGGGGGATCGAGCCTGGCAGAAGAGCAGCATACTAAGTGCTAAGGGTCGGTGACTGTTGCCGGTTGCCTGCGGCATGGCCTTGGTCAAAAAGTCTTGGTCTATGTTTTTCTTCGCGTTTTTCGCCCTCCACTCAGTCATGGTTTATTCAAACGGCATTATGAAGTCTCTGAATTGATTATAAACTATAACCCAGCGTCTAGCATCATCATCATATGTCTAAATTATACCCCCCAATGGCATCACCGACCTTTTGATATACTTTACTTTTATGTCTCGTGTTAGTCATGGATTAAAAGGACAGAACCAGACTGTTCTGACTAGGACAAATGGCTCTGGACAATAGAATATGTTCAATACTTCCATGTTGTAACTCGTTATTGTATACGGCTTGCGTATTCACTGCTTCTAAACAATTACATGTGTTCTATCCTGTGGACGTTCATCACTTTATTATATCCTTTCCGCAATCTTAAATTATCTCCTTCTGACCCTTTTTACAGCGTTGTGTACCATTCTTATTTAAATCTCTAGTTCTTCCACCACAATGAAGCTCATAGAACAAACCTATAGGCAGTCTTGCTAGCCTTCATTAGAGGCTTGGCCTGATATACGTTGGTATCGCTCATATTTGGATTAAGGACTTTACAATCGATTTTGAGGTGGTTAGGCTAGACTTACAATCAATTAATGCTCACGCTCGAATGAATATTAATTTTTATACAGGGGTAGGAAATGGCGCCAATACAAATATCAGGGATAGGGCTGGAGAAGACTGTCCGTACTCTTCCTTTTGTTATTTTAACGTCGTCTTTCAATTTCGCCATTTTTTCCTAGGTCACACATACTTCAATTCGTGCGGACACAGTAGAAAGATCGTGCGAAATTACATACCCCAATCAGGTAAATACCGCTGTTCTCTATTTGGATATCCAGAAGGAAGAGTCATCTGTTCTGCACCCACTAGGACCTGGCCAAAGCCAAACTTTGATTCAACTTCAGTCCTCGCCATATATAACTAGCGCTTCAATTTCAAAAGCGAGTTACCACTGGGTCCTTAGCAAGCAACCACTGCTTTGAGTTACTGACTGACACAAATCAAGAAACATGGACTAGGCCACTTGGAACCTTCAACCAAAAACAAGCAGATTCCCAGATACTATTATATATATCGACAAGAAGACACATGAAGTCCGTGACTTGGACCGTTAAGGCTCTCTGGGATATCAGTTGAATGCTGGTAATAGCCAGCGTATTGCTCCTCAGCGGTTGCTTCTTGACGTCCTCAAGATGATGCTCCGAGTTCACTATCATTTGTGACGTAAATGTTCAAAAGTTCCTCGACTCGAAGACGTGTCTAAACTCCCATAGGATCAAGAAAGAGACAGCCAACATTTGAAATGTTCGCCTAAAAACGATAATTGGACAGCCCGGCCATTCTTACGGAGTCGCAAGCTCTTCTAGATCAAATCTTAAACGAGGGGGTTCATTGACAAACACACTGGTAACGGCCTACTACTAAGTCATTTTGATAGGCACGGTACATCTCTGGGGTTGGAATCTCTGGGGCAGAATGTCTGAAGTTTCCAACTCGTGCCTTCTGCGCTCAGGATCTTAGCGTTTAAAGTTAATAAAAACTGAATGTCATTTGTAATCAAAACTTAATCTAAGGGATTCGAATTTAAAATGACACTTCGTGCAGAGTAGGATGGCGTTATTGACGGAGTCGAGGGAGAAATTGATGAGTTCTTTTTGGCTCCATGGCCCGACCTACATAGCAGCAGAGGCATATTAGTTCTTGTCTATTTTGAACGAATTTCGTTGGTATTGAATACTTTACCATCATCCTGTTTGACCACTTGACTTATGTGCCTTGGGATACTGCTGCACGCTCAGCAATCCTCTCCACATAGGTGCCGGATTTCGAGCTTGGTTGACATGAGGGCACCATCCAACTGGCCTGATTTGGAGCTTTTTCTGAAAATGACATTTTTAATGTCTCTGCTCTACCATCTAGAGTATTCCGTATGTTGTACTTCGTAGTAGACTCAGATAGAATGACTAGAATGATGTATATGCGCTAACCTAATCGGGCAAGGTCTGTTCCTGCCCGGAGTTGGGCCATATCCCCGAGTCTTTCGGTTTTGCGGGGCGATCGCTTTACTAAGAAAGTCCATATTCTCCAATTCTTCCCCCTCCACTCTCTTCAATGTGACATCTCTTTAAATTCTTACTCCTTTGCTACCAGCTATTTGTCTTGCCACTTACTATCATTTCGTCCGTTTTCCTACGCAATTGACCGTGTAATTGAACGACGAACGACCGACCTTTTACCACCGCGTCCGATAGCGGACTCCCGCAATTATCTCAGCTTTTTTCGTCGACAAGCAAAGCTATACAGCGCCATAAGCTCACCACAGGTTGATACATACAAGAGTATACAAAAATACCAAAAGCGCAGAGATTCTACGCACAATGTCATCCACGCAACCGCCGTTGGCGACAGCCACAACATCGGGGATGGCAGGCCAACCGAACTCCATATTAGCAGCGACTGGCGGCGATAGCAACAATAGTAATGGGAATACGGTAGCGCCCAAAGCGCAATCTAAGGAAAACTACAAAGGGTTTGTGGCGGGAGTATTCTCGGGAATCGCGAAGTTGAGTGGTATGTCTCTATAATACCTGATTTCTGGGTCGCAATGCTCTGTTGCTTGTGTGTGCGCAATAGATGGGAATATGCGAGTGCTAACAGGACTTTTCAAATATAGTTGGACATCCGTATGTTTCCTACCGTTTTCCATCTCAATGCTGCGCGGGAGTCAGAAAGATAACCAATTGTTGATCGAACAGATTCGATACTGTGAAAGTTCGACTGCAAACGTGCTCAGATGGCCAATTCAAGGGTCCATTGGACTGTGTTCTACGAACAATACGGATTGAGGGCGTGAGCGGGTTATACAAGGGTGCCACGCCACCGCTGGTCGGATGGATGGTGATGGATTCTGTGTGAGTTCCAGTTCTCTCGCGAAGACAAAGAGGAAATGGACAGCATGGACAGCATGGAGAGCGGTCGCTAATGATAACTGCAGTATGCTTGGCTCTCTGACATTATACCGGCGACTACTTCTTGAGCATGTCTTTTCGAACCTTCACACCCGTGCATTAACTCCATTCAATCGAGGGAGCCAATCTGATATGCGTACACTGCCTAGTTTCGGGCATGGTATTGCAGGTATAATGGCGGGTACTACTGTTAGCTTTATTGCTGCTCCGGTTGAGCATATTAAGGCTCGGTTACAGATTCAATACGCGGCAGAGAAGTCCCAGCGCATGTACAGTGGGCCTGTTAACTGCCTGCGCAAACTTGTAAGTTTGGGCCTCTTCTGAAATTGACTATGAAAGGATCGCTGATAGGGGAATTAGATGAGAACGCACGGTATCTCGGGTGTCTACCGTGGTCTCTGTGCCACAATCTTTTTTCGATCCTTTTTCTTCTTCTGGTGGGGATCTTATGATGTCTTAACAAGGTGGTTCAATGAGCACACAAAGCTGTCGGCACCAGCAGTCAACTTCTGGGCCGGTGGTATCTCCGCCCAAATTTTCTGGATGACATCGTACCCGTCTGATGTGGTCAAACAGCGTCTCATGACGGATCCCATGGGCGGTGCTCTTAACGACGGAGAGCGGCAGTTCCCCAGGTGGAAGGATGCAGCGAGGGCTATTTATCAGGAGCGTGGCTGGAGAGGATATTGGCGAGGCTTCGTGCCTTGTTTCTTGAGGGCGTTCCCAGCGAATGCCATGGCCCTGGTTGCATTTGAGGGTGTGATGCGGTCGTTGCCATGATCAATGGCAGGGAGGGTGTAAAAATAATGAACAGATAGGCTGTACTTATATATACTATGAACATTCTATATGGATGGCTACTACTGTATCGAAGCGTCATCGCCTGCCGTCATATCACTGCCCGCATTGGGTCACCGCTCTCGGTCCTCACTCCGCTGGACCTTGTACAGAGGTTACAGAATCCAACCTCTTTTGCTCCATCAACATCAAGGGCGCAGAAGACTCTCAGGAGAGTTTCTCGGTCTGTATATCCATTAATTCTTGCCTTGAGACTGTCTTTTTCGCTCGAACTTTCTTCATCATACCGATCCTCTTTCCGTCCGTATTGTTACGCTACTATGTCTGCTCGCCAGTTCCTTGCGAATATATCTGGGTAACGAGACAGTCTTATCACTCGCCTGCCTAGAGAAAGCCACCTACAAATCCTAACTTACACTCATTTTGCACCTTTATCTTTCCTCTGGACACAATGGCCGTCGTAACACGCCGGCGTACGAATCCTATCACTCTAGTCCTAGCAGCTCTGCTAGCATTCGGATTCATCACTTTCCTACTTTCGCCCTCATCCTCTACACCATCAGCCTCTACTGCATCTGACGACACGTCTTCGCAGTCACGGAAAGAAGATGTTGCCGAGAACCCGCTTTCCCCGCCTACGAAGCCGTTTCTAAGATCACAACCCGCCCGCGATGATGGATACCGTGCTCCTCCGCCTGTTGTGCACTACAACCTCAATAGTCTGACAAGCACTAGCGCTTCCGCAAAAAGTGGTGAACGGATCCTTATCCTCACGCCACTGAGCAGGTTTTACCAGGAATACTGGGACAACGTGGTCCGGCTGAGCTACCCGCATGAGCTCATTTCTATCGGGTTCATTGCGCCATCGACGAAAGATGGAAATGCGGCTGTTGCGGCACTCGAAAAGGCTATTAGCAAGACACAATCCGGGCCGGTCGACTCTCGGTTCGCGAGTATCAGCATCCTTCGGCAGGATTTCGAGCCGCCGCTCACCTCGCAGAATGAGAAGGAGCGGCACAAAATGGAGAACCAAAAGGCACGCCGCGAGTCTATGAGTCGTGCCCGGAACAGTCTTGTCTTTACGACTATCGGACCCAGTACCTCCTGGGTTCTTTGGCTGGATGCTGATATCATCGAGACACCTTCCACCCTCATCCAAGATCTGACCAGCCACAACCAGCCTATAATCGTGCCGAATTGCTACCAGCGCTACTACAACAAGGATAAGAAGAAGATGGACGTCCGGCCCTACGATTACAATTCCTGGGTGGATAGCGGGACGGCCCAGGCCCTGGCGGCGGAGCTGGGTCCTGACGAGATCATCCTCGAGGGATATGGCGAGATGGCTACCTATCGGACCCTGATGGCTCATCTAGCGGATGTGGAGAATCCCGATCCTGAGCGAATTATGCCGTTGGATGGTGTTGGTGGGACGGCTTTGATGGTAAAGGCCGATGTGCACCGTGATGGTGCCATGTTTCCAGCTTTTCCGTTTTACCATTTGGTTGAGACGGAAGGGTTTGCTAAGATGGCTAAGAGACTGGGATATTCCATTTTTGGGTTGCCCGAATATTTTGTAAGTCCCAATCGTTCTGAATCTTGACTTTACTTAAATGCTGACTCTTTCTAGGTATATCACTACAACGAGTGATGGCCTGAGACAAACTAAATCCTTATAGATATTTTTCCTCTTATTAATAGACTCTCTAGCGCTGTGCGCATATCTTTCCAAGTGATTTTGTCTCGCACTACTTTGGTTCAACAGAATCTTGGGGTTTCGGCGCTGATTAACTTGGTATCATGTGTCATGTTTTATTATTAGACTGATTGATGAGGGAAATGCAAATGAGACTTGAGTATTTATCATTAAATCTAGACCTAGTATCAGCCTTCAGGTTGTCAATCGAGTCTATTCGGTTCGACGGTTTTTGCATTGTATGCATGGTAGCGATGCAATTAATCCCAAGAAATCCTGTTCAAGTTAGCAACGAAATTTCACAAGAACAGGAAGAAAGGCAACTCACGCAAGCATAATCCCAGCCCCAACAACAACAGCCAGAAACTGCACAATCGTCTTCCGAATCTCAACACCCTTGTTCTTACCCGTCTCCAACAATTCCGGAATAACAGACACAGTCCCAACATACAAGAACGTTCCTGCCGTAAACGGTAGTAGCATATCTCCCCATGTCAGACTGGTTCCAAACAGCCCAGCCGCAGCACCAGGAGTATCGGAACCAACAGAGGTAGCATCTGTACCATGTCCACTGAGTTCCTGCACTGCAATTCCGATAAGTGTACCCAGGAAAGCTCCGACAGCGGTAACAAATTGCGCGCCCATGGCCTTCCGCTTTGAGAAACCGGATTGCACAAGGAGCGCAAAGTCGCCAACTTCGTGCGGGATTTCGTGGAAGAAGACTGCGACGGTAGTTGTTGCACCGATGGTGGGAGAGGCGTAGAAAGAGGAGGACATGGCAAGGCCATCGGTGATGTTATGAGTAAAGTCTGCGATGAGGTTAAGGTAGCCGCCAAGCTTAACACTGGGGTTTATTTCCTTCTCGTCCTTGGTGGATGTTGAGGAGTCGTGTTGTTGGGTGGCAGCAGGTTTGCGTTGCTTGAGCTCGTTGTCGCTGGTTTGCTGGGCACCGGTTGTCACGGCTTGGGATTGACTATCATCCGCATGGCTATGGCCGTGTGAGTGGTCATGACCTTCCCCACCAGTTGCAATGCGCAGTGTCTTGTCCATAGCCACGAACGTAAAAAAACCAACCATAATACCCACACCCAGGAGGAGGTTCCGGTTCGGTTCGACCATGACGAATCGCACGTGCTCGGGAGAATCCTCGCCTAGGAAGATCTCGGGAAGGAGGTGAAAGAGTGTGTCACCAAGTAGGCCTCCTACGGCGAATGCGACCATGACCGAGAGGGAGGAGGGGTCGATGTTGGGCGGGCATAGGGCTAGGAGGAAGTCTGATTGTGGTGTCAATGATCTGGGATTCTCGGTAATAGAGACTTATCGTGCTACTCGAATAGACATACTTGGAGGCCCTGAGATATACAATGTCGCCAGGAGGGCATTGACGGCAGGACTACCGGGGAAGAGGACTGTAAAGATCTTGGAGGTTAAACTGGTGGTTTCGGGAATGGTTGCGCGTTTGTGCTCATTGAGGGTTTCCACCAGAGGGCATTTCTGTCATTTGCTTGGTTAGTTTTTCTCTTCATGCTAAAAAAAAAAAAAAAAAAGCTTGAAGACAGCTTGTTACCTGCAATTCCTCCTCAATCTCACCCACTGACAGCTCCCCGATAGGAATAGCATTGGCGGCCGCAAGGGCAGAGAAAACAATGACGGAGGCGACCACCACCAGTCCAGTTCTGCGCATTGCAGGCGTGAATCTGAATGCCATTGCGTATGAGAGGTTAGTTGAAATTCTGGTCAATGTTTTGACCAGACGAAGGTGAGGAGGTCGAAGATAAGACCCCCCTCGGCGATATCGGTTGTTAATCAAAAGTGCAAACACGCCAAGACCGAATATGCAAACATCAAAAGTTTCGGAATCAATCGATAAGAGATCTTTTTACAAGTCAAGAAAAAAGCATCTCATCCCATAACAAGCTTCTCTCAAGCAAGTTTAAAAAATGACGAACATTCGCCAAGCTAAGAAGAACCGGTCTTCGTTGCCCAAGGCCAAACCTAAGAGGAGTGGTGTCGTCAAGAGTGGGCGCAAGAAGATCAATGTGCTGGGCAATTCTATCATTGCTGAGAATTGGTATTTCTTTCCCTTTCTCCTTGACTTTCCTGAAATGAACGCTTACGATCAATCGCAGGGACCGCAAGCAGACTCTTACCCAAAATTACCGCCGTCTGGGTCTGGTGCACCGTCTGAACGCCCCGGCCGGTGGCAGCGAACGCCGCGGCACAACTGTGGAAGGCTACGAAGAACAACCTGACGACTCCCTTCACATTAAGAGCAGCGCAAAAGCCACGACAAAGCAATTGGGACTCGGTGAAATCAGGGTTGAGCGTGACCCCGAAACCGGCAATATCATCCGCGTGATTCGCCCGGACGACGAGATCGAAGTCGCCGGCCGCAAGCACAAGATTTCCAACCCGCTGAACGATCCACTGAACGATCTGTCCAATGATGAGTCTCGGATAACAGAGGCTGCAAAGCAGAATGATAGTTCTGTGATTGTGCAGATGCTTGAGCGCCAGGCAGTGCAGGAGGGTAAGGCGGTTGAGAGCAAGAAGCCAAGGCACCTGAGCAAGCGCGAAGAGGAGTGGGCGACACGGTTAATTGAGCGACATGGAGATGACTATAGCGCTATGGCGCGCGATATGAAACTGAACCCTATGCAGCAGACTGTGGGCGATTTGAAGCGGCGGATTCGCAAGTTCAAGGAGAGCCAGTCATAATGCGCTGGTTGGTGTCTTTGGCTATTTTGATGCATGGTTGATGGGCGAGTTTGGCGTTTTGTCGGTTTTTACTTTGTGTTTTCTGATATAAAAGTTCTATATCTGGGTCTGCTTTTCCATGCCATGTTGATATTCTCTCTGGCCTGGTCAAATGAACCAGCGTTATTAATGCACATATGTGATGCCCAAAACCTCACTTTTTCCATTTTGTCTCGTGTCTCATTACTGCAACTTATCATGACAATTGCATCTAACAACTAATTCCATCTAGTACATCATCCTCTGTCCAAGAATTGGTGTCAAATTATACGAACTTATCTGTTTTAATACTCGCGTCGCGTCTTGTCATTCACTGTCTTTCAGCTGTTTACTGTTTGTCCCCCTACGTCGTCTTCCTTCTCACCTTCATCCCCTTCCCAACTCCAAAACCTCGACCAAACCTTTAACACCATGACTCGGGCCTTTTCCTTCATCATATGCACCATTCTCACCATCGTCCATTTTGGACAGGCGCAGGTTAGCTAGTAAGTCACTCTATACCAACCCTAGAGGTCACCCAGCGCCATAACGCGCCGTTTAGCAGCCCAAAAACAAACACCCTTCTCTGCTCGAAACCGGGAGGACATTATTGTCTCGAAGGGTCTCTGAAGAGTCCCATCATGATGTCTTGCTTGTCTAACACGGATGCTGAGATACGTTCTTGCAATATCGAGTACGTTGAGATACTATCCCACGCGCGTGTTTACCAGGACACATGGCTAACCATGAATAAGACTCTCGAAAATTCTCCCTGGAGGTTATGAACAAACTGCTGTCTGTAAGCAGTCCACTTCCCGTACTGCTGGCTCAAACGTTTTGTCTAACATGTACATATCAGGTTACGAATCATCTCCCAGTGCCGGTGACGCCGTTTGCGCCTTCAACGGAACAGGATACACCCTAGACGGCTCTCGAGTCAAGGTTGGCGAAACCGCTCTGTGTGGTACACCTGCATCTATTCTATCAAAGAGAGACGGTTCAATCCAGAAGGTGAACCCAAAGCCAGTGACCACCATAACAGTTACTGTCTGGGACAGGACTCACACGCAGGTTGATACTCAATTCTCATCCGTTGATACTACTACGCCAGCCTATTCAAGCCCCTGGCCGGAATATGCGTTTACTACAACCGCTATTGCCACCAGCAGTTCCAGCTCTGACACTAGCTCTGCAGAGACCCAAGCATTGTCGGTTGACACTAACATCCCGGTTATCTCAGAACCCTGGACTGAAAATGTATATACCGCAGCCACCTCTATCTCGGCTATTACTAGTCATAATTCTAGCTTTGCAGAGTTTGAGATATCGTTGGTTAATTCTACCACGCCAATTTGCTCGAACCCCTGGCCTGAGAGTGGACATACAGCAACCACGGTCACAGTTATGCCCGCTAATTCCAGTCCTATCCTCAGCGCTAGTTCCACGGCACCGGAAAAGGGGGATATGGACAATGAAGAAACCATGCCAACATTCCAACCCCACATTTTTGTGGAAACCTCGATCAAGACTGAATCCCCAAACAACTCTCCATACCCTACAGCCAAAACGGCGATCGTAACCAAAGTACAAACCAAAATTGAGTCAAGAACCACGTCAACCGGCGAACCACCACGAGAGACCAAATTTGAGCCGGTGCCCTTCAACCACTTCGAATTTGAATCCACTCGCCCGTGGATGATTATCTCAGAAGAGCAAAACATCGTTACAGTGTCAGGAGAAAAACTCATGATGACCGCTCTTCTGCTTGTGAACGAATATACACCTGCCATTTTGGATACGAGAAGGCCTACCATAACATTAAAAACCCCGTTTACGGCACTGGGTACCTTCACACTCTCTGAAACCGAGACAGATATTCCATGGATGATTGCTGACCGAGAAGAAGATGTAATCACGGTGTCGGGACAAGAATTGACGGGGACGGCTTTGGTAGTTACAAATGAGCCCGTACCTGCAACTGTGTCTCATGAGGAGCATACGGGAGTAAGCACTCAAGCAGAAACGGGCACGCTTGTCTTGTCTTCGTCTTCGTCGTTTGAGACTTGGCTGGGGGTCGATCTTGATAGACCGAGTCAGACTACTAGTACTACTCATTCTTCTGGTGGTGCAAAGGTATGGAGCTTGGATGAAGCTTTGCTCACGCTTGGATTGATAATGATGGTTGGGTGTATGCTTGTTAGAGGTTGAAGTGGATTAAAATTGCTATTGTTCTTTCTATTTGGCCGGGGCTACCAGGCAGAGTTTTGTCTGTGTATCTTCATAATCTCATTTCTCTCGAAGTTTCTACAGTGTACAATCTACTTGAATAAAAGAAAAGCTCTACCCTTCTTCCCATCACGCCCTCTCCCCCACAAATCCCTGCTCAGCAACCCTCCCTCTATCCAACACAACATAATAATCTGCATCTTTAATCGCCTCCAACCGATGTGCAACCGTAATGACCGTCGAATCCCTCATCTCATCCCTAAGAATCGTCTGAATTTCCAACGATGTCTCATGATCAATCGACGCCGTTGCCTCATCCAAAATCACAACCGGACTCCGTCTAAGCACAGCCCTCGACAACCCAATCAACTGTCTCTGTCCTTGACTAAGATTCCGTCCGCCAGCTTCAATAGATGTGTTTAGTGTCCAGCCGTGTCTGGCGCAGATGCGGTGCAGAACATCTGCGCATTCGGTGTCCGGGTAGTCGTTTGTGGGATCAAGGTTTAGGCGGATGGATCCGGGGAAGAGGACGGGTTCTTGGGCGACAAAAGTGACGCGTGTGCGGAGGGTTTGACTGTTCACTTTTGCGATGTCGATGTCGTCAATTATGATGCGGCCTGATTCGGGCCGAATCACGCATAAAAGTGATACAGCGAGCGTGGATTTGCCGCTGCCTGTGCGGCCAATGACCGCTGTCGTTGAGCCTCCTGGGATACGGAGGGAAATGTTAGACAAGGAAGGATCGAGATGGGGTGCGTAGCGGATTGTTACGTCTTCGAAGGTGATGTCGTTGCTGTATTTGGGCCAGGATGCTGGGGGTGTGATGGTTCCTGGGGTTTCTTGTTCGACGTGCAGGAGTTCGTCTATGCGTTCTACGGAGACGAAATCCATTTGTAGTTGGCCATATTGTTTGCATAGGCCGTGAGTTGATGCGACGAAGTTGTTTGCTGCGATTAGTACGAATGCAGCTAGGCCAGGAGAGATGTTCGTGTATAGAGCCAGCACTGTCAGACAAAACGTGGACAGGCCTGACAGGTTTTCGAAACGGTACATCAACCAGCTTTGCAGGGACCAGTAGAAGTGGTCCATGCCTTGAAATCGATCAACGACGTCGATAACCCGGTCCTGGAAGCGCTCTTCCGCGTGAAAGGCGCGAACTGTGGTTAGGCCATGCAGGAGCTCGCCGAAATTTGAAATCAAAGGACTTAGTGATACCATTTCCAAGCGCCGCAGGCTCTGTGATGTCGGTAGGAAGTGCAAAAATATGACAATGAATGCACCAGTAAGAACAAGCGAGAAGACCAAGAACGTTGGCGTGACCGATGCTATGACAACAATGGACGAAATCCAGGTAATCGCTTGGAACGCAATGACTTGAAACTGCTCGCTGACATTCCCGTCTACGACCCCAATGTCCGACGTGAGACGATTCATCAAACGGCCAATGGGAGTGATATCGAAAAATCGGAACGTGGCATGGCTAACGCCCACCATGACCTCTTTGAAGAGCCTCTTGCCTGCGAAATAAACAATGGCCAGCATCAATATTTGTCCAACCAGCAGCATGAAAGCCTGGAAAGTTGTAATCAGGAAGAATGCTAGCAGCCAAGGTTTGACGTCGTCGAGGGGCGTGGGCAGCCGATCAATTAGGTTACTTGGCAGCAAATTCAGACCTCGCCATACTTGCACGAAGGAATGCTGGTCGTAAGCCTCTCCCCATTCTTTCAAGAACCAGGATTGCCCAACTGACACCAGACGGTAAATCGTCATGACAATGACAAGCGCGATCCACCATCTATATTTACCAGCTCTGATGTAATCCCAGTAGACCTTGGCTTTTACACCCCATTCTGCTCGATGCTCCTCTTCAATGAACTTGTCTGGAACTGCAGTTGCCGTATCTTCAAGTTCATCCTCATGTTGAGGCCTAGCTTCTTCATCGTCTAGGAGAGGCTGTTGAGCGACGTCATCCGCAGCGGCCGTAAAAATAGCATCTTTTCCGTACACAGTTGCATGCCCATCCTTGATGTCAATTATTTGAGTTGCAATATGACGAACGAGAGCGGTACGGTGCGTCACAAGCACGACCATCCGGTTCTGCATAAGCGGGCCTGAGAAGCACTTGCGAACAATCGTTTCCGCTGTATTGTGGTCCAGAGCGGAAATTGGATCATCAAGCAACAGTATCCTGGATGCACTATAAAGTGCTCGAGCAAGGGCTACACGAGCCTTCTGTCCACCTGACAAACCAATGCCGTTCTCGCCCACGAACGATAGATCGCCATGTTTGAAGTTTGAAAGATCAGGGAGCAACACGCAGGCATCTAGGACTCGCTTATATCGCTGTTCATCATAAGGAGACGAAAACAGGATGTTGTCGCGAATACTCATGCTTTGAAGCCATGGCATCTGGGCGCAATATCCTATCATCTCATTGGGAATATGCGAGTCACCACTAAGCCTGTCCAGTTCTCCAAGGAACGCTTGGAGTAGTGCTGATTTTCCGGCACCGACTTTGCCAGAGACCACAGTTAAGCCGTTGGGAATTGTCAATGAAATGTCAGAAAGCACAGACAGCCTTTTACCCGGCCAGGCGAAAGAGCAAGATTTCATTTGAATTGGAGTCGAGTCGGCATGAGTCTGCGTGGGTCTGACCTCTTTGTTTGGTTCTGACATGAAGCTCTCAATTCTTTCCACAGCAATGGAAGCGTTAATCAACATTGTAATAAGACCAGGAATATCTCTGAGCCGGGTCTCCAGCATGGTGAAGAGCTGCAATGCTGGAAAGATAATGTCAACCCGTAGCGGATTGCCAGCTAGTAGTGTATAGGCATATAACGCCAGCACAGGGAACACGCCGCTAGCGAACGCGTTGATGAAACGAATAAGGATATTCCACAAACTGGTCACAATGCGGAGGTTCAGCTCGGATTGCCTGGCATCCATGACTTGGTTAAGCCAGTGGTTTTGCCATCCATACCAGCGGAGATGTCGCAGGGCTTCCACGAATTGGGAAGAGATCTGTAGTCGCACATCTGTCGCTGCCCTTCTTACTCGCTCCCATCGAAAGAGGGCACGAGTAATGATCGCATTGATTACCTGCGCAACCAAGACTGCCAGAATACCCAAGAAGCAGGATGGTCCAAACAGCTTCCAGACGAGGACGACAGCAATCACAAGGCCCAGGGGCTTATCGACCAACGAGTCAATCTCCCAGAATCTCTGGGCCACTTCGTAAGCATCGCCACGTAGCAGGTTGAATATCTTTCCAATGGAGGCTGCCTCCTTATTGTTCTCCTTACGGGTTTCACGGCCCCAAGGAATGAGTCCGCATAGTTTGCTCTTCTTATGTGATTCAGTATCCTCGTCGTGATCCTCTCCTTGGGGCTTGTTATTTTCGGTGTCAATTTGGACACCAAATATGTTCTTCCTGGACAGAGCTTTCTCATAGATCATCATGACCATCTCACCTCTACTTCTTTCGTAGCATCTTCTGCCATACCAGAGAAGCAGGACTTGGGACTGCGCAGCAACAAAACGAACAACAAGTGACAGGAAGGCATATGTTAAAGCCACGCTTTTCGGTGCCGCGAAGTCATTCATTGCCTGTAATAGCTGCTGCAACAATACCGGAGTTGAGAAGTCTATAAGACTGTCAGCACTCATTCTACTAGGGTGTATAAAAGAGCATACCACAGAGTATCTGCACAATGGCAATAGTAGTAATGGTAAAAACATCAATGCCATTAGCATGCAGCAAACGACCAATAACGGAACCTTGAAGCCGACGGAACCTATCATGCAGTCTCCGATGCTGAAATTCAAATCCAAGGGTCCAAACATCATCTTCTTGAAGCTGTCGCTTCTTTCCTATTGATATCAATGGAGCCATCCATGAAACACTAAGGAACTGCCATAGCCGCAAATTGTCTTCTGGACTGCGGAACTTGCTAGATGGTTGCTGGCCTACTGTGGAAATATCGATGCATGGAAGGGTGGGTGCTCGTAACGGCATTAGGAGGATAACCATACAGCCCATCAAAGCAGCACTGGCTGCAATATAGTGGGAGATCAGTTTGAACTTTGGGCATTTCTCGAGACTGAGAATGATGGAGACTTCCACGGCAAAGGCTGCGATGAAAAATGCAAATACTGAAGTAGGGCTTGATTTTGGGTGCTTAGTTGCAATCAAAAGGGTAGCAGCTGTCTATTTTTTTTTTTTTTTTTCTTTGTTAATGGTTGCTCGTAGTACCATTGACGCTAGGCACACTTACCCATGAAACAGTCAGTATGATAGCCGCTAGACCCAGTCCAGGAGGAACCAATTGAGCTATCTCAGCTGCAAGCCCAATGAACGAGACAGCTAAAAGTGACAATGTCCAGCCCAGACGTCGTTTCGCTCCTTGTAGTGACGATGGGCTGTTTGGGGGATACTCCGCAACAAAGGATGTCGTCCATTTCGGTTTCCATCCGTGCAAGTAATAGTCCAACACATGGCTAATTCCAATAACAAATACTATAGCACCCGGAATGACAGAGATATAAGGCATCAAACATGGTGATAATCGAGCCTTGGATGAGTCCTTGAATGGTTGTTAGCACGGGCCATATAGTAGACCTGACCGACAATCGGGAGATATCTGCACATACCCATAATGGATAGCAAGACGATGAAAATTTATTGTTCTGATACGAGTGCATCGGGCCACTTTGACTGACCAAGTCCAATTGTAGCTCTTGATGGCTTGTCATGGTCGAGGTTGGGGATGGATGTTCCCAGCTGAGCTTTATTGGGAGGCGGAGATCGGGTTCGGGTTCCGCTGACCTGGGGGGCATCTCAGCAAGTTTGCAAGTACCACGTATTATATGGTATGCAATTTAATGGAGATGTTTCGTAGTAAATGCTTTGGAGGATTAACTCGCTTGATTCGTTCAAAGGAGAATGGTTCTGTCACATATCACGTGTTGTAGGAGAGGCGGTTGCATTAAATATGTTGTCCATGGTAGAGCTATATGTACATTCCATGGGAGAATACTGCTATTAATTACAATTTTTTGTTACTTCTTACCATCTTCCACGCTTACCCGGTGCACAACCCGAACCCATCGTCGCCTTCGCCATTCGCCGATTCCATAGGACCCTACACTCCCTTCTTCCCAATCTGGTCCCTTCTTCCCGTTTCGCTTGTGCGGTGGGTTCTTTCTCTTCTCCCCGTTCGATATTGGCGTTGGGTCGTGATCATAAGTAGATGATCCATCGCGATTGGTTTTCATAGGCAGATCCCACACCCAGCCCCCGACTTCGCTGGATCCGATACCGTCTGCTTCACTTCCGGGGATCTCAAATCCGACACCAGTGATCATACGTTCGACAACCCACTCGCGACAGTCCAGATCCAATTCCCATTTCTTGTTTTTCCATGCCCAACCGGAAGGTGGTTGTACATCTTCAAAGAATCGACATCCCCGAGGACGGTCCCCTGCGATGCGGGCTGGCGAGAGTGGATCATGGGGAACGGAACTGAAGAGGAAATGCTCCCATCGTGATTCAGCATACGGCTCGGGGGACCAATACTGAAGTTCGAAAATTTCTACCTCGCGCTCCTCCGTATATGAATCCAAGGAGATCTCAGCCAACGGTCCCAGAGCAGACATGGTTGCGTATGGACTCGATGGCAAGGAAATTCCAAGTAGGTCCTGCGCCTCTTTCTCTAACATCGTTGGTTCGCCCGTTGTCTCATTCAGGAAGTCATTGGCGAGGTTTCGGAAAAATTCCTGGATGCCTGGATGGTTGGATAGAACGATCGCATTGCCGCCCACGAGGATAATGTACCTCCAGGGGAGGAGATGCGCTGCTGGGAATAAAAGCACTGCGGTAACAGATAATAAGAGGAACATCACTGAAGCCAGCTTCTCGTTGGAGAAGTCTGTGACCGGGGCGAACATGGAGATGATACCATCGTGCAGATCAGAGAAATCGGCCATGCAATTCTGAAGATCACGCAGGTTGCGAAAAAAATCTTTGGATGTCTCGGATGCCGGCTCAATCGTCTTTGGAGGAGCTAGCGCAGGGCCTTCGTAGGAGTAGTACGGAGTAGTGCTGGACGTGGATGAAGAGGGAGGCGGAGGATGGCGGGCGAGGAAGGCAGGCACCATGACATAGACAAGAATCGCAGCAATGGGAAGAATCGCGAGGATATGAGGATCGAGACAGACGAAAGAGTAGACGACGAGGAAGGAAATGGTATGGGACGCTTTGCGCCAGTTGAATAGACGCTCGATTTGGTTCTGAAGGGAGAATACTATGCCGATTCTGGGCAATGTCAGTGTGCATTCTCTCCCTCATCATCTTCTTGATAGTATTAGGAGAATACCTTGCGTTAAATCGACGGAAGTTTTGTGTCATCAAAGGTAAGCTAAACGCAGGTCGCTTGGGGTCGACAGCTGCTGCGGGCTTGTCGCCTGATAGTACGGGCTCATTGTCGTTGGTTTCCTCTACCGGGAACATCTGCTGGAGAAATCTTGACTGGTAAGCTTAGGGACCGAGTGATGTCGCAAATGAGAGCTGGTGGCATACTTGGTGAATAGTCGATCTTGTATCGAACGTCCAGAGGTGGACCCGGATCTCTTATGTTTGTGCTGCGCATTATTCGTAGTAGAGGTGGTACTGCTCACGCTCTCTGCTCGACTCCGGGGAGATATAACAGGAATTGGTTCATTGCGATTGACGACAGCATCCGCAGAGTGATCCTCCATGATGGCTCATAATAATGATGATGAATCGAAGAACGAAGGAGACGACATTCTCGGAGAAGAGAAGGGAGTGAGCGAGTCACATGCTGGAGCGGGGACCGAGCGATGAATGTTGGAAAACGTAGTTTGTATAGTTTGCGTTAGATGTCTTGTTTGCATCAAGATCGCCGACTAATCCGGAAATGGCTAGAACCTTACACTCGGTACAATACAGTATCACGCCGATTGCAGCACATATCAATCCTAAAGGGGCACGCAGATGAACTGGTATCATCTGGTATCATAATACTCTACAGAAAGAAAATGAGGCATCATATATACAGCAATTATAAAATTGTAGCAAATGAAATGATACACATATAAAGTCTCACATACAAGTATACATGGGATATCTCAGGAGACTCCTGTTTGTGGCGCCAAGCCAGTAATACTAAGAGAGATCTTGCCTTGCTCCGAAGCAGAGTTTCTTCCTCAACTCTCTTTCTCTGGCCGACTTGGAAAAATAAAAAAAGTCCCCTATAGGGGGTTACTGCATCAACCACTCGACAGTGTCTCTTCTGTATTGCTTGAAGGGGTTGTTTTCTCGTTTTTTCATTCCTTAAACATCGACCATCTCAACAAAAAGCTTCAAATCCCTCTCTCCTCCTGTCGCCTATAATCCCCGCAATGGACCGTTAACGACGGTGTGGTCGGGTCGCGCGACGGTGTCATGGTCAAGACGTTTTGTTATCTGTTTGGACACAATCCTTTCATACGGCATCTTCTCCTATACGACTGGTCCTTCTCCTGAATGGACTGCCAGCGCAATTGGTCTGCGGTGTTTATCGAGTTTTCGACTGTTGTCTCCTTTGTCCTTTCGCCCAGTTCCACCTCATCTCGCCTCCCTCCCTCCTGACCGCGTCGGTACCAGACCTCCTATAAAAGATTCATAAAAAAAGTAACCGAAACGAAAGGGATTCAACGATGCCGGCATCAATCCCATCCCAGCAAACGCCTGGGAAAGATTCATCGGGTTGGGTTCAGTCCCGGAGCTCCAATCCGCCTCGAGACGATGACTCGGGCTCTGGAGGTATGGTGATACAACGCTGTGACCAGTAATGCCATAGGGCAGGAAAAAAAAAATACAATAGATATGCTGATGGTTTTGTTTTCAATCTTGACAGTTGAAGCTCCATCCTCCCGCAGACGATTACACAAGCCCGTTTCGGAAGCTAATCTACAAACCGAAGCTTCCCATCAGCCCTCGAAGAGCATCACCGGGTCGCGTTTTGGTGCCATGGCCAAGAGGAGGTTGTCCATTCGCGATCAGAAGGCGCCTCAAGGTCCGCGACCGCAGGAATCCTCGCAAAGAAGGTAGGATATTGGCCTTGTCGAGTGTCGAGTTTTGCTGGCTTAATAGTGCCTGATTCGAACGTCGCCTCGTCTATTCGAATGCAAAAATCCACCAATGGAGTTTTGAGATTTTTCAACTAACCTCTACTTTCTCTTCTAGTAACATATCCGGCTCATTCTATCACTCCGGAGATTCCTCAATCGACTCAACAGGCGATCGCCATCACCATAACAACAATTCGCGCGTCAACCTCCGATCGGCCAGCATGGTGAACCTTTCGAATATTGATTACAATCCAACCCTTCCCGAAAATGCGGACTTCCTAGCACCGGCCAATTTCGACGATTTACACAATAGTATCGTGGCGGGGCCAAGCTTGAACCACTTTCCCATGCCCGGACACGGAGGCGCTGAAAATCAGCCCCCGGAATTCCCGTCGACCAATCCCTGGGCAGCGGCCACCAACGACGAGAATGATGCATCTGGGCGGACACGGAGCGATTCTATTCGGCGGAAAAGTGAGGTACCTCGTTTGGTGGGATCAAACTTACCGGCTGATTCTTCGCGCCCGTCGACTTCTGGAAATCCTCGAACTCGTCGTTCGAGTCTTGTTCAAGGCACGAATGCCAGCAGTGCTACGTCACGGGCACCGCGTAAAACGGTTGGGACAGGTTCTTATCCTTCAGGGGTTGCTACCAGGCGGCAGAGTTTGTCAGCTCGCAAAGCCAGTGCTGCCGACCAGTCAAACGGCCACCTTCAGCCTCGAGGACAGAATCTAGACGCGAACCGTACCGACGAATCAAAGCTTCCGACAAATTCGCGGACGATCAAAGCGAAGTCACTTCAACCCCCGACGAGAGAACCTCGCGAAAACCATTTGTCGACCTCCGGGGTGGTTGACCATTCCCGGTCCTCTTCCACCAATGCTGTTCGGACGCCAATAAAAAACCAAGCTACAGGGCCGCCGCCGGCGACCCCTTCTTCGTCCACCAAAAGGGTATCCGTTATGCCACACCATGCCACTGGTCTTGGGGCTCGCACGATAAGCCCTACCGATGCACGACGGTTACAACGGATGTCAGCAGCGCCTCAAGTACCCCCGGTACCCTACACCCCTCCAACTCAAACTGATCCCGGTCCGGTTCGGCCACGATCGTGCGTCCAGTCCCCATCTTACATCCCTCGAAAGAGTGTCACCCCTTCATCGACCAGAACCACACCCGATCCGAACCGGAAGTCCTACACATCTGGACTATCATTGACGCCCAACGCTGCCAACTCAGTTAGAAACTCGGAAAGTTCTGTACAAACAAGGCAGTCGCAAACTCCGTCTTCGTCCTCTCGGCTCCCAACACCCAAACCCCGAGTGGAACATGTGGTGGCTACCGATGAGGAAGAGGTGCCGCCGGTACCCGCGATTCCAAAAGCATTCGAGTCTCCTAAGGAGGAGGAGGTCGAACAACCACTCTTCCCTACGTCACGCAAACCGAGCTTGGCAGTGGACCCCGCCCGTCCCAATTCCAAGCGTGATTCTGATTTGGACAATAACCACAATACAAGTGACGATTTGTCCGAACGTTCTGCCGGAAATGCCATGAAGACTCCTGATTCTAAGCCGAGGGCTCCAGTAGGTGTTTCGAAGAAGAATCTGCAACCTTTAAAGCTACCGCCCCTTACCCTACTCCCTCTTGGCACTCCAATGGCGACTAAGATCGAAGCACTGAAGGATCGAGAGGAGGAAGGGGCTCGCAAAGCCCACACCCCTTCCGCACAGATTATGCCAAAGACACCAAGCACACCAATGACCGCTTCGAAAGCGAGCTTCTTCCATGCCCGCGATGAAGATGATGTTGGTATGCCTTTGACACAAGCTAGGAGCAGCACGTCGCATTTTGTGGTGAGCTCTGGCACATCTGGTCTCAGAACAGCCAGCAGCTCCAGTGCACTTCCATCGTTCGATAGTACACCCAGCGCCAACAGGACCACTTCGCCTTACGTTTCCTATGCTCTTCCCAAGAGCAACAGTGATCATAACTACCTCCGGAGCAATGCCAGCGGGGACTATTCTCGGAAGGTGCCCCAACCTCAGAAATCGACCGATTCTCGTCCTCAAACGCAAACACCCGTTATTTCTTCAAACGGAGAGCGCATTAGCCAAATTTCGACTCCGTCCGAACCTGAAAATGTCGGCCAGCCGACCCCGTCTTTCCGGAGCAAGCTGAACTTGACACGGATGCGTAGCAACTCCAAGTCGCAGCAGCCTGATGCGAAAACGGACCCCGTCAAGCACGACAAGATGCCACCACCCAAGATCCCAAGCTCTTCGACTTGGAACAACTTGTCGGTCCGGTCCAGGAGCCCGACTCTCAAACCTGGTTACCTCCAGTCTCGACGGCAAGCATCTATATCCAGCGGGAATCTGGCTACGGCGAGAAAGCCTAGTTATAGTAGTGAGCAGAGTCTTGCACTGGAGCCAAGTCCTTCGAATGATTCTGACAAGAGTGATGCGACGTCGATTCGTTCTGGTACCTCGATTTTGTCACCCGTTCACAAGATCATCAACTCCGCAAGGTCGAGCGCAGCAAGTAATCAGCGGACCGTGGATCCCAACGTTGACCCCGATGCTATTGCGGGTGATGAAGAAATGAGACGACTCGGTAGCAAGCGTAAGGACTTCGAGTCTGCTGCACGGGAACTGGATGATTTGCGTCGCAAGGCAGGACCAAAGGAGCGCGTCAGCCCAGCACAAGCCCTGCGGATGGCAAATTTGAACATTTTCGAACGAGGCGAGATTATCGACTTCAAGGACATCTTTTTCTGCGGGACTCAGAATGCGAAGAAACATGTTGGTGATCTTCACGCCCAGGCGGCCAATTTCGGTTATGATGACGACCGTGGTGATTACAACATTGTCGTTGGGGATCATCTAGCGTACCGGTACGAAGTCATCGATGTGCTTGGCAAGGGAAGTTTTGGTCAGGTAGTGAGGTGTGTTGATCACAAAACCGGTGGTTTGGTTGCTATAAAGATCATCCGCAATAAGAAGAGGTTCCATCAGCAGGCATTGATCGAGGTCAACCTTCTCCAGAAATTGAAGGAATGGGATCCGCAACGTCGTCACAGTGTGGTCAACTTCACCCAGAGTTTCTACTTCAGAGGCCATCTCTGCATCTCGACAGAGCTTCTGGGCATGAATCTCTACGAGTTCATCAAGGCCCACGACTTCAAGGGATTCTCGATAAAGCTTATCCGTCGTTTCACCAAACAGATGCTCAGCACGCTTGTCCTGCTACATGCGAAGAAGGTTATTCATTGCGATTTGAAACCGGAAAACATCCTCCTAGTCCACCCGTTGAGCTCCGAGATTCGGTCAATCGATTTCGGTTCAAGTTGTTTTGAGAACGAAAAGGTGTACACCTATATCCAAAGTCGTTTTTACCGTTCGCCTGAAGTTATCTTGGGCATGTCCTATGGTATGCCTATCGATATGTGGAGTATTGGCTGTATATTGGCTGAGTTATACACCGGATACCCGCTATTCCCCGGAGAGAACGAACAGGAGCAGCTCGCGTGCATTATGGAGATCTTTGGACCTCCAGAAAAGCATCTTATCGAGAAGAGCACACGGAAGAAGCTGTTTTTCGACTCCATGGGCAAGCCAAGGTTGACTGTTTCTTCCAAAGGCCGGCGCCGCCGGCCAAGCTCCAAGGACCTCCGACAGGTCCTGAGGTGTGATGACGAAGCCTTCCTCGATTTCCTTTGTCGGTGTCTGCGTTGGGATCCCGCTCGTCGTATTACCCCCCATGATGCCCTTCGGCACGAGTTCATCACGGGTGTCAAATTGCCCGCGCGTTCTAGAACGTACACGGCTACAAGCTCGCCAGGAAAACGGGTCGCTACCGGCCCCCTCCCATCAACCGGACGGCCCCTTCCGGAGCCACCTGGGACCAGCATGAAGAATGGCAGCTTTATTCGCAACCGGGACGTTTCTGGTAACTCCCCTGTGAAGCCGCACTTGGCGAAACGGCATCCTACTGTAAGTGGAGCACAACCATCGACTCCTGGCAAGCGGACAATTAGTACCAATGTGGCATCTACGCCTTCGTCAGCGCTGCCACGCGTTGCGGCACGAAGTATCAGTGGGAAACCGGACCTCGCTACAGCAGCGGCAGCGACTAGCTTGGTAAGTACACGAATATCAAGGTACCGTGATAATAAGTTGCTAACTGATGCTTTAGAGGACTAAGTGATGTGCCGATGCATGGCTTCGCCCTTATTTATGTTTACCTTCTCGTCCATTTACTTGTTGTTATAGTACATTTTGTCTGTGAAGGTTTCATCATCATTATTGGAGTTGCGTTATGACTGACTTTGAATTTGATTCAAACTAAGTGGTCGATGAGGCGGAAGCTTTCATTCTTTCCAATCTTATACCCGTGTCTGAACATCTGCATGTTTTGCTTTTGCTTTTGCTTTTGCTTTTGCCTAGATGATTTGCGTTTTGCTTTGCAACCCATGTGTTTTCTGTGATATCTTTATTATGAAAGCCCCATATGCCATATTTGCATGTCTGTTTACCCATCATTTGTCTTTCATTTCATCTCATCTGTGTCATCAGACTGGGGCATGTGCGGGCCTCGATGTTCCCTGCCCTGATAAAAACCTGTACATTTATATTCTTTCCTTTCTCATTATTTACATGATTTGGCTGCGGCTGGTACATGCATTTTTGTGACTGAGGTGGTGTTTTTCCGGATTGAGGTTCTATGTTCATGAAATCAGGTTTTCCCATCATTCTGCTGTACAGTTATCTTGCAGAACAGTAGTAGATTATATACGCATTGATGTACTTTACTTGTCAAGGACAAGGACCCAATATCACCAACGAGCCCTAAGCCAAAACAGTCTAATTCTTCCCCCCCCCGAATGAACCTCCCAAACACTCCCATTAACAACCACATTCGCAACCTCTGTTCTCCCCAACTGCCCCAACGCAATCCGCTTTACATCCCCCTTCCTCTCATCCCCTTTCACATTCCGCGCAAACGTGGGCGTATCCGTCGGCCCCGGCGCAACAGCATTTACCCAAATCCCCATCGGTCCTAACTCCGCCGTTAAAGACTTCGTAGGCTCTATAATCCCGAACTCTGTCATGTAGTAAACAGAATACCTCGCGAAACCTTGGAGGCCGTAGATACTCAAGTCATAAAATTGCGGAGCCAGAGAGCATGTATGGGATGCAGGCGCGGGTTGTGTTGAATGTACCCCGAAGATTAACATCGATGAGTTTCGTGAAATAATCGCCTGTTGTGTCTGTGATAGGTATTGTAGTGGAGTTTATACCAGCACAGTTGAAGATATAGTCGAGGGAATTGATCTGCTTGGAGATGAGATTAGTACAGTCTGTGGAAGATGAGACATTGACTTTTCCATAGGCGTGTTTTATTATTTTTATTCTTGTTGGTTCGAGCTCGTCCATGAGTTGTATTAGGAAGTGTCAGTTTGTGCCGTAAAGGAAGAGGGTTGCGCCCAAGCTGGGGAGCTTGTAGACTGTTGCTTTTCTGTGGATTATAGGTTAAATTGGGGGGTTTGGATGTGGCTAGCTATATTGAACCGATCCCGCTGCCGGCTCCAGTAATCAGGGCCGTTTCGATACCATTTATCTCTGTCGTTCGTCTGGTGAATGGACGTGTAGCTCAACGGAGAGCGCTTGCGTTTAGTGGCCCACGAGGGTCGAGTTCGATTCCCGGCGCGTCAGTTTTTGCTATTTTTTCTTTTTTATCTGTTCGTAAGTTGTAGTGACCTTGCTTGCTCTACTGAGCTATTGCCTATTTGGGTGGCTGGTGCGGGTTACGATGATACCTCAGGCAGTAACACCCAGCCCTTACGGAGTCTAGAATTGACGTAGGTACCCATATGTATGTACATAACTTTCTTGAGTGAGTATTCTATAACAATTCCACGAGAGTCTGTCCACTATATGCATACGCTCCACCATTACCGGATAGTTGCCTTCGAATCATCAACTTCCAAGCTCCTCAAAATCACCTCAACCTCTTCATCTGCCGCTTCAAGTATATGCTCCGGAGGATACTGTGGCTTCCATCCGATTTGATGACCATGGACCGCCGTAAACGTGCACCTGGTTTAAATTAGCATTCGCTCGAGGAAAGTGGAAAGAAAGGCAGTTACATACTTCCCACCCAGCTGCACAGGAACAGCAGACGGCGTTACTTTAAGCGCATCAGCCATTTTTGCCAGGGCAGGCCCATCCGCCTGTTCGACTTTCTCGTCATCCACGATACCGCGCTTTGCGAGGGATTTGGCGATGGCATTGTAGATGTCGTTCCAAGGTACACTACCAGAAGCGGCAAGGAAGAAGCCATTCCTGTTATGCCCGATGTCATTACCTAGTAAAATCTGGCGTAAAATCTGCAGGTAAAGAGTGGTGGTATCGACTATATGGCAGACAGGCCAGGTCTAGTTGTGTATTAGCATGCATGGCATATAAGGGATTTGGTAGGCATGCTGACAGGATTATCAATATCGACTTTATACACTTGTCTGGCCTTCTTTGCAGCCTTGACGATTGCAACGTCCTGGATCGAAGTGCGATTACCAAACCCTTCTCCTTCACCATAGACAATGCACGGAGCGAATATATAACTTCGTACTCCACATTGTTCAGCAGTGTCAATCACAGTGACATTTGTTCTGGCAGCCTAATTCCACGAATTATCAGCATATTTCATATTCTATCCAGAGCTAGAAACATTCTATACCTGAGAAAAGAAGCCATGCGGTGAAACAGCAGTCTTCTGAATATCATACAGCTTTGGGTCAGTATCAAGCAATGGCTCATCGAAATAAATCCCCGCATGCTGGCTAAAGTGCTTTGCTCCTGCGGTATGCAGAAAGTGCACCTTCTCCCCTGTCTGCTTCTTCACCTCCCCCAGAGCCTTGATCAAAACCTTCTGATGCGTGTCCCAATACGCATCAATCAGGAAATAGATCACAGTGATCTTCCTATCAATAACCGCTCGAGTCACCTGTTCATGATCGCTGATGTTGCAAATCAGCGGCTGCGCGCCGTACTGTTTTATTTTCTGCGCTTGGTCTTCCGTCCGGACGAGAGCGTAGAGGGTATTGTATGGAGGTAGATTGGCACTTTTCCAACGCGCGAGAAGAGTGCCGCCTAGGTAGCCGGAGCTGCCGGTGATTAGGATGTTGTGAGACATGTTTGTGTGGATGTTGGTTTCGGTGGTTGAATTCAGGGTATATATACTTCAAGTCTGCTATGATCTCATGTATTATGCATTTGTAATCATGCCATTTCTGATATGATGGCGGCCAGAAAAGTGTCCGGTTCGGGCACATTTATGGTCCGATTAGGATTTTTCACTCTGATGTTCTAGATTGATCTTTTTGCGACTCCCGGCGCCTTGTCATTTCTTAATTCGAAAGGACGGAGGAAGTGGAAGGTATGTATGGTTACCTTATTTGCATCAAGGGACTGCATCTAGTTTGAAACCTGAATAACAACCTTCCCAAAATGCGATCCACTCTCCAGATACTTTAGAGCATCCTTCGTCTCCTCAAACGAAAAGATCTTACAGATAACAGGATGAACCTGATGCTTTTCAACAAACCTCACCAGCTCCTCAAACCGATCCGTAGGCCCAACAATGATACCCTTTAAAGTAAGTACCTTGCTTATGGCAAGTATATTCACATTCGGCTGGTCACCACCAGCTTGCGTCTTTCCCGAAGTGTACCCGATGCAGTTAATCAGACCGTTGTATGCAGCACAGTTAAAGCTCTTGCTGAGGGTTTCGGAACCGCCGACTTCGAGGATGATGTCTGCACCATGGCCGTTTGTGACTTTCATGACTTCTTTTTCCCAGTCGGGGGTTTTGCGGTAGTTAATGGTAAAATCTGCATCGAGATCTTTGGCTTTAGCCAGTTTGTCGTCAGAGGAGGAGGTAATGATCACTTTTCGATTAGTATAGAATGGAAATCGGAGAGGGAGGCATTATATGCCCACCTTTTGCGCCAGATGCCTTGGCAAGCTGCAACGCAGCAATACTAACTCCTCCCGTGCCCTGAAGCAGGATGTATTCATCCTTCCCACCGTTCTGGCCGAGTGGACGCATCCCATTTATACCCATCCATGCGGTCACACTAGCGATGGTGAGAGTACTAGCTTCTTGGTCCGACATGTACTCAGGTGCCTTGATTAATGCATGCTCAGGAAAGACCCGATGCGTCACCAGAACACCCGGCTGTGGGAGTCCAAGGCCACTGGCAAGCGCTTGCTCAGTGAGCAATCCCGCCTGGTGATTTGGAATGAATGTTGAAAGCACACGGTCCCCGACTTTCCACTTTGTGGAACCGTTGCCAACACTTTGGATCACGCCGCACATGTCTGAGCAGGGGACAATGGTAGAGCCCTGGTTGATGGATTGGTGATGAGTGTACTCGCCGCGGATGACTAGTCAATGTCAGTATATGTTTCTTTCAAGGTGGGGCTGAATGAATTACCTTCCATGTCTCGGTAATTCAAAGATACGGCCTTGATCTGCACCAACACCTCTCCCTGCGCCGGGGAGGGCAATGGTGCGTCGACTTTCTTTAGGCCATCGAGGCCATCGAAATGGGAGATATACTGCTGAATTGAAGGTGCCATGGTAAGTCTTTTAGTGGTATTGTTTAGCAGCAGCTAGCTGGAATCTTTATACTGGGAAAGGGATTCTATAAGGTCAAAATTCGCATCATGACATATTGTTGGAGGTGTTGGAGGTGGTTGTCGATTCCGGTTTTGATTTGTCATGTATCTACAAACACCTCCAACTCTAGGTCTTGCACTCTCCTGGAGACATTTTATTGCATTATTAAGGCAGCAATGAACCTCAAAAAAGAGACCTAAAACTTCAAAGTGATTGCTGAATGTGAGTATAATAGAATCATGGAGTTGGAGATGCTACAGTGCCATTGCCGTTGCTGACAATATCATGAAGTAACTACATAACTATATCTTTCCGAATCATCCAGACTACTGGAGTTAGAACCTCCAACAATGGGCCACATATGAGGTATATAAGTACAATGGTTCCCATCTCGAGGGTTTGAATAAAGCAATTTCTTATTCTTCATTTATTCTGGACCACCTTACCATTTTCACCATGACAAAGGTCTTCACGCCTCTCCGAATCGGGAATGTAACGCTCGCACACCGCGTTATTATGGCCCCATTGACCCGTTTTCGTGCCGATGGCAAACACGTCCAACTGCCAATGGCAACAGAGTACTACTGCCAACGCGCCTCCACATTCGGAACCCTAATTATCGCGGAATCATCGTTGATTTCTCCGAGCCACGACGGTTTTCCCAACGCCCCCAGAATGTAGAACGATGAACAGGTTGAGGGATGGAAGAAGGTCGTCGACGCGGTACACGCTCGAGGATGTTATATATTCTGTTAACTACTCGCCCCCGGCCGTGCTGCCGACGTCACTACATTGCAGAAAGAGGCGGGCCACGGACTGTTATCCTCCAGCCATGTTCCACTGAGCGATGCTGCAGCAATCCCGGAGGCCATGACGGCGAGCTAAATCCAGTCTGCTATTGCGGATTACACCAAGACTGTTCAGAACGCTATCCGTGCAGGTTTTGATGATGCCGAAATCCATGGCGGTAATGGGTACCTCTTGGACCAGTTCCTCCAAGACACCTGCAACTGCAGAGACGACGAATACGGTGGAAGCGTTGAGAATCGCGCACGATTTGCTATCGAGGTCGCCACTTCAATAGCCAATGCTATTGGACCAGAGAAACTTGGCTACCGCATCAGCCCCTGGAGCAGCTTCCAAGGTATGCGCATGTCCCACCCAGAGCCACAACTCTCGTACCTTGTTGAAAAGCTCCGGGATCTGAAGCTGGGATATCTCCATGTAATTGAGTCGCGGGTTACGAATAACGTGGATATAGAGAAGACAGAGAGTATCGAGTTTGTCTTGGATATATGGGGCAAGTGTTCTCCGGTGCTGGTTGCTGGTGGATATACTCCAGAGAACGCCAAGAATGCCGTTGATAAAGACTACGTCAAGAATGAAGTCGCGGTTGTGTTTGGGAGACATTTATTGGCTAATCCTGACCTGCCATTCCGTATCCAACACGGAATTCCACTGACAAAGTATGACAGGACCAGCTTCTATACCCCGAAGGTGACCACTGGGTACACGGACTATCCGCTCAGTTCTGAGTTCTTGGCAAAGCACAAGGATTAGAGTTTGTTTGTTTTCATGATATTTTGTCAATAGATAGGGCTTGGGGTCGGTGTGGCCCCGTGAATGAGACATTTCCTTAGATCAATGTAATCAAACTTGCATAATAAATAGTAAAGAGCCATACTGCTTTTCAGCACCCACAAGGACGACTTTTAGGAGAAACCTAAAGCTACCAAGGCGCTGCTACAACCCCTAGCCAGTATCAGCGTAGCTCTACCTCGAGCACACCTACAGCAAATGCGGAAAGGGCCCAAAGAGATGACGAACGGGGATTTGAAGAATTGAAGGAGGCAGTTAGAACAGGAGAAGGATAACAGGGAGGGTAACCTAAGCTGAGAGTCAGCCTAGGTCACACTCATCTTGCTCCGAGGCACAAGGAGAGCAATGCGCTCAAAAGCCCTGCGCGTACAGGCGGTTTGGGGCAAGGAAAAGGGCTAGAAAAATTATAGAAGGGGGACTACCTCGGGAACTCATTGAGACAAGAGGCCAAAAAGCAGCTACGAGCCTCGAGTTCATTGAATATGGTCTGTCATAGATATAGGGCTCGATATGGACAATAAACTTGAATAAATAAATAATAATAATATACTGCTTTTCAACATAGCTTACAAAATTTACTTATGTCATGATAATGAATGTTGTAGTTTCTCAAGTGGGTCATTGTTTCGTTCAAAGCTCCGTCCCGGAGCTTCAATTCTTCAATATACAAGCAAAAATGGTAGGAAACCGGCCAATTAAGACATGGAAAATAATAATCTCAGAAGGTTTCTCCAACGGGTACCATTAGTGTTGCAAGTAATTAGGGCAATCTAATCTAATCTAATCAAAGGCGGAAACGACTACTTGGCCTCAACTCCGCCTCGTTTGTTTCGCTGACACTCCTCCCTTAGAGCCCTGGCTCCATTGTTCCTTCTGTGTAAATCTTATTTACGCTCTTTTTATTGTGCAATCTGATTCATGTCTTGATTGCGATCCGACATTCGCTTACCTGCGGTACTGATTCGGGATGAATGGGTTCTCGGCGCACGGTCTGGACGACGATGCGTTCGGGGAGAAGTCGGACGTGAAGGGGAGCCTGAGGACATTTGATGCATTTCGTATGCCTTTCTATGATCATAAACCGCGCTATGTTATTCAGTTGACCCAGGCTAACGGTACCAGCCAAAACAAAATCCTCTTATACAGCCCCTTCCCGCCGCGGCGGCCAATGGACCGTCCTAATCCTCGCCATCTGCACTGTCCTCTCCTTCTCCGAACTGCGCGCCTGGCTCAAAGGCACTGAAAACCACCACTTTAGCGTCGAAAAGGGCGTCTCGCACGAACTCCAGCTCAACCTCGACATGGTCGTCAAAATGCCCTGCGACACGCTGCGCGTGAACATCCAGGACGCGGCGGGCGACCGTATTCTCGCTGGCGAGTTGCTTAAGAGGGAAGACACGAGCTGGAAGCTGTGGATGGATAAGCGGAATGGTGGAACGGGCATCTATCAGACGTTAAGTCAGGAGGATAATGACCGATTGGAGGCGCAGGAGGAGGATGCGCATGTGCACCATGTGCTGGGGGAAGTGAGAAGGAATCCGCGGAAGAAGTTCGCGAAGGGCCCGCGGATGCGGTGGGGTGAGAAGCCTGATTCATGTCGGATTTATGGTAGTCTCGAGGGGAACAAGGTGCAGGGGGATTTCCATATCACGGCCCGGGGGCATGGGTATCAGGAGTTTGCGCCACATTTGGATCACAGCAGTACATCTACCCCATCACTTGTTCTTGTTTTTACATCTGAACATTCGATTGACTGACTGGCGCAGCCTTCAACTTCACGCACATGATCACCGAACTCTCCTTCGGCCCTCACTATCCAAGCATTCTCAACCCCCTCGACAAAACCATCGCCTCCACCGAATCCCACTACTACAAATACCAATACTTCCTCTCCGTCGTCCCAACCATCTACTCCAAGGGCGCCCGCGCCGTCGACAGCATTCTCAGAAGCAACCCCTCCTCCCACAGCAACAAGAACATCATCTTCACGAACCAATACGGAGCAACCAGCCAGTCCGACGCTATTCCGGAGAACCCATTCTACGTGCCTGGGATCTACTTCAAATATAACATCGAGCCGATTCTATTGATGATCAGTGAGGAGAGGAGTAGCTTTTTGTCATTGCTGATCAGGTTGGTCAATACGGTTTCGGGAGTTATGGTTACTGGAGGGTGGGTGTATCAGCTTTCGGGGTGGGCTATTCAATTGGTTAGGAAAAGGCGGGGTGGTGTATCGGAGGGTGTGTTGACGGGGAAGCATGGGGAGGAGTAGTTTATTTTCCTGGTTTCGGGCATTTCGGGCATTGCTTCCATTGAAGATAGAGTTTCACACAATCGCATTTTAAGGAGATATCTGTACGCCGTTCGTATCCCACTGATCAATCCGTACCAGCATATGATGCGTAATCGAAGAAACACTAGACTACCAAAACAAGACAAATGAAGGCTAAATGACAAAAATCTCACCCATACCAACACCCGCACCCTCAGCCCCAGCCCTACTATCCACCAAATCCAACCGCCACCCTTTCCATTCATTAAGCTTAGACTTGATCTCCCTCGCCCACTCCACGCGCTTTCTTCCTTCTTCTTCAGCTTGCGCGCGCGCGAATGCGTCCTCGTCGAAATCGTCGATATTCTCTTCCGAGAGGAGTTCCAGACTTCCGCGTGTAGCCGGGGGATAGCCTTGGTTCTGGTTACTAGTACTCGAGGATGCACGGCCGCGGTTGTTTCCGCCACCAGTAAAGGCAGCGAGGCCGCTTGATAGGACGGTGGAGAAAGAGGAGTGGCGCTGTTGTTGTTGTTGTTGTTGTTGTTGTTGTTGTTGGGCGATGCTGCGCCGTCGAGCGTGTTCCGGAGCACCGCCAACCAAATCGACGTCGTCGAATGCATTGGCGTCTGACTCGTTGGGTGGGGTCAGGCCGTATTGATCTGCTTCGAGTTCTTGTCGTCTCTCCTTCCAGACACCGCGACGAAGTTCGAAGACCTCACCTTCGAGCTCGCGGATACGGCGCTCCAGATGGGCACGGCCTTCGTTTTCGAGCTCATCTAGGGCTTCGTCGTCGGCTCCGCCGCTAAGATCACGTTTGCTGCCAGGCTCCTGTTGTTCTTTTAGGCGAATATTGAGAGACTCTTGCTCTTCCTTCAAGCGCAGGTTTTCGTTTTCGACGCTGGCTAATTTATTTTTCAGAACCGCTGCTTCTTTCTCGGTTTTTTCGCCTTCTTGGAGGCGGGCCTGGTGCCGTGATTCAGACTCTCTGTGAAGGTTCCCAAGTGCTTCAAGTTTCTTCTCAAGTGTCTCGTTCTTCTTCTCTGCTTCAGTCTTGTTTTGCTTCAGTTGTTCAATCTCCCGCTCCAAGTTCTTGATCAGGGTCTCTGTAGATGTCTTCTCGACGCCTTCCTTGACTGCCTTCTCAGAAGCCCGAGTGAGAGCTTGCTTAGTGTCAGCAAGTTCGCGCTGTGTTTCCCCAAGAGCCGACTCGCTAGTTGAGACCTTTTGCTCTAATGTGTTGATTTGGGTCTCATTGGCACGAAGGTTAGAAATCTCCAACTCCATCGCTTCGATAGTGGCAGACTTGGATTCTAGTTGTTGTACTAGGTCAGATGGCAGAGATTCAGGTGCATTGTTGCGATGAGACTTTGATTGGAGATGTGAGTTCTGTCTTTGAAGAGAAGCAATTTCCTCTTTCTGTGCGTACATCAACATACCAGCCTGTAGGGAATCGTGAAGAAGAACTCACCAGTGCATCAATCTCTGCGACCTTTTGCTCCGCCTTCTCCAACTTATCTTTCAGTTCCGCCATATCAGCAGTAGTTTCTTGGAGGTCTTCCAGCTGCTCCTCGGTTTTCCGCCACCGCCCAGTAGCTTCCTCGAGCTCCTTTTCTAGCCGCTTGTTATCCTTCTCCAACTCCCCAATTTGCGTAGACTGTTTCCGGTAAACCTCCTGAACCGAATCCCCATCAGCATTCAAGGGAGGTAACGACGGCGACCTTATAGTAGACGGAGAAGGCGAAACACTGCCTTGGGAGACAGAGGTTTTGCGGAATGATGAGGACCGCATCTTTGACTGAATTGATAGTGATGGCTGGCGGCCATGAGGACGCGGGGCGTCTAGTCTTGAAGAGTCGATTTCTGACGGGAGGGCCGTAGGGGCTTCGGGCATAGGTTCGGTTGGGGATCCTTCGCGTTCGGAAGATTGCCCCGGATCAGTGGGCTTCTCTTCCTCCTTCTGTTCTTCTCCTCCCTCCTCTGGCTTCTTCTCTGTGGCTTCGGGGGTGGCAGTGGTTTCATCTTGCTTCTCTTTCGGCGCGGGCGTTTCTTCCGCAGGAGTGGCCGAGTCTTTGGGGGTTTCCGAGTCCTTGAGAGCGTCTGGACCGGTGGACTTCTTGCTGGCTCTCTTCTTTTGTTTCTGCAATTGGGCTACCTATTCGGAAAGCACTGAATTAGCATGATGTTTATCACTTCTCCGCATTGTAAGCGGGTTGTAGGACCGGAGAGCGCAGTGGTTACCCTCTTTTTGGCGGCGGCTAGCTTCTCAGCCTTGACGCGCTCTTCTTCGTCAGCCATTATGAAGTGCAGACCGTTATAAAGAATAAGTTATAGAGCGCTGTTTGTCTGTATTGCGGAGGCAGGAGGCACTTGTTGACACCAGTGCGGCGAGATATCCATGCACGGACCACGTGACAACATCCGAATATAGGCAGAACAAAGCGGTATGCTCACCGCCCTTGTTGTAAACACAGCCCCACGCATTTCTACTCTGTACATAGAATGCCACTTCAAACCCTCCCGGTTGAGACCATTTACGAGATCCTTCGCCTCGTAGGAATTTATGAACTCAGAAGACAAAAGAAAGTCTGCAAATGGTGGTATACGCTTGCAGATCCCATTCTACTGGAGACTGTTATCCTCACTGCCACTCGGCTTACACCAATGACTGAGCAGAGGCATGCAAAACTCAAGGTCTGGCTAAAGTCGCTCATCGTTGATATGTGTTGCTTCGAGCACTGGCCTGGTGAGAAGAGTAATGGGGCATTAGGTGATATACTCACGCTTCAATACTGTCGCCTGTCATCTTTCAGTTTCCGAGCACATAGTGAACATGTAGGAGTGCCTCTAGCTCCTCGCACTAATTACACCTCGAAGTGGACCCCGGCTAGATTTTTAGATGCACCTTGGCTTTCCAAGCTCTCAGAGTTAGGGATCGATACCTGTGGCTCTGGATACAAGAACGGGATACATGTCTGTCCTCGACTAGCACTCAAAATCCCCCATTTGCGATATGTACAGCTGCGAACGCTCAGGATCTGTCCTGAGATTTTTGACCTGCAGTACCAAGATGGTGCCCGGTCCTCAAAAATCAGAGGTATCGTCATCAAAGTCAGCTTCAAGGAAATGGACCGGTTCACAGCAGGATTTAGCACCCATTGTACCGAGTCAAAAGGGGGACGGCCACTATACAACGACATGGTCAGGACAGCTACCGAGATGGCTAAGCAAACACAGAGCCTTAAAGTGCTGATTATCCTGATCCACAACTTTCCTAAAGAGATGGTGGTCAAGAATTGCATCGCTGGGACCAAGATGCTTATTTCTGACGAACGCGATTGGGACTGGTCCGATAAGGGGCATACAAGTCAGACACTGAGGCCCTAACCAGGGATTTGAGGGGTAGCGATGTAGAAGGACACGTTCTTTAATAAAGCCACCGAGAATGTATTGAATGTCTGGATGGCGAATAAGTAAGTCCCTTTTCATAGTGGCCAAGGGCATGGTAATCGATGGGATGACTCCTTGATTTGAAGTATCCTCATTCATTTCCTCAGTACTGCCTTGACTATTTATGCTTCTTGCCGGAATAGTTTCCATCTCCGTGGTCGTCGACATAAGGGTCGCCGCCGGCCAAGACTGAAAGCCCCAGACCGTAGCAATTCTGATGCAGAATATAAAGTAAAATCCTTAAATTTCATTCCAATGAGAGTCAATGTAAAGAATGCCAGTGTAAGCATCTGACAGCGACAGTAGTGTTGCTGACCGCAGCGGAGCCACCAAATAGAGGCCCGCAAATAATTTCTTCGGAGAGCCTCAGCGATTTCGTAGCTGTCCACAACAACTGTCGGAGCCCCTCTACCCTTTTCTCGCCAATTCTCACCAACCAACACCAAACATTATGGCTATCCAGTGAGAAACCACTGCCATCTACCATGCGAACCTATGAATATATACTAACGAGCCCAATCTGGCCAGTTATTTGATTCTCCTGTCGAGACAGGGCAAAGTGGTTAGTCTCGTGGCCCACCCACCTGTCGGATTCTGCTGGAAAAGCTCTTTTGGTCTAACAGCAAACTCTTCCTTTACAGCGTCTTGCCAAATGGTTTACCACTCTGTCCCCGAAGGATAAGGCCAAGATCATCAAGGATGTGACTCAGCTTGTGCTCTCGCGCCGGACGCGGATGTGCAACTTCCTTGAGTACAAAGGTATATCACAGCCACTTTCTCTCAGCCTTAAAAATCACCTCTAACCACTGATTTGTTTCTTGTGCAGACTCCAAAGTCGTCTACCGTCGTTATGCCTCCCTCTTTTTCATCGCCGGATGCGGCTCGACCGACAACGAGTTGATCACCCTCGAGACCGTTCACCGATACGTCGAACAGATGGACAAGTACTACGGCAACGTCTGCGAGCTCGATATCATTTTCAATTTCCAAAAGGCATACTTTATTCTGGACGAACTCCTGCTGGCGGGAGAGATGCAAGAAAGCAGCAAGAAGAATGTTTTGCGGTGCATAAGTCAACAGGACAGTTTGGAAGACATGGAGGTGAGTTCGTCACCTTGATGTTGTGTCCCTCGTTGCCCGCACATGCACTAGGACAAGCTGGCAAAGCACCTGTCAAACTTGCCTTGCAGCTTGTGTGTTTTGTTGGTCTGTCCGTCCAGCGTTCTCGTTCTTTCTTTGACCCAGTCTCATCCCTAATACTCCCCTGCTGCTATCCCGGTACCTACAACTGCACGTCCCCTACCTCCCATAACACCAATCCCACTGCCAATCTGTCCACCGGAGCACGTGTCAACATGAGCTAATACCACTGGTCCCTCAGGTTGAGGAGGACGTGGTTACGAAGATCATGTAGAGGCTTTTGATTGTTCATATCCAGCGGCTCCTGTGTTCTGCGCTTGTTTGATTTGATTTTGTTTCGAGATTGCAGACTGTATACTGCCATTGGGGCATGGGCTACATAGGCGTTGTCTTCTATTTCTACTACTACTTGTGATTTCAGACTAATTAATACGACATTGACTACCAATTCAGGATCCCGATGAAGTGATCGCCAACCTTTCCAAAGCCGGATTCTAAACACAGCCGGACCCAAGATTGAGAGAAGCTCAAAAGGCCGTGATATCTCCCCTTTCCGGACCGTGAAGTCGGCGCATGATATCACTGGCTGAGCGCGGCGCCACGTGACCGACACCCCCTCGGCCGCAACGCGCAACCATTCAGCCAGCCTATCCATCAAAGTACTTCTCATACCTCTCATCTTTTTGAGCATCTCATCTTCATTCACTATTCCTGTTATTCTGTGATGGATGTCTTTGCAGAAACCAACTGTTAGGCACCTTTGTTTACCCCCATCCCTGTAACTTGCCCCATACCCCGGTCGCCCCGATCGGCTACGTTTCAAGTGGACAACAAACCGCCAGCTTGACCGACTATTTACATAGTACGAAGGATCGCTCTGCTATATCGACTGAAAATCTTCTGCTATCTCGATTCTACTTTTGTTCCTTTGACGGCAGAACGCGTCTGTTTTAAATTCCCACTGAGGATCTGCTTATCTGACATCACCACACCTGTTATCAGCATCTGCGACATTGACCGCAACTCTCAACAATGAAGGTACGGACATGGCGCATGGAATATATATACCTACCTGTGGTGCTAACGTGGACTGCTTCTATAGTACATTCCTCTGCCCGAGTTTGAGGATATCACAAGTTCCCTCACCTTCGATACCGCGGACTGCAATATAACTGGAGGATGCGATCTCTACATAACGAAGGCTGCTCGAGCCGATCGCAAACTATACAAGAACATTGAACAGTCCCTCGAAGCACAATATGAATCTGTCCTCCGTCTCTCCGCCTCTCTGTCTCCCCCTCACGCCTCTGATGCCGCGTCTTCTCTCAACCTCTCCCGCTCCAGTCCGTTCGGTCCGCTTAGTGACCACGGGAGCCGCCGCACATTTGCCTACCTGATCGCAACTCTTAACGCCAGCCATCCCGATTATGACTTTTCGCATGTTCTGCGCCCATCGGATTTCCATCGAGAGCGGAATTTGAAGAAAGTCATGAACACGATCGACACCACTCTGTTCAACTTGCGCCCGCGTGAGAACATGGATCTGACGCCTCCATCGCCAGCTACGTTATCTGGTTCATACAGTACTAGTGCCCCTTCTACTTGGGGGCCAAGGATGTGGAGGATTATCGATGAGCATATGTCGCTGAAGGAGTGCTCGATTTACACGTACACCCCCGAGGAGGACCCATCGGGCGCAGATGACGGAGCGATCTGGAGTCTCCACTACTTCTTCTTTAACCCGCTCCGGAAGCGCGTGTGTTATCTCTATTTCCGTGCCATCCCTATCTTGAGCCACACGCCCACCGACACTGAAGGCTTCGTTGCAACCCCAACGGGCAAACGCACATTCGAGGATGGTTACCTGACGCCAGACCTGAGTTCTAGCAAGCGGGCTCGCTACTGGTTAGGCGACGTTGCCGACATGGTTGGGCACACAAGTGACAGTGATTACGACCAGTATGTCCTTAGCGATGAGGAATCCCGTTCAAGGTCCAGGAAGGGCGTTGTTCGGGCGATGAGTGAGGAGATTGCCGATTCGATGGAAGTCTGAGCACATTTTACTATAATTAGTCATTCTTTGTTGTTGAATTTTTTTTTTTTTTTTTTTTTTTTTTTTTTTTTTTTTTTTTTTTTTTTTTTTTTCACTTGCTTTTTGTCGTTCCATTGTTGGGCTTTGCTGTTATGTTGGTCCATGGCGTTCACTGATTGATTCGTGCATTCAACCTGCATCTTGAGAGTTCCGGGGCGTTGGCAGAGATCTTATCATGCCCCTATTTTTTTTTTTTTTTTGTTCTTTTCTTGTCGATACGTATTGATGCCCCTGTTATATTGTTATTTTCTAATGCCTTGATGATGATGCGCTGTGTATACGAAGACACGGTGTGGCGTATGAGGAAACGTGCTGGCGACGTTGACGATGCTTTCGATTCTGTGTAACTTTTTACTCTTTGATTTTGATGTTAATCACTATTCTACTCCTCACATATTCGTATCTGTTTTGTCAGGTCAACCTATGTGCTTTGTATACATGATGTCAGTATATGACACACATCGCTGTCAGTCATTCTTTTCTGTCGTCTAGTCTCGTAGAAAATCTCTGCCAATATCCAACAACAGATTCATAGATCCCTCGGTGTTATTGCCATAGAATGAGATGACCCCAATATCAAACCATCCTCCCTTTATCCTCGTCTGTGCCCTATTTCCTCCATCCTAACAACCTCGATACCCTGTACACTGCACCATCAAGCATATGCGTCTCGATCTTGCTTATGAGTGAGGCGTCTATATATGAATGGGATAGAGAAAAACTGGAAAAGTCACTCATTTTAAGGCTGATTTCCTGGCTCGAAAGAGTTGCTGTGGGAATTGGCCTTCAGGAGGGTGATATATGCTGTATAGAGAGCTGATCGGCTAAATAGCGCGGGGAATCAACCAACGTTGTTAATAGCTGACCTTGGAATGGCCATGATGCAGAGCAATGGTTCATCACAGAATTAGTTTGGCATTTGATTGTTTGGATTGGAGCATCACCAAGGTTATTTGTGCTTGCAATCCCAGCATTTTGAGAAACCTATCAGTCCTGAATAGTTGATACTATGGTCGGGCTAGTGACTGACTTCTTACACTTGTCGCGATCGTAAACCGACGACAACAATGTAAGTTGAATTCAAGTTGAAACAGTGATTTAGGACTACCAATACCGGTAGTACATCTCATAGGCATTGAACATTGTGATTTGGGGAGTCCCTTCCCGGTGCTCTCCTGTACGGGCATTCCACAGGATACATCTCCTCGAGGCACTTCAGCCTGCCAAACACCGATATTGTTTGCGACGGCTAGTGTACCAGAACTCGATGTATAAATCACTGTTACGAGAGTGGATGGGCGTTTTGCCTTTCTCGGCGTAGAACCCAGACTTTGGGGTTTAAATACTCATATAGCCCAAACAGCTAGACCTCGGTTGTACTTGTAAGGTACCGTTTCCTTCGCCTCGACTGGTTTTGTGGTGTGCTTCACGGACCCCATACCATAGACTGTAGTCTGGTTATATTCACGTGTGATAGATGTTGTGGTGGATTGTGTCTGATTTTGTATATGAATCTGTTTTCCAGGGCATTGTGGAGCTGTGCAGGAATGGGCTCATCCGATGGCTTGAATTCGGATATTCAGGTGAGATAAATGCTTCGAAGCCAGCATTGTGACGGCACACTATACATAGTAGAATGCTGAAGCTGGATGGGGCGAATTTTTGCTTGACGGAATGTCAGAGAAAAGAATGGTCCTTGCCAGGAAGTCTATCTAGTGTTAAGCAGGCCTAGCTTGATATTTACTTATTCTTACACTGCCTCACGTAGGAAAAGCAGTGGAGAGAGAGGCAAATGTCATTTAAAATGCATGGTAAACATCAAGTAACTTATAGAGCTTATTTGCTTTACTCCATCATTCTCTTTTTCGGTGGCCCATGTTACAACTGAAATATGCGGTCTAAAGGAATTGCAGGTAAATCTAAACTCTTATTCGATCCCCTAAAACGAGGCTCGCTTGAAGCTCACGATGGCAAAGTTTTACCAGTCAAAGCCGGTCATCGAACGAGGTCCAAAGTTGGTCTAGCGAAAAGCATAACATGCACCTACTTACGAGTAAGGTAACGCGCATCTCGAGAAATCAGACTCGAAAAGTTCTGTCCGTACCTGGCAGTCAAGGGGAAGAACCGGACCGATGCAAGTCGTGGATGGTGGTGATTCAGGATGATTCGGACATTGAAGGTATGCAATTACCTGAAAAGGGCAGATACAACCATGTCCGCGACAGCACCGGATCCCACGGGGAGCTTTTTAAGTGGAAATAACCGAGTCAGGCTATTGCGGACCTTGAATAAGCTTTGGTTGAGGATGCGATGTTGTAGCTTATGTCCGTGACGACATTGAGATTTCAGAGCGGATGGCGGCGGAAGTCATTCCACTCGATCAAAAAGAGAACATTTAGAAGATATTCCAGATTAGATGACTGAGATTATGCAGATAGATATGTATTTAACTGCAAGGAATGTGAAGCAATACAAGATCTACCCCTCCATACTGATCAGCAAGTATGCCGATCCGACAGCGATTGAACTCTCGGAGCAGAATCCTTTGATACCCACGTTCCCAATTCGTCAAGACTCGATTCTTTGCCTGGATTGTAAGCCAATGGTGATTTCATCCAGAGCCAGCATCTTCTGGCCAGTCGACACATGACGTAGAAGAGTTTGCATATCGTCATCGTCGCATCGCCGGGCATTCCGGACATAAAAAGTCGCCGTGCCTTCCCAATGCCTAGATCTCTTCGATCGGATTGAACTTCCGCTGTGCTGTCTGCTATTTCACTGTAATTCTCTCGTTGCTCTCGTTTACTTCTTCTCGCAACTCAGAAAGACAGCGCGACAGCAAAGAATCATCATGGCCATTGGAGGAATTCAGATGGGCCTTCGGGCCTGGCAGGTATGCTTCGCTTGCGTCTCGAGCTAATACATCAAACTAATATTGTATAGTTCATATGGACTCTGCTGGTCATGGCCCTCATCGGTAACATGATCAACCAGGCCTTCGCCGGCAACCCTGCGACGGTGAACTACGCCATGTTCACCTCTGCATTCTCCATGTTCACCCTCTTCTACCTCGTTCCGGCATCCTTTAACACAGACTGGTCGGGCCACCCCATCCTCCTTATCGTCCTGGACACCCTCAACGCCATTTTCTTCCTTACCTCTGGTATCGCCTTGGCTGCCAGATTGGAGTGCCACGACTGCTCCAACGATGTACGTCTACATCCACTACATAGTTCCGTTCAAAATAAATACTAATATTGTAGGAATACACCCTCAACAACGAAGTTACCAACGGCGCCGAAGGCCGCACGAAGCGTTGCCGCGAGGCGCAGGCTTCCGTGGCATTTCTCTGGTTTGCCTGGGCTGGGTACACCGCGTCCATGGTCCTTTCTTTCATCCAGTGGCGCCAGTCTGGTGGTTCTCGCCAGCGTCCCCGTACTGGTCCTTCTCGTCCCAGCCGTCCTAGCATGGCTCAGGTTTAGGTTTGTTATTTCGAGAGATATGAAATGTGAAGAGTTGGAACTAATATAGGTATACAGATTGATGTGCGACAAAGTCCAGTCGATGTTAGGTACTGAAACGGGGCGACGTGAAAGAGGAAAACGGTCAAAATGAACGCTATGATTTTCGAGAAAACCACTAGAACGACCGCCATTGGACGTTTGATGCATAATGACTACCTCGATATCGACAATAATATTCACGGGACGATTGGCACTACTTAATCTGGCGTATATGCCTTGCAACTAATAAAATATTCTGGAGGATGAAGTTCGTGGTGGACTGGATCGATGGATGGATATGGGAACTAAAATAATACCTCTTGTTTAATGCCTATGGTGTACGGAGCAGACTTGATTTAATGTATTTGTACTTGTATTCTGGGTACTTGATTAATCTAATTCTTTCGTCAGGAATGCACATGTCTATCTCTAGTCCTGATCGTAGTCTATATTATACATGCAAACATGCCATAAAAAATTATTATATACAGGATAACTCTTAGGGCCAAACAATCCCTAGCCATCCAATTTCTATACCTTAAACTCACTCTGGACGGACCCATACCCCTGAGCACACTCCCTCCCCAATGCATTACTCCCACTCCGCATGTAGCAAATCTTCGCCAACTGACATCCTTCACTATCACAAGCCGGACTCTTAACACTCCTCTTCCCCTGTAGTTCATTAAACCAGCTCACGAGACCCATGTCCTTCTCCATGCCTTCTGTCACACGGTGCCAGAATGTTGCGTTCAAGGGTGCATCTGCGTCCCAGTTCGCGGCGGGGCCGTAGGTCTCGCGAGTTGAGTATTCGAGGCGGAAGGTTGGTCCTGTTGCGTGCAGAGAAGTGTATTCGGAGACGTTGCTGAAGAAGGTGTAGGCGTTGTAGACGTTGAAGTCGCCTGTGTCTACTTCGTAGAGGCGGAAGGCGCTGTTTAGGTTTGTGAGGGGTGTGATGCTTGGTCCGATCCAGCCGGTTGTTAGTGCTGTTTGGCTGTTTTGAATAGTGCCATTGTTGGCGTAGTAGACCATGAATTCGTCCTCATGGTTGTGGCCGAAAAAGACATTTGCAATGACGTGTGGTGAGTAACGGTCGATAATTTGGTAGAAGAGGTTGCTTGGGTTGGGGAAGGCATTGCCGCCGTCCCAGCCACTGGGGACGTGGCCTACTATCCAAACGCGCTCGTTGTTGTCTTCTGCGTGTTGGAGTTCGGTGATCATCCAGGCAAAAACGCCGGAATTGTCGGGGTTGGTTGTGTTGATGAAGTTTAGATAGTTACTTTTGTACCAAAAATCTGTGCCGTTAGTTTTGAATTGGGATGTATAAAGTGGGCTTGCTTACCAGAGTTGAATGCAATGATACGAAGACCGTAATGCGTCTTGATGGAATAACCGCCGTACTGTGTCCGTGCTTCTTCTGCTGCCTTTGCGTCGATCCATCCTTCATGTTGCCATAATCCTGCAACATGCTCAAAGTTCCAACTCTGTTGCTCTCCAAGACGTCCCGGGAGACTGTGCGGTGAGTCAATATTGGACGGAGCGGTGTCATGGTTCCCCAGGACTGGGAAGACGGGTCCCGCAAGGTACTTTTTCAACAGATCGAAGATGCTGGTTTCTGTGTACTCGACGTATTTCTGGGACAACTGGTTCTCGGGCTCGTGGGAGACCAGGTCACCCGTATATAATGTCCAAGCGAGGGAGCTGCCATTCGTCGTTCCGGTCAAAGGGCCGATTGATTCCAGTGCTGCCAGCGCCAGATCATATGGTGTGTCGCACTTGTATGCGCCATATGCAGACGCAGGCAAAAGAATCTGATCCTCAAATTGAGTGTTGTACCCATTCTCACGACAGCACATACCGGACGAACAGTTCGCTTCGGAGCTCACCGCATACCGTGGATCCAAGTGGATATCTGACAGGTGCAGCACCTTGACTCGTTCGCCGCTGGGCTTGGGCACACTCGCATTCGCTGGCTTAGGCTTGGGAAAGAGATTGGCCGTATCCAGTGGACTAGTCTTTGGCTTCTCGCAGGAAGCGGGGCTGAAAAAGTTACAGATATAGTCGCCATCGAGCCCCTCGACATCTGCATATGCCAACACCTGTGTCCAGGTAGCTCCAAAGATCGACGCAGCAAAATTACTCTCACAGCTATCATTCGACTTGAACTGGTGTTCTTGACATAGTGAAATCATAGCATCTGGTACCCAACTCGGCGCATATAGAGCGGCCGGCTTGGCCGCTGCCAAGGCATTTTTGCATTTGGCACAGCTGTCCTGTGCGGCATCCGACTGAAGGATTTTCGGGACGTTGATCTTTATTTCGTCGATTAATGCAAGCTTCTGGGTATAAGATAAGTTCTTGAGTGGCTCTGGAAAAAAGATTGGGTCCGACTTGTCGTCTGGTATCGTATCTGGATGTGTAAGGTTGTGAGGAAACGTAATGTTCAGAACAGGATCATAGATCATTGGTTGAGGTTGCCGAGTTGGCTTTGCAGGCGAATAATAGTATGCCCTGGATTCAGTTAGTTATATAGTTCGCCATTGCTTTGAGAATACTTACGAAAAAGCAGAGGTCGGAAATCCAGCCGACGCAACGAAAGAAGACACACCCGGGAGGGATAACGGTGCATTAGAGACCGGAGTCGGAAGTGACCAAGAAGCAGCCATCGCGGTTTGTGGCTCCATAATAGATAGGGGAGTTCAATTCTCTTCTGGCGTTGAATCTTTCCCTGCTGCGGCTGATATACCGATTCGGAAGGAGGTGGGTCAACAACCACGATAAGAGCAATAGCTGGTGAACACAGGGCACATAAGGGTCGGATATGGATCAATTGCACTGCTCTTATCTATACAGTCGTGCATTTAAGATTCAATGGGAGTTGCTGCCAATTTAGAACTCTGCGTCTGTGACAGATATTCTCCTGGCTGCCGATCACGGGATTTCCCGATCAGGAGAGTGGCGCACGTGCTCTTAATCTAAGCATTGAATGGTTATCGTTGCTTCTTTGGGATATTCAGGGGTACATCTTATCTTTTCAAGGTTAATCGGAATGTTACGTGTCTTTGAAAGCGAATGGATATGTAACTGTATTTTCGCAAGGTTACACTTGGCCCCAAGAAACCCTCTGGATATATATTTATCCCGAACCCTAGTATTCCGGCCGCCACGATTCAATTTCTTCGTATTCTTGCTGCGCCAGCTTGCACCCTGCTCTGCATTCTTACCACATACGCCTCCAATCCCCTCCCGTAGTTTCTGATATTTGTCAGGATGCGCGAGCAAAGACATCACAAAACAGTTCAATGCCTCCCGCGTCGTATCGCTTCCGGCTTCGACTCATTGCATGGTGACATACGTACTCTCTCGTCAAATGTTGCTTTCCTCGCAATATTAGTCTCATTCTTCTGATAGAATATCAACATCAGAATCCAGAAGAGGCTGCTCAGAGAGATAACTTTCCATTTCATTTAATGTGCCTGTATCTTTGCTGGCCGGCTTTGACGCTTGTGAAAACAGTGTATTGAGGTCTAGAGCCCAATTAGTCACATGAATGCTGTTCTTGTCGCTGGAATCAGTACCTCAATCAGAGACAGATCACCCTCTTCCTCTAATTCTGTTCTTAGAGGCTCGCATTGTTGGTAATTGCCTTGGTAGAATTGAAGGATTTGTTGCTTTTGGAACTTGCGCTCGTCTTTGGTCCAATCATCTTCATGAAAGGCATTCATCCGTTTGCTCGGGTCAAGAACAGTTGTAACGGCGTAAAGATACCAAAGTCATTGTCAGTCTGTGAGTAATAACCTGACAGTTTATCCTTTGCAGCCTGCAATGCCTTCAAGAGAGGGTATTTCCAAGTTCAGTTCATTCTCTTTCAGCTTCTCTGGATCGGGATTCAAGATGCTGGAAAAGCTTATTGTAGATTTGTCATGCAAGATGGATTGAGATATCTGTAACGGCTCAGCCCAGTGCCTTCATCAGCAAACATCATCAACACGGCAAACAATACCATGGAAGCAATCAAGACAAACAAGCTGCTTAGCGAGACCACACACAACCATATGGGACTTCTTCACGTAAATAGATTTGCCTCTTATTTTCTCTTCTTCTCCAGATTCAATATTCTTGTCAATGGCTACTAGTTGGTTTAGATAGGAATATCAATTCGTTAATATCTTCTAGTCCGTGACAACATATGTCCTAAGTGTGACAGTCTCGAACAATATAAATTCATTGGTAGACTCTCTGTCGAAATACTAACATGGAGAAGGAAAGAAAGAAGCTGGGCCTGCCAGCGCTGCGCAATCTAGTGTGCGAAGGGGGTTCCTGCCCTATATTCAAACAGGCCAAAGTATACAAACATCTTGCGTTGTTGGTGAATGCCCGTATTCCGTGACAGATGCTAACCAGCCTAACCTTCCATTACCCGATACTCAATTGCGGGCATCAGGCCGTATTCGGAAGCGATCAAGGTTTTTAGATGGGTATGAGATTGGTCGTGGGTAGCTATGTGAATAGTATCAGCCTCATAATTTCATTTTCCAATAGAATGCTCTGACGTCCTGGCTTTTACCCTACTCTTAGTATGTAAAGTAAATACCAGAAAATACAGTCTCAATAATGCATAATTATGCAGGTCATGAGGTCCCTATGTTTGTCGTGTTTGTCCACCCTCAGGGTCTGGCGAGGTCTAGCAATATATATATATATATCATATATACTCACAACGATAGACACATTTTTTGGAGCCTTTTTGAGAACACTTTCTATGAAATTTCAGAAATTATAAATCAGCAGACAAGTTCTGTCTTATGTTTGATTAAATTTGACTTGGGATCCTTCATAATGCTTATAATTATGCTAATTCTCTTACTGAAAGAAATGAGTGAGATTTCTTTCTCTTAAAATATCAGTGGATCTGGCTTGTGCCAAAATTCGAGGGAAATGAACAGCCCGTCCATGGACGGGTATGAGTATGCCCACGATGGGTGGCCCATAGACCTGGCGAGGTCTAATTATGGCTGAAGACTGAAGTCCAGCTCGATTTTCTTAGAGTCCTTTGGAACACCCTCCATAAAGCCCTTCAACCACATTACTTTGATGTCTTACAAAGACTTGAGAAGACGACTTCGGCCGCCGTTCAGACCATTCGGCATGTCAAAGAGTTAGCAGCACCGGATGCATGTGCGCTACGGAAGGTCAAGGCAATATATAAAGAGGCACCTTAAACAAACAGTCGCAGACTTAGAAGATTGGCAAAAATGATTTTATCCATCATGGTACCTGTTTACACGTATCGCTAGCCCTGTCATCGACAAGCAATTGAAAGATGATTTACCAAGCCACAATCCTTCAACAATCCGACTAAAACAGATGAGGGAGGCTATCAAAGACGTCTCGTCAATTGGGAACTCCCAAGCCGGCTCAGTATTCATGGACATGTCTCATATAGTAGGACTCGCACACAAAATCCCCGGGACTAATACGACTATAGCAAGTTACGGTAATGGTGCGTGTACGGTGTTACTGGACTACACAGACTATGGTCCCCTCACTGAAACAATGATGGCAAAAACATATGTTCGTGATCTGGCGAGGCTTCTGTTGAACGTGGAACCGATGACATTTGGTCTCTTGAAATGCCAGGGTGTGATTGAACTACCTAACAAGGTTGATAAAAGCCAATTCCAGTTTATCCTCGAAGTGCCAAAAGGATTTTCACCACCAAGGACGCTCCGGGGTATCTTGGCGGAAGCTCCTCGGTGCTCCCTTAACCATCGTATCCAGCTAGCCAAGCAGTTGGCTCGTTCAGTCATATTTGTTCATACATCAGGATTTGTCCACAAAAATGTGCGCCCAGAGACCATTCTAGTTTTTGCGGACGGCTCGAGCCGCCTTGGCCCGTCGTTCCTCAGTGGCTTTGAGAGAATCCGGCCCATCATGGCCAGCAACAGAGAAGTCAGGAGATCTGGTGTGGCAGAAGAACCTTTACCGGCATTCGACGCGGCAAGGCCTCTGGCCCGAAGATTACTACAGCATGCAGCATGATATTTACAGTCTCGGGGTGCGCTTACTGGAGCTTGCACTGTGACGCTCTTTTGTACAGTACGATAGTGGTACTGCTATTTCGTGTTCCGAACTTGACATATCAGCCGCGATTTTGGATAAGGACCCGCGTCGAGGTGCATTTGCCATCAAGAAACTACTAGTGGCTATGGCCGAAGAGTGTCTTCCCAATTCGATGGGTGACAGATACACTGGCTTGACAGTGGGGAAAGCAATATGCTTGGCTTCGACGTGAAGGACCAAGATGGTATTATTGTTGGTGTTCGATATATCGAAAAGGTGGGTCGTCGGGTGCCTTATTTCCGCGGATATCGGCTGACGAATTCTCAGATTTTACTACAAATAGAAGAGATTTGCATTTGAGGAGCGCTACCATAGGGGTTTCTCTGAGTCATTATGCATTGTCAACCGTTTCTCATAGAATTTTTTCTCCGGATATGCCGTTCCATCCTAGGCTACAAAATTTGTATTTGCTCCGAAATCCAGGAATAGTTCAGCCTTATAGGGCTGAGTGGATCGCCGACATTTAGCTCCACATAGGCTGACCAGCGAATCAATGCAGATTGTGTATTTATAAGAGACTGCAGTCTACCATTCTGGCAACAATGGCCAATTCATTTGCAAAGGCATCCTATTCAGGGGCATTCTTCGTGTTATTACGGCCATACAGTCATGGTCAAGCCTTTTAGCACTACTAGAAGTTCTCAAAGTGATAATGGAGGGACAGCGGAACTCTCACCCCCTGACAAAGAGAGTTAGCTTCAAATTGCTCTGCGCAGCGCTCTGCTTTGGACTCTCCGGGATGTCAAGAGGTAGGTGATAATATTCCCAGAAAGCGTTACAACTTACTAAGAAGCAGGACTTGACGAGGGCCTCATCGCAACGACTATCGCCGAGCCATCGTTTATCAGTGAATTTGACCTCCGAGCGAGTTCCCTCGGCTCCTCCGAGCAAGCGGATCGACTCTCGAATATTACGTCCATGGTCCACATTGGCAGTATCCCCGGTGCCTTGGTTGCGTTTGTCCTTTGCGAGCGAATTGGAATGCTCTGGTCTATGCGTCAGCTATGCGTTTTATGGCTAGCAGGTGTGATCATTATGATCACCGCCGGTGGACGACTTGGTCAGATATACGGTGGACGGTTTGTGATGGGACTTGGAATTGGGCAGGCTGGTATCGTTGCTCCGACATATCTAGCAGAAATTGCTCCTCGTAACGTGAGAGGGTTCTTAGTCTGTCTATTTGGTATGTCAGAATACATAGGGATAATGATAGGGGTAAGTTTCGCTCTAAGGGCTTAAGGTTTATTTACTGATGGATATAGTACTTCTCCGCATGGGGCGCTTCATTGCATATCTCTAACAGCAGCGCGAAACAGTGGATTATTCCCCAGAGCATACAGATCATCGTTGCCGGTATCCTGCTTCTGCTGTCACTTCTATGCGAAGAAAGTCCTCGGTATCTGTGCAAAGTCGGACATGACAAAAAGGCAAAAGCATCGCTGGGAAGGCTATGGGGTCTGCCTGGCGGACACGGGTTAATCTTGTCGGAAATAGATGGTATCCAGCGTCAGCTACACGCTGAACAGGAGCAATCACATGACCAAACCTGGATTAGTGCTCTGCGCGAATTGTTTCTCGTGGCAGCTAACCAAAAGCGACTACTTTTTGTCATCTCAGAGCAACTTTTGAGCCAATGGTCCGGAGCAAATTCGATTACCAGTGAGTTCATTCCCTATCATCGCATGATATGGGTATTGACAAACGGCAGCATATGCTCCTGAATTATTCGCCCTATTTGGCTTGACAGGCCAGTCTAAAAAGCTATTCACGACTGCAGTACTGGGAGCTGTCAAGCTGATTGCCTCCCTTCTTTGTGCCATCTTCTTGATCGACCGCATCGGGCGCAAGCGATCCTTAGTCTCCGGCATCCTCATTCAGCAAGTTTCCATGCTGTACATTGCCATTTATCTCACGGTGGAGTCATTCTCGACCGATGCGGAGTCACCTTCCATAAAACGAGCAGCCATTGGAGCAATCGTCTTTATCTATTTCACAGGTGTGGGCTGGGCCATGGGGTTTAACGCAATCCAATACCTGATTAACGCTGAGGTCTTTCCGCTGCGTGTTCGAGCCATTGGGACTAGTCTTTTGATGTGCTTTCACTATGTCAATCGGTATGGTTTATCTAAGGTATGCATACTCCGCTCCTTGCCATATGCTTATCAAAACACTGACCAAATAGGCCGTTCCGTCTATGTTACTTGAAAATGCGCTTCAACCGAAAGGGACGTTTTGGTTCTTTTCGGCTCTGACGTTCCTGGGTCTTTTGTGGACGTCGCTGTTCCTGCCGGAAACGGCAGGGCGGAACCTAGAAGAAACGAACGAGCTGTTTGCGTAAATCGATGCTAGATGGACTAGTACAATTACCGGAAATTCGGCGATGACTTACCCTTTGGGACTGTTCTGTGGGGTGATGACGGGGCCGAGAGAGTTTGTTGTTAGTGACTTCTCTCAACACAAGTATAACGAAAATACGGATATAAGCTGTGGGTGGGTGGGGTAGTAAATGGATACGTTGTCATATGTCTGGGACCTTTAGCTTGTATAGGCTATTACGTCGGGAGACAGTTATACTAGAATATCGCGGTGTTATGATTGATATTCTGCATGCGTTATTCAGACTATACATTCTGTAGTACAGATAACATGGGAACGTACCAAATATGTGTGGCAGACTGCCTTTGAGTGAAATTACGGACTAAATGATTACGTTGCTGAACGATATTCTTGGTATCCTTAGCATGTACGGAGTATTACGTCTGGAAGCAACTAAAATTGATTGCTATATTATAGTCTTATTATTATTATTTAATCAAGTTTATTGTCCATACCGAGCCCTAGAGCTATGATAGACCCTTATCCGTGGACTTGAGGCTGGTAGCTATTCTACAGTCTCTTATCCCTATAAGCTCCTGAGGCACTAGTCTCCTTCTATAATCTTTCTGGTCCTTTTCCTCGCCCCAAACCGCCTGTATGCGCAGGGCTTTCGAGCAGAGTGCTCTCCTTGTGTTTCAGAGCAGGGTGGGGTGTGGCCTAAGCTGGGTATTCAGCTTAGTCTACCCTCCCTGCTATCCTTCTCCTGTTCTAATCGCCTCTTCCAGTGCTTCCAGTCCCAATTCATTTTCTCTTTGGGCCTTTTCCGCAGTTCGCTGAGAGTGTGCTCGGGGTAGAGCTACACTAGTACTAGCCAGAAATTTTAGCAGCGCCCTGGTAGCTCTGGGCTCTCCTAGAAGTCGTCCCTGTGGGTGTTCCCCTGCACCAGTGGGTCTCACGACCCCATCCAGCTCCAGATCCTTGTAGAGCTTGTTTCGCTGGTGTCACCATTTCCGGCATTCAAAGAGAAGATGGTGTATTGTTTCCCTTGATAAGCCACAATCTCTGCAGGTTGCATCCTCTTGGGCCTTGATTTGATGTAGATATACTCCAATGGCTGCATGCCCTGACTTCAGTTGGAAGTACCGGCTTGCTAGATGCTTGGGAGCAACTGCGACTATTGAACTGAGCTGCCAGTTTTTCCACGGCCTGTACATTCGTTGACCTCGTTGAGATCGTTGGCTGAGCTCTTTGGTGAGCTATCTCTGCTTCTGTGCTGTGGTGGCTTCTGTTCGGGCTCTACAGGCGAACGCCAGGGAGATCTCTCTTGGGCCTCTTCCTGGGGGTTTGTTGGCTGCCTGCTTTGCTACCTGGTTGGCTCTCTCATTTCCTTCTACCCCTGCATGTCCCGGAACCCAATGAATGGTGGGTTGATGACCTTGGGCATGTAGTCTTTTGGCTATAGCATGTGCTTGGATTGCTAATGCTTGGCCTGCTCCAGGCTGGGTATTTCGCAGCCTCGCAATGGCGGCTTGGGAGTCCAGCAAGATAGTGACTGGTCTCTGATCTCCTGCTTTCTCTGCTACCCGGAGTGCCTGAGTAACTCCAAGAAGCTCTGCATCAAAGGCCTCACATCCTTGCCCAATGGGAACCCCTGGGTCTTCCATGTTCCTCCTGGCTCTTGCCAAGCAATCCCTGCCCCGCATCTGCCGTTCTCTAATCTTGATCCATCTGACCAGATTGCTAGTCCAGGAGAGAGAGATTGCGCTGCTGCCAGTGTCACGGCGCTCTACTAGGATAATGGAACATCCAACTCATGGATTCCACCTAGGTAGCTATCGACGATAATAACCAACATGAGGAAGGAAGAGAGGAGGTAACGCCGTATTTATCAACGAAGCAATAAAGCAAACAACTGCACCTCACGTGATACCCAGCCAACGTGACCAGGCTGTCACAGCTAGGGCCTCTGGACCTGGTAACATCTCTATTTGACCTGGGAACTGGCTACTGGTTGTTCGTATTGTGCTTTCAAAGCCCTTGGATGGGTCTGCTGGTAGGATATTGGCTAGTTGTCGAGCTAGATGTTGTCCCAGGGACCATGGGCCCCGGTTGCTGCTTTCCGCCCATTGTCGGTTCCCTGGGGTCTGCTCCCCAGCCTGGGTATGCTGATCCCCTAATAGTCTCTTGACGGTGGAATCCAAATGCTACAATATTGTCGAAAATATATATACTGTGGTACTGATGTATATATGTAAAACCAACCGAGGACTCCATGAATAGCTATACAGCAATCACCACTCTCTCAGTCCCACTGGCCCAGTACAGGTCCAATGCTTGTAACTCAGCTTCTTGTTCTCGACCTCGTCCACAATAGCCACTGCCATATCCTCGTTGTAGATTCCATTGTTGATAGCAGGATCGGCGGATCCAGCAGAGTCATCCACGAGGACCTTGTATTTCCCAGTTCGAAGACCTACTCCCGGATCATTAATCCGTGCATCAATTCCAACAGTATATATAACAAGGAGCTGAAACGTACCTTTATCACGTAGCTGCCAAGGGGGCGATAGAAAAGACCACTGGATATCCTTAACACCTTCCCACATGGACAGGGCTAAGCGAGAGCAAAAAATTAGCCCGACGGTGTCCGGGTTCGTCAGCATTTGTCTGGCTTTCCACAAAAGCAGATTTGCCCAGGGCCTGAAGAGCCACGAGAACCCTGATTTCAGTGGATCAGTCATGGGTTGTTAGGAGAGATTTTAAAAAGATCGTAATGTGCCTTACAGCCCGGGTTCTCGCGATTTGACTTCGCCCATTTAAAAAGTCGGATGAAGTAACCAAATCCCGTCTGTCCGTGGTCGAACATGCGGGTTGCCATGTATTCCATATGGACATAGGGCCATGCGTACCTACAAGGTGTCAGCTTTTTTTGCTGTGAAAGTGACACGCGCGAGGAACTGACCAGTGCTTGAATGCGAATCCTTCATCATCACACAGCTGCACGCCGTTTTTATAATACAGAGAACCCGCACCGCCTGCAGAGCACATTGCATTTAGCATAAAGCACTTGTCGAAGGGAACAGACACCTTACCAATAATAATAACTGGACCCTGGTATGTCGACCTCACGATTGCCATTTTGATGTTTCCATGGCCCTCCACACCCAGCCTATACACGTCTTTCAAGTCGACAAGTGGTGGTGCAAAAGCAGACACGACTGCGTCAAACCCTCCTTCGGAGAAGATGGTGCTCAGACCAGGAATGTCGCCAAAGTCGCAAGCAATACCACTGTATTTCCCAGGCCTTGGCCAGATGCTTGGGGGTGAACGAGAGATGCCCACGACACTGTGCCCTCTTGACAGAAGTTCGTCGACAACACACTGTCCGCATTGTCCTTTGGGACCGAGGACAGCGACTCTGAAGCCTTTGGACATGGCGTGTAGTTAATATAAGACAAGACTGCAATCTTCCTCCGCTTTTGCAACTTGGAAGCAAGTCTCAGGGGCATTTATAGATGCTGGTCGGATTTAACACCTTCTGTCCGTCGGTACCCCCGTCGGTACCCCCGTCGGTACCCCCGTCGGCCCCACCACATCTCCGGGATAATCATGGACGTAGCCCTAACACACGACACGAATGTAGGAATATATTTAATCCTCAATCCGGATTATCCGAGTCTTTGGATGGACCTCGCTGAGACATTCCACTCTTCTTCAGCTCCTGTTTATTCTCCTTCGCGGAACACAGAGTGGCCTCTTCCACCATCCGCGCCAAGACCATGTCCGAAAATGAGTCGCACACTTCCTTTTTGGAAACATGCTTTGGATTCCGGAAGGCGGCGCAGAACTTTACCAAGCTTCGTCCCGATCTTTCTCTAGGGGATCCCACGGTGTGCTTCCCCGGCTTTCGCCAGCATGTCACCATATTCAAGGCAGGACAACAGATACAGAAAGACGCAAAGCGCTTGCCTGTCGACCTTGTTATGCATGAGAGAGTTCCTGTGATCTTTTGTCAGATGACACCAAGCTGTATTACAATGTCTTTCTCCCAATCAGTTTTGAGAATTTCGAAGCAAATGGTACGTCCAAAGATACATCTAGTTTGGATATCGCAGACAATCATACAAATGTAGGAGCCCAAATGGCAAGAAACTTGGCACGACTGTCCTTGAAGATTTCCCATTCCGCGCCCTAGTCCCCAAGCATTGGCTTCTCGGGTTTTCAGAAGTGAGAAAGCCCCGATACTGCATTCTGGTACGCCAAAGGATATGCCATAGTAAATGTTGATACCCGAGGGGCATATACGTCGGAGGGAGAACTTATTATTATGGGACACCAAGAAGCTCAAAATGGTACAGAGTTTGTCACTTGATTGTCAGAGCAGCCTTGGTGCAACGGTAAAGTTGGTCTTACTGGCAATAGCTGGTTAGCGCTGTCACAATGGAAAATAGGGAGCCTGCGGCCTAAAGGCCTGGCTGCTTTTGCACCTTGGTATGCTCTTGCTTCCTTGTTCCTATAGATCTTGAGACACTAGTATCCAACTCAGGGAAGGAATTCAAGACATTCATCGTGATATACTTTGCCAGGGAGGAGTTCCTTCTCCAGGCTTTTAAGATTCAATCGCAGGTTAGTTAATATATCTTCATTATATGAACCCTATAAGTGCTAATAGAGACCACAGATACCCTCACCAGGTACGGCAAGCTGGAAGACATGTCGGGTGTTCTGCGCAGTAGCCCACTTTGGAACGAGTACTGGAAGATAAAACAATCCAAGCCTGAGCAGGTCGATGTCTCAACTTATATAGTGGTCACATAGACGAACCCTATCAACACATCCGGCACATTGCGAGCAGACCGGGCTATAGCAGAGTCCGTCCCGAAATTGCTTCTCATGTATGACTCACGGGAATGGCCAGACTATTATGCTGGCTCCAGCTGCCGTGGCCTAAAGCGGTTTTTTAATTGCTTCCTGAAAGGTCATCGTGATAATGGCTGGTTGGTGACACCTAAAATCCGGCTAAGTATCTTAAATCTCGGGCTATCGGGACTGGATAGTACGGTCAATAGATCGGAGTTGGAATGGCCACTTGCACGGACAGTGTATACAAAGTTATACTTGACTCCGGATCATCAGATAAACTCCTCTGAAACAAGCTAACCAGGGTCAGTTGCGTACGATTCGAAAAGTGGAAGTATCAAATTCCGATATCATGTACCAGCAGATATGGAGACAACGGGCCATTTTACAACTCGTCTCGCAGTATTGTGTCCATCTAACGCTGGCATGGATTTGTTTATCCAAGTATGTCGTCTTCGAGGACCGTCTTTTTACAAGCAGGGTGTCCTAACTATCAGATTACAAAACACAGTCGTGCTGAGGTTGTTGAAGCTGTTGCATGATTGGCAAATTGGTCTGCAAAATGTTGGTATGCTCTTTCGTTGGAGATCCAATGAACAGCTGCGAGTTAGTCATGCTCACAAAAAGAGCACATTTGCTGCACCTCTTGAGCCAGTCTATAATCACGTTAGCGAAATACCCTTGGAAAAGGAAGAAATTCGAGTTGTGGAGGTTCCTCTGCGCCCAAGTGGCATGTGTTGGCAGATAAGAGCCTTGAACGCAACGTATGTTCCAATATGCTAATGCTAATGAGTCCACAGAAAGATGACATTATGGAATTGACATCTCCGGGAATCTGTGATTCCATTCTCATTCAGGTGTGCCAACTTTACAGGGCGAGGATGTCGGCAACCACGTTATTCACTGTCTTGATCGGGAACATTGCTCTTGCCTTGTTATACCGTGTGCCTGAACATAGTCAGTTATACATAGTGAAATTTAGATCGATTTCAAATTATGCGAGGCTCATATTTGGATTCCTTGTCGGATCCCGGAAGATCGTTCTGTGGTTTCATTCAAGCCTAATTGAGTCGGTTGAAGGTGCTTGCTGGATTTCGAAAGATGAGGTGCGTTGATGCAATTTCGCGCTATTATTGAGTGTTATAGTGAAGAAATGGGCAGGCATATCAATCAGTTAGGCCTGGGCTATTAGTATATCCGGAGCGAAAGAGAAGACAGTCAACTTGACAGACCCCGTTTCGCTGAGACTGTGTTTGACTTGTGCTGGAGCTTGCGGCTTCGAGTTGGAGGTCGGTAAATACCGCCACAGATTGGGTCAGGTTTAGGTAGTTCAAAAAAGGTAGTTAAGGAGGAATTGATTGTTCGAGAGGTCGATTTGAATATATCATACTGTACATTAATATTGACATTTGGTGTCTGTACTCCGTAGATGTAAACATGCTCATTTCGCGAAACACCCGTTTGGGAATGTCGTGTTGAAATATGTACACTCTATGATACAACTTATTAATTATCCAACATAGGAAGCCCACCCAAATCATCAAACAACCGCGCAATCCCATCAAACGAATAATCAGGAAACCCGAACCCATACGCCCATTCCTAGCCACAATAACATTAGCATCTCAACATCAAAACAAAAAGAGAAGCAAGCGAAAACATACCGGAATGTCAATCCCAATCCCAGCCTGACCAGTCCCCTGCTCCGTCCCCGTCCCCGTTCCTGACCATACAGAAGCCGCCGGGTCAGCATCCCCATGAGACGGCGTAGTAACCACCTGTGTACCATTGGTACTATTATTCGGAGCCCTGAAGTCTTTCAAATACTGCACGATGATCTCGACTGATTTCCGCGCGACGACAGATTCGTCCATGGCTTCTAGGATCTCGACTGCCATTTCGACTGAGCTTGCTAAAGGGAGGGTTTGTGGGCACATGCCTAGTTTGGACATGGGGAGGAGGAGGGTTGTTGTGGCGAACATTACATAAGTTGTGTTGTACCACCTAGATTCATTAGTCTTTTTTTATTTAGAGGGAGGGGAGGGGGAGAAGGCGTACCAGCAGCGGAAGAATGTGTGGATGCGGTAGATGTCGTGGATGACTTCGATGGTTTTCATGGCGGCGTCTAGGCATTTGTTTATTGTTTGCTCTAATTCGGCTGGGGTATGTCTTAATTTGCGTGTAAAGTGGCTCAGGAATGGACGGAATAGTAGCATTTTAACGTTGTAGTAGCCTGTACTGTTGAGCCATCATTCATATCACAGATCAGTAGGAGTACTCACGAATTCCCAAAACCAACCGTTGTCTTCTCGCCCACTTCGGATCACGAAGCGCACCCCCAGACGCTGGTTGCCTTGCGAGGTCAGGCTTAATTCTTGGAGGCAGCCTAGCTACCCATTTGTCCATTTCTTGTTCGATTTGGAGAGCAAGCTGCAGTTTGTCTTGCAGGGTGAAGCGCGAATGGTATATTTGCACGGAAACTTTCCGGATGATCTGCGCAAAGTCGACCATCCATGGTATGATGGCATACTCGGAATCATCGCGTTCTGGGAGAGAGCGGTTGTGGTATTCGTCCATACCGAGAGTATCTGGGCGGCCTACCGAGAAACTCATCTCGCTTTAAAGAGTCAGTGTAAGTTTTTTCCACTTGTTGTTACCAATCGACTTACATTTCAAGAGAAAAGAGGCCCCTATCAAAGGTGTTAGTAGAGATCACTTGGGATTGTTGGGATCGTGTTTAGATGCTTACCACCACGTCTTCGAGATCCAACTTTCCCGTTGATCCTTTGGGTTCCGCACTTCACGATTAAACCCAGCAGATAAACATGTCCGTATAGCAAGCCCAAGGTACATATACGCCACTGTACATTTAGCACGATGTCAATAACTCAAAAAAAAAAGGTGTGAACTTACAATTCGGATTCAGCTCATTCTGGCATACTTTGGCCTATCAAATATTAGCTTCGCTCCATTTAGAAACCATGGTACACCCACCATAAGATAAAGACACTGCACCGTCTCCAGATCATTCGAAAATTGTAAATAGTTCAAATACATCTGCGCCTCACGAAATAACTTCCGACTCCAGTCAAAGCGCGTCAGTCCGTTCAGGATCTCTTCATCCCATACTCGGACTAACGCCCCAAACGAGAGAACACTGAGATATAGCGCGACAAAACTAAGTGACTGTTGATGATTCCGATTGAGCCACAAATCATGCGCGCGAGTCATAAAGTCATCTTTGTCAATGAACGGGTGGATGAAGTGGATGTTCTCAAAATAGCCATTCATGAAAGCATGGGCCTGATCAAAGTAGAAATTCTGATTTTGGAGGAACTCGGGCTGTACAGGTCCGGTTGCACATGATGGTGAGAAACTAGAATTATGCAATGTTGAAATCAAAGAATATGAGCCGTCCGGTGGGCGCAGATTGGACAACTCTTCTGGCCGTTTCGGCTCTCGCGCTTTCTCAAGGTGTCCTATAAAAGCAGCAGAGGATGTACTGCCGTGAAACTCTATCCCGTTGGTGTGGTGATTAAACTCGCTGATCTCTTCTTCGGTGCTATCTGCAGACCCGTCTCGATTGTCCCCGGACACGGCGGCGTCTTCCTTAGGCGTTGATTCATGTTGTGATAATGAACATGGTGTCGCAGTAGTAATGGGCTGTGTTACTGCCCTGTCTCCCGGAACTGTTGCTAACCGGGAAGGATGTGGCGAAGGTTGCGACGCACCACTCGACTCCAGCGTCCGCAGCCTGGACGACAGCTCTTCTACCCGTTTCTCCAAATCGGAAACATAGCTGGGGAAAAAAAAAACCATCCAATTAAAATCAGAGCCCCCAAAGCAAATCACATAGACATACCTCGTGGATCTTGCATCCTCCCTCGACCGGAAGTTCCCCTGATATTTACAATCCACCTGGCTCTCTTCAAAAAAGAAAATGTCAGCCCCTATCCATCCAGAAAAAATGACACTCACTCACTCTTACAATGCGAACAAGGATATGATTCGTCACATTTATACTTCTTCGCCCGACACCGATCACAAGCCTGCGCTGCGCGTGGTCGTTTCGCCTTCGGTTGAACGGCGTCATCTCTAGCCGTAGCTGCAGGACGGCGCAGAGGCGACGATGAAGTCGGGCGCTCCATTATCCAGTCATGTTATATACGGACTATCATGTATGTATGTGCTGTATTCTTATCAGTGACTTCCCTGGCGAAGGGATGATATCAGTGTGCTGTAGTAGCTAGAAGGGAGTCAGTTGTATGGGGGAACCGAACGCGCCGGAAATCCCGACAGACGGCTGCGTGCAGAACCACGTGATTACCCCGCGGGGATGGTTTCTGCAGGACCAGCAGGGATTGAGATTAAGGGCCGTTGAGTTTGTGGGGAAGATGTATTGTATTGGAAATCTCTAAATGTATGCTCAGATGTACAATTATAGCTCGATTGTGACGTTGAAGTCTGCTGTCGCGGATTCTACACTTGCCGAATCCCATGCCGGTACTTGATCGGGTAAAACAACGCCTGCGAATGGAGTTCCTAAACGGTGGATCAGTGCCTCGATGCCATTGCCATCGGTGAATGACCAGACCCGAACATATCGGCTGGCAAAATCTAGAGCGAAAGCCTGGCCTGCTGGGATCACGACCGTTTCACCTTCCCGGAACACAGCATCAGGGGCTCCTTTAAGACGGACAACCAACGTTCCCTCCTGAACACACAAACAATGGTCCACCGACCCGAATGTCATATATTTCGAGAACAGTGTCGAGCCATAAGTCTGTGACGACTCGATGCTAGAAATCGCGCAAACGTCACTACTCTGAGCAGTAGTAATAAATGGCCGCGACATGATACCACCAAACATCCACCGTGGCCCACTATTGGCTCGCAGGTAAAACGCCTGTGGACTACCTGGTAACTTCTCATCTTCTTCAGTCCAATCGCCCACCTCGGGCGGTTGATAGTTGGGCTGAAACACGACATCGAATTGTTCCTTCGCGGCCATAATTTTAGGGATCAATAGGGACTTCAAGTCACGGACATCATTCTCAGGGACAAGGAGTCCCTCAAACGGTTCTGACACGTAGCGGAAGAAGTCCACCCAATCGCCTGGAGTAATCAAGCCAAAGATCTCCGTATGCGGACCAAGCATTTCTGGGTTATGAATTACCGTCTATATAGTCAGTATATATCACCATTAAAAACACGGTGGAATAAACATACCGGAGGCACATAAGCAAAATCCCCCGGTCCCATAATCCGACACTTATCGCCATTCCACAACTTCAAATATCCCTTCGTAACAAGAAAGACGTCATGCGCGTGGTTATGATAGTGAAATCCCGGTGCATCGGAGAGCACAGCACCACTTTGGAAAACCGCCATTAGCCCATTTGTCTGCTTTGACGATGCGAGAATGCGAAAGACGCCTTTGCTGCCTGGGATGGTGATGCGTTCCCCTTCAAGCTGGGGAATCGCATACGGAACCCGCGATTGAGGTGGTTGGTTGCTCCATGACAACGCCATTGTTGAATATGAATATAGAGTTTATTGTGTCCAGGTAATGATAGGATTGAATATGTATTTGGCAAGAGAATGCTTGGAGACTGGAGGTAGAGTTGGGGTACATGTCGGGATGTGGGGTAGTGCCGAGGTCGGAGAAGCCGCATCGGAATTTCCGGCTGGTTTGAACGGCATATTAAGACGGTAAATAGTAGCATTTTAGGGTTTTGGAAAATTGCGTGTAGTTGAACAAAGTACACTTCCTTCTTTTTATGGCAGTTCGGTACCTTATCCTACTATGGTCTTCCCGTTTTAGATACGCACTGGCCAGCCAAGACAACTTACTCTGGAGAATCTTGTTTTTGCTAATTTATTCAATCGACAGCATAGCACTTCTAGCAAGCTAATCTAAAGACATTAGTGCCCCCTATGATTTGTTTCCATCTAAAATTCGTCTCAAACTCTCTATTATTCAACGCATATATATATATATATATATAGGACACCACGGAACGGGCCGTAGTGGGGACAGCGGAGCAGCCTCTATCTAGTGCTGAGACATTATAGCTCCTTCATAGATAAATGATCTTCGATACAAAAATCAATGTGTACTATCCCCGGATCGGATCGATGATGCAGGTATCCGTCAGGATATGACAAGTACCGTGGGCAACTACACCACGAGCCGTTTGCGCAAGACAAGCATCGACACGCCGTAAACCATCCCGACCAGCGTAGTATAAACTGAGTTGTACATATAACTACGATGGAGGGTAACGACTTGACGAAGCCAGTATTTATCGAGTTACTAGTATTCTACAAAGAGAACCACAAGCAAAGAAATAACTATTGCAATCGTGAAAGACCTGACTATAAAAGAATAGATTAATGATCCGTACGCCAGAACCAGCTCATAAAAAAAAAAAAAAAAAAAAAAATTCCCACCGCAGTAGAGATCCAAGCTCGCCCAAAGAAAAACAAAAAAGAGATTGCGTAATAGTGCTATCATTTAGTCTGAATTCCCGCTCTGAAATCCACGATTAGACAAAGTAGTCAGGCGGCAAAGAAGCCAGCAGAGCAATGGTACCAAGTCCACCAATCACTGCGCCTGCCAGAGCCGTTGCAGCATGGGTTACGAAATGTCCACGGCCTTCATCGGAAGTCTTGAGCCGCTTGTTAGGTCTTTCCACTTGGGGAACGGACCTTGATTCTTCAGGCTTGTCTTCGGGAATAGAATAGTGGCCAGTGTGCTGAGTTGAGCCGTCAAGGTCGTGCAGCGATGGTCGTGGTTGCGCATCTTGAGAAACGTTCTCCCTGTTAATGTCGACTACATGTTCGCTAGTGCCCAATGGTACAGTGTTGGCACCGGATGCGTAAGCATTGACGGACGATTGACCAGCATATTCGTCAGGGTAAGGGGATGCTTGAGGCATCGCGACCGACTCCATCTCATCTGCCTTCCTCTTTGGAGGGGGTCCTTGCGCAGGTCGGGCCTCCTGCGACCGGCTATCAACAATGTCGGAAATACAGAGCCGGGTATTAGGTTCGCCGGAATAATCAGCTGAGGTTGTCTGCTGCATCCTTGACTGACCCGAGAAGCCGGGCTTCTCGACTTGCCATTGGTCTTCCGCATTATATATGTCGTTCTTCACAGGAGACACACCGCTCAAGCCATTGTAGGAGCTAGGAACCACTGGAGGGATTACTGGAGCTGAGAGGACTGTCTGTCGTGGCTGTCGTCTCACGGGAAGAGCATCGAATCGAGTGCAACGTTGCCCAAAGGATCTAGGTGCCGTTCCGATTTCAAAATGATCACACTGTGGCACGGCTTGTGGTTCCCACCCACTAGATGACAAAGCATTTAGACTAGGCAGACGGGGGTATGAGTTACCGGCCTGCTGCAAAGACGACCTTTGGATAGCATACGGATCACAAAGCATCGCTGGCGAAAGGGGGTCTGGTCTGGCGAAATTATTCGTCGGCCATGCTTTATCAAGGTTAAATTGGCCTTCTTCAGTGTTCTGTTGTTGAATGTTCTGCGGTTGGACAGTCGTAGCAGAGCCACCGAACTCGACCCGCGTTTCATTGTCTGTCTGTGGCTGATGCTTATTCTCCAAGTTATCGCCGTGTGAGGTTGCATCTTCGGATTCACTGTCCATCTCTGAGTCAGAGGACTCTTCATTTGAAGATTCACTATCTGAGCCAAATCCATAGCTTATCACATCCTCTTCATCCCAGTAATCAAATCCAGTGGCGGGTTGGGACTCCCTGGGAGAGCTTGCGACGGAGGATAAGTGATCCGAATCGTGGTCCATGGCGTCGACATCAACACCGACATTTGTGACATGGTCGTTCAAAGCATTTGAGATAGGTGGAGGAGTCATCCTCGGCGTCACGGGAGCCTCGTCACCATCGAGAACAATGGGACTGCCCGAGGTTGCGTCGGAGGGGTCTGAATGACCTTCCTTGAGTGGGCCCTCTGTGGGTTTGGATTCGAAGCCCAAAGAGACTTCCTTAGTTGACGGCGAGGTTATTGGCGTAGAGCTCTCTCTAATCTCGTGGTTTTCTGCGCCATCACTCTGCTCGGAATACTCAGACTTGTGGTCCTGGGGACTCATAGGTCTAGCCGGCACGGAGTTGTCAGCCACCTCGACAACATCACTGTCGTCATCATCATCATCAGGAACGACAAAAGTGTTAATAGGATAGCTCTGTTTTCTGGCTGCGGTTTTCTCCTTTGGTGCATCATCACTAATTACGTTAGTTATCCGGATAAGGAAAACGTGCGGAGGACATACCTAGAATCGAACCACTCGCATCCACAACGAACCCTAAGCGGGGGGAACGTTTCTATAGCCAGTCAGTTTAGCATACCGAAAATTCCAGGAGAGTTAATAAACCAACCAGCACCACGAGTAACATCCGCACCAAAAGTCAAGACATCGCCACTTTTCACAACGACATCTTGCTCAACAGGAATCCTTCTGTCATTCACCCAGGTACCATGCATGGAACCGCCATCACGAATAATGACAGTCTGCCAACACTCAGTATACGTCCAGTATCTCATGGTGGGGAGTAAGATAGAGGTACCTTCTCCGCCATATTCACTCCGATCCTCGCATGGTCACGAGACATGACCCTCGAGTCGAACCAGGCGTTATAATGAGCGGGGACTAGATTCTTGGTTTCCCGTTTCGAAGACCGGCCGATATCAACGTAGTCATCGTCAGATGCGAAGGTTAGAGATCGAAAGGAGAAGGTATCGGGAGAGTAGAGGGGGTGAAGGGTCACGACGGCTGTGGAAAGTATATGTTAGTTGTATTCAACGAAATACTGCCCAAATTCTCTCACTCATAGCAGGAGGGGAAGTAGTGTACCTTGTCGGTCTGGCATGGTGAACAACTGGACCTTGAGGGACAACTCTGGACGCTGGGCGTGGACTTGAAGGTATCGGCAAGACTGCTGTCACTAAGCCTTAGCAGGGTCAGTTATCAGAGCTGACAAGAAGTAGGAGAGAGAGAAAGAACGGTGAGAAAGAGATAAGGTAGTAGCGACATACCTGGACCTGTATAACATGAACAGGAGTAGCTGAGTCAACCGTTGATACAACTGGAGCTTGTTGGTAGACGCAGATAGATATACAGGAAGAAGAAAAAGAAAGGGGGAGCGTAGAGAGAGAGATAGAGAGATAGATAGAGAGAAGAAGAAGAGAAAAGAGGAAGAAGGTGTGTTGGAAATGATGACGAGAGCCGACGGTAGAAAGAGAGAAGAGGAGGGGCAGCCGGAGGAATGCAGTAAGTGGATGGAATCAGGCTGAGGTCAACGCGGCAGTCGCCGGTCACTTTTGCGCCCACGGAAGCTGCACTATTTTGTTTGCTATTCCGATTACTTTCGAACTATTCTAGGCGTACAGTACAGAGTACTTTGTAGTCTACTGTTTTTGCCCGAAAGACGGTCATCATGGTATACAGGGATGGTCTGGCTGTACTGGTACATGCATTTACTCCAACAAGTCCTGTGAGTTGGAGTCTGGTCGCAGTCCCTTACTTAATCCACCGACCGATATTCTATTCTACTATATAGACTCCTCTATTCACTCTTCCTTCATACATACACTCCATACTCCTGATCGATCCGTCGGTCCCGCAATGACGCCGATGCCTGTTCATTATGGTCGTTAATTGGCGGATATCAGGCGGGGTCCCGTGCACTGCGGGTCACCTGATTTCGATCACTGATAACACGATAAGAGCACGGTATTATCCCATACAGGTACATACTTGTAGTCGTTCATTCACTATGATACAGACATTCACTTCATACTCTTCATCGTCAATCTAGCATAGCAAGGTAGAATAAGACAAAAAGAAAAAAAAAGAAAGAAAGGGATAAACGAAACACAACAACTCTTTTTGGTGAACCGACGCAAAACAAGCAAAGGAGATGGGAGATTGTCGAGATGCGGCCAAGCAACGACAAGGGTAATTACATTCAAAGTTGGCCCAAGAGCCAGAGGAAATGGTGTATTAAGGATATACGTGATCCCGATATCCCGTTTAGAGAAGACACGGTGTAGAAGGGGAGAGCAGAAGGGAATAGAGCAAGGATCAGAAGAAAAGGAAAGATATGATTAGCCCACAGATATCTACAGCGATTCCTCAATTAACGACTGGCCTTCTTTACAGACCGGGACCGGCACCGGCACCAAGCCCGGCACCCATGGTTTGCAATCGTGCTGCCAGCTTGGGGTACTTCTCTTGCACCTCCAATTGTGTCCGTGTCGCCTCGGCATACGAGATGGCGTTAACAATCTCGGCTTCCGTACGGGCCAGTTCCGCTGCCCGCTCGAAGTACTTGAGTGCCTGCGAGACCTTGCCTTGTTGCAGGAGCAGCTGGGCCATGGTGCCAACGGCGATATCGCATTCGGGGTCGACTACAATACGTTAGAAAATCGTATAAAAGCGGTCAGGAGTTACAGAAACTTACTGATTAGAGCCTTCTGGCAGAGGTTCTCCGCCTCTTGGAAGTCATGCTTCCACTGGAACAAGGCAAGCGCCTTGTTGATCAAAGGCAGGACATTGATACCCATAGGCTTGATCTGCTTCTCCATGTCGACAGCCTTGTCGAACTTCTCAATGGCCTCGGAGAAATTCTGTTGGTCGAGCAAGAGCTCACCATAGTAGTTGTAGACATCGGGGACCTCCTCAAAGTTCTTCAGCGATCTCCGGAAGGTAGCCATGGCGGATGCAACGGAGCCCATCTTGTACTGAGTCACACCAAGCTGGATGTGGGAGTAGATGAAGGTACGGTCAAGATCAATCGACTTCTGGTAGTCCTTGGCGGCTTCCGCAAACTCTCCGAGGATGAAGTGGAGCTGAGCACGGTGATAGTAAATGTCGGGGTCATCCTTGTTGTGGGTAATGGCGAGCTCGAAGTCATCAGCGGCGGCATCCTTGTTTCCTACAGATCGTTAGAACAGAATCCTGAAAAGTCACAATTAAACATACCAAGCTCAAGGTGCAAACTGGCACGCTTGATGTAGCTCTGCACCAGGGACGGCTGCAACTCGACACTCTTTTCAAGATCAGCCAAAGCACCCTGGGCGTTACCCTCAAGGTAGGTGAAGGTAGCTCTCATGTTAAGCGCCAAAGCCTCGAATTCACCCAAGTCGCCAAGTTCCAGAGCCTTCTCGAAAGCAGCAGCAGCCTCTTCGTAGCCATCACCGGTCTTCTTGCTGACGCCAATCAATCCCTTGCGCAGCTCACTCTTTCCAGACTCCTCGGGCAGCTCGACAGACTCCTCGAGACCCTCAGGGAGTGGCTTAGGGCGGAAGCTCTGGAGGTAGTTGGAAACAAAAGTGGGGCTGGGGAGCTTCTTGCCCTTGGCCTCGAGAATGGCCTGACCCTTGTGCTCCGCAACCTTCTTCAAAAGTCTCTCGAGGGAGTTACGGCTCATTTCGTTGGAGAAACCGTCCATAATGCAGCTGGCGGTGAAATCGAGGAGAGCTTCGCTGTACTTCTCGAGGTGCTCGTAGGCAATGGCGCGACGGTTCAGGGCCTTGACGTACTCGCTGTCCATCTGGAGCGCGGCAGAGGTGTCCTCCACGACCTTTTCCCATTCCGACATGACATTGTAGCAGGCGGCACGGTTAGAGTAGTAGACGGGATCGGGCTTGCAAATGATAGCCTTTCCGTAGAGTTCGATGGCTCGGTTGTAGTCCTTGGAGCCGTAGGCCTTGTTACCGGCGGCCTTCAGCTTACCGGCGTATATCTTTTTGGTCTGTTATGATTCCGACAAATCAGCATCTGCCAACCCCGTCCCACGAAGATCGCCAAAATCGCTTAACACGAACCTCTTCCGACAACTGGCCAACGGTCGTCTCGTCCACCTCAGGAATGTCTTCGAGAGGCTCCTCCTTTTTAGCTGTTTGTTCTGTGAAACGTCAATTCAAACTTTTCCCGTTTTCGTATATATCTATATGCGGTTGGTGTAAACACCGGGCGCATAATATACCTGTGGGCTGATAACAAGATAAACATACCTTCCGGAACAGACGCAGACTTGGCCTTCTCCTCAGCCTTCTTCTTCTCTCTCCGTTTTTGGTTCTTGGTCTTCTTCTTCTCTGTGGCTGCCGCGGAAGCTGTAGTGGTCTTTGCGGGGGAGCTCGAGTCCGAGAGGTAGTAAACCACACCAGCGCTAGTCACGACGACTGCGACACCAGCAATAGTATAAACAAGCGCCTTATTCTCCGACACCCATTTTGAAATGCGATCCCACACGCCCGAAGTAGTCGACTCTGGGAGCGAAGTCGTATCGACGACGACGTTCTTGGATAATGACGATTCGCTCATGGTGGGTTGTGTGTTTTTTAATTGTTGATGTTATGAATGTGTGTGTGCTATGTGATTACCCTAAGTAGCGGAGTTTGCAGGGAAGATATAAGAAAAATAAAGAAACCCGGAGATATAAAGTGGTAATCAATAGCCACGAGCAGCGAAAAGCAGCCTCAATGGAAGGTTTGGAGGTGGGAGAGAAACGCAAGGCGAGTGGAAGGAGACCACCTGAAAAAGTTCAGTTGAGGCGTCTCCCGGCCAATCGCGGGCGGCCCTGCTCCACCGCCCACATCATTCGATGACCATCTTTAACAACCCATTGTTCATAGCATATCGCAGAGAGCAAGGGAGACTGTCCTTACCGATGCAGTCCTCGGAATCAGAAGACTGCGCTTAAGATTCCAATTGACATTTTTACCCTACAGTATGATCTCGAGGCACGTGTGAACATGCAAGCTATGGCCAGGAACTAACATCCTATGACGGAATCCTCGGTTCGACGGCTCGCTCGGGATCAAGTTACGGGAGCGGGCAATTGATATCCAGAACCCGTTGCGATGGCTTCAGATAGTACCCAATCTTTTCAGATCATCTCGTCTCTTCGTTATGACCCGTCTCTTCCAGCTGTCGTGGCCCGGCACGCCGCACAGTCGTATCCGGAGCCCCGCCCAACACCTTACTACCTCCTCCCATACCACCTGGACCGTCTGATCAGCGCAGCACGGCACTTCAACTGGCACCACGCAGTTCAATTCCTCGAGCAAGGTCTCGAGAGCTTCACTTCCGCCCTCGATAGCTTCATCCCCGACCGCACAAAATCCTGGCGCCTTCGCATCGTCATCGAGGATAAACCAGGCGCCGGGTTAACAGTCGATGCGAACCCAGCAGGCCCAATTGACCCCCACCAGCTCCTTCTGTCTTTCGCGACCGATGCAGCGCAACAGTCGACCCCATGGCGCATCTACGTGGACACCCAGTCTACGGTTCCATCTGCTTTTACCACCCACAAAACCACGGCGCGAGAGTACTACACAGCCGCGCGGCATCGCGCGGGTATCATATCCCCTCAGGACCAAGTGGAAGTACTGGTGGTGAACCCCGCGGGCGAGATAATGGAGGGGAGCATTACAACCCCATATTTCCGGCGGCGGGGAAGCTCTGTTAATCAAGATAACCCTGATAATCGTCTGGAATGGATCACGCCGCCGTTATCGTGTGGCGGGAATGCGGGGACGACGAGACGGTATGCGCTGGCCCAGGGCTTCTGCACTGAGCAGGTAGTTCCGGCATCGAAGCTGGTGGATGGTGAAGAGTGTTGGATCAGTAATGGAGTTAGAGGGTTTATGCGTGGGGTAGTTGTTCTTAGACAGCAAGCGTAGAAGTTAACATTTCGTGCCTTGATGTGATATCAGATGCGTGATGTATGTCGATGCATATATAGCTCTCCACCCAATAAATAACTATATATATCCGAGGTCGGTTATGCATACAAGAAGCTCACGCCAACTATCTTTAGCTCAAACCTTAGTTCAATAACAAGGAACATAAGACCCAATTTGTTATTGGAGCTATTATCAGCATGCCGGTCTCTGTAGTCCTGCCCCTCACCTCAAATCTAGAACTGCATTCTTTCCCTTTCATCTTCACCAATTTTTCATCGAGAAAATAAACAGACAACGACAGAAAAAAAGATAACCATTTCTTCCGTTTTCCTCGACCGCCTTCTTCGACCTTGTGCCCACAGAAGAGGAAGAGACGACTGAATAGTGCAACAAGCTTATCGGCAAGAAAATAGGCGAGACTACCGATGCTACTATATGCTTCTAATTTCTTTATCACTAGTTATTTTTATAGAAGATGTAGACCGACGCTTATTCAATAAATACAATTTGTAGTGGAAGATCTCCCAGCAGGACGCCGAGTTATATCCCCTAATAGGGGCATCTGGTTTGACTTTATAGAGGATGGGTAAGCGTCCCTGGCTTCTCATTTTAGAGCGATGACAGACTGGTGGCATGCTTTCATAACAGACTGAATTTCCATTTAGATAGAGAAGGTGCTGTCGTTGATGTCGGCTTTGGATGATGATACTATATCTGGAATAGTACACTAATGTTCGTGCATGCCTCATCATATCATATGATCTTTTATACGTGACTCCATTCTGCATAGCTAGGGTATTCGTCAAGTAACCATTTATTTCTTCTCCTTGTCAACCTTAATAGGGTTGGGGTTCCCTGTCCACTCCAACGGCCGCTGGCTCATATACTCATCCAAGATCTCCACTGTCACTTGAGCTCTCCGCTCTTGGAAGCCCTTAACATACTCCTGTAACTCAGCAATGCACCTCTGCTTGATCTCGCCTGTGAGCATCTCTCCCTTCTCATACGCAACTCGAATACGCTCAAGCTCGTCATCGTCCTCCAAGAAGAAGGTAAGGTACTGGAAGGGGACGTCTGCCTTGGTGTTTCCGCCATGCTGGCGCTGCAGTTCTGCGGTGTCCTGGCCACCAGAGAACGCGTACTTGTTGATCTTGTTCTTGATGCGGCTGGCTGCGTCGCTCATGAAGATAGCGGAAGTGTCGACGGAAGCGGACATCTTAGAGCCGGGACCTTGCAGGGCGGGGAGGAAAATGGAGTGGATAAGAGCAGGCTTCTTGAACTTCATCTTCTCGGCGTGCTCACGGCACTGGCGGAAGTAGGGGTCCTGGTCGATGGCGCAAGGGATCAGGCAGGGGATCGAAGCGACCTTCTTCTTATCGGTACCGAAGATGTGCGGGAAGCTGGTTGCGAAAGCAGAGGCGGATTGGGTAGCGCAGAAGTGGAACTCGCCAACGTTGTTGCTGTCGTTGAAGCCAAAAGTTCCCCGGACGGAGTTGATTGTGATTCTCTTGGCCATTCTGCACATGTTCTCGTAGAAGGCGCCACCGATGAAGTCAAAATCACTGAATATGAAGGTCTTCTTCATGTCGAAACCAACTGCGATAATGTCCATCGCGTTTGCCTTGGCGTACCGCTTCGCATCGTCGATCTCGATCTTTTGCGAGTGCATGAATTTCTCGTCGTCTGTTAACATGATGACCAATGGGCACTGGAAGACATCCTGCAACCACCTAGCACGCGCAAGCATTAGTATCCGTCACATGCTATGAAAAAAGGGAAACAAAGAGGCGTACTTGGTGAACTCGAACGGGATCGTGTGCCCCACGTGCATACTGTCACTACTCGGTCCCCGTCCAGTATACAGATAGAAAGGCTGCCCCTTCTCATAGCGATCAAGAATCAAATTCAATTCGCGATGACTGAACACAATGCCCCGACGCATGAACCGGTGCGGGCGATGACCAGTGACTCTCTCAAAGCGCTCGAGCAGCTCCTTGCTAATCCGATGCGCACCGAATTCCCGAACCAGTTTATCATAGTCGACCGGAAGTAGCTTTCCAGATTCATCGACACCACCAGAAACGTCAAAGGGAGTAATGATCTGTTCGACGGCCTGGGAGCTGGGGGCTTGGTCGGCGAGACTCAGCGTTGTGAGCGCGGGGGGTTGACCTGGTTCGTCGGCCATTGTGATGTCGAAAAAGAAACGAGAAAGGAGGACAGAAAAGAAATATTTAGCGAATGCAAGATTAGACAGGAAAATAGAAAAAAAGTCTCTGTAAAGGTGCTCAGTCGGCGCTATACAGACACAGATGCCCCTCCGAGATGACTCTTTTTTCCCGATGGCCGGCCCTAAGATAATCGGCTCGCGCGCTGATTTGACAATGAAAACAAGCAATCACGTGACCTTGGCATAAAACCCCGCATTACTGAACGGGTTTAGCGTCATAACGGAAGCTGCCAGAAATTCTCCAACCGAAGCAAAACGCCATCATTACCGAGCAGACGACATCACGCAACAATTCTCTACAAGCATATATTCTCAACGATAAAATCGATTCTTGTCTCTATCTCAACATCAGAGCATCTGCTTATGAATTCTACATCATGAAGTTCTTCGAGAACAATTTTACCTACGATTATTCTTTTCCCGCAGTTTCTCTAGCCTACTTCCTTCGCTATCCGAATCCGTACTCCCGTCATGTCCTCACCACCGACGTTATCGACCGTTATGTCGATTCTAAGACCCAGCGACTTCACACCACTCGATTGCATTTGAAGAAATCGAAAGTTCCTTCGGGTATATTGAAATTGCTCCCCAAGGGCATGGGCGGCTCGGACAACTCGGGTCAAAGCTACATCATGGAGACGACCGTTGTCGATCCCAAGGAAGGCTGGATGCACACGGAATCACGCAATATGGAATGGACCGGCGTTCTGAGCGTAGTTGAGAAGCAATTCTTCGAGCGTCAGCCGATTGAAGGCACTTTGGAGAGCCTCGAGGGGCTTCCTCTTGATGATAAGAGGAGCGGCGAGAAGACCACGGTCAAGACGACCGTTATTTTCAAGTCCCGCCTTGGACAAGGCAAACTGTTGGGCAATAAGAAGAAGACTGAGTCAATTGGTGACCAGGCCGGTGAAGCTGAAGAGCAGGCACCGAAACAGGGCTGGTTCTCCTCCCTGTCCACTGCGGGCATCCAACGCAGCATTGAGCTCATTGGTGTCAGCCGGACCAGGGATGCTGTGCTTAAGAGCAAGCAGGGCATGAATGTGGTCCTCGAACGGCTGCGGAATGGCGGCATCGTCGGCGTTCTGGAGGGCATGCGGCAGGATCGAGAGGCTCTCTATGGACCCGAAGGCCCGTGGAAGCGAGTTTGGACTAATGGCAACGGTCTTAAGGATACTGACGATGGCAACTGAGCCAATCAAGATTGTTGTGGCGTTATGCGGGTATGGTACCACAAATTGTGACATCTCACCATGTTTTCAGCGTGGAGCTTTGGCGTTTTACTGATTGACTTTTTGATTCTGGTTTACCTCTGATGGACACTCTCCCATATTTTCGACATCTGTCCAAATCTTTGAAAAATTTTTGTTACACCAGCACATCACGCTGCGGAATGTGCTGCGATCACGGAGTACGAGAAAGAGTCACGAGCACAAAAATACTGTACATTAGCGGAGGGGGAAGGCACCTCATGTGTGTGATGAGGGGCATTTCTGTACTATATCTATTCTATTTGATGATCTAGCATTGAACATGTATCTTTTTCAACTTCTATAAATTTTCAAAATTTTCTTTTTGAAAAAAAAAAAAAAAAAAAAAAAAAAAAAAAAAAAAAAACACCGTACTGTAGCGTAGCATTGAAAAATGGATGCCTTAGTAATATCCGCAAACCGTCTGGCATCGGCCGAAAAATCAACAACACGGACAATCTGACTGGCCCGTTCAGATTGGCCTAGCCGTTGCACGGAGATACGAAAAGGAATCAACACGAGCAACAGTGGTGGTAGCCCTTCAAAGAAACCACAATCCAAGTCAATGACTTCTAGCACATATACATGTACTTGTCCAAGTGCACGTGACCATACTGTCGCCGCTCAAACGGGCAAGGAGGCAAACGAGCTTGATTGATTGAAAGAATCTTATATTTTTTTCTGAAGTGTCAGGAACGTTGCAGACCGTTGGGCGGGCCCTACGCTGCACAAGTTTAACATTCACATCGCATACACATACATTCCTACGGCGTACGGCACACAGTGCACAGCGTACATAGCGGAGGATTTTGCCGGTCGTCGTCCTTACATATACTACTTATCATATAGCTGCATGGTATCACAGGAACTGCAACCAAATACCAAAGCCTACCATACCAAGCAGGAAAAAGAAAGGAACCAAAAATGAGCTTCGATAATCTTCGCCAAGATTTCACCATCCACGCAATCCCTGAAATCGACGACGACTTAGAAACCACAGCAAACAAGCTCAAAGACCTAGCCTCTGTAGTGCAAAGAGGCAACAGCCTCGCTCTCTGGACGGGTCTGAAGGCAGCAACCCCGCAGCCACGCAGTGATGCGGTGACAAATGCGCGAATGCAAATGACGCCTTCGGAGCGGCAAGCTTATGATGCGTGGAAGGAGGGGAAGTACCAAATTCCAGAGTTTGAGTGGACGGGGAACGTGGCTGTTGTTCCGAAGGGAGCGCAGAGTTTGAAGAAGTTTGAGAAGAGGGCGATTGCTATGGATATTATTTGGGGATGGAGACCCTTATCTCAACCTGAAAGGGAAGATAAGGGAGAAGAAGGAGAGGGGTCAAGTGCAAGTGACAGTACCAGTATGAACGCTAGAGCCACGCCAGAGAATGCGTCGTGGTTGACGTTTAACATGCCAGCCACGCTACCGCTGATTCAAGCTGTCGTCCGGGTGTTGAACGCGGAGAAACAAGCGCAGCAGAATCCCCACGCCGGGTTATCGGAGATGGAAATTGTCGAGATGGAAACGGCGCGCAAGATTGTGGCGGCCGCCGAGAGGAACCGTTCCCGCGAGTTGGAACGCATCCGTCTTTTGACTCGGTCGATTACTCAGAATACGGAGGTGATGAAAGCTCGGATACAGAGCCTGGAGAAACGGCTCCAGTCATCATCGTCACCATCAATGTCCGTATCACCGTCACAGTCGACACTGGAAACCACGGCCCCTAGGGGGGAGAAGCGAAAACAGCTTGAATCGGATTGATTTCGGTGCACTGTGCCGTATACTTCGTACTCTATACGGATATTGCCGGACTACCGAGATAACTTTGGGCATCTGAACACATGATTCAAATTTAGGACAGGCCATGGACTTGGTTTTGGCATGATGCAAGGAATTTCCTCAATATCAAGAATATTGCCGGCATTTTTATCCATTGACCCATACCGGGATTGGGGATGTTTACGGCGGGTTCCGTGCACCGGCATAACAGCAAGCATTGGCGATGAGGTCATAGACCCATAGTACAATACCCTGTAATATCAGTAATACCGTACGCTGCAGGAATGCGGGCATTTGATACATTAAATTGGTGTTATTTGCATGAATCTGACACATTTCTTCTAAATTCAATAGGTGAGTTACTATGTGCTTGTGAAACTGTACTGCCAATAACATTGAAGATATGCACTGTCAAGATCAACAAGAAGATCAACCGAAGACATGTCTATCACCAAACGGCCGTGATGAACCCTTTGTGAAGAAGATCAGGACCACTGTAAGAAAACTCTTCAGATCCGGAGGAGTCGGAGTTGGTAGTAGTGGAGTAGTCTGGAACACTAGTCCCTGCAAGGGTGATACACTGTACTCTATGCTCTGTACTATACAAATGATATTTGATACTATCCAAGTACTCCGTATAATTCTCGTGGTACTAGCAGTTTAGTGGAAATAGTCCTACACTGTACGGAGTAGCATTCCGTAGAGAGAGTGTCTCCTTGGATGGTGCTCTGGTGTTCAGAGTAGCAACACAGAATAGCAGTGCACGGAGTAGTACATAGTGGAGGCAGTAGCACTGTAATACAAATACACTAGCGTTACCGATCGGCAAACTAACATACTATATACGGAGCACAGCTATGCGTCAGCCACTCACATTGCCGAAAACAGCGCCAAGAATGCCCGACCACCAGGGGCGGTGGACCCATCCCTGTTTTGGTGACCCTGCGTAACGGTATTACGGTAATGCGTCGGGGGGATCCGATTGTCATCATCCAATGATAGATCATAATTGCACCTACCGCCCAGACCCTTTTCCACCCTTTCCCTCCCACGGCGAAACCAGCCAAACTCTCTCTCTCTCAAATTCTCTCCTCTCGTTTATTTCCCTCTTATTATCCGTTCATTATTCTTTTCTCTCTTTTTCTTCAACACCACACTATTATAGACGCTATCTTTTAATTATCGCCAACCGGTGTATCTCACTGGCTATAATAATAAGCGCTGCGGGACGGCTATTCTTCCAACTCTCCTGGCAACAAATCCCTGATTGGTGAACGAGATCACCCAAGATTATGCCCTTGAACTAACAACTCTCTTCCATCCTGCTATTATTTCTATCATTCCTCTCATCTTTGAGACCTCGAATTTCCAAATACAAGATTCTCTCACTTCATTTCCCACCGACCAGAGGTGACGAGCATGCCAGTTGTTGTCCTGGCCGCTGCTTTTCTGTCCCTGTCGCGCCTCTGAGGTGGTCCTGGTCACTCTACTACTACCGAACAATAACACAATCGATCGTTTTCATCACGGTATACAAGAATATACTCTCCTGTCAATGGCTACCTCGACTTTTGGTGTAAGGTGGTGTCGACCCATCGCGCTGTTGTTGTTATTATGGACAACGTTCCTGCATTTGACCTCGGCTCAGCTATGCACCTTTTGGGATGGGGGCTGTGTTGATCCCCTGGCCCAGACGGCCATCTCGCTCGACCTCCCGCCACTCTTCCTCGAGGACGTTAACTTGTATTACGCCTACGATGCAGATTCCCAGGGTAAAGGCCATGGTCCGATGACCAAGGTTAGTTATTGGCTGCGTTACGGTCGGGAGATCAACAGTTCGGCCATCACCACCAACCGCACATCCGAACTGAGTCTTCGTGTCGGTAATTTGACGGGCACGCCTTCCGGAAACAACAACGGATGTGATGGTATTTGGGGTCCCCGCTGTTCGAGGGATCTGAAGAATTTGTTGAGTGGTGCTGTCTATGAGTTGGCGACCGAGGGTGAATACAATTCGCATCCTTTGCAGACGGTTCTCGACCAGATGCACTCCACTCCGCCCTTTTTGGAAAACTGTCCGCCTCAGTTCTTTGATGTTCAGTCGGCTCCGGTAATTCGTATGTGATCCTACTGTCGATTGGTGGTAACAACAACGTGCTAACAGTACCAGGATTCGCTCAAGAATCAAAGCCAGAACGTACCGCTACCATCCAAACAGCTGGGTCGAACATCAGCCCATGGAAAACATGGTATATCGATCGTATGAGCGCCCGTCAACAGGCCGAACAAGTTGCCGTCGCCATCTTCAGTCGCAGTCCATCCGATGACAGCCCACCTCCTTCCAGTAAAGACGATATACAAATTGAACTGGCTTGTCTTCAAGCCCCGTCCGGAAATAAATTCAACGAAGACCCAGACTCTTAACCGACTCAATTCCATCTTTCCGTTGAATGAATTCGTCGAAATCGCTATATCGCGACACGAACAGCATCTGCACCTTGGACCTTGTTACCAAGCATAGCGCCAATCGTCTACCGTGCGGCTGGTTCAAGACTACCAGACCGATCATCCTGTGATTCAGACGACACCGCTGAGCGGCTATCATGGCGCCTGTGCTATGGCTGTCAACTCCGCAGCAGAGCGAAGCACCAGCCTTGGTCAGTTTCAATGACCTCTGGATATCACTCACGCTAGCTCTATCGCAGCTTACATTGGCTGTCACTCCCTGGCATCATGAGAGCCTGCTGTGGATTGTATATATACGCTTTTGATCTTTTGAATGGATCATGTTTGAGTATCTCTGGTCGGATATACATGCACCACTTATAGAGGACAACAAAATATAGAGATTCTATTCATATACATCCAATCTTATCCTCAACACATCAGATTGTAGGCCAATCCATCTCAATCCCTTCCAACTCCCCCGCCCCCCTAAAATCCTCCACAATACTCGCCTGCTTGCTCAACATCATCCTCTCCGACTGCCTTCCCACCTCCGCCAACCCTCTCCACCTCTCTAAATCCTCCTTCACCTTTTTATTCCCCTTCGCCGCCCCGTTTCGCTCCCAATGCCCCCTCGATAAACCCAACAACGTCGTAACTGTCCCCTGGGGAATATCAAAGACAAGTGAACAAATCGACCCCGTCTCCTCGAGCCAATTACACTGCCACAACTCCCCGGGACGAATGCACTGGTATGTTGCTTCTTGGTAGTTTCGTCGGCCGGCCATGGGTCCGCCATGGATACTGTAGATCACGCGGTCGGCGTTGTAGAACCATATTTCGTAGCGCCATTTGTCCGGGTTGCCGTCGTGGTCGTGCGCTTCATAGTCGTATATAATGTGGCGGTTTGCTAGGTCTGCATCGAAGGTAGAGGTTGTTTCGGTGGTTGGCGGGTTTAGGGGCATGGTGTCACTAGGAGTTTCAGGAGTGCGCGGTGGTCTATGTGGTATGTTGGGCTGTTATCTACCGAGTTGGAATTGGGTTTTGAGTATTTGTGTGTACTTGTAAATGGAACTGTATGCTCTATGCGAGATCGACATGTCCTTGGGCATAAAACGCTGCGGGGAATGACGTCATTATATTTCAATAGCCGACCGAAGATCATCCAATTTGTTACTTCGGGATATCCGATAACACCAGCGCCTGTCACTGGTACGTAGCGCACCTGGTGCAAGCATCGTTATGTTATGAATATCGTATTATTTATGAGTTGCGGTACTACAAGTTTTGATAGTTGTGGGTTTAATCCACCGTATATGAGAATGTTGGGAGTCGTCATTTGACAAGTAATAGGCCCTCATACCCATTTAGTGACTAGTATTGGTGTTAGGGAAACCTGCTTCTCTCGCTGATAGTTGTTCAATGAGCGATAACTATCCCGGGCACCAGAGGGTGTCCTTCCTACTAAGCGGCTATTCACTCTTGCTATGGGAGTTGAAACCTATATACCGTTGTTCGAGAGCAATATAAAATACTCGCTACGCACGATACCATTTCTTAGATAGGTGGCTTACACTCACTCATCTTGATGATATGATAGGAAGAGGGGTCGAACGATGCATAGGATGGGTAATTCTGTAACATAAAAATGGCAGTACTTATTGCAGCCATTAACACTTCGCAGTACAGCTCTTTTCCAAGACTACAGATGTTTTGTGGATTTACTTATACTCTATCCACGGAGTGTATGATTAGAAATTGAGACTTAAGTCCACATGGATAACCGTTTCTGAGTCGAGCGTCGAGCATACTTAGATTAGGAAGAATAGTATTTCAGCGTTTTCAATATCTATCTTCAAGCTCAATTCGAAAGCCGGATGTTTCCAAGTCAGATAGTCTCCCGAATTCACCGATGCACACCGATCGTCGCAATTCTATAGAGCGTCGAGCAAGTAGTCTCATGATGCAAGAAGAGACATCTCAACTTTTCGAAAAACCCACTAGGCGTGCGCGGATCTACCGATTGACACCACCGGCTTTTGACAAGCTCAAAGAACAGCTTAATGCAATAATAGCAGAGATCGTTCGATGGGCGATGAAGTAGGCCTATTTCTGGCTTGATTATCGGATCTAGCCCCTAAATCATCATCAAAAGGCTTTAATATATCATGCTTGGAATGCATGTAGTCACATGTCTTTTCTGCAGTATATACAGGGATTCCAGTCTATTCAGAAACTATGAGAGAGCAGATAATTCTTACGATTTAACCATTTGTGATTCTCTCCTGACTTGCTTTCGTAAAAGATGCCCATGTCTATCGGCCAGTACCATATATTTTTAGTTTCCCTGTACGAATATAATAAACGACAGAAGGAATAATGAACTACCACCGAGTAGTATGCCTTTCGCGGATGGGAACTTGTTATTGAATCAACCTAGGAAAAAACGCAGTCGGTCAGATTATCACTCAGCCATCTGTGCGGTTGCATCCGTTCGTGCAGAATAGCTTATCTCCATTCCATCACCACGGGTTGTGGTCGTAATCATGTTCGATGTTACTGGTGTATAAAAGCAGGAACCTGCAGAAGCATCCACAACGTCGTCACACTGTACGGCTGGGTTAAAAATTTATCAATGCCCTGAAATACTGCCGGAAATCAGCCAGCAACTGCGGACGATCACTGCAATTCTGTTCAATAACCATATGTCTGGGATGGCCGAAGCCCCGCTGTAGGTCTTTCTAGAGTACAAATTAGAAGATTCTGGTTGTAAATCCATCAAGTCTTGCTTACTCTGAGGGCTGGCTGACCCCCTTGATATTTCGACTATTTACATCCTCCGCGGGGAAGTCGGTCTCTACATCTGTTGACGTTGATCCCTTGAGAAATGTCGAATTTATAGAAATAGTATTGGACCTGACTATCCATTCTATAAAGTATTTTTGAGTATTCGCACATATTAGAGAAAGTTAGCGCACTATAAATGATAACTGAGGGTTTCATGACAACTTGCACTTCTTGTCGTGGAATATGACCACAAGGCCAGGAAAAAGGACCTCGAAAGCGAACACATCATGTAATTTGATGACGCTTTGTATCAAAGAGTATTTAAATGGGTACTCTCATGAGTTAAAATCACGTGGAGTGCGCTGGTGATAGCAGCCCGGTTTCCTATTTGGGTACTCCGGAGGTCATCCAATTCCAGGAGGCTAAACAATTAATATTGGGTAGCTGATGACCGATAGTACCGTCCTGTGCTCTGTTTACGCTAATCCTGCTCATTGTACGGAACCGGCCTAGGACGGAGAATTCTGCAAAAGCCCCTGCAGCTCAGGTCAGATTCGTGCAATACCCTCTGGCCATGCTTGATATAATCGAAGCTGAAGAATTGTAACATAACAGGCATGCTGCTACCATCAACAATGGATGAAGCTGTCAGGAACAAGTGTGTAAGCCCTTTCTGTATTGGGATGGGAAGAGGCAATCCAACAGCCCTCAACGCTACCTCCGTGTATATAATAGGCCAAGCAGTTGAGCAGAGGATCTGCCTTTGGAGTCGCAGACATATGTCCGTTTGTACTCGAGCAGAATGCCTGCTCTCTTGCATATAGAACGTTCTATAAGTATGGTCACGTCGCCCGCCTGTATTCTAGTCCTCCACATTTATCAATCTTCTTTCTTCTCTATCGTTCATCTATCATTCTTTCTCTGGCATGGTTTTTTTTGTACACCCCGTCCCTTCTTCTATAGAAATCGGTTCTGGGGATTTTGCGTAATGAATTTACCGATGAATTGATCATGTACGTTCACGCTTAATGCACACGGTTCTAATCCGAAGATATCACTCATTATGCGTCGTCCCAGTGGTTAATCCTAGGTGCTGGTCGATGGTTGAATGATGTCGTAGTGGATTTGGCCGCGGACTGGATATCTTGAACAGCATTTTTGGTCCTGTGCCTTCGACACTGGATCGCCTCTGTTGTTCTTCATTTGGCCGAGTTATCGATATTATTATAACAGAGAAAGAATGCAAGTCCTAGGGCTGTAAGCTTCTTTCAAAACCGCGAGCTTAAAGGCTCTATGAGACCGGCTCAAGTTTACCCCGGAGCCCGAGATGCGAATCACTTATCAAGCACATCTTGCATGACATCTTTCTATGAGTTGGTCTTCTTTGTCGTACATATCCCAATTGATTTCAATATAGTCTTGATGCAGCAAAATTCTCCTTACTGGCAGTCTTGGACCAACTACACAAGGAAAGAATTATGAAATAGAAGATACAAAATAACTTATGAATGTATAATTATTACAGACATCAGAATAATGCAGTGGTTCCCCTCCATTATATATCTGCGTTCAACTCACCCCAAGGCCCATCCATCAATCCCTGGCATTTTCGCAGATCTTCATTTCTTCAGTGATGGTGTTAATATGCAATTATATCAAGATTCAATAACTAAGACGTCAACTGATAATAAACTGTAATGCATAGAATTCTCCCTTCAACTCGATTCTGAAGTAAGATCTTATCTGATATCAGATGATCTGTCAGGCATAAAAAGCGGGGAATCCTCGACCTGATCTCGCTCAACATCAACTCACTTCCTCCAGGACATCCATCATGCTTCCAGATCTCCGAGATATCACCAAACACAATATTCAAACATTCCGGCGTCGATATGTATCGGAGATTTCGGGCTCCCTGGGCGATCTGGGGACATTTCTCCCTATAGCTATCGCACTGGCCGTCAACGACACCATTTCGCTCTCTAGCACGCTTATCTTTTCCGGGATCTACAATATAATCACCGGTCTCTTCTTTGGCATACCGCTACCTGTCCAGCCTATGAAAGCTATTGGAGCGGTTGCTATTGCCAGATCATTCAGTAATGGTACCATTGCAGCCGCGGGGCTTTTTGTCAGCATATGTGTATTGATCTTCAGTATAACCGGTCTACTGCACTGGTTTACCAATGCTATCCCCATTCCAGTTATCAAAGGAATCCAGGTTGGTGCAGGATTGTCCTTGATCATCGCGGCCGGAGGGAATATACTCTCGTCTTTGTCGTGGATCCATCCCTCATGGGCTGATAACCGCATCTGGGCGATTGCGGCGTTTCTGGCTCTTCTTGGCTCAAACATTTATCGGAAGGCTCCTTATGCGTTGTTGGTGCTCTTCTTGGGCCTAGTATTCGCCATAATTCGCACGGCTACCGGCCCCTCGGCTCGCCTGCCCTCGTTCCAACTCTGGAATCCGACTGCCAATGTACCAGGGCCACATGAGTGGCTCGTGGGTACTGTTGATGCTGGTATCGGACAACTACCACTCACGACTTTGAACTCAATTGTGGCAGTTACACATCTGGCAAGTGATCTTCTGCCACAGGTACGTACTCCATCCACCACCTCAATAGGGGTCAGCGTGGCTGCCATGAACCTCGTCGGATGCTGGTTCGGTGCGATGCCCGTGTGCCACGGATCTGGTGGTCTTGCGGCACAGTACCGGTTTGGCGCTCGTTCCGGCTCGAGCGTGGTATTCCTGGGTGTGCTCAAGGTGGTTATTGGACTTGTTTTCGGTGAGACGCTCGTGGACTTGTTGAAGCGCTTCCCAGCGGCATTGCTGGGAGTCATGGTGATCGCGTCGGGGTTGGAACTGATAAGTGTGGGCGAGAGTCTGAACACATCCGATGCACGAGATTTGGCCAATAGTCAGCATGTGCTGAGTGAGGATGAATGCCGGAAGCGCTGGACTGTTATGATGGTCACTGTTGGTCTCTTGGTGGGGTTCAAGAACGATGCTGTTGGGTTTTCGGCTGGGATGCTGTGCCACTGGGCATATGGTCTGCCAGCTATCATTGAAAAAGCCAAGGCACGATGGAGTGAGGGAAGGATCCGAGTGTAATTAAATAACATTTGACGGCCAGTATATACAATCTTGATAGCTATGCATACATTTATCCCAACAACTGGGACATATCAATCTCCGACTCCTTGCGCAATTTGGCTCCCGTATTAGGATCCTCATACTGTACCCTAGTCGAACCAGTCTCAACCGGCGCTGTCCTTAACATGATTAGCCATCAATCCAGTCAAAGCCACAAAAAAAAAAAAAAAAAAAAAAAAAAAAAAAAAAAAAAAAAAAAAAGGAAAAGAAAAACGTACTCTGACCTAAGAGTTCCCCATTTCCCACCAACATTCTCACTCGAATTCAACCCATAAACTTCTGACCCTAAATCTCCACCCCCATAACTCGCCGTCTCATTCACCTCCGTAACCCTCTGCAACTCCCCTTCTCCCAGCTCGTCCACGCCAGCCCCTGGTGACGGTAACGCGGCCATCTCCGGCGGTGCAGGGAGCAGCTGTTCCTGGCCGGACTTGTCGTACCGGCGTTCTTCGATTATGGCGGGTTGGCCGAGGTCCTGCTGGGCGGTGCGGATGATGGTGAGGCCGTCTTTGTCGGTTGTTGAGGCAGTGGAGAAACGGCGGCCGGTTGTTGTGCCACTATCAGAGGTGTTGGTTGTTGAGGTGTAGGAGAAGGATGTGCTGGTGAAGTTGGACATTGCTTTTGTCCTTTGGTCTTTGCAGGGTTTGTGCAAAGGAATAAAAGGTCGGTTGACTACTTTGCGAATGCTTGTACTATTTACGCTCTATGTGGACGTTAGGTAGTATCACAGTGAGATTGAAGAGGAATTTATAGATAACATCTCGTGGCGGGTGATGTCACTTGCCTCCACGATGGTGGCCATTGTTCTTGAAGAAGTGATCCACACAAACCATTTACTGGGTGTGATGCGGAGTATGGCAACTGATGCAATAACCAGAGGAACTGTGTTCTGGACCGGTCCAAACAATAAACCACAAACTACCCAAAAAGGCATATCTGAAGCTATACAATCCCAAGCCTCGGCTATCTCCGATAAGCTCCCCCGCTTCTTATCAACCTCGCTTTCTTTTTCTCCCACTACCGTCATCACCAACGCCCAACAACAAGACCAACCGCAAAGATGGCACTGTCTCAAGACCAACTTACCTTCTTCAATGAAAACGGCTACCTCGTTCTCCCAGACTACCTCTCTCCTACCGAAATCTCCTCCCTAATCACAGAAACCAACCACCTCCTCGAAACCTTCCCGCTAGAATCCCACCCCCTCACGCAATTCACAACGGGCGACGATAACGATTCTAAAAAAGACCATGTCGGCGATGATTACTTCTTAACCTCCGGTGATAAAGTACGCTTCTTCTTCGAGCCGGATGCGTTCACCTCCGATTCCCAGAAACCGAACGAGAAACCGACGCTGAATAAACCGAAACATCTCGCGATTAATAAGATCGGGCATGCACTACATGCGTTGTCACCACCATTTGAAAAAGTTTCCCTCTCAGAGCGGAATGCTGCAATTGCAAAGTCGCTTGGTTTCACCGACCCCCGCGTGCTCCAGAGTATGGTTATCTGCAAACAGCCCTCGATAGGCGGTGCTGTGCCCTCCCACCGCGACTCGGAGTTTCTGTACACGAGTCCCCCGTCTGCAGTCGGGTGGTGGTATGCACTACAAGACGCTGGACCCAAGAACGGCACGCTGGGGATGTATAAGGGCTCGCACAAGGGGTCTAAGGGAGGTGCGATTAAGAGGCGATTTGTGAGGAAGTTTGGGGAGGGGGGTGTTACGGTTGGGACGGAGTTTGTGGAGAATGATGGGCCACAGCTGCCCAAGGGGATGGAAGATAATGTTGGAGAAGGAGGGGAGGAGGTGGAAGTGTTGGATATCAAGGCTGGGTCGTTGGTGTTGATTCATGGGAACGTGCTGCATAAGAGTGAGAAGAATACGAGTGGGAGGAGTCGGTTTGCGTATACGTTCCATGTTATTGAAGGGGGTGAGGGGTGGGAGTATGATGGGAGGAATTGGTTGCAGCCGCCGGAGGGTGGGTTTTCCAAGCTCTATCGATCTTGAACGAGGTCTGTACTTAAGTCTTACAAGTCATGCATTATCGATATTGACATGTCAAACCCTAACTCCATCCGAGGTATCCAAATCTATACAAACATGCTTTTCATGGCCAGGCGCCAACGCTTCATCACTTTTTGCTAGAATTACTCAAGAGGCACGCAGCATATCCAACATCCCCTTCGTCTGGCATGCTTGGTGTGCCATCTCCACCTCATCCCGTACCCGTCGGTGTAACCGCGAAACTATCTTGTCGATCTGCGCCGACTGGCCCAGGTTCGCAGAGTAAATGTCCAGCAGGTTCATACCAACCTCAACGCTCAGAGTCACCAACCGCGGTTCCGTAATGTTTTTGTACACCCACTGCAACACAGGCTGCAGAGTGACTTCGTCCCGTCCTTGCAGCGCCGCCCGCAGCGCCGACCGATGCCGGAGGGTCGTCAGGCAAGTGAGCTGTGCAGTCTTGTCGCTTCCGGTGAGGACTTGGTCAAGCGCGGCGGAGTAACGGGCCTTGCGGATGTCGTTTTCCCAGGCTTGCTCCTTCTTGCGCTTCTTGCTGTCTTGCCCTTCAATCACGATGTCTACTCCTTCGCCAATGAAGTCGCGTCCACGTAACCGCTTGTCCCAGCCGGAGCCGCGCTTTTGTTTTGCGACTTTGCGGTCGTATTCTTCGAGTTTGCCTTCGAGCAGGGCTTGCATTTCTTTCTTGCGTTCGCGTTCCTTGATCTTCTGCTGTCCGGAGAGTCGGGTCTTGATTGACAGCAGGCCGGACTGCATACCAACGGCGATGTGCTTGTCTTCACGGTTGATGCCTGATGTGATAGCGTTGAGAGAGAGAATCGGAGACGGGTACTTCGACCCCGAAACCATGTTCCACCCGGTAGTCTCAAACACCTTCATGTGTCCGTCCAGCGCACCACTTAGCAGTCGCTCGCCGCCAGAGGCCAGCGCAAGCGAAGTGACCGTCTTCTGGTGACTCTGGATCATGTGCAATGGTTTTCCGGCCACAATATCCAGGACAGCAATCTTGTTATCCGCAGCTGCCAGAACCGTACTTCCAGTAGGCATAGGCAGAACCTCTTCAATAGGCGCACCCATCTTGAAGGTCATGGCAGACCGGTTCTCCATTCGCGGATCCCACAATCTCACCGTCCGATCGTAACTACCCGAAATAATCACACCAGACGACGCCAGCGATCCCGGCATAAACCCACCACTGCGCGCATAATCCGTATGCCCAACAAATGCCCGCACACTATTCTCGCTAGGCAGATCCCACAACCGAACCGTTCTATCATCACTAGCCGTGAAAACAGACGTTGGGTCACTGGGCGAAAACTTCGTCGCCCACACGGGCTGCTTGTGATCCTTCCACGTCTTCAAAATCGCACGAGATCCCACGTCAAACACCTGCACTGTACCTGACTCGTCACCGGTTGCCAGAACACGGCCGTCCGGACGGATATCTGTTGCTCGCACGGTATCATCGAAGCGGGTGACTGTTCGAAGGAGCTTTCTAGTACGGATGGAGTAGATTTGCACGCGGGCGCCGGTGGTAACGGTGAAGACATCGGGGGGTTGAGTGAGGGACGGGAAGGCTGCGGCGGATGACGGAGCAGCAGGTTGAGTAATGAGGTTGACGGGGCCATTTGCCGGCGAGGGGATTAAGAGAGGGTTCTTGAAGGTCTTCCAGTATTGTTGCTCTGGTGTTAGACGGGTCGAGGGCAGCGCTGGTAGCTTGACCTGCTGCAGAGGGAGAACGGGGGCAGCCATGGCTGCGAGGGGTTTCCTTGGTCTTTCAGATACACAGTCGCAATTGGTCAAAAGGAATTGTTGGTATTATGTCGTCCCGGAGCTCTGCTGGAGCGCGGTGTAAAATGCGATGATGGTTGGTGCTAGGAAGATTTTCTTTTTGGTCGCATTGGGAAAAGTTCTATCGGTCATTCCTTATCGGGTTAGCGCGTTGGTGTATGTAATTACACATATGACAGCCACTAATACAGAATAGCATACTCAACATTGTAATTTATTGTAAAGAGATTGAAAATTACTGTATTAGAGCTGTAAGTACTACATAGGAGCATGAGGTGACCTTAATGGCGTCCATTGAACCAACGGAAGGGTTTTTGCTCGGACAGGGCATGATCCAGGGAGCAGACAACATATGAGACAAGCGCACCTGTGCAGGATGAATTGTTAGTTATTGTTCAATGTTGCGAGCTTTGCGCAAAAGGCGGCATAATCTATGTGCTGGATATCATCCAACGCGTCGTCTGTACTGGTGGGCCGGTTTGTCAGAATCAGGTATCCTTGGCTAGTACTGCAGTCTGAACGAACATTTGGGCAATTCTGTTGTGTTGTTCTCCGGGAACTCTCCGGTCAATGATCTATGGCATGCAAAAGGCGGAGAGCGTGTACTGCGGTTCCAGCGCAAAGCCAACTCATCGAAGGCGCATGGGAGCTTGTTCGATACATTCTTAGCGGAGCGAAGCCTCTAAGGAACATACCCGTTAGCAACTCATATAGGCATGGTGGTCACTGTACTTTAAGACACCGCTAGGTACCTTGCCACCGGCGAAGTTGAACTAACATATTATGTAGTCGAAAGTGTTCTGGAGCCCTTGAGAGAAGTCCGACGAACACTCAAGATGGCGGTCACCTGATCCACCAATTCCACTTCCTATTCCAGAAGTTTTGTGTCTCTTTTCGTTTCGTTGCTTCCCCATTTACCGTCTTTCAGACCTAGACCGCATTCTGGTCCCAGCAGATTCTTGGCCATTCCAAGAAGCGTCTGGTAGCATTCCATACTGACACCCCAGCTTGCCGCTCGGCAGTCGAGAGTCGGATTTCACATTACTGGCAATGGAATTAGAGTAGAACGTGGACTGCGCCCTTTGATCGTATTCTGCATAGTTGCTCGTACACTCCGTACAATGCAGCTATCTTTAGCAACCTAGGTAGGCTTCCATATTCGCCGTGAAGACAATTGCGAAACATAGCCGACGACCGGGCTGTTGATAGATACAGTATTGGCACGAAAAACCTGAAATGGGCCCGAAGCAACCCACAGGCAACATCTTTTCTACCTGATATCGACAAGGATTCGAGCTTATCCCACACGCCTGCTGCACACCAACGATCATAATTCTAATTTCCGAGACGCTATGGGTCGGTACCTGTCACTAGGGGGAAAACGCCTGCCAGTTTACGGTGACGCCGTCAGGAGTGGAGAGAGAGAATCGCCATCCGGCCTTTATACGAGTCGTGTTATCGTCGGTGACACCACAAAGAGTAAGCTATTGTGGGGAGAAAAGCGCCGGAAGAGCATCCGGAAGACGTATTTGCATGACTCTTGAGGGTGGGTTTGTGCAACTATTTTTCCTGTTCTCATTTCTTTTTCCCTTTGTCTGAAGCAGAAATAGCGTGGCTGGGGACGGGCAGATCGGCTCTGGATCTGGGCTGAGTTCATTGTCTGAGCGCCGTGTAATCTTGCTGATACATGCAGGGATCATTCATGCGATCAAAGCAGTGAAAGGGCTTCTCTACCTAGAAATGCCGTATATAGTATTCGGTGGTGTGCTGTAGTAGTATATACGGAGTACATACTTGCTGGAGGATAGATTCGTATTGGTATGTAATCCGGTGGTATTTTGTTGACGCGCATGCAGGAACACCCGCCATGGCCAATCAAAGACAACGACCAGCCACACTTTCGACGAATCCCAGCCTCTCTCATTCCGTAGTATCCCACTATACGGCCTCTACCGCCAATAACAGCTCTGTAAACTACATACCATACGGTACTAGCGCTATCGAGGCTTATCGCGCGTATCGATAGACACCCTTCGTCATCCCTCTCTCAGCCATTCACTCACTCGTTCTTCTTTTTGCATCTGCCACTTGTTTCTTATTTTCTTTCTTTCTCTTCCAATTTGTCGCTTGTTTCCATCCGGACCATTTGTCGTTCGTCGACTGCCTGCATTGGTCTTCCATTCGTTTCTACTACCCCATACGACTCGTCTATACTCCATGACTGGGACTTGAGGTGCTTCTCCTAGCGAGACGATCTTTTTGCATTGTGTTGATTTCGGTTACCCAGGATACTGGACGTCTATTCATTATTCCTGTTTAAGAAGCGCATTGTCGGAGAGGAATTCCATCATGGCTTCCAGACAACTCCCCCGGATGTCCACGGTCAACCATGCCGCGGGCATCTTTGCTGATATGTCCGTTGATGGACCGTCAATTGGGACGCTCGTGGCGATTATTGATCGCGCAAAGAACCTGCCGAACAGAAAAACTATGGGCAAACAAAATCCTTACTGTGCGGCTCGCTTGGGAAAGGAGGCCAAGAAGACCGAGACTGACTTGCGCGGTGGACAAACTCCCAGATGGTAATTACCCAGTCGATGGTCTTATAGCAATGGGTACTGACAGGTACAGGGATTATGAGCTTCGCTTTACCGTACATGAATCGCCCGACTATTACAGACTCAAGGTGTCCGTGTTCAATGATGATAAGAAAACCGATATGATTGGAGAAACTTGGGTTGATCTCAAGGACCTGATTATCCCTGGCGGTGGCCAGAGCGACAATTGGCATCCGCTACAGTATCGCGGGAGATATGCCGGCGAGGTTCGTATCGAAATGACATTTTATGATACGCGTGTGCAGGATGAAGCCGTGATCGAACGACGAAGCCATGCTGCAGGGAGGGTACAAGCTAGAACCAGCGGCTCAACATCCAGTTCGTCCACCGTGTCGGGGCCCCGGCAACCGAAAGACATTAGGCGACGTCCGTTACCGACCGATCCCAATAACCCAACTCATGTACGACCACCGCCCCCAGAGAAATTACATACAGCCCCCGCTCCGTCACAGCTCCCATCTGTTAGAGCTCCTTACCCTGAACAACAACAGCAGCAATACGGTCATCACCATACTTATTCGATGCCGGCCCATAATGGTAGCAGTGAGCATTTACGCCAACCCTCGAGGCATTCAATGATTATACCAACCGAATACGATGTGCCGACACATGCTCCTACAGGCCCGCGGCCAGCGAGAGGACATGAGAGCTTCGATGATTTCCAAAGACATTTGAGCCAACCTGCTCTACCTGCGAAACTCCCCCCTGCGATTCATCAACCAGCCCCCGTTCATCCCCCTGTGACTTATCCGCAAGCCACACCAGCTTCCAGATACGACCCGGTAGAGCAGCAGCACTCGTACCGTGAACCTCCGCATGAGTCTTATGCTTTGCAAGCGCGCTCTAACCATGGACGACCGCATTCTTCATATGATGGGGTTCCACCTCCTGTGGACTATCGCGTATCGAGACAAGACCTGTACCAAAGCAGTCAAGAGCAACTGCAACCTACAGAACCTGTTGAGCCACGACATAACTCTCATGTATACGAAACGCGCCCGCGCCAACCAAGCACTCAGGACTATCCATTTTCGTCGTCTGAGCGATTCCTTCACGGTGATGAACCAGCTTCTTATGAGCAAGCCGGTAATTATGCTCTACGGCATTCGCGGAGTATGCCAGATGAACCACCGCACGAGTACGTGCCAGCACCACTGCCAGAGGTGGGGCTAGAACCAGAACACGACCGTCTCTATTATCGTCAGCACAGCAACTCCCTCGCCAGTACCCATAGCTCATTGCGCAATTCGATGAGCCGCGGCGAGCCTCAGATACAATATTCTAGAATGCAGCCCAAGGTGGAAGACGAAGAAGACGAAGGCCCCCCACCTCCCCCGCCGGTGCATCGATCAGGCCTAGGGCAGTCGAGTCAGCAGTTAGTGCCTTCGCCACGAACATCTTACAGAGCCTACTCTCCAGAGTATGCATCTTCCCCAAGTGCTTCAGATGATGTAAACCTTCCATCCCAGCCTTCTCACTACGTACCAGACAACGTTCGATTGCAGGACCTCCCTCCCCATACAACCACGTCATCTATGCCCCCCAGCCTGGTCGCCGGTTTTGACCCTGGAATTGCAGACGCAGAGACAGACCGTATGCACCATGAACGAAGGGAGAGCAAGAGGCGCAGCGTCCTGTTTGAAGAGGACGGTATGGTTACTCAACCGCCTGCTTCTCAGCCACCCGTTTCGCAGCCGCCTGTGTCTATGCCCCCAGAGCCGACACCTGTTATGCCTCCGTATCCTGTTGACCCGCCCGCGAAGCCCGTGTCGCAACCTGCACCCCAACCCGCAGAAGACCGAGGATCGATGAGCGGCGCTTTGGTCAGGAGCAGAGGGGGCTCAGCAGCCTCTGATTCTCGCGTCATTCCACGGCGCAAATCTGTTAGTCCACAGCCACCCCCGGTTGAAGCGCGCTCATCCGGATCGATACCCTTCTCGCCGGACTCGTACGACGCACTGAACCCCAATGCATCACGATCTGCTCTAAATGCGGATCCTGCTCGCGAGTATGATTCGCCATCTCAGGCAATGGAAGCCGCGCGACGGAGCGAGGCAGAAGCAAAACGGGATCCCGGGCCTATAATCGACGATAACGGACGCGAGATCGATCCCTCCGACCACCTGCCGACTGACACATGGGCACCTGAGCCAGAGAAGAAAAACCGGAAGCCTGAACTCGTCGTTCGCTTCAAGAACCCGCCCGCTCAAAGTCCGCCTCCAGTCAGGGAGTCCCGACCTCTTCGTGTGACATTCAAGCCCTCGGCCGATCGAGAACGGACATACTCGCCAGATAAAACCCTAGCACGTCCCAACAACTCATACCAGCGGGGCTCCATGGCAGTCGAGCGAACATCCCCGCGAATGGACTTGGTCCGTGGACGTGACACATACACAGAGTACAACCGCGGGAGGGACTACAGCCGGTCCCCTGGCATGGACTCTTACTCGTCCTCGCGAAAATCCGTCTCACCATCCCCTGGGTCTCACACGTCAAGCCTGTACGCACCTGCGAGCACTGGACCACCTATCCCCGCTAAGGTCCCTATCGCACAACCCATGAACCAAAGTTACCCGATAATACCCGCCGGCACCAACTACAACCATGTCAGTGGCAATGAAGGCAGAGGCATGGAAGCATTGAGCCGGGAACTCAACACGATTGACATCGGGTCTGTAGGCCACAACACGAACCGGGCGGTTCGGAAATACGTCCCGCGAGCGACTACTGGCTATGCAGTTTGATTTTATGAAAGTGACGCCTGTATATTTTATTGCATTGTTTGACGCCTGATGAATTGCATACGGATGGACATGAGATTGTACTTGACACGGGAGGGATACGACAACATGATTAAAAGGTATCATCTGCATGGTCGGAGTTTTTGTTTAATTATTGTACACGTACACGCATAACTATTGTATTCAAGTCATTCAACATGAAAATATTGCAACATCGCTTCTTTTGTATACTCTGTACACTATGTCTCGCTCTAGTTCATTCGCTTTAGGCTGGTATAAAACCGTCTCCTACCCCTACCAATTATGTAGGGCCATCCGACTTAAATCTTGGACATGCCATGGCCCATCCAGCTTAACCTTTCTTCCTTCATTTGTCTCCCCATACTCTCTATCTATAAACGAGTCTTTTATCCCTGCTCTCTTTACGAGACTTCTCAAAGCAATGAACTGCACAAGAGACAGCATTCATTGTCAATCATCCTTATGCTAAATTCCAATTGTTCCGGACAGAGACACAGACAATGCTTCTTTACGCTACAATGCCAGATTAGCATAATGCCAACTTCCACAAAGATCCAACGGCATCTCCCATCATCCCATTTCAGTGAATAAGACATTTCCCTTCCAGCGGCTACGGCGGCATGGTAATTCCCGTTGAAACAGTAAATAGTACTTATCGATCGGATTGTGAATTGATAGCCCACCTCTTTGCACCTTTAAGGTGTTTGTTTGGGTATAAATATGGGATCTGTGGTGTCTGTCGTTCTCCCATCTTTCTTCTCTCGCTTTGCTCAGTGGTGATCATTTGTATTTTGCTTTACATAGCCCGCACTTGCGTCTTATATCTTATGTCTGTTTTGCTTGAGTTACACGTCCAAGCCAAGTTAAAATGTCCAGCATGGCGCCTATCAGCTACAGCTTCAACCGCTACCCCAACAACAACAACAACAATAGCAGCAACTCTCTCGTCCCCGGGCACACCAACCACCCACGAACCAACGAGGGCGATCCCGAACCCCCCTGCGAATTCACAAAACCTTGCACCACAACCACCTCCTCCCCCACCAAACATCTTCGAAAAGTAATCTCGCACATCTTCGGACGCAACAAAGCCGTTACAAAGCTCGTTCCCGTCACCGTGTGGGTGCACTATTGCCGAAAGCACTACCAGCGCGCGCGCTACAGGTCAACCCAGTGGCCATTTACGCAGGCGGAGTTGTTGCTGGACTCGTTGGGGCGGATGGAGAGGTGGGGTGGGGTGAAGGGGTTTGAGATGGTTTTGAGACGGAGGGAGGTTGAGAGGGTTGATGGTGGATATGATGACAGGCATGGAGGGGGCAGAGCTGGTGTGCGCAAGAGTGAGAGGGTTAGTGCTGCAAGAGGCCAGGGGCAGGGAGAGGACAACAGGGACGGTGAAGGCGATGAGACCGTTTCAGTATCTGGATCTTCCAACGACAACGATCACGACGACAACCCTTCCTTCTCCGAACACACCCCCTGCCGCCGCAGTACCCCTTCCAAAGTCAAGAATAAAGCCATATGCCGACGCAAGAGGCCCAACATCGAACCCGCCCCCGTCCCCGACTGGTTGCGCCAGGAAGTCGGGCCCAACAAATCCTTTGACGACGTCCGTGGCATCATCAGCCGTTTGTTGGAGTACTTGACTGTTCTGCGGGAGGAGGGAAGGAAGAAAGAGATCAGGTTTCCGGACATTGAGATTCTGCCGGAGTTCCAGGGGTGGGTGTTTGAGATGGAAAGAGTGAGGGTGAGGGAGAAGAGGGCTAGGGCTGCTGGTGGGAAGGTGAATAAGGGTACGAAGAGGGTTAGTAAGAGGGGTGCTTTGCAGAAGGTTTAGATTGTTGCTTGCTTTTTTGTGTTCTTTCTTATGTGTCTGGGATACAGGTTGTTGGGGCTAGCTAGTTTTGAGATCGATACCAGATAACAGTCTGTCATTGAATGGACATTAGCAATGTATCAAGATAACCACCATAACAAAAATATGCTCCATAACGCCAATATTAACCCTCAACGCACATCGAATCGAATCGTAAACCCGTATCAGAGATCCCCCGGCTTTTCCAATCAGATACCGTCGTAAATCATAAGAATCCGAATCAGCCGGCACATGCCAGACTCGGCATCGCCATCGCCACCATAAGATCATCAGATCACGACTACCACCATCACCAGACCAGCCGGATCAATGGGTTACTAGACATTCAATCAAAAATGATCCGGAATCAACTCATACCCCCCTTCAGACGGCAACGTATTCGCAGCAAGAACCAACACCACCGCACAAACCAAACTCAACCCCCAGCTCACTGTGCAATAAACCCAACTTTCTCCCAACTTCCACCCAGCAAAGAACCGATCCTCGTTGTCGTACAGATATGCCTGCATTGATCAACCTCTGCCCACCAATCCAATCCAATTAACCAGGTAAGAGGACTTACCACAATGCTAACACTAGCAGCCTGCACAACCGCCCCCAATACAATCAACAAACTGAGCACCTTCCACCCCGACTCCCGCAGCCTTTTTCCACCGGATAAAATAATCAGATACGAAACCACGCTTATGCCCTCGAGCACCACGGCAAAGGACATCAGGAACCCGACCGAGCGCCACATGGAACAGAAGTAGCGGCCTTCGCCGTGGCAGTCTTCGCCTTGCGGGAAGCTTTCGCAGGTGTCGGTTAGGGAGGAGCAGCGGCGGTGGAGACCATAGGAGTAGGAGTGCTGTAGCGTTGAAGCTCGTGTTAGTGCATGGTAGTATGGTGATGGGAGGGGCATTGCGTACCTTGTGGTTAGAATAACTGACCCATTTTGGGACGACGATTGAAGATATAGTCAATCCGAATGCTATACCAAAAAAGTAAATTTTTTTCATCTCGTCAGTTTTTTAATGGTTCCAAGCTATAAGGTCGTGGCTTAAAAGCTTAGCTTAGCGACGTAACCCACCGGTCAAGAACATAAGCAGCGTCCCCGAGTAGACAATCGTCTTGGTCAAGAATCCCGTATAGTTGCGATCTGATCCGCGGGGAACGAGATGCGAGTCCATTGTGCCGTTTCCAGACACTATTGATAGTGAAAAGGTAGAGTAGAGAAAAGTTGGAGGATTGGAGAGGGGAAGAACTGAAGCTGTACAAAAACGCGGAGACGAGGTTACGATGACGACAGATGAGTGCCGCAATGCGATACGTTCCGCTGTGGATATTGTGAATGTACTCTGTGAAGAGCTGAGAGTTATATACTTATCGTGCGATAGTCACAGGATTAAATACATGTATGTTCCTTGATTTTTGAATCACGTCGAAGTGTGGTATGTATGCGCGTCACGGGATCAGTCAGACCACGGATATGTATCATGGAGACTATACAGACATTCCATTGAATCCATCTATCACCCATAAGAAATAAATAAACCATCCGAAGCCAGTAATTCACAGCCACTACCAGTAGTAGGCAAAGAAGCGAAGATAACGAAAAACCAAATAAACATAGTCTACATCATGCCAACAGCAAACCAAATGGAATCCGAATCGAATCGCAATACTCTTAACACACGAAAAGGTAAGAGTACGGCAAGCAACAAAACGCCTAACATGCCATGCAAGACAAATAAGATAGATATCAAATCCTTTGCGCCATAAACTCACTCCGCTTGATCTTGACTTGGTTGACTCCGCTGGATCATCGCACGGAAATCGTCATTGCTCTTTTTCGTCGTCGTTGTCCCTCCCTCAGTTGGGGGAGCATTTTCTGTCGTTGTCGTCGTGCCATTGCCGTTCCCTTTTCCTTCTGTAGATCCATTGCGTGCCTGTGTTGACGCTCCTCCGCGCTTTACTCCTAATCCACCGCGTCTTCCACTTCCGCGTCCGGGCTGTTGCGGACGTCTAACCACGCTAGGCGGAGCAAGTGATCCTGTGTTGTTCTTCTCCTTGGACAGATCCGAGTGCATTGCACGCGTGTTTTTCCTCTCCGCGGACTGCTTGAGCATCTCCGGAACCGTTCCAACACGCAAGTGACGCCCAGGCGCAATCTCCTGGCCCTCCAGTTCTAATGAAGCCTTGCCTGCAACGTGCACATCTGCATATTCCACAATCGCACCTCGATGGTCGGGTCGTAAGATAACCTTGACTAGTTTTCCATACGGCTCCACCAGTGCGCGAATCCGTGCGTCGTTAACGGTGTCAGGGACATTCATCAACCCGACAGTTCGAGCCGCACGTTCGCCAGTCGGAACTTCTGGGTCTGCTTTGCCGTTCGCTTCAACGGACGGAGATCGCGAGCCTCCAACACGGTTGACAATAGTCGTGGAACTGCGCTTCATACCTTGAGGACTGGATAGTTGCACTTGTAGTTGCCGAGAGCGGAATTCTTGTTCGTGCATCGCAAGCGCGGCATTTGCTTCATCCTGCATGACTGTCAGTACTGCGACCATTTGGTACTGGTCAAAAAAACAAAAAACAAAAAAAAACCTACCTTAGAAGAAAACACAACATAACCAAATCCCTTGCTTCCACCATCAACTTTTCTCGGAATGCGCACCGACTCCACAGTGCCATACTTCGAAAACACCTCCTTAACATCATCCTCACTAGCTTTCCAATCGATATTCGATACATGAACCTCCCGCCCCTCGTACATAGGACCATGACGCTCTTGTTTACGGCCGGGATCCGAAATCTTAGCAACGAGCTGCAGATCCGTACCAACTTTCGATCCGTCGAGTTCCGTTGCTTTACGAGCTTGGATAGGGTCCCTAAATTGCACGTAGCAGAAGCGCCGGTGAGTATTGTACTTGAGTGATGGCCAACGAATGTCGACAATTTCGCCATGCTGTTACCCAGTCAGCAACAGCAGCTTATAGAATTTGAGGGATTTGGCTTACACCACGGAACAGGTTCTTAATGTATTCCTCATTAGCGGAGGGTGGGAAGTTAGTAACATATAGCGTCGAGCCCGACCCGAGCTGTACTTGAATGGTGTTTTCATCGATAATTTTTTGGTCACGAGTTTGCGCCATGAGAGCTTCATCTTTCGTATCAAACTCGATAATGGCGACTTCCGAATTTCTGTCCTCGCCAGGCAGCATCTTGACTCCCATGATGTTTCCGTACTGAGAAGAAGTCAATTGAATGCTGCAGAAAAGGAAGAAGCATGACTTACATGTCGGAAAAACTGCCGCACCCGGTGTTCTGTAATATGATGGGGAAGATTCTTAACAATAACGGTTGCATTCTCGCGATCGCGCCGTAAAGGAACAGACTCGAGCTCGGGTTGTGGTTCAGTCTTGACGACCGGAACTGGTTCCTCTGCGCGCGCCTTCTTCTGCTCAGGTAAATTGTTCGATTCTGCTTCATCTTCTCGCTTCCGTTTCTCTTGTTGGACAGGTTCGGTCGACGCCGCTGCTTGCTGAATCAGAGCCTGATGTTGTGCAGCGGCTTCTCTGGCCTCACGTTCGCGACGAGCGTTGACAGCTCTCATGGCTTTGCGCGTCGCCAACATCGCCAATTGTAGCTCATCCGAATCCTCATAGTCTTCACAATGAGCAATATAGGCCTGCATGATCTTCTCGGGCCAGTCCAAATCGGTCCGCTTGGTCGCTTGTTTCAAAACGGCGGTTGCAAATGACGGATTGGGTGTCCTTCGAGCTGCATCGGCAGTCGCCTCGCCTTGCACAAACTTGCTCCACGAAATCAACTCCCACGAATAATAGGTGAGCCAGAACTCATAACTGTTGCCACGGCGTCCCACCAAACCTTTGAAGGTTTCCCGTGCACTGTCCCAGCTACCACTCTCGCTCAGGTAACGAATGTAGATGCGTTCAAGGCGGAACAACGGATCTCCTTGATACGATCGGCCGTACTTCTTTTCGCCAAGGTCTTGAACATCTTCAATAGCAGAACGAATACCGACTTCAGCGACATCAATGTCTTCGTCAGTGGAATCAGTCGCAAAGGCTCGCCGGCGAAGATAACTGCACCATGTTGTGTGTACTTTGAGCACCTCCTCCATTCCGCCCACATCGAGCAATCCAGTGCTGGTAGCCTTGTGCTTGATGTCGGCGATCTTGGAAAAGGACTGCAGCTCGCGTTCCGAACTGAGCAGATACTGCGACCAGAGAGTGCCGGAGCTCGGACAGTGGCGTGTCGCGCGGTCGAGGGTGGATACTGTAGTCATGTTGGTATTCTTATGCGTGGACTCGTCGCTAAGAAACATCACATAATCCTCCCACATATTGGCGTCGACCGGGAACCGCAAGACGGCGCGTTGATAGACAGCATTGACCAAATCGAAACTGAACTGGCGTCGTCTCCGATTCCGACTGAGCTCCCAATCCACATACTCCGAGTAAACAGCCCATTCTTGAGCCATGTCGCCCGCTTCCACCGCATTTCGGAGGCGAATTTCAATATCCTCGCGAGCTCTATACTTGTTCTTCGCTTCCGATGTATGCGCCGCTGTATTCGACATGATCTCCTCGTAATTGGCGTTATAGTACGTTGAGATAAAGCTCGAAAATGCTTGGAATGTCTGCTCCCAGGTAGCGTGGGGCGTGTGAAGTCGGACTTCAAAGAGCCCACGCACATGGTTGAGCTTCTCCTGCGAAGGAGCGTGTGAGAGTCCACGTAACTGAAGTTCGAGGAACCGATCCCAGACCAAGTGGCTGTCATTGATCCTCCATCGAGTTGCTTCCGCACCTCTCTGCCAAACATCCAGAACGAGTTGGAAGGTGAAAACCTCGCGACCAATCATCCTGTCCTCCTCTGTCCATTGACTGTGGCCAGCTTCCCCGTGGGCGGCGTTGTAGAGATACAAAAGCCATTCACCGTAAATGCTCCACAATTTCGTACTCCCGTATTCTTCTTCAACGGACCGTTGACAGAGATCCATAACCGCGATGCGTTCATTCACGTTGCCTGCCAGCATGCTTTCATCCTGAATCCATTCAGCCCATAGATCCTCGCCCATAGCAAACAGCTTGTCCATTTCCTCGCGCGCGGTCCGCATGTCTTTGAGCAAATCATAACGATGCGGATCGCCGTGAATTTCGGGGTTGTTAGGAGGATAGACGTGGTTCATGAATCCAGCATGCAGAAGCCGAATAAAGCTGACGTGCGCAGTGTACGAGTGGGGGTTTTCTTGGATTTGCTGAAAAAGCTCGGTCGCAAGTTGCGCGTCGGATTTTATAGATGTCTTGGCGTAATCTCTCTTCGGGCCATCAGACATTGCGATATCAAACGACGAACGCGGGGTGGGAGTGTTATGTACGATGGGATTCACGTTCGGAAACATCGTCGACGGAGAAAGCTGGCTCTCGTAGGATTCGCCTCGCATGATCGGGGCGCTCGAGCGGGCCGGCTGGTGGTGCTGCATCGACGCCAAATCCGCCAGTGTATCCATTCCCGGAGTCGAAGGCTGTCGAGACGCGGGCAGTTCAGTCGCCGGGGGAGTTCCCCTCCCTCCTCCCATGTTTGGACCAACCGACGGACTCACGGCAGGAGGGGAGGGTTCGGGAATGTTCGGCGGTGCAAGAACATGTTGCGCAAGCGGAGACGAGGTCATTCCTCCTCGTCCACCAGTCGCGCGACCGCCTCGCCGGAAACCCTTCTGCGATGGACCGGACGACGGCGCGGAAGTTGGCGCAGAGCCGGGTGTCGAGCGTCCCGACTGGGAATTCGATTCCTGTGGTGAAAGCAACGAATTGATGTCCATAGTTCTGGTTTTGCTAAAAGCGTGAAGGTTCTGAAAGGACTAAGGAATGCGGATGACAGCTGAAAGTAGCAAAAGAGAGACAAAAAGAAAACGGACTCCGATTATTGATATTTCTTGACCAGCTCCTCCATTCCTACTCTGCGCAGCAGCCGCTGTTGTGTCACAGTATTCGTAGCTGTTTTTTTATTTAATTTTTTTGCTGTTTTTTGCTGTTTTTGCTGTTTTCTTTTTCTTTTTTTTTTTTGGAATCGATCCGAGTGAAAAAGAGCGCGAAAGAAATTCAGTAGTAGAACCTCGTCGACACTCGATCCACACTTGTGGCTAGACAGTATCAAGGGTCGCAGAGCCTTTAAGACGACACACCGCAAGCGAAAGAAGGTGGAGGGACGAAGGGACAGAGAACCGAGGAGCTATCAGGAGGACTCCAGGGCGGAAGGGATCTAAAAAGCGGGTTAGCGAGTCCGCACGGGCGGGGGAGATGGAGAGCGATAGCAACATACGTGAAACACAAAGACAACCTGCTAAGTCAAATAGCAGAAGAGGGAGAAAAGAGGTGCGAAAAAAGGACTCGGAAGAAGCAGAAGAGAAATAAAGCCTTGAGAGATGAGGGTCAGTGGATCGGCACTGTGGAGATGACGGTTGTCCGCTGTGTTTGGCACCGGAGGGAGGGAACACGAGTCAAGCATAGAAGTGACAGGGGCTTAACGTCCGTATATTGTGCTTGAGATGTGAATGTTCGACAAACTGTAGAGAGCTGACGCTGAGGTCGTCCTCTACCCTGTAGGAAGAGAAACGAGAAATGACGATGATGGATCTCGACTCACGTTCGACAAACGCCCTGACCGCCTATGGCGTAATGCCACCACGAGAGCTCAGCCCAGTTGATTTCTTCAGCTATATATATCTACGAATGCTATATATTAGTTTGTATATTATCGTCTTGCTATTACTATTACAGTATCCCGGCTTCTCCTAACCGACACCAGCCACAGTCCGTAGGGTTTCTCGGTTAGCCACACCCTATGCGGCATAGTCCCATGGTTCACTAGTTTCCGCCAATGACGATATGTCACAGCCACATATATTGTACTGTACTGTTACTTACAGGTACATTCTGTGGCGGTGCAATTCCGGCTATCCGCAGCGACTACCCGTGCTGCCAAGACCGGCCGCTTTTTTCGTTCTCTCCAGAGAAGATCGTGATTGTTGAGTGTTGACCACGGCCCATCACCATCAATCCCGTCCCCATGGCATCAATGGGTGCTCTTTATCCTTACGGGCACCTGCTCCGGTCCGGTGCGTTCCCTAATACAATCCTTGAAAACTTCCGGCTCACTAACCGACGAAAAGCCCGAGCAGGTGTGACCTTCGTCCCCCGCCGGACATTGACCTATACCACCCCCCGTCGTGCCCAAGAAGACAACAATGGCAACAACGCAAACTCCTCCAAACCCTCCGCCCTCTCATCCATCAAAAGCTTTTTCGGTCTCGGCGGCAAGCCCTCCGATGCCCCCAAGCCCACAATCACCCGCCGAGCCAACGCCCCCCCAAAGCGAGAAGGCTCCCTGAGCGCAGACTCGATTTTCGCCGAAGATGAGGCCACCCCGAAGCTCGTCGCCTCGGGCCGCACACCCGGGCGCAGACCTACCGCCGAACGGCCCGTGGATGCAGAAGAGGAGCAGGATATCAGCCTGGAGGCTCGGAATCGGGAAAATATGCAGGCGGTATTGGACCCTCGTCCTCAGGCGCGGACGCGCTGGGAGCGGAAGATGGTTGTGAGGGAGATTCGGCGTCGGGGTCGTCTTTCGAAGACGGAGCAGGTTATGCGGACTGAGCGGGAGTCGTTGTCTAAGTCGCATTGGTTTAAGACGTCGATTAAGAAGTTGGGGCCATTGGCTCGGCAGATTGCGGGGAAGAATATTGACGAGGCGATTTTGCAGATGCGGTTTAGCAAGAAGAAGGCCGCCAAGGATATCCTTGAGCACTTGGAGCATGCGAAGAATGTCGCTATTGTCCGCTCTGGTATGAGTCTTGGTGCTGCTGCCGGTCAAGAGGCCCAGAAGCCTATCAACATTGTCTCCAAGACCGGTGAGCGCAAGACGATTACTGACCCCAGCTCCATCTACATCTCCCAGGCGTGGGTGAACCGGGGACCGTACGGTGTTGACTACGACCACCGGGCAAGAGGCCAGATCAACCTCCTCCGTCCACCATACACTTCTCTCTCGGTGCTGCTGAAGGAAGAACATACTCGGATCCGCGAGTGGCAAGACCGTGAGACCACTGCGCAGCGCAAGCGCAAGACTCACCTCTGGACCCAGCTTCCTGATCGGAAGGTCAGCGCTCAGAACCAGTACTACAGCTGGTAAACCGCGGCTTACAATGAGTTTATTTGTTTCTTTCTCTTATGTATTAGGCCTTGATTGGGACAAGCGGGTCTCCTGGCGTTGTGTTATTATCTATTTAGATCTACCTAACGGATCAGCATGCTACGAACATCAATGTACAATACCGAAAATTGTTCTGTTCTATATACCCTTCCTCCGTCCACAAGTATCTACAAATACAGCACTCAAGTTACTCATCATCGTCACAACTAGGAATTCCACTTGGCGGCTTAATCTCCATCCCCGGCTTCGGCCCAGCAACCTTCTCAACCCTCACGACAACCGGAATCATGGCCCCAGTCGCCAGCGCAAACTCCCGGTGCCCAACAACATTCAAAATACTCGCAATCGCCCCCGAATGCGCCGTCAGGGACAACACCGTGTTCGCATCGTGCTCAAAGATATTGTACAACAAATCGCGTAACCGTGCATCGCGCATGGAGTTCGATTCCCGTGCATCAGGTCTCCACAGCGGATCTGTGCCGTTGTCAAAACCCTTTTCAATAATGTAATCAGGATACGAGGTAGCGATGTGTGAGGCTGGCGAGCGCTTGTCGCAGGTGTGAATACCGATTGTTTCGCGGAGCAACTATTCCCATCAGCCATCCCCCTTGGCTACCCATATGATAAAACAAAGCAAAGCAAACTAAGCATACCTCCTTGACAACCGGCCTAAACGGCACGGGCGTAGCATTCAACCCTTTGAATGAAATCTCCGCCGTCGCAAGACATCTATGCAACGGAGAAACATAAAACGATTCCGGAAACGGTACCTTATGCTCGATTTGCTTTTTCCAAGCCTGGTTTGCGATCTGTGCTTGCTTAATACCCGCGGTTGTCAGGTGTGCGTCGAACCAGGTTATGTTGGCGTCGCCGGTTTGGAGGGAGTAGTAGCACTTTCCACCAAATTATCATTAGTTATTCGGGGTTGGGAATTGGGGTATGGTTATAGTTTGGGGTGACATACATCCCAAAGTTTCGTACCGTATTTCTCCTCCGCGACATTATGGAATCCCTCGCCGTGTCTACCAAGGAACAGCAGGCGGTATGTTACATTTGGTGATTTGTGGTGGGATTCTCGGTTTAGGTTGTTGAGGTGGTGTTCGAAGCGTTGCCATTGGGTTGTGTTGTTCATGTTGAGGCCGATGTCTGTGTTGTAGGTGCGGTTGATGAGGCCGAAGTTTGAGGATACCTTTTCTTCTCCGTCAGTCATGTGGATTCAGATAGAGGGTAGAAAACAGAGGAGTGATACATAGTTGAAAGCATCGGGGTCGGTATCTGGTTCGTCTTGGAGAAAGTATCCTGGGACGGTGGTCAGGTTGAAGTGGAATTGCGAGGCCATGGTCCAGCTTAACAGGAAAAGAAAAGTGGCGAGTCTGGGGAGTGTCAGTGCCATGGCGTCTCGTGTCTATGAGTGGAATGGTTCTGTAGATGAACGTACTGGGGAATTGGTTTTTGTAGAGTGCGTAGGAATGTGTATTCTTATGATGAAGGCATTCGGAGAATTCAGTTTCAATAATGTGGAGATCGAGATAAGATTATACAGAAACGTGAATGCGTCTGGGGCATCCATTGGTCCGTTCTTGGCTATACAAAGTACTGCTTTCATATACTACTACTATGTGAGATATATATCGGGGAAACATCGGATGAGAAATTAATCAAATCGACATTCGTTCATTAATACATTAGGCCAAGATGCAAAAATAAAGGAAGATAAATTAAGAAACAACAAAATTAGACATATACCAGGCCATCGCTAAGCTTCAAGTGCATCAATCAAACGATTCCAGATGAACCACATATCCCAAGGCTTTTCCGAGCTGACCAATACTGTTTAAGCCAACAAACCATAGTCTTGCAAAAGGTCGATCCAAGAAAGGATGTAAGTGCAGAAGGTGCTTGCCAGAGTGAATACACCGAAGCCATTGTCCTCTGTATAAAGTGCCCAGCCAATTCGGGAAGTGTGCGTTGCGTATTGCTTCTAGGTAGACTTCTTGCAGGTGCTTGCTGCACCGATGCCAGCGTTTTCTGTACCTTTCTTTCACCACGTTCGGGTGTGCGAGTCTTCCTATTACTCCCGGATGAAAGCGTATCAGAAGTAATTGTAGATGGCGCTGGCCAGAGCGAGTAGTACTTTGATGCGAGCGTTCTCCGCACCTGCCCAGCATACTCGGGAAGCGTGCGATTCCATGCATTGCTTCCAAATATCATTGTGCCAAATGCGTTGGTAGTGGCTGGAGGGCGAGCTGGTAGCATACCAGGTCTGGTTCCAGTCGATTGTATTCTTTCGTGGCTCTGTTTTTGGTAGATGTGTTCAGCCCGGTAGCCTCTTGTGTATGTGAGGCGCGTAGACTGAGCAGTATCCTGATTCTGCAGAGTCGAGCGAGACCGTGGACGTCTTGAAATTGCTCTGTTCCCATGTTGCTGTGTATCTGTAATGACAACACGCGAGTTGCCTGCAAGCTGGATTTGCGGTCCAGTTGGAAGCTTGGCTCGCCTGTCATTAACAGGCACAGAATGCTGAGCTGTATTACCTAGCGATGGTCGATCGTGTCGACTGTGTAGCGACCAGAGAATCTCTGATCTGGGACACCTTGGCGTAGAGCTGTGTGATTGTATGTCTGTATCGTTTCTGGACATGGGTTGAATTGACGGTCGTGGTTGTGGGATGTGTGTTGGGCTGTGCGCTGGATCGAGAAGCGTATCGTGTGCCGTATCCCTGAGCGTACTTGTCGATGGTAGCGATGACTGCCTCGACAGAGGAGCGAATGGTTGCAATGGTACATGCTTGGGTGGCTGAATTATCGTGCCTTCGTGAACATCGACAAGGCTAGCCTTCTTCTCAAGGCAGTTGCACTAAGGGAGTTAGAATTTCTCTACCACAGTCATAGTAGTGCAAGACTTACCCGTTTGTGCTGCTTCCTGTGCTTCTCACAAGCACCATGCTTTCGAACCTTGATGTAGTTGTCCTTCTGGGATTGTGATCGAGGCTTGTGCTTCTTTGGGAGATTCGTCGTTGCATTCATGTTCAAGTCGAGTACCAACTCAACACCACCTGGTTGGTCGGGTGTTGACACACCATCTGTTGTAGCAGAGACGGGTGTTTGGCCTGCTCCCGTTGACGGCGGAGATGCACTGCCTTGGGCCATGTACGATGAGGATGGAGACGAGAACTCTGGGCTCGTATAAGGATCGGTGAGCGGAGACTCCTGAAGGCGCTGCATGTGAAAGGCAATAGATGCGTCCATGCGCTTCTCCTTTTGGGACGAGCAGCTGGTATCAACCGCTGCTTGAGCTTCCACTGCTTGTCGAATGGTGGTCGTCAAGTCGTAAGGCTGGTCATACAACAACATGTCTTGGAACTGACCGTTGTTGATGTTGCAGTCAAAAGAGGAATCGAAGAACCCGCCATTCGGAACCATGCCCATGTCGTTCATGGAACCCGCACCGGGGAATGCCCCCAGGTTGTCCAACGCACCCGGCAAGAGGTCATCGGGAGCATCGTAGTTGACGAAGTCAGAGGACCAACGCTCCGAAAAGAACCCAGAAGCTGGGTCTGTATCGAATCCGTTCATCTTAGCAATCAAGTCGCAGTCCTCCGGACTAAGGTCCAGGTCGTCCAGAGGGTTGTCAAAGACATCGTTGGTACCGAATTCTCTCGCAGGCTGTTCTTGGAAGAGAGTATTGGCCGCCATAACGGTCTAATTCCTAGCTCGTGATACGATGGAGAAAGGGGTGTTATCCTGTCTGAGGCTTAGTCCGCTCGTAAGCAACCAATCCGATATACCTCGATAAGATACCAAGACAATGTCCGTGCGACGAGAGTGGGATCCTAACCGGGACGCCGGATGTCTTGGAATCCAGGGAAGCCTGAGGTGTTCAGAAGGGTATTATAAAGAAGGACAAGGTGGAAGAGAAAGTGAAAAAAGGACAACACGAGCGATGAGAGAAGTCGGCGCTTTTTGATTCTCGATGTCCGGCACTGCCTTCGTATTGTAACCTCAGGTGTCTACACTAATCCCTTTTTGACTCCCCGACCCCGGCTTAGGCTAAACCCGATTGGGAGCCCGACGTCCTGTGAGTCACGGGATTTTAAGCCTCATCGCAGGGTTTTCTATATGACATCAGGATGCCCATATACTACTATGAATGATGAGAACATACAATGAACCGGATTACAGACATGAATGTCATGGATGCTATTGAGTGCAGGGACAATTGTGAACTCGTTGGACATCGGGATGCCGACCGACTACTACCGAGTACAGTACTCACAGAGTGCAGCGTCTCTCGGAATCACGGAGGCTGAGTTAAATCGCCATAATGGAATGGCGTCGTAAATAAAAACAATACAGAGATTTTCAAAATTGGATCATGACGAAATGGATGTGTTGGACCAGTGCTGGTTATGTATTCAATGCACCGCCCAGGACTGATCTACATACGGTACTGTCCGGGCAAGACTATGGCTGTGGGCACCATGGGTTTGTGTCGAGATGTTCGCCGTCTAGCCATACCTGTCAAGTCTTCTCATCTAGAATGCTACTAAACACTTGAAACCGGAACTAACCGTGGAACGAGCGATAAGCGAGGGCTATCGGTAGCCAGTTACTTTATGACACTTATGCCTGGAAATTTAGGTGTCTAGTAAGCACTCGGTTAACTATAACTATCGTCACCAATTGCTGCAATCGGTAATGTGTGCCTCGGAGTAGCCTACTATTTGTATGCTGTATAGTACCTCTATAACTAGGTCTACAACGACGTTGTCCTGTATCTGTAGTAACCATAGTAGACTCTTTAACTGTATCCGTGACGTGGCGCTCTTTTTCTCTCCGCTCTCCGCCCCCGCCAACTCCAGCAATTGATCCTCTGCCGTCTTCTGTCTTCCTCTGTCACTACTCTATTGATCCTACGCCGCATAAGGCAAACAATAAACAAAAACCAGCACAATTAACAACACCGGAAGAATCAAGGTGATTGAGTTGTACTGCGGAAGGACAGAATCTTCTGTCACCGCCATCCGGAACCCTGGGAAGAAAAGAAATCCATCACGTCACATTGTGCCAGTCCCTCTATCTCCCGTGCTCTGTTATTGAACCATGGCCGCTGCTTTCGACGATGAAGATCTCTCCGTTTCCCTCCCTCCTATCGAACGGGAACACCGTCGGGATCGCGATCGGGCTGCCGGTGCGGTGCCTCCCTCCGGTGACATCCCGGCCGCCATGGCAATGCCTCCCCACGCTCGTCCGATCGCAAAGGGCCAGGAGGTGAAGCAGTCCCCGGCAACAACAAGAGATATGCAACGACTCGATCAGTATCAGACGATGAAGATTCTGGGGGAGGGTTCATTCGGGAAGGTCAAGCTGGCTATCCACCAGCCCAGTGGGCGACAGGTAGCTCTGAAGATTATCAATCGCCGCAAGTTACTTTCGAGAGACATGGTCGGTCGGGTGGAACGAGAAATTCAGTATCTGCAATTGCTGCGACATCCTCATATTATCAAATTGTCGGTACCCTCCATTCCCGGGGAGGATGAGATCATAAGATCGTGCTGGAATCCCGAAGCTGACTGTTTGTTCCTGGCAGGTATACCGTAATCGCTACCAAAACCGATATTATAATGGTCTTGGAATACGCAGAACGGGAGCTGTTCGACTACCTGGTGAAGCGAGGACGATGCAATGACGCCGAAGCCCGCAAGTTCTTTCAACAGATCATCTGCGCCGTCGAGTACTGCCATCGACACAAAATTGTGCACCGTGACTTGAAGCCGGAAAACCTACTCATTGACGCCAATAAGAATGTGAAGATTGCTGATTTCGGTCTGAGCAATATCATGACGGATGGCAATTTTCTCAAAACAAGTTGTGGCAGTCCCAACTATGCCGCGCCAGAAGTCATTTCAGGAAAGCTCTACGCCGGACCAGAGGTGGATGTGTGGAGTTGTGGTGTCATCCTGTATGTGCTGCTTGTGGGACGACTGCCATTCGACGACGACTACATTCCAGCATTGTTCAAGAAGATCGCTGCAGGCAACTTCCATATGCCACCTTACATCAACTCCGGAGCGGCACGGTTAATCAAATCCATGCTGCAAGTTCACCCTGTTCATCGATTGACAATTCCCGAAATCCGTCAGGACCCCTGGTTCCTCCAAGATCTCCCGCCCTACCTGCAGCCACCACCGGAAGAAGTCATCGCAACCGGGTCTGATCCGAATAAGGCGATTGACATTCGGAAGATTGCACACGGGAAGCCTCTCTCTGCTCAGCACAAGATCCACCAGATTGCTATCTCGAAACTAGAGCGGAGTATGGGATATGCTCGTGATGATATTGAAGACGCATTGAAGCACCCTGAACCCAGCGCTATCAAAGATGCTTTTTTCATTATCGTCGAGAATGAAATGATGCAAACCAATTGTAAGTTATGTTTATTGGATGGAAGTAACAGACGTGCTGACTTGAAAAGCCCCTACGGATGATAATCTTATGGCCTCTGTTGCACCTTCCCCTCCTCCCTCTAAGAACCCATTGCCTTCACCAGCTGTGGCCAAACAATCTGGAGCCCCTCGTCCCCATGGAGCTCCCGCTGTTCCATCACCACAGCGATTCGTCCAGTTACCACCAGAAGATGAAGAGCCAGTGCGCGTGAGCCATGTCCGCATTCTGCCGACGAGTATTCCATACGTGCACGACCAGCTTATGGAACAGCGCGAGCGCGAGCGCGAACAACGAGCTCGTGCTGCACACCGTGACGCGCAAGCTAGGGGTGAGAACCCAGACGATCCGGCATGGAGTGAGCGATCAATGCATGATCAGGAGGCAACAGCCAGAGCTTTAAAGCCGCATTCTCGGAGTATAGTCGATTTGGACAAGCTCCGGTTTGAGCCACCCGAGGGCCACCACTACACAGCGCACATGCCCAAGAGGTCTCGCAAGTGGCAGTTTGGGATTCGGTCGCGCAATCAGCCGTATGAAGCCATGTTATATCTGTACCGGGCCATTGATGCACAGGGTGGAGTTTGGGACATTCTGCCAGGCGATGCAGGTTAGTTCAATCCCATCATCTCTGGCTGTAGAGCTCAATTCTAACATACTCCAGGCGGCGATATTGGGGCCGACGAGGACAAACCACTGCAAACGAAATATGCCCACCTTCCGTCCGATTACTACATTCCTAAGGATCCTTGGTTTATCCGTGCCCGCCTCTTGAAAGAAGGCATGAGAATACCTGGTCCTTCACCACGTGTCCACGGCCGTACCAGCAGCACTGTCAGCAAGAGTGAGGTCGAAGAGCTACGCCATCGCTTCAACATCACAAAGATTTCGAGGGAGGACAGAAATTCACTCGCCGTGGAAACAGCATCTGGTCCTCCATCGCGACGGACTTCTTCTAGCCGTGTCAACCACGGAGTGTGGGTATTTGTTGATATCCAGTTGTACCAGCTGGAGCAAAATAGCTATATGGTTGACTTCAAGTGTGATGGCTACCAGAACGTGGTACGGGAGGAAGGAGAAGCAGATTGGCGTCCGATCAGCAGACGATTTCGCAATAAGGAGAAGGAAGTTACGAGCCCTTATCCGTTCCTCGATGTGGCGTCTGATCTGGTGGCCCAGCTTGCTGTCGCTAGCTAAGGCGCTATATTCTCTGTGTTTCCGCGTTTGTTCATCCTGGGTGGCGTATAATGGAGTCTGGAGTTCTGTCGCAAGGCAGCTTGTGGTGTCTATATCATCGTGCATGCATTCTATTTGCGCATACGTTCTTGTGCCTTGCGAAAATGTTGCAAGCAGTGGCCGGATAAATCAGGGCGGATAATCTGTTTCCTCTCATAGAACGCTCATAATCATACCATACTAACATAAATTAAATGATCTCATATCTCCTCTAAAACAAGCATCATACCCCGTACATTAGCGCGTGTGTCCCTCAGCATCTGTGGGGACTCCCCTCCCCACACATAATACCCGGTGGGGACAAAGCCCTCGGCCTCGGAAATGCCGGCGCATCATAGCGGAAAACAACTTTTCCGGATAACCTCTCCACAGCCCCATCGCGGGGGAAGCATCTATTCCGAGTGGGATACGTATATCTACTGATAGTGACACTGTGTTCCACTTCGATTCCTCCATCTACTCTGCCATTGGAAACTATCGGTATCATTGCAGCTAGCAGCCACCATGACAGTTACATTGGAAAAGCCAACGGGTGAATATCGTCAATATTTGCCTGATTTGAACATTCCGCGCTTCCAGACTATGCGCGAGCAGGATGCGCATGAGTATGCGCGTGATTTTAAAGCGTTGGCGAGACCGCCGTGGCTGCATGCGTTGTATTTGCATTGGTTGGAGCTGTTGCAGGAGCCGTTCAAGGGTGTTACTAGTGATGGTATGCTTCCTCCATCTTGTACAAGTGAAGGTACATTGATCTGATACAATTGTGTAGGAACGGTCCGCCCAGGCCTCTTTGCACTACAAGACGAAGATGTCCCAATCGACTCCATCGTTAACGCCACCCAAACCGTCCTAAACCTCTGCGACCAAACTCAACAGAAATCCCTCAGTTACCACATCGACTCCCCCGAATGGCGCACCTGGTCCAATCCCGAATTCCTTCTCAGCCCCAAAGGCCTCCGCCTCGACGAAGTGAAACCCCAACTCCGCGACGCAATCCTGACCGTCCTCAAAACAACCCTCTCTCCAGAAGGTTACGACAAAGCCCTCAAAGCAATGCGCATCAACCACTTCCTGGGTGAACTCGTCGAGTCCCCGCGCGTGATGAATGAGTCCTCGTATAACTTTGTGCTCTTTGGAACGCCCTCGACAGCTAGGCCGTGGGGGTGGTCGTTCTACGGACATCATTTGTGTTTGAATGTTTTCTTGTATAGGGGGCAGATCATCGCGTCGCCGTGGTTTACAGGCGCAGAGCCGAATGAGATAGATGAGGGGCCGCATGCGGGGACGAGGATTATGCAAGTTGAGGAGGAGTTGGGGTTGAGGCTTATGCAATCTCTGGAGCCGGAGTTGCAGCAGAAGGCGCAGGTGTATGAGCATATGCATGATCCTGCTATGCCTCCAGGGCGCTGGAATAAAGACGACCAGCGTCATGTCTGCGGTGCATATCGCGATAACCGTGTCGTGCCGTATGAGGGCATTAACGTTGGGGTTACCTTTACAGACTCACAACGCGACCTGCTCTACGGTATCTTCGAGCAGTACCTCCTCTACCTCCCCAAGCGCTCACAGGAGCTCAAACTTGAGCAAATCAAACATTTCGAATCCGAAACATGGTTCTCCTGGATTGGCGGGTTCGGAAACGAAGACCCCTTTTACTATCGTGTGCAAAGTCCGGTTGTGTTGATTGAATTCGACCACCATTCAGGTGTGTTCTTGACAAATGAGAAGCCGAAGAAATTCCACATCCATACGCTACTGAGGACGCCGAATGGAGGGGATTATGGACATGCGTTGAGGGGGGCTATTCCTTCTGTGGAAGGGATTGTGGGGAAGGAGATTACGTGGTGACTAGATGGTTGTGTACGGAGTGTGCTGTGAGCATTAAGTATTTTGTGAATGACATGATCCGTTCAAGAATATATCATCATATCTGTATGCACAATGCATGTAATATACAAGGATAACCCCGGAATATCCTGCCAAGCTCGCAAATCCGGGGTGGAAATCCCGAGTGTTCGGCAATCCCGAGCGATCTAGAATTAGCCTCGGAGATACCACAGGGGTCTAACAGCTCGGTAAGAGATGTCATAACCCCTCAATTGTTCATTATAACTACTGAAGATTCATTGGCTTAATTCTCTATTTATTCCAACTTGCGCTCACTTGTGTAGGGTTCTAGTGTTGATACCGCAGTTCATCTCTATCGAGTTACACCCACGCGACTCGAAATGGTGGTGCGTCATGTGAATTCACAATTTGCTAAACAATACTAATTGGTAACGATTAGTTAAAAGAACGCCTTGAAATTACTATTGTCGGTGCCGGCCTCAGTGGCATCGCAGCAGCAATTTCCTGCGCCACAACAGGTCACTCAGTCCGAGTAATCGAGCAAGCCAAAGAACTAGCCGAGGTACCTTGCCCTCAACTTAATCTCCCTACATCTACGTTAACAAAAGGCAGGTCGGAGCCGGCCTCCAAATAACCCCCAATGCCTCGCGCCTCTTCAATCACTGGCAGCTTCCTTCTTCAATCTGGGAAACAGCCGCAGAGCCGACATCTGTAACGGTGCATCGGTATTCGGGACAGGTTCTTGCGCATGAGAAAGGGTTTGACAAGAATATTCGGGGAAAGTATCCAGCGCCATTTGTGGATTTGCACAGGGTTGATTTACAACAAGCGCTTTTCGCGCGCGCGAAACAGCTAGGCGTGAAGTTCCACATGAATGAGCGCGTTGAGCGCATTGATTTCGATACCACCACCGTATATGTTGTCTCCGGAAACACATACTCCAGCGATCTAATAATCGCAGCAGACGGTCTCTGGTCTCGCTGTCGAGAGTGTTTTCTGGGCCGGAAAGATGAGCCCCTCCCAACAGGCGACCTGGCATATCGAATCGTGCTATCTGCAGAGCAAATTGAGGACCCTGAGTTGAAGAGATTAGTTGAGAACCCTGAAGTGCATTTCTGGGTTGGACCAGGGGCGCATGCGGTTGCTTATTCGTTGCGAGGGGGGAGGATGTTTAATGTTGTGTTGCTTGTGCCGGATAATTTGCCGCCGGGAGTGGCGAGGGAGGCTGGGTCTATAGAGGAGATGAGGGGGTTGTTCGGGGGTTGGGATCCTATGTGAGTTGTCGTGTGTGAAGGGTTTCTGATGGTGCTGATTGTGGGTTGCGGTGCAGTTTGACTCGGTTTCTTAGTTATGTGGACCATGTTGATAAGTGGAAGTTGATGCATCGTGAGTACTTTCCTACAAGTGCATAGGCAAGGAAGTTAACGAAGCAGATGCCGAGATGGAAACATGGGTGAACGAGAAATCCAACCTTGTCTTCATAGGCGATGCCTGTCACCCTATGCTGCCCTACCTCGCTCAAGGAGCAAACTCCTCCCTCGAAGATGGAGCCGTCCTAGGCCACCTGCTAGGACACATGAAGAACAAATCGCAATTACCGGAGATTCTCCGTTTATACGAGAGTGTGAGAAAGTCGAGGGGTGAAGCTATTGTCAGGGAGACATTTAAGCAGGTGTGCACCCTACAACCATACAAGCTTATCTTGAATGATGCTAATAAAAAAACGCAGCGACACGACTTCCACATGCCCGACGGCGAAGAACAACAAAAGCGAGATCAGATTTTCCTCTCGCAGTTGGGGAAAGAGATTAACGGTGCTTTTCCTAGTCGGTGGTACGTTTTATCCCCCGAGTAGCCATGACTGCTGGATAACAATCTTGCTAGGACATGCCCTGAAGTACAGCCGTGGTTGTATGGATACGATGCTATCCAGGAAGCTGAGGACGCGATTGCGCGGAATGGGGAGGTGTTTAAATCGGTCTTGTAGAACGAGGACCTGTGAATTCCCTCTTCCGGTTAGTTTTGCCGTTTCTGGTATAGCCTCCTGATACGCCGTACTGTAAGCACCGCCCGCCTGGCCTCCCAATATAAAAGAGCCCTACCTCACTGTCCTGACTTCGTCTCCTCCCAAATCTTTTTCTCTTGCCAGACTCCCTCTCATATTCTGCACTCACCCATATTCCTGGCCATTTGAACTCCACCACCCCCTTCTTTCTTTTTTGGGGGGGGGGGGACTGCACTCATCGATGACCAAGATTCGAAGGCTGGAGATAATCACTTTCCTAAAGCCTATGCGATGAGAAAAGACGGCAACCTAAGCTACTAGTATTGGTGAAGTCAAGGCCATTATTCTAACACGAGAAATTCATTGAAATCCGCATTTCATGAGCGTTCGTCGAGCGATTTCAGTGGAATTGTCTAGGTGCGGAATTTGATATTCTCGTCGGTGGCTACAATAGGTTAGGTAGGACCGTCGATTCATTATTATCTACTATTCCGAGCTCGTGATAAACCCCTCCTGGTTTGTGGAGGGGGGAATGGGGTAGTTGTCGGCTAGGATTGATTGGTTGATTAATCTATTCATTCTCACTCTTTTTAGGCCATCAACCAGTTAACAGTAGCCTACACGATGGTTGGGATGGCCGCCATTCTATCTTTATGTCAGCTGTTCTAACCTGGTATGCGTATGGTAAGGCCGCAAATTGACTGGGGAGCCATGCTTCAACGGAAATTTAACTACTCTCCAAATCACCTCAGGCCTCACTCATGGCCACTACAGGTGATTCAATGGCTTAAAAGATATAGATCGTGGCTGTTGCCACAGGCTGCGCCTGTAGAATGAAAGATAAGTTATCCGGAGGGATGATCGGAGGGTTACCAGGTTACCTACCCCGCACGATGTACACTTGTATATAGGGCTGTCCGATCGGACATCCGTTCCCCTGTTCCTCGACGAAATCTTTTGTGTGATAGCTAGTCGTTAGCACTGCGGGCTTAGCCCATAACACTGTCCTGCTTAGTGGAACAGTTAGAGAATTCGGCTGTTGGTGTTGTAGCCAATCAGAAACATGAGATGAAGCAAACAGAGGTAAGTAGGATGGTGGCGCCATATCAAAAGTGTGGCTTTGTAATTACTCGGATGATTAATTGGTCTTAGTTTCTTCACACACTCGATGAGATTCTCTTTGCCAACGTCGACATCAGCTCTGCCGTCCTCAGCACCTTGTTCAGTCAACTTGCAGCCAACCCAGCCTTCCAAGATGCACTCAGAGCCGAAATCTCCCAATGGACGGAGAAAATCACCCAGTACATCTCGAAGCAGGACACCTTGCTCAACTGTGCAATTATGGAAAGCATGCAACTGATCCCTGCCTTCTGTAAGCCTCATCCCCATCCCCGGTCCCTTCCTTGGCCTACTTCTTAATCCTTGGTTAAAGAGAACTAACGGGGCTAACTGTGTACTTCTGAAACGCAGCATTTTCTCTCCCCGACTACACTTCGGTAGTTATTAATCCAAAATCACCCTTACTAGTACAGCAGAGCGAGCAGAGTTTTGGCACCTTGCTGCATAATGTAACCAGCAGTGACATTGCAAGAATTGTACCCCTTCGAGATGCTTAGCTATAGTTGATGTACCTTGCTCATTATTATGTGGATGATCAAGGATTTGCCACAATTTTTGTATGTAGCTCCTCCTTTGCCATCAAGCATATGTGCAACTTTCTAGACCCTCCCGAATAATCGATAAACCCTTTGTCTCTTAACGTAATTCCCGAGCCACCCGGCCACCCATCCATTTTTTGGCGTCTCTATGCATTCTCCCATCTTTAACCACCCACCATGCCACCAAATCGCTCTCGATCGAACCGAAACTCGCAGGAACAAGAGGGACGCATCTTATTAGCTATAGAAGCTTTAAAAAAAGGAGAAATCAGCTCAATCCGTGATATAGCACGTCGATTTAACATACCGCGTTCCACCCTTTCTGATCGCCTTAATGGCCACCAATTTCGCATTGAAAAACGCGCCAACAACCATAAACTCACAGAGGTTGAAGAGGAATCGCTTGTTAAATGGATATTCTCAATGGATCTGCGTGGAGCAGCCCCTCGGCCTACAATGGTGCAAGAAATGGCCAATTTATTGCTTGCAGCTCGGGGTACTGATACTGTTGGCAAGAACTGGGTATCAACCTTTGTACGACGCCACCCAGAGCTTCAAACACGATTTTCTCGAAGATATGACTACCAACGTGCAAAACAAGAGGATCCAAAAGTTATTCAGGGGTGGTTTGATACTATACAAGCTACAATTCAGCAGTACGGCATCCTCAATGAAGATATCTACAACTTTGATGAAACTGGCTTTGCAATGGGCCTTACATCTACTGCAAGAGTGATTACTCGATCAGAGTACTATGGCCAGCGTTCAGTATTACAACCAGGGAATTGTGAGTGGGCAACTGTGGTGGAATCAATTAATGCAAGTGGGTGGGCACTTCCACCAGTTATAATCTTCAAAGGGAAGCAATATCAACAAGCTTGGTTTGAAGAGCTCCCTAGGGATTGGCGGTTTGAAGTTAGCCCGAATGGATGGACTACAGATGGAATTGGCCTTCAATGGCTAGAAGAAACCTTCATTCCAGCCACAAACAGTCATACAAAAGGCAAATATCGACTTCTAATCCTTGACGGCCATGGTAGTCATCTTACCCCCCAATTTGACCAAATCTGTGCTAAAAACAATATCATATCAATCTGTATGCCACCACATTCATCACATCTTTTACAGCCTCTTGATATTGGTTGTTTTTCACCGCTTAAACGCGTGTATGGTACCATGGTTGATCAAAAGCAGCGGCTTGGTTTCAACCACATTGATAAGCTTGATTTTCTTATGGCATATCCACTTGCACGTGCAGAGGCATTCAAATCAGTCACAATTAAAAATAGCTTTGCAGCGGCTGGTTTAGTACCACTTAATGCCAATCGAGTGATATCAAAGCTTGACATTCGGCTTCATACACCTACCCCTCCGGGAAGCCGCCCTACCAGTCGATCAAGCATCTTCAGCCCCAAAACACCTGCAAATGTCAAAGAGCTATTAAAGCAAGCCTCATCAATCAAAACCTTCCTAAAACAACGCTCAAACAGCCCCCCAACACCTTCAAAAACTGCACTAAACCAGCTTATTAAAGGCTGCCAAATTGCAATGCATCAAGGCATATTACTTGAGCAAGAAAACAAGCAATTACGCACTGAAAATGAGAAAACAAAGAAAAAGAGGGCTCGTACGCAGAGACGACTAGCTCATGAGGGGGGTGTATCAGTGGGAGAGGCTCAGGAGGTATTTCAGCTGGTTGAGCTGCCAAATCAGGCAGTTGGACCAGTTCTAAACCAGGCAGTTCCGCCAGTTCAATCGCAGCCAGAACCACCAAGGCGCAGATTACCGACATGTGGAAAATGCGGAAATATAGGGCATAGATCTAATGCTTGTCCAGAGAGATAATATAGTCAATATTACTGCGTTGTGGTTGATAAATATGCCAATAAAGTAGATGGTAGATGGATGGGTGGCCGGGTGGCTCGGGAATTACGTTATTGTAGTTTGATTTATATTTAATTTCTCTATCCTTCGTGTCCAAAGTCGACCCCGAAAAGCTATCAAAACATCAGGAATTCTCCCTACCAGGATGAACACCGTGGTCAAGAAGAGCCTGGCAAGTATCCTCGTGACCCGTCTCAGATGCCCATGCCAGCGATGACTGACCATCATCATCCTTCGAGTTGGGATCTGCCCCTTGCTGCAGCAACGGCCTGACCACGGCCGTATATCCGTATTGACTAGCTAGTGACAGTGGGGTACGGCCGCTGTAGGCATCTCGGTTGTCGAACTCGGCACCGCACTCCAGAAGGCGCCGTATGATGTCCACACGACTATACTCAGCCGCGCAGACCAGTGGGGTTCGGCCATTGAGGTCTTTGGCGTTCGGGTTTGCACCATGCTGGAGTAATATCCCAACGACATCTCGATAACCATGGATTGACGCCCACATCATTGGTGTTTTGCGCTCATTGTTCTGGAACGGCTGGTCCCCGTTGATATCTTCTGAGTCGGGGTCTATGCCCTTCTCAATGAGGAAATTGACCATATCTGGACAGCCATACTCGGCTGCCTGTGAGATGGGACTTCTGCCAAACTCCCAGTCTCTGCCGTCGAGAGGACCGGCTCTATGGTCCAGGAGTGCCTTCATCACGCCCACATGGCCTTGTCGCGCTGCGAATTGCAGAGGACTCCATTCGCACAATATTACTTGGCTATCATTGTCCCGAGAGTTCGGGTCATCTCCGTTTTCAAGCAACACCCTGACCAGCGGCTCGTTTGCGGCATCAATAGCCCAAGTTAACGCTTTCCATCCACTTGCATTGAGAATGCGTGAGTCCAGACCCAGGTCGATTAGAAGTTTGACAGAAGATGTATGACTCCCTTCGGCAGTCCGTGCAATCGCCGTCCAGCCATGGTTATCTTGACCACCCTTGTCTACCCCCAGGTCAAACAGGAGCCTGATCACCGAGTCGTGACCGTTGCAGGCCGCCCAGGCAAGAGCGGTTCGACCCCCAATACCATGCAACAACGAAGTGTGGCACATATTCACAAACCATCGGACGATCGACCCGAAACCGCCTTCAGCGGCGTATGAAAGTACGTTGCGGCCACTGTCATCGGTAGAGTGTGGGTTGGCTCCTCGTTGTAACAATAATTGCATCGTGGATTCCTGGCCTGTCAGAGCGGCCCACATCAATGGGGTGGAGCCTTTTCTGGACCACCAGGAGTGGCTCTCCCCGTAGTCTCTGGTATCGGCATCAAATCCCTCCGCCAGGAGTGTTTCGACAAACACCTTATTCCTATAGTATGCTGCCTCGGAGAGGAGAGATTGGGCATGGAAGTTTCGATAGCTTCGCAAATCTTCGATGCTGGGTACGAAATTGCGGAGTCGTGCGTTGCCAGTTCGGATCACGCTCGACAGAATGTGGCCGTATGCAAACGTCCGTTGGTAAGATTCGGTAATTCGCGAGAGGAAGGCCAATACCATATCTTCATGGCCGCGGTCGGCGGCACAGGCCAATGGAACGGTGCCCCAGTAGTCAAGCTGTTCGGGGTCAGTGCCACTTTCAAGCAGGGTCTTGATCACATCCGTGTGGCCTCCATACGCCGCCCACGACAGCGGTGTCCTGCCCCAAAAGCCTCTGATGTTGCATTCATGACCCTGCTCAAGAAGCTCCGACACCTTGTTGTTAATGCCAAAGTATGCAGCCAAATGGAGCCTCGTCAAGCCCATGTTTCTGGGCCTTTTGCGCAGCAGGTCGGGTTCGACCACCGAGGCAGGAATTTTCTGCAGGATGGGAAGGGCCTGCGCTGATATAACTAGCAACGACTCGTTATCGAACATTGCCGCAATCGAAGAATCGTCCAAAGACTACTTTCTTGCATGATGGCCCCAATTCTCGGCTGCGTAGTCCAGCAATGCATAATGTCGCAAGCGCGCCTGGGATTCCTCATCGTTGGCATCAAAATTTGGCCCCAAGATATTGAGCGACAGATACTTTATGCAAGTCCATGCGATTTCTTTAAAGTATCAGTAATTTATCTTGCAGGGTGCCTTGACTGTGGTGACTGAATCTACTCATCAGACCACTCTGACCCTTTCTTTTTATTGTCTAAAACTGCCTTAACTTTCCAAGGAGCTCATTCAGACAAATTTGGATCACATGCGAAATGCAGGGAACCCGGAGAATAGAAGTATTACTTAGAGCCAGTGCGGAATGGGAGACGGGCAGTTGTAATATAATCCAAATTTTGTCCTGTAGAAGCTCCTGGCTAAGCTCTTTCTGGCTGGTATATGCGGCTGAATCGGATTCATATTATCTAGGATAGAATGTTTTGAACTTACTGTGTCCCGTATTATCTGATCAATCAGTGGCCCTTGTTTCTCTTTATCTACACAAGTATTCCCTTTAGTTTTAGACGCGTTTTCAGCGCAGAGGTTCCTGAACGCTTGTATCATAAAGCAGTTGCGACGACGTTCTGTTGTGTGCAAAGACTATACTCTACCTTTATCGGATACCTAGTGATATTAGTGCGGTCAGTTTGCGGGGTTTAGAGGCTAACCACAAGATAATTACCTACATAACTTGATCAGTATAATAGCGGTACTAGTATGGAGTTACCACCATAAGAAATCCCAGGCCTCGAATGCCGGACCAAAGGCATCGCATATCTTCATTCAGAGGTGGCTGGATTCAATGATGAAATAGGCCTGTGCTCTGTACAAGGACGACCGACGTAAAAGTCGCCTTCATCGTATGCATCCATGCCAGGGGGCTGAACTAGGGAATTACAAACAATCTGAGGCCTTGGATAGAATGATAATTGAGATGAAGTGGTCTATAAGAGACTATATAAGATAAAAGATGTCCATGTGCTATATATACATAAAATCAAGATTTCTAGCGAGGGACACACCCATTTTCCCAGTAGCACTCGGAGTGCTACGCATTTTCCACAAGGGGTATAGTTTGAGCATCCCCTAATGCTACCTGTAAATTTTCATAGTGATATCCCTTTAGGCAAGCGGCATGCGAGGCTGATTTCAAATTCAGATTAGTGGGATTAATGGAGCCTACAATGCACGTTCTGGGGCTGGGCGGCTATTGTATTCTGGAGTAGGTTTCCAATTGGCCAAAAAAATTCAGACAAACCCTTAAATAAGCCGATCGGCTTGGGTCTGTGCTGCTGCCTTTAATCCATATTATAAGTCATTTATAGCCGCCGGCCGACGATCCCGAATCTAACCCTACATGTAATAGTGCGCCAAAGATGGCTTTGCTTTGCGGATAAATTAATCTAGCGTCGCCCACACCCGTGCCAGTACATATTCTCTTGTCATTTTACTTACTCAATAATACCCATCATGACGGCCTCAGATACCCATAAAGAGATTGGCGTCGTCAATGGACTCGAAGTCGTGCAGCCTGGACCGGAAGTAGTCCACCACTATCACGGCCAATATCCCATCCAATATGCTGCACCAGGAGCTTACATGACGGCTGCGGCTCCTGCGCCCGTGGCGGCTCCGGCACCGGTGTCGGTACAACCCCAGAGCACAATTTGCGGGCTACGAAAAGTAACATTCTGGCTTGCTTTTGCCATTGCGGTTCTCGGGGCTGTTATTATTGCTGTGGCTATAGGGTTGGGTGTTGGGTTGAGTCAAAAGAGCACCAATGGTGTGTTAGGTCTGTCTTGTTCTCTTCTGAGCAGAAGTACTAATATGCACAGGCACTGTGGCAGCGGCTGCAACATCGTCCCCTGCAGCGGCAAGCTCAACAGGATCAATGACAGGATCAGCTTCAGCAACAGCAACAACGCCAACAGCCTCCGTCACCGCTACCACATCGCTTACATCGACGCAACCTTCATACACCTCATCCTCATCTGTCTCCGCTTCCGTGTGCCCGAGCCAAAACAACACGATGATCACTATCGGATCCAGCTCCCAAGAATATCAAATCGTCTGTGACGCTGATTTTGGTGGAAGCGGTAAAAAGGATCTTGCGTCAACGGTGTTCAGCGCGTTCGATGATTGTTTGGGGCTGTGTGGTAGTATGAACAGTTTTCAATCTCGGTCTGATGTTGGGGCTACGTATAACATTGAGGGGACGGGGGATCAGTCGCCCGGAACTTGTTGGTGCTGGGCTACGGGTGGGAATGATAAGTCAGCCCAGTCGAACGATGGAAATGTTGTTGCCATTCCGCAGTGATGGAAAGGATCGTTATTTGATTGATTAATATTATACCCCCTGTGACATTTTATTTGCATTTAGCCTAATAATGACTTGTTTTTAGAAAGTTGGGATTTGATCGAGCTTCTAGCTGCCTGTTGATTCGACAACTTGGGAAAATTAAACATCGCCATGCATTCAAGACAGAATTGCCAATCTCTGCGCCAAACCCGATACTCAAGGATGTCGGAAAGCTGCTCGTCATCAGATGAATCCGGCGCTGAAGCTTGTTTATGCTGCTCTTTTAACTTGCTCCTATTCGCAAGATAAAAAAGCACACTTGACGCAATCAAGAAATCAGGTCGGTCCAACATGACGGCAAATGTGCGATATAGTTCGCTAGTATAGCCGCAACCGTGACTTGGACGTCTTATCTGTGGAAAGATTCACATTTTCTCTGGAGGATCATCGACGGTGAGCAAAAACATACTGTATCCCGCCAGTGGTGATTCCAAGCTGAGAATCGAGAAGGACATGGTGCCTTGCCACTAAGTGGCTGAGTGACGCATCTGAAGTGTGGAACTCAAGATACACAAATTTTGGACCGGATATATTGTCCATAAGCGTCGATGTAAACACTCTTGCAACATGTGGAAGGCTTAAGGTTTGACAGCAGAAAGGCCACATGAAATATGTATCTTGGGCCTGGTTCCGAGGCCATAGGAGCGGTCATAATAGCCACAGCTCCATCCGGCTGAGATATTACGATAGACGTTTCAAGCCTAGGGGGTCTGTTACACGATCCAGCAACTGATGGTTCCCATGTGGGATGAGCTGATCTGAAGGAAAAGGCTCCCTTCGTCATCAAGAAGCCTTAATCATAATGAAAACCATGCTAGATACTCCTTTGAAAAGAAGGTTTACTCAAGACCCCACTTCATTTCCCAGATATTCCGACACATGCACTGTAATCTCGTTCCGTTCAAGGGCACGTATTAGGCTCATAATCCGTATCGTCCCCGTATGGTGGAGGGGCCGTGCATCGCGATCGAACATCGACGACTGTCTTGTCAGGAAAGCTGCGATTAAATGTCACCAGTAGCGAGCCCATTCTTTTCCTCATAGTGGCCATGGGCCCTAAGCCCTAGCCGATAAACGTCCGATGTGATGGCCATAAGAAATCTATGTGGGAGCCAGTCGAACTCATCAAGCTCCACTTTCGCGATACCGAAAAATAAATACTTTCCAGGCCTTATTCTCTTCTGATAGGCAACCTCGCGCCTCTGACAATCGACACACGCGAAGGCGTCTGGCTGTGGCGCGTAGAACTCAATGCGGGCCGGGTCGAAGATAGATCTCTTGTGCAAGAAACTCACACAGAGCTTCATGGTCTGGGACTAGGGAAATGGTGCTGTAGACCTAGAATATAAATTCAAGTGGACGGCAAGAGAAACGACCTTTCTCGGAACTCGCATTCAGGTGATACTTGAGCATATTCGCGAGACATGATGGCTTGGCTCTGGTATTTAATTTGCTGTATTTGGAGATTATTGGATTTGATCACACTCCAGCGGAAAACTCCGAGCACTGATGAAGTTGAAGATTTTATTTCGCAGATCTTTACGATTTGCAAGAAATCCAGTATCGCTGCTGATATCAAAAATTCCCTTGCTGTTTTGGATGTATTGATTGTGTAGTTACTGGTTCTTGCACGGGATTGAACAGTTCGTGTGCTGGTAGTGTCGGTCTGGGTCAAGGTTGCTGAAGATTCCTCCGCCGTATTTGGGGAGAAGGCAAATGATGTAGCTTTGTAGTTTGTATAGCATAAGCCAGTTGTTTAATTACTTACAGGAACATGAATACTTACAGAGCGTTCGATCAAGCTGGCTATACACATAGTCATGCTTGAGATCAACACTTACTTCTGTATCACTTCGCGCCTCGAGACTATTTGGCATACTGCTGTAATCCGGCTTTTCCTCATGGTCCAGTAAATAAGGCAGAGAAAAGCGATAGTCAACAGCGTTAGTCTCATTAACATCCAAACCCTTCAGCTCATCATGGCCACCATTGTTATAGTAAATCTGCTTAATATTCCGTCCAGCTTGGATCATGACTCCGACATTTTATCACGATATCAGCAGGATACATAAACAAGAAAATGGGACTGGTTTACATTAAGCCAAGTAGTAATAGCCTTCGGCACATACCAATTCGTCAACGCACCACCCGTACCCCAGAACCAATTCCGACTAGACACGCCATCTTCGTGATTCCTGTGCTTTCGCTGCAGTAATCCATGCGGCGGATGAGGCCTGTAGTTACGGGTGCGAAGGGGCTCAAGATTTGTTCCTGTTGGTTTCCATTTTCCTCGTCAAAGGTTTCGTATTCGGTTATGTCTTCCCAGGTGCCGCTGTGACCAATTGCGGTGTGGAAATCGGTGATGGAGAGCAGATGGCCTAAGTCGATGTTGTTGCCGACTTCGCAGGATTTGGCCGTGAAGAAGTCGGCGGATACGGAGCTAGACCAGAGGAGAAGGTTTGTGAATCCGTTTAGCCTCAGGATATCGTCTTCTTTATGACAATGTAATGGGGAAGGAGTGACTAAGCCTTGCTTGGTTTCGTGCATCTCAGGGAGTATTGAGGCGTTTTATATCTGTTAGTGCCCACTTATTCATCTTTGTAATATTTGTCTTCTCAGTACGCAAATGTCTCAGTCTGGGGAGTAGAAAGATAGTCTAGTGACGGCCAATCTGACGCTACACGAAGTGTACGATTTAAAGCTTAGCCAATGGACGTCTCCGATTCCCCGATAAAACTGCCGGCTGTGTTTTCTCATGTTCCTCAGTCAGTCACTCTCAGCTTTCGACCCTGTAGGAGTAAAAGCATTAGCGGGAAAAGATCCGACGCGTGGAGTGGATGCGACGGAACCGATGGTTATGATTCTGTGGAACTATAGTTTAGGGTTTTGTGTTTCTTCCGGAGGTGATCTTTCTTATTGCTTACGAGAGACTCGTGCTCTTGCGTTCCCCAATTTTTACTTCAAACAAGATTTTTTTTTTTTTTTTTTTTTTCTGTGAGTTTATCATCACTCATTGGTCCTGCGCATTGATAGATAATGCCAGGTAGTATTTCGTAACAATATATATATTTTCGGTCTCTGACAGACAAGACAGAGCTGGTTAGATCATCCGACATCCTAAGTGTGCTTTTGATCCTACCAACCTTGGGAACGAATGATTTCCAAACCCTAGTTTGCGAGTGATCCCTGTATTTCAAAATAATAAGCAGGAGATATGCATGCTGACAGACAGGCAGGGGAATGGACCGCAGCGGCGTTGGTGACATTTAACATGCGTAGTTTTCTGTTCTGGACCTCGCCTCCGGGAAGGCAGTACTTGTCATCACTTATTCTTTGCTTGATATCGGGGCCGCTACTGTTTTATTTACTATTGATGTTTCTCTGGTGACGTTGTCTAGTGTATGTAGTTGACCGCCAAGAATCCCGCTATCTCCGTTTGTCCTCCGCATAAACTCCGTAGATTACACATCTCAACCACTACAATAAACAACCATAAACACACGCAATGGACCCCGACGCTAGTATCCTCGAACCTGCCCCATCCATATTCAACTACGTGCTCTCCTTTCTTCTCGTCGGTGTAGCATGGGGCTTTACGACACCGTTTATCCGGCGCGCGGCAGCGGACTTTAATGCGCGACAGGAGGCGCAACGGGGTACAAAACCGGAACCACAAGAAAAGGAGGCGCCATTGAAGAGTTGCGAGGAGAAAAAAGATAAAAAAGATGATAATGAAATCCAGCATGAGGAGGATACTACGGACGAGGACGAGGACGAGACAGAGGAGAGCGAGGAAAAGGACAAACTTCCAACACCAGCAACGAAACAACCAGCATGGATGAATCCCACCACATCCAAACCATCCTGGCTCAAACAGAAACTCACCACCCTCCTCTGGACCGTCTTCAATCTCCTCCGTACACCCGCCTATTCAATCCCGCTCGTTGTTAACTTAACCGGGAGTGTCTGGTTCTTTCTCCTTGTTGGGAAGCATGGTACGGATATCCCTTCCCTATTGTTGCAATTGACAGTGGAAAAGCTGACAGATTTACCGGTAGAACTCTCTTTGACAGTCCCATTGGCGAATTCCAGCGCATTCTTGTTTACGGTGCTCGGGGAATGGTACGTGGAGCGGAAGATGATAGCCAAAGAGACGTGGCTGGGGATGGGGTTGGTTCTCGGGGGGTTTGCATTGTGCGTGCAGTCAAAGCAGTAATACTCAGTAGAAAGGTAGTAATTAGAATAGGAAAACATCTCGATTGATGAGAAAAAAATGGAAAGCAAAAGAGAATGCATCATCCGTGAATCGAACACGGGCCTCGTCGATGGCAACGACGAATTCTACCACTAGACCAATGATGCTGGAGCAGATAACGATTGAACTATCTGATTCGCTGATAGAAGTACATTCCCATATTTATATATGGACCAAAAACATGCTCCTCCGAAGTGAACCCCCGATTGTATATAAGAGCTGCTGACGAGGGGCCCTGGCTGTGTGTGGAAACAGGTAAGCTCTCTCCAGTTGGTTATCTCCACGAGCCGATCCTCGAGGTTGGGTTCCTTCGCATCCAAAACAGAAAAGTATTTTTGGAGCAGATAGTGAAGTGCAGGGACAAGCTTAAATCTACCCAGGGCGGTATACCGTAGTCTCTACTGGTTCATTATGTACATAGCATGGTAAAATCACACTCCATCCACATAAATACAGGTGTCTATCATGAAAATGGCAACAGCTCTTTCATTCAGAACATTTAGCCCTTGCAACCTGTTGCAGGAAACTTACACTGACTGGTTGCTATCAATGGTGATTGCCATTAAAATCAGTGACGCTCCGCTGCATTCCAACTGCCTCCGGGTCTGTAATATGGGCCACTGACAATCTACACATACCCTGTATGTCGCAGCATGGGCGCCGGACGTAAGGACATAATCAGAAGCTCTTGGACCTCACCTCACCTCATCTCTCTTTTCCCATCTCCTTGTATTAAAGGCTCACATACCGTCAAAATGGCTTACCAACCACCTGTACCGAAAGTGACGCTCCCCTACCATAAACGATCCGTTTCAACCGTGGGCAACATCCTCTAGTATTTTTGAGTGGATTATTTGACACCATTCTTCCGTTTGTTACTGCGCTTATTATCTTTGTTGGGATTGTGTTTGTTTGTTATGTGCCTTGTATGACGGTTGCGGATAGGTTGGGATATGATGTTGGGATTGATAAGCAGAGGAAGAAAGCACAGAAGAAGAGTGAGGGTCAAAGTGAAGGTGAGAGCATGGCGCAAGGTGACGGTGATGGTTCCGGGACCGGTGGAAAGGAAGAGGGTTCGGGGGAAGGGACGGAAGTTGACGAGAAGAAACAGCTGAGTGTCAATATTGATATGTTAGAGGGTATCCTGAAAGTGCAAAAGGAAAGGCTTGAGGAGTTGGACAAGAACTAAGCTGGGAGGTGCTGAATAGACATGGGTCTTCATGTCCCCGTAGGTGGATGGATTCCAACGCACAATATAAACCTGTCTATCTCCTTCCAAGCTCATACGCTGGCAATCGGTCCAAAAGAAAATGGCACCCCAGAATCCATCTCTACCCCAACCATCAACGCGACCAGCGACTTCTACATCCCAATTATGCACGCAATACTGAGAACCATCACCGCGTGTATGTGTCCGAGTACATTGTATCAGATCATATGACATAGCATCTTCCACAGTGATCAACAGAAAACCAACCCAACTAGACGCCAAACATTGAGCTTAATAGACACCAACCGGGCACCTTAATGACAATAACTACCTCAGCTATCCAGCAAACAAAAACACCAACGCCAAAGCAAAGCAAGCCTAGTGCATTAGCCTAGTTCCATCATATCATCCCCCAACACTCGAAGCTCTCACCATTTTCCTTAATAATTCCTCCAAAATCTACATCTCAAACCTCAACTGCGTCTCCTCATTCATCCCGTCTACAAAACCAGCGAAGAGCACCAGTACTAACACTAGTACTCCGACTTCAATTCCGATTCCGATACTCCTTAATCCTAGATCCAGAATACCCAGACCCCTGCCACTTACCATGCCTCTGTATTTTCTTCTTCGTCTCCTTCTCCTCTGCTCTTCCCAAGCCCAGCCCCTCCATAACCGAAACGCAGACAACCACACATCCGAACAGAATTGCAACGATGATGGTAATCGCCGTAATCCACGGGAGGATCATGGAAGATGACGCTGAGGACGGCGAAGATAATGTTGAGGCATGTTGCTACGATGATGGAGACGGTTGTTATGAAGTGGGCTGAGTATAAGAGGATTGCTTGGCAGGTCATGGTCATTTTGGGCTGTGTATGGGTATAGTGGCTTGAGGGGGAGAGTAGAGAGTGTGCTGGTTAAAGTAGAGGATGTTCGTTTGGTTGCCTGTTCCTGAGTGTTGCTTAAAGGAGTGATTACATGTTGACCACTTATTGCCAACTCCACTAGTATAGGGATAAGACATCCCGATTGTATATTCATAGTTGTCATAAGTGATCTATCTACATAGAGTACATCCTCTATCCCGTGCACTCAATCCACCCAAAGTTAAAGCCAGAATCAAAAAGAAATAACCAATCCAAACAATCATCAATCATCATGCCGTAGCGTCACCATCACTGAACCCGCAGTGGTATGTAGGGTCGTAAGGTAAGAAAAGTCGTAGACAAAAGGAAAGGGTATCCATTAAACGCCGCGGAACTGTTTTTGTTAGCAGGTTCCTCTTTTAGGACGAATCCGAAGGACAAAGAGCAACGTACCATCCTCACAACCAAATACCACATAGCCCCCATAAACTTAAAAATTGAAATCCCCGCCACACTCCACAGAATCACAGCCATATAAATTGTCGCCCTCGTATTCTCCGTGGTCTCAGTATCCTCACTGAACTCCTCCATGCCCGCAGAATTAAGCACAACTGCAGCAAGCGCGAAGTTGCAAAACACCCACACCAGCACGACGGCACTCCGGAAACCCTTGTAGTAGTCTGCCTGGCGCTCTTCTTCGGGAATGGATTTTTCCTCCTTTGGTGGTTTGACGGCGAATTTGGCGAGTTCGGCTTCGTATTGCGCGTTGAGGTCGCCGTCGTCTTGGGGGATGTTGACATCGACTTTACCGCCGGGTTTGAGGTTTGCAGAGGGGAGCTTTTCGGCTTTGTCGTCGCCTTTTGTGCCCCATGTTATGTCGTGGGTGTTGCAGAAGGCATAGATGTTGAGGACGTTGATATAAGTGGGGGTGAGCAAAATGTATTGGATGAACTGGGTTGTTAGCTTGTTTGCAGTGCAATGGATATGGCTGGACTTACGGAAGTAAACATGTGCCATGGGTCTAGGAAGATAAACGACGCGATAAACCACATGACATACGTCGAACCAAGTGACACAATGATACTGAAGAATTGGTTGTTTGTGAACAATTTAGAAAACGTAAACGCTTCCTCCTGGACCTCCTGCTGGATAGATCGGACCGTCACGAACACCGCAGCAAAAGCCAAGTAAATCATGATTCCAATCCAGAAGTACACCATGGTCATGTAGAACTTGTTCGAACCGCCAGGTCTGTTACCCAAGGCCAGAACGAAACAGGTTACCAGAGTTGCGAGGTAGAGCCATTCAAACACAACTCCTAGGACTTTACCAGCCGTACCCAGAAGTTGTTTGTCCCCGAGATATGTCGTGAGGATATGAAAAACCAGGAAGAAGTTGCCAATGCCAAACCAAGCAAAGAGCATAGCAATGGTTTGATAAATAAACTCAACCATCAGCATAGTCTTCCGGATAAAGCTATGGTCGCTGCGCCAGATCTGGTAGAAATGGGCAATGGCATACACAGCCGCGAAAAAACTACCGTTCAACCAACGACGACGCTGCATGATGAATTCCGCCATACGATCCGGCACATCAGTCTCACCGGTCGATGACTTGACATACTGCAGCAACCAACGGCAGTTCCGCTTGGACACAATCTCGAAGCACAGAATACGGTCCTCGGCCAGGTACATGTTGGCAGTGAAGATACCTGCATTCGAACCGTGCATCTTCTCACCCATGAAGTACCGCTCCAATGGACCTTGACCATTCTTGTCGTTTTGCAGAGCGACGAATCGGTAGGCGGAGAAGGCACCCGGCAAGACAGTGATAAAACCAAACGACGACTCGAGCGGTTTGTCGAGGATGTTGCTCAGCTTGTATTCAAAGTTTTGACCGGCGATTAGCGGATTGAGGAGCTTCTTTCCGTGCGACAACATGACCTTGATTTCACCGCAGGCACCACCGCACATGGGCTCCACGTCAAAAGCCTTCCACAGGTGGTAGATGGAATCCTTTCCGGGTTTTGTTCCCGCGTCCAGAAGGACACAGATGTTGGGATCCAACACGCGACCGAATGCCTGGAAGAACCAACGGTGGGAGTTGATCTTCTTCTGGTTCTTTTCCTTCAAGCAGAAGATCATCTGCACTGGGACTGCGCCGCGCTTCATCGAGACGTGATGGCCTTTCAGTTCTACAGCCATCTGGGTAGTGTACTCGTAAATGTGGGCCGTCACGTCCTTGCCGTTGACCTGCTGTTTAGCGATTCCGTCCTGGTAGACACCCAAACCAGCCAGCACGGCGCGAGTCCGTGGGTTAATCTTAGCACGACCATCACTGATCACACAAACGACAATCTTCTTCCACGCATCCTTGCCCCAGGTTTTGCTGCTCGTGCGCGAGCACATGTGCTCGATATTTTTGAAAACACCGCCCAACGTGCGCGCAAACAGGAAGTCATCTTCGTTATACATGGTGACGGCAATGAATAATTCTGTGTGTCGCGGTTTCGCGAACAGTTTCTGACGCAGCGTGAAGCGCTCCTCAAAGAAATCGTTCGGATCGCAAGTCGCAGCCGAGTAACGCATATGCGTGAACTCGTCACGCCCCGGAGCTTCAGCATGGGGCACTTGTGAGAGCAGTCGCGGTGCGATAGGACAGTCGAGCACGAGGTTTCCGTTGAACAACTGCACTTCCTTGACCGTCTTCCATCGCCGGAGCGGGGCCGGACTGGGTGTGTGGGCGAGCCCCGGGTCGTCTTGGTACTCGTCACTGTAGTTATCCGGGCCAAAGGGGTTTTCTGGGTTCTGCAAAATGGGAGTATGATCATCTTGGTAGTTTGGCTGATGTCCCAGGTCATAGTCCTCCTCTGGCGTGGCCGTTGGCCGGTACGGTTCGGTGTAGTAGGCGTCATGGTGGGCCTCGGGGTCGAGGGTGTAGTCATAACCAGGGTAACCGACATTGGGGCCGTGCTCTTCGTAGGATTCATTATGTCCGTAGGAATTGGGCAATCTAGTCACCGAGTACTACGATCATTAGCATTGTTGTGGCGATCGTCGCGGAGTAAACTCACTGTCGGTTGCTCGGCCAAACGGTCGCTGGAGGGCATTTCCAGGTGTCCCTGAGGCGCATAGGGATTATCTGACAGCTGATACCCGTTCAATGGGTGCCCCGGCGAGGGTGTGCGCTGGGCGTAAGGATGCATCATATGATTATCTTCATCCCCGTAGGGGTCTGCGGGGGTTAGTTTTTGCATTTCCCAGGCACGGAATCAACAAGGACAATTCAAAAGAAGCTCTTGTCGAGTAAGGGCATAAAATAACAAAAACAAAAGTAATAAATAAGAGAGAATCTCGAAAAAATGCACCGGGCAGGCGCAAGAATGCAACGGGTATCACAACAAAAAACCACAGAAACAACTGACCTGGATCTAAGCGGTTGTAGGACATGGTCGCACTTAAGACGCTGTTCCAATCACAGTCTCATCCGAAGTTTCAGCAGGGGAGCCGAGAGATTGGCAGGAGGGCGACGAAAAACGAGCAGCGGGTGCCGTAAGGATTGACAGGACCGTTGTTCGGTGTTTCAGACGCTCCTGAGACGGGATTATGGGTATGGAGTGTATGGGGTACTGTGTATCAAGTACACGTAGAGTAGTAGGATAGAGAATGAAGAGCAACAGTCTCAAGTAGTTGGAAAAGAAGAAGTGTTTGTTCGGAATGCCGATGACGATGCAGATGGCGGTGCGTCCACGAGGACGGGAGAACACAGTCCACTAATGGGTCAGTGTCCAATGAGAGAAGAAACCCCGGACCTTTAGGTGAAAAAAATGGATCTGAAAAGGAACCGAGATGGAACAATCAAAAGCGTCCATGGCTGGTTGCCAAGCGGTATCCAATGGCAGCGTCACTGGGACAACAGTGCACCGCCACAGGTGCCACTCACCAGCCACACTCTTTTTATAGACAGGCTGCAGAGTTTGACCACCGTACAAGTACTCTATGAATAGAATACACTATGTAGAATGAGAATGACACTGCCTGATTGATTCATGCACAGAGTAGACGGTATGGAATATGTAGTAGTTCATAGGACTCTATGGGCCTGTGTTCATGAACCACGGATATACTTCGGGATGCATACACTTACAGGTACCGGTCAATGCAACATCGATCATCTAGTATTTAGTGTCCTTTATTCACCCTAGCCTATAACAATTGGTCTCGTATAGTCGTGGACTATGCGTCTGTCCTATTCTCGTATTCGTATTGCTCCGCATTTCACGTGAGACACGCGCCATTATCGATAAAGCTCTTTCACCCCACCTCGCTATCAACAGACCAGCTTCGACGCTCTGCTCATACTACCATACCACCAAAGTATCACACGGCTCCAGAGACATCACTATGTCTAACAACCCGGTCAATGTTCTCTTCGTCTGCCTCGGCAACATCTGTACGTTCTCACTTCCATCACTACCCCGCCATGCCTCTGTTTTACACCCCACTAACAACTAGAACAGGCCGTTCCCCCATGGCCGAAGGCGTCTTCCGCAACGTTGCCTCCTCCCACCCCCAAATCAACGAAATCGACTCCGCCGGTACAGGCGCGTACCATGTTATGGAACCCCCAGACCCGCGCACAATGACCACCCTACGCTCCCACGGCATCAAGAACTACAACCACGCCGCTCGCAAAGTTACTCGCGAGGACTTCCTGACCTTCGACTACTTGCTCGCCATGGACAAGTACAACCTACGCGATCTGCTGGATGAGAGGGCTGCCGTGCTTGCGACGTTGGGTAAAGGTGGCGGGAAGAAGGGGAGTAAGGCTGCTGCGGCGGCGGCGGCGGCGGCAACGAATGGGGAGGATGTTAAGGTTGCGGAGGTGAGGCTGTTTGGGGATTTTGGGAAGGGGGGTGTTGTGCATGAGCGGGTCGGTGGGGGTGAAGTTGTGCAGGATCCGTATTATGGTGGGACGAATGGGTTTGAGGAGGTTTATCAGCAGGTGGTGAGGTTTTCCGAGGGGTTTTTGGAGCATGTGGAGAAGAGACAGTAGGTTTTGTGATTAGGATGATTTATGATTGCACAGATACCCTCGATAGAATAGACAGCGTGAACCGTGTAGACCAATTCGGAGCTTCAAGCCTCGACATATCCATTCATGCCTTCGGTACCATGCCTTCGGTATCATGCAAACCTCCAATTTAGCCGCGGACAACTTGAAGGTTTCCGAGGCTTCTTTGTCGTCCAGTTGATACTTCCTTTTCTTAGGCGTGCTCTTTCTAACAATGCTGTTGATTGTTCGGCTGGGAGTCGTGTAGGTGCCGGTGTACATGTGCTTGCAAAGCTAGCAAAGGTGTTAACATCAACGTCGTCGAGAACCACGACTCAAGTTGTTGATTCTTGCATCCTGTTGTTGATTAGTGCGTGTAGCGGCTGTGTCATGTTTTGGACGATGTCTGCGTGAATAATCATCGGAGTTCTGTTTTCGCTGACGAGGAAGCTAAATTGCGGTGGTTGGATGATCCTATGAAGCGCAAGTGGTTAACAATGCCCAGGGAAAGGCAAGCGCCGGTGAAAACTTCTTATAGTTAGCCATATTGAACGCACTCGTCATCTGCGAATTTGGTAAGGCAGGTAGAGGATGATTACTGAGGGAAGAATTCGGGTAGCCGAATGGTTCAGTGGCCAGTCATGGCAGGAATTTGCCCTTATTGCTCCAAAAAAAAAAAAAAAACCAAAAAAAAAAAAAAAATCGTTATTCTCATATAGCAATTGGTAATTCATTAACTACTTCTTGTTTGTTTCAGAATCATGGAATTGATTCCGACAGTGGGTAGGCTTTAAGAATGCATATAGGCATGGAGAACAGACTCTCAAGCTCCCTCCTCCGTAGCATGAGCATGCCCGGATATTCCCTGCGCTCGTCCAGCTAAGTGCAATGCACCTCCCCTCCCTCGTGGGTGTGACAGTTCTAAGTCAATTAGCCAACCGCAACAGCCACCTCCAGTAGGGAACTACTCACCTCAGGTAAATTGCCACCATCCGCCTTATCCTCATCCTCATGTTCATGCTCATGGTTGTGCTCTCCAGGACATCCAACCCCTGGAACAACAATATCAAACGCATAAGCCTCGAGCGCAAAATACTGCAACGTGTCCGTGTCCCTCGTGGAAACGCTCTTATTACCAGCGGCCAGCTCAATAACCTCATCATACCCCTCCGCGAAATGGTCAACCCAATTCTGTCCAATTGAAGGCATGTGGAACAGCCGGTGCAGAAGGTCTGCGGCCCAGAAGGTGTTTGTCTCGGTGTTGGAAACTGTATAGCCGAGGGAGCACATGGTGGTTAGGGACCGTCGAGTTGAGTAGCTTAGATCGCAGATGACGGTTTCGTTGGGCGCGGTTGTGTCACGCCAGTGGCCTGCCCAGCCTGTCGACCGGTGTTAATTTGGATGCTAAGCATTTAAAAGGAACGAAGACAAACCTTCATTATCGCAATTCCCATCCGGATTATCGCATCGGAAAAGCACATTTCCCTTGTCTCCGCTGCTCAGGAGTTCATAGATGCCAATCGGTTCAAAAGAAGGTCTATCCCCAAAGTACTTCCGGTAGATCGAGCTTTGATTCCCCCAGCGGAGGATGTGCTCCTTAGCGTGATTAGCTAGAGCGATGGACTCGTTGAGGCCAGTCTCGATCTGCAGACGCTGAGTTGCATTGCAGCTTGAGTGGATTGGGTATTGAGTGATTGCGCCTGCGTCCCAGGGAGATGGAGATGGAGTAGTTTTATTCTGCACGGGGGTAGGAATGGCTGAGACGGCGGAGAGCAGGAGTAAGGGGAGGAGGGATGCCATTTTGGTTAAGATGTCTTTGGAATCTCCGGTAAGTGGTTTCTGCCGCGGATAGTCAGGGCTATGTAGGGTTTTATAATGTTGCTTTGCGGAATGGTTCACCTTGGCGTGACAGCTGCCAAGTAACTGACATTCGTAGATAAACCCATTTTAGGGCATATCTCCATTTTCGTATTTAGGGCCAAGAGGTACCTTACGAATGCGTCCATGTCGCTCTAAATGTATTCAACCCTAAGGATCTCATGCCATGGGCATAAAGTGATCTCGCGAGACCATTTTTGAATACCTTGTACGAGGCCCTGTCTGAAAAGAGCACCTCTCGCCATACAGTGCTTTCCTGTTCGCTTAAAAATACATATGCGGTATTTCAGCGACACTTATCTGTGATCTCGCGCGATATGCAAGCGGGAACGGAGAGTGCCAAGGGCTGGGCAAGGACCTTGGAAGAAACAAGCCGTGCCAATTCCCAAAGGCTAGCTTATAACGCTTCTATTCAATTGGATACTACAGACTAAAGTGGGTGGGAATGCCGGGAATCTCCTGGCGAAGGAAGATATCCTACTTAACATGGGCTTGGGAGGAGATTCGCTCCTGAATGGTTCGGGCCCAGGGAGATACGGGATAAGCCAGCCGGGGCTGGTAATCGCATTGAGTATTCAACTATCTAGTTTGTTATTAATGCACAATTTCCTTGATGCAAAGCATTCTTGACGGTAACCATGAAAAGTAGCCAAGATCAAATGCCGTAGAAGCCAGCAGAGTATTAGTATATCCTCTTCCAAAACGCCCTTTCAAGTCACTATTGTCATTACAAAATATGTTCTGATGTCACTAAATGATCCCAATTACCCGTGAAATATTTTGTGCTTGACCAACCCCAGAAGAAGCTGACATGCGGCGTAATGGATAGCCAATTTTCGACGCGGAGACCCCCTCCAGGCTCAATTCGTCCAGTATTACTTGAGTAACAACCAAGAGATCACAAGCTAGATAGGCGCTTGAAGATATGTGGATGATAGCTCTAAGATCACGGTAGAGAGACTTGAGACTGTTGACGCAACGACTCGACCAGGAATTTGGTCGCCTGAATGTACAACCTGGCATGATGGACAATGCTGGGCCTTGAGCTGGTCGATGCAAAAGGGCCTTCAATTTTCAAAGCGCGGAATTGGACACCTAGATGGTAGTAGACAAGATTTGAGCCTCTTTCTTTCTATTAACTTTGATGTTGGGGTCCGGCCTTTTCATCGCGGTTATAGACCATTAGGATATCGGCGTTTGAACTATGCTGCCTCTCATCTTTATAGGTCTGTCAGAGTCAGTTGAGGCGCAGCTAGGCGTCGTATAAGTGCCAGTGTGTAAGTGTTCGCAAAGCCCCCAAATGCATCGACATCGACATCGACATCATCAAGTATCGCAATGCCCTTTGTCGACATCTTCATTAAGTCATTACCAATGATAGCAAGTAGAGGATCTGCTCTCCCTTGAACAATGCTCGCATGGATGGCCGTGGGGGTTTGGTCTTTTCCAACGAAAACGGTGAACTATGGCGACTGGGTGATTCTACAGAGCGTTAGCAAACGCGTAATGATATGGTAGTGCATAGGACGAAGTGTAGTTGGCTGTTTCTTCATTTTTCCCTACAGTTCGACAATTGATAGGACATGTGTTATTCTATCGGCAGAGGCACAAGGCCAGGGACCAACAGCACAATATATATGAGTGAGCGTTGAATGTCCGGAGAGCTGTTTGCTCAGGCAAGAAAATAAACTCAGGTCACCTACAGCAATCCCATTCTTTTGTTTGTAAGGAGCTGCAGTTGGAAATACTCAGCCTACTATAATTGTATATATGGCAGTATTCACCCTATGAGTTACCATACTTACCGACTGCATGAAATAGTCAAGCCAAGGCATTATATAAGAAGCACAGTAGCTCACCAGAGAAAGTGCCCATCTGATAAACAAAAGCGTGTTCTGTCGAGTGTTCCTTGTAAGATGGGTGTCAAATTATGGACACAGAAATATCCAGCACTGTTTAGAAACGCTGATATGAAGGACAACAGAAAATCTATGCAGAATTTTTTGAGATCGCCGGTAGAATTGATAGGGAGTCTGGAAATAGGTGAGCTTTCAAGTCATTCGTTATGTGAACAAGCCCAAGACTACACAATTGGTCCAAATGCAGCTGCCTGAGCTGGCTTGTCTCAAGGTCTATTTGGACTGAACATGTTGGCAAGGGCACCTAGCGAACGCATCATGATTTTCATCTCACAAATATACACATCAAAAGTAGCCTTGCTAGCGCAGTATTCCGGATGGGTCGACTTGGGCCGGGAAGTCGACAGGCTGCCAACGAACTGCATGGACCCTTTCGCTACAATCACCACGCCCACAAAGACACAGTTCAGCTCAATGGTACTAGCAACATTAATGCAAAACATCTTGGTGACTCTGTATGTAATTTGAGACAGTTCGATCGCCATGCCAATATTTTGAGAGTTGCTGTGTGGAAGATCGTGTCCAGTTTTCCGCCCCATCCCAGGCTAATGGTTCTGTATGCATTCTCAATTGAGTAGCAGTCTGTAAAATCGAGAGCGAAGTGGGGTTGTTTGAGACCCATGTCAGATAAGTCATATCAGAGAACTTGGCAAATGTCACGTAGACATGGAACCCAAGGGAGAAGTATTTTTGGGCTAGATAATGGCCATAGCTACTGTTGCCGCAGCCGATGAGAATTATCTTGAGTGATATTATGAATGTTCGAAGCTAGTTTCAAATGTAATGAGATGTTTGTACGAAGAGGAAGAGAAGAAGAGAAAGAGAAAGCGAGGGAGAGGAGAAGGTATCCATTCACGCCAGGCAGATACCTGTAGCCTATAGGTCTAGTGCAGCATTGACGTCTGTTTGCTGTCGTGCTTAGAAGTGAATGTTGAGGCTGGTTGCTTCTCTGCATTCACATTACAATTTTTGTTATTGTCGGCTCCTTCGTAAGCAACCCTACTTAGCAAACGTCACGCCACAGCAAGGTGGCTGTTTATGAGCACGACTATTTTCGTTTTGAATCTACCAATCGAGGTTTTCCTCGATATTGCCGACGAACTGAAATACCCCGAGACCAGCGTCCTGAGCCGCACATGCAGCAACATGTATGGGCGGCTGAATATCTTCCTGTATGGACATAATGTCCACAATCACAATGGTTGGGAGATGTGGAGGGCCATTAAGCTAGGAAGTAAGACCGCATTACTGAAATTCATCGAGCAAGGTGCCAACCCGTGTGCGATGAAGCGTATGGACAGATCGCTTTACTATAACCCTTATGTCCCATATGAGGAGTGCGCAGACGGGGAGGACGAACCAGGCACAAAGAAGATCATTGATGTGGCACAAGAGTATGAATACCTGCACACCCATGGACTGATCTGGATCCCTGCTCAAGACCACCATATTGGCCGTCGACGGGTTCTTTCTCCCTTATACCTTGCGGTCAAGCACCAGCATGCCGAGATAGTGCGGATTCTGCTGGATAGTGGTGTTGATCGAAAAGTGAAAAGCCGAATTTACCAATGATGCCTTTGCGCTGCAGCAGAAAACGGGGGCCTAGCATTAGTTCGAATGCTGTTAGACAAGGGCGCTGAAGTGACGCCACCGCAAGGCACATAAAAAGAGGGTACTTTTTTGATACGGCGAAGGGCAGTGATGCAGACGTGATAAGGCTTCTGATGGAAATAGGGCCCTTTGATCCCATGTTAACATCCAAAGCGGACACGATGTTGATTCTGGCGGTCATTAAGGGAAGCGAGGATCTACTTCGTCTTCTGGCGGAAAATGGGTTTGGATCCGGAACAACCGGGCCAACATGGCCAGACGGCATTGGATGCTGCTCAATTCTATTTTGAATACTGAGGTTGTGGATTAGCTGAAGAGCCTAGGCAGGAACGGCAATCAGAGTCCAGGAGATATGAACTATGAATTAATGTGGTTAGCTTTTCTCAAAAGTTTGTCTGCTTAAAGCGTTGAGAATATCCATTCATTCGGCTTAGAGTTCCGATGACAAAAGCCCTGACGCAAGACCAGTGATGCCATACCACGGTCATTTCTTGTTATCCCATATCTAACTAATCTCTGTCTCCTATTCACCCATTGCTTTACAAATTGAAAAGAAAGCAGAGATAATGGCTTCGTACCTCGTCACCGGAAGCTCGAAAGGCCTCAATCTGGGAATCTGTAACATCCTTGCTTCCAAACCTCCTTCCGAGGTTTCCAAGGTTTTCACATCCGCGCGCAGACACACCGATGCATTGAAAGACTTGATTTCACAGTATCCCGGGCGTGTCGAGTTTGTGTTGATGGATGTAACGTCTGAGGAGAGTGTCCAGAAAGCCGTGGAGCAGATTGAGAAGTCTCTCGGGGGCAAGGGCTTGGATGTTTTGATAAATGGAGTGGGAGTCATGCCTTTTACACCGGAAGGCATTCACACAATGTGTGTTTACAACTTCATTGTATCTCAATGAAGATAACCGTCTAATTCGAATAGGAATAATCTCGACTCGACTTTGAAGAGCAATGTGTTGAGCGCCCACCTGGTGACCAGGAACATTATGCCGTTTTTGCAAAAGGGCAACCTAAAAAAGGTTGTTACCATGTAAGTGTCCATATTCACACCATTGAATTAAGCATTGATCATCATTAGCTCCACAACACTTGGCTCGATTACACGGGCGAAGAGATACCACACGCACATGCCTACACCAGCCTACAAAATATCCAAGGCAGCCCTTAATATGCTCATGGTGCAGTATTCCTTGGATTATGCGGATCAAGGCTTCACATTCTTCGTTGTTTGCCCGGGGGTAGGTTTGTCACCAGGATGCGGGATTTCGCTGATGCTGACACTTGATTTATAGTGGGTAAAGACGGACCTTGGGGGGAAGGATGCCGACCTGACCGTGGAGCAAAGTGCAAATGCAATACTGCATAATATATTCAATTCTACTCAGGCAGAAACCGGAAAATTCCTGAACATCCATGTGCCCGGATGGGAAAACGCACCGGGCATCAACCAATACAACGGAAATGAAATTCCGTGGTAGGCTACAGAGGATACGCGAAATTAGCGGACAAGGCTAATTGGAATTCGATAATATATGTTGGCAATATACAAGTGTTGGACAACCACTATGGCTTCAATGGCGTACGAACTACTACGTTAGTTTCCAGGTATAAGGGGCTAGATAGGGGCTGTAGAGATTAAATACGGAATTAATTGCATATACGGCGGGTCGCAGTCTTTTTTTTTTTTTTTTCTTTTCCTTTGGACTTCTTACAAAATGTAATGGAAATACCGTATCTGTGCCCTGGATATATGTGCGTGGAGAGTCATTAGTCTGAACCTCGCAACCAACCAGAGATGACAGCGATCCAACCAAGCATGTCAAAGGTCCCACGTAAAGATTCCCCTTTGACCAGCCTTATGAGTCCAGAATCTTGTCGAATTCGTGGAGATCGGTGCTGAACGGCTATGCTAAGGGCCTGCAGGGTAAGATATTTGGGCAGAGCCTCATCAGCGAACGAGCGAATAATCGTGCCCTTCTCCGGTTTTCTCATGCTCCATGATTCTGACGAGTTCTTGTTCACCAATTAAGCATCGAGTTCGTGTGCGGAGGCTCAGCTAATTACGCATATGCTTGCTTTTTCTCCTGCATGAGGCCTGAAACTAGGGCGGTGCAATACGAAGGGGATCGGTGGTCATATTTTGCAGATCGAGTAATGTGAGAACTCGGGATTTTTCTCTCAACGGCTGACAGTTCATATATAATATAGATTTGATAAATTCTGTTCCGGTTGAAAGCTTTAGAATCATTACCTGAACAATTCACTATGGCAGGACCTCAAACATCGCCCAACCTCTACCCCGACCAATACACTCTACAGCCCAATGTGGAATTCGTATTCACCTCCGACGAGAACTGGTCTCACGTCGAGGACATGGCCCTACGAAGACGAATTCAGAACAAGGCCGCTCAGCGGAGATATCGTACGTTCTCCTCAGTTCTCAGTTTCCAGTTCCCAGTTATCTCGTTACATGTCTGACAAAAGTACCGATCAGGCCGCAAAATGAGAGACCAGCAAGCAGCATCCACAGCGGGGCACCGAAGCCCCATACCTTTGGCTATGGAGCTTTCCCCCAATCTGCCTTGGTATCCCGATTCTGTACAGGGGCCGAATCCGATAGCAACGGGAGAGCACACCCCGGCGCTATCGTGGGATTCAGAGACAGATCCGTTTCTGAACGGGATGCCGAATAAGTCATGGCAATGCCATCCGTCAGAAGAATTGCTTTTTCCTCCCTCTGGTAATCTTTCTCGTCCATCGTCGGCATCGTCTTGTCTTAGTGCAAATGCATTTCCTCAAGACACGAGCTTTTTAGAGCAGACCGGGCGGAGCTTCCACGGGGCATTGCCTATTGATGATCCATTTATTGCCGTCGGGATGTCTGAACGTAATTGCCAGGTATGAAGAGTCGTCATTGAATTACCTAGCTTCTACTTAAATTTTGAACAGTCATCGCCTCTTCCGCTGTGTTCAAAAGATACAAATGCGGACCGGTTAGCGAAGCGCATTAAGAAGACACTGGACGAATTATCTCTACTCTACGATATTGGTATCGAACTGGAGTTGATACCCCAGGATAACGATATGTTTATTCAGTTGGAGAATCTGAAGAAGGGGTTTTGTAAGGCCATGAAGGTGGCATAAAAATAGGTCGAGGCGGTCACTATAAAAATTGTTTTTTAGCGTGCTGCAGTCTCTAATCTCAACTCATGGAAGATGACACTTTCGTTGAAGCTTTCTAAATAATTACAGGATAGGGTTTGTCGATACCATTACTAGTAATATCTAGTCAAGGACTACAAGGTGGCGTGTATGGAGAGACACAGAGATACTATTGAATCCTCACTGAACCTAGTACTTTTTCATTATGGACGGCAAGAGCCGCTTGACTAAGTCTGCAGGCTCACCAACCGAGTGCCGTATTCAGCTAGCTCACATCCCCTAGTCTAATTAGATGCCTAAAATCCCTTCGTATAGCCTTTGGCGATGTCTCCGCGGAAACATTCTCTCATAGTGACTCTATATTTCGTGATTTGCGGCTCTTCCAACGTTGACAGAAAGCCCCACGTGGCCTAGTCTCAGCTCTGATTGTATTCGACTGGCATTTCATGCTAAAATTAATTGGTAACTAAGTTAAGGATTTGATCGGAGTCACCGTTCGCGATGACACTCGCTGCCGTAGCGTCAAAATGGCCTGATGCTCTCAAAATACCCGAAACACTGACCCAACGTCTCAAATCCTGCAATATATTTAGGATTTTCTCACTATGGGGGGGCTTAAGTAATAAATAATAAGGGTAAAAGCCCTGCATTCCGCCCTATAAGTGTCTGGCTGTGGTGTCAGCATTCCTTGACGTTAGGGCTCAGCCCGTAAGCTGATATGGTGGGAACTGGCTCAGCCCTAGGGCTGTGGCTATTATACGACCGTTTAATCTATGAAATGAAAATAGCTTTGTCTCATAATGCTAACTGGATTGAGTGTTATGCGAGTTATGAGGATGTCAGAGGGGATGAGGGTAAATTGTACGTAGTATAAATATCTAAAAGGGGACTATCGGCCAAGGTATCTGCCGTAAAACGAGAAATTTGCAAGCTTGCATAAAGTTACTCTATTTAACATGAAGCAATTATTTTCAAGCCTGCTTTTCGCGACAGCTGCATGTGCAGCTAAGTAAGTACTAGCGGCAATGTCTTGTGCCGTCGCGGACTAACGTGTAGACAGACTCTCCCAGGGCTTGACCCAGACACAAACGAATGGGTAAGAAGAATACTCATTTCTCATTCATAATAAGTTGGTTAGAGTACTAATTTTCACCAGACTCTCAACATGGGGCACACTAGACAACCCGCAATTCCCCGATTTCCTTCCATCTCGTGATGGGCCTACGGAAGACCCTTGGGAGAATCTCAACAACCAACGTCGGGATAATGACCCATATCCCGAGGTCCCTTACACGGGGGTAACAAGATATTATGACTTTGAGGTTGCTCGAGATGTCCTCTCACCGGACGGCTATGGTAGGTCATAAAGACGATCCGGTCATTGAGATCAAACTGACATTTGGCAGAGAAAAACGGAATATTTGTCAATGGGCAATTCCCTGGGCCCGCAATTGAAGCAAATTGGGGGGATTGGGTGGAAGTAGCCGTGTATAATAACATCACGGGTCCCGAAGAAGGTACATCAATGCATTGGCACGGTATCTCCCAAAAGGGAACTCAATGGGCCGAGTAAGCAGTTCCTTTTTGTAACAATACCTTTATGTTACCCACCTTACTGATGACTACCAGCGGCGTTCCTGGTGTATCCCAATGCCCTATTGCTCCAGGCTCATCCTTTACCTATCGATTCCGCGCAAGCGAATACGGTACCTCCTGGTGGCATTCGCACTATTCCGCTCAATGGACAGCCGGAGCATTCGGTCCACTCGTCGTCTACGGGCCAAAACACATTCCGTATGATGTCGATGTCGGCCCAGTCATGCTCGGCGACTACCACCACCGCGATTACTTTGAAGTCGTGGAAGATGCCGCTAGCAATAGTACCGATCTCAACGTCTACGCACCCTGGTCCGACAATAACTTGATCAACGGCAAGAATAATTACAATTGTTCCATTTCCAAGACAAACGCGACCTGTGTTGATAATGCAGGACTGGCGCAGTTCCGCTTCCAACCGGGCAAGGTCCATCGTCTGCGATTGATGAATATCGGTTCCGCAGCACTGCTCCATTTTAGCATTGATGGGCATAAGATGCAAGTGATTGCACAGGACTTTGTGCCAATTGTGCCATATGAAGCAGACGTTGTTACTTTGGGTGCTGCACAAAGGACGGATATTTTGGTGATGGGAGATGCTGATCCCGACCAAACGTACTGGATCCGGTCCAACATCTCTACCAATTGCTCCAATACGTACACCTCCATGGCCTGGGCGGTTCTGTCATACGAGGGAAATGATGATATTCAGGAGCCAACGACTGACAGTACCGATGCCGTGAAAGAGGCAGACCGGAAAGACTTTCTGTGTAAGAATGTACGTCAAGAACCCTGGCCATTCATATCGTTGTTACTAACGGTCCGCAGGACGATCTGAACAAGACAGTCCCGTTCTACCCCCAAGCCCTCAAAGAACCCGACATCACGACTACAATCCAAGTCGACCTGTACACAAACGAGACAGGCCACCATTTGTGGACTATGAACAACCGAACACAGCGAACGGACTATAACAATCCGCTCCTTCTCCTCGCCAACGAAGGCAATTTCTCCATTCCAGACCCTGACTGGAACGTCTATGACTTCGGAACTAGCAAAACGGTTCGCATCGTACTTAATACTGTCTATCAATCAGCACACCCTATGCATCTTCACGGTCACTCTTTTCAAGTGCTTTCCGAAGGCGCTGGTCCCTGGGATGGCACAATTGTTAACCCATATAATCCAACCCGTCGTGATACACATATGCAACGCCGCTACGGACACTTGGTGATTCAGTTCGAGGCCGACAATCCAGGTGTATGGTCATACCACTGCCATATTGCTTGGCACGCCAGTATGGGGTACAACATTATGATTCTGGAGCAGTCGAGAGAGATTGAGAATTTGGAGATCCCGGTTTATATGGAGCAGACATGCAAGGATTGGGATCAATGGTCGAAGCATAACGTGGTGGAACAAATTGATTCGGGTATTTAGGTTGGCATGGGAAGTTCGTACGGGGGGAGATTGACACTGGGTAGTTGCATAAGTTTGTGAATAGCGTTTGGAGTTTGTGTTTGGGTTTGAGTTGGGCAGAGATTATGATATGAGCGTCAATAGTGATTTTTTTACATTACAGGATCCAAATCATTACTCGGACATACGCTAAAGGACATATTCATTATTCGAGGAGTCACCATAATAGTGGATACAGATGTCTTGGGTAATTTTAATTAAACCATTTTAGGGGTTCATGGTGGCTATGAAATGTATCACTGCGAATATGGGATATATACAACCGTTACGAAAAAGCCCTATTTCGCTCGCATCGACCCAAAGAATAACATATGACCTTTCCACCTTTCACGTAGAGCCTTTTATCCTTTCCATAACTGAAAAGTCTATTAAAGTTATTAAAACTGTGTAATCGCTTTCCAACTTTGAACCGTTCTAGAAATCCCTACGCATTGAGGGTGACAGAGGAAGATCTCCCAAGTATAAAACAGCTCTTCAAATGAAAAAAATCATAATCCTCTATTGACATTTATATCCAATAAAACACTAAATACAAACAAGCAAGAACGCAATCGGGAACCCAAATATAAATAAAACCAAAGACGAGTCCTTCATGCTGCTGCTGCTGCTGCATTTTCAAATCCGATCACCTTCACAGGACCCTTGTGAACTTCCCTCAATTGTTGCACCTTCTCCAGCTGAGACTCGGTAAGTGACTTCTCAACACCTGACTTAGGGTAAACAAGCATGGTATTTGGGTACTGCGCCTCGAAAATAACATCCTCATCTTCCCAATCCCATAGGGCAGACTTCTCCCGGTAAAAGTACGGCCGTCCGTCCTTGTACATCAACCGGTGCGTGTCACGCACGGCCTTGGAGTGGACAGTGGTATAAGTCCCGTCAAGAGCAACAGCGATGGAACTGTGCCATGGTGACTTGGGGAAGGCACCCGAGCCTTGAACAATTAGAGGAATAGACAGCTTGACGCTACCGCTAGACGGGTGAATAGACAATCGAACATGCTCCGGCTTCGTCGCCTGCAAGAATTTTGTAAACGACTCTGCCCGGATCATCATATTGATGGCGACTTTCTTGACAATTTTTCGGTATTTCTGGCCACTGGTGGCATTTGCTGCTACCGGGCTATGTCGGAGGTCAGTCTCAAGGAAGCGGATAAAGCCGCAGTATGTGAGCAAGGTGTCTGGGTCATCACGCATCATTTCGCGGACTTCTTCTTCGGTACGGCCGTATTTCTCGAGGATCTCGTTGCGGCATTTCTGGGCGAGAGAGAGGTAAGATTCTTTGTTGAGGCCGGTGTTGGCTGTGTAGCCGAGGATGTCCATGACTCGGAAAAGTTTGATTGATTTGTTGTAACCCTTAGACTTGGTCATTTGGACTAGGCCGTCGCCGTAGGCCCAGGTACTTTCGTCGGTGATTCCGACCACGTCTATCTGGGTTAGTCAAGCTGCTTCTCAAGAGGTACAGGGAATATACCATCAAACAGCAATCCATCTGTGGCAATATGAACCTCGCCTCCAGGTGGGTAAACCACTTTGATATCCTCGCATAGCTGATGGAGACGAGACAGTGCTAGCTCTTCACCCAAGTCAGGAAGGACACCGGTAACCTTGTCTACTTTGTTGATCTGCGCAACTTAGATCAGCCCTGTTTTGTTCTTGGATACCTCGGTCTGACTAACACTCTTCCAGGGAAAAGCAGGAAGAATCATCTCAATAGCATGCCCCTTTGCCACCTGCGTTTTTACTCGATCCATGAAGAACGACTTGCCAGTCCAACTGGTGACCGGTCCCTCCACATCTTTAGGTTGGGTGTGAAGACCATATCCTCCAATAACGTCAAGGATATCGCTGGCAAGTTTGTCCGAGTCGGTTTCTGGCTCACTGATGATTGTGACTGCTCTGTCTTCTTCAACTTCGAGGTCATCTTCGGATTCAAGCTCTGGAAGGGCGTTAGCAACCACATCAATAAGGGTGACCAGAATAATACATACCAGTAACGGTAATGGTGACCCCATCCTTAGGGACCTTGACGTAGTCCTCAGTCGAGGAAGCCTTCGCTGGTGCTTTGACTTGGTGACATTCGATGACTTTGGATGCTGGAATGCCAGCATCGACATCGGACACGGAGGAGGTCTTAAGAAATTGGCTCTGCCACGGGAAAAGCATCTCTCTCCACCATAGAGGATTGAACAGCTTTCGCTCAACTGGAAGGGAAAGAGATGCCATTGTGCCGAAGTTTCACAGATTCTGAGCGATTTCTAATTCTGGGACCCTTGTAGAAGAGAATAGAATGATTGTGCTTGATTCTTCAACGATATGGTCCATTTCAACCCGGTTTAAATATCTATACTCCCGTCACGTTTTTCTCATTTTTCACGTCTGTCACGTCTGTCATTTCTCTGACACTGTTCTTCATTCAGCCTCTTCGCGTTCCATCCTGATTCTGGTCTATTCTTGGATTCGTATTTCCATCCTACCATACAAGATACAGTATACAGCCTGTGGTAGCCCTAATCGATGCTTCGGGATCGGTCATAGGTCATCGTGCCGGTCATCTTGCCGGGCAGAAGCACCATGCAGGTGTCATCAAATCCTGCAGTATAGTGGCGTGCGACGGTCATGCTGACTAGTGAGGTTAAGCTTACAAGGCTGACTGGAAAAATGAGGACAAGAGCCCGTTAAAGTAGATCTCATGTTTTAGAATTCTTTTTCCCACCTTTTTGTTTCTCTTCAATCTTTGAGCCATACATCTTTCAATCACAGTTCTCGCAACTTCATTTGCATATTCAAAGATGGCTTCTACTTCTACTTCTAATAGCAGCTTAGCAGCAAAGGAACCCTTCGTGAGCTCCGAGCCCGAAGAGACCCCCGCCGAGAACACCCAAACCGCAGTCCCAGAAAGTTCTCTCCTCGCCCGCTCCCAAATCCTAGTCAGCCATCTCATCGTGGTAAATGGATTTGGCTACTTCTCCTCCTTCGGTATCTTTCAATCACATTGGATCGATACCCTCGGCCGCTCCAATTCCGATATTTCATGGGTCGGATCACTGTCCCTCTTTTTACTCTTTTTCTTGGGCACCCTTTCGGGCCCGATCATGGATCGGGGGTATTTACGCCACTTACTTGTAGCAGGATGCGGATTTCAGATTCTGGGAGTGTTTACCACCTCCGCTGTTTCGCAGTACTGGCAGCTTGTGCTTTCACAGGGCATTGTACAGGGAATTGGAAATGGATTACTTTTCACGCCATGCATCGCCCTTGTTTCAACTTATTTCACAAAGCGACGAGCTTTTGCACTCAGTCTGGCGGCTTGTGGGGCACCGGTTGGTGGTGTTGTGTTTCCCATTGTGAGTTTATGCACCTGTCATCATGGCGGGGTGATGTAGACTGACGAATACAGATCGCGCAACAGCTGTCGCCGAAGATCGGATATCCCTGGGCGATCCGGGTAATGGGGTTTATCATTGTCTTTGACTCGTTGCTCATCGTCCTCCTGGCCCGACCACGCCAGTTCAAGCGTACCAAGGGGCCATTGGTTGATCCAAAGGCGTTCAAGGAGCCAACGTACCTGTTCTTTGCAATTGGTATCTTCTTCACTCTCTGGGGTGTCTATATTGCTTATTTCTACGTATGCTTGCCTCTTCGTCCCTGTTGCTTTTCTTCACTAACGTGAGTAGACGACCACCTTCGGCAAAGAAATCATCGGCATCTCCGAGAATGGCTCCCTCACCCTCCTCATGATCCTCAATGCCGTTGGCGTGCCAGGCCGAATTGTCCCCTCTCTCTTAGCAGACAACTACTTCGGCACTTTCAACACCCTCCTCCCCTTCGTATGCGCTGTCTCCGTCCTTCTATACGGCTGGATTGGTGTAGACTCTACGGGTGGCTTCTACGGCTTCGTCGTAATCTATGGTATCTGCGCAAATGCAGTACAGACACTTTTCCCCTCGGCATTGTCACAGCTTACCACAGATCTCAGTAAGGTTGCTTCCCGGGTCGGAATGGTCTTTACGGTGGGAAGCTTTGCTTGTCTTACGGGACCGCCGATTGCAGGGGTGTTGATCAGTAAGAAGGATGGTGATTATTTGTGGGCGCAGCTGTTTGGGGGTACTTCTGTTATTCTTGGATTTGTGCTTTTATCTGTGGCGCGGTGGATGAAGGGGCGGTCTTGATGTGTATTCTGCATAGACTGGATTGTTTGGCATAGAAGGCGGAGAGTGCTTTTTCGTGATTTTGGTATTATTGGAAAAGCATTACATTGCATAGAATAGAATGTTCCCGACACGATCTTCGTTTTGCATAAGTAAGCATATGCGTTGTACTCCGTAAGCCTTGACCGGATCGACAAGTCACGTCTCTTCGTCGGGAGATGCTCAGCTTTATTCGAATCCTTTTTCCCTTTGGACGACTGGACTTTGGCTTGGACCTTGTCGGTTAGACTTGTTCTGTAGATCGATCTAATCACATCGCTCCCATGGCTCACTGTCGATGTAGCAAAGTAGCGATGACATGAGCACGAGCACATATCACCATGCCATCAGACAGGCTATGCATTAAAACCATTCGGTGCCTCAGTCGTACGTTTCGAGCCTCAGCCTGACAGATACATTAACTCCGTACAGTAACCAGCGAGTAAGAATAGAAAAGACGGAGAGGAATTAACACAGCTTACCAATCGACATTCCTCTAGATTCTGCCGTATTCATGACATTCCAAGACAATGCTTAGAAACCAACAACAGTAAAATTGCCATTTATCCTCAAAAATTCGAAATAAGCAGTGCATTTTGCTGATTGCGGTGTTTATTTCCGGGTGGTATATCGCAATCGGAGACCAGTATGGCAGGATTAAAATAAGCGCTAGATGACCCCTGCAGCTCACCTCGTATAGGGTTGTTTTTGCTTTTTCTTATGTTTGCTCTGAATTGATTGTTAAGCACGGATATAGGAAATGCATTTAAGTCCGTCGATCGGGATATAAAAAGACGTACAATATCGCACCCGGAATACTCATCCATTTCATCCGCAATTCGTGTGTTCACACATCACGCCATATACACCACATCACCACCATGTCTCAACGTGCCATCCAAATTCAGAGCCCTAAAGTGGCCAAGTTGGTCACCGACGCTCCTATACCCAAGATCCGTGACGACTATGTTAAAGTTAAGACTGTTGCTGTCGCCCTTAACCCCACGGACTGGAAACATATCGACTTTTTGGCCACCGAGGGCGCCATTGTCGGATGTGACTACAGTGGTGTTGTTGAGGAGGTTGGTTCTGCAGTGACAAACCTGAATGTTGGTGATAAGGTTGCTGGTTTTGTTCACGGCAGTAAGTTTCTCTTTGGATATTGGGGTAGCCGACTAACAAATCTAGGTAACGGCGATAACATTGAAGATGGCGCATTTGCCGAACATATAGTGGCCAAAGCTGCCATTCAAATGAAAATTCCCGAGAATATTTCCTTCGAAGAGGCTTCCACTCTCGGTGTCGGCATTACCACAGTCGGTCAGGGCTTATACCAGTCCCTTGAGCTGCCATGGCCCTCCACGACTTCCACCACAACAGACGATTCCCCCGCTATCTTGATCTATGGCGGCAGCACCGCAACCGGTACCCTCGCCATTCAATTCGCTAAACTCTCCGGCTTCAAAGTCCTAGCGACTGCTTCCCCACATAACTTCGACCTCCTGCGCTCCCTCGGCGCTGATGAGGTCTTCGACTACCACTCTCCCACTGTTGGCGCTAAAATCCGCGCCGCTACTAACGACCGCCTCACCCACGTCTTCGACTGTATTGCTTCCGAGTCCTCCGTTGCTATCTCCGCGGAGGCTATCAGCAGCGCGGGCGGTACTTACAGTAGTTTGTTGCTTGTTAAGGAGTTCCCTCGCGCGGACGTTCATAACAAGCGCACCCTCGCGTACACTGGTATTGGCGAGACCTACCACAAGGGTGGTTCGGAATTTGCGGCGGACCAGTCACAATTGGACTTCCAGGTCAAGTTCTGGGAGCTGTCGAGGGAGTTGTTGGCTCAGGGCAAGGTTAAGGTGCACCCGTCTGAGGTGCGGGAGGGTGGCTTGGAGAAAATTCTGGAGGGCATGGAGGATCTGAAGCAAAACAGGGTTAGCGGTGTTAAGCTTGTGTATCGGGTCTAGGGCTGTGTTGGATTGTTTATGTTGCTTGAATAAAGATTTAACCAAGAGAATACCATGCAATATATATATGCACTCTGTATTTCTAGAGCATAGTGAACCATTTCAACTACAAGCAAGCGGGATTCAGAGGATATCATTTTTACGTTCATGTTGCCATATGCCACATCGATTTTATAAAATCAAGCCACGAACAGGGTTTCGGCCAATTCCTCAGCATATTCCAAAACGCTAGAATGTAGCTAATTATGCAGTCTTTAAATGTGGAGATGCGAAGTTGAATGAAGACCATTCAACTGGTGGTCCAGATTAATTTTTTCCTATTCCCATCATTGGTTCTTCATACTTCTTCGACACAACCTAATCAGCACGATGGAGACGAAGATTATATTACCTATTCTGGAGAATATAGGTGCTGAATACCGTTACGCCTCACTGATTGAGACGAATGTCTGGGGCACGTGTTTTTGGACAGGTAACTTACACCGTGGTGCAGCATGCACTAATACAAGTGCAGATTAACAAAGGATAATTGCCAGTCGTCGCACCTAAGCTTCTGCAAGCCTCTTTATTGAAAGCTTTGGAAGGCCCGGACTCTCTAGTTATTATTGAAAAATGAAATATGGAAGCCCGGCAGGCAAGGAAGAGACTAACTGGTTGATATATACGGCTATCTCTTTGATTGGCGGGGATTATTGTACATGTGCAAGAAAGTTAGATAATGCTGACTGCTTTGGGAAAGTTATTCCAGTCATCTGGAGGCTGCTTTATATACTGGAAGCGGCTAAACATGAAGTCTTGGGGGCTCCTATAGGAAAGGTAAGAAGCACACTCGAGATCTGTCCCTGAGGCATAATTACGAGACCAGGATTCTGTGATATTGTACGAGAAGACAGCGAATATTCTGTGCTGATATAAAGTATCATTTGAGAATCCTGTCATGTGCCATTCATCAAGGGTGAGTACACCGAATTGGACAAATCCTTATCATGTGACCTGTACTTTGAGACTATAGACAGGGAGTGCCTCCCGGATAAGTGTCCGACAAATATATAGTGTGGAGATTTCCCAGAGGAATTCACAGAGCCCTAATATGAGTTGCCAAGACCACTATACATATCTCATCGAGGCTCTACAAAAGCCTGACGTTCGACCAAAGTCCCAGGCAAATGTATTAACTCTGCATTCTGCGGACGACACAGACATGAGAAAATAAGCCGTGAGTGGTATTCGTGGAAATATTACCCGGCCAGTTGAAGTCTGGATTAGATCCACCTGTTTGTCCGATGGTGTTTGACTTAAAATATCAGGTCGCTTCGTTGTAGAGCCGTGACTACACCGCGCGTGCCATTAATTAAGTGATAGTGGAGTATTGAGTAGTAGAAACTGTATCTTGCCAGGAAGCTGCATCATCGAACCAGTTATATACCTGGATCGACATGAAGAACTCTCCCAGCCACCGGGTGTGGGCCATTGTGGACTCTACCGGGTTAGTGGGACCTAGTATCCAGATAGAATCGTAAACATATAGAGGGTGGCATGGACGGCAGGCCTCACTTTGTTGCCTTTAGTACTTCAGAATACTGTCAAGATCTGTTGGATGGATGGCCATGGCATTTGGCATAATCCTCGAGTTTGCGTATCAAACAAACTAGTGAATGCCATAAGCAATCCAAATCATCTCAATCAAGAATCTGTGTGCTGACTGCACCTAGTTACTTTGGGTCGCTTACATATACTATGGTTTCTATCGTCACCGGACATAGTCAACTCAACAAGCCGGAGGTTTCTCTCCCGCAGATGCAACGATTGTCTGTCCCACTGTTCAGCCCAAAAGAGCCTTGATCGATGCATTAAAGTCATGGCTGGCAATCTATCCGCGTGAAATCATAGTTGTAACTACTGTACTCGTCACGACCGCGGGAGTATGGTTAATGCGACAATGGCATACTTTGCTAATGGGCAGGTCATTGTCTGCAGTGGGAAGACATTTGCTTGTCGCACAGAGATCGTTCAAGGCGCTGAGTTCCTTGAATATTCCTCTCGGGATATTTGGATAAATAAATACCCACTTGTATCGGGAGATAATGTGGCCATCACTTATTGGTTATATCGGAGTGGATGGAGGACGAATTTTGTATCCCAGGATAAATATGCTATTATTGCCCAGCAGGTACCGCGAACTTTCAGGATTCATCTAGGGCAGCTTTTGCCGTGGGCAAGGAACAGCATTCGACGGATCTTTCGTGATATGGCGACTGTAGTCGGTAGTAGTCCCTCGTAGTATCGCATTCTCAATTTCAGGTCGATTGTTTTCCCGGTGATGACAGAAGACTATCTTCTCAATCCGGATTTCTTGACCATCTTGCTCATCCTCGTGGCTTGGGCAGGTGGTTTAGTATCACCGACAACTGTTATACCCAGCACCTGTTCTGTTGCATTATCTCGGATTCAATGCTTTGTTGGAACTTGCTAGTAGTCTATGGCACTTTTACCGGTGTCCAGTCATTGTGGCAGCTTCCATTTTTGGCAATCTGGGGCTATGTTCGGATGGCCATGACGAACTACGCTTTTTTTACTCCTAACCAGGTGAGTTGCTGTACTCCTCGCTGCAACATAGGTCACAACAGCTGACATTTTTAGTCTGAATGGATGACGCGGGTTGGGGCTGCTTAGTGTCAGCTTTCACATATTGCTACGTATTTATTATTATATATTCATTCATATTCTACAGTACAAGAAAAAAAAAAATAGTTGTACACGCATCGCTCAAAAACATATCCAGATTTTGTCAGTCAATTTACGGCTGGCTTGATGATCCCGAATTATACCCTCTCACTGACATTGATAGCAGCCCGACATCCCGCTCGGATGACATTAATCAATGGATCATAAGGCTTTGCCTCTTTCGAGTCGTTCTCGACCGCATGGTCCAGGTGTTCCAGCTCTTCGTCACGAATCCTCCGGAATGTAGCCACCATCTCCTTCAGCTCATCATCAAGTTCCTCCCCTCGTCGCTCAGCTTCAGCCGCCCATGACAAAATCTCTCGCACTTGCTCATTGTAATGTGACCCAATCTCTGTCTCCACAGCCTCCGTGCATGCCATCGCAGCTTCACGACCCATAACTGCGGTAGACCAGCCCAAAACCGACGCCGCAACCTCCCAAACAGGATACATAGCCGTCGGGCGAACTTGGTGTTTCGCAATGTATTTATTGAATGTCGAGAAATGCCCCGCTTCTTGGTCGTACATGTGCTTCATTAACGGCCGGAGGTGAGGATGTGAGCGCACAACGGGTGGTTTTTGTGCATCGTAAATTAGAGTCGCGGCCAGTTCGCCTGCTTGGTTGACACGAAGGGCGCTATCGAGAAATTCACGCTGTCGTTGACTTAATTGATAAATTGGTTTCTTTTGCGGACTGCTGGTCGTGGTTGAATTGTGTCGCACATGATTCAGGCGCATTGTTGAGGGAGCTAGGAAATCGAGGAATGATGGAAATGTGGTGCGAGCCAGCGCACAGTTCCGAAGTGCCTGATTTGTATACATCATGATCTGTGAATTGCAAATTGTCCAAAAATGCCCAAAAACAAGTCCAAGAATCGACTGATTTCGGAGCATCCTCAGTGCCCGCCAATGCCGGCCCCGCCACAAACGCGCGGCAACTAGACTCGGCGCCTAACTCGGCTGGAACGTCATGGTACGCCGAATCAGCGTCGAATTCACTCACTTCCAACTTCCAACTCCCTCGCCCGCCACCCAGCCTCTCTCTCTATCACGACTATTCTCATCGCAACAGCTGGGTTTCGCGCCCTATTTTATCCGGAAGACTTATCGACGCGCCTTGATTCGAGTATACGCGCCGTCTAGTGTCTTTTTGTCCGAGTTCCGACAGAGGAGGACAGATTCTCCTTTTCTTTCCCTAGCTAGTCAGCTGTTCAGGGGTTGACAATTCCTCGATACCGGGAGATCTCTTTGCTGAGCATCTTGCGGTTACTCGCTAACCTGGTGCTCCCTGCCACGAATACAACAACCTGTTGAGATTACAGAGGACTTCGATCCGAATCATTCACCATGGCCGATGATTTTGATGCCGAGTTGCTCGCGTTGGCGGGTGACGACTCGGATGAGGAGACTTCGCCCCAAGCGAAGCAGAGCGCAGCGTCACCTGTACCATCACAATCTCACTCTCCGGAACCGACAAGTCGCAAAGGGACCGCTAAATCTTCGCGAAAAGGTAGAAAGTCACGGAGGGAAGATGAGGATGGAGAGATGTATGTTGTTATTCCTGGGCTCTTTGATGGGCCGTTCTGTTTAGCAGCGCTATAGTTGCACTTTAGGGATAGAAAACTGACTAATTGCGTTTCGCAGATCTGATGCAGAATCCGCCAGCATGTCAGAATCAGATTCTGAAGCCGAGTCGTCGCCGGATGTCGATGGTGAAGGTCCAATGTTCCCGTACGACAAGTTATACTATTCTGCGAAGGATAAGCAAGAGATTATGGCCATGCCGGAAATTCAACGAGAAGAGATCCTTTCCGAACGTGCCCAACAAGTCGATCGTCACAACCAGGATATTGCGCTGCGTCGTCTTCTAGCATCACGGGAACGCGAGGAGGCTCGGCAGGCGAAGAAGAACAAGCGGAAGGCAAGCTCAGCGGGAATAGATGATGTCCAGCGCAAGAGCTCTAGGCAAAAGACTACGCTCGGTGGCCGCAAGGTTGGAGAAGCTTCTGGTGCTATTGAGGCATACAAGCGACAGCGAGAGCAAAAGGGCAAACGAGACGAACTGCGGCGCCGTGACCCTGGCAAGGAAGTCGGTCGGGTCAAGGATGAGAGTGTCAGTGAAGACGATGCTGAGGGCGAGAGCGAGGCCGAATGGGACGACCGGGATCGTTCGCCTTCGTTACCCAAAGATGATCCTCCTGCAGAGCTACGCGATATCCAACGTGCTCGTGTAGGACGAAGCAACTTTGCGCAGGTCTGTTTCTACCCTGGATTCAATGATGCTATTTCTGGTTGCTACGTTCGAGTCAATGTTGGACCGAACAGGGATACTGGCACTAATGAGTATCGTCTCAGCTTGATAAAGAGTAAGTGGGATCAAGTCGATTTAGCACATGTGAAGATATACTAATCTTGAATTAGGATTTTCCGAAGGAAAGCCTTATGCTATGGAAGGTTCTAATGGGCGGCCTTTTGTCACGAACCAATATGCAATTCTCGCTCATGGCAAGTCAGAACGCGAGTTCCCATTTGTTGCCTGTTCCGACTCTCCTATTACCGATCATGAATTTAACCGTTACCGCCAAACGATGGCAGTCGAGGACTGCAAAATGGCCACAAAGTCTATGCTAGCAGATAAAGTGGGAGACATTAACCGCTTGCTAAATCACAAATTTACAAATGAAGAGTTGAACGAGAAGCTCCGGAAACAAGGATCGTTGGACTCGAAAACATCTGTCTTCAAGCGCATGGAGACTGAAAAGCAACTTGCCCTCGCAAGGGCTTCTGGTGATGATGCTGAAGTCGACAAACTACAAGCCCAATTGTCCGAATTGTCAGGGCCGAAATTGGCATTTGGCTCATCGCTCAACAAACCGCAACCCAAGAAACAGTCTGAGCATGAGCGTCTCGCCGAGCTCAATCTACGGAACCAACGGCTTAATTACCAGAATGTCAGGCGTGCTCAATTGGATGAGAGAAAAGCCACGAAGAAGGCTGCTGCTGCCATTGCCCGTGGAGAGGCTGCGCAGGACCCATTCATGCGCGCGAGGACTTTGGCCAAGACACACCACGATTCCAACGGTGTTAGCGGTGTACCGGCGCCCAAGACAGAGTTGCCCGTTGACAGCCGCGATGCTACACCAACAACCGGGCCAGACACTCCTGGCAAAGCTACACCGAAACGGAGTGAAACACCTACCCAGAAGAAGCCCATCAAGGGTGGAATTGCTGGTATTCGTCACCGGAACATGGATGACGAGAATATTGCAGCTTTGGATCTCGATTTGGACATCGAGATATAGTTTCCTCCAGCATGAGAAGAGAAAACACGATGTCGAAATATTCACCGACGCGGGGAACCTGCTATGAACTATTGCTACCGGAGTGCTGGTAAGGCATTTGATACCCATAGGGTTCTTCTCTATATGCCGGCCGAAATGGCAGCGAATCTACTCGATTTGTATAATCTTGATGGAGTTTCACGGGTGTAAATGACCTTTTTTTTGCATGGTAATTTTGTATACGGAGCACTACGTCAAGGGTAGTCCACATTTGCATAGAAAACGAATCGCATAATGAACGAGAACCTCACAACCCACCCATAAGGCTCAATGTGACTGCATTTTCGTGTCAGAGTCACGTGTATCCATAACCAAAGGTAATATGCTAGGGCTCCGCGGTGACGCGCTGGACGCGGCGCGTCGTACTTGGAATCTCCGCCCTCATTGACAACCATACTTTTCAACCTATTCACAGCAGGCAATTAAAGACACATTATAAAAGGTATTCTTTTGCTAGTACCTATTTGAACTGATATCTTTTGTTTTGTCTTTAAATTATCATATAATCCACCATGTCTACCCCATCTACACCCCGCTCGACGCGCACCGCGTCACCGCCAGGCGACTCGCCGGCGATGCTTACACCAGGACAAAAGATCAAAGCTATGATGGCTCAATTCGATAGTGATTCGGAATCAGAGAAAGAAAATACGCCTAAAGTACGGCGACCGATCGCGAGACCAAGCTTCACGAATAACACATCGACGAACGAACCGGCTCAGGAACAAGAGGCAGAGTATGCGGATTCGGACGAGGATGAGGGAGATGATGATATTGTCATGCCCAGGGGGCGGATGGCTGCGAGGTTACAGGCTCAGGGAGAAGACGTGGACAATAATGAGTCTGAGACGGCTTACGATCGAGTGAAGCGGACTCTAGGGGAACAGGATAAGGGGACTCAGGAGGACGATGACGATGACCTTCCTATGGCTGGACCAAGAAGGCGACAACCGAATAAACAGAATAACTCCGAAGATGAAGAATTGGATCGATCGCCGTCTCCGGCTCGCTCGTTTTCTCCGTTATTTATGTCCTCGCCAGCACCACAACGACATGCACTGCGTGAAGAAAATGGATCTGATGGATCAGAGAACGAGGAACCACAACCGAAGAATAACGGCCGACTGCAGACACTCATCGCTCAGAAACGCAAGGAGCGAGAGGACCGCGAACGAATCGAAGCCGAGAAGAAAGCTGCTCGCGCAAAACAAAACGAACAATTCAGCTCCGACGTTCTCTCCGGTGAGGGCAGTGGTGATGAAAATGACCGTCATTCCGCAAAGAAGTTGTCGCAGCAAGCTCGTCCGTCACGCAAGGCCAGCAAGAAGGCTATAGAAGAGATGAATCGCGAGACTCAGCGGATGAGTAGGAATATGCAATTGGCGCATCAGGCGCAGACGAAGAAGAAAATTACAAAGGAGAGTTTTTTTGCTAGATTTAACTTTGGACAGCCGAAGACGGACAATGCAGGGCCATCGGCGGGAAATTCGTCGACGACAGCTTCGCAGAACTCGTCTGACGGGGAAGCACAGAAGGATCGGGAGACACCGCGTACGTCTCCTGTTCCAGGCCCTGCTGATAAACCAGCTGGTCCTGATGCTGCAAGTGACAAGGGGAAAGAGCCGGAAACCGAAGCTATGGAGTTTACCAGGCCTCCTCTCGAGGAAGTCCTTGCCAGAACGCATCTACAGCAAAAAGAACCAATCGTTGCAAGAGCTCGAGTCCAAACGCAAGAGCCACACCAAAAGGTATCAGCACCCAAACATGGTCATAAAACGCCCAAGAAGCCACCCATTCGCGTCCAGCTCTCTCGACAGTCGGTAGCCGAACACCAGCAGGAGGACTCCGACGACGAGCTTGAGGTTGTCACATCTCCTGCCAAGTGCCGTCGAATTGCAGCCTTCGAAAATATCAAGACCAAGAGATCAGAAGAATCCGCTTCCATGTTAAAGTTGAAGGCTTTGGCTCATCTCACTTCTCCTGACCGTCAAGCGACATCAACCAACTTCGCGCAGTTGTCAGCCGATTTGCTAGCCCAGGCAAGAAAACAGGCTGCCGACGAAAGAAAGCAGAGAATTGACGAGCTTAGGTCTCAGGGTGTTTTTATTGAAACCGCTGAGGAACGACAAGCCATGGAGGATGAAATTGAGAACCTCGTGGAGAAGGCCCGGCAGGAAGCTGACGACATCAAGAAGCAAGAGCGTAAGGAAAGGAATCAAGACCAAAGGGGTGATGACGATGAAAGTGATGGGGCAGATTATGAACCTTCTGGTTCTGAGGATGAGGTTGTTGGCGATGATGACGAGGAAGAGGACGAGGACGGAGAAGAAACAGGTGCCCAGAATGACGGGAACATGATTGACGCTGAAGCTGGTGATGATAAGGAATCAGCAGACGAGCAAAGCGATGCCATGTCTGCCGACGAAGTCGATGTACCGTCCACGAGAAGAAAGCGGCCCACTCGAGTGATCGAAGATGACGATGATGAAGATGAACAGCAGCATGAGCCCCAAGCACCAACAACTCCGTCGAACCCAATCACCCCAAACAAGGGCCCTGCAGCGAGGCCCGAGTTCCCCGGCTTAGAGGACTCTGCTGGATTGACCATGGGTCTAACCCAGGCTTTTGCGGGCACATTGGCTGGAAGTGGACAGGATACTCAGCCCAATACCCCCAGTGTTATCCCATCACTTCCAGACCCTGTTGTCGGTGTCGAGCCATCCGATTCTCAGATCCTAGTCAAAGACAGCCAGGGACAACGAGAAGAAACCACCGACGTCTTCGCAGGGTATGATCCGTCTGGGAGCGGTGTATCTGAGTCACCAGCTCCGAGAGCAATGTCCGAATTTTCGGTGCCTGAACCGACGCAAGATGCCGGCTTCGTGTATTCGCCTTATGATCCTTCGAAACGGTTCAGGCCTCCCCCGTCGACGATCGAAACTGTGATTGTCGAGCGGAGCGAAGCCCCCGTTTCTCCTGTTGCTAGCAGGAAAAACAAGCACCTTCGTCGCGGTCGTGCTGATAACCAAGGGACGGAAGGTCAAGGTGACGGCGACTTTGAAATCGACTCCAGTGCATTCGACGTCATGAGGAAAGCTACTAGGAAGAAGAACATTGTTCCATTCGACAAGCAAAAGAGCAAAGCCAAGGATGTTGTCGAGGATGCAGCCGAGGAATCCGAAGATGAATATGCCGGTCTCGGTGGTGGTAGTGATGACAGCGACGATGAAGAGGACGCATACGATCAGTCGATGATCAACGACAACAGTGGAGAGGTTGTGGACGAGAAGTTGTTGGCTAGGCTTAATGCGTAAGTATCGCTTGGACTTCGTTGCCTGGACCTTGAGATGAAAATTTGCAATGCTAATAGTACTCTGCAGTGCTCGACACAGAGACGACGACGCAAAGCAAGTGGAAAAGCTCATGAAGGATATTACCACTGGGGCTCTTCGACGGCGCAGAGGAGCTGATGATGACCTCGATCTCGATGACCCCGAAGACGAGCTCCTCGCCCGTCGTCGCGAGAAACAACGAGAATTCGCTCGGATGCGAAGAGCTCTTCTTGCCGATGAGAAGGTCAACGAAATTGCCGAGAACCCCAAGAAGGCAGCCTTCTTCAAAGCTATCGAGGACCGGGACGAGGAAGAGGATGTTGATCTGGAGTTCCTGGAGTACGAGAACGAGGGTGGTTCTCAGGAACAATCGTCGCAAGATGTGGCACCAGAAGCACAGAAAGACCCTGCCGCACCAGAAACCGAAAACAACGACAGCAAGAGAAAGCGACCTCTTGAGCCCTCTGCAGAAGACATCGCCAACCGTCCTCCACCCCATCTCCGTCGCAAGCCCGCCAGCCACATGTCCAAGAAACCCGCTACCCTCGCAGAGATCCGCGAAACAGTCTCTTTCCTCACAGAAACCCACGAATACGACTCCTTCCACGAAGACGCCGCCATCGACGAAGAGGGCGGCCAAGACGAACAAATGACAGAAGCCGGAACACCAGCGGCAGAAGAACCAAAGGAAGACTTTGTCCCTCGCACCCACAACCACAACCACCCCCGCCGCACACGAGGTCCCGTCGTCGACCGCCTGGCCCTCCTCCGGCAAGCTTCCTCCAACTCCGCCCAGTCCTCCGCAAGCACCCGCTTCGCCTTCCATGCCGGCGCTGGCAACGACGCAGCTGTGAATATCGGCTTCCGTCCTCCGCTTCGCAAGAACTCAGCAAGTTCTTCATCACCAAGCAGTTTGTCCTCTGGATCTTCTGATTCGCGAAAGACCATGAAGGCTTCTGCTGGGGCGTCGGCGGCGAAGAAGGGCGCTGTTAATTATTATACGGCTGCTAGGGAGAAGGAGCGGGAGAGTGCGATTCGGGCTAAAGAGAGGTCTAGTGGGTCGAATGTTGCGGCGTTGCTTAACAAACATGCTTCAAATCGGCGTGGTTTGGGGGCTTTAGGGAAGGGGCAGTGGGAGTGATTGTATTTGTTTGACATATATCTTGTGGGATCAGCGGGCGTCGTTTTGTGATTTTGGATAGTTGGTATATTTTAATCTATGGAATGTCTATGGCGAAGCTTCATTACTTGATGCGTTCATATTTGTAGTATTCGCGTGACAGTAGATTATTGACTTCCGGTCATCGTACACAAGAGGACGTTGTCTGTCTTGGTTCCGACAGACCTCTTATCAAAGGCAGCTTCCACTATCACATCGCTTGATTGGGTTTTTGTGCTGCCCTCAATCATTACGGATAAACTATATAACCATGTCGCCATGCTGCCATGCTGCCGGGTGGCTTTCATGGGATCTTCATTTGGAGCCTTCCAACAAAGTAAACAATTCAGTCAAGGAACGAATCGCTGTCGCACCCTGGTGACCTTGCACTTCGCCGTTTCGCGGAAGATAATACCCATCCCAGCCAGCGTTAACGGCAGCCTGGTAATCCTTGGAATAATCATCCCCGACATGGACACAAGTCCATTCCGAAGCATCCTCAGAACCAGCAGCAGCATGCCTCATGGCTTGCTGTTTCGCAGCGTCAAAAATAGCTGCACTGGGTTTCTCTTCTCCAGCTTCGTAGCTCGTAATGATAAGGTCAAGATCATTGACAACGTCCACTTTCTTTGCGGGAGACGGATTCCTCTCCTCAAATCCTGCCAGTCGCATACTCGACACGCCTTGGTCCGCACGAGTATCACCAACAGTCAGCCCCAAAGACTTCAAGACACCTGGCACGCGGTCATCCGAGTTCGAAATAACCCCGACAAGTATCCTCTCAAATGGCCCGAATCTCTGCTTATGCAGAAGACCCTTTTTGACCTCTCTCATCCTCACCATAAACTCCCCTGCATCTTCATATAAAGCATATCCCTCTTTACTAGCAAACCGATCGAGTAACCTCTGCACCAACCCCTCCGGCAAATCACCACCAGTGCCATTATCACCGTTCAACACCTTTCCAAAACTCCCCCGTATAACCCCTTCCCACCATTCTCTCGGCCCTCCATATTGTTCCCTTAGCGCTAGTTCCCTTCCGTAATTCGGATACCGCTTAGCATGCGCCTTGAAGACTTCTTTGAACGCGGGTTGCAGCGACTCGGACGTAACCAGCGACGGGGATAACCCAAAAGCGTGCGCGGTCGAAGCGTATTGCTCCGGAACGGGGAGACGAGGGTGAAAAATGGTACCGAAGGCGTCGATTGTGAGGAGAAGTGAACGCGGTGGCATATTTTATGTGTTGTTGAAGTAGTGGTTGTTGCAGCTGTCATATCATGTGGATCGGCGATATCGGCAGTCGGGGTCGGGATCGGGCATAATATCCAAAACAACGACCGCTGACCGAACGAGAAGCCGCTAACTATGCAGAAAATTGACCGGGATTGTTTTCAACTGTGGCTACTGGCGATGACGCGTCACCTGATTCTGTGCGAGCGTACGTATATATATCCCCCGTTTAACTGGAATCTTTACTTACTCCTGCAACAGCACCGAGTTCACGAATCTAAGATGCGGCTTCGATTCCTCTCCCTAGCCCTGCTGGCTAGTTTCTCAATCCCAACTATCGCCCATGAAGAATCCATACAGAATGCAAACCACATCTTCAACGCTATTCACTCGTCCATGCGTCAGTGGGGCTCGTCGCTGTACCACAATGGCATGTCCTTCTTTCTAGCCTCCGTCCCGGCTGGAACGCAGCTGTATCACGGCGGGCCGAGTCCTGACCATGTGATCGGGACGGAGTGGCTGGCGTTTGAACCGGAGCATGCGATTCTGTTTGCAAGGATGCCTCCGATGGGCTCTCAGCCTGGTGTTCCTGGGCGGGGTCCACATAAAGGACCGCCACCTGGTCATGGTGGTCCTGGAGGTCCCGGAAGGCAGAAGCCATTGTTGCTCGAGCCACCAGAGGATGAGGAGCCAAGGAGTTCTGGCTGGCTGCAGACCTACGTACCTGTTAGGGATCTACGATTGCTGTACATTGATGGCATGTCTGCCGGAAAGACGAGCAACGGGACTCTCGACTCACAGAACCGGATTCTGGTGAATGATACTGTTCACGACGATCAGATTATGAATGAGTTTGCGCGCGCGAGAGAATTCTGTCGCTTATCCCACGAAGTATGGAACGATCGACTGGACGGAGTGATTCGCATGGAAGCCGGTTTTGAGATTATCCTCTGCGAATTCGAGCGCGATTTACATCTGCTGCATGAGGTCGAAGTCCAGGCGAATAAAGGTGGTATCCCTCGTCATCTTCCACGGCCTGGTAAAGATCATAACAAGACCATGCATGAAATTGTTCCCGATTCTGGGCCGTGGATCAAGGCCATTACGGCACGGTATCATGGTATTGGGGGGAATCGGGTGAAGGTTAACTACGACCATTTTGTAACTGCTTTCACTTATGAGTTGGATATCTTCGGTGGTCAAAGCAAGAATCTCCGGCCCCGTTTGGACCATCTCGATACCTCGCAGCTGGAACCTATCCGGCAGGATCTTAAAGCGTTGATTCTGGGCCATGATACCAATGAGCCCTCATTTGACTGGCAGTCCGTTACGGACATGGTGGTTGAAAGATATGCTCATACGTTGAAGAGTCTGGTCTCTGCGAATATTACAGCAAACATGAAGCAATTACACGACGATCTCAAGAAGGTGGTAGATCCGTTCTTCGACTTTGGCGGCCGGAATATCACCGCCGAGGCAGAGCGTTGCGCAACCCAATTCATTCCCTTTAACGCCCCGATCGAAAGCGTAGCAGCTCGTGCCGTGCGTTCCATTGCTGACAGCGTTTGCTTCACGCTGCTGGAGGCATTCGACGAACCAAACTACGACACAGCCGTTGCCAAGATCCAGGATCTTGTCGACTACCTCGCCTGGACAACCTGGAAGGAATGTCGTGGCTGCGCGGACAACGAAGTCTGTGTGATACCTATCTGGCCGATGGGTATCTGGGAAGACTGGGAAAGCCCGACGTGTCGCGATATGAGGAACCCCCAGGCTGATGGGGTGGAGTATTGGGGAAGGGTCTTTGTTCCGGGGCCGACGGAGCATGATGATTCATGAATGTGATGAAATTCTGATACCCTGTATGTTTACAAATTGACGAGGCAATTATAGAACAAATGAAAACCCCCTATGTATAATGCAAGGTTGGTTGATAAGTCCGCAGCACTTCTTCCCATCTTGGCGAGTCCATAAGAAGGACGTTCGGGACTTCTCTCTCGACATACTGCACTTGTTAGCATAACCCTAATATGACAAGCAAAAACTGGTACTCACATCACGATACTTCCCTTCCATCCTCATCCTCAAAAAGCACTTAAACGGCATCGTATCCTGCAAAAAGTACTCCCCCACCTCCCTCCCCATCCCCTTCCCACTGGTCTCCCCCTCCAAAACACCGCCAAGCACCTCCCTCACAATCCCCCAACCCCCATCCCTCTCCAACCTCAACGCACTAACAATCAACCCCACATGGTTCTGCACGAGCGCATGGTGCACCTTACTCCACACATTGTGCAAATCCTCCGTCAGCGTCGCGCCCCCGGGAGGCAAACCATCGAAGTTCACGCCGAAATTCTCTAGTGTGGGAACGTGCATCCGCACACCGCCGAAATCACGAACCGCGAAACCTTTCACTTCTCCTGTTTTCCGGCAGATCCGGGCAACGAGGTTCTGCCCGTGTGCTTCGAGACCGATACCATAGCGGGCTAGCGGTGGGAGGACCAGTGAGAAGAGCCGGGTTGCGTATGTACGTAGCCAGGATTGTTTGTCGGAGGTTGTGCGCAGATTGTATAGGATCTCTGCGTAGCAGCGGGTGTTGTTGTATGGTTGTTGGGCCAGTGCTGCTGCGATGACGAGACGTTCGTTGTTGGCGTCTGCGCGGGCCTCCAGATCATCGCGGAGTATGCAGGAGAGATGTTTTGCGTCTGCGAAATTGTCCTGTCCGCCTGAGACTGCGGCGACTTCGCGGAAGACCCAGAGGTCGTTGGGGAGGAATCTCTCAAGCAGGGCCGTTTGAACTGGTCCGCCGCATGTTGTCCAGGGGGTGATTGTGCGCAGGGCAGATGTGATCTGGCATGCCAAGGAGAGCTTCAGGTGATACCCGAAATCGGATTCTGGGCGGAGGGTTAGTGTTCGCATTGAGGCTTGTGCGTCTGCGATGTTTTCCACTGTCTTGAGCACGACGGCATTTGGGAAGCGCTGGTCCACGGCGGGAAGTTGTCTCGAGAGACACGGGACGATGACTCTGTCGGGTGTTGTGCTTGGGATTTCCAGTTTTCTGAGCAGTGGCTGGATGATTTCTTCAAAGGCGCCTGTTACGCGGAGATCTGTCCTGGGCACAGAGAGGAAGGCGAGAGTTGGGGTTAGCATTTCGGGGATGTCAGAGGGTTGGATTTGGTTGAGGGGCGGTTGGGCGTAGCACAGGCGGTGATAGGGATGACTTGGATGGCCGTATATCAAGGCTCTTTCCCAGTCTGGGGATGGATTGTCGAGAGTGAGGATTTTCTGGGCTGCGCCGATGTCGAGCCATGTTTCTGTTTCTGTTAGTATAGGTCGTTTGTATATGGCGGGGTGAGGCTTACCCTGATTCCGCGCTGAATTACCTAATTCGAGGGCGATCTCGTTCAAGATTTCCTCGTCCGCATCTTCGACTAACCACGGGCTCAGATTTTTGAATAACACGCCCGGGTCCAACTCTTCCTCTTCTGCGTCACCATTGCCAATAACAACAGGCGGCTGTAGACTATCCGGCCGCACAACACACGCAACCTTTCCATCTCTGGTCTCTAGGACCGTACCCGGCTGAAGACTGACTTTCACCCATTTGCGATCATTTTCTCCGGCTGCGTGAAGACGGCTGTTCAAGTACAAAAATTGGTCATATTTCGATCCCCCGATAGTAGCATCCACCAGTCCCTCATTAACGACTTCGGCGAGAAGCCGCTTGGTGGTTTCGAAGAGTGCTTGGTTGTGTTTGGATATGTTGCCGTCGCTGCTATCTGAACGAAGCGGAATTGATCGCAGTAGCGATAAAAGAGAACGTATGGTTGTTGGGATAGTCATTTCGTGTTGTGGTCGTTGTGAAACAGTATTTTGCCATCAACCAGGACGGACCATCGAGCCCTTTTATAGATAATCTGAAGCTCCATTTCCTTTGCTCAGTTTTTAGAATACGTTTTCCAGAGGCCTACCCACACGCTCAAACACAGGCTCCGATTTGATGGTCGATCCACAGCTTAGCAGACATGCAGCCAGCCACCATTCGTAGTCCGAGCCCGAGATGAATCCACTTGATCTCTCAATCGGTGCGTGCCGGTGCAATGTCGATTTCCCAAGTTACCAAAAAGGCACTGGTGTCGGCGTTTGGTAACATGTTCCGACGCAAGCCAGCCTCGTTTCTGTTTCTAGTCTCTAACCCCGTCCTATGAGGGATGTACAGCAGTAAGTAAAAGCAATATAGCTGATCATTGCATCGTATATCATTCGCCATCGGTCGGGGTCGGCGTTAATCTCTTTCTTTTGAACGGAGTTCTCCTGCGAGTAAGTTTTTTCTACGGCCCGTATCCGGAATCCGGATTGTGTGGAGGTGCTGTAGCCTTTTGCGCAAAACCGCTACACCCGCCAAAGAAGAAATATACGTTTGTCGGAGCTCGATGTCGATGTTCTTTGCATCCCACCTCGCGCTAGACGCGGCGTAACGAAGGCAACTGGCAATACGATCGACTATTATACGAGAGGGTACGATGGGGATATGATAGCTTCACTTTGACAGAGTGCGGTGCATGTGCATAGACAGACATAACTGTACAGCAGGCTCTTCCGGCGTCCCAATTCGCCGCCGACAGGATCTTCCACCCAACGTGGGGGAAATCCTTCCCCCATTGTGTCAGGAGGATGCACTGCACTGCGCTGCAGGTGCAGGCCAGCTGGCGGTGGAGTACATGCGTGCTGTGTATTATTATTGCAATTAGACTGAAATCGCGATGTCCACGTATGCTCGCGAGACTGGTCTATTATCTTCTTATTTGAGTGTGCCACTATTCGAGAGGGTTCTCAGCCGACGATCGGTTTGGTAATGGTGTGCGCCGTGCTAAAGGCCTCCATTTGTGGGGATTCGACCGTCTCGGAAAGTTTATGCTCAGCTGAGCTGATTCAGTTAGAGTCCAGAACAGAGCATGAACCTATCAGGGACTGGCTGTTGCTAACCCATCTGGACAATTGCAGTCAAGGAGAAAATTTTCGATGTTGTGGATTGTTGTCGATAAGATGGTGTGACGTGATCAAGATAAGATAATCTTATCAGGACGGAGTGCATAGACGATTGACTTATGACAAGTTGATGCACTTCTCCACCACAAATACGACACTGTAGAAATGATCTTAGAGACACGATACAGGTGGAATATATAACAGCGACCTCCTAGCAGGTCTTCCCCGCGATGCCCTCTACCAAATCTTTGCCAACTTCAAAAGCCTCCAAACAGCAGCAGAACACACCCTCCACAACCTCGAAGGACAAAATGAAAACGCCAGCCAATGCTCATCCTATGTCTCGCACCCTAGCCATCAGCTATCCTCCTCGACGACCGTCAAGCCCTGCGCGATGTCCCATGCAGATTCACCCTCGAAGGAAACATGGGCCTGGTCAAAGTAATCCCTTTACCCATCCACGGCCGCAGTACTGACAACTGCTATGAGGAGATATGCCATTTTATCCGGACAATTGGCGTACCACGCTCAGAGTATCATGGAGCATGTAGATGACAATGTTCTTTCTGGGCGCAGATATTAGCAGCCAGTGTTTCTAGCCGGGTGTGTGGCCGGTTTCTCCGGGAAGTGAGCGGTTGTAGTAAGCGGTTGTATAGTTGGTCTACACTTTTTATGGATACGGGTGTTGCTGGGTTCATGGATTGGCTGAGGGGGATGCGAAGTGGTAGTTTAATAATTCTCGGGGATACTCGGATTGCGTTGCTTTTGGTTGTTAAGAAGTGGGTGATTCGGCTGGGAAGTGGCAGCTCTTGCCTTGTCATGGCTCTACTGCCATAAAATCGGACCTTAGTGATGGTCGGAAAGTGTGTTTGGGTAGGAGCTGTAGATTATTCCGTATAGTGCCGACGACGCGCCTTTGGTTCGGATAATAAGGCGGGACTTTACTTGTGCAATGCTACTGTCTTCTGTGGAGCGAAGATCATCGAGACTTGGTAAGCGAATGCTTATCTTGCTCCCTTTCTAAACGCGGCCCTTTCTAAGCGCAGCCGTTGGTTGTTTGGGACTCCAAGAGATCTCATACATTGCTCGAAGAGAATGGCTACCAGCGACATCCGAGAACTCACACAACCTGGCCATCTCATCACTCATGCTTCTGTCAATACCTCAGAAGCATAGTGGCACTACCTTCAGTTTGTAAGCTTTTTGAGTCTTCGCAAGTCAGACTAGTTGCTGGTCAGATTCGCTGACTCAATTGAGATCATTGATTCCTGTATCACGGTTGTTAAAATCTCCAACATCACCACGAGATTCAAGACTGATTTTTGCCACCACTATCGGCGAGGACAGAGAAGTGTTAGCTTCCGCTTCCTTAAAGGTTTATAGCTATTGCATAAGAGTTCGTGGCAGCAACTTGGTCCCAACCAGGAGAATTGGACGTTCAAGAGATCGGCATCTCGTCACCGTCAAAACATGACATTCTCTTGGGACGTGTTAAATGCCTCGGCAGTCCCTTGGTGTGTCTTACGGTTGTAGCAGTCACCTGAAATCATTTTTCAAAAAGCAACAGCATGGTTACCAACCGAGCACTCACACATTCCATGTGCCACGAGAAGTCGACCAAGCTCTTGTACAAATCAAGGATTGTTGATAAGGAATTACGTCGACAACGCAGGCAAATCAATAACGAACATTTGAACGATTGGTACTGTGTCTCTGCAGTGTCGAGAGTTACAGACGATTGAGAGGCAGAGGGGCCACTTGCACGGTCTGGGCTCACCATTTTCAACTGAGACAGATGGTATCTTTTATATCGTTGGCTCTGATCAACTGTGATGCATTTACCGATTCTCTCTCCTGCACCTTGCCCCTTTGACTCTTTTCTGTCGATTTACCGGGGTATACAACTACCATGGCCAATTGCCGATGTACTCGGGCGAGATAACTGAATACAGATATCCTCTCCGAAGGGTCCTCCGAACGTGGGGGCGAACAAGCAGGACGATTAGGGTAAATGGATGAGGTTATTCCCATCTGCTATGGAGGCTGTCTGGCTTGTCAATAGCCGAGATGTTGACTTCTCTATATGAAGAATGTCAATTAGCGGACATTTTACCCCGTGTATACTACGGGAACCGACTGGATATTTTTGTCAAAGAACAATTGTCCCTACATTATTGTTATCAATTGGCTCGCATGTATTGAGATAATCCTTGCTGTCTCAGCGCGGGAAGGAAAGCTACAATACGGGCGATACTTTACCCAGTCAGAACAGATGGTATGATATGCATCGAATTGTCGGTCGCCTCAAATCATCGCTTCATGCGAAAGTCCCAATGAGTCCACCATCTGACCATGTGGACTAAGCTTAAATCTAACCCCAAGTTTTAGATATAAGCGAGCTGCGAGCCACCAGGAGCGTCCGATGCACCGTTAGTGAGATAGGAAGCTCGCGAGTCGTACATCGTTATCCCGCGATTGAACTGCCTACAACCAGAAGAGAAATTGGGTGCGATGATTGAAGTCACCTTCATGAGTATGCCGAAAGAAAAATGGCATGGCATGTGACTCATTATCGCTGTCTGAAGTACCGCCTTTTCTACAACCCATGAGTCTTATTTTAGTTATCCCAAATTCGATGTCTTCAGGCCCAACTATTTTCCGGAAATTAACCCCAGATGACTACCAGTCACCAGATATTCAATCATCCGATCGTCCGGCCCATCTGAACCAGAGCCCTCAACTGCACTGGAATGGGAAGCATCCGAATATGCCGTGGGCTGATTCGTTCGGTTGAGAAAAGCAGTCAGAAGCATTGTCTACCGTCTTTGTGCCAGCATCAACGAGGCAAAAACAGTCCTCGAAGAATGTAAAGAGAATATATATGATAATAAATACCGCAAGCTCTGCACGGCGCTTAAACAGCTATTGGATGAATGGAGAGCATTTGAAGGTGTAAAAGAGATGGTGACGGATCTTCTTGAGGAACGGTACCGGTTGTTTCGCCTGGCTTATATTGCTAGGTTTATGGGAACACCATGTGAGGTAACTGAGAGGATGAGGGACACATGTATGAAGACTAGGTCGATTGCTATTGAAGGTAATCAGATTTGCACCCTCATACATAAAGCTGCTGGGGATGCTACGAGTGGAAATTGGATGGTTATTTCCCTGTTATATCGGAATATGAGGAGCCTGGGAACCCTAACATGCTTGTCTGTGCTGACGGCGAAGGAGACGAGGTGAAGGGATCTGACGACTCTTGCAAGGCATAGTAGTTCACAGAGAACACGCGGGAGGACGAAACGGAACCGGCCCCCGACAGGGGGTGGACAATACTTTGAGCCTGCGTGGATCGGTGGTCATGAGTATCTAGGAGAGATACCGGAAAAGTTGAAGAAAATGACCGGTCGCTGTAAGAAACCTCCCTTCCCTGATTCCTACATACGCCATGTGCTGACCATGTATAAAGGTACACAAACGGCGCGCTCCAATGGAAGCATTTTCTGATCACTGGGTTTGACGATATTATCGATGTAATCGATGACCCGGTCTACACTTTACAGGATGAACTCGCCTCGATCCCTATCGGCACCAGCCCCAGCCACTTTCTTGCTGAGCGGTACTTTGAGGACAGACAGGTCCCTGCTCGACTTGATGCCAAGATGTTCAGCGAATTACATGGCGGGTACTTTGAAGATTGTCCTTATCGTTGCAAGTAGAATGTCCCTATACGGCAGCGAGTCACGCCACAGATCCAATCTCAAAACCGCTCGGAGATGTACCCCTCCGTTTAAGTACTCCGTATTAAGAACTAGATGACATGGTCCTGGAGAGAATGGACGCATGGATAGAGGCAAAGAAGCAACTTCCCAGCGACCTTCAGGAGCAGGATGGTGATTGGTATCGCGGACTTGGCTTCGTGACCCTAGGACTCAAAATGAATTTCTTCATTCTCATTGTGTCAAATACACCAAGGAATGAATTCAGGCTAGGCATCTATGTAACACCCAGTCTCTCATACGCTAAGGATATCGCAGGTCGAGCAATGGCAGCCATGGTCTTCAAAGACATCAACGAACAAGATCTGGACCTCTGGGAACCTAGCGCAGAGGGATGGAAAAAACCTCGTCGTGCACTTTCTGACCCTATCGTGTCAGAATATCTCTATACCAATGAGGTCCAAAAATGCCGATATCATTTATGGGCTGATTTCGCAACAGCCATGGTCTGTTTCGGCTGGTGAGCTGACGCAACGGGCTTTCGTAAGCTACCGTAGCTGCTCAGACTTACTTCTGTCCTTCGGGCGATAACCTGTCGAGAATCAGTGATCATGGAGTAGTTTAGAAAAGTCGGTTTTGATTACCCGGATAGTATGGTGGAGATTGGGGGTGGAAAGGAACCCGGGGAAGGATTCGCTTCATGACATTCTGAATAGCTCGAAATGCTATTGGTGCCATGGTTGGTTCTAGGTTTACTGGATAGCTACAGTAAAGGAGCAAATGCGAACTTGGGAAGTACCTTGTCTATATTGTATAAAGCTGTGTGGTAGTGCAGTGCAGATGCACCAGATGCCTCGGTTGAATATTTTACAGCGCCGAGCATAATTGGTTTGCCCAGTCTTACTCTTCCAGCTCCAAACGGTTTACTATTTCCTTTCTTCCTCTCTCCCTATACTCCCCATATCCACTCCATGTCAATCGTCCATGATATCACTGTGTGGGGTGTGGGAGGCCTCCTTTCGCTGGCGGAAAAGGTCATAACCGCTCAACCCCGAATTGCCGCAACTTGCGAACCACTACATTTAAGCATGGAGATTTCCCAGAGAGCAGTTTTTGTTCATTCTTCACAGACTATTCAACTTGGCGGAATACACACACAATGTCGCAATCACCACAAGATCTCCGCATTGCCATCCTGGGCGCCGGAATGGGCGGTTTAACCTGTGCCCTGGCTCTGGCGCGGCGCGGGTTCAAGAATATCGACGTTTATGAATATGCATCGGACCTGGGTTTTGTCGGGGCTGGTATTCAGCTTGCGCCGAATATGGCTCGTGTGCTTGATAATCTTGGTGTGTGGAAGGGGATTGAGGCTGAGGCTGTTAATATTCTTGATACTAGTGTTAGAGGTATGCATGCGTTTCCCTCAAAGCAAACTATGTGTACTAATAATGAACAGTCGGCGCAACGGACACCCAACTTGCACACGTTGATCTGGAATACATCGAAAAGACATACGGCTACCCGCACATGGTAGGCCACCGACATTCCCTCGCCAACGGCCTCTACGAAGGCTGCAAGCAGCACCCAGCCATCAACTTCCACTTCTCGACCGAGGCCGAGACAATCGACTCCTTCGGCCCCAACGCATCTTTCACAGCGATACCCCGCGATGGCAGCGGGTCGTACCGCGTCGAAGCAGACGTAATCCTCGCCGCAGACGGCATCAAGAGCAAGGCGCGCGTCGAGATGCTCAAACGATTGAACGTCGACGTCGGCATCAAAGACACCCACCAAGCCGCGTACAGAATCATGATCCACAAAGACCAAATTAAAGATGACCCCGAACTGCTCGAACTCATCAACAGCACCCGAGTCACTCGCTGGATCGGCGAAAAGCGCCATATCATCGCCTACCCAGTCTCCAACAACAACATCTACAACCTCTCCACAACGCAACCAGACAGTAACTTTGCAGCTGCCACAAATGCAACATACACAACCAAGGGCTCGAAGTCAGCCATGTTGGGCGTTTTCTCCGACTTCTGCCCCATGGTCCAGCGCATGCTCAACTACGTCCCGGAAGGCGAAGTCTGCGAGTGGAAACTGCGCATCCACGACCCCCTCCCAACATGGATCCATGAATCCGTCGCTCTTGTCGGCGACGCATGTCATCCGACCCTCCCACATCTCGCACAAGGCGCGGCACAGGCCATCGAAGACGGCGCTGTACTTGCGGTCGTCCTCTCGCGACTACCAAACACACAACCAGAGTCTATCAACAAAGCACTTCGCGTGTACGAGAAAGTCCGCAAACAGCGTGCATACGCGCTCGTCGATCTAGCTTCTGCATCTGGTCGCGCGCTGCATCTAGGCGAGGGTGCGGCGAAGGAACAAAGAGATAAGCAGTTTGCAGCGTTGAGGCAGGGTAAGGGGCCTGTGCCGGATAAGTGGGCGGATGCGGATGTGCAGAGGGAGATTTATGGGTTTGATTGTACGAGGGTGGCGGAGGAGGAGTTTGATGCGTTGTACAGTGAGATGTAGGTTCCATATGTGAGGAATGATGATTGCATTTGTTGATTGTTACTTGTATAGGCCGAGTCCGAGGGATGTCAAGTTGTCGTGAATCATTACATTTTTTAAGCTATGAAATATGTAGATACATCAGGTTGAATCGTTGCGTACGTTTCTCCATTGTAGGAGTTTAACAGCGAAAAAGCACATTAGTCCGGCCGCATAGGAGCATCCAGCGAATGCGATCAGTCCCCAATACTCCCCATTAGTCCTCTGGATAATCTCCCCCGCAATTGGAACTCCAGTCAAAGCCCTAGACACAAGTTAGCATTCGTAACATCAACATATGTGTAGAAAGGAAGACATACCCTAAGCTGACAATCGTATAAACAGTCGTATAGTACCTCCCATACGCCTCCGTCGGACACAGCTCGCCCACACAAACCGGCACAAGGCTAATATTACTCCCACTCGCAAATCCAAATACCACCGCAAACACGATTGTTGCAGCCACATTACCCTGTGCAGGCATCCAAACCCCCAACACCGCGACCAGTGCCAGGAGGTTTGTATAAATCAGCATGTTGTACCGTCCGACTTTATCAGCTAGGATTCCTGGGATCCAACGACCGGGAAAGGAACCCGCGTTGAAGAAGACGACCATTAAATATGCGAGATCAGGGGATACGGAATGGTAGAGGGCGTACGAGGTTATGTACTCGAGGGGAATGAAAAAGCCCCATTCGATGAGGAAGACGCCGGCCGTTGTCAGGGCTAGCAGCGGGTTCGCCAGAATAGTGAGGTCAGGAAGGAGGGATTTGATAGATTTGCGTTTGGATTTGGGTTTATCGGGAGGGGATTCGGGAGATGATGAGGGCTCAGGTTCCCGGCCGCGGACGAGGAGACAGCCGATAAACAGAAGGACCAGGGTTACTAGCCCAATGGCTCGGGTGGTCCAGGCGAATCCTATCTTTGGTGCTAGTTTCTCCAGCATGATTGGGAAGATTACACCGCCGATACTACCACCAGCCATGGCCAGGCCTGTAGCTGCGCCGCGACGTCGCAGGAAGAAATGTCCGATACTAGCGACGGGGACGATGAAGATGAATGATGTCCCAATACCACCGAGAACTCCCAGTACAACGAAGAAATGCCAATATTTCTCGCAGAACCCCAGAGCTATAAACATAATCACAAGCAGCGTCGAGCCTATCCACAGGAGGGCACGAGGCCCTTTGGCATCGAAGATAGGCCCGATTTGCAAGCCGCCGAAAAAGATGAGAAAGTTGTAGACGCCGAAGATCCAGCTTATTTCGGAGTGTGAGAGGGAGGAGAGTTGGTGTGTGCTGATGTAGGCTTGGTAGATGCCGATGCTGTTCATTAGCCCTAGGCCGCCGGTGATGGAGCAGAAGCTGCCTAGGACAACGAGGTTAGCGGCGAGGCCTCCTTCAGGGTGTGCCATTGTGCTTTGTGAGTATCTTGAACGTACTTGATACTCTACAGGCAGTCTATTCCACTGCTTATATACTGTATCAGAGTCATAGTACTTATTCACTCAATACAGATAATTCATCTATATCAATCTACGGCATTCCGTATCCGTACCGATCGGCATGCCGACCGCCGCCGATCGCCGGTGGCCGACGAGTAGCTGAGTCATCACGTCATTCAACGTCACTTCGTCGCCGACTCGCCGCCGACATAAACTACTATGAATGCTTGGGATGCTGGTATATGCACTGTTACTGGCTTTGAGAGTACGCCATAGATATGTCATCCAGGCCCTACCGCTCCAAGCGTCAACGCCCCTGCGATCAATGCCGCGAGCGTAAACTCGGCTGCCAGACAGAGGCCGGTCTGCCATGTGCTCGCTGTCGCTCCGCCGATTTACGTTGCACATTTGCCAAACCGCCGCCCAAACGGCCTCGGCGGCAGCTCCGCGAGGGCGACGAGATTGGGTTTACAGACTCGGTTGGTTCGCGCTCGCAGTCGCAGGTACATCCCAGTATCGAGGGAGGGTCTACGCCTTCACACCCTCCTTCTCAGCATCAGCAGCAGCAGCAGCAGACTCAGGAAGAGTATCCGTATGCGCCAGCGCAGGAACATCTTCCATCACAGCCGCCTGTAGTGGCGGCGCATAGTAGTGCTGCGACCACGCCGGCAAACCAGATTCTGTCGTCGTCATGGCCTCAGCAGCTTATGTCTTCTGGTCGGGCACCGACGCAGTTTGTGCAGAGTCTTGATCAGCTTGAGGGCTTCTCGGCGCAGTTGTTCGGAGCATCGGCCGAGTCGGATCCATGGCTGTTGAGACATTGCTCGTTTGACGACGCGGGTGTCAAGTGTTTCTACAAGGTGCATTTTCGCAACGCAGGCGGTGTCCCCGTGCCGCTCCGAATCCCGGTGCATTTCATGATTGCCGCGGATGATCTGGCTGCCGATTCCAAGACTGAGACGCGTGTCGCTACTCCTGGCATGAATCCACGACAGGAGTTGAATTCCTTGGTGCCAGATGAATATGGGGTGCGATTGGTTGGTTTGTATGTTCTAGTCATGATTATATTAACTGTGAATATATTGCTGACTACTGACTCAGGTTTGTCAAGTACATCTGGCCTGCATTACCGCTGGTCTCTCGTCACCAGCTTGGCTTGGCTCCATCATGCACGGTGCCGACTGCAGAGACTTTGGATAAAATTCCCGTGCATCTACTGGCCGCCATCTATGCCACCGCTTTGCCATTTGCCGGACAGGACGACTACCTCTGTGTGTTGCACACGTACAACAATGCCCCGGTTGATCGTCTCTGGCGCTTAGTATATGAGCTCCTCGCCGAGGAGATCCACACTCCTCATCTATCCGTCCTGCAAGCCGGTCTGCTGTACCTCCACAAGTCGCTGGACGAGGGACGGTCCGCGACGGCCGATACCCCTTTCGTATGGTCATGGGTGGGGAGTATGGTTGGACTGGCGTGCTCGCTAGGCTTGCATATTGAGTGTCGTATGTGGGGGATTCCGGCGTGGGAGAAGAGACTGCGCCGACGGCTCTGGTGGGCGGTCTATGCGGAGGATAAGTGGCGCAGTCTGCTGATGGGCCGGCCGCCGTATATCCGGCAAGATGAGTGGGATGTGAGTGAATTGGACGGAGGGGATTTTGTCCTGCAAGTGCAGGGAGCGCAGGGGTGTACGAGTGTCAGCGATGTGGATGTACCGTTCCGGTATTTGGTCGACTTGGCGCAGATTGCTGAGACGATTCACGAGTCATTCTAGTAGGTCCCTCTCCTCCTAAGTGTCTTTGAGGGGTATGCTAATGTGCAATTTGTAGCACACTACGAACAGCCCAATATCTCTCCGAAAACTTTGCAGCGTCACACGACACCGGCCTCCCCCTCCTAGAAAAACTAAACATCTGGTACGCTTCGCTCCCAGAAACCTTCCGCCTGCCCAACTGGAGCAAGTCCGTCAGCGGGCTAGCCCCATATCCTGCGTCGATCCATTTCGCCTACCTGATCCTAGTCGTCTATGTTTACCGAGCGATGCTACGACCCATGGCTCGGTCATCTAGTCCGCCGCTGATCTTCGACGTCGACGAAATGCCCTCCACAACCACCCTGCCCATTGAGGAGACTTCTATTCTGGACTTTGCCGACGTGCCGGAGATTGAATCCTTCCCGGCGGTCGATGTCGATCTCTCAGAAGTGCATGGAACAGGCGAGACGACACTGAATGCCGCCGAGAGATGTGCGTCGATTGTGATTAGTTTTACGAGACGGTTGACGTCAAGTGACTTTACCGGATTTTGGTATTCCTGTACGTCTCCGATTACTCCTACTATTCCTACTATCACCCACTTCTACACACTATTTGCAGATCTGACTGTAATTCATAGGGTCCCGAATCGGCTTCGCCACCGTCTCCAACTTCACAATGCTCCTCCTCGTGCAAGCCCCGAATGCCGAGCGCGCCGTCAAAGGCAAGCATCTAGTGGACTCGTGGCTGCGCGTGCTCCGAACCCAAAGTCTGAGTTTCCCCCTGATGAAACTGGGATTAACGCGATTGGACGCGATGCACTGGGTGGGCCTCAGCCAGACATTTGTTTTGCCGCAGCATGTGCAGGACATCATTTTGGGTTCGGGCAGCCTGTAACCTTGTGACTGACCTTGGGCGAACTTGGCTTTCGGTTGGTTCCGTGTAAAAATTTTCCTGACTTTCGCCGAATGTTATGATGACATCGGCGGATGGGCGGTGGTGGTGGTATCATATACCGAGCGATGGTCGGCGAAACTTTGGCCGAAGTATATGAAATTTCGCCGACGCGCCACGGCGAGAATCTATATATACGGGGATTGCCAGAGGGAAAAGGAAGTTCTACAAGCGTGTCAATACTCATAAAAGCTCTAATCTTCCACTGTACACTATTCATCATTCATACTTTGTCTATACTACCATCTAAACTGTTTGATATCAAATACAATGGGCTTCTTCCGCACTCTCCAGCAAAAGGCTCACGAGCACAAGAGCAGCACTGTCACTGCTGCCAAGGAAGCTGAGGAGAATGCTTCTTTTACTGGATCTTACGCTACCCTTCTTTCCGAGTACGTTCCTTACTCCCCCAACAATTCATGCCGGACGCCAGTATGCTAACAGTAGCAGGAAACAAAAGGCGCATCAAAAGACACTGGGCGGTGGTAACCGTGTCTACAACTACAACCGTAAGTTTTTCTCGTCCATTCTTGTCTTGTCTTGTATGGGGTACTGACAATGCTTAGCCGGTGATCAATGTTTCGGATCGTGCTGCCGGAACTACTAGGGGGTCGTTTCTCGGCGACGGAAATTGTGGATAATGGAGAATGGAGAATTGTGGAGCTGAGACGAATGTATATACCCTTCTTTATTGCTATACCTAATAAAAATGTTTAATGTTTGCTTTGTTCCTGAATTGGATGATAACAAACGTCTAGCCCTATATTTGACGTAATGATCACGTGCAGGCGGTGATCATACTGCCGGTTGCTCGCCGAACGTTTCCGATTCCCCTTCTAGACAACTCTTTATATCCAACATTGGATGGAAGAATGGGAGTGATCAGGATGCATTGCATTCTGCCCTGTCCTAGATGACACCAATAGTCAGTATCTTTCCTGTTGCTATGTATCCCTCCGCTAACGGCCACAATAGACGCCTTTTCGCCCTCCCGCATCGCGCTCCAACGCCGGTCCTCAATTCGCATCGACACCCCGTTTTGTCTTTTCGCAGCCGCAGAGCAGTTCGACTCAGAGTCGGAGTAATGATAAGGAATTGGTGGATGATATTTCGAATGATTCGCCGTCGACGGTTCGATATGCTGATAGAGATACCGCGCGGGGAGGTGTGATCGAGGATGTGGAGGATGTATATGAACACGATATTGGTGACAGCCGGCTGGATACCGAAGAAGAGCATGCCAATACGCCTGCTTCTGCAGAAATAGACTCCGAGTTTGAAGATTTATTCGGACCCCCGGAGCGCACGAAGAAGAGGCGGATTTCGCTCGCGCCAGAGACAGAGACACCGTCGCGGGATCATGGAAGGATACGGAATGATGCTATGTTGACTCCTTCGCCTGGTCAATACTTGCAATCGTCGTGGAACGAGCAGCCGCCGGTTACACCTTTTTGGCGCCGTCCTAGGCCCACGCAGCAACCTCAACAGGATGAAGCTGTACCAGCAGGAACACCCAAACCATCAACACCAGCTACAGCGAAACCTCTTTTCCGTCACCATCCTCGCTTCTTGCTCTCCCAAAGACCACCGTCGAGCAGTCAAACAACACCTGCTCCCGCACCGGTGTTCACATCGCAACCCCCATCTTCCACTCCACGACGCAAACCGGCCTTCATACTACCACGCTCGCCGTCGCCCTCGGCTACTCATGCAGACACCGCGTCTCTACAGACACCGTTTTCCCCGTCCTCGCGTAAATTTCAGAGACGAGGTCGTGCTAGGCATGATGTTCCGGGGTATGTACCCGGTGGCATGGCGGCTGAAGTTCGGGGTTGGGTGTTAGAGATGGGAACGAAAAGGGAGCAGTTGGATAGTTCTATGATAAAGGTTGATGCACATAAGGTGGATTTGAGGAAGTATTTTGTGACTGCGAGGATTAGCAACGTAGTGAGGAGTGTTTTGAGGAGTTCGGGGGCGGTGGCTTTTGTTGAAGCTAAACTACTTTCAGGGGGGTCGATATCGGTTGATGATGGAAGACAGAATATCCTTCTTATGGGTTCCCCTCGTTCTCGGTCTGGAGATTCTGAGCTCGCGCAGGGCAGTGTGGTCGGTGTTTATCGAGGTTTGGTTTGGGAAATTGAGCTGGACAGGGATGGTATAGATGCCTTGTCAAGGAAAGACGAAGTGGATGCAGGTGATCTAGATGACTGCCAGCCTTCAAGTGCAAATGACCGCGAACGATGGCTTGTGGTCATGGAGTGGGATTTACTCGGTGCACCAGCGTAAATATATTTACCATCGACAACGCTCATAATGCATATTCACAAATATATACAATCCCTAGCCAACAACACCATCCTTACTAGAAACAACCTTCAATGCATCCAATGCGACCCTACACCCCCACTTCACCTCCTTCAACTCCTTCTCCGGCACAATATCCGTCTTCGCAACGACCTTGCGAATAAAGTAAATAAGCCCCTTGGCGATCTGCGGCGTTTCCTGTACATGCATGAATATGTCCATGAGTGCTTTTTCGTCCCGTGCTTCGTCGTCTTCGTTCTTAGACTTGGACTTGGATTTCTTGGATTTCTTGGACTTTTGGGACTTTTGAGAGTTCTGAATGATGCTGATGATGAGGAGTTCGACGAAGGTTTTTGCTTTAGGTTGCAGGTATGCGAAGTTGAGCGTTTTGAGGATGCCAATGGTTAGCATGTTATCAGCGATGAGGCTACCGTACATCTTTGCAATATTGACGATGGATTTCAGTGGGAGTTGTGTGCTCTCGTCCTCGTCTTCAGACATGCTGTCCTCATCGTCAAAGTCGCCCTTTTCGCCCATTCGTCGCAGTATGTTCCACAGTGTGTACATGAACGAGATTTTCAGTCTGCGGCCGAGATCCCCACATACGCGGCGCGCAATTAACGTGTAGTATGGGTTGTATGCTTCTTCCTCCATGACGCAGTGTGTGAGGACGCGGGGGATTTCGTATTCCTGCGCACGCTTGAGACGGAGTTTTAGCAGGCGAACGTGCGCGTCTTGAAAATCTGTTGCGGACATGATAGCGACGAAGATTGAGCGGCGAACGTCGGTGTTCATGCGCTGCGATTTGGCGATGCTGGCGAGGTCGGGTTCCGCGTCGCTTTCGTTTTCATCCTCTTGTGCTTGGGTTTGGGTGGGTTGGTCAGGGAGGGAAGAGAGTTCCTTTCGTGCTGTTTCGAGGGGGTCTTCGCGCCAGCTTGCGCCGACGAGCCACCATTTACCCTTCTTTGCAGAATTGTGGATGTCGTCGCGGGAGATGTTGATGGGTTCTGAGGCGCGGATGATGCGGGTGTTGTTTAGGGAGCCTAGGATTTTGCGCATTTTTGTGACGTGTTCAGTTGAGATGCTGGAACCGACGGTTTTTACTTTGTTGTTTTTAAGGTCTGTGATGGTGTCGATCATGAATTTTGTACGAACGGAGAGGGATTGTTCACCGGCTTTAGCGATGGCGGGTTGGATTAGGAGGACGATGTCTTTTAGGGAGGAGGGATCATCTTGTCGGAGTTGAGGGCCGGAGTCTGCGTTGTTGGTTTTTAGTTCTAGGGAAAGAATGAGGGGGAGGCTTACTTCTGATGATCTTGAGGAGAAGTTCCGTGTTGTCCTCTGTGATGTCCTGGACAAAGATTCGGATGTAGTCAAAGACAAGAGAATGTCCGATGACATGGAAGTTGTACAGTTGCGAAATGAGCGAAATCAGGTTCAGATGCTCCTTTCCTTCGAACTTGCCTCGCTCGTCGCCTTGTGCGTCGAGAGACTGGACTATCTTCTGGACCAACTCGGCGCCAAAATCCATACCCATGACCTTGTACAGGGCAGCGATGAAACCGGCATGCAGAATCATGAATGTATCCTGAAGCGCCGACCTCTCGCAAATCAGGCCCATCAACAGCGAGATGAGTGTCGAAGTGACGTTCTGCCGGGGATATTCGCGGTAGAGTTTCTCAAACTCAGCAAGGATGGAGATCATGTTTGCTTCGGACAATTTATTCAGCTGTCCTTGGGCCTGTCGCCGTAAACGAGTAAGAGATTCATCCTCAGAACTGGCCGCAGTGCGAAGCGATGGCGGGATATATTTCGCCGGTTGACTCTCTTGTGGGACGGGGGCGACAAAAGGATTCTCTTTCTTCTTTGGAGCCGGCTTCTCCTCTTCCTCGTCAAACCCACCAAATTCGCTGTCTTCGCCCTCTTCGGCCGCCTCGTCATCCATTTCTTCATCGTCATCCTCGTCCAGCAAATCGGCCCCCTCATCGCTCCCAAGATCACTGTCATCTTCCTCATCATCGTCCTCCGACCCAGCTCGCTGCAGACCCTGTGCCTTTTTCCTCTTACTCTGTAACCACTCATCAGCCTCCCGTTTGCGCTTCTTGCCCTCATTTTCCGATTCCCCTTCGCCCAAATCACCCAGTAAATCATCTAACCCATCATCGTGGAAAGACTGCGGAAGTTTCTTCCCCTTCTTCAACCCAAGTCTCTTCTCCAGCGCGGCAATTTCGGCATCGTCTTCTTGTAATTGGTCCCGAACGGCTTTGGAGACTTTGCGGGGTGCGGGCACATCTTCGTCTTCGCCCTCATCCAAATCGATATCGTCATCGTCGTCGCTCTCATCGGATTTCTCGGCTGGCTTGCTTTTTTTCAGAATCGACTTGGGCTTCTGCTCGGGCTTTGCGGTTTTCGACTTCTTCGCAGGCGGCGCTTCGTCGGATTCATCGCCCTCGTCCAACATATCCTCATCGTCATTATCACCCTCCTCCTGATGTCGCCTCACGTTCTTTTTCCAAACCGGCCTCTGCTGCACCTGCGTTTGCGGCTTCCTCCCCCCACTCCTCTCCTCTCTCCGCCTGTCCTTTCGCGACGCAGGTCCATTGCGCCTATCTTTTTTCTCCCCGTATGTATCTCTTATCCCGAGTTCTGCGCGAAGTTCCCGCGGGAGGGCGGTTGTGAGTTTCATGGGACGTCTCATGGCGGCCGAAATATGTATGTGCAATAGTGAATTATGTCGCAGCTGGGACAGTGATAGCGGCTTTTTCTTTTTTCTGTTTCTTTTTTTTATGCCGCCGATGCGGAGCGGAAGTGGAGGCGGTGGACTGGGCGGCGGAGGACCCGCTGTCTTTCTGGATGTGGAAGTTGATTGTGGACAGTTGGAGTTTGGTGATATTGAGATACAAGGGAAACGGTTGTCTTACTGTTGAATTGGTACACTTGAAACTACGACTACTATTATTACGAGTTCGGGTTGACGTCTACTAAATTGCGCAAAGAACAACCAATCGCACAAACCCCAAATCTACCACAAACACCGACAAGAACCACGGGGATGGCGCCGCATCTCAGTAACGAGGAGGTAAGCCACCACTAACCCAATGATCCCCTGTAACTAGAATACTAACAAATCACAGTTCTTCACCTCCCTGACCTCCCTCTTAAGCACCACGTCCCAAAAAACCCGCGGCTCCGTCTATCTCACCCAGAAACCACTCCTCAACACCACCTCCACCACCAGCGACGACCCTTCCCCCACGAAACCAGCAATCCTAATCCGCGCAACAGACGGAAACACTAACGCGCCCAACCCCAAGAACCCCAAGAACAAGATCGAAAAAGCAACAAAGGCGAGCAAGGTGAAGATCTCGACTGTTGTGGCGGTGGAGGAGTTGGAGGGGTTTTATGGACGGTATGCGGAGGTTTGTAAGGCGGGGATGACGGGGTTGAAGAAGAGGGATCGGAAGAGGGGGAAGGGGAAGGGGAAGGGTGGTTCTGGGAAGGGCAAGGCTTGAGGTATATTATGTTTGCGGTTTTCGTGCGAGAGACTATTGAGATACCTAGATGAGGTTTGTCGAGTAGGGTTTGCATTTACCGGCGTTCATGGTGGCTGTCCTGTTCAGTTGTTTATAAAACACCAAAACTACGTTGTTTTGAGAGTCGAAGTCATTATCCTACTATCGTACAAGATTGGAAACCAAAGGGTATATTACCTAGACTAGATTAAAGCGCTAGGGTACAATCATTAAACTAACACGTAAGGAGACATTAACCCAGTCATGACCCGAATTCATAGAGAACAGACAATAGGATAAATCAGTGATCAGCCACGTAACAGAAAAAGAAGGACGGCAAGCACAATCAAATATGCAGAGCAGACTGAAAAAATAGTAATAAAGGTAAAAGAAGGTCAAGAAATGAAGCGTGCAGTAGAATGCTAATTATTCCAGTGCCCAAACATCATACTTTTTATCTTGGGAGTCAAAGCACTCAAGAGGGAGATCGAAGTCATCCACGGTATCTTCGGAATCAGGCGCTTGGAATTCAAGTCTCCGGTGAGCGTCACTCATTGAATTCAGGGCAGGACCAATAACAATCTGCGCGGCAATATGAATAAGAATGATCAATAGTTGAACAGATGGCACCAGAACGACTGTGCAGGTCTTCTGAACAATTGACTTCGCATCATTCTTCCTAGATGGACTTGACCGGTGCAGAGTCGATGGTGGAGACATCGGGGAGATTTCTCTCTGTGTGGATGCTTTGGCACGGCGTCGAAATTCCCTACTCATGGTGTCTTTGTTCGTCTCAATCGGTGAGAGGCTGCTCGGGTTCTCAGTTGACGTAGCTGGAATCTCCAATGGCTTGGATTCCGGTTTTCGACGAGTCATAGGAGATTGGGGTGCTTGACACAAACTTCCATCCGAGTAGCTAGTGGAAGGACGGTTGTCAGAATAATCCACATCCTTGAAGAATTTTCCAGCTTCATAGTGCTGGTCCTGGTCCAGCTCGTTGTGGTCAACGGACGATGGAGAAGTAGAAGTCGAACGTGCACTGAACTCAGGGCGCATGTAACCATCTATCGAGTGAAAAGAATTGACGCTTGAAGAATATGATGTGTCAGGATCGACCTGCGATTCTGTTTTGGTATTGTCGAACCTTGCCAGCAAGGTTTGGAGGCTTTGTGTGTCGGTGACTGAACGCTGAGGTATATCCCAGCCTTCAGGAACACTTGTAGGAGAGAGCAACTGATTCTCGTCTGGGATTGTCTCCAAGACCGTACAAGCGCTGCCTCTCTTCATGACACTGATGCCCTTGCACCCTTCCTCATCTTTGGGGTTTGACCCTTGAGAAACAGTCGACGACGCGGGCGCGCTCTCCCTTCGTCCCTTGGGACGCCATGCCTTTCTGCGCTTCTTGATCTTGGCCTCCTCCGGTATCTCCACGGTAAACCCCCTTTTGAAGGGACAGGGCGTAATCTCGTAACGCAGGATTGTGGGCAAAACATCCTTCAATTGTAGAACGTAGTTCTCATTGTTTTCCGTCGAACTAGGCAGTTCAATGCGATAATACGTGAGCGGTCGAACACGCAGAACAAACGTAGACTCGCCGTCGACACACCAACACTGAGAGTTCTTGAGGATCGCATGCACCACACCGCCACATTTCAAAAACACAGTCAGTCCATGCACATTCTGCAGTCTCAATGGTGCAAACGCGACCGTTCTCTCAGAGGGTGATCGCCACGGCAGGGTCTCGATAGTATCAACCGGGTAATCAAAATCGGAGGGAGCCGTGCTGGATGGGATCGGGGCTAAAGCTCTAGGAGCGAAATGAACAACTTTGGCGCATGGATGGAAGAAAAGGTCGTCTGCTGAGGGATTCAACGAGTCGGAATTGCGTTGCTTTTGAAGACTGAGTTTAGGAGGAAGGGTAGCAGAACGGCGAGGAGGCTGTATTCGGACCGAAGTCGCATTCGAGAAATCAGACATTGTTCATAAAAAGAGTGTAAATAGTAAAGAACGTATAGTAAGATGAGGGAATCACATTGAAAGAGAGCGTAAGTCAAAAATCAATACATCGAGAGAAAGAGAGACAAAGTTGTTAAAGGAGGGAATGAATGGCAGTGCAAAAAGAGACATCCATACAAATTCCCGAGTCGGCCTTGACTCGCGGGGAATGCATACACCTCAGGCACATTAAGGCAGAACCATGGTTCGGCGGCTAAACCACGTGATACTCGGCTTGGTTCCGCGGTTGGCGGCTGCTGGGCCAATGCCATGACGTGCTGCTTTTATACGGCTGCCTTGCTTGGTGCTTATATATCTGTTTTCACCATTACCTCTTTACAACTCTTTCAAAGATTAAAAAGGCATTATCGAGAGGTTTTGTCTGATACGGAGGATATTATGGCGAACTTTGAGCCCAACGCCATTATTCGCGGCGCTCAGCTGACGGTTGTGGGAAGTGAGTGCCCGACATCGTCCCCTTCACTTCGGACTATCCGGACACGACCATAAGATTGGATACGTCTGCATACTACTAGGCAATTGGAGTAGGAGGCTCGTTCAGGGCATGGCCCTTGGCTGGACTCTATTCAAGCTTCGGGAAAGTCCCGGATCTACGCGTCTGCGGGGCCTTAACTATCACCATCGGACATCATCAGAATATAATCGCTAACCTCCGGGACAGCCGTCAGGGCACTTCGAAATGCTGAACTCTTCAAATATGAACACTTCCGGCAAGCAGCTCTTGCAATTGCCGTGGGTGTGATTATTCATGTCATCATTCAGATTCCGGTATGCGCATGCCCATAGTACCAAAGTCTTGGCCTAATCACTCCTAGATTATCGGCCTAAAATTCATTATCTGGATTGCATCCATCTTTGTCGATATGCAGGAAGTGACTTGGGATGATACAGTTTTGAACGGTATCAATTACCTGAACAAATCTGTCCTCCAGGTTCCCTTCTTGCTCATGACCCTTATGCGATATGTCACTCCGACGTTGGATGAGATGTATGTCTCGTGCTTGCTCCGTTATCTACTTAAGATACTAACAAGCCAGATTCATGGAATCCATAAGATGGGTTGACCAAACCTACGTCCAGAAGCACAAGGCCGAAGACCCTAGTACTCTTCGCGCCATGTACTATCCAAATCTGGCCCAATACTCCAAAGGAGGCTCTGCAAGCTCCAAACCAATTGGAAAGTCCGTCATGCTGTTTGTTCAGAGATACGGCCGCAAGGTTGCTATGCTTTTTGGTATATACCTCCTCTCGCTTCTCCCAGTCGTCGGCCGATTCGTCATGCCCGCTGCTAGTTTCTACACGTTCAAGCAGAATGTGGGGACTACCCCTGCGGCTGTTATCTTTGGTACGGGACTCGTGCTTCCGAAGAGATTCATCGTTACTTTTTTGCATACCTACTTTGCCTCTCGCAGCTTGATGCGCGAACTTGTAAGTATCAGCTGCATCAAAGCCTCTGGACTCTATCTGACAATAACAGCTTGAACCCTACTTCTGCCGTGTTCCCTTTAATCCTGAACAAAAGCGCCGCTGGTTCAAGGATCGTCAAGGTGTACTCTTCGGTTTTGCCTTTGCCTTCACCGTCGTCATTAAGACCCCCTTCATCGGCGTGCTCATGTACGGTGTCGCAGAGGCATCTACCGCGTATCTCATTACGAAGATCACAGACCCACCTCCGACTCCTGACGAGGGCCCAGAATTTGCTGAGACGCAAGTGCGGTGGAAGAACAAGCATGACTTCCTGCATTTGCCATTGGAGAACATTGATAAGCTCAATTTGCCGCGCGATCATAAGGTAGGGGACATTGGGTCTCCTGGCACACCGGGAAAGAAGTTCTCTTGAGGTTCTGGCTTAGAGTGCCGAATAGCGTTTACATGCATGAAAGGAACTTGAGTCTGGTATTTTCAGGGTGAGGACGAACCGAGCCAACGTGGTTTATTTGCATGTTTTCGGTTTTGCATGAACATTCAAACAATTACATTTCAGTTGTATTCACGGTAAAGAGAAAGGCGCTAAAAGTATAAATGTACAAAACTGTCAACAAACGACATATTCGAACATCGTGTCTCAAATAATATCATCCCGTGGCTCGTAACATCTGTTTTGGAACCCGAACTGCTGCTTAGCCAGTGCCATTCCTTATAGTTTGCCACGAGCTTGCGGGGAAGTAACAACAACCGTTTATTCTAAGGTCAGTCTAGATGGCCATGTCAGTAAGCCCTACCAGTATATACCGGGCGAACCACAGAAGATTACACATCGTAATGTCATAGTCACCAAGAACGCTTCAATGGTTAGGAGCTTCCGGGTATCGATTAAGTTGCTTAATTGCTGCGCTGGTAGAATCCATCTATGTAACAAACATTGCATGTCAAAGAGGGCTGTGTTGGTCTTCGGGTCTGTGCAAAGTATGACCGTGCAAGGCGTTAACTAATGCACATTGCCTGTGGTAGTCTTCACATTTGAAATGTATGTTCGCCAAGACAGCCCTTTTTTACCCTAGCAATAACACAACTGATGTGCAATGTGGCAGTCTGCCCCGTGTCGAAACACATGTGTTTTCACGCGGTCAACAACGCCAGCAATTTATCCAACTAAATCACTAAGACTCGATAGCAAATGTTAACGTAGACCAGACGCAGATATGGTGACGTAGACCATGTCTGGTACACTCTCGTGGTCCTGGTATTGTCTGGGATTCCGCGGTAGTGTCTGGTTGTACTTCAATCCTCTTGTTGGCGAGAAGGCATTGCACAAAAGAGCGATATACCTCTGTGGGAGATTGTGTGGGATGAAAAGTGAAATTGAGGAAATGGATTTGCACTTTAGAGTCGATTATGCCTTTAGATATCCGCCTGAAGATAGCCGACCAAGAAGCAAACACAGTTAACGCAGTGTTGGCTTCAGTTTCGTGGACCTGGAAGGCTTACTGTCTCAATGGTGAGAATTAAAGGGAACTAAACCTTTCAACTGCTCGTAACCTTCGACGGAATCGGAAGAAACGGCAGACCTCAACATTTGCGTTGATGTGCTTGTCCGCAGTTTGATCATAGCGGCAAATGGTTGCACACTACAGAGCCAAATACCTTTCTGGCTCAGTTATTGCACCATGGCCTCTTTGTGTTCTGTGTTCGCCACAACGGATATGGAAGGGGACTTGCGCGGCCAGATAGTCAGTTCGGATGCATCATGTCCCCTGGAATGGCTCTGCAAATTGTCTAGCCTTTGGCCTGGATACAAGCCTTCGGGTTGCTGGTTCCTAATATATGATGGGACCAGGCTGCGATCAGGTGCTCGTTAATCATTCCTGTTCGGCCTGTCCCATTGTGGATATGTCGAACGTGTCGTGTCGCCTTAGTAGACAAGGATGCTAGGAATCTATTGCCCATTACTTAGCCAGGAACGGCATGTTCGCAATCTCGCTATTTTCAAGACCGTGCTGTATGTCTCACGCATTTTTGTGGAATATATTGGGCAGATAATTGAAAAGGATTTTTTGCTTGCAACAGCAACGTCCCCGTACATAGTCTGTACGTTGTCCGAGTCTCCTGCAAGCAATTGAGAGGTACTTTAGCGGCTAGCTTCGATGTTAGAACAGTATGAGCACTAGTAGCCCCGGCTTGCTGCGGTTTGCTAGGAGGGGATCGTTTTGCCTCGAGAATTACCAGTTTGTTCATATTGTTTTGCCTGAGATTTGAGATTCGGTGTTTGTCATAAGAGCTTTTGCCTTCGTTCTAGTACAGGTGCCCATCTCGCGCGTAGGTCGATATTGTGAGGACTTGCTGCAATGAATGCTTCGAAATAAATGGTTATTTCTCCCCGTCCGCTCAATGTTAAGTAGGCGGGCTAAGAAATGCTTTCTTGAATAGCATTTCGATTCGTATCATGCAACGGTGCGCAACTCCGCGAGCTTTTTAAGGTCTATTATATTCCGTTGGGAATATAATGAAATTATTTGGACAGTAAAATAGTGGCAATCTGCTATGAGGTGGTGTGCCTGTGTGACCCAACTGAGCGGCACCATGTCTGTGGGCTCGAATCCATCGTCCCTATTTGATGTAATAGGCATAGAAGCTAAAAGATCGACGGCAGACAGCGGTGTGCATCTCAAGTAGAAAGCTGTTGGTTAAAAGCAAGATTGTCAGTCGTATGTCAGCTGCGTTCGATATATGTATCTCGGAATGCTAGGAACTGACCGTAACGTCAATCTTTGCTTCATATGTAAATAGTAAGTCATTATTGCCGGCCCTGTGTGGTAGACGCGAATCTCCGCTACCTCAATTCGTCATACACGGCATATCTCTAGGGGTTCATTAAATTCTTTGGATCCCGAGTATCTTTGGTATCCGCCACAGAAGCCCCCAGCTGAGTCTTCTTTGTCGAGCAAAAATCGGTTTCCGTTATCTGGTTGAAAGCGATTAGACTCCAGTGCCTGTACACTGTTTAGTACATAGCCAAGTGCTTTCTTTCGACATTGTGAACAAATGACCCGGAATTTCCGAACGAGCAGGATGGCTTCCATTTAGGGTCCATGATTCGATATTCCGTGGTAAACGGCCGAAGCTTTTGTTGATCTTAAGAATTTCAGCAACCGTAGCATCTTTTAGACTGCTTTCAGTATCGTAGAAGAGTCCCGTTGTTCGCTCCCTGATTGTGGCCTCTAAGAACGTCGGTATCATGCTGAAGCTTGTTCTCATCGATCTGAAGACCTCTTAGCAGATTCGAGAAAACATATGGATGGTTTCTTGAGATACTCACGGCGTTTTGATATAAAGCCAGTTTATAACGGTCTGCAGTAAGAGCTTTGAGATTGCGGCAGAGTAATGTTCTTTATCATGCTACCAAACTTTTTGAGCTCATCCACATTTTTTGTGGTTCGCCCTGCCCCCCCCCTTCCAAGTTCAATCCGTGATACCATATTATCTTGATGCTTATGGAGCATAATAGCATTTCCCAAGGGCATTTCACCTCTACATATGACAAACTGCTGCAAAACCCTTGAGGGGGTATGAGCACGCAGGCTCAAGATATCGCTGGAACTTTATGAATGAATTCCAGTGTTTGGAGTAGTATAGGTATTTATAGCCTGTTTTGTTGCCCCAGCTGTCGGTTAGCAGCTCGCACTTGTGATGCGCCGGTAGGTTGCAAATTTATAGCACACGCGAAGCAGTCGGGATGGTTTCATCTTTTCCTCCGTGTTTTCGGGTGTGCAGATACCAGGTAAGAATGCTTTCCTATGGAGCAAACCTGTCGATTTGCACTCAGGATTGCAGAAGTAATGTTGTTCCTACCTGGGAGCGAAGCAACCCACCTCATGTCGAAGCGGCTCTTTCTCTCGTATGTCTCCTATATTTTACACGTGATGCTCACGTTCAGATTTGCTAGCATCTTTCGAATTCTGCAAGTATAACTGCACAAAATTGCTTGGTTTATCTGCATTATCGGTTATTGAGAGTGGAATCCCCATTTAATAGTTGCAGTTGTCTCCGGAAAATCCTGTGGGGATTTGTTTCAGTGCACATAGGCTGTCTGAATTAGTTGCTCTTTATTGAAGGTTTTCCAACCCCAGATGCCTAATCCAGCGTGTCTGGGGTGTTTTATTTCTCCTTGACGTTGATGGTGAAACGCGGAACCCATATCCAGGATTTAGTTGAGAAGTGCGAGTTATTAGGCACAAAAGTTCCGTGTACAATCGTGTTCTCTCGCAGCTGGGCATTATCAAAGCAACAGTGCACCAAGAGGCCAGGCTGCTTCAGTCCAAGAATGTTCGTCCAGAGCTCAATCTTTTTTGACATAATTCCAGTAATCGTATAAATTGTTCGATCTCACATTGTCAGCACTGGAGACTGTAATCATATCGAATCGGGTTCAGGCTAAACCGCCGAGACCATGGATAGTTGAGCCTGGCCATCGGTGATCCGAAGCCGTAATTTGAGCAAGGTTTCCCCCATGTTTTCTGGTCCAGGTAACGATAACACGGTTATAGTAGGCCAGAAACAACCAAGAACCAGTTAAATGGTGAGGATCGATGAAGGGATATTATCTGGGAACTTCTTCTTTCACATTCGATGGGTGGAACAATTCGCCGAAAGTACCGGGTCGAAATCCAATATAGGACGAGCTCGTTTGAGCATAAGTTATTGGTCCATCGTAAGAATGATGGACGAGAGATTGTACTTTAAAGTTGGTCTCTACTTCTTGTGCAATCGAGCTCATCCAAAGCTCCCTGGCAGTGGAGAAAGTCGGAGGTCGCATGTGCTATGTGGACAGCGTTCCAAGGAAGCCCTGCTGGGAGTCCCTGGGTTGTGTCATTCTTGAATCTCGCTATAGTTCCCGTTTTTCAGTTCGCTGACTATTAAGCCAATCGTGGTCTAACCATTCCTGGCATTAGAAAATCTGAACTTGACAGGGCGTTATAGTTCTCAAAATTGCTGGATATCAATTTAGAGTCTTGGGTCAAGAATTTACTCACTCGCTCGTGAAAATTGCGCTGGTAGCTACCGGCATAAGTAAAGCTCATGTTCAGTTTCAGCGCCTGGTCCTATCTCAGAACCGAGCCTTATCCTTCTCAACGAAGTGACCAGGAAGTCCTTTTTTGGCCCTCTCTGAGAAGACCTTGGGTCTCTTGTACAAAGTTCATCTAGTCTCTGTTGAAATCGTTCTTGGGCGCTGTGTATGCATATAATTTTGAGGTTTCGGAGGGAGGGTTGCAAAAGAGAATATCTTACGGATAATGACTAGTCAGTCATGTGCACTTATTGACCTAGTAGTGAATACAAATAGACAAAGGTGTGGCCGTAGCTCAATATTCACTGACACAACAAGATCATTTAACAAGTCAAAGATTTTGCATTGCGCATTGAAACAAACCGACTAACCAAAAAGTCAACTACTAGCAAATGCACAATTCCCCATATCCCTCTTAACAACTTCCGCCTCAGGCCGAATATCAAAATCAAAAATATCCATCGGTATTCCCATTGTAGTACACGCATTCGGAATATCCACAACACCAGCAATATGCCCCTGCACCGGCGCACAACTAAGCAACAAATACACCTGATAATCACTATATCCATACCTCCGTAGGTACTCAATCACCCTAATACAAGTCTGCCGATACGCAACAGTGCTATCAAGGAAATACTGTTTTCCTTGCTCATCTACCGAGAAGCCCTCGAAAGTGAGATACCGCGAGGGTCCGAATTGTGGCTCCACGGGACCTGGGAGGTATATGGGAGATTTCATGGCCATTTTGGCCATACCGTCTTTGAGGACTGTGAATTTCAGGGTAATTTCGCCGGCCATTTCGATCGCGCCGCAGAAGGAAACTTCGCCGTCGCCTTGGGAGAAGTGGAGGTCGCCAACGGAGAATTTGGCGCCAGGGACATGGACGGGGAGGTAGATCTTGGAACCGCGGGAGAGGTTTTTGATATCGGCGTTGCCGCCGTTCTCGGGACGGCCCTGTTTTGTCAGCATTGTTTAGATAGATATGCGATGGTGTGGGATAGATGTACAGGAATCGTGCGAGCTCCTTCTCGTGCCACCTTTTCTTTGAGGGTTTCTTGAGCAGTAGAACCGGTATGTGCACCTCTTGGTTCTGGTGGGTGGGCGACAACTCGATCCACGGTGGTATTGGCTGCAATCAGTTCGCCCTCGCGGCGATTCCATTCTGCGAGGATTTCTGTAGTGGGTGCGGTGCCCAGGACACCAGGATGGATGAGACCCGGAAAGCGCACATGGGGAATGTGACGGGAAGAGCAAAATATTCCTTCGAAATCCCAAACTGCTTTTGCCCTGCATAGATTCACCTGTCAGTACATATCTAGACAGCTTATGCACGCAAACATACGGCTTAGGGTATATCTCGTCAAGGAATCCTCCCCCGTTGTACCGATCAAGAACACCCCCAAAACCCCATGGTGCGTCCCGCAGCGCCTGTACATCCTGGATTTCGACTAGCAACACGTCACCAGGCTCTGCAGTCTCGATATCAAATGGCCCAGAGAGGTAGTGGATCTGAGTTAGATCCACGTTCTTGAGATCATCGGCAGAATCATTGTTCTTGATCTGGCCTCCGGTCCAGTCCATGCATTCGATTAGGACAACTTCGCTGTTCGCGACGGTGGCAACGGAGGGGACTGTACGAGTGACGGTCAGCCAGGTTTATTCTGAGGAAATGGCGATTAGCAGCATACTGTCAGGGTGCCATCTATTCTGTAGTTCAGTTAGCACGTATCTCCCATAGTCCCGCCTATTGACGTACGTGAAGACCCGGTTGCTCCCATGCCGGTTTCTCACGGTCAATCTTGAGAGCAGTACGAATCCTTCCGGTGCCCATCGTGTCTTTTGTGTGGAGACTAATTGACTGGGGGTGACGCTTTTCGTCTATATAGCAACGTCTTATCTCGGCTTTCCATGGTTATCATGATGGGCAAACCCCGCTGCGGAGAAACGATCCGATGTCTTATCAGACCATGATCACAGGGGTGAAGGGCGTCTTGATGTTTGTGTTATGTACTCCGCAATAGATATAGTGCATAATCATCAAATCCCGAATTCTGATAGCTTGGGTTTGCATGTGGAACTATCATCTTGTACGGAGTTCATGTAGGGTTGAGTTATGGAATTTGCTGACCACCACTGCCTCAGGAGCTAACGGAGAACCTGACAAGACAATGAAATGGTTGTTTTTATTTCACTAGAAACTGGCAAAAAAAATAAAAAATGAAAAGCAAAAGGTAAAAGAACAAAAGTAAATTGACAAGGGTGGGATTCGAACCCACGCCCCTTGCGAGACACGGAAGCTTACCCGAAGGAGAGCTTAAGAGATCCAGTAACCTGAACCGTGCGCCTTAGACCACTCGGCCACCTTGCCATTGATAAGTATTTTTATGAGTTATGCAGTAAATAAGGAAATTTATTAATTTTTTAGTTTATCATGTGCAAAATTCATATCATCCAAGTCAGCCGCCACCATCTTCAATCAACCCAGCGCACTGTGAAGGAAAATACTCCAACATGGGTTCCGTGATTCTGCCTCACTTGCACTCAGCATGGCACGTCGACCAGTCCATTCTCAGCGAAGATGACCGTCTAGTCATCATCCGTTTTGGCAAGGACGGCCATCCGGACTGTTTGCGCCAGGACGATGTGCTCGCCAAAATCGCGGAGAAAGTGAAGAATTTTGCCGTGGTTTACCTATGTGATATTGACGAGGTGCCGGATTTCAATTCTATGTATGAGCTTTACGATCCGATGACAATAATGGTATGTGTCTTCTCTGGGTATGCGCAAAGGGTATGCTTAGTTGCTGACAAGTGCTTTTTGCAGTTCTTCTTTAGGAATAAACATATGATGTGTACGTCTCAGTCCTTGGTTATCGTCGATTCGCAGCTAACTTCTTCAAGGTGATTTCGGAACTGGTAATAATAACAAGCTGAACTGGTTACTGTGAGTCTTTGGCCCTTCGCTGCGTGGTTGTGACCCATGCTAATATCTTTCAGAGAGGATAAACAGGAGTTGATCGATATCATCGAAACAATCTACCGCGGTGCGAAGAAGGGTCGGGGTCTGGTCGTTAGCCCCAAGGATTACTCCACGAGATACCGTTACTAGGTGGAATTCAGGTTCGGCCTTGCGCCTGTAACGTTTACGATATTATCTCAATCAGAAACATCACCTCACGAAAGATCCACGATACGGAGTTTTTCGCCCGTCAACCCTTCCTGAAGATAACACGATACTAGTGGTGCCGGTGGTGTTGGTGGACAGAAGGCATAACAGTGAAGGTAATCCGATTTTTCAAAATGGAGTACACTTTCCTATACTGCGATTGTCAGGATATATGATGGGACTAGGTACCATAGCACTGCGGCAATGATATCATTATAGTCGACTTTTCGCGCTTTCAACAATTTTTGTCCACTCATTTTCACCCACTTCCTGAAAGTCCATAACCTTAAAAGGCCCCCCATACCGATTCTGAGTAGATCTCCAGTCCCGATGGACAGCTATCTCCGGTCGCCACCGCACAATGCGTTTCAACTCCTCCTGCAGACTCCCCTCCAATGCATCTGCAATAAATCCCCCAATCGTAGGTATCTGCATCGCCCCATTCCCCGACCCCCCAACAGCCAGCAACAAAGACGAATGCTCCGGATGCCTATCAATCAAGAACGCCCGATCCACCGTATCAGCATCCCAGCAAATCCTCGCAAAAGCCAATGGCCTACCCGCCAGGTGCGGCATCGTATCACTTAGAAAATCCCTAGCTCGCGCCTCAGCCTCAAGCGGGATCTGGTGCTTCGCAAATGGAATACTGCGTGTTTCACCGGAGTGCTGTGGATCAGGTACAAAGTTGCAGTAGCCGGGGTGCTCATCACAGATCTTAAGCTCGTGCTTGTCTTCATCAGGTTCCATGAAGAAGCCTTTGGCGATGTTGAAGAGCACGGGGAGGTTGCGGTATCGTTGCGCTTCTTCGGGGATCATGCGGATGTGGCATAGTGTCCATGCTGTTGGACGTAGTTGGTTCTTGAAGTCTAGGAGACGGTCGCTGCTTGCACCGGCAGCAAGAATGGTATGTTCGGCACGATGGACAATCCCATCTTCTGTTTTGGCTCCGATAACATCTCCGTTTTCGTAGACTAGCGAGATTACATTTCCCTGTGGTGAGCCAGTCACAAAGTTGACGCCCAACCGCCTCGCTTCAGTAAAAGCAGAGACCATAGCCTTCCGGGCATGGATCCATCCCGCACCGGTCTTATTGAACCAGCCTTTCCACCCCGGGAAGTTTCCTGTTAATATACCCGGGGGCATAGTCTTTCGGAAGTCCTCTGCCGTTTCCAACTTCACCAGATGCTCGGACTTGGTCGGGTCGATCTCGTCTTCTTGGATGTGTTTAATCAATTCGGGTGTATGGCCAGACACAATAGCGCCTGTCTCGTGGAAGTAGGGCTGGAAGATGGGATCTGTTTTCCACCCGTTTAATGCTGCTCTGGTACACGTTGCGAATGCCACGCTGATTGGGTCGGAGTTGGGGTCTAGCTTCGTTAGCTGCCTGTATGTAACTTGTATTCTGGGAATGTAAACCCTTCAATTCACGATGCTCCATGATCTTGTTAATATCATTCCCGGCCGCAATGGGTGACGGCACGGGATGAGGATCCAAGACAATGACATTTTTATATCCCCGACGGGCGAGATGCAGAGCTGTTGAGCAGCCCCAGGTTCCTGCGCCGACGATGATAATGGATGAGGAGTGGTTGAGCTGTGGTGCCATAATGGTCATATAGCTTTAGAGCTAGGAAGTTGTAGTTGTTTAGGTCTGATAGAGAAATGGGAAATCAGCGGTATGAGGAACCAGCGAGCTTTATCAGATGACGCCGGAAATAACAACTGTAAATACAGCAAAAACAAGAAATAATTCCGGTGCATATCTATTGTCCGATTAACGTTGCTTTTATCCGATAGGGCATGTCGCAGATCGCATCGGATGGACCTTCCTGTGCGTTTCTCCGCATTTTGTAGACTCAGATTTACTGTTTTGGGAATTGTCAAGGCAGCTTCTCTCCGCAGTGTCGGGGGCTGCGGTTGCAATTATCAGAGTCTATTCGAGTTTCCTGCTCGACTCTTGTCCAATCACTTGTGGAAAAACCGCATGTTGTTCGTTTGCCTTCCGCACTTATCACGCCCGCAGTGGTATACTAGATCTCCACCGTTCTTCTCCACCACTGATTATCTTCTATCTCGGTTGATATCTATTGTTATGGGAGGCTGGAATAGGCGGAGCATGGCCTCGAGCCCCTCATAGTGTCTTTATCATCCGAGGTTGCTATCTTGCCCGGGGTATGCCGACGTTGGTACTTATATATAACCCATTCTCGTCCTCAGGATGCGGGTTGTTTCCATATATACCCTCTAGGGCTGTGAACGCTCATTATGGCTCTCTCAGACGATATCATGACAGATGTGCCAGGCACCGTATATCTGGTGGATGGTACGTCATATACCTCCTCTTGAAATCTATACTGACAGAAAAGCATCCGGAAACCTCAGCGATGCAGCCCGTTCCGGACACGATATCCTCCTAGTCCCTCAGCCTACGCCTTCACAAGCTGATCCACTGGTGCGCAGCTGCCTTAAACCATAAATAACCAGTCCATTAACCCTAAAACCATAGAGCTGGCCCAAATACAAAAAATACTGGTCCCTCTTCTTAATCTCCGCCTACGCCTGCATAATGTCCTTCGGCGAGAATAACTGGGGCGCAGCATGGACAACCATCTCCGAAGAAACCGGCGTCACACTGAATAACATGAATGGCGGCTCAGCACTGAACTATCTCCTCCTAGGCTTCGTGAATATCATCTGGATCCCGTCGGCCATGAAGTTCGGACGGAAGATTGTTTATATTCTGAGTTTGGTGTTTATTTTGGCTGGGGGCGTTTGGGGTGGGTTTTTTGAGGGCACGGCGCAATATTATCTTATGATGGTTGTGACGGGGATTGGGACGGCAGCGTATCAGGCGCTGATTCAGTTGACGGTCAGTTCCATCTTCCATTAGATAGAGGGCTGTGCTAACTATGGAAAAGATTTTTGATATGTTCTTCTCGCACGAGCGTGGTCGGATGTTGGCGGTTTATATCTTTTTTCAGCAATTAGGGTCTATTCTGGGGTTGATTTTGGGGGGATATATTGCGGATGGGATTGGGTGGAGATGGAGTCAGCCGATTGTCGCGATTGCTGCTGTACGTATCTATCACCTATTCTAGGGAGTGTGCTAACTGTCTAGGCCATATTGATCTTCCTATTCATCTTCACGTTCGACGACACTATGTTCCCACGGTATCGATTCAGAAACCAGGCATCTACAGAACCGTCCAAGCTCGCCGAAACAACCCAACCTTCAACAACTAACAATGAGAAAGATCAAGGCTCAAAAAACCAAACAGACCTAACAATAACAACCAGTCACAGCCCCGGCGAAATCTCCATGCCCCCACGAACATACACCCAAAAGCTCGCACCAATTCACTACTACAAAGACGACCAAACAACTTGGCTTCAGTACTTCCGACGCCCATTCTACCTCTTCCTATTCCCGAATATCGTCCTCGCGGGTATCCAATTCGCCTTCGGCTGCACCGCGGGGATTGTATCGTTCAACACCATCTCAGAAATCATGACAGAACCACCATATAACTGGAGCGCCGGTTCCGCCGGCCTCTTATTCCTTGCTGCCCTCGTTGGAAATTTCATCGGGTAACTCTCCTCCCCTTCCCCTTCCCTTCTCTCAAACCCAATATATCTAATATGTACCGCAGAATGGCAATCGGAACCCTCTCCGACACCTTAGTCCTAACTCTAACCCGGCGTAACAACGGCTACAAAGAGCCCGAGATGCGTCTCTACGCATACATCTTCTCGTTGCTCCTCGCGGCCGTCGGGTACTTTACATACGGCTGGGCTGCGACGGCGGGGAGTCATTGGATGGCTGTTGCTGTGGGGTTGTGCTGTATGATTGCGCAGCAGGTTTCGGCAACGAGTATTGCGACGGCGTATGCGATGGAGTGTTTTGATCAGGTGCGTTTCACCACATACCCAAGAAGTATGGAGTAGTCCGGTCTGCTAACGAAGTTTGGTGGTGGGTAGATATCTGGTGAATTGGTGATTGTGCTTGCGATATGCTCGTCCGTTATCAACTTTGCGATATCATTCTCCGTGCAGAATTTCATCGATGCGACGAGTTATGGGTGGACATTTACGTTTTATGGGATTTGGGTGGTTTTGTCGATGGCTATGGGGGCTCCGATGATTCTTTGGGGGAAGAGTTGGAGACGCAGGTGTAAGGGGAGGTATGAGGCGTTTTTGGCGGAGACGATGTAGTTTTTTCTGTTTCTTTTGCTATTCTCTGTTATGATGTTTGATGTCTGCGTTGGATATGTATCTGTGGTCACAATAGTATGATATGAGACCCTACTGGACGAGATATTGAATGAGAATGAAATTACGCCTGCTATGCTACCAAATGCTAAATACAAATGGTCGAGGCACCCTGCTGTAGAATGGATTCCTTCCTCCCCAGGTGATTGATCTTTTCTTTATAAAATAGATCATGGATATCATGAATCATACACGTTAATACACTTCCACCTCACGAGAAGAACTTCCTAGCAGCAGCCTTCTCCTTAGCCTCCCGGTCCTTGATCGCCTTCTTGACCTTGGATACCTCGTTGACGATGGCGGCATCCGAAGGAGCCAGCTTGGAAGCTTCCTGGAGGTCATTGAGCGCATTCTCTTCCTCCCTGAGACCCGAAAAGGCGACAGCACGACGGTAGTAAGCCTTGGCCTTGTCCGCGTCCTTGGAACCAGCGGGACCAGAAACCTCAAGAGCATATGTAGCCCAGGCCTTGCCGTCCTGGAACTGACCAATCTTGTTGGCGAGGAGGGCGGAGTTGGAGTGGAGGGTGAAACGGAGCGCCTTGAGCTGGCCGTCGAGCTCCTTGGGGTCATTCTCATCCGGCTCGGGGAACTCATTCAGATAGCGCAGACCCTTCTGGTACTTCTCGAGACCCAGCAAGTGGTCACCGCCCTTGAATGCGGTGTTACCAAAGTTCTTGAGCTCCGACGCGATCTTGTAGCACACTGGCGCGCTGAGTGCCTCGCCCTGGTGGTCGTCAGGGAAGTCCTCGTACGGGTCACCGGTGGCATCGGGGACCTGCTTGGTTGCGTCGTCGTACTCCTGGCCGGTGAGTTCACCACAGTCGACAATCGTCACGTCCAAGGTGGGCTTGTCGGCCTGGGTGTTCATGTTCTCGATCTTGCGGACGACGCTCTTTCCGTTGAGCACCTCACCAAAGACCACGTGCTTGCCATCGAGGTGGGGAGTGGGGACAGTAGTGATGAAGAACTGGCTCCCATTCGTGCCGGGGCCCGAGTTGGCCATGGAGAGGAGGAAGGGCCGGTCATGCTGGAGGTCGAAGTTCTCGTCAGGGAATTTCTCGCCGTAGATCGACTCGCCGCCGGTTCCGTTGAAAGCAGTGAAGTCACCACCCTGGATCATAAATTGCTTGATGACACGGTGGAAGATCGAACCTGCGCTGTGTCAGAGATGTCTCGAATTGGGAGGGGTCGTCTACGCGACGTACCCTTGAAGCTCAATGGCTTGCCCTGCTGGCCCACGCCCTTCTCACCAGTGCAAAGAGCACGGAAGTTATCAGCGGTTTTAGGAACGACTGAATTGTCAGTTGCGCATTTTATTAGAGAGGTGTGGGATTGGGACGCTTCGTACCATCGTTGAACTGCGCGAGAAGAAGTTAGTGCCACAACCACGGCCAGAGCTAAGCAAACAAGAGAAACTCACCAATTCAAGAGCAATGCGGCCCATAGGCTGCTTGCCAATCTTGATATCGAAGTAAACGCGAGAACGAGCTGAAGCGCGCGCTGTCAGTTGAATTTTCTTTTATTTGCTTCAAACCGGAGCACCCCGCAGTTTAGAGGGGAAGAAGAGAGACGTACGCGACTCGACCATGGTTGCTAGAAGAGACGTGCTGATTAAGGAAAATGAAGGAATTGAATGGTTGAATCACAGAGAATGAAGAGTAGAAGTCGATGGGAGGTGGAAGGGTGAGTACGGAGTAGAGATAGGAAGAAGGAAGAAGAGAATTGGTGGGGAGAAAACCCATACAAAGGCTGGGCTGGCATTCAGGAAGCTTCCATGCACTGCACTGTGAATGTTCTGCCACAACTGGTGAGTTAAGTAAATTCCTTGTACATAATTACATTCATATCTATTTTGGATGTCTGTTTTACTATGCTATTATACTGTGGTGATGTTATTCTAGTAGCGTCGCGGGGAGCTTGAATTCATAGCTCTTCTGGCCCTCGGTTTGCCCTCCCTTATCACTGTCGCCCTCTGATTTCGATTTCTCAGATTGCTCTGACTTCTCTGGCTTCTTCTCGGACTGCTTATTCCCGTTCGGTGCCTTCTCTTTCTTCGGGAGTTTCGTATTAACCTCAATCGTCACCTGCATACCATCTCATGGTCAGCACCCAGTACTCATCCAACAGAATTGGCAACGCAGAAAGAAAGTAAGCTATACCGCCTCTTCGTCACTGCGGTAATCTAAACCCACCGGTCCGTCGTTTTTCAACTCAACATCCATCATTGCCTGGAAGACACCGTTCTTAACCCTTTCCGGTTTGTAGGCTTCGCGTAACCGTTGGTAGAAGTAGTCGTAGAGTCTGCGCGCAGTTTCGACGTCGGCGGCTTCGTGGAAATCAGGTTGTTTGCCTTTGTTTAATTGTGCATGGAGGGTGAATTGCGAAACTGGTTCATCAGATCTCATCCAACTGACATTGGTGATGTGCCATACCGCAGAGTATCTCGCCTTCAATATCCTGGACATTCTTTTTCCACTACTCCAACGCTTCGTCAGTCCCAGCTGTACCAGTCAAGCTGTAGTAGGACTTGTCACCCACCTGCTTATCATTATTGTCCGGCCATAACCGGCATCGCATGATCCTCGAGATGAGACTGTCTGCTTCCTTCTCATCGTCGCCTTTCCCGACTCCAGCTAGAACTAAGAGACCCCGACCAATCGAAGATACCAGCTGATTATCAACTGTCACGGATGCAGACTTGACTCGTTGGATGACCGCTGGGACCGGGGATTAGACCGGATTGCTTGTCGCGGGGAAGCTGGCGTACCTTTCATATTGGTCTTTCTCTTTATCACGCAGCAGGACTAAAGTGTTTTGTGCTAATATTAGGGGTAACACTTTCAGACAAAAAGGTCAGTACTGTATGCCTTGGACTAAAACGACGGCTGCGGATGGGATGTATGCCTACCTCAATCTGTAACGGACAATATATAACAGCGCAGGAGCCACCAGCACAGTTTACAAAAATAAATCAATATAGATCAATAAACCATTGCAGAGTATAGAAAGATGATAGTGTCCATTCCGCAGTGGACTTCCATACTACTGTCTCGTGCCTCAGTCTTGGCGCACCGGTCTTGGCATTCTCTCCCCAAAAAGCATCACGACTGACGACAACGACTGCGACGACGATTCACTGTCGGCCATACAGGGCTACACTGCTTGTCAGACACAATTCGTGTTGTTTCTCCTATTCACGAAATATCCCCCCAATCCTTCTTTGCGCCCTCCGCAAACCCGCTCCCACGCAATATTTTGTCCCAGCTCTAAAACCCCCCTCTTGACCACCACATGAACCGCCCATCATGACCTCCCGGAAAACGCAGCAAGAGATCGATAAGACCTTCAAAAAGGTCGCAGAGGGAATCCAGGCCTTCGAGGGGATATACGAGAAGATCAAGACGACAACAAATGCCGCCCAACGCGATAAGCTCGAAGACAATCTCAAGCGGGAGATCAAGAAGCTGCAACGGTTTCGCGATCAGATCAAATCCTGGGCAGCCGGCAACGAAGTCAAAGACAAGAGTCCGCTGCTCGAGCAGCGTAGAGCAATCGAAACTGTGGGCTGATTTCCAAAACCGTCCCTTTACACTTGCCACAGACCCATGCAGGAGCTAACGGAACTGCAGTGTATGGAACAGTTCAAGGCCGTCGAGAAGGAGATGAAGACCAAGGCATATTCGAAAGAAGGTCTATCGGCAGCATCGAGGCTCGACCCCCGTGAGAAACAAAAAGTCGAAACGTGCGATTTCCTGTCCAATATGGTCGACGAGCTGCAGCAGAAGATCGAGGCGATGGAGGCTGAGGAGGAGACGCTTCATATGCAAATGAAGAAGGGCAAGAAGGATATCAACAAGTCGAATCGGTTATCGGATATTGCACACCTCACAGAACGCCATAAGTGGCACGTCAATAAACTCGAATTGTTGCTACGGGCGCTCCAGAACGGGAATGTCGAAACGGGTCAGGTGCTCGATCTGAAAGAGAGTATAAAGTACTACGTCGAAGATGGGCATAACATTGACTACTCCGGAGAGGACGAGACTCTCTACGATGACTTGAACCTGGAGGTCGATGCAGAGGGGCAGCTTGGATTCACGGGCGACAACGACATGGTATCGTCGCAAGATACGCAGTCGCTGCAGGATGATGACTTAGAACCGAAGCCCAAGGCTAAGACAGAAACTCCTGGGCTACGACGGTCATCAACACAAATGAAGTCACCTCTTCCCGTTCTTGCGACCCTACATCCTTCCACGTCAACCAGCTCCACAAGCGGCATGAAGCCCGCTCCTCCACCAACACGACTTCCCGGGGAAACCCTCAAGTATGCATCCGCAGCGGCGGCAGCAGCTGCAAGTGATAAGAATGGCGTTGGAATCGCTCCTTTGCCCCCACCCCCAGGTGCCAGCCCTGCATTTCCCGCAGCAGTTCCCGTGTCGAAGCCTTCCTCGATCGCCTCGCCAAGCGTCGCACCAGCACAGCCCACGCCCAAGCTCGCATCAGCTGCTGCATTCGCTGCGGAGGAACGATCACGAACGCCCGCCTTTAGTAGTCCCAAGGTGGCTGCTGCGCCCGCACCAGTTGCAGAGAAGAAAGAGGCTCCCAGCAAAGAGCCGGTTACTGCTGCAACAAATGGAGAGACTGACAAGCCGGAGCAGCGCGATGCCGAAGAATCGATATATCATCTGCCCCCCGGGTTACAAGACCTGATTCAGTCTTTTGAAGTGACCAAGAGCCGCGCGTCGACGAACCCAGCACCATCGGCCCAACGACTTCTGGCAGCATCGCTGACGACATGTCCGGAACCCGCCGACGCAGAGAAACCTCGTCATTACAAACCACAAAATCCTTACAACACACCCCTCTACTACCCTCAAGAACCGCTTGCTATATTTGACGATCCGCGACTGTACGATACGGGGCGGATCGACACGGATACTCTCTTCTACCTGTTTTATTACCGGCAAGGCACATATCAGCAATTCCTGTCCGCCAAAGCACTCAAGAACCAAAGCTGGCGATTCCATAAGCAGTACCAGACATGGTTCCAACGTCACGAGGAGCCCAAGGCGATCACCGAGGAATTCGAGCAGGGGACGTATCGGTTCTTTGACTATGAAAGTACATGGTATGTTCTTTTCTTTTTCTTGACGTATTGATCTGATGCTAACTTGTACAGGATGAATCGGCGCAAGGCGGATTTCAAATTTGTCTACAAGTACCTTGAAGACGAGTTATAATGCGTGTAGCATGTGGAGCAGGTTACACTTGAATGCAAGAGAACTACTTGATTGGTCGGTTGGGGTTGGTTTCTTCTGTTCTGTTGTTTAATTCTGCCAGGAGTGAGTGTATGTACGAATGGGCAGCGGTGGAGTTCTTCGTCTATGGGGATTACCATGGTTCTTATTCATTTCATGAGAACACTGTACTCTTTATTATGCCATGCTATCCGGCGTACATAGTAGAGACATCACTTCGTGTTACGTATTGTAGCATCCACCTGACCGGAATTCAGCCATGTGTATGTACAGTGTACGCATGTCAGCAGCCCAAACCCGACGCAAACCACGGGGGTTGGCCAGGTTCACCCAGCTTCCCGCCTACTAAGGTTTTTCCAGAAGTTTTCCACCCTCAGGAACAATTCCGGGGTAGTCTCGTGGTTTGGCTTGTGCCCGAGGCCACCTGTTGGTCTTGGCTAGCAATATAGCGTCCAGTGTAAGCGAAGCGCCTCACTGCTTTTTTTTTCTTTGCAAAAATGGGTATAGATGTGCCTTATGATCTACGGTACAGCAACTTTTACGTGGTACTTGAGGGATTTTTGTCTTCTGCGGTTCTCATTGATTGACTGACTGACATGTACTTGTGCAAAGTGTAGAGAGTGGTTGCCGAGAGGCTGTGCGGCTCAGCGATACAGTTACATACGAGGTTCCAGCCCACTGACTGCTGTGCTCCGAGTACAGATACAACAAGCGAATACTAGCATGTACAGAACTGACGTCAAAACGGGGACTCCGTACAACACGGCTGGAAACCGTCTTCTCGTTGGCGCGAATCGTACAAGTGTACAAAAGCCTCGGTCGATCCGGATATCTAGTGCCGATTAAGGCCGGCGATGTGTGCATGTGTGTGTCTACGGAGTACAGTACACAGCGGACTACGCGACTGCCCAGTAAAAGGCAAGACCGGACGCACAAGACACCAAGCGACTGCCCCGGGTGGTTGTGGTACAGCAGGAGTTTGCATGAGTTCCCATACTCCGGACGCTTTGTGACCCCGGCGTCATCCATGCTCGGATTTCTCTTGTCCTGTCGCACATCCTCCGCGGAAACTTCCAATCAGATGTCTCTTGGTCTTGGACTGGATTCGTACTTTCCAGTCACGGTCGGCGCCGAATACCCGAAGCAAGACAGACTCGGACCCATCGAGACGACATGGACAGCGAATGAGGCTGAGTAGCCGCCATAAGGCTCTCTCCGGAGTTCTCTTTGTGGGTTTTCCTGGCTTGTTCGTTCGACAAACAGACCTCCGCGGACAACACTAGAAACTCCACCGCAATTTGCTTCTGTGGAGGAACTGGAGGGTCGATGATGTTATTGTCTTTTCTCTTTTGTCTCCCCTACATGATCGTCCTTCAGAACCTTTCAGAAGACTTTCAGAATGCTTTAAGTGTCCACTCGGGATGGGGTCGTGTCAGCCCATTCGGCGGCTCCCAAGCACACAGCAACACATACTCCAATCACAACTCATCCGGGAACTTGGCGATGGATGCCCGGCTCTCGAACCCCTGGATAGAACACCGGACGAATTTCTATCGAATTTCTAGCGTCAGCCTAACCGGTAGGGATGTTTGCTTCACTTTGATCCTGCGCAAAATAAAATCTCTCACCCACTTTTCCTGGTAAAGACGCCCTATCATAGCTTGCGGCTTTAAGGTGGCTGAGTGCGTTCTGCAGCTTCCTATCTCGTCTGCGTCGTCCTCCGCCCTTGGCACGACTTGGTCTATTGCAGACAAGGTTAGCGGAAAGTCTTGGTGATGACATAGTATCCTGGGGGGATCCGCTTGTCGTTTGACGTTCGATCATGATGCAGTGCGGAATTAAGACTCCTGCTTCTTGTGCATATAAAGACGTATATCCCGATGCTTTCAGTCCTTGGCTTTACCTTCTTTGTTTTACGGACTTACTCGACAAAGTAACCCAACTGACCTGACCATGGCCTTGTACTTATCCAACACCCAAGCTAACATGATGTTTTCCAATTCCGCAATGGTTGTCTTCCACCGGTCGCCAATAACAAAAATAAAAACTCAAAGCTAATCGTATTTAGACACAGACTCCTGGTCTGTCTTGTCCGCCCATGGAGCATTCGTACTCTCACGGGAGCGACGCTTCAACACAGTCTTTCTTCACTTACCCAGACCCGTACTCTTCCTCTCCGATGCAAGAACCAGACCTTTTCCCTTGCCAGTCTCCTTTCGAGCCGTCCTATGATTGTGATTTCTCTCCTTCCCCGGGCCAATGCCAATATGGTCTTGCAGACGTATACCCAGACGTATACCCGGACGTATACCCGGACGTACACCCCGTCAACTCGTCCTATGTCAACTCCATTCCAATCCCTGGCGCCGGTTATGTCGACCACTCGCTCGCAACATCTGCATCGTCGATGTCGTCGTCTCCACCCGTCCAATGGCCGGCCCAAGATACACAACTCTTCCCTGACATCTATCACGACATTTCCTTCGAAACAACATCTCCCAAGTACGCCTCAGCAACCCCCAAATCACAAACCACCAACAAAACTAACATGCGACAGATCAAACAAACCCTTTCCTTGCGCAGACTGCGGAAAAGCATTCACTCGCTCCGCCGACCTGAGACGCCACCAAACCAGCGTCCACTACCCCGTATTCCAAGACTGCCCCGTTGCCGACTGCTCAAGAAAAGGCCACAATGGGTTTCCGCGCAAGGACCACTTGCTCGAGCATCTGCGCGCGTATCATCACGTCCCTGTGCCTAAGCGCGGGGCGTCGAAGAGAGTTGCTAAAGCGCAGTATCTGTAGCAGATCGCTTGCTTGCTACGGAATTGCGTTCTTTTTCTTGCGAGTTGAAAATGACTCGTCGCTTATGATTTTAATGCCCCCTTGCACACTTTTTTTTATTCATTTCGGATTCATTCGTTGCTTTGATATTTCGAGACGCTACGAGTTATGCTGATGCTCATGTTTATGTTTATGTCTGATGTTTCTTCACGGTCATGTCGCTGGCTGCACATTTTCTGCATACCCATACATATACCCGAGGCTGATGATGTCTTTGTTGACACAGTACTGAAAGACTAGGCTCTCTTACATACTTCACATTAGAATTGGTACAGATAGATCAGTTGTTTTCTCTTTTTCTTTTTTCTTTTTTTTTTTTTTTTTTTTTTTTTTTTTTTGCTTTCTTTGGCTTTCTTTGGCTTTATTCTGAATGATTGATTAGCTGGTCTATGTTTGCGCAGTTGTCTTAGTACAGGTTGCCAGTACCAATGAATAATGCGTTATCTTTATCTTTGGTCTTTTATATTCACTTGTAGGTCAATGAAGTATGTGGTAGTCACTATTACTACTATCCTTAACCCCACAATCTCCCTCTTTTCTACCTCCCACGAAAACGCCCCTACAGCGTCCAAGAACGATTCCAACAACAAGAACATGTCAGGCAGCAACATCTATATCTCCCATATATACCAAATGGCACCATGGAGACTTGACAGTTAAAGTTATCCTGCGCGCAGCACTCTTATATGATATACGAAACCAGAAATCCCCAAGGGCCAGATATGTCACGTCGAGGCAGTTCATCTGCAACCCAAGAATAAATCACTCGTCGAAAAGAAAAAGGCCCCAATTTGATGTGTTACAGCAACGATCTGGTGCCGAAACTGTTTGGCATATAATTAGCGGGTGGCCCGCACGATTTGTTTGGAGGGCGAACAGCTTTGCTGAAGCCCCTAAGTCCCACGGCATCCCTCCGGGAGATAGTGTACGATAAGACTGGGCAAGTCTTTTATAGAGTGTGCAGGCGTTGGCATGTATCTCACACTTGGAATTACTGGTACTATATACGCTGCTTGTTATCGACTTGTCTAGGAGTAATTATACCTCCAGGAAAAATGATCCGATTGAAGAATAACTCCCTTAATGATCAATCATCTTTTTAGAAAAGATACCGGGTTAGGTGCGCATAGCAGACCATTGAACCCTCTGATTCGCTAGCAACAATTTCGATGCGAGAAAACCAATGGCGATATCATCGCAATCGAGTACCCAGTTTTGCATGAATAAGAGGGTTCCGAGACGATTGGAACAGTGGCTCTGCAAGATTGGCTTGTCATATATGAGTTATCGAGGTTTCCGTGAAACTCGAACTAGACCTCCGTTTCCAGGAAGAGCAGCGTTTAGAGTACAAACTGAGAACTCTTATTAAAAATTACGTGCGATGCAATGACTCAACAGCTCAGGCTCCAAAACAGGTGCCAGTTTGGCGTATAAGTTCTTTTGAAGACAATGATGGACATGCTTCGCCTCCCATCGTTCTTTTTAATGAGTTATTATTATCAAGATGAAGGCTGATCAGACGGAATGACTCGCTATGGAAGAGGTCTTGCGCAGAGTATGTGACCGGCCACAAGCACTCGGTCCCGCATCTTCAGTCGTTCTAGACGGTCAGCGGAAGCACTCCCGAATTCGATTATTCCGAATCAATAATACCACCTGTACTGTTGGCAGTATAGCAAGGGCTGCCTGGGAATGCGATTGCAGATGAGGATCTAGCATTTCAAACTGGCGTTAAGGCCGGACAATGACCCCCTGCCGCTAGTCTCCTGTGAGGCTTGTACTAAGAAAAAGCATTACGAATATCAGGGAGCCGTTATAAGGTCTTTTATCTTCGGCGAACAGTGAACGACGGGACATAGAAGACAACAAATCCCTTTTCCAAATCCCAAGGCTGCTAGAATCAGACGGATAATCACAGGTTGTTTGTTCTAAACCATATCTCCTCTCAGCAGACCAGCAGCACCTTACAAGTCACATTTAGATAGTCCACATGGGACGTTTCGACTAATATTCTCCCGTCAACACAGTATCCATAGGATCCTTGTTCATTTCATACAATCATTGCTTCAATTCTGGTTGATTCTGTAGCTCGTAAAAGTCCAAAGTACACACTATCAGGTATAGTCGACCAGTCTTCTGATTGGTCAATTTGAGAACAACCTCGGCATAACATTCTCGGCGCGTCACTCGCTATCCCAACTACATCAACTACCTTCACTTTATACGAATTAAACCGATACAAGATACAATAAGTTAACACAAGCATCGCCATGTCCACGGAGATTATAACCACGCTCACCCCTTCCAACACCTCCATCTCCGAACCCGCCTCCCCATCTCCATCCCCATTCCCAAACACCACCTTAACCGCCAATCCCACTCCCAACCCATCCCCAGCAAAAGCCCTCCACCGTATCACCCTCCACCCAACCTTAACCCCCTACCGCCGCCGCCTCTACCGCACCCTCCTCTCCATCCCACCCGGCCGCTGGACAACGTACTCCGCCTTGTCAAGTTATCTAGGCTCGTCCCCGCGCGCTGTCGGGAACGCGCTGCGGACGAATCCGTTTGCACCGGGCGTGCCGTGTCATCGCGTGCTTGGTACCGGGGGTGTGCTGGGTGGGTATAAGGGGTTCTGGGCTGGGCGTCCTGGTGCAAATGGGAAGGGGGGAAAGGGGGGAGGGAAAGGGAAAGGGGAGGAGAAAAGGAGTTTACTGGAGGAGGAGGGAGTTGTTTTTGATGGGGAGGGGAGGGCGAGAGGGGTTTGTTTTGGGGGATTTGTGGATGCTGGGGGGAAGGGTAAATAATCATATGAAATTGGGATTCTTCGTTACTTCGTCTACTTCTATCGACAAATCGGGATGAATCTAGCATCACGACCGATGTTCAACAGTCGCCACATTCTCCGAATCCTTAACACGTCCAGCCTCTGCATCAACCTCACTATTCTTCCGCGCAACAGCCTGCATGTACCCCGGGTTCTCCTCCTTAAGACGCACAAATGTCTTTTCTGCATCCCACACCCACCATGAGTCCGAGGCAAAGAGAAGATCCATATCTTCTAGTGTCCGCTGGTTGCTTTCTGGATATAAAGCCCAGACCATGGGGATACTGATGACGTTGCAGGCGGCGAAGACGTAGAGGGTTTTCTCGCCGATGGAGCCGAACATTACGGGACAGAGGAGAGTCTGACGATATTAGTATCGAGACGCTTTTGGGGGGCTTAATGGGGATGTGCAACTTACCAACCATCCATTACCGATACTCCAACCCACAACACCCCAAGCATTACCACGAGCTCGAACAGCCAATGGGAAAACCTCAGCTTGATAAATCCATGGTCCGACAAGCCAAGTCGCACCGAAAACAGCCGTAAAAATGAAAACAAACGAAGCAGCTGCGGCACCGTAAGAGTCTGCTTTAGCAATCTCTCCTGCCGCACGAGCATCAATACCGAGGCGAGAGAAACCACCTGCGAGGAACATGGCGATTGCTTGGCCGGCGGCTCCCCACCATAATGTCCAGCGACGGCCGATGCGGTCGAGGGTGAAGACACAGACGAGTGTTGCGAACTGAGAGGTTAGATACGCAGGGTAGATGAGTGGTAATGGTACATACCATGTAGAAAACGTTGTTGAGACCGCTTATCCATTGGCTCTTCATTGTATCGAATCCAGCAATGCTGAAAATTGTTGGTGCATCTGTTCATGTCAGTCCGGCCCAATATAGGAGAAACGGTCAAAGAAAACATACAAACTGTAACACCAGCAATCCCAACCCATTCCTGCATAATCTGCAGCCAAGCCACCAACTGCACTCGCCGCCCAAGATGCAACTTCCCAGGCTTATAATCGAACAGCATCCCCAGATACGAATAACTATGTCCAACAGTATTCTCCATCTCCACGATGCTCTGAATGTCCTGGAACTCAGCCTCAGCGCGGATCGCATCCTCGCCAGAGCTTCCGCGCAGACGGCCGAGGATATACCGTGCTTCTTGTTCGCGGTTTGCTTTGACGAGCCAACGGGGCGATTCGGGGAAGAACCAGACAGCGGCGAGGAGGACGATGAGGAAGATGAGTTGGAATGCGATGGGGAAGCGCCAGCGGAAGGCGGATTTGCCGCCATCGATGAAGGATAGGCCGCTGCGCTCGTGTTAGTGAGATGCGATGAAGTGGGATTACAGGGGACATACAATTCCAGCCAATATGCGAGGACGACACCGAAGATGTTGAGGGTGAATTCAATGGCAATGAACTGACCACGAGACGTGTGGTCTGCGACTTCTGTAGCCCAGACGGGAACGATGGCGTTCAAGACACCCGTACCGACACCGTTAATAAAACGCGCTGCAATCTGTCAGCTTCTCATCCATATTCATTCAAATCCAGAGGCTTCCATACAGCAAATCATCCAGTCATGGTTCATAGCCGAACACTGCAGCGCAGCCCCTAATATCGCCCACCCACAGCCAACAGCAATAGTCTTAACCCTCCCAATCCGATCACCAACCCAGCCACCCAGCAGCGCACCACACAGCGTACCCAGGTAATAAACCGATACTATCCCACCTTGTAAAAGACTGTTAGTCACGACAGGCGTGAGCATGCCATCTTCCAATTTTGTATGTCCGAAGCCCATTAGGTGGATATAGTCTGGGGAGTTGTTGACGCCGGCCATCATTCCTTGGTCATAGCCGAAGAAGAGGATTGAGAGGGCTGCGACGCAGTTTATGCCGATGAGAAGACTGCGTTTCTCGAGTTTGTGGACGAGGTTCCATGATGGGATTAGGTCGGCCATTGTAATGTGCGTCGAAATCCGAATACTTTTCTAAGATTTCACGATTATGACCCCTTATTGTCATTGATACATTCCCAAAAAAAATAATAATGACAATAATAATAATAATTACAGCACAATATCTCAGCTGTCCAAAATCAATGCCGGAAAAAAACAACATAAAATCACCGCGGGGTAGCCCCAGTATTTAAACATCAACCGGGATCAGCAAGGACACAATCACCCGGCATAGGCATTGGCCACGGCCGGCCATGTACGATAATGCAGAATGCCGGAAAGTCATAAATGACGGGGAGAAGCAGCCATCGAGCTGCAGAATCGGGATTTCTCTACGAGCTGCGCTTCTCCACCTAAACCATCTGGGGCATTGGACCGGGCGTGGATGTGTCAACCCGGGAATGAACTTCGGGTCTGGAGAACTTCAAAGTGGGTTTGCCCTTGGGCCGTGACCACTCCGGTTTGCGGGTTTGCGGGGGGAGAGTCAGTCCGGGGATGAAATGTCGGGGAAGTAAGTAATGCTCGGAGAATTTCCGACGAACCGAGCCGGGTAAAGTCAAGAATTAGCCGGCGTAGTCGTCAAGTTGATTTGGTGGTTTAGACGAGAGTGAGTATAATGTGAAAAGTAGAAAGTAGACAAAGTGAAGAGGTGAAATGAGGTTGAAGTGAGATTCGGTTACTGAATACATATGCCATTATTCGTCGACTTTGTACAAAATGAGACCGAGTTAATACGATACCTCTTTTAGCCGGCGTGTCTATTCAGTGTACTGAACAATTTCGTCATGTCGCGCAGCTTTTGCAAGTTCCGAAGCTTCCAGTACGCCATGCTTGGGTAGCATTTGTGACATGGGACCGTCAATCTTATCTTCTATAAAACGAACATCCTAAATCGACGTGATCCTCATGTTCTTGCGTAGATATCCCAAATCAGCCCCCGGATCAATAAGAGCTGGACTGCATCGAGATGGTACTTGTGCGCTGACCAAAACAAAGCCGCGCCGCCGCAGAGGCTCATGTCAATCCATATGTCAAGAAGCAATTGAAGTAGTAGGATATCCCCAGTTTTGCAGGGGCTGAAAAGGCACCTTTTCTATTATCCACAACATTGGAACCAGCATCATTCCCAATGAGAAATTTGACTGTATTTAGTTGACAATTGATCGTTGCATGAGTTAGAGGAGTTCCATCAACATGACGATCGATATCCACGCTGCCCCAGTTGAGTTACACGGGAATATACACTGCTGCACACGGCAACAATGAGTCTGGATGCCGAATATATCTATATACAAGACGAGTAAGGCATCGGCAAATACAAATAACCAAATGCATTGAAGCAATCGGCCAGCTTGGGGTGGTAAAAGTGCAAGCTTCTTAACCAGTTCGTCAAGTCCCCGGCTAGCACTTTTAGCTTCGAAAGCTGTATGGGGCTTCAACTGAGGCATGGCGAGCTGGATCAATATCAGTTGCCAGATGGATGCTGACTTGGGGCGATTTAGGAGCAGTAGGGACAACCGTAGCCCCTGTACACCGAATGATGGGGAATGATGGGATGGTGGGTTTGTATCTTTTTTATTAGCCATTGTATCGCTAGATAAAGGCTGAATAAATTTGCAACCGTGTTTCTCTTGTAGACCACGCAAACGGTCACCAACATCGAGCAATCAACTGTTGAAGTGTTTTCTAGCGGCCTTTAGGGCTACTTCATTTAGGATAATAACATTAACGGCCATCGGCAACCAACACGTGGGAATACTAAAACGACAAAACCATATTCCTCGCTGGCGGGACAAGTCTCCTGGGGACTGCGATGTTAGCCCGGGTTCCAAATAAAAACGCCTCCAACCGTATCTGCGTGCTCTGTCAGTGGGACTACGAGTAAGGAATCCCAATTTGTTCTGGAAAAAACAAATCTCTAACAGTCCTGTGACTAGGCGGGGCATGGGTGAAATGGACCTCGTTACTACCGAACACCATCGCGGAAACACTGATCTACAGCCCATACATCAAACATCATAGATGGCGATATCATGGCCGATAGAAGGGCCTCTCTGATGAGATGTGGAACACCCCTGAGCAAAACGTGAAAATAACCATCCATAACACGCCATTCATCAGCTTGCTCTGTGGATTGCCAAATATGGCTCGCTCTGATACAGCCAACCTTAAAGCTAGCAGAATGCTCGTTGAAGTTTCAAAACTGGAACGCTTTATCTATATATCAACAGAGTGTTCCAACACCCACTTATGGAAACTGACCGGCGCAACCGATGTTCCCGTACAGGAGGATATCTATCCACTGGGGCAAGAGACGGACTTAGGTAGCAAGCACTCGAAACATGGCTTGAGGTGCAAACAACGGGGACTAGCCATGAATACCTCTCCTATAATTTTCCCTTTGCATATGCATACGGCAAACATTTAATCGAACGGCTTATCACAAAAATTCGACAACACAACATTTCAAAGATATTCTGATCATAAGACCATCTTTTATTGCTCAAGCTATTGAATTCCCCTATCAGGGCTTCTATTCTCTCCCCTCAACGCCATTGACTGTCCTTGTGACCTCGATAGTTCTGCACCCCTGTCGTCATATGGTAATTGCAGGAATATGCCAAGACCATGGAAAAAACGACCATGGACAAGGTCCCCGTCGACGTGGTTGTTAATGGTCTGTTTATATATACGGCGCTTGCAACCAGTGGCTGCATCCATGCTGTTCGAGGGGAGAATGAGCGTGTTCCCCTTCCAAGCGTTTTGAGAATCGTTTATGGTTGAATGCCGGATACTCTGGAGAGTAAAGCCGGTTTGAAAGGAAGTACACTGGCATTCTCCAAAAGTGCATCCGTCTGCGAGGATCTATGAAGTTCTAGGGACGTCTTTTGCATATTCACAGGAGAAGATCCTTGAGTTGTGTGGGCGCCTGGGTAGAAAAAAACGGGGTGACTTTCCATTTTTTGTGCAAGCAGGGAAGTTTATCCGCTTACATCAAGGAGAGATAATATTCGCCAGATGGCTATTGCCATAGGGAAGATGAATAAGTGGCCTACGTGTTTGGTTATATTGTTTTTCCGTAAAGGCAATAAGTAGCAGTACAAGACTGTGACCAGCATATAGTGAAAACGTGCAATGTATGCTGCACTAAACTGTCGTTGGTAATTAATGATATTATGCCTTCTCTCATAGACTATACCCGGGTCAATTGCACTCTGTAATCATCCCAGCAACCTTCTACCATTCCATCTTCCTATTCTCAATGAACAGATTGAACTAGGATTGCGTCTTCTCGCACAAATAGCCTCGAGCTCGGAGCAAGGCTCTCGGATCGATCAAGAAGCTTCGGGCTCACTTTGAAAGTTACAGGGCTGTAACCAACTTGTTGATCGATATCCACATCATGGGCCCGTGACGGTTTAAACCATTTAGCTCCGTCCCTTTTATGCAGCACTTGCAAGTGCTCCTTGCACTTAATCTTCAACCTCTGACGAGAAACCCGTCTCCAAGTAGCATGCCAAAGCGGGAAAATCTTACAAATACTCTTCAAAGCCGGACTGGCCCCATTCACAAGCAAGAAACGCACCAGCTCGAGATGGCCGCCCTGAGCGGCCAGACAAAGAGGCGTATGACCGGCTGGGTTTGGATAGTCGGGATCCACGCCATATTTCAGAAGTGCTCTGACGATATCAAGGTGGCCATTCCTCGCCGCGGATGATATGGGTTGCTCATAGAATTCTGGACAAAAGTAGGATTTTCCTGCTAATTCTGACAATGTGCAGCCCAGCACGCATCGTCTTCGACTAATGTGTCCTGTGACATGGCCAGATTTGTTATATGGTGCCCCTGCCTCTAGGGAGTTTCGCACTGTGTTTCCTAAGCCTTGGCTTACAGCCCAGGACAGGGCTGAGGATTGGTGGTATCGTGTGTTGCAGTGGTACAGGAATGGATTGAGCAAGTGGAAGAGACGGAGGCAGGTTTGAGCAAAAGCGTTTATATCTCGTTGGCATGGTGGTAGATCCTCGGCTATTATGAGCAGGATCTCATTGGGACACTTCAGCATGGACATGGTGCTAATTTGGACCCGATATACCTGTCAGCTTCCTAGAGGGGAAATTTGAAGTCAAAAGATGAGCATAATCAACATACTGGCTTTTTCCTTCGTATTCGAAAATTTTTTGATCTCTCGGAGTATAAATGCCACATGAATGGTGCTTTCCACCAGAACAAAGAGCCAAAGCCTCCTCTCTTTGTCCTCTTCTTACTCCGGTCTCAACCATCAGCAAACTTGCCGGGGATGTACAAAGTGCATGTTCCATAAAATTCCGAGAAGAAAAGGAGAAAAACCATATCCAGAATCCAAAACGGTTGCAGGCACAACCGCCATGACAACGTCATCGACTTTGTCGACTTCATCGGCCCTCCGACGAAGCTGTATTTTCTGCCGGGCTCGTAAAACCCGGTGTTCCGGAGGCCACGTTTGCAGGGCCTGTCGAGATCGGAATATTAATTGCGTCTATGGTCTAGAAGCTCGCAAGGGTCGGCCTAGGAATGTTAGAAAGGGGGTTGCTGCAACCGGGCTTTCTTTGGAGGGAAGTGGCCGGAAACATGACAATGCACCTACCCCGCGCCAGGGCCAGGTGCTTGGGGGTGAATTAGAGCAGATGTTCGGCGAGTACTTCATTCGCAAATCGAGCTCGCGTTCGAACTTGTTTCAGAATTCCATCGCTTCTTTTCAGCGACACGCGCAGCAGCAGCAGCAGCAGCAGCAGCCACTTTCCTCCGGTCAACAGGAGAAGTCTCACTCCACGCTCAGCTACGATGGGCTTCTATCCTTCCTCGCCCACGATATGATCGAGATTTTGTCTCTGCGAGTCGGGCACTTAGGATGTGAGCGTTTGTGTTCGTCCCAGGCGAAGTTCTATATCACCTCCCTGGGTACAGACACTACCCCTGCCATGTTCGACCCGCCACGGGGGCTTAAGAATCCCATCAGCGCCCTGGGACAGCATCGGGTAATGCAGCTGGTTGATGTATGGTTTTTCATGCATCCTCTCTCGACATTGGTGTCCAAAACTCTGGTTCTCAGCGCGATCAGAGACGGGTCAGTGGATGAGGCCCTCCTGGCTGTTATGTTGGCGGATGCATGTGAGGTCTTTGACGGCGCCAACGTCGGAATAATGCCGTTTTGGAGTGATGATCAGGATCCAACCACACTGGCCCAATATGCGGCCGATCAGCTAAAAGGCCGCCTGCATCTACTCACAGAGTCAGCCACCTTGTCAACAGCGCAAGCTATGATTCTCTTAGGTTGGCGAGAGCTATCCCAGGGCCATGCGCGGCGTGCAACTTGCTTTATAGGATATACATGTCGCATCGTGGCGCGGCAGCAACAGCAGTTGCAGAATCATGACGGACAAGGCGGCACGATGCTGAACGGGGTAAGTATAGCTGATGTCGAAAAAGAAATCTTGCAGAATATCTACTGGCTCTGTCTGTCTAGCACCACCTGGTCGTTCATGCAAATCGACCAGCCCTTCTTGCTTCTTGGCCCCGATGGTCTTCCTGGTTTTCCCAATATGGATGAAAATACATCAGCCATTCTCCGTCTTGACCAGGCCTCTGGTAACATCTCCACGCTGCATTCCCAGATCCAGACGATGCGCTGGATGTGGCCGCTCAGTCATGTTACCAGCACTGTTGCTCATATCTACACGCTTCATTTGAATACGCTGAAAAAGGACCGTAAGATCGAGACTGCCAATTCATCTGCACTCTCGTTGGAAATCCGGGGTATTCTCAATCAGGCCATCAGGCTGGTGGAGCGGGAGGTTACCAACCCCGGATTACAGTCATTTTTATTGACTGCGTATCACACCATCATCATTCATATGGTGCTGTCTCCGGGACAGATTACATGTTCCACAGTGGTCGATTTTTGCGAGTCCGCATCGGCTCTACTGGGCGTTGCCCAGCGCTTTCCATCTACGCCGCCAATTGGCTTGGTGCCAATCCAGCGAACATATAGTACGAACACACTAGCTCTGGCACTTGACGCCTGCAGCCGCGCGCTGGTGCACATCTATAGGGAATACATAGACGCCACGGACCAGATACGGGATAAACTCGCCGGTCTTGCGGAACAACTGCGCGAAGTGTGCAAGGCGGATTCCATGTCACAGTGTATACCGATTATACGACCTGTCAAAAAAAGGCTCAAGCACGTACGATTGGCTTGCAAGCCCCTTGGTGATTCTTCCGCGTCGTCGTTATCACTGGATGAAGATCTGAACTTTTCTCTCAACTCTGTCTCTTGGTCTGACCTGATAAATCCGGTCTCAGGAGACGAACCAGCGCAATTCGATTTTGCTGATCCGGGCTTTTTTGTTGATGATCCAGCCTGGGGTTCCTTGCTAGGGTTTCCAGGCTTTACCCAGATGGGTACTGGCATATCAACACCGGCAGATGGCTTCTCTCTGACGGGTAATAACAACAACAGCAATTTTCCTGGTCAGGACCTTGTTACATACGGTTTCAATAAGACCCTACTGCATAATGATGCAGAGACTGACCATATGGCGTAAAATGACAGAATAAGTTATAAGTTACACTCAATCCGTAAAATCTATTCCAATCCAGAGTCAAATCAAGTAGTAATACTAACAACCCTCCCACTCCCACTACCACCTCCCTTCCACTCCCCCCTAACCAACCTTTCAAAAACCCACCTCCCCACATCCTCCCTCGCAATCGCATACCCCACAGCCGGATCCTCTTCAACTCCAACCTTAACCTTTCCCAACCCATCCCCCTCCCCATCAGTCAACAAACTCGGCCGCACAATTATATATTCCCCAATCCCACGCTTTTCAACAGCCGTAGCCATCTCATCCCTAATCAATGTCTCCATGACCTTCTTGTCCTCGTGCGGGGCTTTGAGCATCCAGTGGTAGAGCGGCATCATGGCAAATGGCAAGTCCCGTTTGTCGCTGATTCCCGTGGTGCTAAGCACTATCAGTGTTGGCTTTTTATTGCTCTCCGAAGGCGGTGCTGCTTGTCGTGCAGCAGCCAGGATCGTACGAATAGCGTCCTGGCAGATTGTTGGGTTATCCAGCGTTGGTTTCAGTGGGTTGTCGAAAAGCATCTTGCCGCCGATTCCGGAGATGATGATGTCGGCCATTGGAGTACCATTTCCACCGGGCAGGATGGTTTTGCTGACGGCATCTATATCCGTAACCATACCCTCGGTGACAGAGAGATGGTCTCTGATAGTAGATTCGGATAGGCCACGCTGCACCAAACTGTCAATCAGTCTAGAGCGGGAGCGAGCCACTATTAGTATGTAAGCGTCTTATCTATTCTCCATATAAAATACAAACATCAGTCAAAAAACTTACACGCAGTACAATGATATCCCGCTTCTAACGCAGGAGCCAAGCACGAGATCGTACTTCCGCCGGTGGCGCCGAAGAAGGCAATTAATGGCATGGTTATGCTATGAGGTGATTGTTTATTCGATTGAAAAAGTGAAAGGGAAATGGAAAGTGTTGGTTTGGTAGCATATTGGGGGAGTTTCGAGGGCTTTTTATGTGGAAAAAGTCTCCGTCTGTAGACGGAGGTTTTTTTTCGCTTCATATGTTGGGCTGGGAGCTGAGCCACGTTTGAGATACTTATCATGCAATCACTGCGATATGAATGGCCTTGAAGCGGTGTGGGAGAAGTGGTAGAGTACGCTATATGTGTCTGCTTTGAACTCGATGGGGCAGTATGTGGTATCAAGGTTTATTGTCCCAGCACCAAAGACTTATCATGATCAGGGAGATCAATGTGTAATAAAAACCTAAATAATGCATATTCTCATTATCGACATAACATGAGTATCAATCTAGAGCAGAGCGTAGCGGGCATTATATACATTTCAGCGGTATTTACAACAGACCGTCAAGTAACAATAGACGCACGAATTCAGACAAGATCAATGATGGTCAGAAAAAACGCCCTGCTGCGCGCAAGACTTCCGACACTCCTCCAGGATACGAACCTGCTTCGCAACGTCTCCGAGTCGACCAATAACCTCCTTATTACCATCAAGGAACGTGAAGATAGCATATGGGATACCCGTGTCACGACAGAACTCAAGGACAAGTTTCTGCGTGCGACGGAGGTTATGCCGCGGGATACGCGGGTAGAGATGGTGAATAGCTTGGAACTGAAGACCACCGTGGAAGAAATCCAGCCATGTTGGGCAGTCCACGTCCATGGTAGTGCGGAGCATTTTCTGGGGGAAGGACTCGTGCACGCCCAAATCAGCTGTGGACATGGCGAAGTGGGAGAGTGTGATTTGAACGTGCAATGGCGAAGTGACCATATGAGAGATCAGGATGAAAAGGACACGGCTACTCCAGTCAGGAATGGTACGGTAAAGGACACCGTAGCCGAACCAGGCCCAGAAGAAAATTTGTCCGGCGACCTCGAACCAGCGGTGCCACCAGGCTGGGCCTTTTTTAGGTGCTTGGCTGCTGAGGAGATATTGCCAGCTCAGAACGTAGAGGTTGAATCGGCCAAAGAGTAGGATGGGGTAGTAGAGGTAGTTCTGGAAGCGCAGCAAGAAGTTGGCTGCGGCGTCGAAGGTCATTACACGCTCGTAGTAAGTGCTCGTGAGACTCGTGAGGAAACGGTGCGAAATGGCGAACAATGGCATGTGTTCAATGTCGGGGTCGTGTTCAGGGGCGTTGGTGACGATGTGGTGGACATTATGGTTCCTCTTCCACCATCCCAAGCTCAATCCTCCTAGGTAATCTGCAATTATCATGCCAATAACGCTGTCGACATGGAAATGATGAGTGATACCCATATGACCTGCATCATGGGCACTAAAAACAAGCTGGTGCCAGAAGCAACCCAGGAAGAAACCCGACGTCCCGTACCATCCCAAGCGAAGAAAATAATATGACAAGCCTGCGAACAGTGTATACCGGCAACATTCAATAAAATACGAAAAGTAATTGCAGTCGTACAGGCCTTCCGCGCGAATCCGCTGATCCAGTTCGCGGTACTTCTGCCGGATACTCTCCTGGCTGGTGGTATCAAGCGACGGGTATTTGTTGATATCGAAAACAATCTCCTCCTGTGTTCTCGCATCGAGGAAAAAAGGCTTTGGTTCGAATTCGTCGTCGCTACCGGGGGTCGAAACTGAGGTGTTCGTGGAAGTCGACTTTCTGCGGCGAACGGTATCTTTTCCGTCCACTGCGTCGAAAACGGGAGACGGCGGCTGCGACGTTTCTTGTCCGGAGCTGCTATCCTCTTCAAAACACGCTTCATCGTTATACGGACGGAACTTGCCTCCTTGGATGGGAGGTAGGAAGTTCAACCAGACGCCTTGTACGCGGCCAATCTGGAAGGACAACATTCGTTGTCGCGCTTCTTTCGAGTGTAATCTGCAATTGAGACCCCATGTTAGTAATAATCATCCGTAGACTTGGGGATCTCTCAAGTACGCACGCATTGATCTCGTCTGTCGCATCTCTCCCAACCATGTGTTTGATCGACTTGTCACCCCCCGGATGGAACTTGATCCAAGCATCCACCTTGAGGACACGGTTCTCGAAGATAATAACATGTTTCCCATCTGCAATCAGGCCCTCAATATACCGTCTCGACAAGATCTGCTCCTTCTGGGATTGTACGGCGGTCTTCACAACGTCCGCGGACTTGGCCATGGTGAATGCAATGTAAACAATCGGGTTGCTGGGTCAGGAACCGATAGCGTTGGATTCACAGGGACATGGTATTCGAGTAAAGAAAGGGTAATAGCCAGAGAGCAGGAATGTTGAGCCTGGCTGGCATAGGAGAGAAGGAGTGAAGGTTGTCCGTCCGTGTCTTCCGTCTGCCGTCTGCGGTGGGGATGTAGTGAAACAACGTGATCTTCATCACCTGATGTGGGCCGCTCAATGCAGTACAGCCTCTCTCTACGTAGTCTATTAGAAATCGTCCGTTGGATAGTACCACAGTGGACACTACTGCTATTGGGGTATATGGCCTATATATAATTCATGAACCCTTTGGGGGTGCAAATGGTATCATTATCATGACCAGCATGAAAGCACAACGCTCTATATATCAGTATCCAATGTTTGTTGAAAAGCCAAAACCAACTCCAGGAAGCAACGTGTTGAATCAAACTCATGTGACTGGTTTCGGCCAGCCAGGTATATCTGCAAACCATCGCGATCGGTAAATTTCATCTCCAATGTTGATATCGTTCTTGTGCCCGTTGACCACGAGGTTGGTGTGATCCCCGCGATATTTCCGCCATAGCGACTGCACATAAAGGTAGGCTCCATCCGGGGCCACGCTAAAGCTCTTCAGGTCCGACCGGGGTATTTCCTCCCATTCTCCCGCGCCGTTGTAACCATGCCGATTGTGCGAGGTCGTCTCGAATCCCGGCAAGTATTTCGCAACGACGGCCTCGCCTTCCTCGGTAAATTCACGACGGTCAACGTCGAAGGCGTGTATATCGTGATCCTCAGACATGAGAAAGATTCGTTTATTCGGAACCGGGACGAGATCGTGCGGTCCAGCCCACCAAGTATATTTCGCACCCCATTCGACCTTCTGGCCATGTGCCACCGAAAGCTTGTATTGAACCGAGTCGTCCTTATCAAGCTCCATCGTGGTTGCGTTGTAGGGATATGCCTGCAACGTCCCGTAGGCTGGGACGCCATCCGAACCATCCGCCGCAAAATCCGTCCCTGCCGCCCACAGCATCTGCTCCGTCTCGTCCCAAATCATATTGTGAATGGCACGGAGGCCAGTGATGTTCTGCAAGACCGGTGGATCGTCGATCAATGGGTTATCGGGGTTGGAGTCATAGACGAGGATACCGTCCCATGCTTGTGAGCCGGTGGTACCTACGGCCATTCTATTCCCGGGTAATGGCTCTAAGGTATGGGCATTCCACAGGAACTCATTCTGTCTACAGACGGCCCAGGTGATGAGCTTATCGGTCGCGGGGTTATCGGGGGTGTAGTTGATGGTCAAGACGAGATCGCTGTAGATGGCAGCGATACTGGTGCCGTTTCGCATCCACTTAAGTTCTGTCGCATCGTTCGCAGAACTCAGCAGGCAGCGTTCGACACTGGGAGGGAGGGCTTGGTTGACATCGCTTCGTTCCCACGTCCATTTTATCCGGCCTCTTCGGTCGTGAATCTTCAGCAAAGGGGGGACACCGTACACGCCGGTGATGATATCCTCCCATGGGCCGTTGGCAGGAATCGATTCCTGATACTCGGGTCGCAGTCTCTGCTGAGGCTTGATCGGATTCAGAGACAAGTTCGCATATGGGTTGATAAGGAAGAAAATCCAGGCCAAAAGGCTACCGAACATAGTGAAACGAATGTTTTTCTGCTCATCCCCTTCCTTTTCGGAGACGAGAGAGGATAAGATTATTCGGAACTGCGCGGGGGAGAATAGAAGGAAGAGGCAAATATGTATGATAAAGAAATGACCAAGGCATCCGCCAAGTGCCACCATTAATTATTATTGCATATACGGTACGTGAGTACGCAGAGTAGTCAGAATAATCCGATCCATAAAAATGCAGTAAGAGAAACGCCCAGAGCCAAGGCCCTACGCCCTATTATGTACGGTTATACGGTTTCCCCTGACCACTGTCCACTCACCCAGTGGCTCTACAGACCTGGTTCAGACGGGATTGGCCCAATAATACCCATTGGCCGGTGAAGGCCAGCACGCGAGCACCTGCCACTACCAGAGTTAAATCACGACATGCAAAGTTCCAGGAATTTTGGGGAGTTTCGCAGGAATATCAGGAATATCAGCCCACTGTCCGGACGCATTGCGTGTACTTCGGGGGCTGGTGCTCGATACGGATTTTCCGAGTATCATACTTACCAGTACGTACTGATACGGAACTCGGAGTAAGGTATGGTACCGGGGCTTCTCCGTGATCACATGACCTAGAGATTAGACTAATCCGCCAATCAGATAATGGGCTAATTGAACGAATCATAGTGATGCTTAATGCTGGCTCACGTGAGATATAAGGATTACTCAGCATATCCCCGCCATACATAGAGTCCAGCAACTGGTCCAACAAAGCCGTGCTACTTGCATGCTATCTCAGTTAAGAGCTCATGATGACTACATCCACAGGAGTGCGTCTCTTGCTGCCTAGGGATTACCAATACTGATGCGCATTGTACCAGGATCTCTCTTCACTGGTCCAAACATGGTTAGAATGGGACCAGGTACTACCATATCCACCAGCACCGAATCAGGGACCAAATTAACACTAAACAGGATCCCAGCACTCGCACCGAAATCACAAACCTCCGTGACTCCAACCCCTCAACAGAGCTCAGCCAGCGTCTCGGCCAGCGTATGTCCTCCCCCAAACTCAGACATACATGCTCTCTAACAAATCACAGGTATCCAATTCGGCACCGCCGGCCTCCGCGGCCGGATGGCAGCAGGTTTCTCCTGCATGAATAGCCTTACCGTCATCCAGGCATCCCAGGGTTTAGCCAAGTACATCCGAGACAAGCATCCCGAGATTGCGGGCGACGGGGTGGTCATTGGTCATGATGCGCGGTATAATTCGGATAGGTTTGCCAGGTTGGCGGCGAATGCTTTTGTTGCGCTGAAGATCCCGGTTTGGCTTTATGGGGAGGAGTCTGTTACGCCATTAGTGCCTTTTGGTGTCACGTATCTGCGGGCTGCCGCGGGCGTTATGGTTACGGCTAGTCATGTAAGTCATTTATTGCCCTGGGTGTCTGGATTGGCGGGTGCTGACTTTGGTAGAATCCGGCTCAGGATAATGGTAATTTGCTTGATTGTCTTAGACTCGGACGCAGCTAACGGATTATAGGCTACAAAGTGTAATGTCTATCGCCAATTATACCGCACGGATTGGCTAATCCTATCTAGCTATTTCAAAAACGGCGCACAGATCAATACCCCAATGGATACGGAAATCGCCCAATGCATCGAAGAAAATCTAGCCCCGTGGCCCAACGCATGGGAAGAACGCCAACTAGACGAATACCTGCGCGTCAACGCCTATCAGAAAGTGCTGGCTAAGTATCAAGACGCTGTCAACCATTATACCGTAAGCCATCGCCTCTATCATCAATAAAGCAGACTAACATTGTAGAAATCAACCATTCCCAAATGGACTCCACCGAAACCCTTCGTATACACCCCTCTGCACGGAGTAGGCGGGCTAGTGTTCCCTGACCTATGTCGCTCCATGGGCATAACCGACTTCACCCCTGTATCTGAGCAAGTAAACCCTGATCCGGACTTTCCTACCGTTTCATTCCCGAACCCTGAAGAAACCGGGGCTTTGGATCTTGCCATGCAGACGGCAGATAGAGAGGACAAGGGTCTGGTTATCGCGCATGATCCGGATGCGGATCGTTTTGCTGCCGCTGAGAAAGTCAAGTAAGTGCCTAGTCCTCTTTCCGTACGACTCAGAACTAATGTAGTAGCAACTCCTGGTTCATTTTCACAGGAAACCATCTCGGAGTCCTCCTCGCTTCGTATATCTTCGAAATCCAGGACTTCAAGAAAAACACCGCCGTCCTAAACTCCACCGTATCAACCGGCATGCTCGAGAAAATGGCACTTGCCAAAGGTATCCACTTCCAAGAATCCCTAACTGGCTTCAAATGGATGGGAAATATAGCCCGAACCCTCGAGGCATCCTACGATGTTGCCTTCGCATTCGAGGAAGCACTGGGTTATATGTTCCCGAAAATATGTCACGACAAAGACGGTATCACCGCAGCTATGATCTTCCTATCTGCAGAAGCGAAGTGGAGATCACAGGGCCTCACGCCGTATACGAAGCTTCAGAAGTTATTTGAGGAGTATGGATATCATGAGACACTTAATAATTACTTTAGATCCCCAAGTCCTGATGTTACGGCGAGACTGTTCGGGGCTATCAGAGATGGTCCCTACAGGACTGAGAAGAAACTGGGCTCATTTAAGATCCTGCGATGGCGCGACATGACTGAGGGCTATGACTCTAGAACACAAGACAACAAACCAACACTCCCAGTCGACAAGGGCAGTCAAATGCTGACTTTGTGGCTGGATCGTGGTGTGCATTTTACGCTTCGGGGGTCAGGTACGGAGCCAAAGGTTAAAAGTAAGTTTCCAGCTTAGCTTCAAATAAAAAATACAAAAAATAAAAACTGACAATATCTAGTCTACATCGAAGGCTGCAGCGGTTCTCGCGAAGAGGGCATAAATGCAGTCTGTGATGCATTCCTGGCCGTGCTGAATAAATGGGTTAAGCCATTTGCTCCGTCAATGACTTATAGCAAGCAGCTTCCGACTTCGTCTGGGCATGTTTTTAGGGTTGATTAGCTTGGTTGGTTATTTTTGCGTACTGCATGATATTAAATGTTAAGTATGACAGCCAACCCCTGTAGTAACGGCGCCATACTCTGGCATATATAGTACGGCATAGGGAATACATATTCGAGACCCGGGGACTTTAGTTGTGTATCCGTAACGATCCTGGACAACCCTGGATGACAGAGTAGGTAAATAAAGTACCTGTGCTTGTACAATGTAACACGGCAGCTGTTGTGGACCGTGAACCCTGGATACATCCTGGATGCCGCGCTTCGAGAAGTTTTTGTGTTAATTGGAGATTTATTAGGGGACAGATATAAATATGCGTATTTAAAGTTACTGTGGTTCTCACATTTCATCTACACCTACATTCATTACCGATTCTATCAATTGCATCCAGACATAATGGCACACCCACTCCATTACCCTCGTGTCCATCGGGGATGTGACTCGTACGTATATCCAACCTTCTCTGTGCTTTCCTCCCTCTCATAGTCTTGTTAATTCACCTCTAGACATCCTCCCCCACCTGTTGAACCCTTACCGGAAATCAACCACCATCGCAACCACAATAATCACCATGTCCACAATGCGCACCATAGACCGAAACCCAAGCCGAAGCAGAAGGCCACACCAATCGATTCCCACCATCACTACCATCAACATCAGTACAGACACCAACATGTCATGACACCACCTCCCTCCCCACCATTGGCACCAGCAGCAGAACCAGTCCGACACCATGTGCACTACCACACTTATCCTATTCCCCACAACATAAGGTTTCCGACTTCCATTCCGAACGAAGCTGAAGTCGAAGACAGCGATAAAGAAACGAGTTGTCATCGGCATTACCATCACCATCAACACGACAACCGGCACCATCAGCATCAGCATGCTTCACAACCCAACCCCAAGCCACACCGCTGTCGCCATGGCAATCATGTTCACGAGCAGTCCACGAGCCACTGCAAGCACCAGGCACGTCCAAATAACCATATATATACGCATACGCATACTCATGTCCATAACCATGGACCTGCTCCTACTCATGGCCACGCTCATGGACAGAAAGGACGGCATGCGTATGGACCTCCGTTGCCGGTGTTTATGATGGAGTTTCCTGCGGGGATTTATTGATTACAACAGAGAAACTTGTGTGTGTTCATTGCACTCTTTCTGGAGTTACTAGGCGTTTTATTTAGGCATTCATTGATTTGATGTGTGGAAAGGCTATGGTCATCATTTCATATACAGAGTGTATCCAAGAAGACACCGGTATTCCTGTTATAGCATAATAGTAAACCTATCTCACAAACCTAGAATTGGTGGCCAAGCGGTAAGGCCTGTGATTGCAAATCACAAGACCCCGTGTTCAACCCACGGTCGATTCTATTGCGCTTCCCCCTTCCCTTGGTTAGGATCGAGGACTTGTGTTTTTTTTTTTTTTTTTTTTTGTAATTGCTCCGTTTATATCATGGAAAACGACCAGAGACTACTACATCTACCTTTCATTTCTTCGGAAGATGTCTGACTGACAATTCCGGTATTGTTCCATTCTGGACAAGGATGATTTACATGACTCCCATACATACTCTGGATAGTGAATGGTGAAGTCGTATTTGATTCCTCTGTTTTAGCTAGTTATATACTAACGGCGGAGAGGTAGGGCTACAACCTAACTGGGATATCACTCACCGATTAAAAGCTACCCATATACGACCCAAACAACCCAACTACGCATCTACTCCATGGAAGTGGTTTCTCGTCTGGAGGAAAAAATATTTGGTTTTTGGCCATGCAAATGGAAGCCTATTATCCTGCAGTCAACGATACCTCTTACACAAACCATCCCTAGGAAGTGTTCATCCTGTCAAAATCAAGTTCTCGACGATGTATTCCCTTATACCACAAAGACCGAACAGGATGTGTATATTGTGATCAGTTCAAAAGATGCGGTCTTCAGGGATGCACGGGCAGTATCAATCAATCAATCTTTGTCCACTTAACAAATGGCAAGATTACATTAGCCCTAATCGAGGACCCCCGCTTTGTTACCCCAACCCTAACATGCAAGCAAGCTTTAGAATGGAAGCAATTGATACTTCTTGTCGACTGAAAACTTCAGCACTATTCATTCAAATGCGTTCGCAAAGGATTGAGCAAATATTTTGCCCACCGACTATCCCCCATTGCGAAGCAGACTTCGGGCAAATTGAACTTTACTTGTTTACGGAAGGCATTATGGCCCCCCAGCAGCATGCAGATTCTATTATGAGAATATTGGAAGAATGGAGAAAGGTTAGAAGTCGCGTAGGTCCCGGTGATTCCTAAGCAGAGAACCCACAGTTCAAAAATTCAAAGCCAAGAGATATACTTAATATACAATACTATCATTTCCTACTGAAATAGGTCACATGAAAAACAAAAAAAGAGAACCGACCGTGGATCGAACACGGGATCTTGTGATTTGCAATCACACGCCTTACCGCTTGGCCACCGATTCAAGTCATGCAAAATATCGTTAGCCTTATGCTACAGAAACAATTTAACCATACTTTCTAACAAGACAGGTATATTCCGAAATAGATTCCTGCACACAGTCTCGTAATATTGATGCAAATAGCGGCCAAGGTAGCTTTGTCGCTCCAGTCCAAGAAGATGAACACGAAGAGATCGAAGAAGGATGTGGGGAGTATCATCGGCACTAATGTACCATCACCACCGACACCGGCATCAGCATCACCATACTACATGGCGTGTTACGCCTACACCTATGCCTATGCACTAGAGACAAGGCACAACCATCCTATCTAGTGTAAGTCGGGGTGACAGTGAAAAGACTATGATTGTTGTGCGTGGTGTTGTCTTAGAAAAATAATGGTCTTTCCGCATGGATATAGCCCTAGGTAATTGACACACCGTGCTGTGCTATTCTTATATTCTGCGGCTTCATCATAGGCAGGAATAAAAAGGCAACGGTGCAGTTCATGAGACAAACCCAGCTCCTCGGTAAATTCGGTGCCCTACTGCACATATACCAGACCACCCTCCAGGGAGACAGCGGCCTGTGAGACTTCTCTTCGTCTCTTCTTGCGCCTTCAGATCTCTATAGTGACGGTGAGCAGAGCTATCCCCCTCTCTGTATCAACTTCGATAGCACAGGGATGAACGAGTGATGGCAGATAGGGGCGTCGGGTTGAACCTGTTTTCTGGAAGTGACGGCCTTGTGCTAAGAGCGTCCTCGAAGCAAATGATTGAGCGGACAGGTGACCAATTCATCCATTCAGCAAGAAGCTCATGTGCGATACTGTCTCAGTTTGGCACAACAATCTGTGCGCCGAGAAAGAGGAACGTAAAGATATCTCGTTAGATTGGACCATGGGTGATGCCAGACAACATTATAAACTTGTCATCCATCGAAAAACCAAATATCTGCTGCATCCAAGAAATATAACATGTCAAAGAGAGATTTCGTCCCTGGACACCTTTGGGCTTTCCTTTGGAATCACTAATAGCACTGAGAGTAGGCACTGAGTCAAGGCCAGTGGAGACAGTTGGCATCTGCTGCTTGAACAGCTCATGGAACTGGAGACAGCCTTGGTTCTGACCAATGCTAGCATCACCGGTGAATTATCCCTCGCCTTAGAGCTTAGGCGCCGGAACATGGGGCTTTGGTTTTCAACGAGAAAGCGATAAACTGAGAGACAGATTCGGAAATCAAGCCGGCTTCCTCGGCGAGCCGCCGAATATGAACGAGAGATCTAGGATTGGCCACCTCTAACAAAATCTTTTGGCGATCGCCGGGGTATCTGGATCCAACACACTGTTGCACCAGCCTTAAGAGCTCCCATGTAAGCAACTACTAGGTCAACGCTATCGATTCTCACTTGTCAGCATATTATATATTATATCTTTCACGTGAATACCATTATGTGGAGCGTATGAACATTCAGTATGCATAAACCATTACAAACATCTCTGCGCTCACATCCATGAGATAAAAAGAAATGGGCTAGTTGGTTGGAGCTTCCATTGGTTTGCTTAAAGATGAATTCACGCTGGGGGGTTCGCAGGCCTTTTGTTTCAATAACGCAGAGCCTCTCCGGATGATCATTAGCGTTGCATGAGAAAATTTCGTGGATTGCTAGCGGGTACCATGTCAGTTTGATCCCATAACGTCAGAGCACTTATATCTGTTGAAATCGCCTCGGTACAAGTCAGTTGCTGAGTCAGACAGCAGGCTAGCCAAATTCCCTGCCATATTTCCTGTGCGTAAGTGATTCCTTTAAATGGACGGAGTTTGGACTAGTTACCTAATTAGTAAGTTAATGTATTCTACGGGCGAGGGGTGGATACCAGCGGTTTAAACGAGATTGCATCCCCGTTACCAGTGCTACTTCATTCAACCAAGGGGAGCTAAGCTCGATAATATCCCCAATTAAGCACGGGATGTAGGGTAGGGCGCAGATGTATCCCGAGTGGCAGATTTTCGCCGTATCCACTACTTTTTAAAGCTTTTCGACCACCAACGCCATTAAAGCTGGATTATCCAGTAATTAAATATATGATTACTTACTAGGACACTTCTTATAGTATGCACAATAGTCCCACAGCCACTGCAGCGTTTTAGGGCTCGCTGGCGAGGCCTAGTTGTAGGCTCATCAACCTGCTCATTAAGCTGTGTATCAAGCTACTGAGTATGCTCATGGTCTTCCTGTACAGAGATAAATAGATCATTTCCCAGAGCAGTGTGTCTTCTTGCTTTCTTCTTTGTTTTCCGCTCATTTTCAGCCCGTAGAACGTTGATTTCTTGATGAAGTTCATATTTATCGCCATCTGCGCAGCCTTTTCAAGGTGTTGAATATGAGAACCTGGACTGCTAGAAAGTGTTCTTTCCTTATGAATGTTTCTCTTTAGTGTGCGGACCTCGTGGTCTAGCTGGCAAGTATTTTGAGGTGTTTGAAAAGCAGATGATTTTGACCCTTCAGGAAGAAGTGGTGGTGTTGGCGTGCAGAGTTGAAAGGTGATTTTCTCAAGGACCTGGTCTTTATCCCATGGTTTAAGACCAGCCCCTGCAAAGCCGTTGCATATATTCCTTCGCATAAACACTGCTTCGCGCGCAGGAGGATATAGGTATAGAAAATCCTCCTTATTAATATGGTTGTTTCCAGCCACCATCATCCCCTCAACCAATTTTCCATACGCGCGTTTAAGCAGCCCAAAAACCCCAACATCGAGGGGTTGAAGAAGATGAGAGGTATGTGGGGGCATACAAAGACAGATAATTGCATTATCCTTGCAGAAATCATCAAATTCAGCAGTTTCATGACTTGAATGACCATCAAGAATAAGCAACCGCTTCGCACCAGTTAAATGCAATTTAGAAATGGGATCAAAGATATGCCTTAACCACTTAAGTCCAATCTCATCTGTTGTCCAGCCATTGGCACTGTTGGTAAACTTCCAATCCAGAGGAAGACTAGGCTCTCCATACTAAGCAACCTGGTGTTCTTTCCCCTTTAAGATAACTGCAGGTGGTATAGGAATTCCTTTTGAGCTTATACACTCAAGGATTGTAATCCATTTGCGGTTTCCCTGGATAAATGTACGAGGTCTTTCGCTGCGTTCCACTGCAGTAATAATCATGGAAGCTGCACAGAGCCCCATTGCAAAGCCAGTCTCATCAAAATTCCAGATATCATCCTCATGTATGTCATGTTCCTTAATAGCTTCATGTACAGTCTCAAACCAGCTCCTTACGACCTTTGGATCTTCCTGATTTGCACGCTGGTATGTAATCCTCTGGTTGTATCTTGTACGTAGCTCAGGATGGCGTTTGGTAAAGGAATAGGACCAGTTGATACCAAGAACTGCAGTAGGGTCCTGGGTACGCTCACGAAGTGAAATCTGCGCCATTCCACGCAGAAACTCAGGCCGAATTGAGAAGCCACGTTTATATGCATCTATTAGTCGCTCGAAAAGAGATTCTTCTTCAAGTATAGTCAATTTATGGTTATTGGCGCGTGTTTCTGCGCGTGGTTTTCTTCCTTGAAGGCGCGTGCGAAGGGTTGTCTCAGATACACCAAATATATGAGCAGCTTGTGTTTTTGATTTGACTGTTTGCTTTCTATATGCAGTAATAGCCATCTGCATACGAGACTCTTTAGATAAAGACATTTTGTAATGTATAAAAGAAAAACGTAACGCGTTGAAGATGGTATAACCAAATATTTCGGTGGGCGCGGCGAAAATCCGCCGCTTACAGTTGTTTAGATCTATGAGATCATGAATCATGAAATATTACCACGTAATAATATTTCTTTATAGATTAGGATTAATTGGCTTAATCCAACAACATCCGATATGGTGTAATGGTTAACATCGCCGTCTCTCACACGGCAGCTCGGGGTTCGATTCCCCGTGTCGGAACTCATTTTCTTTTTTTATGTTTTTTTTTTTTCATACCGATTATGACGACATTCAATCTACTGTGGAGTACAATTAATCGTAAAAAAGATATATAGGAAAGTCTTTTCGTATCAATAAATATCAATGAACAAACAAGATATAATCGCGATCAAATGCTACATGTAGTTTTGCTAGCAGGGCTAGACTAGAGAGACAGGAAAATAGGAGAATACACATGACAGGCGGAGAGAGACGTCAAAAAAGGGGGAGGTTAAGTTGCTTAGAAGTGGATGGCTTTCGAGTGCGTAGCCATGGCGGCCTCCTTGAAGGCCTCGGCCAGGGTAGGGTGGGCGTGGCACGTCCGGGCAACGTCCTCGGAAGAAGCGCCGTACTCGACGGCGAGGGTAGCCTCGGCGATCATCTCGCCGGCGTTGGGGCCGATGATGTGAACACCAAGGATGCGGTCGGTCTCGGCGTCGGCAATGAACTTGACGATACCCTCGGTGTCGAGGTTGGTCTTGGCACGGGAGTTGGCGCTGAAGGGGAAGGTACCGACGCGGTAGTTGACACCGGCGGCCTTGACTTCGGCCTCATTCTGGCCAACCCACGAGACTTCGGGGTGGGTGTACATGACGCTGGGGATGGCGCCGTAGTTGACGTGGCCGTAGCCCTTCTGGATGTACTCGATGGCAGCAACAGCCTCCTCCTCAGCCTTGTGGGCAAGCATGGGGCCGAACGTGCAGTCACCAACGACACGGATGTGAGGGTGCTTGGTGCGGTACTCCTGGTCGATCACCAGGCGGCCCTTGTCGTCCTTCTCGATTCCAGCGTTCTCCAGACCGAGACCCTCAGTGTAGGGGCGACGGCCAATGGCAACGAGGACGACATCAGCATCCAGGGTCTCCTCCTTACCACCCTTGGAGGCCTCAACGCTGAGGGAGACGGTAGCACCGCTGTCGTCACCACTGGTGACCTTGGTGCCAGTCTTGAACTTGATACCTTGCTTACCCAGGATCTTCTGGGTCTGCTTGGCGATCTCAGCGTCCATACCAGGACCACCGATCTGGCCCAGGAATTCGACGACGGTAACTTCGGAACCGAGACGAGACCAGACGGAAGCCTACAACAATTAGCAATGGACGTCTCAGTCTCTATCAGTAGGGCAAAGGCATACCATCTCCAGACCAATGATACCACCACCAATGACAACCATCTTCTTAGGAACCTCCTTGAGCTCCAGAGCACCAGTGCTGGTGATGATTCTCTTCTCGTCGATGTTCAGGCCGGGGAAGGGAGTCGATTCAGAGCCAGTGGCAATGAGGATGTTCTTTCCGCGGAGGGTCTGCTCACCACCCTCGTTAAGGTTGACCTTGACGGTGTGAGGGTCAACCAGGGCACCAGTACCCTTGATGTAGTCGACGCTGTTCTTCTTGAGGAGGAACTCGATACCCTTGGTGAGGCCATCGACGGAGGTGTCCTTGGCGGCCATCATCTGCTCGAGGTTGAGCTTGACATCACCAACCTCAATACCGCGCTTTTTTGTGTCGTGGAGGACCTGGTGGTAGAGGTGGGAGTTGTTGAGAAGAGACTTCGAGGGGATACAGCCGACGTTCAAGCAGGTACCACCGAGACGGCCGCGCTTCTCGATACATGCGGTCTATTGAATGCGCAGTTAGCACATATCTCCGGTAGAGCCGGAATTGCACATGATGGAACGATTGAACGCAGATCATACCTTCATACCGGCCTGGCCGGCCTTAATGGCAGCAACATAACCAGCGACACCACCACCAATGATCACAACGTCGTGATCACCTATCCTCAGGAAACCATAATGATTAGCTCAGATGTTCTTCCCCGTAACTTCCATGTTCCTTCCCACCGGGTCCCAAGCTCTCACCCCCACCACCTCTAACGAACACAACATACCAGCTTCAGCAGCATAACCCCGTTTCGAGGTTCTCAAAAAGGTCATAGAAGGAACAACAAAGGTCGACTGAGCGGACTGGGGGGCAGCAGCGCGGAGGCCCGCCCGCGGTGATGTCCGGGGCAACATGGAGCGGAACATGGCGGTAACGAGGAGCGGAGAGCAAGCGATGTCACAGAATGGGTTAACGATCCTCTAAAGACAGTGAGGATTCAAGTCAATGGATGCAGGGTGGGCAAAAGTGACGTTTCCCGCTGTGAAGATTGTTGGGACGAGAAGCTTTCGAGGTTTGGCCAAAGGAAAAGCTGCCGGCCCGGTACGGTATCGATACGGTTAGCGGCGCGTATGTAATCACCCGCCAGATCGGGTTAATTCGGCTGTCACTGTTGCTGTTTGCCGCGATATATACAGCTGTAGAATCAGATAACTATTGAATTGCTATGTTAGGAGAATATATAACTTATGCAGATGGAGTACCCTGGAGCTTCTCGTTGAGAGCGCGGGAAAGTGCTGTTTCCCGTACTATGAGGCATTAACGGAGCATCCACTAAGAGTTTCCCGATTAGTACGAGTAGTCAACAACTATACAATGAAGCGAAGAGTATTTTTAGTATAGAGGTCGTTATCTAGATCGTATTTAGTTTTACTGTAGAGTCTGGGAGCAGAGAAGTAAAGGCTGAAGTGCGTACGATATAGTAGTAATGTATAAAAATAGGTGATATATATCGCCGCCAATGCATGTATCTATAAGTAGCAATCGTCTATTCTCTGAATAAAGGTAAACGCTTCATTAATGCAACATTATAATATCCAGCAATCACCCAGGCAAGCCACCACCCCTCGCAATCTTCCTAGCCCTCTGCTGCCTCCGGTTATGATTCGCCCTACTACTCTTATTCTCTTCTTTCCGTTGGCGAGAAGCAGCCGTACTCTGTTCCCCAGAAGCACCACCCCCTCTACCACCGCCTCTACCGCGACCACGTCCACCACCTCTTGGGCCCCCACGGCCACGTCCCCGGCCTCTACCTCCAAAACCACCATGTGCATCACTCTCTTCCGACTCTTCATCAGCACGCGGCTTTCTGTACGATGTGGGCGCTAATTCGGGCTGCGCCATAGCTCCACCCGGCGTTCCAGCCGAAAGTGCGAGTCTATCCTCGAGTTTCGACAGACGTTTCGGATCGCGCTGCAGCATAACCGCCCATCCCTCGATCGCCTCATCAGTCATTCCCGTCTCGCCCTTCAACGACGTCCGTGGTTGGGAGCGGCGGGTGGCTGAGTCGCGTGTAAACAGTCCAGGATTCGATCTGTAAGATTTAAACAGGGAGAGGTCCAAATCCTCAGCCGTGGTGCGACGGTTTTGCGCTTCTACCTCGGCGTCTGTGCTGGCGGGGACAGTGTCAACGGTACCGCCCACGTCAGCGGCGTCATACGTATCATCGCGTTCATCATCGTCAGAGTCGAAGGTCGCCAGGGCGGAGATGATAGCTGCCTTATTAGCAGCGTGCTTGGAGCGGTCTGCGAGGATGTCGTCGGCTGTGAGGTCGTTTTCGCGACCGAAACGGAGTTTGCTGCGGGCAGCTGGATCGTTAGAGTGGGCGAGTTCTGCGAGGTCCACGTCATTGTCGAAGATATTCTTACGTGCGAATGATTCATCCGCTTCAGCGATCTCGGGAGGTGGTGAGTTTGGTGCCATGGGATCAGGGTTGATGATGGATTGTGGAATGAAGAGATCTTCAGTTTGGTCGAGGGATTGGAGTTCAGGAGGGAGAGAAGAGTCGAGAAGGTGTGCAACCACTGTTTCAGGGTTATCGCCGTAGTAGTCCAGTAGTCGGATGACATATCCTGATCCCAGGTCTGGGAAGAGATCTTGGATTTGCGTGACGAGAGACATCCTGTGTGCGTGCAGCTCTTCACCACTAGATACAGGTGCGTCTCGGTCCTTGCCCTTCTCGACCGTCTTTTTCTTCTTTTGATAGCGATGATGGAACACCCTCGATTCTGTTTGATATGTTCGCAGACTGGATACTAGATCCTCCCCGCGTTTCTGCGGGTGGTCTGAGAGATATTTCTCTAGACGAGCAAGCAAATCAGAACTGCAAATCAAGTCAGAGAGCAGTGTAGGCTCTTTTCTTGTCTTTGGCGTGCCAACCCCCGCAGTCGCCTTGAGACCAAAGAGCTGATCCAAGAGAGACGAAAGGTTCGGCTTCGACTTCAGTAACGATGTTAACCCAACGTAAATGTTGGCAACGAAAACCCTCCGCAGAGCCTCTCTGGGTTGCGCTTGATATGCATCTGAGAGGGTATCGAGGTAGTCAGAACCCGCCATAAGCACCTGACCACATGCAGGTAAAGTCGAGGCCAGAATCGTCAACGTGCAGATATCCGCATTGACAGCGGGGGCATCAGAAGTCTTCTTGTTCATGAGTTGTTTGATGACTGAGGATTTCGCCTTCTCAACGCTGACTGTGATGGTTTCATGGTGTTTATCCCATGCATCTGATAGTAAGCGTTTCAGGGCTGCACTAGACGAATAACAACAGCAAAAGTTGCCCAGGAAGTTCCAAGAGAGTAGATCTACCGGTGGTGAAGATAGATCTAGTAGTATACGTCTTGTGAGCAAGAAGGATAGCTTTCGAAGTGCTCGTCCTTTTGGTCCCAGCTTTAGACCTGCTTCCCCCGAGGTGGCCAGTTGGTTGTAGAAAGAGGATAGGAAAAAGACAGTAGACTCATCCTTTGGTATAACATCCTGGAATATTTTTGATGGCGAGCCTATCCGGATTCCCAGAAGCATCGTCCATGCATCTATACATGCTTCCCACTCGGCCTCTTGTAGCGTAATCCGGACCGCGGGTGGTGGAACCGCAGCGAGGGGAGGTAGATCAGTCATTAAAACGTTGAATGAAGAAAAGAACTAGAACCAAAAGAAAAAGAATATAGCAAGGGTATCAAGAACAATATTGCTCTGTAGCACTGGCAACCTGTACTTATACCTGTATCTGTACCTATATGGCTATGGCGACGTCGGCGGGAGTCTGTTTCCCGAAGTGGTTAGCGCCAGATAGGCGAGCGCCAAGGCTTCTGCCCACACAAGAAAAGCGCCAAATCGTTATCAATTTCTGGGCCAAGCGAAAACCGTGTATTTTCAACCTCAACGGCCATCATCACCTTACCGAGCCACGCAGTTCAGGTCTTGATTGGCAGTAGCCTGTACGTTCTTCTCTCGCTCTTGTCATAGTTTGTCTAATTAACATTGTGCAGCATCTCTCAATACAACGGTCAACATGTCTTTCCAGAAGCCCGAGAAGGATTTCGGCGAGGGCCCTGTACGTCTATCTCAATGGGATCCCGTCAATTGTCCAATGCTAACAACTCTTCGAATTATAGAAGGTCCACAAGATCCGTATCACCCTTACTTCTCGCAAGGTCGCCGCCCTCGAGAAGGTCTGCTCGGAGCTCATCGACCGTGCCCGCTCTAAGTCCCTCCAGGTCAAGGGCCCCGTCCGTCTGCCCACCAAGTCCCTTCACATCTCCACCCGTAAGACCCCCAACGGTGAGGGTTCGAAGACCTGGGACAAGTTTGAGATGCGCATCCACAAGCGTCTCATAGAGTACGTGCACTTTTTCCCGAATGAGTTAGATACGAAGGAATTGGATGCTAACTGGAACAGCCTGCTTGCCCCCACCGAGATCGTTAAGCAGATCATCATCAACATCGAGGCTGGTGTTGAGGTTGAGGTTACCATTGCTGCTTAAATTCGTTCGTTTCGTTACGAACGGATTAGGGGAGGGGTTGTTAGTGCTGTCTCGTAACTGGGATGGTACGTGTGGTTGGCTTGCGGGACATTGGGGTTTGATTACTTCGGATGTCCTGTGGAGTCGGCTTATATACCCTATAGAACCTGAATACAAAAATGATACGGATTTAAAAGATTATTGTTCCATTGCCATATGCTAAATGCTGTATGGTGGAAGCAGTAAGCAAGTAACGACTTTTGTCCATGGTATATTACAGTAGTCGCGTAAAAAATGCTGTAAAACGATCAGAAATCAAAGCTCACCCACTCCGTCTTTGGCGGCACACTCGGAATAACGCCATCCCTGAAATACCCATTCTGCATAAAGAACTCATACTGCTCCATAATCTCTGGTGTATATTCCTCCGGCTTCCCTTGCGCATCTCTAAGACTGGCCTGTTCTGGCGGCCCATCAGGGAAAAAAATACGAACCCAGGTCTGCCGATCCTGCGGATGCAAATAACACGGCGCATCATTGATGTAATCCACTGGTTGACCCTTCCACGTAGTGAGCTTGTTCGTGAGAGAGTTTCGGATGGTCTGGCCGTTTAGAGGGGGGATGGGATTGAGTTCTTTGGAGTCGTCGACCCTGATTACCGGCGGTGGTCCTGTGCCCGCCGGTTGTGATGGAATTGGAGCCTGGGCTGGGGCCTGGACTGGGGCTTGGGTTGGGGCTTGGGCTGGGGTCTGAACTGGCTGACCAAATCCTGTAGGTGCGCCAGTAGGCTGGCCAAATCCACCAGCGGCGGGTTGACCGAATGGTGAGGGCGTGGGTTGTTGTTGCGGTTGCTGAGCAGCGGCTCCGAATGGGGTTTGTGTTGGTTGACCGAATGGGGCTGCTGGTTGGCCAAATGGCGACGCTGTTTGTGAGGGCTGGCCGAAGCCAGTTGTAGAAGGTTGACCAAATCCTGCTGGAGCGGGTTGCGGTTGCGGTTGTTGACCTATTTGCGCGAATGGAGAAGCAGTCTGTCCGGATGGTTGACCAAAACCGCCACCTGGTTGTTGATTCTGACCCGATATCTGGGCAAAAGGCGACACAGTGGTAGGCTTTCCAAACGGACCTGCTCCCGGTGCGGACGGCTGACCGAACGAAGGTTGCCCGAATGCCGGTTGGCCAAATGAGGACGGTGGACCAGCGGACGGCTGACCAAGGCTGGGTTGTCCAAACGCCGGCTTACCGAAAGTAGACCCTCCTCCTACACCCGATGGCTGTCCAAATGCTGAACCTGTTCCTAGGGCGCTTGGCTGCCCAAAACCAGAGGGCTGCGCAGGCGCAGAGGGTTGCCCGAAGGTTGAAGGCTGACCAAATGCTGACGGTTTTCCAAATGCTGACTGACCAACCCCGGAAGGCTGGTCGAAGGATGGGGTTCCAAATGCTGACGGCTGAGAGAAAGAAGGACCAGGACCAGGACCAGTCTTACCCTCTGCAATATCGATACGGTTCGGGTGTTCGTTGGCCCCGTCCAGGATATATTTGATAGCTCCGCTGATATCACGCAGTGCAGCTTCCATCTGATTCACTGATTCTGCATAGAGCATCTGAGCTTCCTGTACCGCTTGCTCTGCGTTTCCTGTTGCTGCTGCTTCGTAATGCCGTAGCCGTAGTTCTTCAAAACTGTGTTCGCGTTGGGGACCTCCAAAGAGTTGCCTTGGAGCGTTCCGCCCAGGACCAAAGCATGAGAAAACCCATTCTGGCCGTCCTTTACCAGCGGTCAAGTCGGTTTTGATATCATCCGCGTTAATGCTGTAGCTGTAATCCGTGAGTAACCTAACAGACGAAAGTAGAGTAATCGTTGACTTACTTTTGCGATTGTTGAGCCTGGGGCCCTGTGCGGCCTAGCACTAGTTAGCTGAGTAGCACATGCCATATCAAAAAGAGTGAACGTACTTCCGAAACCTCCTCCGCCAGAGAGAGCCCCAAAGCGGTTCCCCGACGTGCCCATTGTAGCTTGGCCCGGATGTTCATTTTTGCAACGGTCTGATAAGCGTTAGTGACAGAGATCATGAAATATACACATGTGAAGACTTACCTCCAAATCTGCACCGGCCTTGTAGGAAGAAATTGCAGACGACCATTTTGATGTCTCTATGGCCGGAGCTCCCCAAGGAGAGGATTCTGCGGTGATAAGGCCTAGTAACGAATGGTTCACGACAAACCTTCAACAGGCCTAGAAAAACTCACCGAGAGCCTGAATAGAAACCCTAATTATTAATCTAACGTTTGAAATTTTTTTAAAAAAAAAAAGAAAAAGCGAGGAGATGCTCTTTTCAGCGAAGAATAGACGTGTAGGCAGAGAGGTTGTCGAGGTGAAGAGCGATGTCTGCGGTGATGTACGTTATTTTTCGGTAATATTACAATACGAACAGTAGGCATCTGTAGACAATTTGGTTTACGAATTACATTAATTATAAAGATAAGATGGTAGATTAAGAGAAAGCAGGATTCATTCATGCTAAGGCTAAAAGGTGAACACCATAACTCCGGCTGTGTTTGCAATGCGACTACAATCCCATGTCAAATTATCCATGAACAAGCATATCGACACACCACATTCAATATTACTACCACCGGGGTATTATGTGTTGCGTACGGGCATGCTCTGTTTAAGAACATCCCAGTTCAAACCATCCACCTTCTTTCCACCCAAAGACTCAAGGTCTGCAGAGAGTCCGCTTAGTTTTCCCGTCGCAAGTCGTCGCATCATGACAGTATCCTTGGCACCGTGCAGCGCCTTTGCGCTTCCTTGAAGAAGAGCCTCCTCAAACCATTGTTCCTCCTTCTCGTCCAATGGAAGACTAGTAAGCTCCATGGCCCGTTTGCTTCGTATTTGACCGGCGGTAGTCTTGTGGACTAATACGATCAATTGTTCGAGATAGCTACGGCGCAGCGACTCGTCGTTCTTTCTCGTGAAGTAAAATGCTTCCGTAATACTAGCGCGGCAAAGGGTTGCGAAGAATGCTTTCTGGACCTTCTCTGTCGCAAGCGGCGGACTGACGGTAAAGTAGTAGGCCATGACGAGGCTGTCATCGTGTTTCGGGAGGTTCGAGAGGGTAAGGGCATAAAGGATCTCGTCTGGAAAGGTCGGGATGATGGAGGGCTCGGTCAGAAATTCAACGGCGCGCTAAGAAGGTCGACTGTCAGTCCATATCATCACTGCTTCCACCAGAGCAACATACCCTGAATTCCAAGCGATCTAAATTCCATAATCCTTCAATGAACAGCCTGTACTTCTCCGGCAAGTGGCATTTACGCGCAAAATGTGGGGCGGCATCCCCAGCAGTACGGCAGTCCTTCAGGATATAGTAGATCAACGCTTGCTTGTGATGGATGTCCAGCGACGACGAGGTAATGTGCCCAACGAGCGTCCGGAGGTCTGAATTTGATCTGGGAGGATAGAGCTTCGTAACTAAGCGCGCACAATCAGCGTCCATCTACTGGCTGGTATTGACAACTTCGTAGTCTGCCACTTACCTGCTTTGACCCCGAGCAAGGCTAGCAGTCGGTCTGCGAAGAGCCTGTTCTCTAGCACACGACGGTTGGAGGTGATCTGCTCAATGACCTTGCCATCATACACAAAGTTCCTGTTAAAGGAAAATATGGCGTCAAAATCGTCCCACGGAGCCATGGTGTTTGCCTATTCGATTGCTGTTGTTGTTTTCCTGTCTTCCTTTCATCGTCTTTTCTGCCATAAGTTACCGTAATTTACATATCGTATCAGTGACATAAGCAGGGCGGTGTTATTTGTTGTGGCAGAAAAAGACGCCTTTCCCGATGCGGCGAAAAGGTAAACAACCGCCCACTTTCCACCGCCGCCGAAAATCAACGAACATCGACGACCACAACACCTTCTCGCCTTGATGCGATTGTTGCTCGCATAATATACCTGAAGATGTCGACAATCGCAAAGGGCAGGCCGTCGCGCCGTTCTGCCCCCCGAAGAAGCTACGTTGTCGAATCGACGCCCGATTCAGAAGACTCCGGCAATGTCACCCCGACCCCCTCCAACCACGGCGGAGAAGACGACGACGATGAAGAGGAGGAAGAAGAGGAGTACACTCCGGTCCCCAAGAGAACTTCGATAAGCAGACAGTCCATGCCAAGACAATCCATGAGCAGACAGTCTCGACGACAATCCACGGCTTCGGCCGCCTCCTCGGCCTCCACAACTTCAAGGGCCTCTTCGAGGGCCTCTACGGCCTCGAGACCAGTGTCGAGAGCATCGAGAGCGTCCAGAGCCCCCACCGCTGAACCAGCTACCCCGAGTACTGCGCGCCCCGCACGAAAGTCACGACGATCGATGTCAGGCGAGCCTGTACAGACGTCGCAGGCCAGCGACTCGAACGAAGATGGCGATTCCATCGCTAGTATGGGAGGAGACCCCCAGTCGCCTTCACAGGTAGCGGCAGCATCTTTAAAGAGAAAGAGTATGGATCACCCCCGCCAGAGTAGTGGCCCCATAACCCATCCGGAAAAGTCCTCACTCCCAACTCCAGAGACATCAGCATCGCCGCAATCGCAAGCGCCGTCACGACGAAGCAGTGTTGCGCCGCTCGCCGATATCACCGACTCCGCCGTGAACCATACGCCGAAGTCCGCAGAGGAGCAAAGGTCGCAGATTTCAATTATCAACTCGAACACGACAGTCCTCGAAAAGCCCATGGATATTATGATAAAATCCCGCAACGTTGCGCCGCCAGAGCCCCAGGAACCCGAAGGGCCGAAGACCCGCTTGATGATGACAACTTTAGTTCTAACAAATTTCAAGAGTTATGCAGGACAACAGATTGTCGGGCCGTTCCACGCATCATTCTCCTCCGTCGTCGGACCAAACGGATCCGGAAAATCGAACGTTATCGATGCCCTCCTGTTCGTGTTTGGTTTCCGAGCCAGCAAGATGAGACAGGGCAAGATTTCGGCCCTTATTCATAACTCCGTGGACCACCCCGACCTGCCGTACTGTGAAGTCGAAGTCCATTTTCAGGAGGTCGTGGATCTGCCGAACGGACAACATGAAGTAGTCCCAGATTCCCAACTGATAATTTCACGCAAAGCGTTTAAGAATAACACCAGCAAATACTACATGAACGGCAAAGAAAGCAGCTTTAACACAGTCGGAGCATTCCTGCGCGACCGCGGAGTCGACCTCGACCACAAGCGTTTCCTCATCTTGCAAGGTGAGGTCGAATCCATTTCGCAGATGAAATCCAAAGCGGCCAACGAGCACGAGGATGGCCTTCTGGAATACCTCGAAGACATTATCGGCACGTCAAAATACAAAACTCCTATTGACGAAGCTGCCAACGAACTCGAATCGTTGAACGACATCTGTGTCGAGAAGAACAACCGTGTCCAACATGTAGAGAAGGAGAAGGCGGGTCTCGAGGATAAGAAGAACAAGGCGCTTTCCTATATTCGCGACGAGAACGATATGGCAGAGAAACAGTCGGCCTTGTACCAGATTTACATCAACGAATGCGTTGATAACATTCGTGTCACAGAAGAAGCGATCTTGCAAATGCAGGAACTCCTGAATCTCGAGCTCGAGAAACACGAAGGCAACCAGTCTGGCATTAAGGATCTCGAAAAAGCTTACAAACGTGGGTTGAAGGAATACGAGAGCATGGAGAAAGAAGTCCAGAGCTTGACGAAAGAAATGGCCAAGTACGATAAGGAATCGGTCAAATTCGATGAGAAGAAGAAGTTCCTTATTGGAAAGCAGAAAAAGCTCGAAAAGTCCATGCACTCTACACGCCTCGCGGCATCTGAATGCCAGAGTTTGGTCGAAAAGCACACTGATGATATAGAGAAGAAGACGGCGGAAACCAACGATCTCGAGAAGGAGATGAAGGTTGAAGAAGAAGAGCTGTCGACCATTCGTGACGGACTGAAGGGCAAGACACAAGGCCTATCCGATAAGATTACTGCCAAGCAACGATCCTTGGAGCCATGGGACGAGAAGATCAACAAGAAACAGTCTGCGGTTGCTGTTGCGCAAAGTGAACTTGACATCCTTCGCGAGAGAAGCAACGCTGGTACCGTCCTGTTAGAAGAAGCGCAGTCGAAGGTCTCGTCGATTGAGGAAACGCTTACCGCCAAACAAGACGACCTGGAAGAGCACAAGTCCCAGAGAGCTACGCTGGAGGAGGAAGTGGCCAAGCTCAAGAGCGACCTCAAGAAGTACTCTCAACGGGAGCCGGAGGTTCGCACCCACGTTTCTAGTGCACGTCAAAAGGCGGACGAGGCGAGGGCCAGCCTGCAAAGTACTCAGAACCGTGGCAGCGTATTGACCGGTCTTATGCGTCTCAAGGAGTCTGGGCGTATTGATGGATTCCATGGAAGATTAGGAAACCTTGGTACGATCGACGAGAAATACGATGTCGCCATTTCGACCGCGTGCCCGGCGCTGGAGAACATGGTTGTGGAGTCCGTTGAGGTTGGTCAGCAATGTATCGACTATCTCAGGAAGAACAACCTTGGTCGTGCCAACTTCATCCTTCTCGACCGTTTGCCCCGCAGGGACATGTCGAGCATTTACACACCCGAAAGTGTCCCACGTCTTTTCGACCTCGTCAAGCCCAAGGATCCGAAGTTTGCACCAGCTTTCTACAGTGTTATGCAAAACACACTGGTTGCCAAGGACCTTGAACATGCAAACCGCATCGCTTATGGTGCTCGTCGCTGGCGTGTCGTGACACTGGACGGTCAACTCATCGACGTGTCCGGTACCATGAGTGGTGGTGGAACACGCGTTGCTCGCGGTGGAATGTCTTCGAAGCAGGTCGCCGACACGAGTAGGGAACAAGTCGCCAAATTGGAGGAAAACCTCGAGGAGACAGAAAGGAAATTTCTCGTCTTCCAGGAGAAGCAACGGAATATTGAGGCTATGATCCGCGAGAAGACCGAAGAGATCCCTCGAGTCGATACCAAAATCCAGAAGATCACGCTCGAAATTGAAAGTGCCAGTCGTGCTCTTACTGATGCCCAGCGCAGAGTCAAGGAATTGGGCGTAGAGCACAAGCCTTCCAAGGGCGACGTTGGCCAGGCGGCCGCTCTCGAGAAGCAGATTGCTTCCCTTGAGGAGGAAATTGAAGGACTCCGTGAACAAAGGGGCGGGATTGAGGAGGAAATCCAAACCCTCCAAGACAAGATCATGGAAGTTGGTGGTGTCCGGTTGCGAAGCCAGAAGGCAAAGGTCGACGGTCTGAAGGAGCAGATCGGCCTTCTTGCTGATGAGATCTCCAACGCTGAAGTCGAGAAGTCCAAAAATGAGAAGCAGATTGCCAAGCACCAGAAATCTCGTGCTGATGCTGAGAAGGAACTTGAGCAAGTATCTGAGGGCCTGGAGAAGTTGGAGGCAGATGTGGAGAATCAGTCCAACGATGCATCTGGCTGGAGGCAAAGGGTTGAGGATGCTCAAGAGGTAATATTATATTACTACATGCTCTGTTGACCCTGGCTAATTAATACGGTGTAGGCTCTCGAGACAAAGAAGGGTGAACTAAAGTCTACGAAGGATGAGTTGGATGATAGAGTTGCGGAATTGAACGAGAGCCGGGCTTCCGAGATTGAAATGCGCAACAAACTCGAGGAGAATCAAAAGGCCCTTTCCGAAAACGAGAAGCGAGGACGTTACTGGCAGGAGAAGCTGTCGAGCTTGACTCTTCAGAATGTTAGTGACCTTGGCGATGATGAACAGGAACCCGCAGAACTCCAAACCTTCACTAAAGATGAGCTGGACGAAATGGACAAGGATTCTCTGAAAGCTGTCATCGCAGCACTCGAGGAGAAGACCCAGAGCGCGGCGGTCGACCTATCAGTCATTGAAGAATACCGCCGCCGTACAGCTGAACACTCGTCCCGTTCCGCCGATCTGGCCACAGCACTGGCATCCCGTGATAGCGCCAAGGCACGCCTGGATGGTCTCCGATCTGCTCGCCTTAATGGATTCATGGAGGGCTTTAGTACTATCTCGCTCCGTTTGAAGGAAATGTACCAAATGATCACCATGGGTGGTAACGCGGAACTGGAACTGGTCGACTCGCTCGATCCTTTCTCAGAGGGCATCATGTTCTCCGTGATGCCGCCGAAGAAGAGCTGGAAGAACATCAGTAACTTGTCTGGTGGTGAGAAGACGTTGTCCAGTTTGGCGTTGGTGTTTGCACTCCACCATTACAAACCCACGCCGCTGTATGTCATGGACGAGATTGATGCTGCCCTCGACTTCAGAAACGTGAGTTTGCCTCCTATCAATTATAAGGGTATTTACTGACTGGCTAGGTATCGATTGTGGCGTCATATATCAAGGAAAGAACGAAGAATGCACAATTTATCGTCATTTCGCTTAGAAACAATATGGTAAGTTTTTTCCCTCCACTTTTATTAAACCGTTACCTGACAATCAGTAGTTCGAACTTGCCTCTCGCCTGGTGGGAGTGTACAAGGTCAACCATATGACAAAGAGTGTAACGATCGAAAACAAGGATTATATCACGGGACGATAATGATTTTGGTGTATGGTTTATGAACATATGCAAATTGCCTACGGCTGGGATTGGTGTTCTGTTTCTTGCTTTGGATTAAATATACTATGCAAAGGGTTCGGGTTTTGTTCTTGTTCATTTTCATGGTTTATTTTAATGTTTCTATCTTTAACATTGGTTTATATATGATTCAATCGAGTAAATATAACATTAACGGAATTAAACAAACACAATATCAAGATTGGATATCAATCTTATATCAAACGGACAGAAACGCTTTTCAATCTAATCCAAATTCATGTCATGCCACAGTGATCATAGTTAGTGGTGACGGTGATGCAAAATCTTCCCCAGAAGTCCGTGGTGATGTTGCTGTTGAAGCTAATGCTTTGGACCGCAGTTAGCAAATCGTTCAACGTATTTTTTCTTTAGATGAATTTAAGCATACCGGTCCGTGATGACCATGATGACCATGATGCCCATGGTGCCCATGAGGACCACCATAATGTCCGAAATCAGCCGGTCTAGGACCACCGAAACCGCCTGGACCACCAAAACCACCAGAAGGTCCATGGTGTCCCTGAGGTCCAGGTCCAGGCCCGAATCCAGGACCATGGTTGGGGCCTGGACCACCAAATCCGGACCCGGGTCCTTCGATGTGGTTGTATGGAGGCGGGTTATCGTGGGGACCGACGCCCGGTGGACCGAATTTCTCGAAGCCGGGGCTGTGGCCCATGGGACCGGGACCACCAAAATCTCCTTGCGCGTGGTGTCCGTGGTGATGGCCATGATGTCCAGGGCCGCCAGGTCCCCCAGGACCTCCGAAGCCACCAGGACCGCCAAAGCCACCTGGGCCTCCAGGGCCTCCCGGACCGCCGTGGTGACCGCCGCCGGGGGGACCATGGTGATTGTGATGACCGTGCATGTTGATTTTAGACTTGTTGTTTATATATCCGTTCGGTGTGTATAGTTTCGTAAAATGCAGAATCGAGAGGGGGACGTAAAAGTGGTTTGTACTTATAGGTGAGGATGTCGATGAGCGATAGAGAATGATACCGGACTACCACCCCTTTATATACTCTTTCCCTCGGTGATGCCTCGGTTTAGATTATCACTAACGATGCATAAAGGTGAGGTGTCGCCGTTGAGTATACGCAAGCCCAGCCCCACAGGGGTGTAGCGTAGTGGCGGACATGATTTGGCCGGTACGTTCCATGATAATTCCTTGAATATGACATGGTAGGAGCCACGCTAAGCGAGGTACGGGTTACGTGGATAGTGTTGTATCAGCAATTGAATTGGGTATCGGAGAAGTTTGGTTGCTGTTGCTGTTGTTGTTGCTGTTGAGACTTGGTGTTGGTGAAGGGCCGAAAGATCCCCACGTGGAGTTCCTCAGCCCTACGCAACGCGTCCTTAATTTAGCACAGCCTTCCTAGGCAGCTACTTAAAACTACGAGATACCATACGCGTTCGCTGTTTGAGCGGGAGATAGTCAATTCTTATTTTGATTTGGCGGAAGATACTACTACTGTACTAAGGCGCTATTTCTCTTCATATTACTGTTATTCCGAGGATATCCCGAGCAGATTGCACTGCCCGCAGTGTTCTAAATCGATCATGGTAACTTTCCTTGCTTTCTCGTGAAAGAGGAAATTGTACTTTCTAGCGTATTGCTACGCGGGAACCGAGTGATTTCGTGAGCTTTCCGGAAAGGTGTCATTGCGAGCGAAGTAAGGGTGTGTATCATCTTCTGGAGCAATTTTCGATTTTCGATCCTTGAATGAGAGTAACGGCTTATCCTCACTGACTCAAGGTGCGGCGATTTGCCATCGATCCAATGTCACTGGATCAAAGCAGTGAGGAAAATGCGTGCGGTATCCCCCTTTCGAGTATTTATTTGTATGGTAGAATGCATCCCGGACTTAGCTATTTGGTGTGAAATAGTGCTAGCAGGATATTCTACCATTATCATGTAGAGTAACCTCCCTGAAGCGTCCTTGACCAGTACTTTGTAGAGTCTTCTGGCTGTTGCATACTATGGAGTACTTTATTTCCTGCTTTGGTACTGATAATTTGAGCGCAAGTGGCAAAGGTTCCAGAGCAAAAATTCCCAATGAGATGGCTTTGTTCTGCACAAGAGGGCGTTTGTTTATGTTAGCCAGAATTCACATAACGTTTAATGAACAAACCCAAGAGCTAGTTGTGTTTCTTATCTACCCTGGTGGGCAGGGCACCCCCAGAGCCCGCCCGCGAGAGCCCATGGGCAGGGCAGGGCAGCATGGAGCCCACCCGCGGGCTCTTGACGGGCGCCCACGGGCCGCCCGTCGCCTGCCCGTTTTTGCATAAATTTCCCAAATAGGATGCATAATTTGATGATTCATCGGTTTGAATACCTGTCATTTATTCCTGTCACCGTCATTACAGTGTTTGATGGCAATGTTTAATGTTAATTCGCATGTAATTTAGAGAAATATCATTGTATTCTGCACTCTATTAAAGGCTCACTGAATGCTGAAACAATCCAAGATCTCATGATGTTTATGTGCACAACGAAATTTGATATTGAAGAAAAAGAGCTGACATTTCTTGGCCAGTTCCCGTCAAAAGAGGAGAGGTAGCAAATGAAGAAAGGAAGCTCAGGGCCAGGACAATCCTGATCCAATCAGTGATAATGAGGAGGATGGTTCAGTACGTATTCAAGCTCAGCAGCAACCTAGCTTGGACAAAGGGCAAAGGAATCCCACATCCACTACCTCTGAGAGTGAGGATGACCTTCCCTTACCTGCCAACTTACGCGAAGAGGGAGGCCTAGGCTGACGCGGTGCTTTTGACGCCTGCTACAGAACTATTCATTAACCTAATAAAGAGTCAAGGTATTGCCGGGACGTCGGGTTGCTCATTAGGTGTAGCAGAAGGCCGTCAAGATATAGTTAGCCACTCCTATCCCAACTAACCTTCCATGCAGGTCCTTGGACCAGCGCTTTGCTGCAGTCTTTTATATTCTGAACATCAGTTCCATAGCATGCCATCCGAGCGCTTTCGTGACTGCGCCTTTTTTCTTTTCTTTTCTGTTCTTTTGAAGACAACTGTTTTGGAGTCAGAACGAACCAGGTTCCGACGAAACCAAATCAACAGGAAGGACTCAAACTGATCCTTTTCCCTTGCCCTTATTTCGTTCATCTATGGATCCCCTGGATCAATCACCTAGTGAACAACTTGCACGTATGCTTGGTTGCAGTGCATGTGCGGTCGCTGAAAGAACCTTTTGTGTTTCAAGGGCTTCTGGTAGTATAAGTTTCTTGGTATAGAAGCTTTCCATGACAGCCTGGGTGCAGAAGTTTGCCATAACATTTCATGCACAAACCAACGCGGCAACGGGGAAATCTGTGGTCCTTGTACCATATAGAGAAAATGATTCCCTCATCCGTCGCGCCCCCAGCTTCCTTCTACTGCGTCGGCTATAATTCCCCAAAATTGAGGTTGTTGGACGAGCGTTGGCGAATTCACCTGACGTTTTCGGTCCTAGTAGCTCTAGATATGGCGAAGTGAGAAGATAGGACATTTCCGACCCAAGAATCAAAGGCCCCATTGACCCCAATTTCTTGGCCAAACCTACATAGCGTGGTTAGAGGACGGCAGGCCTCTGGCAAGTTCTCGAAGACGACAACGAATAAGACAGCACCGACATGTTTCGTTAGCTTTTTAGATAGCTTCGTACCGGCTTGGCGCTTTATAGCAATGGTGAACTTTCGGTGCCAGCCGTACTAGACCAGGCACCGTGACATCCCGGTGCGGCTCATGCAAGCTGGCGCAATTGACCTTTGGGACAGTTCTTCCACTTGTCTTCAAGGTTTGGCACGAAAGGTGTAAGTTATCATACTGACAAGGTGCTCTATTACTTGGAGATTCAAGCTCAAAGCATCCAAATTGTAAGACGTAAACCACCGCCAACCTCGTATCACTTCATCATACCGAGGTATTGACTCTAGACACATGGACATGTTCTGGTTACAGGGTCGATAATCAGCGTCTAAGACTTTCAGTCCTGCGTCAACATCAAGATTGGTCGCCGCCGGTGGCATCGAGAGATGGGCCAATGATGAATGAATGGTAACTCAGAAAAAAGATGAGATATTATGCCTGCAAGCAGTGGCCGTTTTCATTCTGCACAAGATATCAATACACTAACCACTGGACCTGAATATGCTGGAGCGAAAGAACAGGGACCTGACCGGCTCTATTACCTACTATGTCTACACTCCGGAGGCTTTCTCCACTTCTGCCAGACTTCCAGGTTTTCTTATCCATGTCAAGCCTCAGCAAGATGATCATTACCAAAGGATTCAACCGGATGTAAATCACCTGATTACCCCGCCTGTCACCATCACAACTCATAGTACAGTTTCCTCCATATAAAATGCCCGAGATGGGCCTGAATTGCATGCAGGTTCGGTGTAGCTATGTCCTGCATGTCAACTAGCACACACATATAGCTCTGCCAGGCACTATACATATGGTATAGTAGTATACCACTTGACATATCCTGCTGTATGGTTGACTCCGACTCTGCCGCGATCGTCGTAAGACGTGCTCTTGACGTCAGCGCGGGAGGACATCTTTGAATGTGTTAAAAGGCGCTCCTCTCTTTCTCTTATTCTCGTGGAGAAACAAATCCTGCACAGATTTGGCTCCGGTACTCCTAGTACACGTACCACCGGTTCAGGAATCCACCAAAATGGTAAGTCAGATCCCCGGATCGCTCCCGATGTTCATCCCGTGGAACCGAACCGCTCATCTAGATCGCACATCTCAACCAGGCTCCGATACTCGTTCGTCAGTCCTCCGACAGCGGTGACACCTGCCCTAGTACTATATCCGGGGGTGGCATCGCCGGAATCGTCATCGGATCGATCGCAGGCACGCTTCTACTGATCTGGCTGTGGAAAGTGTGCAATCTACAGGGCGCCTGGAGCGGTGGAGAGTCTGATGTTGGATATGTTCCTGGCTCGGGAACAGGGGGTCGACGGCGCAGACGGCGCACGAGTAGCCCGTCTATGGTGGAATACGTGGAGAAGGGGAGCCGTTCGCGACCGAGGTATCGGGATGAGCCGAGACGGCCGGCGAGGGTGTATATGACCTGATTCAGCGGATCTGAACGATTGACGAACTGTTATGTCTGTTATGTCTGCTATGGTTATGACTCGGATGTTTATGACGACATGTCTCGGAGGTGTTCTTTTTTGATAACTCTCCAACGGGTGTCTTAAACAAGTGTGCATTGACAACATTAAAATAGCACGACTCGGTGTACTAAGCGAGAAACAAGCATTGTGCATTGACTGTCACTAGAGGTACTCGGTAGACACAGAAATAGAGCACTGTGGCCATGACACGCTATGAATGCCGGAATAGAACCGTACCGGGCCCCGTAAAGATAAGCCCCTTTTTTGTTTGCCACCACTCCTATATTAAAAGTTCAGGGTCTGTGGCGGACCCTCAGACGGCACTAGTTTCAGCGGGCTTGCTTGGTTTGCTTGGCTAATCTCGATTTCTACAAGCAGTGCATATTGCATACAGTACAATTCAAGAGTGTATCTATATACGAGTAAATGTTTAACGATATACATGTACTCCGATGTAAATCCTCCATATTCAGGATCAGATCAGTCATCTGACCCTGCATATTAGGTAATCCATAGCAGCCAATCACAATCCGGGAAAAAACCCCGGGCCCTCGTCGGCTCCTGCCGATCTATACCCAGTACAGCTAGTACCTGATTAACACGGTGGGCTAGCCCTATCAGGATTAGCGGCGGGGTCTGGACCAAGCGCAGATTACCCGAATAGGAAAGCCCCTTACAGCAGCGCTAAGAATAATTCGGCGGTTGAATTTGCCGCCGGTCACGGGGTTCGATCTCTGTTCTTCTCCTCTTTTTTCTCTTTTTCTTCCTTCTTCTATTCTTATTCTGCTTATTCTGCTTCTTTTGAACATCTGCTGTGGTGGGCTGTTGTCCCTCGTTCATTCTTTGCTCGTGCGTTTCAGCGCACTTCCACTCCTTTTTGGCCTTTGTCTGTTGGCCAGCCATTCTTTTTTAGCAATTATTGGCCAATATATCTGCTCGTCCTCGCCTACAGCAAGAGACTTCCTTCGTTTCTTTCGTTTGACCTGTATCGCAAACGCCGCCATGCTCGCTCGTTTCTTCGTCGGCCTGTTGCTGGCCTGTGTCAGCACCGTCCACGCCCAGACGTTCACCGACTGTAACCCTACCAAGGAGGACTGTCCGGCAGACGCTGCTCTGGGTACGAATCACACGTGGGTTTTCAACGGAACCCAAGACGAGAACATCTGGGCCACGACCAATGGCAAAATCGACTGGACCGAGAACGGAGCCGAATTCTCCATCAAGAAGAAGCTGGATTCCCCCACGTTGCAGTCCAAGTTCTTCATCTTCTTCGGTATTGTCGAGTCTCACGTCAAGATGGCCAAGGGTGGTGGTATTATCAGCAGTATTGTCTTGCAGTCCGACGACTTGGACGAGATTGACTGGGAATGGGTCGGTTACAACACCTCCCAGGTGCAGTCCAACTACTTCGGCAAAGGAAACGACTCGAGCTTCGACCGCGGCGGTTACCACGACGTCTCCAACGCTGACACCGAGTTCCACAACTACACCACCTACTGGACCAAGGAGAAGGTGGAGTGGTGGCTGGACCAGGAATTGGTCCGCACTTTGAAATACGAAGACGCTTTGGATGGAAAGAACTTCCCCCAGACCCCGAGTAACGTTCGTTTCGGTATCTGGCCCGCTGGTGACTCGGGTAACTCCCTCGGTACTATTGAGTGGGCAGGTGGTGAGGTCGATTACGACAAGGGTCCCTACACCATGGTCGTTGACAGGGTCCGCGTGCATGACTTTTCGTCCGGCAAGGAATACAAATACACAGACAATAGTGGTGACTGGGAGAGTATCGAGGTTGTCGAGTATGTCTTCACTGCTACTGTTAATTCTATGCATGGTGCTAACTGTCATTAGGGGCAACTCTACCACTGTCACCGAACTGAACAAGCCACCACCAAAGTCCCTGTCCGAGAAGTGGGATGAACTGCCTACTGGTGCCAAGGCCGGTGTTGGTATCGGTGCTGGTGCCGCCGGTGCCATTGGTATCGCCGGATTGATCCTCTACTGCATCAAACAGCGCCGCAAGGGCCGCCTCGAAAACGCCCTCGACGACTCCAACTGGAACCAAGACCGGGCCGAGATGAGCAACTTCCAGACAGACTGGAAGCAAAGTGAACTCCGCAACAAGGGTTACCAACCGGTTTCCTAACCATCGACCCACAAGTATTCCAACGAAACAAGCTCTGGTCTAGTCCGCCATCAACAGGGAGACCACGCTATACTCCGTCTCCCACGGACTTGGGCGGGTAATCTCCCGCCCTATCGCAGGCCGATCTGGTCCGGGGATTACCCCGTGGGTGTTTGGCGTCTTGGGGTTTGGGAGTGAACTCCTTCTTACGACTTTTTGACCGCACATTTCTTCTTTCTTCTTTTTTCTTTTTTATTTATATTGTCTTTATTATACATCTTCTACTTTCGTTTGGATACGTGTATACATATTTTTGGTCAATATTGGATCCAAGGTTCTTTCGCTGCCTTGTATATACCACAACATGGTTGTTTGGATTGTTGATATTTCTGCTCTTGGCTTTGCACATGGATGTGGTTGATTCGCCCTACTGAATATAAACGCTTCGCATGGGCAGTCTATATACAAACATGCGTCATGAGCTTCGCTGTAATCACCAAACTGATGGCACAGCTTGAGATGACAGTCTACCGAGTCTCTCTTTGCTCATCTGGAAACACTCCGGTAAACCAGTTTCCTCCCACTGTTTCCCAAGCACCAATTTAGCAACACCCGGCGCACACGTAAAAATGCGCGCCATACCTACAAAGTCAGCTTCATTCCACAACCTCGGAGACAGACAAACTCACCATGCCCATTGAACCCCGCACAAACAAACTGCCCCGGAAACCCCTCAACTTCCCCAACAAACGGCAATGAATCCGCCGTCATTGCAATAATCCCCGTCCAAGCATGATCCAGGCCTTCGCCGTGCATCGCACCATTTGCACCATAGTCAGGAAAAATTCCCCCGAAACTACTTAGTGCATCGCTCGCAATCTCCTCATTATACTTGCTATCATCCGTGCTCAACCGCCCATCAATCGTCTCTTTGCTAAGCGTTGGGTTCGACCTCGACACGCCCAGGATAAGCGTACCGTCTGCTTGTCGCTGGATCAGGGAGTAGAAATGGTGCAGACTGTAGCGCAGCGAGAATGTGTTTTGGAGGATATTCGTCCCTGTAAACGCAGCCGTCGGGATTAATGAATGTGCCTGGGCGCGGTTCGGCGTGATATAATCATCCAGCAGGGGTAATAAAAAGGCAGCATGCGCATTGGTACAATGTATCACTTTCTCGGTCATCACCGTTCCCCGGGCTGTATTTACATCCCAGAGTCCAGGGCCAGCATCCGACGACCGCATTATATCTATAGCCGGACAAAAAGTAAACAATCTCACACCTCTACTCACCACACTACTCAGAAGAAACTGCGCCAATTTCGCCGGATGGCTCGACCCAGCCGGCCACTCATACGCAGCTACCGCACCGGGGACGTTCGTTTTCGCCTGTGCTTCTGGTCCAGTGTAGTATTTAACGTGGGATACATCGCCGCCTGCGTTCTTGTATGCGTTGAAACTTGCAGCTTCGTATTCTGCGAAGTCGGGGGTCATGCAGACGTCGAATGTTGTTGTGCGGTGGAAGTCGCATGCCGCAGCGTGTTCTGTGATAAACTCATCTACCTTTTGTAGAACTAAACGTTCGTTTGCGATGATTTTCAGGGCTTGCTCGGCACCGTGGACTTTGGAGTATGCCGTGAAACCGCGGAATGCATCTACCATCACCCAACACCCATTAACCATATATCCAATCACTGGTTTGAAAAAAAAAAAAAAAAAAAAAAAAAAAAAAGAGTGGAACATACCCGGCCTCACATGCCCCGCATTCCTCGAACTAGCACCACCAGCTGCCTCTCTAGCCTCGAGGATAACAACATCCTCGGCATTAACGCCAGCCTCGAGTAGTTCAAATGCTGTTAGAGCCCCCGCGATGCCTGATCCGATGACCACATATCTGGCCGAGGTTGGAACGGGGATGGTGTTGTTTGCGTGGAGATGGGCGAATGAGCGGGTTGTGCGTTGCCAGTAGCTTAGGCTAGGGGAGGCATTGGGAAGGGCGTTTCCTTGGGGCATTTTGTGTCCTTGAGATCATATGGTTGTGAGATGGAATTGAAGATGGAGGAGTGGAGATTTACATATCTCGCGGGGTCGCTGATCTTATCAATCAATCAATCAACATTCCTTATCATGAGGTTACGGTTACTCCAAACAGGGATACTGCATTCCTGATAGCCATGATAGAGGAGGGACGGTTATTGGCGGGTGAAATGCCTATCGTGAAACTATCTGTCTGGGAGAAGGTATGAATACTGCTTTTCGTTCCTCTCTTCGATAGTACGGAATACTTGTAGAAAGAAATGGCGTCGTTTAAACGTGTATTCAGCAGACATACCTCGCAAGGAGACTCAAACAATGCTCGCTCATCGGGGGAAAGGGCTCTTGTCCGGCGACTGGATATGTTCCTATTGACGTTTGGATGTATCTCGCAGGGTGCGTCCTTTACCAAGTCTTCCCCCCCGAAATCCAAATTAAAGAAAGACAGTGATCAAATACCTCGACCAACAAAATATCAACAACGCCTACGTCTCCGGCATGAAAGAAGACCTCCATCTCCACGGCAATGAACTAAATTAGTACGTCCCCTCTGCCCCATATCACCGTCATTAAGCAATACTAACAGATGAAAGTTTCACAACAACATTCAACGTCGCCTACTGCATCATGCTCATCCCGTCGCAAATAATCCTAACCTACGTCCGCCCCAGCTTTTGGCTCCCAGGCCTCGAAATCCTCTGGGGATTCCTAACTGGTCTAATGGCAATGACCACCAGGGCGAAACAAGTCTACGTGTTGCGGGTGTTTCTGGGTCTTTGTGAGAGTAGTGCGTGGCCGGGAATGATTACTTTGTTTAGTATGCCCTTCTTTTCTTTTACAGCGATTGTCTTGAAAGGGCTGGGGCTGATAAAGTAGTGCACTGGTACACGCCCACCGAACTCGCTAAACGAATGGGCTTCTATCACTCCTGCCAAGCAGTGGGGCAGATGCTCTCTGGCGCGCTGCAGGCGGCTATTACGAAGACACTGGACAATCATGCGGGTCTGGCTGGTTGGAGATGGTTGTTTGTCATCAATGCAATTATCACTGTTGTATGGGGCTTCGCGGGTTTCATTATGATCCCCGATCTACCGAATAAACCGAACCCGCGAGCCATCTGGTTTGACAAGACCATTGACGCAGAACTATCCATGCACAGACTATCCCGGAACGGCCGCGCAGAGCCAAAGCGTATGTCTTGGGATGCTGTTAAGCGCACGTTCTCAGGCTGGGTTGTGTATTTCATCACGGTACTGTATTGTGCGTCTGTCCTAGGAACATACGGATACAACTACTTCTCGCTGTTCTTGGAATGGGTCAAGAGGCCGGATGGAAGTCGTCGCTGGAGCACAGCACAAGTAAACGCGATTCCCATCGCCGGCTCAGCGATCAACGTCGTCTTCGTCTGGTTCTGGGCGCTTTTATCTGACCTCCTCCGCACACGCTGGACACTTATCATAACACAATGCCTAGTCGCCCTCATCCCCTGCATAATAATGTCCCTTTGGACCTCTCACCCAACTACCCTCCCGCTTTCAGCAGCGTACACATCATATTTCCTCTCTTACATCCCACTAGGCACAGCACCGCTAATCTTCGCTTGGCTATCGGATCTCATCCCGCAGGACCCCGAGAGCCGAGCGCTGATTGTGGGTGTGAGTGTGGCAGGGTATTATGCGATTTCGGCGTGGTCGCAGGTTCTTGTGTGGCCGGCTGCGCAGGCGCCGGTTTATAGGGTGGGTTGGGAGAGTGCGGCGGGATTGGTGGGGGTTGTGGTTATTATGACGGGGGTTTTGAGGTGGGTTGATGGGAGGTATTTGGAGGGAAGGAGAGTGGCGTTTAGGGTGGTTAATGGGGTTGGGGAAGGGGTGCAAGAGGAAGAGGTTGGAGTTGTGATTAGTGATGATGTAGAGCATGGGAAAGGGAAGGTGAAGGCGCAGACGACGGTGAGGGGGTTGGAATAGGGCTATTGGCAGTGGTTGTGATAATATGTTGGTAAGTGATAGTGCCACCATAGACCTTGATGGATCTCCAGATTTGTCGCAATATAGTGAAGCACTGTATTAGTGATAATAAGAGGGATGAATAGAGCTGTTGTCAGCCACCACCATCTTCGAATGAGTTGTTTGAAATTGCATTGCATTATACCAGAAGTACCAGGAATGTAAACTTTTGTATAAATCCATATTGTGAACAGCCTCCTCCATCTTTCGCTGATTGATCCCAACAGCCCAGATATACCTTTTTTAAATGCGACATCTTGATCCGGAATAACGTCTATATACTCAAACAACGAGTAAAGAATTGGAACATAAATTCATTTACATAAGTATAACTCCTTCCAAAGTGCTTTCAATGAAAACATACCACCCCTTGTCACTTCACTCATAATCCCACCACTCCAGACAACCTCTCTCGCGTCTGAAGGGTAGGGTATATTCTAAAAATACTCCGATTATTAGCGTAGTAAGCTCGGTGATTGACTTCGCAAACATGTTCACCAAGTTCATCATTTGATTTGTGTGCCTCGCAAAAGTGTCTAGCGCAAAGAAGACACTCTTCTGTCTTCCTGGGCTTTGGGTCACGGTGTAGATGCTGATGCTTTGCGGGACTTTTCAACGCCATGTCTACACAGATAAAGCAGATGTTCTCGTTATTCATGGTGGTCAATACCTTTGGGCGAAGGCAAAGGTGAAGACGCGATGGTGGATGGTCGTTGGTAAGTGGATACCGAAATGATTTCTATTATATAGACCGGTGGGGGTAATGGAATTTAAAGCATGGGTGGCATGTCAAAAGTACTAATGAGCCACGCCGGAGGGGTATGTATATGCATCCTGTGCGACAGGGTTGCATCTGAGAAATTTCGATCATCGGGCCATTTGTTGACCAGCTGCAGCTAGGATGCGTTCCATGAAACAGTGAGGTGTCGAACACGGTCATAGGGCCTCCATTGAAGTTCACAGGCACAACCGTCTACATGATTAAAGAGTAATGGTTTAAAATAGTGCTGTTGATAAGCCTGAGGCTATTGGGGTTTCAGCCCCCATCTGGCCATTTTTTAAACAATCAGTAACAAGTTAATCTGAGATGTATGAAAGACATCTAAGCCCGAGCTTTGATGTTAGTGGGCTTTCCGTGTATCCTTGAAGGCTTTCAGATAGACATAATCAAGCGGATAACATCGTTCGGTTCAACTAGTAGCCATCATGGATAGGAGGTAATTATAAATCTGGGGGGTGAAATGGTATACCAACTTGTCACATGATATGCTTGTTCAATCGATATTTTTACATGTGCATCTGCTATACATATGTTCATCAGCAAGTTTAAGCTTGCCAGTCGTCATCTATAAAGAGCCAAATCAAACGCTCGGATCCTATAGTCGATACCCCCTCCCCTCTCTATTCAACCTCTCCCACATAGCAATCCTCTTCTCGTGCCCAGCCCAGAAATCATCTACCCATTTCTGCTCAAACACCGGTAGTCTCCGTCCCGGCTGTCCCTCCCCAGGTTCCCCAGCTAACCGTCTCATTTCCTCGAAATAATCCTTGAAATCAGGATGTATTAATGTGAAACCAGGCCCGTCGCCCTTTACAGCGATGCGGTCTGTTTCCCAGCGCTGTTGGGCTTCGAGAGGTGGGAGGGAGGCTTTTCCAGCGAGGACGCGGGCTGCTGCGACGGCTTGCCATTCAAATATTTTGAAGGTTAGGCCGGTGCCGACCTGTGTTGTTCCTTGTTAGCTTTTGCGGATGAGATTGGGGGTTGAGGAGACATACAGCGCCAATGAAAATGAGACTTGGATCCTGTTGATAAAAGACATGCTGGTATAGATCCGGAACACGGTTATTCCTCGTTGGAATGTCAGGAAGGAAGGGGAGTGTCCAGCTAAATCCGGTTCCGAAGATAATGTGGTCTACACCTGCCGCGGAGGTGCCGTCTTCAAAGTGAACGGTCCGATCGTCGACGGAAATATGCGAGATAGGCGGCCGTTCTGAAAGTTGGGGATGTTTGAATGCTTGTCCTCCGAAGTACACGTTGTATTTACCGCGGGTGACTGTGTAGATGGGTGCTTGGGCGTGGTCGATCAGACTAACTGCTGTGTCTGCTGCGGAGACGGATGCTCCCACTGTGACAACTCGCTGTTCAAGTCTGAGTTAGTGTCATTCTTTCTTCCAGGCTGGTAAGAGAGCATACCTTCCCGCGATACCCCTCCGGACCCCGGTATTGCTTGGTATGCTCAACACCCTCCGGATACCGTTCCGCAAACTCCTTCAACCCCGGAATAGCAGGAATATATGGCACAGAATAGTGCCCCGTTGCAATAACAAGTCCATCAAACGACTCTGTCCACCAATAATCCACGTTCCCCTTCTCACCCCGCCGTAACGTGAGCTCCCACTTCCCCGACTCCGGACTCTTCACCGCCCGCTCAACCGTGGTATTGTACTCGACGAGATCCTGGTACCCATTGCGATTGAACAAATCATCGATATATTTTTTGACAACAGTGTGGTGCCGAAACGGTGTATCCGGACCGTGCAGGGCAATCGACCGCTCAGACCGGACAGGGGGAATCGTCTCCTGCGAAAACGACATAACCGAAGCGTCGACATTGGTCTCGAGCGTGGGGTAGATGTGCGAGTCGGCGAAACGGTTCTGAGAAATGGCGGGAGCATGGCATGGCAGTTGAGGGGGGATGGAAATGGGTGTATCGGCTGTTCTGGCGGAGAGTTTGTCGATGTCTAGTGGGAGCCGGGGTTCATTTGGGCGATGGATCCTGTACACATAGGTTGTCTCTGTTAATCATAAGTCGGTTGTCGCCTGAAGAGAGACCCGTTTCTCCGCACATACCAGCATCCACCGGACTGGTCCTGGCGCTCGAATACCCGAACCGAATCAAAGGTCCTTTCCTGCATCAAAGCATCGACGGTGATGGCCCCTGCAGGCCCCGCGCCGACAACCGCGATGCTTTTAGCTGGCATCTCAGTGATTGCAATTTGTTAAGCGATACGGCTAAATTGCAAAATTGTCCTGCGCAATTGTCAGTAGGATGTCCGAATCTTAAATACTCAGCCGAGTCACGCCATCGGAGCTTCATACACGCAATGGCCTGCAAAGCCCAATAAAAGAACCACTCACCCGTCAATCCTGCGGGTGGTCGCTGTAGCGAGGGAAACGTTGTCTGCGTTTCTCTTTTGGGATCTTGTCCCAGCCGTTGTGCAGAATCGTAGTGTAAAAGATTCGCGGTGCTACTGATCAGCCGGCGATCGTGCGCGGGCGTTGTGATTGGTCAGCCAATTGGCCCCAGATATATAAGAGTGTATGGCTGTAGCCATTATTCTGCGAGCGACTTCGAGATACCTGTCACCGACTGTAAATACCTAAGTCGGATTCACCTCCGTTGTAAGGATCTAGAAACCGAAGCAAAACCACCTCAATATATCCAGGCTCTCGTAGACCCGGCAGTAGTATCAATTTTGGTCCATCATGCTCGAGTATATAGATTAAGAAAACAAAGTTAACAGTTCCCAGGTTCCCGACGGTTCGAGTTCTGACATTTCCCGAGTGATGCGCTCCAATTACGCTGACAACGACCATCTCCAAGTTGCGCACAAAGGTTACATGGAATAGCGCCAATCACCTTAATACAAGGGCATTTTCTGTCCTGAGCCGTACATCCTCACGGATGCTGGCAACCCTTATGGCGAGCCCTGGACGGCAAAGGCGACGAAAGCCCTGACCTATTGGGAATTGCCAGGGACCAAACTTGAATACGCTGCAGCCGCAAAACGGAACTACTCGGTGCTCAGCGGGAAGCTCGCGACTCCAAAGTTCTCAGGCTACTTTACAATGAAGATTTCGGTTGGGCAGATGACGGCAAGGCTGTCAGCCAGCTCCGAGATGGCTTTCTTGAACCGGGCATTTCCTTCGTTTGCGGCCACGCCGGCAATGTTCCGGGGCCTGAGACTGACCCGGACTGCATGATCAAAGGTGTCAAGACCCTTAGTAGATCCACGATATAAGGCGATTATTTTATCGTCACAGCTGCTGTTTGGGTGACAGGTCTTGTCCCCATGTGTATGATTCCACACTTGTGACAGCTCGAGCTTCTCCGAAATCTACAAGCCCTCGCAAAAGACAGATTTCAGCAAAATGCCAGCAAAGGTACAGCGATTGCCTTTCCGCCATCAATGTTCCGGAGCCTCCTTGATCCTATACTTTGTTATATGACAACAACTACACCTTCCCGCGATGGCGGCTGCACCCGGGCCAGAAACTGTATCCAACGCCAGGATGAGCATCACCGCACTTTGCTCATCCACTTGTAGAAAACGAGGCTGAGCCTCCGGTTGCTTCAGACCATGTTCATAATGCTGTAGATGTAACGACTCAGCCCAGCGCCTTCATCAGCAAACATCATCAACACGGCAAACAATACCATAAAAGCAATCAAGACAAACAAGCTGCTTAGCGAGACCACACACAACCATATAGGACTTCTTCGTGTAAATAGACTTGCCTCTTCTTTTCTTCTCCAGATTCGATATTCTAGTCGATGGCTACACTGGTTTAGATAGGAATGTCATTTTATTAGTATCTACTGGTCCGAGCCCGTGACACTATCAGGATATCAAAGAGTTGGAGTTGCGCAGCACTGTATGATGTTGGGTGATGGCTCATCCTCTTGTGTGTTGTGCACTCACAGTTGCCTCATATATTTTTGCTCTATTAAATCTAATACATACGACCATAGGGTGTGGAGAACAGGGCTTCCCGTCCGCTCAGCCGTACTTAAGCCACACGCCGGCCGGTTAGTAGTTGGGTGGGTGACCACCAGCGAATCCCGGCTGTTGTATGTTTTTATTTTCGTTTTGATATTTTTGCCCTTTCTCGTTGCCGTTCTAAGGGTGATGACCGCGTGAGAATTAGTTGGGTGCAGGTAGGCTGCGACAAAGCCATAATTTGCGGGTGGCCACAAGATAACTGCAAGATAACCACCTACGATCGATGACGATTCCGACTTCCGAGTACCTGAACCTGCGCCTGGCGTCCGCACAAGGTTGAAGGTAGAAAATATACTTACTCCTAGCATTAATTTAAGGTAACGTCTAAGTAGCCTATAATTTTCTATCTTTCGGTGATATTTGCAATATATTTGGGCGTGGTTTAGTAAAGTAGCGTACTACTACCACGCTTCTTTCGAATCTGCACTGGCTTCTTCATATGTGAAATATATACCTCCGATATAAAACACAACGTGATTTAGAACCTTGAAATTACAGGCTACCAGCGTCGAGTAACCTTATTATATAACTTTAATACATTAAAGTGATACTACTTATATGTAAATACAAAAGTATTTCTGATTATTTCGTGTAGGAAGTAGGTAAAAGCGCAGAAAAGTACTGTCATAACCAGAACATGTATATATCGAAAGTAAAAACAAGTGTACGTAAGCGACATAGGGATGAAATAATAGTCCTGAATAGGACAAATAAGCGATATCTATGCTAGCGCGGTTATCTTGCGGCTAGCCATGGCTAACCACAGCCAAAGCCGCAAATTGCGAGGTTGGCTTTGGTTAGCAATGTGGTAACCGCAAATACGGTTTTGCCGCAGTCTAGGTGCAGGTGATTGAGGTGATGCCTTGAGAGTCGAGGGTGAGTGTTGGGATGATGAGTGAGTGAGCAGAGCCAGCAAAAACAAACGGTGCATTGTAAAAATTATTTGGCATAAGAAGGCCGTTGTTTCGCTTGACCACCACTAGGCCTCGCCAAACCCGCGGGCTGGCTGTGGGCTTTGTCTACCTGCCTGTGGGCTTTTTGCGGGTGCTCGTGGGCTGTCAAACAGTGCGAATATAGGGAATCCCGTGAGGACTTCTTTGAAGTGCATCAGTTGCCGGTGACAAATTGGTTACGTTGGCTGGCTATCACATGAAGCAGACTTGTTAGCCTTGTTGATAATTGCGGTCCCCTTCTTTCCATGTTTATTATTCTTGTTGATAGCTACCTAGGTAGAATCCATGAGTTGGATGCTCCATTATCCTAGTAGAGCGCCGTGACAGCTTTCCTCAAGGACCAAGTTACAACACTTGAAAATGCAAATCATACACTAAGCAAGCGCCAGAGGGGAAAGACAACATATACAGCATGGAGGAATACTAAGTCTGCAGTCTGGCAAAGGTATACTGGATCAAGGAGATATAGGTCGCCAGATAACTGAGGAAATCCATATGAAGGATGATAGTTTGAAGCATGTGAAACCAAGGAAACAATGTTGTGGTAGTTGTAGCAAGCCTGGACACAATGCACGCACCTGTCAAGATGAAGAGGTATTTAATGGATATAATTCTGACTAGACTTAATTGATTTTCTGTGCTGTGGCATATTACGGTCCGCAGGACCGTCAAGGTAACCCGGACTTCGCCCTCTAGCTACAGAACTGGGATCTGTACTTATTAATTTGAGAGTTGGCTAGTGTGACTTGTTAGCTGTTGACTCTAGGACTATTAAGAGGATTTAGCTGGGAGAACGTACCTTCCTCCTCACTAATTCCGCAGGACTGGACACAGCTGAGACCGGTGTCCTTGAACTTCTGGCTGTTGCAGGCACACTGTACATCCATGTTGCAGCCCGAGGCATTGTCGGCTTTCATGAGACAGCTAGTCTATTTTGAGGGGAACACAAATCAGCAGCACATTCTGAATATTGAACTTTTAAAAAGAGACAGGAAGGAACATACTACACAGTCGCCACCGCTAGCTGTTGCTATGGAAGTTGAGAACAGGGTGGCGATGGTAAACAAGATGGTGGCCTTCATATTGGTCGGATTCGGAGCGGTTGCTTGGATCGGGTTATTGATGGGAATTAGATGGCTTACAGAATGCAGAACGAGCGGGCATCGGAGGGTATTTAAGTCGAAGAAGCAGATACTAGTAGCTGAACATCAGGGTGACACTAATAATCTGAAAATTAGGACACAGCTTACGCAGTGCACGGACACTGGAGGGATCAGGATCGACATCCAGAGTGGAAACCTTTGTTCCTTGCGCCACCTATTTTCTGATAGCACATTAAGAAACTAGTCACTTACTACATATCAAATTAAATATATAAAATAAAGCTGTTTTTCCAAAAATAAAAAGAAATATAAATCAACATAAAAACCATGATAACGAAATTTTACTCTTGAAACTTGGAGTTGTCGATCAGCCAATTTTCGGTTTTTGGTAACTATGTATATCTTAATTATACGACAGGAAGAAACGACCAGGTATATTCATTTGGTAATGCACTATGATAGATCTGAGGATTTATTTGCTTGCACTTCACAAGCCACATGTTGGGTCTTATCCTGCAATTGATGGTTGCTGCAGGTGGCGATCAGAATATACATACTCTAGCGCTCAATGGTATGTAATAGACATAACTGGACAGTCCGTTGCTTGTATTCATGATATGCTTAGACTTCGGTGGTTATTCGGACCCATGGATGTAGGTTGTCATCTTGGGACCTTGAATGTATGACGGTCCTGTTCAATTTAAATCTACTGGTAGACTATCTCACGAAATTCTAACATGAGGAGAGAAAGGAAAGAGGAAGACTTGTCAGCAACGAGTGATCTAGTGTTTGTGAGGGGCTTAAACAATGCCCAGTGAGTTTCCTACGCCAAACAGGCCGAAGTAATCAGATATTCTATATGGCGGGTGTGCATGTTCCGTGACAGTAGTGGTAGATTGTTTAACTGATTGAAAACACTGAAAAAAAGCGGGAGGTGCGCCAGTCGGTAGGGAAGTACATTATGTCAACAAACATGAGTGAACAATTAAGCGCAAAGCAAATTGCGTCTCATTCTATGAACAGGAAAACTACCCGCACCAGCTCGTATCGACCGGTCTTGTTGTCCATCGTTATAACTCGACGAGTATGATATCGCTCTCCATTGATCAACTCAAATCCCCACATCTGAAATGGAAGAAAGTCAGGCGATATAATTCACAATATGGTATGTCCAAGGAATGCTTACCGTTTCGTCCATCCAATGACCGTCCTCATGCTGATCGATTGTATGAATCCACAATGCTTCCTCTTTCCCATATCTCTCTTCTACCAGAAACCCGTCACACTTACTCCCATCAGCCAGGATTTCTCCTCTGAGGAACTTAGTAGCTTTTTCGTCTCCTATGCTCCCCTGTATGTTCGGCCGTGTCCTTCCCTCTTCGCCTACAAGACCACCGATCCAAGTTGTTTGGCAGTTCACCGAACCAAAGATAAAATCAGTGTGCTTTATCTTCTGCCAATTCAACACCCGCGCGTCAAGGATATCTGCCACTGGAGTCCGGAAAATTGTATCTATGTATGTTGACGGTGTCTTCTCCTGAGTGCTTGTGTACGCAGAGATACAAACAACTGGGTTTGCACAGATGATAGCCTTCCGGAGAGCCCAACCAATACCTTGCTGAAAGGGAAACCAGGATAGCAGTCAGCTTTCCACCTTTTGCATGCTAAGGGTTCTAAAAACATCTATACCAATTTCAATGAAGGTTCAGGATCATCCGATTTTGATCTATTCTTTTTGTGGCCGAGGGGTCAATATTCATGGCATACGTACTGACAGAGTAGGTGAAGGATTGGATAATCTGGCTGATTACTTACTCCCATCCATTTCCCACTCAGGTTCCAAATGGTCACATTCGATGGTGAAGCCATTCTCAGGGCTTTTCCAGTAAAAGGGCTGTTAGCAAGGGAAGTTAATGGAAGGTGATGTTATATTCAAATACGCGGAGAGGCAGCGAGTATGTGATCTCATCAGTAAAGGTTTCAATAGAATTGGAAGCCAAGGAGATACGGTGAGTATTGAAGTGAGTTATGTCAATCTGGCTATTTCAGACAATCATGGAGAATGGCGGCGATCCCGCGCGAACTATAAATTTCCGCACTAATGATACTAGTACCATAACTACTAGCCACAAGACTGCACGGGCATGTTTCTTTAGTGAAAATAGCTGAAAGCCATGCAGAGTGTATATAGAAAATATTTCACATTTGGTATAGAGCAATTGCTGCTCCACTTAGCACTGGGATAGATCGCAATCTCTACGCTCCCTGATCACCACCAATCTCGGCGATCACGGTACACTATGTAGATAAAACATGTTATATGGATTGGGCAGAGTTGAACTAATGTAATCGTATGGGTATATACATGCATATGCGGCCGATTCAATTGGGACCGATCTTTTATTGAAGTTGTCCTGGTTTTCATTGCAAAAGACATAGTGATATGCCGCGTTGACAGGTCCCTACCAACGTGTCAAATCTGATATGGTGAAATGATTCCACACTAATAGCAGTCAATAACAAACTTTATTATTGAATATTGAAACCCAAACAGACTATGTATTGTTGCGCTACTCAGATCTATACTGTGACTGCGTGTCCTGTCCCCCGCAACTTGTTTTACCACCAACCTGTCCGAGCGCGGACGGTCATTAGCAAGCAACCAATTACTCGATACATAGTGCCTATTAAGATAGCAAGCCTACTTTACGTTAGAGTCAAAGAGGGACAGAGGAAGACAGAGGGAAGGAAAACACAGATAAGAAAAGACTCACCCCACATCAAATCCAGTCCGACCAAAAGTGTATCCGAGGTATTCAGCAACTTCTTTTGTCCTGTATAGATAAGAAAAAGGCGAGATATGCTCATTGATGTATGCTTCGGCAAACCACGTCTATTTCATATTAGCTTGGTTCTTTTTCCTTCTTCATTTCAAAGTAAATTCTTACCCCTGGGAGTAAGTACCAGAGCCACGCCATGTGCCACTGCTTGACAATGGCAAGACGAGGCTGGGCACCTGAAAGCACAGAAACAATAATTGTCGCCATAAAGCAGACCAAGGGGCCATTTTCGCGTTGAGTAATAGCTGCTATCACAGACCCAATCCCGTAGACACCTTTCGTCCATTAGCTTTCTTTCACTGCCTGGCCTGGTGACAGACAAAACTTACAATAAAAAAAAACGAGGTTGAGGGCAAACAAGATTTGAAAGCGAACCAGTGGCGTCGCCAGCAAAACGTAGAACGAGGTGAAATGCAGAGCAGAGAGGGTGTATCTCAGAAAACAGGAAATAGATTTTCCAACAAAATATGCACTCATGGAATGACCAGACCTGGATTCCCGTTGGGATATAAGTACTGTGGATGGAAGAGTTTACTTTATCAATTTCCCAAGTCTTGAAAAGCTATGAATGCCTCTCACCTTCTTCTCCAAATATGATCACACTCGGCGCGGCACTCGCAAATGCTGTGCATACCATGAAGTTAGCTGGATCATAATACCAAATGAGAAAAGTGAACAGCATACTTATGCAAAAGCAAGTGAACAATGCGACTTCTGGTGCAACAGTATAATTCACGGCGCTGGAAAGAGGTGTAAATGGAGCCAAATAGAGGCCCCCGTAGAAATGACCCTGCAACTCATACAGGGCCAATCCGAGCAATAGACCAGTCAAGGAGCCAGCAAATATTTCTGTCCAGAAACTCGCAGGCTGCCGGGATTGCTGCTTTATATCACGGTAAAGGCAGAGAAATACTTGCTCGTGCCATTGAGCAGTTTGGTGTTTATACTGTTGTCGAAGCTGATTCTGAGCACTAGACTTGTCGTGGTCGGTACTAGTGTTAGCAGAAGACTTTGCAGATCTGTCCATATTAGGAAATTGCCTGGACTCATAGCATCCAGAAGCGATGTCAAGTATGACATCCGCTGGGTTAGACATTGGGTCGAACTTGTATCCCATGTCCTCAAAGTGGGCCTTGGCCAAGGAAGTCGGTCCCGAGTATATCTGTCGGCCTGTGTCCAGGATTAACACGGCATCTAGAGTCTCGAAAATCTCGACGCGTGGTTGATGAATTACGCATAGCACAGTAATTCCTTTGCCGGCAAGTTTTTTTAAAAGCTTGATAATGGACAAGGCTGCTTGAGCATCCAGTCCAGATGTTGGCTCATCGAGAATTAGGACTGGGGGTGATGCTACCAATTCTAAGGCAATGCTCACACGCTTGCGTTCGCCCCCAGATATTCCCCGACGCTGCTCATTACCAACAACGCTATCCCGGACTTGAAAAAGACCAAGAGCACTGATGACCAATTGAACATGTCCCTGGATGTCCTTATCAGTACAAGATCCTCCAAGCTGAACACGTGCTGAATGCAGAATATTTTCCCAGACGGTCAGATGTGGGTGAACAATGTCATCCTGCGGGACGAATTTGATGACGCCTCGCGAGGCTCCTAAGCTTTGGCACCTTGTTAGCAAAGCACTCAAACTAACGATGCCATTCAGCCTTACCGTGACATGTCCTGCTCCACTTCATTCCAAAGTATGGTCCCTGAAGTCTGTTTGACCTGACCAGCGAGAATGTTGATAAGTGTTGCTGTCAGTCCAAGTTAGTCCTCAAGACAGGAGATTTGGAAGACTCCACCAGAAGTGTACTTACTTTTACCTGATCCCGAATGCCCCAGTATTCCAAGTAACCGGCCTTTGGGTACAACGCCACTGACAGCGTCTAGAATTTTGCGCCCAGAAGTAGGGTGGACGAGAGTCAGGTCTCTAAACCCGATAGCAAGTCCCGTGTCGGTCCGGTTGCACATGATGATAGAACCTGGATCTGATTGAGATATGTGCTTCTTGTCACTAGAGGCCAACTGCGACTCAAGGCATATCTCATTTTGCCCTTCTAGCTTTCTTTCTATCATTCGAGCTGGCAGATATCTCTTGACAGTTGGCCACAAACTTACGCATATCAATAGAGTATCTAACAATCCACACAACAATATGCCAATCAAGGGAAGTTCTCGGCCGCTTCCCGGAAAACATATCGATAAAGGCAGGCATTTCACCGGTTTCGTAGCGCCTAAGGAACAGTAGTGTCCTTCCGGGCATAAGATCTGTTCCTTGCCGCCCGGGGGACAATAATGTCCAACTTCGCAAACTATAGGCTCGTAGATGCCCTGGGGCTCCGGACAAACATTGTTCTGCAGTTGCAGCCGCGTTGCGTAACACTCCGTTGTGGGTGGACAGAACTGTGGGGGATGTACAGCAGTGTTGTTTGGACCTGCAGAGTGTTAACTAGATCGATTATAAGGGACCAATAGATCGTCAACGAACAGTAAAAACCAGGAAGGCAGATATCAAACGGAGAAAGTGCAACTGGGTCAAAACCTGCTGACCTGCATAGGGTTGTGTTGGATGCCATCGAAGAATATTGTCAATGGTCCTGGTTGCTTGTACTTCACCGTCTAGTACACCGGTTATATAATTAATTTCAATATCAAGTGCGTGCGGATCACATCTTCAGATCGTCAAAGATATGATAGTCAGGATTAGGACCCATCTAATTTTCCACTAGTCAATCATTAGTATCATGACCAGTTCCAAACTATACAAATGACATATCAGTTGGTCCGGGCGTACGGCTGATGGGCAGATCTCCCATCTATCTTTCCTATATTAGTTAGTAAATAGAGCGCCTAGATTACCAGTCATTCGCGCCGGGATTGCAGTCATTCCTTTTATAGCGTCTTCAGCTGCGCCATTATTGTGGTTGACAGCGACTTAAGTGCCCGCTCCTACTTTTGGCACTCTGGTATTTCTCCCCACCTGAATCCTAATATTCTCAGAGCCAATTTGTTTTTGAACATTCTGAATCTTTACGTTGCCTCTCTAAAGCAATGAAAATGGAGGATATACTTCCTGTCAAGACACAATCTCTGGCATCAGCAACAAAGGATGCACCGACAATGCTGCAATACCATTCCTGCAAAGAAAGTCCCAATCCAGCACTTGATCCCAGATCCAGGGTTGTGAGCGAGAAAGCGCATCTCGATTATTCTGCGCTTATGGCGCCGGCTCAATACATCGCATCTTTACCGTCGAAAAACGTTCGCACCATGCTGGTGGACGCGCTGAACGTTTGGTTCCAATTGGCACCCAAGGAGCTCCAAGTCATCAAGGAGGTTGTGACGGACCTGCACAATTCAACATTGATCTTGGATGATATTCAAGATGACTCACCCCTCCGACGGGGCAGCCCTGCGACTCATACAATCTTCGGCTCCGCGCAATGTATAAACACTGCAACCTATATTGTGGTTGAGGCCGTACAGAAAGTCCGTCAATATCCTCAAATGTTCCCCGAGTTTCTGAATGGGCTATCACAGCTTGCGCTGGGTCAAAGCTGGGACTTGAATTGGAAGCATAATGCTCATTGCCCTTCCGTTCCCGAATATACTACCATGATCGACGGTAAGACTGGGGCAATGTTCACAATGATTGTTCACATGATGGCCAGCCTCGCCCCAGCACCGTCCGCCTGGCCGCTCCCGGAGCTGGATCGGCTGACAGAGCTGTTGGGTCGGTGGTTCCAGATCCGAGACGACTACCAAAACCTGTGCGACGAAACGTACACTGAGCAAAAGGGGTTCTGCGAGGACCTGGATGAAGGGAAATTGTCATATCCTGTGATTGTATGCTGCGAGTCGGACTCGACCGCGCGGGATATTATTTTGGAGTCTCTCCTACGTGACAAACAACAAGGGAAGTCATTGGCTCCAGCTCAGAAGCTGAAAATTATCGAGCTGATCCGGAGCTCAGGGGCATTGCTTAAAACCTGGCAGACCATTCAGCATTTGATGAAGGAGACTCAAGCCGCACTCTCAGTAGTGGAGGCGTGTATAGGGATTCCGAACCCGCCGATCCGTTTAGTTGTGCATTTGTTGAGTGAAGCTTGCGCGCCGTGATCGTATCCTGTCTTGTATTATCATTTATCCAGGCCATTGAAAAATGTCATTATCGATATCTTACGGAACACATTCGCGGGTCACATTTGGCCTTTGTCTCCTGTAGTCTGCACTGTAGATGTTGGAAACGGTCGAACCACCGACTATAACTGTCAGTACGTGCTGATAATAATCAGGTAGCGAGCTCATGCTCAGCATAATTGACATACTGCGGCATGTCTGTTTCGGGTGTGACGGTCTCGAGCAATACGAATTCATTTTAAAAGCTGCTAAGGTATTTAAAGTACCTTAAACCACCATTTCGTGAGCGACTTACTGGGATCAAACCACGATCAGAAACACACACAAATGGTTAAAATTTGACAGCAATCGAAGAGAAATCCTTGTCAGGCAACTGCTAGATGCAAATAGATGAGGCTTTGCAATCCGACCAGAATTTCTGCGTGGAATGGCTCGAATTTTACTTCGTGAGCAATAACATGATTCTACTGCAACCCTTGGAGTCAACTGGACATCTGCCTTTGTCAAACATCAGTTTTCGACCACCTGCAGGCATTTCTCTGCGAGAGGTGGCTCCATCCAGGCGGGTCATCAATGTCCTTTTAGGCACGTCGAAGGCCGTAGCACAGGCAGTTTTTGATGTAAATGAGCCTCTATGGAAGGCTTGAAGAGCTAATACCATTCGCTCTCCTTTGGGTAGCCCAGTCATATTCAGTGTGTTAACAAAAATGGTTCAGTATGATTGTTTGGGGAGAATGTCGCGGCCGACAAGGCAGCGCGGTGTCCGATTACGTTTATCATAATAGCTAATCAGTCCGAAAGATTGACTTCGCGTTGATTAACTAAATAACCAGATATTAAAGTTAGTTAATCTTACCGTGTATCAATAATCAGCCAGCCCCATTCAATAATGTTAATTCCATGTCAACTAAGTGATTCGTATGATGCAGCCCCGGCACTAGCCCGCGGGTGGTCAAACAAGACAGACACTACTATATTAGGATGGATCATCATTATTATGCATACAAATCAGCTACAGCTGGAAATTTTATGAAATCTTATGGGATTTCATGAAGATGAGGGTGCGAGGTCTATGGATTGCAAGGATTTCAAAGGATTGAGATTGCGCGGTGCTGCGTGATGTTGGGTAATGGCTCACCCTCGTGCACGCAGGCTTGCTCCATATATTTTTGGTCCACTAAAAGACCAATACATACGACCATAGGGTGTGGAGAACAGGGCTTCCCGTCCGCTCAGCCGTACTTAAGCCACACGCCGGCCGGTTAGTAGTTGGGTGGGTGACCACCAGCGAATCCCGGCTGTTGTATGTTTTATATTTTTTATATTTATAATATATATTTTGATGTGTGGCATTATCAATTCGAGAAAGTGGTCTCCATTTGGCATTAGAAGAACGTGCATAAAAGCTGAGTACACGGGCACCGCGATCTGTAAATAACCTGGTCTGTCCAAGACACTGGGCAGGATGTCCGATACAGTTCTCTGGTTCCTTGAAGCGGAGAAGAAAATTGAGGTTTGACAGGTAGAGATTCTGTCTACCAAGGCCATGATGGCCTGGGAACGGGGAAGGATCGACTATAGATGTTTGTTGAAGGAAAGAACACACATTCACCCACTGTCATCTAACGTATTCTGCGGCGACCAGTACTCGTTTTCCTTGCCCTGTGCATCCAACCAAACAAGACCATCCGCCAGAAGGTCGTCAACGACGGTCTGCGCTCTCGCTCCCACATCAAGCCCAGTGATTCACCTTCATGTATTCTTCATCGCTGAAGTGCGAACCACTCAAGACCAGGCACTATTTTTAGTGCAAACTATAGGAACGAAGAATCAGATGAATAGGTTGATTGACGATGTCAGGGTATCTAATGGTAATTTTATGCAAATTCTAGAGCCGAGACTTTTCTTATCATGCTGACGAAAAATGCCATCTGTACTCGGATCTCATGACTAGGGTCGGCTTTGTCAAATGTTCAACTGCCGACTTCGAACGAATTCGTGACCGCGCATTCTACGAGGAGTGCGCTTCGAAGCATTCCATCGATCTTGAGGCGGTCGATCGTTGTGTTGCCAGAGATGGGGGAGAGTACGGTTATAAGCTACATCGGGAAAGTGTTCAGTGCTCAATGTTCTATCGATGTAAGTGAAAGGAGTTTGCCCAGTGTCGTTGCTGACAAATTCTTGTTCTGTTATTGCTTATTTATCGTGTATAAACTGATATCGCTGGCTGAAAAGGTCGGTGCGCGTATTTAGTGGCACAGTTCGACTGAACGAGGAAATTTATTGCATCCGGGATAAGGGCGTTTGGAGAGTCTACCCTAACGGTGCTAGTGTTGATGACCTTGCCAATGCCATCGAACGGTTGCATAATGCAGGGACACACCTGTGATACTTGGTCGGCGATATTGCAGCTTGGTGGTGAGTAGCCGTGGGACAAGGAGAGGGCTTGAGAGGTGAATGAATTGGCATTAGCTGGGTTTTGATTTGGAAACATAGGTATTAAGTGCTACCACGTAGCTATTATGCAGTGAACCGGAAAGGAAATGTTGTCTTTTGGACTGTCTAAGCTGCTGCTCTTGGTATTTTGTAGTAGATTCCTACGTTGTCTGCTTACATGATGGCGGTATACCCTATCCGCTGAACAGAGTCGTCAGCCATGCCCGGATCTCAGGAATTGTGATTCATCATAACACGTTCTTATTTTTCAACTTGATATGACCTCCAGAGAGTGAGTGGATTTACTCTAATCAGGGTCTAATTAAGCCTTCTTCTTAACAAGCACACCCTGAATCCTAGGCAGCAAACTGAATGGTTCTTCAGGTTCTTCAATTTCGTGCGGATTTTCCCACTCTCCACTGTTGAGAATGTCCGCCAACACATTCCGGGTCAAATGACATCCGACAAATGTGCTCCAGGCAGGATTCCAGCAAGCTAAGATTTCTTCATGTTAGCCGGTCTGCACCGCTCATCGGTCCTCCACTAGAGACAAGCATCTATAGGGTCCACCCAGAAAAGAAGTAAGGTTGGCAGAGACAGACATACCTTGCGCCAAAGTCGTCAAACGGTTCCTACTCCATCCGTGTTCCCAGAATATAAACTTGCCTCCAGGTTTGAGCAGCTTCCACACCTCCTTCATCACGTTCTTCGGATTCTTTACGGCACACAGGACCTGGATGCATAACACGGCATCCAAACTCCCGTCCGTGATTCCCTCTTCTCTCAGAACATCGCTATCTTCAACGCCACAAGCTATAAGCTTATACCTATCCCGTAGGCTATGCTTGTCCAAGTTGGCATCTATGTCATCTTTAAAGTGGGAATTGGGTTCGACACCATAGACACGTTTGACAAGAGAGGTATCATAACGATGAATCTGATTGCCTGGCCCAGGGCCCAGTTCGAGAACAACGCCGCCAGCGGCTTGTACGAGCGAGGGAACAATGGTTGTGTCTTCAAAAGCGATAAAATTGCCAGCTGTGCATGATGGTCAGTCTACTCTGTACACGAGTTAAGTGAGGGAAGATATGGCAAGTGGGTTAGGTTACAGGTTATACTGAGCAACTTTGCTGAAGCGGCATCTCGAATTTGTCGTGGACGGCCAAGTGCTGCGAGACCATCTCGACGAACCGCTTGCGTCAAAGCTTCCCAGTGCACTGTAGGAGAGGGATTATTAGTAAAGTTCTGGAAATTAGTGGCGGGGGTAACAAAGACTTACGGCAAATAGAGAACCAGATTAGACCCCATGGACGGAAAATGAAAGCAAACCGGCCGGGTTTGGGGGGCATGGTTATCTACGTGAGACAGTTATAGGCGGGCCGCGTGGCTTTGGGATGGAAGACGAGAGAGAAACCATCAGCTGCATGAGAGGCACAGTAGTGTGCGCTGGACTTAAATACGAAGAGCATGCGGGGTCTGCCTCAGGCCGTAGTCCCGTGACACGAACCAAGCCTGGTTCTGATCTAGATACCCTCCACGTCGTGGGCGATAAGGCCAAAGTTGTTGATGTGTGTGGATGTAGGCACGACGGATATTCGGGAGATCAAGAGTTCAACCAATGAAGATGGTGTTTATAGGGGTGGGCCTGGCCGGGATAGGCCGGTGCGTCCAGGGGGTATGGCGTCAAGGAAGCAGCTTACTCGTATTGATGGGTAGTCTGGAATCAGTTAATATTGCTTTTAGTAAGCTTCTTCCCAGAAGAAAACGTTAATGTCCGAAACTGATGCTATGGTCTTCTTTGGTTCATGTATACTGCAGGCATGCTTTACTGTCTCCATGCCTAGGTCATGCAACATGGATTGGACTTGACTATGTGTTGTAAAAAAGTCCGTAAGCTGGTAAGGAATCAAACTCAGATTCGAAGACGTCCCTCCGAGCCTGACCTATGTTAAGAATTCTTGTGAACTATTATGGATACTATTGGACTATTAAAGCGTTCATTCCTTCCCGGATGTTGCTCTGTTCCTTTTCCCTTCCCCTATGGAATAGCCTATTATCATATTTGCTATCTTCCCCCATGCTATCCATTGCCGATTTAGGGTTACAATCCTTTTCCAAATTGCCGAGTGTCAAAACGACGGAGACAATTTCGGTAGTTCTGTGTTTAGCGCTGCTCCCAAAGTGAGGCACCTTGGATCTGCACTGCAAGGTCTTGGAATACGAAGTGAAAATTCAGCCTTGTCTGCTCGGCCTCGGAGCTAGGACAATTTCCTTAAGCTATCTCCTGGGCCTAGATGCTTGAAACCCTATATACGACTCGCGTGAGAGTTAGGAACGAAGCAGGTGGAGCTTGTTGAAGGAGTCTGATGATCAAAGAGCCTGGTTGCTCTGTTAGAACAAATATGTATAAAAACTTCTCATTGAGCTTCACTAGGTAACTTCAACTGATTTAGTGTGCCAAACCTTCGCCATCAGTTGCTTTTCCGTGCCTGGTGAATATGTAAAACATTGTAGCCGCGAATGCGTGTTTGACATATATCTGATTTCACATCAGCAGCAAGACGCTGGATAGTGCTCATGGGCCACCCATAAACGCGGCTAAATGGGGCAAGTCTCAATGTTTCGATGCTCTGGGTTATTGCCAAATTGTACCAGCGACCAAGATATCTTCCTGTTGGGCTCAAGGGCCAAGGATTCAGGGGAAGCAATATATAGCTATGCCAGACTTCTGCAAACCCTACTTTTTGCAATTCTGCTATAATTTCACGAGAATTGCATGCTATTGGATGTCCTAATTGTTCAGTTGCGCTCTTCAAGTGCTCATACCAGTAGGCAAGAGCTGTTCCATCCAAGGATCCATTGCCGCAACGGGGTGCAAAGTCGATCACCAGTTGCTCAAACCAACCACCAGGATGAAAGTGAGCGAATGCCTTGTGATAAACACTTGGCTGGTGACTCACACTACCACAACCCATTTGCAGATGAATAAGGTCCCATGGCTCCCCCTCTATAGTCCACTCTTATTCAAAGTCAGAGGGAGTATTGAATTCGCAATTCAGAGAGTGTTCGAGTGGTTGAGTTGCGACAACATTAACTCCCAGAACATAGGCCTCTGGATATGCTGTCGCCGAATCTATAGCCCAGATCCCCGTTCCGCATCCTAGATCCAGAAATCGAGCGTTTCCAGTAGAGCATGGTGTGCATGGAAAACCAGGGGCACATTCGACAACAGTGAAAAGCTCATGAAAAGGTCAAGGCGGTCTTGTTCTTGCTCGTCACATGGAAACAGACTTAATTTGCCGCGACATACAGCATATATCTGTCCATTTTCCTGGAGAAGGCGGTATGAATTCAAAGCACTGTGGCAATCATTAGCTCATTCTCATTTGGCTGTTCTAAAAGATGCATGTGGTGTGCCTGAAAGCATGCGAGTTACTCTTGCTCCTTTGAGTTTTGGAGTCTCTTTTGTGGGTGTCCCCATTGATGATGGCATCAATCCTCATAATGTTCATTTTGGACTTCGGCGTTTCCAATTCAACCAAGGAATTATTGTGCAGGTGGATTCTCAAGTCTGGAGAGGCATAACACAGGACACATAGAATGTCTGTTATGCTCCCGGTATTAAAGCTAAGCTGTACGTCTTTTTTATCATCTCATGTGGGCCCATGGATACTTCGGAAGAAATGGTTCAATGAAGTAAGCGTTTTGGGGTAATAAAACAAGGATTAAGGAATTCCAATAAGAGTTTTTAATGTAGGGAGTATGTTAGGACTGCGGTACTGTTGAAAGGCGGAACAAGCAATAGCAAGTCGCCACATAACACCTAAAGGCTCTGGAAACATTTGGTAACCAACTGCGGCAAGGCGGGATTTCTTCCATAACAAACCTAATTCAATGCCAATGCATGTTTGTGGAGTATTGTGGATTGGAACATTCATTAAGAGGCGCTAGTGTGAGATATTGAATTGCCAATCAAAATTGAAGGGCTCGAATCTCTGATCAATTGTCTACCTTATCATGACCAAGTACAAAGAACTTTCAAATTTCATATTACATTGAATGTACTTTATCGCTATCAGACAAATAGAGATCAAATGGCTTTATAGAAGATTCATTCATTCAAGTAAAATCTACCACATTTGATACTAAAACACATTCAAGTTTCTTTTCACAGGCCACCACATTATTCCAGAACAGAGACGCTGTCCCATATTTGTCTCTTTGTAGGCATATTGTCTGGTCTGTCCACGACGACATTGAATATGAGTCAAGTTTATATTATATATTTGGGTATCTTTATTCATCAGCACTTTCTCTTATCAACATGCATTTTTACTCAATGCAAAACCCAGTGCTGACCTGTGTGAGAGCCAAATTGGGCGCTCTTTAATCCAAAGCTCTCACGACTCTCCGCATAAAGTAACTAATCTGTAAGGAGCGCTTTATGTGGTACTGATATGATTAGCAGATTCCACAAATGCAATCAAAGACTGACTTACCTTGTTCAGGATTTCTTGGTCTTCATCAGTGGGCTTAATGACCTCATTGACGTCAATTTCATCAGATATCTCATCCAGCCATCTGTCAACGGCATCTATATCCCAACATGACCAAGACCCTCCTAGGTTTTTTGAACCCGCATCACATTCAGCTGGTTCCTTACAGCAACCATTGTGCGTGTGAAGTTCCTCTGATGGAGAAGTTGAACAAGAACATGGTGAGGGACACCTTCTGAAGCGTAATACGCGGCAACTGCCAATTCTTCTTTTAGCCACTCATATCCGGCCATGTTGATTGCCGATGAATCAAGACTTGAGAATATCCTATGGAACATACGATATATGTCTCCTTCTTATAGATACAATGGATAATTGGTATTCAGGATTTAGTCAACCAACACATTGGTCTTCAGCCATGTGACTTGCTGGTACATCACTGAATTCCTCCTTGAATACCACATCAACCTGTATATGACCTCAATCAAAGACAAGCTATTTATAGTCTCGCTTCACTGGCTGCCGCTTGTCGCCGTTCCATTTGCTGATAGCAGATGATCCACTGTTTGATGCTAAATGAAAGTCAGTGCACAGAACCATTGTAAAAAGAAGAGAGAGAAAAAAAAAAAAAAAAAAAAAAAGAAGAACAGACTTAATGTCAAGAGATTGCAGACAAGGTCTCGGTCAAGTTGCAAATTCTCAAGGAAAGCAGGGACTGTGTTCCTATTCCAGCTGCCTTTGTTTGACCAAATCTCAGGATGCGTTTTGCGAATCCTGGCCAGTCTTCCTTGGACAGCATTGGTTGTTTTTTCGTATTGGAGTGTTGCAGCTACCATTCCAGCCACAATTCCTTCTTGAATACCTCTGACCATGGCCCATTTATTGGTCAGTAGACGGCCAATTGTCTCTGGTGTGATTCCCCACATATTGAGTACAATGGCATCTGCATCTTCCTCCTTAGTCCAACACACCTGATCCATTTTGTATAACCCCAAGGGCAGATATGGATGAAAGAGAATTCATGCCAAATCTAGCTCTTTAAATATTCTATGCTTTATTTATTCCAGATCTCCAGTCCACTCCATAATCATTAAGACTGTGCCACATGGGTCCATCTCTGAATCGCAAAAGCTTTGATACCAGCATGTTGCGGCTCCTTTCTGTTGGAATTGTCCTGGTACTACCAATAACTGATCACTATGAACTTCCCACAGTTAAGCCTCACGTCCAATAAATTTGTGACTAAATGCGCCAAACATTGTGACAAGAAACACCAAAACACTGCATTGTGACCAAATATGTCAATGCACTGATATGATATTCCCTTGTATGGAAATAATGGGATAAAAATAAGGATGTTGAATGACATGAGATCGAAGATCTTCGCTTTCAGTTTAGGAACACCAAAATCTTTCTTTTCCTATTCCGGAATGAATAAGAAAAAGGGAAACGGACCAATAACGTGCCAAAAACTGGTAGTATTTATTAAATTTGTGTGGGACAACAAGCTTTACTTTCTGGGAAATTGGAGTTTCCAGCTTGGATTGGACCTATAATAATCTCATGAATCCATTCTGTCCTCGTGATTGCAATCCTGACCATCTAGCAGAACAAGATGTATGCTCGGAAAAATCCCCCATGGTTAAATGAAGAAGATCAAAGCTTGATTAAGTTGCGAAATCAGAATCCCCAGTGCATATGGGAGCAATTCATGAACTCGTTCAACTCTCATCTACCCCTGGAGCGGCAGCGGTCTACAGACATGATAAAGGGAAGAATCAGAAAGTTGACCGGGTCACGCCCATGATTTGCATTAATTATCCCACAGCTTCAGTCCTGAAAAGCGCTTCCATCCTATGTTCTTCTCCTTTTAACTCCTCCTTTTTCCTTTCTTTTTTCTTATTCTTCTTAAATCGTGGCTGTCCTGAGGCCTCTGGCTAATCCACTCTCTTTTTTCTTCTTCTATATCTGTTGCACCAACACATCGTACCAGTCTGACCCTGCCAGCAATGTCTAAGCAGTGCCAGCAATGGCAACCAAGTCCGCTGAAGGTTCCATAAAATTAGTAACAAGACCGTCTGTCCAATTCCCGTGAAGAGGTAAGGCGCAAACACAGATAAATGAGTGGCGTATCACTGATGATGATAGAGTGTCACGGACGGCCCCGTGACCCCGCCCCGAACCCGCCCCAAAGCCCGCTGGGTCGGGGTTTGGGGCAGAGGTGCTCGCCCCGCCCTGGGTTTGGGGCAGAGATGCCCGCCCCGCTGATTTTTGGGGCGCCCCGTTGGGGCGGGCTGAGTTGGGGCAGCGGGGTTTGGGGGTGCCCCAGGGCCCGGTTAAGCCCCATTACAGAGCCAAACATATAGTATTGTATGGTATCTATACTGTGTAATGATTACATG